TTAGAACCGTTCGGTGACCTCACTACATATTAGGTCCGTCTAAACGAACTGCTGTATTAGCGATCGACGGACCATGCCACCATAAAACGCGTAGATGTGTAGGTAAAAAACGAGCATCATGTGCAAAGAAAAAAATGGTGCAGGTCCTGCTAGACAATCGCTTACAGACATTTTTCCGGCTCGTCGACTGTGCAATGTGGGTCCACTACGCCGTTGGCGCAGCTGCACTGCGTCGGGAGACACTCGCGGTCCAACAGGTTGAAGCCTGCATCGCAGGAGAGGCAGACGTTCTTTCCCTCCTGGTCGCACTCCGCAACATATGCTTTGCAAAAGTATCGCACTAGTACAAATTGGAATTGCGAATACAAATTGACCCAGTATTGTGTATACCTCACTCGCGCCGCCGTGGAGGCACAACGGCGCGGGAATTTACGCAAACAAATAGAACAATAGGGCTCAAGGCGGTGCAAATAACTAGGCGGAAGCAATGCATGAAAACGAAGATGATAGCTAGGGACGCTTCAAGAAATAAGAGAGCGACAGCACTACAAGAGAAAAAGCCTACGGCCATCTATGCTCGGGCCAAAAGTCGGGGCGCGTCCGTTTGCTAGTATATCGCAAGGGCCCGCCGAGCAGCACTGCGGACCCCGCTCGGTGCAGGTCTGCCTACGTACTACTGCCTGGTCGCCGTCTCGTTCTAGCCTGCTTCCTTGCCGATTTTGGCTGTTTTTTTTCGGCCGGCGGCCAGTCGGATAGCGCAGAAGACGCAGGGATTTGCGTTCTCCCTCCGTCGGCTGAGCAGCTGAAGGAGCCCGCAGCAACTCGCACGAAACTCCGCAGCGGCCCAGCGCCGCACAAGGCTCCGTCTAATCATAGGCGGACGAAAGGGCGGGGCTAGCTCTTTTGCTGCGTGTCCAGGTGGCCGCGCCCGGATGAGAGGAGCTCCGAACCAAAAAAGAGCCGCAGCCCTTCCGTTTGCGTGCCGGCTTGACGCATTAGCTTGGGTGGCAGCATGGGCGCGGGCGCCCGGGCCGCCCTTGCTTCTGACTGGCTGGCCACCCAAGGCGCGGACGCACGCGCCGGCGTCTTTCGGCTTGTCCCGCCGCGCAGCTGGGAAAGGCGCGGCGAAGTCCCTCCTGCGTGTCGCGCGTGGCCAGCGAGCAGCAGGTATCCGGGGTTTTTTAGTTTTCCCGCCCATTGCCATAGCCGAGTGTAGAGTGGGCAGGCTGGCCGAAAGGTATGCGCTGAGGTTTTGGACACTAAGTAAAAGGGAAAAGAGGCGCCGGCGGCTTTTGTCCGCCGCCTTCTTGCCGGGGTGCTTGGCCAATCAGTGGAAACGGTCCGGGGCGATGCGCATACCATTTGGAGGCGGCGCGCCCCGGGCCCGGGGCTTGTCTTTTCTGTTTCCGGTTGCAGCCGGGCCCCCGGCCCCAGGCAGCCAGAGAGAAGATGGCCGGGCAGGGCGGCGCCCCGGCTCGCTTGCGGGACCGGGGCGACGCTTTCTTGCGTCCAGATCGTTGGCCCGGAGCGGCGGCGCGTCTGGGCTTGAAATGTATAAGCAGTGGGGGCGCGCGAGTTTCTGTTTTTCGGTTCGTTCTTCTGGCCAGGTTTTTATTTTACGCAGCCGGCCGCCCGGGCAAAACTAAAACAAATAAAAAAGAAAAAGTCCGCCCGGAGAAGTAGCTACAACGGGGAGTTTCGCAGTCGTTATTGAACTGCAGAAGAGCTCAACTGGCATGAAGCTATTGGGCCCGTGGCGCCCCTCTTCCTCATAGGAAGCCTGGGAAGTTGATTCGTCTAGCTTTTTTGGGGCCATTTTGTAAAAAAAGCTCTAGAGCTTCGGCCCAACTTTGAGCCAACTTGTCCCACTCACACCATGCTGATTTAGAATTCACTGTCTGCAAACGTCTAGAGGTCATATCACACAAGTTTGTTGCAATAGTGTCGCGCTTCAGAAGAAAATAGAAGCAAAAAAGTGCTTAGGTCTAGAGCTTTGAGCCAACTTTTGCCCAACTTTGGGCCAAGTCCTGGTTGCACTAGCATGCAGATTCACGAAAAAAGTCGGTCCCTATAGCTTTCGCCCAGCTTTTACAACAGCTTTGAGCCAAGTCGCTGTCAGTACTATAGGTCTCTCTACTATGTAGTGCAGATTTACCCTACTAACAACAAGAGTACGACACTTTTGCAATGCATACACCACCGACGACGCCAATGCCGTTGGCGCAAACACAGACATTGTCGCGACACGATCCGTCCGGATGTTCCACCAGAGCCTCCAGGGAATAGAACCGGGATAGCCCGCCACTGGAGAACTCCTGTTCCACGCCCACTTGCAAAGCGTTGATGAAGGCAGGCGGGGCCGAAGCCTTCGCAGTAGTAGACGCGCCCGGATTATTTTTCTTCTTGCCAGAAGCGGTGGAACTGCTGTCGGTGTTGTCCACGGCCATTGCATAGACATTTGATGGTGTGGACACGCCTGCTTTTTCGAAGCGAGACGGATCGAAGTATCGCACGGCGCTGTCTATGTTGGCTTCATCGTACTGCAGGACGGCTGGAGCTATTGCAGAAGAGCCGCCGCCTCGCTGGTTCCCCCGGCTCGTTTCCCAGCCGAGCAAGTCCCCCTTTCGCACCTCGCACTCTATGTCCTTCGGGTGCTCCGCATGACAGTGGACAACTCTCCTCCTCTAATTTCCACCCCGCAATAACTACTTACAGTTACAACAGCATAAGTCAATTTATCAAAATACGAACCCGCAGCGCCGCAGTGGCCTTCCTCTTTTTGGTTCTAGTAGTACTGTTACGGTATTCTCGTAGGTTTTTGCATGAAAAGTCTACCCTAGTAAAAGCCAAATCAGCTCAGCACTGCAGTGCCTGCAGAATGATCGCTCTGTGTCTGTTGTGCAATAAATGCTGCAGTTTTGCAGTCCCTGCGCTTCGGCCGAAGGAGTGGAGTCTGAGTTGTACGCTCTCATACTCCCATTCGACCACCTCGCCCCGCTTGCTGCTTGCGGCGGGTGGCTTCCACGTGGCAATGGTAGCGCACACCAGTTCCATGTTGAACAGTGCCTGCTGCTTCGCGGCCGGCATCGTACCCGGCTTGCCAACGCTTGGCCGCCAGACCTGGTGGGCAGTGAGCACCGATAAGCGGTGAACTTCTGATCGTCTTCTCTACCACCGCAACCATTTCAGATTCAGATTCTTCTTGTTGGCGTATATCAGAAATATCGAGCAGCTTTCATCTCGCAGATGAAAACCAAACCGAAAGAGCAGCAAAGGAAACTTCTGCATATGAAAGCTAAACTGCAAACAGTCTCACCATGAGCCGCAAGGCGGGTTTGGCCGACGTAGCCGGGGTCGGCCCGGACACGGTGGCGCCCGGCAGAAATCGCCACTTCTTCAGTCGTCCCGCCGTGGGCATTACCGCGGTTGTGTCGGCGTACACGTAGCCACCCGGGTCCGCGTCGATTTTGGGGCTCCACCAGCGCGTTTTCAAAAAGCGCGGCTTGGCCTCGTGCCCGATCCAGCTCGTCGTCATCCCTTCCACCACAAACGACTTGCCGTCCTCGCACGTTTGTCCCTCTGTGTAGGGGTACGAGGTCTTGTTGCCGACCACGACAGGGCCGCTTTGACTGGTGCTGTTGCGTGCTGACCGCCGCAGCAAGTCCTCAGCACCATAAAGGGGGAGGTGCTCCTGCTCCCCCGTCGTGTCCTCGCCACCTCCCGGGTCCTCGTCCTCTGATGCTTCATCCTGCACATCCTCCTCGCCATCTGAAGTCGTCGAAGAAGATTGTTCCGATTCGTATGCACCCGGGAAAAACTCCTTGTAGTAGTCTTCTGCGCTTCGTAGTTCGGCCGTTCTTGCCCCCTTGGTCCCACCACCTTCCGCATCGCTGGGCAGCTGCTTATCGTCTGTGTCGTCTGGATATGGATTGCAAAAGTATAAATGTGTCGTCTGGATATCGATATGGATTGTACTCGTATAAATGCATTACAAATTTCCTCAGCATGAGAAATAAAATTTGTAATGCGGATTTGACATCATGAAAAGATTTGTAATGCATTATTTGCAATACGAATACGATACTTTTGAAAAGGATACTGGAACAAGAATCTTTTCATTTTTCGACCCGTCGTTCGGGTACTTGTCAGTCAGAACCTCTACACCGTCCCGTGTTGACTCATCGTCGTGGCCGAGAAGCTTCTTCGACAACGCAGGATCGTAAAACAAAAAACCGGCCCCAATAAACGCGACTAGCAAGTCGCGCAGCCACATTCGTCGCGGCCGGGGAGATATTCGCATCCGCTCGCCCAGCGCGCGCGCGTCGCTGCACCGAGACGCAACGACGCTCCCCACGGTGGTTGGACTCACGCTTGTCACGAACGAACGCTAGCAAAGTTTTCTCGCGGAGCGCCCCGGTTTATTTTAATACCGTATGCGTATGCGCTTTTTGAAAATCTGTCTGCTACTGGCTCCATTCTCGTACTATGCTGTAAGTAGAAGTAGTACCGACTGAAGGAAATAAAAGAGCACTGTATTTAAGTACTCCTGTCGTAGTCGTCTTATTCTTATCTGCAATTACTATAAAAATTGCTCTTTGGTCATTTTTTCACATCATGAACAACACCTCTCAACATCGAAACTACCTCTCAGACAGCTTACCTTTTTCCCTCATTGTTGGAGTGCCAGTGCCGCTTCTCAGGAGATGGAGAAAGCATGTGCATGTTGCAATAAAATCAAAGACACAAGAATTGTAGACTGCGCACCCCCCGCGGAGAGCCCGCCTTATGTGGGTCCTCCTCACTTTGACCGCTCCTTATTGTGCTAATATTTGCAGTTCCATGATGTTTTCCTTCATTCCAACCAACTCATGCATCAGTCACGTGAGCAAAGCATGACAATGTTGCGTCCGCTAGCGGTACACAGTTCGGACACTACTTACATACTATGAACAGTGAATTAAGTGAGTGAATTTTGACTCTTGGAGAAATCTCCCTATCATGGCTCTCAAAAAACACTTGCCGCACCTTTCCGTCGGTCAAAGAAGGTCGATACGCCTGCTGGTCGTTTTGTTTGTTTCTCAATTGATGAATGTATGAGTTTTTGCGGCGTGGTCTTTTCGCTTTCGCAATTATCACAGCGTTTATATATTCTCAACCGAAAGAAACGATAGCAGATTCGTTGGTGAAACTGCGTAGCTCTAGTTTATTTGAAATCCTCAGTATTGCAGGCCTATAAAAGGATTCGACAAACTCGTGCACTACTAAACGAGAATTATCCTTCTACTTTCTCACGAGGGCGCACGTAGACACACACTACATGCTTTGCCATTTGCTGGTGATTGTCGAGACAAAGAAAATTGGCTCTTAAAACTGCAAGACCTAGGCTTCGAACTACGGGGTCATCGCCTAGTATACCAGCACGGTTGCGGCCGACATGAAGCTTTGCATTTCGTCCTATTGCCCTTGTCCGCCATCGCGTTTTGGAGATGACGAATGATGAAGATTCCTCGTGTACCTGTACTGCTTCTACCACTACAACCAGGTTGGCTACGCACGTAGATGCTCTCGCTCTCGGATTCTGTGAAGTTTTTCTTAAACGTAGGAAATGAAAACCACCCTTCACATTCGAGGAATTCGAATGGTACAAATCGGAGTCTGCGAAATAAACCAATAGGAGCCCTTGCCGGCCTCTTGCCCTAATAGTAGAAAACGGCCAGTCACTCCTTGGTTGTGGTGGCCGAAAGTCAATGTCAAACAAAAACCTGTATTCTATTCCTGATCCTGTCGTCGAGGAAAATTTTCCGAAAAAAGATGTGGGTGCAAAAATGTCTGTCAAACTGATACGAAAAATTGAGTCTTGAAGTGAAGATGAAGTGTTGTTGTAGTGCATATACTAAAGATTGAGCGGTGACGGTGTTGAGAGCATTATTCTATAATCATCTCTTGTCCTCCTTCTCGACGGTGGACTCTGACCGTCTAAAAACGAACTTTCCCGCAACTTGCCGACGCCGCCAGCATTCCGCTTAAGCTTATGCCTCTTCCAGTAGCGCCACAGTAATGTCGGTCGCTCCGCTGGAGATAATTTGCTCCAACAGGCCGGCGAGAACGAAATATTGCCTCGCAGGTGGCTCCCCGAGTTTGTCTACATCAACCGCGTAGTTACTATTTGCTACGTTGGGGTCCTGCAAGTGGGCTTCCCAGGGTGTGCTCAGCGCATCGCGCAACAGTCCTCCGGGTACCCACCCGGTCGGCGAAATCGCGGACCGAGCCAAGCGACGCCCCTCCAGCCGGTACCAGTGCGCACCGTCGAACCCCTTGGTAAAGAAAGGCAGAAGACGTTCGGACTTGATCTCGTTCGGTTCGCTGTCTGCCAGCTGCAGCAAAAATCGTTGGCTCGCGGGCACGTACTGCCGCATCAGGACGCCAAGCATTTCGCGCGCGAGCGCGAACCGGAACTCCGCGACGGCAGATGAGGTGGCCGCCACGCCTTCGTCGCTCAACTTGTCGTTCTTGTGAAAGGGAAATGTGTACTTTTGCGCGGTCTATGACGTTCTCAAACGTCCTACTGATCGCTGTTACATCCACTATGATGCCTCTGCCTGATTTGTACTGCATGACAATCGCGAAAACAAATACAGGCGAAGCTCGAGCTCTGCGCATTGCTCCTTGCATATACAAATCGAACTCTGCAACAACGAATATATTTTGATGCTATTTATGCAGTGCGTCCCAAGCTTGTCATGTGAGTCTGTTTGATCATGCAGATGCACGTGCTGCTGCCGGTGGGCGGTGCTGCTGCCGCTGGAGGTTCTGCATGACAAACCAAGCAGAACTCATGCAAGAACAGCGACCAATGTAATGTCAATGATTGAGATTGCCATAGGATCTCTGGGGGAATTGTGAACGACGCGAAGTTGATCTTGGCCGTCTTTCCATGCCCGAGGATGTTCCGCGCGCAGGCGGCGATCGTACTCTGGCACTCCGCCTCGCCCAGTTCACACATCATGAACATAGGCAACGGGCTCCGACGGCTCTCGTCCCGCAGCTTCTCCTCGACCTCCGGAGTAATGGCGCTGGCGCCGGAAGTAGAGCTCCCGTCAACGGGGTCGTTGCGCAGCGTCTTCTCCACACGGTGCAGCTTCATGGCGTGCACTTTCTCACTTCGCGACCCGTGTTGGCGAAAATGGTCAGCAAACTGGTCAAGAATGGGGCCGGCAACCTCCCTCACTTTCTCGGGAAAAGGAAGGCGCGGGTCGAGCTTGGCGGGGTCTGTGCCGACGTACTGCAGCTCCGGCAGCGGTTGCCACGTCTTGGACCGCTCTAGCCCCGAAGGGTGTCGCCGCGGCGCCCCAGCAGCAGAGTCTAGTATTTCCATCCGCTTCTCAATACCCAGATGTTGACGAGCGGAGTTTGAGGTTCTATCCGCCAGGCTTGGAGAATAAACATCATTTCCAGAAGCTGCATTTTTTGCTGAAGCAGGAGCTCCTGGTGGGTCCACTTCACGTTCGTCCCTCGTCGAGGAGAACGAACTAGCACCCCCACTTTTGTCGAGAAGATTGCTGTCTGCAAGAGATCGGAGGCCGCTGCTCGGCAACAATGACGTAGACGTCGAACTTGAAGGCCAAGGCGGCCCGGCGTGGGCGTCGTGAAGCCAGCTATAAGTTGCGCTGGCCCCGTTACCGGCACTTTGGCTCTCGAGCAGGTCAACATCTCCTGTTTTCTCCTGCTGGAGTTCTCCTGAAGTTTCGTTTCCGTCTTTGACGGCTTCGTTCTCTCTAGCCCCCTCGCTGGTCGACGTACGTGGCAGTATAACGGGTGCACCATCAGTGTCGTCAATATGAACGTCCTCGTGGTCTAGAAGGCTTTTTCGGAACATCGCTGGGTCACCGACGGAGCGCGGGACAAGCATGCTTTCCTCCACAGGCCTTGTTTCGTCGCGAGGCGCCAGCTCTGCCTCCTTTCCCGCTCGTAGCTGCTGTAGTTCTCGCGGGCGTACCTCCTCTGCCAGCACGGCGTCCGCGTTTCTATCCAAATGCTTTTGGATGACTTCCCCGATCGCAGCACGGGGCACGTTTGTTCCAAGGTTCCCCGTCCATGAGAATGCAGGGCGCGGTGGATCTGAAAGAGGACCTTTCTGTGCGCCTCCTGCACCAGCACTGGTGCCTCTTTTGTTTTTATTTCTAGGCACTGAGGCCGGTCCACCTCCTCCATCGACTTTCATCTTTACACGAAGAGGGTCCTTGCCCTCCACTGCCATCCACGTAAAGTCGCGAAAAACGTCCGCATCGCGCTTGGACGCCGTTTTCCAGGTAAAGAATAGAACCTCCGGGTTTCCCCCGCTCTCTATCACTAAGCGCACCATGTGGCGCATCGCCACTGCTCCCTCAATATCCGCCCTCGTCTTCGGATCTTGCTCCAAGAGGGTTCCCAGATCAAGCGCCCCCCCGTGCTTCGTACTAGCTGCCTCGGGCAGGTCCATCTGTATCATCTCGTCTGGCGAATTTCCGGCCGCGAGTGCCTTCAGTGCCTCGGCTTGCTGCGAGATGCGTTCGGCCTCGGGAACTTCCGCGCGGTACACTTCCAGTGCTTTCTCACGGAGCATCTGCCCGTGCCGCGAGATCAGAGCCTGCAGTTCGAACCGCGGTAGAGGTTCTAGGAAGTCTTTGTGCTTAAGCTTGTATGCCATGCAAAACGTGAAGCCGCCCACCTCGTCGTGCCGTCGTATCTCTTTTTCTTTGGTACTCGTGCTGTCGTAGGCGTGACCATTTAGATTTACATGGACCCTGCTGTAGAAACATAAAAAACGATGCATGTTGATGATGTCGTGCAATGATTGCATGATACAACAGCAACAGACGCACAAATACATCCATACAACTGTTCAAAACCGCTGTTTATGTGGGCCCGTGCCCGTCTTGTAAAAACTTTTTAGCCTTTTTTTTACTCGTCCTACGTTTGAGTGCACTAGGATGTGTATGGCGCGCAGAATTGTATGTTTGAGTTTGTGTTTGATTTTCGGGGCAGGGGCATACGTGTTCCTTCTCCCTCATACTTTTTCTCGAAGGTCCACAAAGGAGACCGCATCAAGCGAGGCCCGCAAATTTTTTGTGCGTTCCAAAAACTCCGCAGACGCTGCTGCTCGCTCGATGCCTTCGTCTGCTCTCTGGCTATTTCTGCCCGGAAAAATCCCCGTATCGGTCAAAACCTGTTGGCGGTGCGAAGTTTTTGTCTGCGTCAACATTTTTTTTTCCCAGAAAGAGAGCTGGCAATGGCACAGTCTTCCAGTAAAACTTTTCTCTGTCCTTACCGGGCTGAGTTTGTTTCAGATTCAGAAGCTGCAACGTACAAAAACGTAACTACTTAGCGCATTTTTTTTACAGGCAAACAATCAAAATATCCTGCATTTAGTTTGTACATCGCTGCCAGAGAGCAGACCGGTTTTGGAGTCCTTGTAGACAAGCTTGCAAGAAGATTTCTTCACGCGAAATAGCGTTGCTGGGCTCGACACTTCTAGGTTTGTCTGCGGCGAATACGCGGAAGCTGCCTGCCGTGCGGCCCCGGCATCCGCGGCCGCCTGCGCTAACGCGGGGGCCTGGGTCGCCCGTAGTATTTCCCGTGTCGCGATGACCGCAAAAGACTGGTTGCGTTCCCGGGCCTGGTCTTGTTGAGCCAGGGTGCTGGAAATTGCGGACACGAAATCGTCGGAGTAGAAATTTTCGAAAATTCTAGATGCGAGTTCGGACAGCCCCTTCGGCATGCCAGCTATGTTACCCGTGAGTTCGTCAGCCGATGCACGTGGAGCAGAAGTGCCCTCTGCAGTACGCTCCGCTCCGTCTGAGCCGCCACTGGAGGCACTGGCTCGACCATCTTCTACCCGATCCTCGGTGCCCGTCGTCCCATCGAAACGAATATTGTGGGCTTTGTAGTACTCCAAAGCGGCCTCCATTATCGTCGCGGCGTGCGGCGAAGCCAGGGCGCCGAGAATGGGGAATACAGCTGCTTCCCTGGTACTCTCAGACTCGACCGCATCCGGCCCCTGGCACTCAAGAATAACGTCGGCACTACGCAAGGCCGCCGCACCGACTACGTCACCCAGGCGCTCGTCACCGACCGCATACCGCCCCCGGGTGGCCACGTTCACCAGTCCACTGCGCTTTCCAAGCGCGAAACGCGACCATTCATGTTCGATCTTTTTCTTCATGACCTCCTCTTTTCTTCTTCTCTTCGTCAGATCCACCTCCTCCGCCTTCCGCTTGAGAGCAGCTGCCTGGTACAACTCTGCATCGTTCCCGAGACCCTTCTCGCCCTCGCGCGCCTTCTTTGCAGCAACCGCCACTTGCCTCTGGAGCTGCGTCCGTGATTTTTTTCCAGCCTCAAGCATCGCCTCCTGTAAAGAAAATCCCGACGAGATGGAGATAAAGTATTCTCCACCGGGTCTTCGACAACGAGCTAAATCGCGCCAGTGTGGTTTACTTAGAGCTCAACTCCGGCTGTCATGATTTGATATACTTAAACGAAAAAAAACATACCAATTTCTGTAGTTCGTCCCAGGAGACGTGCCGTTCGAAGCGGTTGCCGAGAGCCTCTTTGACAGCGTTCTGCTGGGCTGACAAATATTCCTGCAGCGTGGTGCACTTGGGCGCGTTTTCTTCCCCACGGTACATGACGTCGCTCCTCAGGGGGTAGAAGTAATTTACCAGGCGGAAAAAGAAACGTTTAGACGTGGAATCCAGCTCGCTGGCCTCGAGGTCTGCGTGAGGTGTGTCGAAGAGAGTTTCCACTTCCTGTCCGTTGCGCTCCGCCTCCTGCTTCACACGCATGGCAGCTTGCTCGTAGCGGGCGATGTCGTACAGTGCGTCGTTGCACAAGTTCGCGCGCTCGACCACGCTCAAGCCCTGCAGCTGCTGTGCTGCCGACGCCATCACAATATTTGCGCAACTGCTGGGCCGCGGCAGATGCGAGCAAATCATTTCTCCGTGGGTCAGGGGCGCGCCGTCGGTTTCCACACCCACGACTCTGTTGCCGTTGACCGGATCGTGAATTTGCCCGTCGGAGCCGATATAGGGAGTCGTCAGGGAGGGCGGCACATTGTGCAAAATCAGTGACCGTTCCAGGACCATGAAGTAGTTAATTGCCATGAGTGCGTCGAACAAAAACCGGACGATCACGACGGAGCAGCCGAGAGTGAAACCTCGGGACTGAGCAAACGCTCGCCCGAAGCGTCGCAAAGCTTGGCGCCGTCCACCTCCGCGCGCACGTGTAGCAACAGAACGCCAGAAGCTACGCGACCAAACTCGGGGAAACCGCATTCTGGTCGTGTCCCCAGCACGAGGAACTGCGGACGCAGCACCAGCTGAGGCGGGTCTGACAGCTCCTGGTGTAGTTGCAGCTCCACTTGTGCCTCCAGTCTTGGTGTGCCTCTTGCGGTTGTTCGGCTTGCTGTGGTCCCGACCACTTGAAGATGATCCCTGTGCAGGATCTCCGTCTCCTGCTTCCGCCGCCCCGCGGCGCAGTGGCGCTCCACCCCTAGCTAAGGTTGTACGCAGCAGTTCGTCGTAGAGCGCCTTGAATTCGGTCACGAACATTCCAAATTCTCGCGCCAAGAGCCTCGCGTAGAAACTGGGGCGTAGGAATTGCACACCTCTTTGCAGTCCCGTCTGCACTTTTGCGACGATTCCCAAGATTTCGACCATTTTTTGCGCAACGTTTTCGGGGTTCGCCGCGTCCAGCGCATCCATGTCGTGGTCGTCGCTCCCGCTTCTGCTACCGCGTCGGTTGTCCTTCTGCCCTTTACCACTTTTGCCGTGTTTCGCCCCTCCCGCGCCAGCGCCTTTCCGTCTGTTGTTCCATGACGACGAGGCAGAAGTTCCGCGCGGTCCTTCGACAGCACCACTTAACGTTGTATCCGTCGGCAAAAGTACCGAACTACCGGAAGAAGCTGCCACTGATGCTGCCGCACTGGGATTGTTCAGACCAATAGTACCTCCCACGACTTGGATCGACGAATCACCGGTGCGCACGTATTCGGCAACTAGCATCCGCATGTATTCGCAGAGCCGTGGATATTGTGCAGGTAGACCACTCTCGCGAAGCTTAATTTCGAAAAGGCGCGCAACCTCATTGAAATACTGTGGGGCTTCCGGAGATTCTAAAAAGGCAAGCTTTGTCGCGCCGCGCCCTTCTACCAGCCCATATAGAAAGTGGGCTGTGCGAGATACCTCGAGTTTCGCTGGATAGCCGTCGGTATCATCTGATTTTTGATTTTGCATTTATTCACGCATGATAATAGAGGTGGTAGTCGTTGTAGTCGTAGTCCCCGTGCATTAGCATTATCCTCTTCCGAGGAAACCCAGGCTACAACCCTTGCTGTAACGCTAAAGAAAAACACACAGCAGAGCACACCTCAGTCAATGTGAAGATGCGAACTAACCAACGACGAGGTAGAACTCGCTACGAGTAAACGCAACACCTCTTCGAGGTGGTGCAGATATGCAGAAAGGTATGTTTGTGTGTATGTGCCAATACTGACATCAAGGGCCCTGGGGTTCATTGGAAGAGTAAAGGTCGATGGTACTATGCGCGCAGGCAAATCTGGGGCCTGCGGGATCCATCACATTCCTAGCCGTGACGTCTGTGCCCGGCTTAGCCTGTTTCAGGTTCTCTAGCTTTCTCACTCAAGTAGAATTGAACTAGTGACGTTCGTGCCCGTTTAGGTGTGCTTTGGATCTTTGGAGTGGATCAGTGTTCTCATCGTTGGTTGAGGATTTATGTGTCATAGTCAAGATCAAAAAGACAAAGAAAGAAGAAACAAAATGTAGATGAAAAAATAAAGACAGCTAGGTAAGAATTTAGCAGGCTGCAATGTATGATCAACAGCTTGTACCTGCGGGGAGGGCTTCTACGCGGTGCGCAACTGGCACTGCTGTTCTTTGCCCGCGCGGGTCATTTTGCTGCGATTTTTCAATTCCCTCAGCCAGATTGTCCGCGAGCGCGAGCTCGTCCATTTTACGGTCGCGTTCGGAAACGCGAGAGGCTCCTGTCTGTGTGGTTGGAGAATTGGGCGAAGCTTTTTTCGACGATGACGAGGCTTTGCTTCTGGACTTGCTTCTGGAAGTGTTTCTGGATTTCCCTGTACCTATTTGAACACGTTGCAATGATGGTAGATGTGATGTAACGCGGGGAGCAGCCGCAACTCCAATATAGGAGGTCGTCGTGAGGGATTTTTTTATTGGAAAACTATGAACAATAAATTGTAAATTTCGGAAGGGCTCAAAAAAATTGACTAGGGGAGGCTGGCAATACTTCAAACTTCTTTCCTAGCAGCTCTGACAGGATGAAAAAAGGCTCGCCTGCGTTCAAGAAAAAGAAAAGCCTATCTTCGATACCTCGTCCTATTTGGATATTGTCTGCCCTACCTGCACCTTGTGGGTGTTGCGCAGCGATTTCCGGTTTCGCTGCCCTCGCATCCCGATCCACCCCTGCTCTGTGCTCCTCCGCAGGTAAGGATGTTCCCTCGCCTCTACTCGTCGGACTCGAAATCTTTAAGCCTTCCTTCTTCCCCCGACAATCTCCATTGTCTGATCTCGGCGGTGTCGGTGGCCGCCGTGGGCCGGCAAAAGGCGACTTTGCTCGCGTCTTACCTGCCGCACCGCGCTGCACCGGCTTTGCCTCAGAAGTGGCGGACGGGCCGACTGCACTAGAGCGCGCAGCTGTTTTCAACGCTGGGCGCGCGGACGTGTCTTTCTCTTTAATTGCATCCTCGTATCTCTGTTGAACGCGTTCATCTTCGTGTACGCCTGCAGTTTTTGCAGCTTCGTGGCTGCTCGCGACAGCCCGATCGTTTGCCTCTTCACTTGTTCCCCTGCTGCCGTCATTCGCTTGCTTTTTCGCTTGAGTTATTTTGGTTGTGGCGACTTGTGGTGACGTCTTGGTCCCGGGGCCGCCAGTTCCAGCAGCTGAAAAATTTGTTGTCTTTTTTCTCGTCTTGGTTGCAACATGGACTACCTCGGTTTTTCTCTGTGCTGAGGAACTAGCATCAAGAACTCCTTGGCTGGCTGACGTTTTGCGTTCAGAAGACCCCTCTGCGACGTCTTCCACCGCCTGCTCCATCAAACGATCGCCCTGCGGCGCTGCTACAATAACATTGGTTTCAGTGGCTTTATCACGCTGTTGTGGCCGTTCCCCGTCCTGAGCGAGGCGACACGCGCCGGATGTTCCGCCGTCGGCCGCTGATGCTTCAGCCGAGGCAAGTTCCTTATGCACTTCGGAGCAAGCATCCTGGAGGGAGGCCAGCTTCGCGAGAAGACTGCCCGGAACGCCCGCAGTGTAGTTGGCCGCTACCTCCCTCCCTTCCCGGGAAATCTTGTCGATCGTGCTCGTGAGCAGCTGCAGAGTCCTATTCCCTGAAAACTAATCATCCCCGTGCCCGTCCACTTTTTGCATGACAAAAGCCGATGCTACTCCATGTCCATGTAGTTTTTCGTGACAATTTGTGAATGGGGGTGGCCAGTTCTCGGGAAATAGTTCATCATCTTTTCCACTAGCTCTTTTTCCGTCTCCGCTAGCGTTGAGGGTAGTTTGTCCTTCTCCGCCTCCTCCGGCGTTGCTGTCGCCTCGGTCTCGCCTGATTCTTTCGCCAAAACATCCCCCTGACGGCTCTCCTGTTCCAGCGCTCGGAAAGACCCGGTCACGAGCTCCGTGGCCGCTGGACCAAAAAAGGGCGAAGAAGAACTTTCTGAGGTGGAGGCGGACCCCTTGCGTGACGAGGCGGCCGGCGCTGCTGAAAGGGACGAGAAGGACAAGGCGTCGGCCGGTGCCACCAGATGCTCGACGGTCGCTTCCACCTCAGAATCGCCTTTTCGGGCGGGTGCAGCTGATTTATCCATCGCACGCTCGATTTCCCGTGGTTCGGGTTTCGCTTCCAAACGAAGTCCGGAAAGGAGGGTTGTTCCAGCGGTGGCACTTGCAACATCGGCGGCCCGCGCCCCTGCTCCATCAAGTGCCGTCCCGCTCCCCAGCGAATTTCGCTCCAGCGCCTCTTCGGGACCTGGTGGGGGCATTGGTGGAGGAGATGGCCGTCTCTGTTCACGTTCTTCAGAAGAGAGAATTTCTATTTTTTGCTTTTCTACGACTACAGGTGCCGCGACTACATCGCTGGCCGAAGTCGACGCAGCCGGTGGAAGCACCAGGCGCTCAGGCTCACTGCTGGAAAAAATGTCCATCTCCGAAGATGCACTCTTCGCATTGGGCCACGGAGCTTGTGCCGGGCTTCGCCTTTCGCTCCAAATCGGCGACGTCCCGAACAAGGTATACGATGGAACGCCCCCAGGGGGTCGGCTTCTTACCGAAGAAGCGGCACTGGAGGTTGATGTCGCATGGTCGACGCAAGGAGCTGATGGGAGGGTGCAAAGATCGCCCTCCAGCGTCACGGGCGGCGGAGCAGACCGGCCGGCAAGAATATACTTGGGCGGAGCCTTCTGCGGGGGCTCGCCCTTGCCCTTCGCTGCCGCGGCCCAGATTGGACTGCGCGGTGGGGTTTTCTGCGGAGGCGGAACCACGCCCAAGGGAGCGAGATCATGTATACTATGGTGCTCACCAGGATACCTCGCCCGCCCTCCCACTGCCTCAAGGACAGAGGCCGGAAGATTCTGTGCAGGAAAACTTTGGTCCGTCTCATCTTCTCCTGCAGAGGAGGACGATTCCTGATGTGCGTCAGCTTCATCTAGTTGGCGTCGTGGGTTCATGATATCAACCGCACCACCCAACTGATTGATGCGGCTCGCTCTTGAAGGGTTTCCCCAGTAGAGAGTGGCAGCAGCCGATGAAGACGCCTGCTGTGCTGTCGCTGCAGGGTGCGGTACGTCTACGTCGTCTTGTCGAACAAGGTCCTGCGCTGTTGTGCCTTCTGTACCACGTGTGGGCGCGAGGACGGGTAACAGGAGCGGTGGATTTTGATGACCTTGACCCGTTCCGGCAAACAGCACAAGCGTGTTGCCTGTAGGTTGCGTTGCCAGAATCCGCGGAGATGAGTGATTCGCCGCTGCATCTGGTGGTGTAGTGCCTTGTGGGTCCTCGCGGTGTTGCGCCGCGGGCCTCTGCGAGAAACTTCCCGGCATCTTCGCCGTGGAAGAAGCAAGGAGCGCATCTCTGCCCCGTCGCTGATGCCCGCGGAGTGTTGGAGACCTCCCACGCCGCTGTGCTGCTCCTCCACGAGGACGACTATGGCCGCCGTTCCCTCGAGCGACTCCCACAATGCCTGTGTCGCGCTCCGACGAGCCGTCATCATTGTCACTGCTTGAGTTTGCCGCACTAATTCGGGATGAAGAAGATGCTGTCAAAAAAGAACAAACTAGGGTTCCAGCTAGGGTCAAAAGACGGGTACACAGAAACGGCAACGGCCGGCGTACAAATCTCATTCTCAAACAGTAACAGGTGTATCTATTCTATGGTGGGTAAACATTCCGTGCTGGTGCGTTTTTGTTTTGTCGTTTCTTTTGTTCTCAGCGCAAGTTGTACTACGACAAGACATATTATATTAGACAAGAATTCAATATACCGCTCTAGAAATCATGACAAAATGGGACTGGGAGCGGAGCCATACACATACTTTCGCAAAGAATGAGTACGACTGAACTTTCACATTATCATAAGCACAGAATTGTTGTAGTGATCCCACAAAAGCCTCGGAAAAAGGAGTTGATCCAACAAGCTCAACGGCAGAATAGCAAACGTCCAAAAGAAGCGAGAGCCACAAAACCAAAAGGCCTTTCTCTAACTCTAGCAGCCACTGAGATCCATCTCTTCTTTTTCTACCTGTCCTTGACCTTGTGGCTTCTGCTATTATCACGCGCTGCAAACGATTAAGTCGCAATGTGTTTCTGTGCAAATTCCTTGTTGAAAACAATCGACAAGTATACTTGTCCATAACTTAGTTATGATCGTCCAACTACTGTAAAGTCAATTCCTTCGTATCGTTGCTTAGATTGGAAATAAGGATTGCAGCAGGTATTTTTCGCAACATCTGTTCTCTTGGTGCATCAGATGGGCTCACAGAATCGTGTTCGTGGTAGTATACCCCTCACATTTTTCTGATTCTTTTGCCGGAAAGACAAGCTGCAACAGCAACCGACCTTTCTGCAAAGATGAAGAAGTGCTCCTAATCTCTCATCAGCTAGCCGCAGCTGTCTACAACTCTGCAGCTACAGAAGAAAGTCCTGCCTGTTCCACCTTGACGCTGCAGTTCAGCAATTGCTGACGAATACTGCAGGCTACGAAGCGGCCAGTGGTCCCCTGGCGTTTGCGTGTGCTTCTGGCGGTCCAGGCGCACCAGGGCTGCTGCTTCTCCTTAGCCCAGGATCTTGCGGAGCCGCTCGATCAGCCGCCTTTTTCTTGTCGGCCTGGATGATTCCGTTTTTGTCCGGGAGGTACTTCTTCAGCATTGATGTGAGAAGGAACTTCCCGTCTTCGCGCTTTTGCAGAGAAAGTCCTGGTCGCGCGGCTGTAAAGTGGCTGTGGCCTCCGCTGCACAGCCGGAACAGGAGCGACAGCCGTTCCATCACGGCCTTACGCGCCAGACGCACCCGGGGCAACTTGCAGACATCCTTCATGCCTGCTGCGGAGGCGCCAATGAGGACAGTGATCAGGAGGAGAAGCGCGCTGCCCGCCATCACGCCATTGAACCGGGTATTTTCGTGATAGGTAAACGCTTCCTGCTCCTGAAGAATCCAAGGCTTGCGGGTGTCCGTCGGCGCCGGGTCCGGGACAACCACCACTCCCATGTCCGCAGCCGGATCCGCGGAGGGGTAGTCCACGTGCCCGATTGGGCACGCATTCCAGGCAAACGGCAGAAAGCAGCGTGGCGGAAAGTGCAACGCGGTTGCGTTCTGGTTCTTTCGGACTGCTCCTGCAAGATGGGTCTGCTCGGTAAGGCTTTTTCGCTTGTTATGGTGCTTGTGTTTTCTAGTGTCGGTCGTGGTCCTCTTGCTTCGTCCGCCGGGACCGGGAGCGTGCGTGTCTACAAAGGACTGCGGGAGTTCTCGTTCTCGTACCACTGCCCTGTCGCCAGGAGCTTCGTCCTGGCCGTCGCCATTTTTCTGCACCTGCTGTTCTTCTTGCGGCGAGAACGACCGTGGTCGCATTTCCACGTGGGGTTCTGGTGTTCGTTCGCGCTGCATCAGACTGGATAAAGGTAAACGTGCTCGTGTTGCCGGTCGTTCGGGACCAGTTGCAGGGGTCGTGCCCGAATCGCTTACGACGTCTTCGGCATCTTCTTGCGCAGTGGCATCGTCAAGAATCTCCATCAAATGTTCTTCTTCGCCGCCGAGGTTCAGCTTGTTCAAATTCAATGTCGGTGCCCCCTCATCTCGCGCAGTTTCGCTTCGAACGAGGAGTAAAAATCCGTCTTTTGTGCTATCCCCAAACAGAACAATGAGCGTCCACCGCGACAGGGACCCGATCGAAGGAAGCAAGCCGGAGGCGGACCCCACCATCTTTGCCGCGCGCATCAAACGTGGTCTCCCCTAAGAATGAAAAACAGGACGAAGCTCATTAGAACTCATTTTTCGTACTAGTACTGTATTGTCTGTGACTGTGTCTGAATTTCGCATGATGGCTTTTTCTTTTCTTTCGCACGTCACCCCCGTGTGCGTTCGTCCAAACGGAAACTTGCGTGCTTCTACATTTGACAAATAGTTTTTGCCTGTTTTGATTGTCAGCTCCTACGTTTTCTCGAATCATGATGCTTCTTGGCTCAGGGATGTCGTTCTGCACTCGATCATCTCGTTCAAGAATTGTCGCTCGCATTTTCAAACGAAGTGACGACTCCATTTTCGAGTAGTGCGGCAACAAAGACGACATCAAACGAAAACGATGCAGCCGCGTCTCTTGCGTCTTTACGAAAAGATACTTTTCAGTCAGAGAGAGCTGTCCTGCTTTCCCTTTTCACAAGAACCCCGAGGGGGAGGGCAATCCAATGCAGAAGTATGACATAAAATACTGTCAGCCGTCGATAACTGGCATTGGGAAATTTGTTTCGGTTCCTATTTCAAGAAATACGCGACTTTTACTTCTTCTTTGCATCGCGTCAAGTAGTTGCAGCCCCAGCAAGGCAAGGTGGGACGAGCGAGCGCATAGTACACTACACTGACCTGGACAAAAGCAAGAAAAGACATTCAGACAAAATTTTCAAAAAATCGCGTTTGCTTCTTAAGAGAGTAGCAAGCTTCTTCCCTGCTGCCGGTGGCACTCCTGCAACACTTGCTGCGGTTTCTCAAACTGCTCGTCCTGGACCTGGACCTCCTGGTGACTGCCGCACAATAAAAATTGCGCTCCATTTTTTAGGACGTTACGGGGAGGTAGAGAGACTCGCACCACCTGTTTCATCTCGTTCGAGGCAGTTGCAGTTCGTTCATTTGTCATACAGCATCGAAGCCGCGTCGAGACCCGCTTGCAAGGACTCAAACCCGAACCCCGGCACCGCGTGCTCCTCCTCGTCTGAGGTGGGTATGACCAAGTTCTGGTTCAGAATATTGACCGGATCCAAACCGGTGTAAATCTCCGCGTCGGAAGTTGTGGGCAAACCAGCGTTTTCAGAACTAGGTGGAACAGGGGCAGGCTGGTCCTGCTGAATCTCAATACCTTGGTCTTCTTGGGCATCGGCATCGCTTGTACTAGAGCTAGACCCCGCCACGTTACTAAGCATGACCTCCGCTGGCACCACTTCTGCTGCTGTAGAAGAGGAATCGGCTGTAGGGGCCGGTTGTAGAGACGCAGAATCCGTCGTCGCCGCATGCTGCGACTTTTCGCCTGAGGTTTCGGAAATACTCCCCATGTGACCGGGTACTAGCCGACTTCGAAGAGAATCATTCTTCGACAAATCGCCCGGAGTGCTGTCGTTAGGTTCTTTAGGTTGGTGTGTACTTGGGACAGCGCTTATCTGTTCTGCGGACGCTACGACAGCGGATGTCGGCCTCGACGCATTCAGCAAGCGCTGCTTTTCTGCCTCGCGGGCGTCCTGCTGGGCAGCGATGTCCTCCATTTGCTTCCGCCTCCTTTCCGCGATCTCTTTTCGCCGAGCCTCTTTCTGGCGCTCAAGGGCTTCACATTCTGCACCTATGATGTATGTTCGTTGCAATAGAAGTTAGTAGTAACAACTCGGTCCGTCGGCTTTCTAAGATCTCCCCACAGAAGCACGAAGACAAAATTGAAACCAATTCTATCTTAGAGTCTATAAACTTCTAGTCAAAGAAAGTAGTAGGAAAGAAAATGTTCCAGTACTGCAGACATCCTTTCCCTCAGAAATCGCGCGCCCCTGTCCGTCATAGAACTGTTTGTAGCAGCTGTAACAGCACTTCCGCACACCGGTTCCTTCTTCTGGTTTCAAGGGGTCTTGCTGCGGTTCCGTTTGTGCCGACCCTTCCGTCCCCGTGCCGGCCGAGGCGGTCGTTGCAGCCGAGGAACTACTGCTCGCTGCGGCGTTAATCCCCGTCAACAGCGCGCTGGCCCCGACTGGAAACTGCAACGTGGCACTGCCAAAAGACGCCAGCCCCTTGGTGGTCTCCGCGTCACCTGCCTTTTTCCCGAGCTCCGTAGCTGCTTCGACGTTCGTGAAGAGGATGTCATCTTCTTGCTTCGTTGTGGTCGTCGCCGCAGAGCTGGTGCTATAATTTTGTGCTTTTGCCACTACGCTCCTTGTACTTTCTCCAGCTTCCGCGGGTTTGGCCGCACCATCTTCCGTTCCCTGCTTGCGCCAGGCCATAACGGCGTCGCGAAAACTGGCGGCCTGCGCCGCCTCGTCATACTCGCCGTCCAGCAGCGAACCTCCCACCTGCTGCCCCACGAGCGTGGTTCCCTTGTTGCGCTCGACCTCCTCCCGAAGCCGCGCCGGAAGCGACTTCTTCAGAATGCCGCTGCCGGCCCCGGCCTGATTATTCGCGTTTTTCGACGACGGTATGGGATACTCAAGCGTTACACTCTCAGCTGTTGTCGCTGTGTGGTTTGTGCGTGTCCCGCATAGACACGCGACGCTCGAGCTAGGTACTTCGCATGACGAACTATCGAAGAGCCAAACAGCATGGCGATCTGCGCTACTAGATTTCTAAGGCGAAAGGTGCAGGTTCCCCCTTTCACTGTTGCTATTCTTGCGTCACAACCACAAGTTCATGTAACGCTTGAAAATGTAACGATTGAGAATCCCATAGCGGGATTGATGCTTGGATCATGTGTAGAACTGCTGCTCCCCCGCACATCGCCCTCCCGTACAATAACGTGCACCTCCGGCGGCCCGGCATTCAGCACCACTTTGTTTTTGCTTTTGCTCGCCATCGCGGGGCTTGTCACCTCGCCCCGCTGCACGGCAATCCACTTGCGCAGCTTTATCCGGTGCCCCATCGCCATGCCCAGTTGCTGCATGTGCTCTTCCTCCATCTCGAGCACAACGTCCTTGGAGTCGAAACCCTCCTCCTCGAACTTGTCGCTGTACTTCTGGAGCCCGAGTTCTTGCAACAACGACTGTACTTCTTTCTGTTCGGCCTTCTGCTTCTGGAGCGCTGCAGTCAAGTTGGTCGACGCGAGGTTGTTTGCTGACGCAAGCGCGGTAGCCGACGAGCCAGATTGCTGCGCGAAGTCATCAGGCGGTGGTCCCTCTGAACCTTTTCCCGCGCCCGGTTGGCTCTTCCTCCCAACATCCGGGTTGCTCCCGGCGCTCCCCTGCGGGCGCCGCGGTGAGAAGTGTTGCTTCGTGGTGGTCGTTTGTGACGTGTACAACTCGGCCACCAGACTCTGAATGGGGTTCATCGCGTTTGCGTCGGGCTTACCGACATCCTTGTTGTTATTTCCGGCCGCTGCCCCACCCGATGACGAGGAGGAGGATGTACCTGCAAAGCCTTTTCATAATCATTTGATGACGATTAATGATCGACCAATCATTCTCAAAGTCAGTTGCACCAAAACAAAAGCGTCATCACGATATTAAGGTAGAAACGGAACAATGATTTTTGTTTTCTGCTCGTCCTGGTGATGCTCTACAAGGGAAGAGGCGTTAGCGTACCAGCACTAGACCCCGAAGAAAGCGCGGAAGCCTTGCCCGTTCCAGATCTGGTTGAGATTCCTTTCTTTCTGGCTGCAGACACTTCGTCGATGTATCCGCGGCGCAGCGGTCGTGCGACCGATGCCGATTTCCAGTTGGTGCCCGCGTTCTTGTCTTTTTTCTGTGCGTGCTGCTCTTCCTCCAGTTGAATCATATCTCGAAGCAGCGCCAGTTTCTTCTCCTGTATTTTTTCTGTCATTCATCAAAACCAAAATGAGAAAAAAATCAGCATCGCCACGCTACCTCTGCAGGTGCAGAGCCAGAGCCATGATTGTAGGTACAATTTTTCTTCATATGTTCCCGACGAGATGAACCGATTGATCGAGTCATCGCTTGTCCTGTTGTGGTAAAGAAAGAAACAATCGCATTCGTAAACGGTCTTCTTTAGTACCAAATATAGCCGCCGGGGCGGAGGTAGTGAGGCCGTGGGCGTTTTCTTGCCGGCCGCCGCCTTGGCCGCGGCTTTGCTTTTTCTGGGCTCGCCATACCGCCGTGAGTAGCGTTATGCCGCACGGCATGGCGGCCGCTCGAGAAACGTTGCAAATTTTGGCAAATCTCCGAAATTCTTTTCCGAAGCCCAGCCCCCATGCTATGGCGCCGATCCGGGTGCCACGGGGGGCGCCCAAAAAGCGAAGAAAAATCGGGCCCATAGCATGCGGATTGGCTTCGCGCGTCTGGGGCGCTTTTTCTTTTTCGCGTTTTTATTTTTCACGCCGGCGCTTTTTGCAAAGCTTCCCAGGCTCTGAAACCGGCGAAAAGGCGGCCACTTTCGCGGCCGCCCAAAATGCTCCGAAATCGGGGCCGTGCCATGCTGTTTCGCTGTTCTGATTTTGGGCGCGTTTTTTGCGCGCCCCTTTTTGGGCGCCCCAAATCGCCAGAAACCAAGGCGGTGGGCGCCTCAGAAGGGCGCTCCTTTTGCCGGCTCCCCTCCGTCGTTTTATCAAGCGCGAATCGATAGAATTGGCTCGGGCTTTTTTGACAACAAAGCACCGGCCGCTTGATAATTGGAAATTTTTTATGTCAAAAAAGCCTTCCGGCCGCTTGAAAACTGCCGGTCGTTTTTCACGGTAGGTGGCAAAAAAACTCCCCGGTTAGAACCGTTCGGTGACCTCACTACATATCAAAAGTCAGAATGTGCGCTACCATATGGGCGGATTCCTGTTCGAGCACCTCTGTTTCTGCCCGATTCAAGGTTTCCTTCTGTTTCTTCACAACCAGCGGCGGCATTTTGGCTTTCCTTTCGCAAATCAAAGGAAATCTAACTCAGAATGTACGTGATCAGTGGCACGACTTATTTGAGAAATATAGAACTTCAAAAAGGAGCTCTTCTTAAGCACGGACGCTAGAAAAAAGCACAGAGCGCTTCTTGTAAAGCGCAGTTCTATAGCAATAGCTGTACTTCAAGAAGAAATGAGCAATTTCTCCATCACGCACAAGGATCAGAAATGTCCCGACGACAAAAAAAACACACGCAAGACCATGACGCGGCGAGAACTATCATCTTTTCTACAAATAGCGCTTCTCACTCTCTGTCGCTGCCGATTTCTCGAAAAGATAAAGAAAATAAGTAAAAATGAAAACAAAACGACGGGGCGCGGCACTGTGACTCAGAACCCTCCACCGCCGCTACTCATCCTCGCATTAGCTTTGCTCTTTTTTTGCTCCTCACGAAAACTCTGTCGCATCTCTGGAACAAGAGCGATGTAGTATTTGCGGATTTGCTTCTCCACTTTGTTTAGGGTAAGGGTAAGCACGACGAAAGCCGAACGCGAACACGCTTTAAAATTATATAAAAGTCGCTCTCATTGTCGTCTCTGATATGAGTATGAGGCCTTTTGAATCCATGACGAATATCATGCTTCTCGCAATTTGTGGCCAACGCAAGCGGTGAGTAGAACGGCATTTTGTACATCATTTTTCAAGCGAGTATTGTTTCCCTGTCACCGCGAGGACTGGTACATATTTTTCTTCTGTTTGAAACGAATACGAAACGCACCACAAAAAATCACTTTCTTACGTTAGAGTTTAAGTAAATACCCTGCTGAGGACACCATGCGCGGCAAGATGGTGCGATGACCAGGGAAAAAGGACAGGGTTACTGCGCGTCCAACCTTGTAGTGCTGTGCTTTCTGCATTCGGGGCTTTCGAGTTCTCGTATTTTGTTCTCGGCACTGCCACTAGTTCGAGTAATAAAATCTTTACAAAGTAGCCGGCGAAGGAAGAGGTGAGAACATGAGCTCCTGTACGTGTCTGTTCTTGTCAAACAGCGGCCGCAACTGCTGTCATTGCCTTTGACAACCCCGGAACCCGTGAGGTAGAAGTTCTTGCGGAAAATAGACAGGTTGCGATTTCATCATAATTCTGCAGCACCCGTGTGAGTGCAAGAAGAACTCCCGCGGTACACTTGATGTCGACAAAGTGGCACGTAATATTTATTCCCATAGCAATCAGGGACCTTCACGAGCTGGAGCTGGACCCGAGCAAAAACAAACTAACGACGGTCCTGTTCGCCGTTTGCTATTCGTCTGCAGTGCCCTGGCGAAAGTTCATCATGGCCTGGTCTAGTGTAAGCACGCGAGCCCCCTCCTTTACCGGAGTCCAGCACAGTCTCTGCACTTGGAAACGGTCCCTCGGCCCGTAGGCCACGTTCGCTTCGCAGGCCCCACATATCCCGGCTCGGCAATTGAAGGGCACTTTCTTCTTAAAATCCTTGTGGCACGACGTCAGCAGTGTCTGCTGGGAATGTACCTGCGGTTGTGGAATTGTGCCAATCCTCTTCATTTACGTTTTGCTTTTATGGAAAAGTAAACAAAGGATCATACATGATGATCTGACCTGAATACCCAAATACGACCACGACTTTCAATGTTCGAAGAAATTTTTCCTGGCAGTACCTTCTTCACGTCGTTGTTGACTTGTACCATGACCAGCTCTGGTGCTACGCGAGAGAGCTGCCATTGCATGTACTTTCTGTAGGGGTGCTTGAGCAGCGCGATTTTTAGCTTGTTGGCGGTCTCCGTGGAAGACATCGTCTCTACCGACGTCGTAGCGGCTTTGATCAGGCTGTGTACAGCACAGGAGCAGGACCTTGTTCTCGAGCACCAGAATTATAACGAAAGGCTCGGTCAGAATGCAATTTTTCTGCTCTTTAAGTTTATGTTTCCGATTCCGATTACGCTGAAGTTAAAACATAATTACTGGGTCACAGCCTTTTTTCGTGCGTTAGTTCTTCTAAGTGATAAACTTGCCAGGGGGGATTGTAGAAGGTTCCGCCAATCATGGGTCCGGGGGGGTAGCTGGAGAGCCCTCATCTTCAACTAATTCTTTCATACATTGTTCACAGAGGCAGAAGCTAAAGCTAAGTTCTCGCTAGCTGCACTCGTTGGTTTATTTTCTCTCCTGTCAAGCTTTTCGCTGAGTAGAAAGGTGAAGGAAATTGGCTTATGCAGAGTCAACAAAAAACCGATAGCTTCATCGTGCGCCTCTTGTTTCATCGATAGACATGCTCGTGCATCCTCGCTCAACTTGCACATGCAGTTTCAGTTTGTCCTGGAGGTACCGCATAAAACACAATTTTTGATGATTTGCTGGCACCACACGGGACAAGAAAATATGCTCCCTCTATCTATTTCGTTTTTCACTGTCGTAGACGACCACTTTCTTTGTCGTCAGTCTGAAAAGCTCGAGTATGGAGCTTTTTCGTCAGTCGCACGATCTCCCACGCCCGTCGCGCGAACATGAGCAGCACGTGCAGTCTACTTTGTTTGAAAAAATATACACTTCTTGGGGTCTATTTACCGCTCCGCGTGCACGGCAAGGCATAGCAAAGAACTTCAGGTAGTACAGTTGCAAGAACTTCATGCGCAATTGCACTTGCAACCTCTACAAAACCGAAACACGCCTACAAACCTAATTGTCTTCGTCTTTCTATGCATCGAGAACAAAATAAACTCGAAAGGTTGTAGGTAAAAAGCTACTTCGAATTGCGAGGGGGCGCGTCTCTTAAAGTTAGTCCAGCAAGACCAAGAGAAAGACAGCGATACCTTCTGGCTGCTGCGGCTCCTGCGCTATGGAAAATAGTACTTGAAAAGCTTCAGAATGAACCACAACAGGTAGTACGTACGACACAGCAAGCCAAGCAGCAACCAATAACCGCGCGACGAAGGGTTCTTGTCTGCAAAAAGAGACGAAGACGTCCTCTAAGCAATTAAGCGGCTTCGTACCGGTGCGTGCGATTGCTTTCTCAAGCCGCATTGGCGGCGCACACTTGGTACTCTGTGACGAAGTTCGCGCATCGCAAAAAATCCTCGCGCTGGTCCAGGCAATTCAGAAGGGTTGTTTCCTCTTGCTGGCACGGATGCGGTCGCGTTTTTCGCAAAATATCCAACTGCAGGATCTGATTTTTGAAAAACAAGAACTATGAGCACTATGGATACGACTGATAAAAAATCAATTGATGTCGTTCGAATTTTGTAAATGTTTTGTTGCCTCTGCGTCTGCGCTCGCCAATGAAGCAAGACGGTGAAACTTGCAAAGGGGAAAACATTTTCCTCGTAGATGAGATCTCTGTCACCTCTGATACAGACTACAGCATCTCAACAAGCGAAGAAACACATGACCACCACCACCACCACGAGGAAGTTGATGTAGTCACCAGTACCTTTCTCAGTTCTGCCGTCTTCTCCTGTATTCGAAGTCGCTCTGCCTCTGCCATCTGTTCCAGCATTGCGTTCTTGGCCTCCAAGACCCTCAATTCTATTTCGCGCTCGTCGCGCATCCTGCTGAGGTACTGGTCCCCGCTTCCAATTCCCCCGTCTTCCTCCCCGGCTGGTACTTGTACATCGTAGGAGTCGCTAGTTCGCGGTGGCGATGAAGATGCGCTTCCACCGCTCGATGAGGTACTAGACGTCGATGGTCCTCGACTTGTGCCGAAAATCTGCTGCGGCCTGCCTTCCTCCAGATAGTTGTCGACCTCTACGGAGCGGGGATTTTGGTGCATCAACCGATGCGTCACCACGATCGACCCGTGCGGCGCGGGGGGCGCACGACTAGTCGAAGATCCGGATCCCATAATTGCAACGTAGACTGAACTGACGGCAAGAGGTTCACTTCACAGTATGTTCGTGCCTAGTCGTCGGTCCCAGCACCCAAATCAATGTTCTTCAAGAATAAAGATTCATTTTGTGTCCACTCCAACTTCCCAATAATCGGGCGCTATGAATGTTGTCGAGGAGCCTAAGCTACAGCGAAGGCCTTGCTTCAACATCTTCCTCGAAGAAAAAACGTCTGCGGGAGTGAAACTCAAACTGAAACGACGTTACCATTGAGTCAATAGACCGACCAAGATGGCCGCGCTCCGTGACGACGTACTTACGTAAATGTTCTCTCCTGCTGAAAGTAGACAACAACAGTCGACCATCTGGAAAAACCTCTGGAGAAACAAATGGCGACAAAACAACTAGAGAATCGCAGCTCAGAGTTGAAAGTCGCGTTGCTGTATCAACGAACTGTGAGTGCTGACGCTGAGGAGGGCACTCTATCGTTGTCTTTGTCCTTGCCTTTGCATATCAGCGGCATAGAATCGTGGTATAGCCAGTGCAAACACTGGTAGTAGATTATCAGTGTGCCGCGCACACAAGAACTAAAAGTGGAAAATACAAGCTGGCACTTAATACTTGGGTTGCTACTACGAAGCTTTTTAGAAGTAGACGTAGTAGAGGAGGAGCATCCATTTGTTCAGAACTTTGTTTCACTGCCCGCAAGATTGACTGATTAGTGTAGTAAAGGGCATAACAGCAATTCTCGAGCTTGTACAGCGCCAACCTAATGTTCAGTGCGAAGTAAGTAAACTTTCGCATTGCTGTTAGCCTTCGTCAACGTTCTGCAAAACCGTGTCTAATAACACCGACTTCCTCGGGCGACGCCGCGTCTTCAGGTAAATCATGAATGAAAACACCAACCACCAGTGAAATTGGAAGAGGCAATGAATGACGCTCGCTGCAACGGTATCACTAGCTAGCACGTCGCTTGTCGATGAATTCTTTCACTGGAGTTACTGTCCTCGGACGTCGACGTTTACAAGAGTTCGTTCGGATCCATTACCCGCTGCAGCGTCTTCAGGGTACTGCGGACCACCGCCCGCGCTGCTTCACCATGCTCCCGCACGACGAGGTCTTCGATTTGCGCTGCGAGGTTCTTGGGCTCCGCACCGGCGTCCAAGGTGGCTTCATCCGTGTCGACTTCGCAAAGAAGCGGGCTGGACAAGTTACTCTCAGAAGACTCGCTGAGGTGAAACGTGTTCACTACCTGAACGTCCATCGTGTCCTCGTCGGGGCGGCTAGCCGCAGCTTCCATATTTTTATCTCCGCCCGCAAGAACCGTTTTCGTTCCGGCATGCTGTTGCTGAACTTGCTCTGGTGGACGCGGGTTGCTGTTGTTCTTGTTCCCCGTGGCAGCTTCACTACTTTCCATTGCCACGTGCTCGTAGTCCTCTTCAACATCCTCGTCGTTGCCGTCCTCAACCGAGGGTGGCGTGGGGAAACTTCTACCCTCGTCGTCTACACTTCCGCTACTTTCGTCAATCAAATCATCACTGGAAAAGAGCCGGCCGGTGCTTCCACACACGTGTTCGTCGAACAACTTGGCTCGTTGATGCTGAAACAAACTACACTCGCTTGCATTCGCTCGCATCTTGTCCTCGCACGGCAGCAGCGCCGGTTGATCAACGATGGAAAGGGGATTATGCAACCTTGTCGGCGTGATAGTGGTCGCACCACCTACAGGAGCAGTTCGGGCAGGTGTCCGGGCGGCGTTGTCCTCGCGGAGCTTCGCACTCGCGAATGTAGTTCGTGCTGGATCGTGCGCAACTACGGGCGAGAGGAGCACTTCGTGCCCGTCCGTCTGGTCTATCTGCGCGACGACAGCTTGCTTCGGTGTCTTCATCATCAGGGTGTCCCGTGGGGAAGCTTTCGGCGCGTAGACCAGGGTGCTCTCGTCGAAAACTTCTACGTCAGCAAAGCTTGTGGACGTCTCGTGCGCGACTATTTTACGGCCCGATTTTCTGTGGGACAGGGGTGAGGCGCCAATGCCGTCGCACCTGCCACTCGGGGAAGCCCGTGTAGTGTCGTCCACAGCACACTTCCTAACGCCTTCCCGGGAGAAGAGATGAGCATGAGGGGCGGCAATCGTGTCAAGATGTGGGGCGGACGGGGCAATGGGGTCGCTCTCAACATGATTGAGCATTTTTTGATGCTCTAGTTTTTCTTGGGAGTCGCATTCCGTGACACCCCCGACCTCGTCGACCAGAATGTTCTTAATGTCTGTTTTTGTGCAGGATGCGTCCGATGAATGTGATTGAGCTGGATGCAGCTCACTTCGCTCTTCAGTACTAGGTGGTCTGGCAGATTGCGCCGACGTGCCAGTGTGTTCATCGGGATGGGGTCCTGCTGCGACATCTGACTCTGCAGTCCTCGATTGCGCACCTCCTTTTCCGCCGGGTCTGCTCGGTTTTCGACTTAGGTGAAGCTGGGGGTAGCGGGACGAGTTTGCGGTGAAGTTGTGACGACTCGCACCCGCGATCCCGCTCCTCGATGACGCCGGTGGGACCAGGGCCGTCAGTGATACCGCTGCACCAGACCGGCTGTTTGCAGTCAGCCTATCCGAGCCACTCTTCTTCGCAGACTGGGTGTGCGGTGACTTTTTCTCGGTGCTGCGTGCGGCCGAGCCGCTATTGTACTCCGGTGACTTGTAGGCATATCCGGCACCTCCGTAGTGCTTGTGCAAGCCCGCCTGCTGAAAGCTTGCCGTGCGCTTAAATTGCCGCTGGTTCGGATATGATTCGCGATGTTCGTTCGTAGGAGGACGCTGGTGCGCACTAGTGGCTGAGCCACCCGAGCGAGGCATTGTTCTTGCAGTAGTGCCAGTATTAAAGCAGGTCGGTCTCGAGTGTGGCGACATCATAGATGAGCCCTCCTCACCTCCTGCTGAACGCCGTTGGCCAACCGCGGCTCGACTTTGGCCCATGTCGCATGCAACTGTCGTGTCAGCCACGACTTCTCCGTGACCGTTGCGACTGTGGCGGCCGAGCGGTGCGTACAGCAGCGCAGCCGCGTCTGGCGAGGAGTTGGAACACGGCACATCGGTTGTATCGTCGAAATCCTGGAGATCCAATGTCGTCTTCGAACTGTTAGAACTGCATTTGGAAGAATCGCCACGGTGCCGTTGACGCAGCGCTCCTTCCCCTTGTTCCTCGGTCCGGTTACAATCGGCACTGGCGTCACCGCGGCGGGAAACCCCATGATTTGAGGTTCCGTGGAAACGAGTACCCGACCGCTCATGCGTAGAAGAGCACCCCTCGTCAGTGCCAGAATGCATGCTCGTGCGAGAATGCAGGGCAGCTACTGGCCCCTTCCGGCTATTGTGACTGCCGGAACCGGACGCCTTGCCTGCGGTGGATGACGGACAAGAGCCTGGCTTTTTCTTCGTGGGCCCGCGCGGCGGGTAGGAGGATCCCAGTTTTTTGGCAGCTTGCGACAACAACCCAGTACTACCGGTAGTCGACGCAGCTGGTCCTGCTAGAAGCGACGAAGATTTAGCTACAGGCTTCCTCGCGAGCGGAGAAGTCGCGCCAAAGCCTCGCTGGCAGACCGGACTCAGCATCCGTGGCGATGTTGCCAAAAGACCTGATACAGTATTGGTGGCAAATTAGCGACAAGGCTAGTATTCGTTCTGGGATTCACACGTGAACTCGACTCGCAGCGCTGACTCAATAAACAGTATATATGAAGAAAACCGGAAGTCGCCGACTTCCGGGTGCATAAAACCACTCTAGTTTCGTTACCAAGCGAACGCGGTGGAAAGCCCGCGTGCGGTTGTTCGTTTCCTTTTGGCGTGAAGGAGGAGACGTTGACTTGCTTGCACGGTGAAGGCATCCAGTTTGCCACTTGCGGTCGTGTTGGTGCAGCTGATATAGCCGGCGCAGCCGGGACCGTGATGGGACTTGAACCTGGAAAAGCAGCAGTCACAGTTTCTCATGAATGGTTCGAAGACGCTTGAACTGATTACTAAGTATCGATGAACTAAGTATCAGACGTAAGGACAGAAGTTGCACTCACGTGCTACATTCTCTGTACCGAAGATGCTCTGCGTTAAGCCCATGGGTACGGGCAGACCCTCGTGAAGTCGTCGCAAAGCAGCACGCGTCGCAAAAAAGGACGGCTCGGCATCGTCGCCATCGTCATTTATTTCCAACTCGGTTGATTTGTCGCCCATGTGCTCTGACCGGTAGGAGGTATTGTGCACATCCGCATCTTCGATTGTATCCGCTGTTTTTGATGTCCGTCGACCAACAGTCACATGATCGCGCTGACCGACACTATCGGACCTTCCTCCTCGCTGCTCGTCGGAGGCAACTCCATTACCATTTACATTGAGCTGCAGGCTTCTTGTGATGTGTTCGGAGTCTTGGTGTTGCCATGCTCGTTCAAGTTCGGGTTTTTTCAAGCTAGGCACGGCCTCAGCGGTCCAAGTCTCCGTAGAGCACGATTGGCTAGTTTTCATGCGAGACGTACTATTCGCACCCCATCCGTGCCTCGTGTAGTTATTACTGCGGCAATTTCTTGGGTCATCGTCCACATCGGCCAACAGCGTTGGGGCCGTAGACCGGCCGAGCACCTTGCCGATGACCTCACGACCAACGTCGAAGAGAGGGCCAGTGAGAGCTACAGCACGTCCCCCCTGATGAGCATCTTCATCTCCCGACAAATGTTTTGCCGTCCTGTCGTGCGGGTCATGATCCACATTCTTGCCCCCTCGCCGATCGTCCAGGAAACTAGCAGCTGGTGGAGGTGGCGACGTGCCGCGGCTAAAAAGACCGGATAGCAACGCGGACGCGCTACTAGTCCGCGTCTTCCGCACGTTGGCCTCGCGATCTCCGGCCAGCAGCTGCTCCACACGCCTGGACATTGTAGTGTCGCCGTCAAAAACCGCTGGGGCCGCGGCAGCACGCCCTCCGCGGTTGCACGCTGCTGAGGAACCGCTGGCGCAGCTGGAGCTGGTGGGGGCTCCATGACTTGTGCTCTTGATGGGATCTGTCGTACGGCGCGAGATGAGGTTAATATTTGGTCCACCTACTATAGCAGTGGAGTGTGATGTCGATGCACCGCAGCTCGAGGTCAGAGAATAAACGCCGGCAGTTTGATCCTTCGAGACCTGTGTTTGATGAGAGAAAGAACTTGATGTAGTATCTTCCGCTGACACAGTTGTTGTGCCTTGCAGAATTTGTGGGCAGGAAGTCGCTGCTGGTGGTAGTATTTGCTTGCTTCCAGAACTCGTCGGCGGGTCGTAGTGCTCGTCTGGTGGTAGAAGTGTTGGCTTGCTTCCAGAACTCGTCGGCGGGTCGTAGTGCTCGTCCGCGACATCATTGGAGCAGAAGTCCACAAAAAAAGGGTCCTCCTCTTCGAGGAACCCCCGCTGGTGCTTTTCGCATCCAAAACCGCCTTCGCGCGCGGGAACCAGCCGAATCACGCCGGAAACGGCTGACGAGGCCGGAGACGACATTTTCGTGCTGACTGTTCCTACAAGAGCGTCTGATCTGTCTTGCAGATGGAAGTGCCTGTCTCGTGACAGTGAGTTCATGTAGTACTCGTTCCTGCACTAAGTAAATCATTGATCAGTCTAGGACGATCATGTTGGACCCCATTTATTATTTAGAGTACTTGTTGTCTGCACGGTGAAACTCTGTTGATAGTGAAATGCCCCACCATGCGGGAGATAAAAATTGATCGGCCTCTACTTATTTTGCGCAGTGTAAGTGGTGCTCCGCCTTATTATTAGACTCACACGAAACGGCGGAGGCACTGTACCACGAAAGGCCAAGGCCTACAACAGCTGAGCTCGATGCAATCTTGATGCGAACCTCAGAAGAACAAGCAGAAGCAGGTGCAGGACGCAGAAGAACACTTGAAAATTTCAAGGACCCTTTGGAAAATGAGCAGGCAACTTTTTCTATTTCCAAAAACTGGTTTGAAAGACAAGAAATGTCCAAACGCGAAACCGGCTGCGAATAAAGCGCGCACTGTTCATTTCAAGTAGTCAAGAAATTCGTCGCAAAACGCATTTGCATACGTATCTGCACAAAACACCGCAACTGGTGGTGGAACGCAACTACCCTATGCTGGGTTTCTTTTCGCTAAAATTCGTATCCAGTTGTTCGTGAAGAGAAAGGTTGTGAGTTCGACATATGCATTTCCGAGGAGACATCTTGCACGCATCCGTATCGTTAGATTTGTTCCCGTGTGATCATTAGATTTGGATTTCTGCGGTAGACTGTTACTGTAGGACGAGCACGCTCCGCTATCTTACCAGACCCCTCTCTACTCCTCCGAGTCGCTACCGCTGGCGGATCCGCGTCGCCAGCGCAACGCTATCGCATTCCCGATGAATGCGGACAAGAACGCGGCCAGAAACACCAGGCAACCTGCGTTGAACGGCTCTGGATAGAGGTCGAGGAACAGCCACGTCGTCACTGTCAACGTACTCATGCCTTGCGAAGCCATCAGCTCCCGTGGCGGGGTGGACATGACAATCTCGTTGGCAGCTTCGTACACGTCGCCATTCAAGTAGGTAAAGTTATATCCGCCGAAGGTCTGGTTGCTGGCTTCCAGGGCCGCGGCCGTGAAATTCTCCCGTTGGTTCATCCCCATAGCCGTCCCATTGATCTTCACCAAGACAGTGGGGGTTTTATAATCTGGGGAGAAGTTTTCTACGGTTGCACTTCGTCCATAATTTTCGATCAACAGTTGCGTATTTGCTTCGTTTTCTTGTTCGAGGAAACTGAGCGGTAAAAGAGAGCTGCTACCCGCGGCGGCGCTCCTTCGCAGATGATCCAAGTAGGTCCATGCAGCAGTGTCGTTCGTGAACAGCAAGCCCTCGTTGACTGCTAGTGGCGCGAGACTTTCTGATGGCTGCGCAACGGAAATGTACTTCCAGGCATCGGCAGCCTCCAGTTGTTTGCGCTGCAACATGGATTCCAGAGCCTGCGGCGGCAGGTAGTGCCACCAGTACTTCGGGTGTTTCTTCATCTCCGCAATGGATGGGACCTCGGTGTGACTTCCACTCTTTGGCTTTACGTGTTTTTCCAGCTCTTGAAACTCCGCCGGCGTCAGCACAGTTTTCCATGCGTCCGGTGAGTAGTCGAAATCCTGGAAAAGCTGCTCCGACTGGTGCGGTAGAACATTTTGCATCTCAACAAGGTGCTGACGCCTGTCAACATGTTCTTCCTCGCGGCCTTTTGTCACCTTGCCGTTAGATTGTAGGCCTACGTCGCCGATTTTGGGTTTCTTGCTGCGTCCAGACACGTCTGCGTAGAAGAAAAATCCGTATCCAAGCCGGAAAAGCGAGACGGGGTTCTTGGCTATCGTGGCAGGTACTTTCGACATCGCATCGTGTTCCCCGGACAGTGGGACCACCCCGCCGCCCCCACCTCCCCCGCCACCATGAATGTACAGCGAAGTGCACTCTTGCGCCAAAAACTGCTGAATCAGCTCTGTCGGTGGTGCCTGCCCGGACACGTGGTGGTCAGGCCGCATGCCGCACGAAATCGTTTTGTTCACTTGGATCGCTTGTTCGTAAAATCCTGCTTCATCAGCTTGATCTGAGACGCTCCCTGGTTCTTGTGCGACTTCTTGCGAGGCCACGAAGTCTGCAAATCGTTTCCGTTCGATGTTCAGCTCAGCATCCGCGGTTTTGTTCACTTTTGCCAGGGTCTGCGCGGTCGTCAACTTCGCAAAATCGCTCTTCGATACGGTGCCGCAGCCACCGCCGCCTCCCGTGGAGAATTTCAGCCAGCGCTTCGAGGAGAGAAGGCCAGGGCCACTTTTCCCGCCTAGTATAGTTGCCTTCACATTCCCGCCATTACTGCCGCTAAGTGTTGTAACATTCAATGGTAGAAACACTTGCACGCCTCCTCCGCCACCACCACCGTGCGTTGCGTTTTCGACACCCCCGCCGCTGCCTCCACCAGTGGAGATTACCACCGCACTCTCGCCGGCATTGTTGTTGCAAATCAATTGCAAACCGGCACCGTGCCCTGCACCGAACTCCCAGTGAGACAGGTCAAGCGATAAATCTGTCGTCTTTGTTGATACAGAATTGTGCGAAGGGGGTACTGCCGATAGTACACTTGGACCGCGTGTTGACGAGTCCATCACCGAAGCAGCTGTATTCGACGAATTCGTCCAAAACACTGTCGGTCCAAATCCCCACGTGAGCGGCTCGGCAAACATTTTCGCGCTCAAATCTGCGCGCCGTGCGTCTGCAACGCGATGTACAACGGGCACGTGGGAGGTTTGAAAAATCTGCTCCTCGGAGTCACCTGCTTCCGTCTTGCTGGCTTTCCAGCTCTGCATCAGGTTGCAGAGATAATCGGCTAAGCGACTATCAACGCTGGCGAGCGACTGCACTCGTGAGACTGCGCTTTTGGTTTGGTCCCGCATTCGTGGCATTGTAGTTGTATCTTCGATACTAAGATGATCAGCAGGAAAAGGTTTCGGGCTTTGGACTGGCAACGAACCGGCACCGGCAACATTGTGCGCCACAGCATCTTCTGTCGTAAGAACGGACAGAATTTCATCCGCAAGTGATCCCAGAGACTTTGACTTTTCACTGCCTGGCTCTACGAGTTGGTGCTCATCTCGAAGGATGTCTTCCACTTTTCTCGTGGAAAGCATTTCCAAGGCCGTTGAAATCGCATTTTCCGCATCCCCCCTTGCATCTGCATTCGAAGAAGTCTCGCCGTCTTCACTTTCGTTGGTCTTACTCTCAGCACCGCCATCTGAAGACGACAAATTCGGCTTCCCCCCGGAAAAGAAGGCGAAGCGCACGTCAATGTTGTTATGTTGTGCCAGGGGATCCGTCAACCAGGTTTTGCTCAGACACGTGGTGACCCGCTCGGCAAAGGAAAAAGCGCGGAGCTTCATCTCCGGGTTCATGATATCGGTTGTCGCGACGTCAGGTTCGTCGCGGGGACTTTCCGAGATCGGCGCCATCCCGGCACCGGACTGGTGAACCACCTTAACTTGCTCTGCTTGTTCCACCGTCAATGACAAGATCACGATTGATTTGTATGGCGACGAAACGGATTGCGTCAATCGTGAAAAAGCCACACAGCCAATGGATAAAGTTAGAAAGAAAAAACACAATTATCGACTCACTGCTCAAGTCAGTGTCAAATCGCTATCACTATGTATGAAATTCGATCCAAACCTTCTATCCGTTTCCGATTCATCCGCTTCCGCTGTTCTTGACGTTGAGGAATAAAACGAGAATGCCAACAGACGACAGGGCCAGACCTGTCGTGTGCCTACTTCTCGTCGTCATCTTGCGTGGGACGCACAGGTCCGCCCACGCAACAAAAGACCAACACGGAAAAGAGAAAGACAAAGAGACCAAGACCCGAATATACGGGTGCGTGTGATCTAGTTCTAATCCGTATCATATCGAACTCGTCAAGAATCTTTCAAATGAAGAACAACAAGTAGTCGAGGACAGACAAATCCGTTCTTTCAAAATGGTCTTCTCGTGGAGTTTCGACACCGGGCGGGGCAGTGATAATCATTATAGATCTTTTCTGATCGTGATAGAGCACCATACGGTGCCGTACGGGAACACTCCTGCAAACAAAATAAATCCTGGAAATCAGCCTGGTCGTGGAGCGATGGATGAGAGTTCGTCATGGCTGAGCAAGTAACTTCAATTTCCGAGCCGAGAAGTTAAAAAAAATTCTTGTACATTTTGATGCTACGGAATGATTTCCATCGATCTTGAAATAATTGTATCATCATACATAACTAGCTACCGAAAGTCATTTCCGCGAACGAAGACATTCCCTGCGCTTCCAAAGTAAATACTCTTCACAGAAGCTCCAGCCTTCGTTTCTTTGTTGAGATCATTGCTTATGTGAACCGGTAAATTCCACCAGGAGCGTCCATTCATGGCACGGACGAAGTAGTCGCCGTCCGGCCCGAGCGACACAAACTCCAAATCCGCCAGGTTTCTTTGATTTAGTAGCTTTGATAGGCTGGCGGGAATGTTGCCCTGCGAAGAATAGGCACCATCTTTGAAAACGATGAACCAGGTGTTGTAGTCCTCCCCAAACGAAACGCACTTGATGGTCTTCGTCGGATTGTCGTTAACTTCTTCGGAGAAGCTATCTGGTCCGTTCCACTGTGCTTTTCCGTTCTCAACTTCACAGTAGTAGCGCCCATCGCTGCCCAGTGCAACGACAGTGGGCTGTGGATGATTTTTCGCCCGACTCCGAAGAAATTTATCCAAACCTGTCGGTATACGCCCACACCAGCTAGAAGAGCGCGCTTTTTCATGAACAAGGAGCCAGGCATCGTCCTGAACAGCGATGCAGGAAACATCCTTGTCGAAATCTTTCTTAAGCGTATTGGCATCTGTCATACCCCAAAAGATGAAGCTTGTACCGCGATCCCGTCGAGTCGCTCTCTTACGGTCCTCCTCCGCTTCACGCTCAGCTGCCTTCCGTGCTTCCTCGGCTTTCTTCCGTTCTTCGGCCTCCGCCTCTTCTTGCTTCCTCTTTTCTTCCTGCCTGCGCGTCTCGAATGCGTCGACAATAGCCTGGACGCCTTCGATTTCCTTCTCTAGGTCGGATTTCTCTTTCTTCAGCCGCAGCAGCTGAGCCTTTGCGGCCTCTTCCTCATCGACCTCGGTGCTGCTCCTCGTCTCGCCGCCGGCTGCGTCGCTTTCTGGCTCGGGCTCCCTCCGCCTGGGAGACCGCGACCGGTCCCGCGGGTCGTTTCGGGCGGGGGTCGGAATTTGATCCCTGAAGTGGTATCCCAAACCCGTGTGTACGCGTGGATCTCGAAAAATCTCGCGCAGGACCCCTAACGTCACCTGGCGCCGAAAAAGTTGAGTGCGTCCCTGTCGGGGGTGGTCGATATACGTACCAACTGTGCCCGTTGTGTACCAAACATTCACCCGACTACGATAGCCTCTGGTAACAAAAGCTACCAAGCGACTGGCCGGCGTATATTGTACCTCCGTCGCGCGCTCCTCGCGTGCAATGTCGCGAACCTTTGACAAATCCAAAACGGACGTCATTGACATTGTCATTCTTTTGGTGGAAAATAAACGGTAAACTATTGATTTAAGTCTGTATCGAACAGGAATCAAGATCAATGAAAAGTCTGAAGCTTGCTAAAGCTGCAGGCTTTGAAGTCGTAGTCGCCCTGTGTCGCTTCCTGTGTTCATTTGCTTTTTTGGGCATATGCGCACATAACAGAAAGAGAAACACCTACAGCTAAACCGACGTCGTGTGCAACATCATTTGTGGTTGCTTGGGATCTCACCAAGATTTCTTCCATTTTCGATCTTCGCTATTCAACAGTTCTATTGATTTCTATCCATTTTGAAGATCCCGCCTTCAGCCCTAATTTTTACGTCTCGTGGTCCCCCGCTACGAGGGTGCGAACGAGCGTCAAGATGTCATTCACATTCTTATTCTGATTCGAATTCGTGAGTTCGGATTTATAAAAAAGTGGCCAACAAGAAGTGCGCACCTTCACCTATACAGCCGACGATCTGTTGCTTTTGTTCGTTTAGGAGTTTGAGTAAAACTTTGAATGCTTGCCTTTCCAGCTTTGCGTTTCCGGCATGCTGTCAACTTGTCGGTGAACTTGCCACAGCAACGGGAAAGACTCCTGCACCCATTTCGTTGGGATACCATCGAGAATTCCACTACTCACCCAACCAACAAATCGCCATGCTGCAAGGTCCACTATCGAAAGCCCGAATGATGGCACAAAGACGACTTGATTGGTAGCAGTACCTGGTGGGGTAAGAAATTTTATGTTGACTAGAGACAACGCACAAAGCTCCTTCTCTCTGTATGTTGAAAATCAAGCGATCGACAGATGCGTGATGTTGATGTACCAGCATTTTCATGAAGGAGGCTTTCTGTTTCAGTTCCGGTGCTTACCATTCGCTTTCTGCAGAAGGGTTTCCAGGCCGCCGACGAACTGTGTAAGCCGGCCCTCCTCGAGATCACAAATGCTCTGCCGCACTTGGATTTTTCGTTCCGGTGGCTGAATTCCCATCGTGGACGAGATTAGATCTGTTGCGCTAGTGAGGCCTCCGAAAGCTTCGTCCATTTTTGCCATCTCCCATGGATTTGCCGTGGGATAAAACCCTATTTGCTTTCCAACAAAGCTACAAATCGCCTGCACCTCAGCTAGGATGTGTTCCTGCTTGGAGTCGTCTGCTGCAAACACCACTCCGGCAACCGGCATCTGGCCGAAGACGGGCTTGCCGCTTTCCCGGAGGGCCCGGCCATTCACGCGCGCGTCCTTGTACTCAAAGGGAAGCTGCTTGCCTTTCGCTAGATAGATGTGCACGGCGAGGCGAATACACTCGGCCCGCCAAAACGGGTGGTCCATGTAGTACAGTGTGAAAGCGGAGATACCCGGATCAGACGCTGTCATGGTGCCGTGGATGTGCCTGGTCGACCCTACAATTACAACAAGTAGCAGTTTTGTATAGTCAGCTCTTGATGATATTATTGTTCTCTTCGAAGAAGCATTAAACTAGCTACCATGCGATGGAGTGTTGACTAGAGAGCTCGACTTACTTTCACTTCAGCTCTACTCTATGGCGAGCGGCTTATGCCAACTCAATCCTTGGGAGTTTCGGGCGATGGTCAATAGCGAGAAGACGAAGATGAAGAGCGACTACCTGTTTATAATCCAGATCCACCAGACAGGCCAAAATAAAGCGCTCGGCTAGAAAAACTGGACCCGTCACGACGGAAACCGAATGGATCTTTACCAGATCTAGAATCTGCTGTGAGATCTTGGCACCTGATCGAAAGTTGAATTCCAGTTCTCGAGCTACGTGGAAAACTAGATGCACGCTCTCTTCCTGTGGTCAAGATCAACAGAAACGGATCGAAAACTATTTCAGCAGACAACCTCTTTGCGTCTGAGTTGTGTACTACTACTAACATATTGAACAGAACCCTGCCTAAAATGAAGAATATGAGCCACGCCGTCACAAAATGTAAATGAGTTCTGAGTTTCAAATATGTCCTTGTCGCGCTCGTGCATGTTTATGTTTTACAGCGAGAACGTATACATATGCTTCTCACTTGTTCTTCTGTCGAAAGCCCGACTCTTCAACCTGACCTCCTTTTTTCCCTTTGCCTTTGCCCTTGCTCCTGGTCCTGCCATCCTTCTTGGAACGCACAAGCAATCGATCCGGCTGAAATGCAGCAGCACCTCCACCAGCATGAAACTGCTGAGGCCTATTAGCAGCTTCGTTATTTTTCGCTTCCTTTCTCACTGCTTTTTTTGACTTTTTCTTAGAAGACGCGCCGAGCGCCGCAGCTGCCGCCTGTCCGGTTGTGTCGTCGAGAGACGAAAACCCTAAATTCGGGACACCGGCGATTTGTTTTTCTTCAACAGCAGGCAGATCCGTTGCGGCCACGGTCGTTTCGCCGTTAGCAGGCAGCAGGTTTTTGTGCTTCTTTCGTCTCCGCCCGGTCCCGCTCGCACCGGGGGCATTGTCGCCTCGCAGAACAACGGTTGTCGATGAGCCTGCGGCGATTGCTTTCTCCTCTTCAGTCTCGGCCTTTGTTGGTGGAGGTGGAGGTGCAACAACTTTCAGAAATCGATCTTCTCCGGTACAACTTGCTTGCACAGGTGCGGGTTTGTTTCTACTTAGCTGCGCCATTTGCAAACCAAGCTGGTCGGATCGCACTCGTTTTGTTTCTGTGCCGTCGTTTTCGCCTTCTGTCGATGAGGCATCCTCATCGGAACTGTCGTCGATTAACTGAAGCACAGCGCTGTGACCCCGTTGTTTGCTCACAGCTGCTGTGACCGCTTGAAAAAAGTCCGCAACTTTGGAGGTGGGGGCGCCGAACTTTCTGCGTTTGGATCCTGCAAGCACTGACTCGGAAACTGCATGCGCTGCTTGTACAATAGCCGGATCGGCCACGGGTTTTAGCCAGACGATGCCACTCGTATTCTGCAGTGCTGAAGGTCCATTCTTACCCGTACTTTCCGAAGCCCCCATGTCACTAGAAGTGGCCGCAGCCTGTCGCTTGCGACTTTCCCCAACATCGCTGTTCCCGTCCGCGGCCGTGTTTTGCGGGACTACCGGTTCTTCGGCGGCATCAAGGGCGCTTGCATTCGGATCCGCAGCGACAGCCACAGGCGGAATACAAACAGGCTCCTTGGAGTTGGTGTCGTTCATCTCGTCTGCGATTTTCTGAGCAACTCCAACGATCATTTCAATTTCTCTCTTTAAATACTTTTCTTCCAACAGCTTTGCCATCTCAAGAGCCCGCTGTTCCCGATCGGCCACCGTGCCGAGGCGCCAAACCGCAAACAGTGTGTCCACCTCACTGAGGGTCAAATCCCGCTCCGCCGGCTCCATGCGACTCATGTTTCTGTACACCACCTGGCGTACCTGCTCCTTCAAATGCGCGACCGATACGTTCTTCGCAAAGTACTCCAAACCTCGCTCCCGCGGGACTGCGCCACTCGGATCGTCCTCCAGCGGCAGCAGGGCGAGTTGGCAGCAGGCGTGCGGCGGCAAAATTTGGAATTCGGACTCGTCAACGACCCGCGCAACACAATCGCGCCACTCGAGAATGTTCTCCAGCCGGCCGAACTGAACGAAATGCCAGTATCCGTGATTCCGCGGGAGCTTGTGCTTCGACGTGATCTTCGAAGCCTCCATCTTCAGGTACGATCTCGGCAGCGGAAACGGGTTCTTCACTCGGTACACCTGCAGTGCGACTTTCTGCGACTTTTCAAAGCATTCTCTTACCGCGGTCGTGACAGAAGCGGCCTGATTCATTTTGCTGGTCGTCGCCGCTGCATTTTTTCCGCTATTGAAGCAACTGAGCGCAGAACTGCCGTAGGAACCGCTTTGTGCTGGTGCTGTGTTCGCGTTCCCGTCCTCCTGCGCGTAAAGCTGCACCATCAGCTTCATCCACACGTAGAGCAAGAAATGCGTGTCGCTCCGTGCGTAGTTGACGCAGTGCGCCTCCAAGGGTCGCTTTCGCCAGTCCGCCAGCTGGAGACTCTTGTCGGGCAGAAAGTTCAGCTCCGTCTTGTACAAATTTGCCAGCCCGAAGCCGCCGGGGTAGCGCAAGACTCGGGTGGCTTGCCCGGTATCGAACAGGTTCACAAGGTAAACCCCGAAGTCGCGTTGCAACCAGATCACATCGTGATCGGCTCCGTGGAAGACCTGTAGTTGGAAGAGAAAACAAAAATTTAAATTTTCGTTCGACAAAACAAAAAACAATTCCTGGCAGGAGCCGCTGCGTTGCGTTGCCTGACTTTAGCGCGAATCTACATCTCATTCTCGATTTTTGCAGGAGGTGTACGACTCTACTTCGACTGCGCAGCACAGTTGTTCGACATCTTGTTGGTCTTCCAGCAGAGCACAACAAATCAATCACGAACTTTTGTTCACGGAAAAGTACCTTAACGATCGCCGGATTTGCCGTAATTTTGTTGAGCAGAGTGACCGCCGCGCGGAAATCGGCGACAGTTTCCAGCTGGCTCGGTGGCGGGATCAAATCGACGATGTAGTCGGTGGATTTCGAAGACAGCTGCAGCAAGCAGCAAAATCCGCGAAACGAGTGCGCGGAGTGGTGCTCAATGTCGATCGCGACGAAATCCTCCGTGGCCAGATCCGCGATCATCTGCTGCAGGTCCGCGACGGTGCGAACCAGCACGAGGTCGGTCGGCGTTTCGTAGCAGGCGGCTTTGTTCTTGTCAGACAAGTTGTCCCCTGTTGTGCTTACTCGCGCATTCACGTTCGGAACCGTGAAGTACGCATCGAGTTTCGACATGGCTTGTGCGGGGGCCGTGTTCGCGCCGAAGATGTTTCGCATCCGGGCGGGTTTGAAGTTGTACTCCCCGGCCTCGTACTTCTGTAATTCGGCTGCTATGTCCTCCAGCCTCGGCCAGTGGGCCGCTGCACGCATCTGAGATATCACGTCCGCGTAAGGGTGGACAGGTTTGGTTTGATTTTGCATACTTTCAACTCCGTCCGGAAGACTGGAGTTCGTTGTTTGCTGCGGCTGGTGCCCCACGACGTCAACTTCTGTTTTCGCCGTCGGCACCATTTCCTCTCTGTCGGTCGTCCTTGCCACTGCCTTGACCGGCGATGAATCAGAGCAGCTGGGGGACGAGGCATCGAAACCTAGAGAGGCTAAATGCGCGTCCACATTTTCGTCGTCTTCTTGCACAACAACGTTCGAGGCGGTGGTACCTGAAGATGAGAGCTGCAATCCCTCCTCGCTGTTCGTGCTGGTTTCTGTGCTGCGGCTTTTCGTCGATGGCGGCTCACCCTCGCTGCTCGGCCTGCCGAAGTTGTCCACTGTCCAACGCTCCTGCGCTCTCCGCGTTGATTGCGGCGTCGCAGTTTTTTCGCGAAAAAATTTCAGCAACGCACACTGCGGATTTGGAACAAGCTGTGTGGGTCCCGTAATGGCGACACGTTGATCGCCAGCGGCAACTTTGGCGGCGGAATTTTCACCTTCCCCGAGAAGTTGTTTTGTGAACTGCCTCGCTTTCAATGCGTCGGACTCCGCAAATGTGCCCGTTTTCTGGGCTGCTACTAACTGTCTCAAAAAGTCCATTTGATTTTTGCCGTCCGTGTCTAACCCCAGCAACTGTCGCAAATCAGCCGCACTTGCGCCTAAACGCTGGCGCAGGTCGTCAGTCGCTCCTGCTTGTTCCCCCTGCAGTTGGGCAGCAAGACCAACAAGGCTCGCCGCGTCGCAACACAACTCGCTCAGGGAGAAAGTCTCTCCCAGAATCTCGTCGGCCTCGAACTCCATGATGCGCTTCTGGTGTCGTGCGATGCTTCCTTCTTTCTAGATGATTTTGCTTCAGGTTAAGCGTAGGTATTCTATTTGGCGGGCATCGAAAACGACTGGTAGCACTGTGTAAGGAGCTCTGTCTATCTCCGAACTGATGTGTATCGATACAAACAAGCGCCGGAGCCTGAGATGGAAAAAATATCAATGGCAGAATCTGTAGCTGAGGTGCTCGAGATCAACATGATCGTCTGTGTAGTAGATCCTGATTTTCTTGTACATTCCTGCGCAATTTGTGTTTTGCCTTGTCTAGTAGATCTTCAATTGTATTTCCCTGGCTGCTTCTTCAGGCGATCATATATGGGGCTAAGTGCACCTAATGCAATTGTCTGTAGGTTTCACCCGAACGATCACGGTCACGCTCCTCGCAGAGGCAAGCATTCGCGGTTGCGTCGAGAAAGGAAGCCATTGAGTTCATTTTTCATATACGTGAACGTGTCCATTCTATTTCTGATCTTCGACGCTTGATCTTGATAAAGTCGCTTCGCATCCGTTCAGGTTCATTTACTCAGTTTCATAAAGAGATCCTTTGAAGATCTGCCATGGATCGATCGAACTGCCGGACATCTAAGAGAAACAGACAAGGGAAATTATGAAGCTCAGCATCTACGGTCAGCAAGAACATGTTTGCCAAGAGGAGTCAAGTAGTACTTATCCAGCATCAAGAAGACCACCTTGCGCCGTCGCCTTTTTTTCAGTGCTCCTTTCTGCTCTTTTGCTCTCTTGGTGGTCCTTCCACCGTTGAAACTTGAAACAGTTTTGAAACTCTGTGGGTGCAGTCGTCCAAAAGTAAAACAATGAAGTGAAAAGTGTTTTTGTTTTGCTTTTATTTCGTGTAGTTTGATCTTTCCTGCCTCTGACAGTGAGAAGAGACTGATAGGGGTTAGTTACGTTACAGGACAAACTCAAAAGATACTTCTCAATCTAAGTAGGCACTGTTCCTTTCCTTCAAGGAAAGTCTTCATCGAGGTTCTCGAGCTCGATGTCAGCGTGATCGCGTGACAGCTGTGCTCGCAAACGGCTGCGCCAAGGAACTTCCGCAGCCGGAGTGCCTGGCTTCTTCTCCAAGCCTCGACCTGGCGGTCCCAGTACCGAAGCCGCGCTGTCGGTCTTTTTCGCTGCAGCCATGGAGGAAGAAACTGGTGCCGGCCGGTTCGTTTCAGTTTCGTCCTCCTCATCGGCGCGCGGGGTCGCGAACACGTCTTCTTCATTTGATGCACCAGGCACTGCCAATGTGGAGCCAAAACGTTTCCGAGGATCTTGCCTGTCCATGCCGCCCGCGCGGCCATCCATGAGTTGTATGGCGCTGTGATCCACGTCGGAAGCGGCCTCCGCGTCGAAAAAATCGTCGGCCTGCTGTTCTCCTTCGCTTCTGACCTTCTTTCCTCGCCCGTCATCATGCCTACCCTTTTTCTCGTTCGCTGCTGCAGCAGCAGTTCCGAACAGTCGTAAAGACAGCCGCGGCAGCGCTTGCGGCAAACTGATTCGCGAGATGGTGGTCGTGTAAATTTTCGTGTAGCCTACCCAGATCATGCCGACGAGGATCGCAAGACCGGCCAAAACGCAAACGATTACCACGACAGTGTCGCTGTCGTCCTCGTCCGAGCTTGACGGAGTCGCCGACGAAACCGTTTCGGTGGTGTTGCTAACCGGCGCAACCGTGCCAGTCGGCGTGCCGTCCACCACTTCCACGATCGTTGGCGCCGCCGTCACCGCCACGGAGCTGATCGACAGACCCATGTCCGCCGCGGTGGCGTTGAGCGCGCTGCCTTGGGCAGCGATCACGGTGGAGAGGGCGGCAGGGAAGGCGCTTTGGAAGGACGTCGCAAAGGGGCTCGTCGTGGACCCGACCGCAGCCGTTCCGGCCGGGGACGAACTCACGAAGGTAGAGGCTGCAGCGCTGCTGGCGAACCCGCTGATGGAATACTCCACGGAGACCACGATGCCGGAGGAAGTGGTCAATTGCACACCCGTGGCGGGGCTGGAAGCCGCAGTACTACTACTCGAGAGTTGCCGACTTCGCGACGAGGAAGTAGATGCGGAGGTAATGGCAAAAGACGTGATGTTGACCCGGTCGCAGCTGAACGACGCTCCGAGCGTGTCCCTCGTCACCGTACTTCATGCGGTCGCGAACAAAGGTGGCTACATCTTCCGCGACCAACTCCGCCACTGCATCTGCATGCCCATGGTCGTCGTTATGTTCTGGATCATACTGCACCAAGTCCGGCGTGATCACCTCCTCCTGTCCGTGGATAATGCGCTCACAAAGCTGTTTGATTCGTTCCGAGAACGGCGGAAGATTCGTAATGAGTCCGTCGCTTCTTCTCTTGATATCTTTTCGCTGTGATTGCAGGGCCACGACTGCCAGGCGGTACATATGTTGGTCATGGTGATTATCGGCTCGGGCTCGCTGCTGGCGCGCCACTAAGGCGCGGATCAGGTCCTCATTCCAAACCTTCAAAACCATCTTTGAGTTCTATCTTATTTGCAAGGCGTGGAAAACCCTCCAGGAATTACTATCATTAGTATTGACTACTTCCATTACAATTTCTATTCCTTTTCTCAAATGCTGGACAATCATAGTTGTACCTTTTTTTTTCCTAGGCTTGTAGCGCATGGATTTCCTTGCTTCCTTATTGATTTTCTTTTTGATTTTCTTTTTTGATTTCCTTTTTTGATTTTCTTCATGATTGTTTCTTTCGGATTTTTCTTTTCTTTTGTTCTTTTCAATTTTTCTTTTAATCCATCGTGCCTAAAGCGGTTGTACATTTTACCGACCCCGACGAAAGTTCAAACACATGCGTACGGATTCCGATCGTACGAGCCAGGAGAACAATAGATCCAACACGCTCAAAACACGTCCTTCTCCGTTCTCGCTTTCTCGTCCCTCGAATCAGGTCGGTGCCTTTCGTCCGCCCGCGTTCGTGCTGCTCGCGCGACGAAACGTTACTTATGCTATCCCTCACAGTTACGCTCCCTCTCTCATGCCCCGAATGCATTCTTGGTCCTGTCCAGTGCCGAACAAGATGCCAACGACACGAAAAACGCACAAGGGAGATCCTTGGTTTTTCCTGCTCCTTGTGCTCCTACACTTACACTCCTTCTCCTAGTCCTACCCTACGAACTGGCGTCAGATGTCTCGGGTGAAATATCGCATCCATTTCCTCGTCATGCGGCTACATAGCTAGAGGATGGCGCCGTTTTTGTCCGTGGGCGTAGAAGGTAAAATCTTCATTGGATTGTCACTAAACAAAATCAAACTCGTTACTACTTTTGCGGTGAAACAGAAACAGAAACTAATGTGTCGACGCGACGAATGCTTTTTACGTCATTCACATCGCGTTACGTCGGAAATCGTTTGTTTGCCTTTACCTTTACCTACAGTTTTTAGCTACGTCAGACGAAAAGGACCTATGGAAAAGTCAAGTTACAAGAAGAACCGCCAAGCATGCAGCTGCAGATACAGGGAGTAATTCCAGCATAAATGGGAGGGGTCTGCTCAAATACATTTACATTCACATGCACATGGTACATTTAGTCTCCTGAAGAACAAGAAAATACGGTACGCAGAAGACACTCAACCTTCATGCAGCGATATATACAACAAAACTACCATCAGACAATACCTATTTTTTCTTTTTGTAACAGAAACGTAGAAAAGCCGAAATTACATGGCGCATGGATTCGGATATCGAGATCAGTACGCTCTAGGCCGATGCTGAACATCCCGAAACCATTCTCATACATTATCTCTTCAAGTCATACCACGCGTCCGGCATGTAGTTGCTCCGGGCCATGGCGCCGTTATCCTTGGGATGGTTTAGAGCTTCCCGAGACTTCGGTCGCATGTTCACGTGTGACGGACTCTTAAAGAGTCGTCCCGGTACCTGCACGTGCGCTTGGGAACTTGAACTCCCAGCTGTGCTACTACCGGTTCCGATTCGCTTTTCGGGCGTCACCGCGCTCTTCGCAACCGCAACGCTTGGGGGAAGCCCAACACCTGGAGTCCGAAGCAAAATCAAGATACTTTCTTTAAGAAAGAACCGCACACCCCACGAGAAACCTGCTCATCACTATACTCTACGTAAAAAAAAAGCTAGCTCGCACAGAAAGGCACAAATCGTCCACCTCTAGGTTTAAACGCGTATTCTGTCTGCATTTGTGTCTTGTGCGGACGCGCAACAGAGTCACTTTACACAATACCACCTAATGTGACGTCCTGCCGCAAGGCCGCTGTCGTGAGTGCCGGATTTAAGCTTGTGGGAACGTGTCCTGGCCCAGGACGCTGATGGTACACGTGACCGCCCGTAGTGGGTGCCCCCTTTTGACTGGTGCGTGGACTGCTCGCCTGCTTCAACATCTGCTGCCCCACAGGGGGAATGTAGTCCTTGCTAGCAAATATCGGACGCCGGTTGCCGTGCGCACTACCGGGAGGTGCAGCATGGTAGGTTTCCGCCAGTCCGGTCGTGGTCGTGCCGGGCCCGCCGGGATTCGAGTTTTTGCCTCGCATCGTGCTGTTGCTGGACAGCGGCCGCTTCCCCTCCACGGATTGTTTCACACCCAAGACCTCGCGATTGGGGCTCGCGAATTTCTGGTTACTATTCGCATGCTTGCCCTCGCGTTCGTGTAGCCGTGCTTGCGCCTGGACGTACTCCTCCGGTAAAAGGTTTGCATGTACCTTTGGGGACGCCGACCGCTTCCGCTTGGCCTCCAGCATTTTTTGCTGCGTGGTCGCAAAGTGATCGGCACGGGAGGACGATTCTACTCCCGCGGCCCCGCCGCCAACGCCGAACCTCGTGGGCGCAAACTGAAACTTCGGCAGTTGGACCGGCTGCTGCTTCTCGGACCAGTATTGTTCGGTACTGCGCATCGGCCGCGTGCTCGGTGGACTATGGCTTCGTGGTCCTGCTCCCGCTTGTCCACCTTGGTGTAGGGGGTCCATACTAAACTGCTCGCCCGTGGCCGCGCGCATCCGCTCGCGCGTGACTGTATCACACAGAAAAAAGCTGGCAGGGCATATTTGTAATGCAAAAATAAATACACAGAAAAATCTGCCATGGGTGGCCCCATAGCATGCTGTTTCGGATATGCAATACAGATTTTTTTGTGTATTTATTTTTGCATTACAAATGTGACCTGCCAGCTTTTTTCTGTGTGATAGACTGCCACGTCGGGCATGGTCAGATCAACCCGACTGGCTGCGGACCGCGGGCGCGGCGAACCGCTGGTCCGCCGCGGAGACCCGGACGAGGGTCGGGACTGGAGCGTGCGTCGGCGCGGTGCGCCGAACAAACACTTGTGCAAGGAGTCGAAAATGTCGCACAGCCGAATGTTGGTCGGTAGCTCGTGGACGGGCTCCTTTTCCTTCTTGTTGTCTCCTTTTGGTCTATTGGCAATCTGCAGAACGAGGAGCAGCTCTTCGAGTTCCTCCTTCTCCAGAGGCAGACCGGATTTGCGAAACGCCGCCCGGACGCGTTTCTTTGACAGCGGCTCCTCGAGGTCGACGCCCTGGTTTAGCAGCGTTTCGAGGATCCCGATATCTGGGTTGATTAGACTGGCCCACTTCGCGATGCGCAGCAGGCTCTTCTTCCCCACCAAAGTCGACTGCGGCAAGCGGTTTCGCGGACTGGCGGGACTCGAGTCCCGCGAGTGGCCCGCCGCAAGGTTCCCGCCCGCCGTGCTGGGTCTCGATCCACCTGGCGACTGGTGTCGCACTCGGGGGGACGCGGAGGAGTGAGCGGGCGACACTTCGGTGGATTTCACCAAAACGCCCTCGGTCCCTCTGTCCGGGTGGCCGGGGCTCTGAAATCTCTTGGAACTCCGCTGCGGAACCGCGCGGCCGGGGGAGAGCGGCACGCGCGGGGAAGACCCGGTCGGGGAAGCGTCCGCGCCGGCGGCGCCGTCCACGCCGGGTATGTCGCGCTTCACGTCCTGAAACGATACCCATTTTGGTGCAGGCTCCTGGAGGATCTTCGCCAGTTCGGTCACGGTCTTGTCGCGCGTGTCAACAAAGTTGTTCCACCGCGTTGCGAATAGGGGCAGAGATCGACCGCCTGCTTGCTGTTGTCCTGCACCGTCACCACTTGCTGCGCTGCTACCCACACTGGTTTTGCGTTTTTGAAATAGAAACTTATTCGAGATTAGAAAAAGTTCAGGAAAAACCAATGACACGTGGGGCGGCCAGCACTTTACAGCGAGGAACAAGCGACTAAGTGTCTGGAAAATTTACGTGGATGCGCTGCACAATGATTCACCATTCATCATTTTGAAGATACAAAGCTCCAATAATACGATACCGTTTCTCGGCTTCCGTAATTTGTCCCGCCAGTTCGTCCAGAGCCGTTTCCAACTCGGTCCAGTTTTCCGCACCACCGGGCGCGGCGCCGGACATGCGCATGGTCCCGCGGCGCTCCGAGGCAAACCCGGCCGCAGCGCCCATGCTGGACGGGGAGAGTGACCTTTCGATGGACCCCGCGTCCACGTCTGGAATGTCTTCGTCTAAGTTGGCCACGTTTGCCCCGCTCAAAAATCCAGGGAGGTCGTCCTCGACCTGCACGCCCATATCGGCGGAGAGGACCGTGACTTCGAATTTGCGCAGGGACGGGTCCATGATAATCTTTGTGGATTTTTGGGACCGCAGCGTCCGCTGGCCCCGCTGGACGCGGACAAACCACCACCCATTTTCACCGTCTTTGGTCCGCTGCATCAGCGAGTACGTACTCAGCATCTCTTGCGACGGCTGCTCGCCGAGCCACCGAACCAAAACCAAGAAGTTGCCGCCGAATTCGCCCTCAAGCTGAAAGAAAATCACGTGGGATCATCGGTCTGTGAGGAGCTTTAAATCCGTAAGTTAGTTGCGCTCTTTGCTTTGTTTTTCATACTCTGTAGCTTAGAAAATGATAGAACAAAGAGCAAACATCAAAAAGATGCGTTTAGCCCTGCAACTGCAACTACGTCATTTAGTGAGCACGCAGCAAATTAGAAGCCGAGTAAGTACCATTTCCCCGAGACCTTCGGTCATCAACACCCTTTCCTCGCTCAGCGGCTCAAACACCAGCTTGTAGGGGTGGAAGAGCCAGTTTTGCGTCTGGGCATTGTACTTCAAACCAAACCTCTCCAGCAAGGCCATGTCGCAGCCCTGCTTTTTCGCTTTTTTCACTGCTCCCACGGGGTGCAGCAACTCCATGCCCGCGATCCGGCTGCTCGGGTGGTATCCCGCGGCGTAGAGGAGCTCCAGCAAATCTTTGGCCGCCCGCTCATCCAGCATTTCGACGGACAGCGCGTCGTCCGCGTCCACCGGAACAGGCTCCCACTCCACCTCCACGGTCCCGTCCATGTCGCTCACATTCACCACGGTTCCCAAGTTCCCGGGAATAATGTCCTCGTCGGACCGGTCCCAGTCCGGTCCGCGCGTCACCGTCGCGCCCACACGCAACGTGCTGCCCGGCTGCGCTTCTTCCAACACCGCGCCAAAGACGGAAGAAAGGCGTGATACTGGTTAGTTTCGAATCTTCAATGAGTAAAACGCACTGAGTTACAAACATGTGAGGAGCGAGAATCTCCTACTCCTAGTTAGGGCGACCATTGAAATTCGAAACAACCGGTCGGCGAGCAGGTCGGGTATAACACATTCATTGATTGCTATGGCCTTTGAAAAAGATGAAAAGCCATTGTTCTGTACATCCAGACGGCGCAACCGTGTTCTGACGCTGCAGGGACATCGACCCCATCGCCCGCAATTGCCTCGAGTTGACCTTGCTCTCGACCAGACTGGACTGCTTCCGCGAAAACGTCGCTTGCTTACCAAAGCTGCCACGGCGACTGCCCGCCTCCGCGCTAGCCGAGTCCGAGTCGGAGTCGTCCACCCCCGAGGTGTCGGTCCCGCGCCCGTCGCCCGCCCGGACGGTGGATTTCCGTGTCGTGGACCGGCCCCCGCCCTTCTCCTTCAAAATTTTCTGTTCGTACATTTCGACCACCTCGGGACAGGGATCCACGCCAACATCGTCGAAGAACTCCAGAAAATCGGATTTCAGCATCCGCGTGCTCGCGTCCACTTTATTCGGGTCCATCGATCCCTCGAACTGGTTATTGTCGTCCTCGGCGTTCGCGGCCGACTGCTGCCGCCGCATGCTCATCTGCTGCATCTGGAACAGCAGCTTCTCGTTCTCGTTCCGCGCCGCGGCCAGGTCGTCCTCGAGAAACGCACACTTGGTGCGCAACTTCTCGATTGCGTCCGTGTAGTGCTCCTCCATCTCCGCGAGCTGCTTGCGGTACATGTTGTGGATTTTGCTCTCGTCCGAGTACATCTCGTCGTCGTAGATCTGCACCTCGCTGTCCAGCCGCTCGAACTGCGCCCGGAGCGCGCCATCCGGGATCAGGTTGCGCACCTTCTGCCACTTCTCCTGCCACAGAATTTGCTCGCGGAGGAAGCTGCGGCGCGCGTGCTGGAATTTGTCCGTGATCAAATAGTTTTTCTGTTCCAGCTTCGTCACCTGCTCGGACAACTCCTCCAGTCGGTTCACCAACACCTGGGCCTTCTCCGGAAACAGCTTTTTGAACCGCGCATCGACCTCCGCCTTGGGCTCGCCGTTTTCCGACGTGCTGTTCGCGTCGCTGTCGCGGTCCGAGGCGGAGCTGCTGGAAGCAGAGCTGGACGAAGACGAACCCCCGAGCAGCTGCTCGCTGGTCAGCGTGCCGGTGGGACCCTCGAGATTTGCAGTGGACTGCTTGTTCGGCGAGGCGCCGAATTGGAAATCGCGCTCCTCTGCCGATGTGTAGCTGTTTTGTTGTTGTATGTTGTGTCGAGTTTGATGAAATCAATCAGTCTCGCTTTCAAAGGCTCCCGCTCTCTATTCCTGTTCGGGTCGTTGCATTCTGTTATTCGACAATAATGCGAAGCATTGTGATTTTCACTAGAAAACACACTCATGCGTGCAGAACCTACAGACTCACGGCTTTATTTTGTGCGTGCTCTTGATACAGTTCCAACTTTCGTCAAACTGCGCGGATAAAATCAAAAAATCAAAGGCCAAAAGACAATGATCCTTGTACTTCAGCAGAGCATCTGAGAACTGTGCGAAATCCAACAACAACTTTGCCAGCACGCCCTGGAAATAGCCCGTCAGTTGCTTCCCCTGGTACATTGCGTTGCTGCGGCCCAGCACCTCGCTCATCGGATCGATACGCCGTCCCGCGTTGTCGACCGGATGGTTAGAAGCATCCGCGGACGAACTTGCAAGTAAATCGGAAAAACTGATGGGCTTCCCGGGATAGCCGTCCTGCTCCTTGGAGTAGCTGCTCTGATTCGGGTTGCGCACGAACAAGTGCTGCATTTTCAAAACGAACAACTTTTCCAACTCCGCCTGCGCGACGCGTTCCAGCCTGACAAAAAACGCCTTTGCTGGTTCACTGTACTGGCGAAGCTTGGCCTCGGCCTTGAGCACTGACATCGCTTTTCCCGCGTACACACAAATCCCGCTCTCACCCATTTGCCGGATCGGTTGGCTAGCGGTTTTCGGCCGCACCTTGGTCGGGCTGAAGGCATCTTTGTTGTGCCGCGCGAACGGGCCCGCCTTGTTGCCCAGAAGCTCGTCACGGGTTTGCGGCATCCTTGCTGCTTCAGGCGCGTGTTCTTCTTATCTAGAGCTAGAAGCTGACAATGAAATCATTGCACTGGTGCATGCGTTAGTACGGCCAGGGCCACCAAATCCTGGCTTACACACCAATCCTTTTTCCTTTTTAATCTTGCCATTACGAGTACAACACAATCAGTATAAGTTCACAAGTTTTGACAATGTCGAAGTCGATATCGTTATCGATAAAGATAAACGCGAATCTTCGCTGAAACAAACACATCGATACCATTACCACGAAGCGATGTTCTGCAAAGAAAAATGCAGTCTCGACTGACGACGAACAAACACACTGCCCAAACCAACTACCCGACACAGCGATCAGTTTTCTGGAGAAGTAGGTAAGTACTCATTCAGGGGCTACATCGCGGCGAAGACGAAATTCAATCCGAATCTCGCTCGTGAAGAAACAAATGAAATGCGATCTCGATACGACGTGCTGAAGTCAGCATGAACTACAACTACCTGAGGTCCAATCCGAAGGCGACACCTACTTCACGACTGATGTTGTACGGCGAAGTTGTACGATGGCCTGACTTCACAATCGATACCGAGGGCAAGATCAACATCTCTGCTCGCTTCTAGGTGAGGAGCGAGCTCAAAAAACCGCGGACCTTCTAAAAGATGAAGACCACTGCACAGATCATGACGGTATAGGTTATTTCTTGTTTTCCCTCCCACTGAAGATAACGCAAGCGACGTTGCTGGACAACGTACCGGTGTCGAAGCAGCACATTCCCCGACTGCTCGTCCACGTGCACGTGGTGAGTCTGCGACTCAATTTAGCATGATGGCGTTGAAAAATTGGTTCGCACAACCAAAAATCCAATATCGAGCTCCGAAAGCGAAACAGAAACAAGTTCATAGAAGTTTATCACGCACACAGAAGTGCTACGCACTGTAGCAAACGGTATTGTATCACAAGAAACTCCTGCAACATTATGCACATGGACATGCACATGCCAATGCCTGCGAGCAGCTTCATATATATAAAATTCTCATTGACCTCTTCAAAGAAAAAGACGAAAGAAACACAGAAACTTTTTCTGAAGAACTTAAGCTAGAAAAAAGCGATCCAAGTAAAACGAGAACGACTCCGAAATCGAGTACCAGATAAAGAACCTCCGAAATCGAATACAACTGTCACTGTGGAGAGAAAAAAATTGCTTCAATCTACTGAATTCTACCGATGTCAAATAAAGGAAATCCATGAAAAGAGATCCTAACTACTACGGCAATGGAGAATATAGGCGGCAGTGGCAGAGTGCTGCATTGAAAGCAAGCATAAGCCATCACAACATCGAGTCTTGAAACAAACCCACGGCTTTTTTTTTTCAAATTTAAATTTGCAAAGATCAGTCGCTAATTATCGGCAGAATGGCTGAGCATGTTTGTTTCGTATTTGGTAAGCCGCAAAACAGAACCAGAAAACTGAAAACGAAAGTTAGTAGGAAAAGCGCCAGCCGCTATTATTTTTTCTTTTTCTTACCCGATGACGAGCTTCCGCTCGTACCAGAGGACGATGACGATTTGGAGCTCTTCGCCTTCTTCTTCGCCACCTTGGTTGCCGCCCCCACCAAGGCGGCTGCGGCTCCGAAGGCCGCTCGCTTTCCCCCGGCGGCCCCGTTTTTCCCACCGGTGATGTTCACGGCCATCGTGGTGGGCAATTTGACCGGACTGCTCTCCCCGAATTTCAGGTCGAAGTCCAGGTCGCTGCCGTCCAGCGCGTTGAAGTTCACCATACCGCCACCAGAAGTACCTCCTGCGAGCCTACTGTCCGCAAGCATTTTGGGTGATGTGCCATCCTCGTCCAGAAAACTTGTTTCCTGTGGATCCACGGCATTTCCATTCACGGTGCTACTGGAAATTACCGTGATTTTCTCCATCAGCGGCGAATCCGCGGCGATCGTGCTAGCGCGCGGACTCATCCAATTCGACGACTTCTGGCTCTGGGTATGGACAAAAGTTGGCTTGATGTTACTGATGTTCTTGGCGGTCTCAGTTGTGTGCTTCCCGTCGTGCGTTATCACTCGTCTTTTCACCCACAAGTCCATGTTTATTCCCGCGGAAGGCGGACGTTCGCGGTTCTTTGTGCTGGCGGGGAAGGCCCGTGAAAAAGAAGAACCCATTTCCACTTCTTGAAGCTCTGCGTCGTCGATTTGTGGTGTGGATTCCGCTGAACCAGCAGGATAATTCGGTGCAAATTTCAACGCCTCCACTGGCAGCATGTTGGGAAACGTGGTTGTAAAGTCGATTTGCACTGGCGACTGCGGCGCCCCCGGCGAAGAAGTTTTTGCCGACGGCAGCTCGGGGAGGAAAGATGCGAGGTTGGGATCCTTCTTCGCCATGTGCCTGTTCGCGGCATTCGGGGTCGAAGGCTTTACGGCACTCGTCGCGTCGGTCGAGTCTTTGGACGAGAGCGGCGCCAACTTGTTGTCGTGCGGAAGTGGTAGTTGTGGTGACGGTTGCGAACAAGAAGCCGGGAACAGGGGTGAGAGGGCAGCCGGCTTGGTCAAAGGGAACGGGGGCCCCGTCGCCTTTTTCAGAGTTGTGTCTGTGGTCTCGTCAAGCACAGGCGAGGCAATCGTAGACGACCCGACAGTTGATGAACCATTCACAACCATTTTGGATGGTTTCAGATTTTCGCTCCTTCCCGAGCTCGGGTCCGAAGGCCTTCGAAGAGCATTTGCATTGGTGGCCATCGGCTCGCTTTTTGTCATATGCTGTTCGTGAAGATTCTCGCGACTTCCATCGATGCCGCCTGATGAACTAAGTTTTGCATCAGGTGGCGGCGATGTCGCGCTTTCGAGCGTCAATGGCGTGTGCAGAACGGGAGCTGCGGACCGCAATGGTGGGCTCGCGGCCGCCTTGGTCGTCGACGCGGACGCTTTAGTTGTACCCACAACTGTCCCACCAGTCGTGGACTTCGCCCCCATGACGATGTTGCTCACGTAGCTCCCTCCTTTGTTATCAAGCAGCGGTGACGAGGCACCTCCAGCGCCGGCTGTTACACCTGGGCTTGTCATAGGGCGTAGCAACGGCGACGGGTTGGTGCTGGTCTTGTTCGAACCGAAAAGAGACGAGCCGTGGGTTTTATTTTGCTGCGCCTGCAAAAACTTCGGCATGCGGTTACGCGCCTGGTTGTGCAAGTGCCCAAAGCCGCCCGTAGCTGCGTTCCGAATATTCTGCTCCTGCTCGTGAAATCCGCTGATCGGTTCAAGGACCAAGGAATTTTTCGTGATCAGGAACTCGTCGTCCAGCTTGTTATTCAGAGCTGCTTCTGCCATCGTTGCGTCCGTTGGTGAGGGCTTGGCACTAGTCGCCAGCTCCCCATAGTCTGCTGGAGAGGAGTTGTTCTGCTGATGCCCCTGATGCATCTTGGTCACCGAAGAGGGTGGTGCAGTCGGCTCCGCTGTTGCGGGCCGCGCTTGAATGCCGGAATTTTTAAGCGAAATACCCACAGGAGATGGCCCGCCACCGAGCGGCGACACGAGAAGCCCCCCGCCAACATCATTTTCCCCGAGAGCACCATTCTGGTGAAGAGCCTGGTTTCGTTTGTTGTTACCCCTCAACCCGCGCACCACGGCAATGTGGTTCTTTTCAGAAGGCGGCGACGCGAGCGCAGTTGTTACGGTGTCAGCAGGAGGTCCGCCTGCATTCGATGTAGGGTCGGCATGATTCAGTGTTGCACCGTCCAGCGCAGTAAGTACTTTTGAGGAAACAGAAACGCCCAAAGACGATGCGGCAGCAGCGCTGTCAATGGTTGCCTCGACCATGGTGGAGCTGCTAGCGGAATTTGTCATTGTCTCGCCGTGCATCTTGTTCATGGGAACTTCTATCGGAGGACTCGGAGAAGCCACGAGCATCGGACTCGTTGTGCGCAGCGGCTGCTGCTGCGCGCCAAAACTTTTGTTCGCAGGGGAAGCGTTGTTTTGCCGCTCCTGTGCGAGACTTGGAATGGAGGCCGAGCTGAACCGCATCGCCTGTGGCGACATCTTCTTTGACGGGGAGGCTGGAGTCCCGGGTTTGTGCCGCAGCGGGCACCTGGCGCCGCCAGCGGCCTTCGGTTTCCCGCCAACTTGCCGTTCCATCAACCGGCTCTCCTCCTCGTCAATGAAAGAAAACTCTTTGACAATGATGGAGGGTTCCTGCTCCAGCGGGCCGATTTCGGACGTTATGCTGCGATTCACGCCGCGTCCACCTCCGTGCACGGTCCCCGCCGTCGTGGTTGGTCGCTGATTGGGAACTGGAATCTGGTAGTTGAAGCCTAGTTTAGAAGTAGGGTAGTTACCGCTACGAGTATTGTGTTGATTCAGGTCGCGGTCCGGCGAAGACGCGGAAGATCCGCCGGTCGGGACCAAGTCTTGGGAAGACGGCGCCGATCTCAGGCGCGTCGCGTTTATCGGAGAAATTGCGGTGGTGCTGGTGCTGTCCCGCTGCTCCATAGGTACGAGGTTCCAGTTTGCCAATCCACTAATAGTGTGAGAAGTCGCACTGGAAATCTCGTCTGCTTTTCCGGGTAAATTCTGTCCTGCTCCGACTGACGTCACACAGGCTGGCGTGAACTCTTGCGGCAGCTTCGCGCTAGCCACCCACTCGGCCGAGCTGGTTGATGCTGCGACGCCGTCGCGAGCGTTCTGCACCATTTCCAGACCGAGACCGGATCGGATCAGCAGGTGAGGGGCTTTGTGATTGCCCGGGAGCTTCTTCAAACTTTGCTCTGGCTCAGCCAGCAAGGGTACGCCGCCGGGCGAGCTCGCGGTCCACGAATTTGAGGGCAAAGCGAGGCCTGGCTCGAGAATGACCGAATTCAATCCGCCGCTGGGTGTTCCCGGCGGAAAATGGTTTACGATCATGTCAGAACCTGCGTCAAAACCAAGGCCAGGCTGCTGGAACTCGTCATCTCTCACGTCAGAGGACAGTACTTGGGCCTGCTTTGGAGCACTTGCGAGGTCCGGAGGCAGATATTCCTCCCGGAGTGGCGTGACATTCGCTGAGCTCTTGCAAGGCGTAGTCGCTGGTGCCCGAACATTGCGAACAACTGGATGCAAACACCCGCCTGCGTACTGCGTCACGAGCGGCGAGTTGTGCGGGGCACGGTTTCCCGGCCTGGCGCTTTTGTTCCCACCTCCCGAAGACGAGCTTGCGGTCGAGCCCGTTTTCGAAGACTTGCTTCCGCCGCTTCGGGCTTGTGCATGAACTGGACCCGTCTCCTTCTGTCTCGGAATCTGCAGCGGCGCTGCTGGTTTTGTAAAGCCTACGTAGGAAGTCTTGGGCTTGAAGGACTGCTTCAACACCTTAGACACTTCGGACGCGGCCGAACTCGATGTGAAGTTGGAACGCATTGTTCCGACACTCTTCAGCGACCCGCTCAGTGACTCCTGGCGGTCATTCTCGTCGGCAGTCAGGTCGCCACCAAAACTGCTGCCACGCTCCATGAACTCCATGCTGGTCGTGTTTGGATCTTCGAGCCCGGAATTATGATCCACATCGATTAGCTGCCGCCGGCGCGGAGGGGGCTGCGCCTGCTGCTGCTGGTGTACTAGTTCGGGCACTTGTGCTGCCTGTGCACTCCCGTGCTGTGGACCACGAGCGATGAACTCGTCGACAACATCTTCCTGTGTGGAGGACAGATCGATTTGCAGTGGATTGCTCCTGTGTGACTGCGCACTGGACGGCCGCGAGGTTGGCCTGGACCGCTGCGCACTGGACGGTCGTGACGTCGAGCTGGCGCCTCCCGTGCGTGCGGCAGGTCGCCCACTCGAGGGCCGGGACCGCGGTCGGGCGGCGCTGCTTCCAACTACGTGCGCCACGTCCTTCAAACTGCTAGAGAGGCTGTCTCCGCCGTCTCCCGCTGCTGTTTGCGGTCGGTTCTGGTACAAGCCGGCGCTTCGGGCCTGCTTCACCATCAACGGTGGCACGCCAGCGGAGTTCAGCAAACCTCTTTTTTTCACGTGCTCGGCAAAATCTGCTTGCGCAAAGGGGCGAATGTGCGTCGTCTTCGGCTTGGATGTTCCCGTCTTGCTGTTCACACCGGAAGGCGGCAACCCCCGTCTGTCTCTCCCGGTTAATTTGGATTGCGCAGCTGCGATGATGCCGCTTCCAATGGGCTGCCGGCCAGCGACGAGGGGGTGCAAGCGAAGCTCTTCCCCCGTGAAGCCCTGCTGATCGTCTTCCTCCGCACAGGAAGAGCTGCAGCTGCTACCGGCCCTGGTCGACGTGTCTCTGTCATCACCAAACAATTCCCCCATTGGGAGTTTCGTCCACGAACTGGGCAGTTCTCCGCGCGCGAAAAACCTAGCCCCATTGGCCGCGTTCTCCCCGCTTACCTCTAACGCCCCACTGGGTTGATACTCCCCGCTGTTTTTGTTTGGCGTGGTGCCGACCATCTGCGCGATGGATCCGCCGGACGCGGCGCGGCTCCGGGAGGGTGTTGTCGACGGCCTTCTACTATCGTGGTCTGAAATTGCACGCGATGACGACCAAATTGCGGGCGAGGCCGGCGGATTGTTCCCTTTGGTGGTACCATTGCCGCGCACTTTTCGACTCGGGAAGCACTTTTGCGAGGGCGTGCCCTGCAGTTTGTGCTCGAACTTGCGGATCGGGACGGTTTGCGAGTCGCCGGGGTTCAGTTGTGCGGAGTCTCCGCCAGAAAGCGTGGTGGAGTTTTTGCTTGCCACAACGTCGTCGAGGTCTTTTGCCGCTCGCGCCGCCAGTTGGTCGTCCCCTAACGCGACGCTCTGCTCTGGTGTGTGTACGGTCGTCGCGACAAGCTCGTCCTCGTTGTCTGTTTTTTCGGCGAAGTACGTCAGCGGTTGTTCCTTGCTGTCTGCCAGGTCCAGGGTTCTCGTCAGTTCGTCGTCATTCAGCGACCTGTCGTGATCCAAAAGCATACTAGTTCTCTCTAGATCTTCCGTCGCCGCTGCCCCAGTCTGGAGCGTATTTTGCTCCCCGGAAGGCCTAGCAGCAGTGGCAGCAGCCTGGACTTCAGCGGCGGTCGTGTCGTCGGCTAGTGCCTTGGCGTTCGTCGCCGGCTCCAGAGGATCTCCTGGCTTGCTGCCCGAAGGCATCTCCTCCTCCTCTGCTGCTTTTTTGTGACCCATAAACAAGTGGTCCGACGTCGTTCTGGATCGGGGTCGCAATATTGAGTTTACCAAGTCCCGGTTATTTTCCAGCGTACCGGCGGAGCCACTGCGCTCCATCTGCTTCGCGCCGTCACTTGCGGGTCCAACGTCAGAAACGCTGCTCAACGTCTGCGGTCTGGTCAGATCCTTCCCACCAGGAGTAGCTGCGCTACTTTCTTTCGCGGGGGTAATCGCGGCGGCCGCGCCTGCTTTCACAGTCGTGTGCGAGGACGAGGCAACGAGCGGGCCGCCGTGCACACCGAGCAGATATCGCGACTTCACGTGCGGCGTTGCCGGGCGCTTGCTCCGTCGCTTCTTTTTTTTCTTCTCCTTTAGCTTCAGCGTTTCGACTTCCCCCTCCGCTGGCAGGTTGCGCTTGAGGTACTCCGTCTCTTCTTCGTGGTCCGACCGGAGTTCCGGGTCGGACTCCGAATCGTGCCCGTGCTTCACCAAATCGGCCTGAAACCCAGCGAAATCAAAGTCGATCTCCTCGCCCTGCGAACTCGCGTTGGTTTGCTTGCTCGAAGACTTATTCAGGAGTGAGACGTCTTGCCCTGCTGCTAGGTCCGGATGTTGAGTCTCATTTTTATCAGCTGTGGCTCCTTCATCGGATAACTTCTTATCACTCTGCATACTTGCAGATGAGTCTTCCGCGACAGAACTGCTGCACGCCTTTGCGGCACTAGATGTTGAGTCAACTTGCTGCAACGCATCAAGTTTCGTGGCAACTAAGGCGTTGTCAGAAGTTTTGGGCTTAGTGTTCATCTCAGTTTTCTCTGTTTGATGTCCACCTCGCTGCTCCCGCTCCGTTGCTCCCGCAGATGGGCCACCAGAAGAAGAAGTTTTCTGCACTTTCTTCAGCTTTCCCAACACCGCACCATCGGATTTTTCGCCCTGCTTCGAGACCACTTCCGCCTCGCTCTGACTCGACGAAGTTTGCCCCGGCCGTTTTGGTGCGCGTTTTGGGATTCTGGTCAGGAAATTCAACGCCAATTCCACCCCCATTCTGATGTAGTCGGCTACGGTAAAGTGTACATTTTGCCGCGCGAAGTCCGGCTCCCCCGGGGGTGGCCTCCGCATGCCGCCGCCCAGACTGGCTTCCACCGTGTAGCTCAGCACGTCGAGTTCCGTAGCCACGGCGACCCGCGCCGTTTGGTCCTTGTAGGCAGGCATCGCGAAGTTGGAGCACGCGAGCGAGAAGGTGTTGGAGATTTTCCTGATGGAAAAGGGCAGCAACCGCGGATCGCGGTTGGTGCCGCTGCCCATTTCCGCGGTGGTGCAGCCATACGTGAACCAGTTGAACTTCCGACTGTGTCCGTGCAAATCCACGAAGCACGCGACCTGCCCCAAACCGCAGAGGCGGCGGATCAACCGCTTCGTATGAAAAATGGTCGGGTGCAAAGCCTTTGACTCCTGCCGCCACCGCCGGTTCAGGTCGCAACCGACGAGCGACGTACGGTAGTTCCCGCAGACCACCCCATCCGGGTTAAGCATCGGAACGCACTTGAAAATGAAATTCTTTCGCAACTCAATCGCGCGGACGTCCTGTATTATTGGGGGAAAGGGAATGCAATGCCATTCCAATTGTTTTACCGGCATCGAGACTTTTGTGACTTGCTTTCTCTACGCAAGTACTTGATTAATACGACTGAGCCGTAGTTTGATCCAGGTTTCCTGAACATCAACATGCGCACGCTTGTTCAAGTCCATGACCAATGCAAACTACATCGAAAAAATCTGCACGAAAACACAAACGAGTCCGCGGAGGTAAGAGTACCGTGGGATGTGTGAGAAACTTGAGAAATCCCTCCATGATGTAGGACGCCGGAGTCTCCCCTGGGTGCACCCGCGCAGTGACGAAGATGATCGCCTTGCCCGTGGTATGCAGTGCAAATATACCTGGGTCTGCAAGAATAAGTTCAAAGTTTCTCATGCTGGAGCATCCTCTTATTTACTGTCATACAGAAACGCAGTCCGTGCTGAAGAATAGACAACACATAGAAACTGGAAAACTTGCTTGGCCGGCAACGCTGGACCATGACCGTGATTCTGCAACTAATCATCGCAAGTTTGAGTAGTTTCCACACCCAGACATATTCATTTGCGGTCGGTACTTGGACGCCTTGCTCCGGTCCGTGACGGTGACGATGTCCACCCAGTTTTGAGCGAGGGTTTTGCAGAGCATGGTCGTGTAGGAAAATTCCTTGTTCAGGTTTTCTAACACCCGATTCAGCCGGCTGAACGTGTAGGGGTAGGTGTAGGCAAAGTAGACGACATCATTATCGTGCTCAAAAGTGTAGCGAAAATTCAAGCGATGCAACATTCGGCCGTCGGTGCCAGACTCCCGCGAGGCGTCACTTGCGTTACCGCCATTGTTCACGTCGCTGTCGCTGTTGCTGTGCGCGATCTTGTGGTACAGGAAGGCGCTGCCGGTTTCGAAGTTGCTTTCCGGCGTACTGTATTTCCACAGCGTGTCGTCGGATAACACGTCCGCGCCGATAAAATCTCCGACCCGCAGGCCGGCAAGCTTGTGCCGCAGCTGCCGTTTCGTGAGCTGCGCGCAGTCGTAACTGATGTTGGTTCCGCAGCGGCGCCACCCCGCGAGCGGGTACGTGGTCGCGGCGGCGGGAATGTCCGAGATGCTCTTGCTGACTTCCTCCGGGTCGCCAGCCACCACCACGGTTGGCCCGTTGCGCAACGCGGCGTTCTTGTTAGCGACTCTGGCAGCCTGCATTCGGTCAAAAGCGTGCGTCAGCGCGGTGCCCCACAGCTGTCCGCCACTGGATTTCCGAAAGTTCCGGTGCCACCCCCCTGCTCTGCCTCCGCCCGCGGTGGAGGAGGAGCTACTACTCCCGCCGCCCCCCTTCGAAGGGGACAAAACCGACACGCCCTTTCTTGTTTTTTCGCGCTCCTTGTTTCTCTTGTTCAGTTCCGCCGCTTTTTGAGAGTAGCAGAGCGGCTTCAAACCGCAGTGGTAAAGGGACTGCGCTTTCCCGAGATTGACGATCGAGAAGTCTACCGTTTCGCCCTTGAGCGCATTTCGCACCGCAAAGTAGTACCACTGCGTGTTGCCGTTGGAGTTTGTGTCCTCGTCCAGAACTAGCTCGTACCGCGGAATGGTTTTAAACGTCGAACCGATTTCGTCTTTACCGTACACGACTCTTGCGTCCTTCCTGGGCAAAACCAAGAACGCGGCTGCGAGATTCCCGGACTCGAAGTGACTGTCGAACGCCAACAAGTGCTCAATGTCCGTCGCCGACATTCGCCGGCGGCGTTCGCTGCTTTTGTTCAGGTGCTCATGGTACTTGTTCGCACGGTCGGGAGATGGCGCTACGACCTCCGCGGTGACCGCCGCGGCCCCCCCTGCAGCGGTCGTGGTCTTCACCGCCGGGGGCTGCTCCACGTAGATGTCTGCACTTGACAAGCGCACCTTGCGCTGCCGTGGCGAGCTCGGTGGCGGCTCGATGCCGGAGGTCGCCAAGTCGGTGCCATGATCTGCGGCCGGCACTGGCACAACTCCGTTCGCATTTTTGAACGTCACTTGATCCGTCAACATCGCCGCATCGATGTCGCTTCCGGAAGACAGCGCAGCCTGATTTAATATTCTCCGGCCGTCGCTATCCGAAGAGGATGACGTCGTCGCCATTTGGTTCACCACCGAAAGCTTTGACCTTGCGGTTGCTTCTGGGACATCGGCACGCTCCCCGGCACTGCTGGAGGACGAGGAAGTGGAAGACGAACCATTGTACGCGTATTCCGGCACGATGATGTCTGCGGACTTGTCCACCAGAGTCACCATGCTCTGCGGCTTCGAGCGTTCCAGCGTGTTGACCCCGCCAAAGGCTAGATTGGCTTCCATCATGGTTTTCTGGCCAGCGCTCGAGTAGGACTCCAGCAGTGGCGGGCACACGTCCTCGAATTCCGGGCCTTGAGTGAGCTGAATCAAGTCCACGTAGCGGTTTGGCACCATCTCCTTCTGACTGCCGGGGCGCATGTACACAATGACGCCCTGCTGTAGCGGTGGTTCCGCCAAGTGCGCCAGGGGCGGGTCCTTGTCGTGCGCGGACGACGAATTATGGTCTTTATTCCCAGCTCCGGAAGTGATGTGTTTCTCTACTTGGTAGTCCTTCGCTGCGGGTATCGTTGTCCCATTGCCCGAAAGTATGTAGGACGACGCCGGTGCTACGACCGCGGCGACGGTTGCGGACGACAATGCGCTGCTGCTACTGCTCCGACTGCCACTCAGGATCGCTGCGAGCGAATCGTGCTGGTGGTCGCCACCTACCGAGCTGCGGGCCCCGCCTCCGAGCGGAGATCTTGGGCGCGGTGACGTCGCGCCGCGAGCGGGGAGTTTGGGCGACGAAGCCGAGTTGTTGACGTGGAGCAGGTGCGACCCGCCGAGAGACGGCCCAGAACCGATGGCACCAGTGCCGGCTGAAGTTGTACCCCCAACGAGCTCCTTGACGCGATCCACGAATTGGCTGTGCCCGCTGTCCTTGCTGATCTCTTCGCACATAGGAACCACCAGACTAGGATCGAGCTCCCATTCCGGCAGATCGTTTTTCCGCAGGGGAGGGGCCGGCAGAGGCATCGCCGAACGCGCAACCAAGGGTTTTTCGTGGACCTAATTTGGCAATGTTAATGCGTGTTTTATTTGCAAAGGAAAACTACGGAATACTCGAATTTCCAATACTGTGTCGTTCATCTTCATCTTTCAGGTTGTAGTTGAGCGTGGGAGCAAAAGATGAAACTGAGTAGCTTCTATCCTCGCAAGAGCTGTAACAAACGCCAAACAGAACATCCTCTTCCTTTCAACTTCAAGATCTTACCCGCATGAGAGGAAGCGCTCGCAGCTCATCTGGCCACTCGATGGGTTCCCTGTCGGAAGCACTGGAATCGCTGTGCGAGGAAGAGGCATCGTCTTCGGGATTTCCCACACCATCCCCATCTCCCGTCGTGGCGGATACGGTCATTACTGCAGTGCTACCGGCAACTGCACTGAGCCAAGAATTGTGTGCACGATTATCTTCTCATCGGGGGGCAAACTGTGGTATGGACGGGTGCGTGGCATGAATTCGGCATCCATGCTCTACGTTTCATACATAAATACACATTGCGATTGCCACGGGCGTCTGTTTGGTACTTAACAGACTGAGGTGGTCTTTTAGTGCACAATGTATGATGGGATGCAGAAAGGTTCCTGCCAGAAACGAAAAACAAGATGGACTTTTTTTGCGCTCAATCCCTCTGATGGTGCAATTTCGAGTTGGCAGATTGCGATTGCAAGCGATCCAATCCCTCCAAAAAGTGCGTACTGCTTCGCCTCAAACGCTTGCTGATCTTCTTTCTCTTCTATCTATGACGATCTCTGATCAGCGAACAATGCTGTATCATGATGTTACCTTAGAGACGAAACACTATCAGCGAACACGAGTTATCAGAAGAAGAACGCAGTCATCAATTCGTTGTGTGTTTCTCCTTCTCTTTGTCCAGCTGGTCTTTCTCCATCTTTTTCAAATGCAAATCTTCATACTCATCAGCCTCTGTGCGACTTGCGTGCCGGCTGGTGAAAGCAAAATATGTGTTCGTTCTATATTCATGTCCTCATGATCATGCTGGCGGATGCGTATACTGGAAGCGGCACAGAGCGGGAAGGATGTGATCTTCACGCGTAGAGCTGCTGCTCTGTCGTGGGGGTAGTACTTTTGTCTTCATCGGACAAAAGCACTGCACCGGGGTCAAGCCGCAACGCCTCGTCTATCAAGGCTAGCGCCTGATTCCTTCGCAAGTTGGCTATTGATAGCTTCGGATCTGCGATTTGGGCGCGCCCTTCTCGTAGCGCAGGCCAGAACCCTGCCATGAGCGCCGCCGGACTTTCGCTGCCCTTGTTGTAACCCATCCTGGCACTGGTGGTGCAAGCGTCGGCTAAACGCCCTCGATTATCCAGTGCATAGTTGACATTCCCGTCGTCGAGCAGCTCCTTGGCCTTCCTTGCTTTCCAGCTCGCCCCCCGCAAACCGTCCAGTATGGCGCCCTTGTCCAAGTGTAGTGTGACGGAAAAGTCCGAGATGTCCGCTTTTGTCTTTCCGACAACTTGCTCCATAACAGCCCTAAGATCGATGGTGGTCGAGGCTGTCCTCTGGTTCCAGGTCGAAGCGGCCGACTTTGTTTCGCATGCGGGGCTGCAGTTTTTGGTTTTGTCATCGGGCGCCAGGGGCATCGAAGCCATCACTTCTCCGCCAAAATTGAGGAGTTCAATGCGATGGCGCCGTGGTGCTCCCAAACGTCGTGCAGGCATGGAAGGCAACTTCTGGTCAGGTGCTGCACCAGATGCCGCTGAATCAATCTCCCCCTGCGCGTGGCGTGCAGATGGAGAATGTTGACCCAGAAGCTTGGCCAAGATACCCCGCACTCCGGTCGCTGCAGCAGCGAAAAACTGCAAATGCTTTATTCCCTCGGTACTTTCATCATCGTCAAGGACGGAAGCGGCTGTTGCATCTTCGTCTCCGTTCTTTTCCAGGGACTGCTCCGACACATGCACCGTCGCTTGCTTGCTATCGGGCGACCAAGTAACTGAGAAACTGACTCGAGTCCTATGCTCCTTCTCCGTTGAAGTTGCCGCTGCTTCCTCAACGAAATACCCCGTGTACGTACGTGGCTGGGCAGTCGTATTCGCTCGCTCAACAGTGGAGACTGTGCTGGGAGGTACGACCACTTGCCACGTCACGTCGTCCATGCGCTCCGCCGAGGCACCGCCGACGGTCTGCTTTTCGCCGCGATTGAACAGCGGAATCACAGCGTCGACCGATTGGAACAACCCATATTCTGCGAGAGTGAATTGCCGCGTCAGCGTCTGGCCCCCTTTTTCAAGTTTTCCGTTCATCCGGTCGAACCAGGATGGAAGTGCTGGACGATTTAATATTCCAGGCATATTCTTATCTTCTGTCGCGGGCGGCAACCAGATGGTTTTCTTTGTCATCAAAGTTTTCGAGTCTGCTTTCTCCAGGACCGGGTAGGCAAGTAAATCCGCACCCAAGTAGTAGCCCCCGCCCGGCTTCGCAAACTCGTACGCCTTGGGATCGTTCGCACTCTGGTAATACAGAGGGGTCACTATCGGAACCCCGGAAGTCTCCGCCTCTACTGCCTTCGTATACAAGTACGGCACCAACGCCCCGCGAAACCGCATCACCTCGGCCTCCGCCTCGTAGTACGGTTTCGGGTGGTCCCAGATCTCCACCTTGCTGCACGTGTCCGTGTCGACGCAAGGGCCCGCCGCCTCGCCCTTGTCGTGCATGCGGAAGATCGGGGACAAAGCTCCGTACTGGATCCAACGCGTGTTCAGCTCCCAGTCTTTGGACGGTGGCGGCGAGGACCCCTCGCGAGTGCCCCCATAAATGTCGTGGCTCCAGTACCCGAACCCGACGTTCGCCGCCGTGCTCGTAAAGTACGTCAGGTACATCAAATTCGCCCAGGTGTGCGTTTGGTCGCCCGAAAACCCGACTGGGTACCGGTGGCCGCCAATGCCAGGGAAGCGACTCAGGATGATGCGCTTGTTCTTGGTCCCGTACTTGAACTCGCTCCGCACCCGGTTTAGCATCACGGTCGGGTTCAAATTTGGGACGGGCTGCACCGCCTTCGTCTCGCCCTGCTGGTAATCGATCCAAGCCACATCGTTTCCCAGCGGCGCGATCAGCGTCTTCTCCACTGCTTGCAGGTAGGTTGCGTTCGCCGGCTGAAAGGGCACTTGGTTTGGCGTCGCTGCGCACTGGTCGGGGACCTCCGTGCAGAATGCGGCGAAGTGGTCTTCGTCACTGCAGACGCCACCAAGATCCTGGAAGCTCTGCCCTCCATCGTGGAGGTTCAGACCCACCTTCAAGCCCTTTTCCCCCTGCATCCAACCGCCGACCAGCTTCTCGGGTTCCGGCAGAATGTTTCGGTTCCAGGAGTAGTACCAAACGTAAAAATGTCTGGGTCTGGAAGATTCATGCTGTTTTTGCATGACACAGAAGGTCTGGCATGGAAGCTCTAGCATCACAGGTTTCGAGAAGCTTCCGCAATGCCGAACCCGCATGAGAAATCCCCCATTTTGGTGACAGAAAGGGGGCAGCTTTTGCTACCTATGCATGAGAGATTTTTCTGTGTTCGAAAATGCGCATCACAAGTTCGGATCCTTCCAGACCCAGACATTTTTGCATTTGATAAGTAGCTCCCCCACTGCCCGTACACGTGCCAGTTCATGTCATAGACCCACACGTCTACTACAATGAAAAATGCCCCCTCCCCATATCAAAACGAAAATCTGTGATGCAGATTTGTGGGCACAAATCAGCTTTGTGATGCTAGAAGGCACAAGATGCGGACTGTAGTGCTGCCTAGCGTGGGAAAGCCTTGCAGCTCCAGGATGACAGGGGGCAACTGGAAGTGGGAAACAGCATGACAGACAGACTGCAATATAGGCCGCAGCTTCGTCTCTTGGCCTTCTAGCAATACAAGTCGATTTGTGTACTCAAATACAGCATCACAAATTCGCGCATCTTCCGTTTCCGATATGGGGTGGAGGCTTTTTTCACTTTGATAACGTCGAGAGGAACTTTGGAAATCTCGTGTCGCTGCACCAGGTCCCGCGTTCCCTGATCGTCAAAGTCGTACCAGCGCGTGAACCAAATGCCAAATGCCCACCGTGGCGGTGCCGGCGCCGGCCCGGACAGGCCGCGGAAATCCTTCAGCGCGGCTGTAAAATTTTTACCGTGCGCGAAAAAGTACAAGTCCTTGCAGGTCCCTGCTCGGACGTCCTGGCAAGGATTCTTCTCCGGCTGCAGCGTGTACTTGGGGTACACTGGCATGTCGCTGTCGTCGAGTAACGCGATGCCGGATCTGGACAGGACGCCGAACCGACAGTGGGATTCCTGGTTCTGCTCAACGGAATTTTGTGTGCAGTTGAGGGACAAGCGGTTTCCTGCTTCCGCGTCGAAGCCGTCCAATGTCCGGATCGTTCCCAAAAGATTTCCGGCATACGGGGCGCTCGGGTGCCAGTAGCCATACTCGAAGTCGGGGGAGGAAAGTTGCGCAGCTCCTGGGGCACGACTGATGTCATCTGGTTTGCTTGTATCTATTTCTCTGCGGATCTCTTTCACAAGTTTCGGTCCTTTCTCGTCCAAATTCCGGAGAGATGTACTCTTTAATGCCAACTTCCGAAACCCGTCCGGCCAGTGCGGCTTGGACGTGTCGTACTCGAAAACGAACTGGTCGGTTTCCAGGTGAAATACTTGATCCGAGCTGGAGGCCTGCACATCTTTCACGAGCGGAAACTTGCGGTTCACAACTGCGGTCGTGGGAAAATCGTGGAGCTCGTAGGGGTTCTGCGCGGAGTACTGCACACGCAACAACGACCCCGTCAGAACCGTCACTCGCAGCTGCGGCCCCGAGGCACCGATGACAAGATCGTACCGGGCGCCAGGACGAGGCTCGGGGTCGTTTAGGCTTGCAACGGAAGACACGAAAAGGGCAAGACTGAGGCACACCAAGGACAAAAGGTGGGGTGATGTGCGAGTCATTTTCAATGGATGGGTCTGAAATGATTTTGTGTTCAGTTTGTTCGTACACACTTATCGACTTTTACATGGACTTTGAATATCATAGTTCTCGAGATGAAAAAACGCTCAAGAACAGCAAGAAGAGTATGTCGCTATTATACACGTAGTCGTACTACTAGAGGGACTAGGAGAAAAAGAAAAGTCACGTCGGCAAATTCAGATATAATTAAAGGTCTGGTGCAACTTGAATACCTACGCGTGAAAAAATGGAAACTCAAACTCTCAACGTACGTTGGCCACGAATTCACTTTGTGAAGACTTCTCTCTTGATTTTCTGATAAAACCCACCTTGCATTGCGCTCTTGAAGTTGAAGTGATAGTACCGCTTGAGTCCCGATTTGATATTTGATACAGCGTCGTGATCATTACAACATGCGAAACTGACCTATTCAGGCCTGACCAAAAACGAACACGAAGCCCAATTTTGAATAGGAATGGCCGGCGAAGATCTTTCTTCAGGCCACAGCTTTAGGTTTAGCTTGCCATCTGGAAACTGCTGCTTTTGCACTTGCAACAGTTTGGAATCGTTGCTCCACAAGCGGCGCACCAACTGTGCTTTCTATTGTTTCGGTCTTCCATGCGCCGCTTTCGTTTCGTCTGTTTTCTACACTACAGGCTCACTTCATCTCCATCGCAGAGCAAGCAAATCGCCGCTGCGTTGGACGAACCAATAGGGCTGCACAAAGACGGAAAACAAGAACGTTCTTCCTGCGGTAATATCCAGAACCGCTCTCCAGTCGTTGGCGCCGAGCAGACTGTCGCCGCTTACTACCCCGTCGCAATTCTACACCCGAACCCACACGATGAACCCCCTCCCCTTTCCACAGGAGCAACTACCAGTAGCAAACATATGCACATGAAGCATGCGCAGCTCGTGCTAATCCGGGTGCATCCAAATGGAATGTACTTAAAATTGACATCGCGTGCTGGGAACCCCTTCCTCGGATGGCCGTCGCCGCGAAAGGCCCAGTTTGCTGCTGCAGCTGTTTCTCCACACATGGCAGAGAGTGGAATTAATACCAGAGAGGCAATTACATGAAATGTCGACGCACAGCATGCCGCTATTAGGTGGACCGAGCACCCTACATTATATTGTAAGTACTAGCTTCCCTTCCCCGTACTTGTCGAAGTGCCGACGCCCCCGAGTACCACACAGTCGTGAAGCGTACGCGACATAAGTGACAAGTGGCGAACCGTAGTTGATCCCGGCAAGTCGTTGATGCAGGGCCCCGAGTCGGATTATGCAACAAAGATGCGCATGCCACATCATGGTCGCAATTTTTGCTTTCAAAGCGCGGAGAAAGGCCGCCCGCTCCCGCATGAAGCACATTCAAGCAAGTCATACTTGTCGTCAGTAGACCGCACACCGCTTGCTAAACAGGCTGGTCGCTTTCTGTTCTGTGTTGGTGCTGGACAGAGAGAGCTGTCTCTGTTCCCCATTGCTCTTGCTTCGCTCGGATATCAAACGACCACGAGTTTTCAGATGAGAGTTCTCGTCACAGTTTCACGAGGACAACAGTGACATATTTTTGGGGATCCCAGGTCCAGTCGGTGGACAAGGATCTGTGTCCGACTCCGATTTTCTTTTGTTTTTCTAGTAGAGCTAGTAATGAAGGTGATCACATTTTTCCGATCTAGTTCAAGACTTGACCTTCGTGGTGCCGCTCCCTGCTTTGAAGAATACGATTTTTACGATGAATGCGAGGCCGAAACAAATGATGACTTGTCTCTCGCCTGAGAGCGATATAGGAAGCGGACATACTATCGCACGCACCACGGTCGGCGGCTCCGCTACGACTCCTCGCTAGCCACGGACAAAGAATGTCCGTGCTAGTATGTAAAGCAAGCTTTCCGCTCACTTTCTTCAGGCCGGCAGCCTTCGCCTTGGCGGACTGCATACACCCACTCCATAAACCGAACCGCTGCCTGTCTTCTCCTGGGCAACGTACACAGACGTAGTTGCAGAACTTGAGATACGTTTCACTTCTTCAAGAGCGAAGGATACATAGAACGAGAATAAGATGAAGAAAATAAAGTAGAAATATTTTGAAAAACTATGAAGCAGGAGCTGTCGCCACTGGCACTGCACTTCTGCAGATTTGTTTGCATTAGTGTTCCCTTTCGGAGCAGGAGTTGTCGTCAATGGTCGCTGGCTCAAGAATGGCGCCGGTACTTTGCACGCTTGAGGCGCAGCGGAATGTCGTGGCAGGAGTGAAAGACACATGCAAAAGCAAGGTCGTCTAAATCTACTGGTCGCTTGGCAAAAGAAATGAAAAACTAAGTACTTACATGGCACTCTTCAAAAAATCTTAGCCGACCAACAAGCCCATTGACAAGCAGAAGAGGTGTGCTGCACACACAAAAGGGCTGAGGCGCGACCGCGAGAAGACAAAAAGTTGCTCATGCCTTTAGACGCGGGGCATTATTCTGCTGGCCAGTTTTTTGTTCTGACGGCTGCAGTCTTTTTTTACGGCGCCTGCTAGTAGAAGTCGCGTGGTGCGCTAATTCTAGCTGCCGTGCTCCATCTTCCCATTCGATTCGCGTTTTGGTTTGTTTCGGACGGCGACGGTATGAAAAGAAAGAGAGCGGTGGCGTCAAATTGTCTCGTAGGCCATCGATCGAGCCATTTGCACCCGCGTGCTGGTGTTCGCGTACGACGTGGTTCGGCCAAGCCCCGCCCTTTTGCACAGCCGGGCAGCGAACGCTTTCTTGCATTTCATTTTCCACCTGATCCTGAAGATATAGCCTCTTTCTTTCCATAGAAACCACGGCAACCATCCCGGCCGGCCATGTCTGCGTCAGCGTTTTTTCCCAAGTCTGCAGATTGATTGCTAGTTGTATTTTTACCGTCTCTCCGTGGGCAAGCGCGAAAGAGAATGAAAGGATGGCGCCTCTGACTGAACCGTCTGAAAAGACGAATTCGAGCCGCGGCTCTCTCTCGCAGACCTTCTCCGCACTCTGGGTTGCGGGTTCTTGTTTTTCTCAAGATCAAAGGGCCCCGGCAGATATCCGAGTTCCTCGGACTTTGTTCTTTTCCCGCGAGGCTCGTCGCCTTCTGATGCTGCCTCGAGCGTCTCTTGCTGCCTCGACGCTGTGTGCATCTTGCTCTGTTGAGGCACACTGGATGAGGACGACGCAGCCCCCGTCTGCAACGCGGCGGAGTGTTCGGCCTCGCCGAGCAAGACCTGTCGTCCACCACGCTGGCTCGGGGCCGCAGAGCCCGGAGGCGTTGAGCTAGCCACAACGAAAATGTTGCTGGCGTTCTTCTGAACTCCCTTAGAGGAGGTACTTCCACCCGAAACCTGGTGTGCGAGAATTGCAAGTGGAAATTGAGGCTTAGATAGAAGATCCATTGAGGATGACCTGCGAGCCATAATCCAATCCTCGTCGCTTCTCGAGAACGTACAACTACTGTGCCTGCTTTCATAAACTCCAAGTTAAGATTGATCATACCTCGTCACTTCATGAAATCCGAATATGACGGACGCTAGTAGAACAACGGTGCCTGTACCTGAGCCGCGCTAGAAGTGTCCGCCGGTTCCTTGTCGTTCTTTTTACTCCCATCCCCGAGCCGCAAGGCGGGAATTCCACCAGCCGCAGAAGACTTCACCCCCGTTTTGGCGGGAGACGATACCTCTGCCAGGTCATCCAGATGCGTCGATACCATTTGCAATACGTCCCGATTAATCATGACGCACAAATCTCGCAGATCCGCCATGGTCAGATCCCCCGGCAGCCCCTCAAACACGATGCACTCGAGCGCGTTCCCGCCCGGGCTAGCCGAGGTCGGGATGGGCGGTGGCAGCACGCCGCTGAACTCCCAGGACCGGAGTCCGATCGCCGGGGTAAACACCCACCCAACCCACTGCCGAAAGTCTTTGGTAAAGCCCTGCGACCGAAGCACCCGGGCGGGAAACGCGGAGGAAACGAGACAGGGCCCGTCCATCCACATCCCGCCAATGCGGGTCGCCGGCGCTTTCAGGGCGCGCATGCACGGAACCATCTGCAGGAGCAAGCGGGCCGCGTCGCCAACATTCACTTTGTTCTTCGGCTTGAAAAGAAGAGAAGACGAGGACGAACTCGAAGCCTCCGCAGTTGCTTGTTGATTTTCTTGATCGACACTGTGGAGATCCCACGAACGGTTCTGCAGCAAAGAAACGTAGAATTCATGGAGCTCCAAGCCACTCTCTTTGCCGTACAAACTTGCCAACGCGCTGAAACCCTCGTCGACGGATTGCCTCAACGCGGGTAAAGCAGTGTCGCTATGCTTCCAACTGATACCCAACCCTCCCAAGGTGCACCTATTGCGTGGTAAGAGTTTTATTCATTGAGCTTCGGAACTCGCTCGTCCACTGATGGTCGTTCCTAATGTCGTCCTCGTGTGCTGTCAGTCACGCTAAAAAAAATTCTGTGTATCTGCGAATTATTTTGAGTACTTCTACACACTTTCGTTTTATTCTTGCGTACTTCCTGAGGCACGCCAAGCATAGTACCAGCAGCAGGAGACTGTCAATTATACCTGGCCGAGCTGGGGCTACTGGGAATCTCAATCGGCGAGCCCGAGCTTGAGGTCGGCGGGCTGGGAATGGGATCCGCAACAGCCTCCGCGTTGCTCGCCGAGGGCTCCCCGTTGTCTCTGGGCGCAGCTGCGGGGGCGCTAGGACCCGCTGTTGTGACAGCTGCCACAGCAGCTTGTGGAAATACAACTGCGTCGGCCGGAACGTTGCCAACAGAGTCTTTCGGTTCTGGAATAGACAGAGGAGCTACAGGTACAGCCACGCTCTCCTCTGGCAGCATTGGAGGACCAGCAACACTTGACTCTTCGATGGTATCGTTGATGATGAACTGCTCTTCTCCTGCATCTTCCACGGGATCGACGCTGTCGTCTTTCGGGGGATAGGACTTGTCTCCCGCGGCGCAGTTCTGCACGACCTCCGGCGCCGCCTCTTGCGACACACAAAGTCGGTTTTTCTCCATCTTCTTGGGAGATGACGGCACCGGCTTCATGATATCCAATACCTCGTCATGTCGCGCCTGCGCTTGTGCGGCCAATTTTCTGAGATCATTGTGCGACCGTTTAGCTGCAGCGTTCGCCTCTTCATCGCTATCTTTTCGCTTTGTGAGAAAAGGCAGCACCAGAGGAGGGCGCACCGGAGCCCCCATCCTCAGCTGCTGCTTTTCCTTTGTACTGTTCTCACTTTTGCTTGCGGTAGAAAGGCGAGCCCCGCTACCCGCTTCCGCGGCCGTAGCGCTCGGTCTACCTCGCTCCGGGACTTGCTGCTCTGGTTGCACTCTAGTCACGACGTCTACTTCGGCGTGCGGCTGCGACAGACCACGTCCAACCTGCCCCTCCTGCAACGCAGTTGGTTTTTCATACAGACGTTGAAGGCCCATTCGCAGGCCAGAACTGGCCGAAGATGCGAAGGTCGCATTGTTCTGATCCTTGTCCACAGGCAGGGTCTGCGTCTGTCGAAAGTGGTGTATGGTGCAGTACATTTTTCCATGTTACGCCGGCTGGAGGTTGATCTTGATCGATCGATGCTGAAAGCATTCATAATGTAGAAATTATTCAGGAGATAATTTTTTCGATGTGCAATATATAACTTGAAGATCAAACCCGAGGATGGGATTTCTGTACCGCCGGCAGGGCTGGGGTCGTGTTGGCCCGAGAGATGAATGCCTGCACTTCCGGGCGCTGAAAGGCTTGCTGAATCTTCGAGCGAAGCCGCCCTGGCTCCTGCTTCTCGCCCGCCGCTGCCTCCTGTGCCCGCTTCTCTGCGAGGGCTGCACGTTTCTCTTGCAACGCCTGCCGGATCATTGCCACCCGCTCCTCGTCGTTCTTCGAACGGGCCTGTCCTGCTTGGCTCGGACGAGACTGTGGATTTTTTCCTGCACCATCTGCATCACCTCGAGAGGGGCGGGGACCACGACCATCTCCTCCGGCGCCGTCTTTGTCGTGCTCAGAATCGTCGTCATGATCTCTCCGCCTTTTGTGTGACAGTTTCTCTGGAACCGAAGCTACCGACTGGAGTCGGCGCTCTTTGTCTTTGTCTCCGCTGCTCGAAGACGAGGAAGAACTTGAGCTGCCTTCGGTACCCTTGTCCAAAACCCCTTGCGCACTCGTCGGCCCACGGCCAGCTTCGTCTTCAGCGACGGGCCTGTGGCGATTCGACATGTCCGAGGGTGCCTCGGAGGAGAGATCTCCATCGATGCAGATGGACCCTCCGTCACTACTGACTTCCATCATGTCTGATTGGCTACGAGGCTTTTGAGTGACCGGCGCCACAGGAAGCACGTTCAGTACGGGAGCTGAAATGCCTACACCAGTCGCGGCTGCAGGCGCAGCTGTGATCGAAGTCGAAACAGCAGGCGGTGTTACTTTAATACTAGCGCTCTTGGGCACTGCACTCGGGACAAAAGTGGACACCACAGCAGGGATCCTTGCAACTTCTACATTTGCTGTCTTTGCGGCTGAGGTTTTTTCCGGGACGCTCTTGCTGCCAGCAGCAGGCGCGGTAGAAGAATTATGTAACGGCTCACCCGATGTCGCACCGCTTGTCTTCGGCTTGTCTTTATCTTCTACAACAGGCATTGAAATTTTTTGTCGCTTGGCCCCTCCAGTGGGGCGATGGCCGTGGCTCGCAGAAGCCGTTGGCACTTGCAGCAGCTTCGAGGATGAAGGATGAAGGTCGGCGGGTTTTTTCTCTGCTTCTACTACGCGAGCGCGGTTTTCCGGCGATTTCTCTCTCGGAAGTGGCGGGACGGCAAGGGAGAACACGGGTACTACTGCCCGACTGGCACTCGCCGAGGACGAAGTATTCGACTCCGACCCGAGAATAACGCCACTGCTTCCCTGGAGGCCTTCCTTTGTCCCCGCCTGCGTATTTCTCGGAATCGGTTTGAATGCACCGGCATTCTCGCTCCTAGACGGCTCGTCACCACGGCGTGACCGCGAATGGTATCTTGTCCCTCGGCCCGGAGATCGCTTCGCCCCTCGATCGGACCGCGAGTCAACATACCGGCCGCGCGGCTCCTTTCGCCGGTCCAAAGTACCCTGTCGCTTTTGTTCCTTTTCACGACGATGTCTGCCGGTTCCCGAGCGGGGAGGATGATGTTCGCGCTCCGGTCTGCCTGTTCTCTCCGTGGTCACCACCAAGGATTTTTGCCTTTCGGCCGCATCAATATAAGTGGTCGTATCCTCGTTCGCCGCTGCTCTCGCTTTCTTCGCTCCATCATCTTCCTTCTTTGCCGTGGTCGTCGCGTCAACTGCTGGAGCAGGTACGGATTTGCGCTGCACCACGCGCAACGTGTCCTGATTTTTTGATGAAGACTTGTCACCAACCGACTTTCGCGCTGATGGTGACGCTTCGCTGAGCGACTTGCGGTCGACCGTGAAGACGCGGGTCTTCTTCCCGGAACCGCCCAGTGAAACCCGCTCTGGAACAGCGCCTGCTCGCTCCCCTGCGGCGCCAATCGATTCCTCGTGCTTGCTCGTTCTTGGCGAAGCAGCTCCCGCTTCCCCTTTGGATTCTTCTCGGATTGTTTTCATCGGACGATCATCACGCGAAACAACTTCGCTACGGTCCGGCAGAAGCACTGAAGCATCGTTGTTCTGCGTCGTAGTCCCGACGTTGCTCGCGCTCTCGTCCACACCGGCACTTCTGGCGAGATCGGGGAGTGAAGATGCGGGTCGGTGTTGATGCATCAAGACCGTGGTATTGACGGGAACTAGTGCTGGGGAGCCGTCGGCCGAGGGGAGCATCCAGCTGGGAGCCTTGGGAACGAGCTTCTTCAGCGACGAGGACGACAAATGGTTCGACGCTCCGCCGCCCGCCGGCAGTTGCGCTTCTGAGACCACGCTGAAGGCTGAAAACGCCCGTGGCGGCGCGGGGGGCGGAGCGACTCGCAACGAAGGGGGAGAATCTGCCGGCGCGAGACGGGGAGACGAGAGCGCACTGGATGAAGACGGGTTTGTGCTGGGCACGTGGAGGATCTCGGGTTCCGGAATGGAGTCATAGATTGCGCGCATCTCACCCGCATCTTGGTCCATACTAGCAATCGACAGCTGCGACCTCGCACGGATTCCTTGCAGCTCAGCATCCGCAATCGGCGTGGGCGGTTTAATCAGAACGTCGCCGTTGTCTTCCGGTGGTGGAGGCGGCGGAGGTGGTGGTGGAGGCACTGCTGTACCGTCTGCGCTTTTCTTGCGGCGCGCAAAATCGTCCGCCGTTGCATTTTTCTGTGCGTGATGAACTTCTTCTGCGTTTTTCGCTGGACTGCTTCGATTTGTCCCCGGGCCACCGCCGCTGCCCCTGACATCTTTCACCAGCAAAAGATGACTTGGACTCTTGCTCACTGATGGACCCGTTCGGGAGGCGCGGCCGTCACCCTCAAAGATCGAACTGCTCCGACTCCGCGGCGACTCGTTCGCTCCACTACTGGACGAAGCCGCCGACGGTGGCTCTTCGGCCACTGCCTCGACCATTGCCAGTTGCGGAGCTCCGTCTTTGCGCTCTTTATTCCGCTGTCGGTGATGTTCCTCCGCCTCCACGGCCACGGACAATGCGTTGGACGGCGAGCTGTGGCCTTCGCGAGGCGAGATGGACATCGAACCGTCGGTCGCCCCGCGATTTCCGGCCACTGCCACCGGGTTCCCGGGCAGCCGTGCCTGCCGCTGACGCCGCCGCGTGCCGTTTTTGTGCAGCGCCTTGAGCTCCTGCAGTCGTGCGTTCGTCCTCTCGGCATTGCTCTGCTGTGCCTGTGGTCCCCCTCCCCCAGGCGCTGCTGCAGTCGAAGATACTAGCGCACTCGAAGTAGTACCACTTTGCAGGCGAGAAGATGTTGGTGTGGTTCCGGTACGCGGGAGAGAGCCACTCCTCCTATCGCCCCTCGTCTTTGCGAGGTGATGTCGGCGCAGCTCCTCCTCCCGGCCGCGGGTACGAGTGGAAACGGCGCCCGGCCGCAGGTCCTCGTCGTGGCGGTTGGTCCTCTGGCGGTCACGGTGCCGAGACCGCGACCTTCCGCGGCGCGAGCGCTGCTCCTCTCCGCCCTTGATACTTTCGGATCGCTGCTTGTTGTTCGTCCCAAGCAATGCAGGGTCGTTATTTGCTGCGCGAGCCCGCTCATCTTCCTGCTTTGCTAACTCGTTTTTCCGCTCTGCCTCAGCTCGGGCCAAGCGCTGCTGCTCGCGCCGCAACTCGCGGTCCCGCTTCGACGGGTGTTTCAGTTGAATTTTGCCGTCTGCGGATCGTTGGAGTGGCTGTGCGTGGTGACCATTGTTCATCCCAGCAGAAGCGTTAGCATTGCCAAACAAGGCTGCACTGCTTGACGACTTCGCAGGTGCGGAACTCCGCTGCTGAACATGCTGCCCGTCGGCTGGCGCGCCCTTATGGTCCGCGTTTTGGTTACGTTTCGGCGACACGTCCAAAATGGAGCGCTGCTCAACGACCAGCATACCGCGCTTCGCCTTGGCAGCATCCAATTTCTCCCGCAGAATCTTCTTCTTTTGCGTCTGATGATCCGGCTCCTCCTCATCGTGCTGTTGGTCCCTGTTGATATTTCCCGACGCGGACCTCTCCTCCATATTACCTCTTGTTATTTTGCCCTCGCTGCGCTGTTTGTTGCTGTGGTCCAGCATCACCGCGTTCTTGTTGAACGCTGCGCTTCTCTGCGTAAAAACTTCAGCGGGCGTCGATCCTTGTTGCGCAGAGGACACCGAAACACTTGCCGACCCGGGAACGGTGGCAGGAGGAATGTTCAGTGCGGTTTTCCCCCGCTGGAATTTTCCTCCTGGCTGTTCATTATCCTTTTCGACCGCATGCAAAGCGGCTTCCAAACCTGCAAAGTGGCAAAGAAAATCCTACTCCTAGTCCTAGAGCGTCAAGAATGTAGATAAGTATGCTGCAAATTTGCCCACACGAGGAGAGGAGTAGAATTCACAAAGTTAGACCACGGAAATTCAATAAATTTCAATGTCGTAATAAGCAATACTCTGATCCGGTTTTGTGGTGATGCTGAATTTGAGCAAGGCGCGCTGGCAGGCGTTGCGAAACTCCACGTCCGGAACCAGCTTTAGGTAGTCCCGATACTTGTCGTTGCTGACGATCCGCGCCCGTAATTCTGCGTCGTCGCGCCACTGCAGGCGCTGCATCCACTTGTCGCCAAGCCCCTGGGTGAGGTCCTTGGGGTGCACGTGCTTCATGACGCGGGAAAACACAAAACTGTCCACGTCGGTGCCCGCGGGGGCGGGGAAGATGCCGCCGGTCACGTTCCGTGTGATGCGGTTGAGGAGGATCGCTTTCTCCCGCTGGTTCTTGTGTTCCTTTTCCACCTCGGTCCACGTGGGCTTGTACACCACGACCTCGATCAATACGCGGCTGCCGAACATGTGCTGGATCTCCTTTATGATCACGTCTAGGTACTTCAGCTCCCCGGCCGTTTTGGTGTTGGTTCCATTGCGGTCCGTCGTGGTCCACCGCATCACATTCGGCGCGTCGATGATCACGCAATCCACTTCCTCCACGCTCCGCGCGTTCTGGTTGGTTGCAGCAGGAGCCGCGGACGAACCAGAGGCGGCAGCGCCGGGAGGTGCAGCTGGTCGTGCTCCTGGCGCAGCCTGAGGACCTCCAGTAGAAGGGCCTGTCATCTGCCCCCGCTGCTGGTGCCGCTGAAGTACTTGGCTCTGCTGCAGCTGCTGCTGGAACACCTCCATCTGCTGCTTTTGGATCTGCTGTTGCATTTGCAGCTGCTCCATCTGCATCTGGGTGATCGGCATGTGCTGCTGCGGATTTTGGAAAGTCACACCGAACCTGTTGTTGAGCGTTCCTGCTCCAGGTGGACCACCTCCAGCACCGCCTATGGAAATAGGCCCCGGTGGGGGGAACGGGATCGCACCCATGGCGGGCGGAATAAAGAACGGCGTCTGGTGTTGCAGCTTCTTTTGTTGCTGTTGCCCCCCGCCCTGGCCGTGCGCGGGCGTTCCGCTACTTGTTGCAGCGTTGCTCGAAGCAGAGCCACCCCTAGTTCTCTGCTGCAGCCCAGGCGATGGAGAAGATGCGGACATAGACAGTCGAGTCTCCTTTTGGGCCTGCATCTGTTGCTGGTAATGCCGGGCCTGGTGCTGCTGACTCTGTTCCTGCCGATTGTGTTGGTGCTGGTGCTCCTGATGACGGCTTTGGTTGTGGTTCTGGTTTTGCTGCTGCTGCTGCTGCTCCTGATGACGGTTCTGGTTGTTCGTCCGGCGATGCTGGTTCTGGCTGCTAAACAATGGCTCCGGGAGGTTCAGCTGCTTCCTGGTATTAAGAGGGTTGCTGGTGTTCGTCGTGTTATTCACACCACGAGCACCCCCTGCTCCCCCACTTTTTTGCTGCTGGTCGTCATTCCTGTGCCGAGGAGTCACCCTGTGGTCTTTCGCAGTGTCCACGGGGAAATTCTTGGGCCGGAGCGGAATTAACTGCGGACCCCTCGGCGAAACATCCGACGGGACAGCGCGCGGGCTTACATAATCATTCGCATGGGAGTTATCGTTACGGGGTGGCTGACTCGTTTTCTTTGTTCTGTTCCGCTTCTTTTTTGAATGATTGTTTTCTTGCTGCGCGTGGTCACCCACGTCCTGCATGTTTCCCTTGTTGTTGCCAGCATTCGTGGCTGTTCCGCTCGCTGGTGCTCCTCCCATGGGCTTTTTCAACTTCCCGACGTACAACCCTGTTCCCAATGAAGACGACGTTGCGCCCGCGGCGGAAGAAGAGGAAGAGGGCGGCGGTCTCATATTATTTTTCGACGACGAAGACGCATTGTGCATCTGTGCGATTTGGTATTGCTCACTCAGTTCTCCGTAAGAGAGCGGCTTGCTCGTCGTCGAATGCTCGTAGTTCGGCCGCCGTTGCGTCGGCGCTTTCGCAGCGGCGGACCCGTTCTTGGTACTGCGCTGACTGTGGTGCTGATCTCCTCCACCTCGCGACGTGCCATTCCGTGCCTCCTTTCCGTCCGGCTTGCGGACTTCGCCGGAGCTTTTCGTATTGTTATTTTTCTGGTTCTTCATCGGTGCTGAGAAGCAGCTTTCGTTCCGTGTAGATGCGGATAATATGTCACTGTCGCCACTCGGTTGGAAGGAAGATGACGCAGTCACTTCCGAATGAAGCTGCGAGGCCACCCCCTCTCAGACGCCAATCCCTGCGTCTTACAAATCGCGCTAACGCAATTACACTAGCCTGTATGCAGGAAGGCAAGGGCAAGGGGAAGCGCACACGATATTATTCATTGCCATTAGAGACCTTCACAAACGATTTGGCTTACTACAAATGTAGCGCCGCGAAGTCAGGAGTCAGACTAGGTCGTGTTGGTGTTCATTTTTGTTGTGACCTCGCACATCTCTCTGCGCTGTGCCAGTCAGTTGCGCAGTGCTCATGACTGCGACTGCTTCACTAGCACGAGCCACTACACAAACAACGCACGTCACTATTTCACAACACGGCTTATCAATGACAATGGAATCACGCACATCTACTACAGGTCCACGAACTTTTCCTAGCAAAACGAAAACACTTCCAATATTTATTTTTCAGTCGCGCTTTCGCTCTGCTTTCATGGTGGAGCTTTTGGCGGGGAGGGAAAGGCATGGGCAGCTAGGCATGCCTATCAAATCGTGATATAATGTAACTATAATGACTTTCTATCTTTCTACTAAATTCAAAATCAATAAACACGTGCTGTGTCGATTCTCCATAGCCCTGTTATTGCGTGTAGCTAGTTCAACTTCAACACATTGGGGCGGGAGCGAGGGCCTCGGGCTAGCTGTAGCTACAGAATTCAGAACGTCAGTATTTTACAAAGATCTTCATGCGTGGAGAAAAGACTTCATCTTCATTTCAAATTCATAAACTATTTTGCGCATGTCTTACGCTACTTCAGAAATTTTCTGTCTACTAATCAAGTAGACGTCGTATCTCATTTTGGCGCGAGCGGATCCGCCATTCAATGTAAGTAGGTTCGCTTCAGCGAAATTTATTGTTTAACTTCTCCGGTCAACGTCAACCAGGTGAATGTCGCGCTCCTCGCCGGAAACTTCAGGCCATAAGGTCACTTTAGATCTTCATCTGATTTTCTTTGAGAGGTGGATCGGGTTGTCTTTTTTCGCAGTGAACAATGCCAGCTGCAGCCAGTCCTCGTCGCCATCACATCAGGCTCAAGCTTGCTAGTTCATCAGAAGTGTATCTATCAATATCAAGAGGAGCTCAAGAAATTTTTTGAATCTTAGTCGCCTACCGTCTAGCTCAATTTCACTCTTTTCTCACCCAGGACACGCGATTGGCTCCCGGCGAAATCCAGGCGAATCCAGGCTATTCATGGGGATTAGTACCCGCGACCACGGGAACCGCAGAGTTCACAAGTAGGCAAGAGCGGCTCTTGCTCGCTGCATCTAAACTGTTTGCGTTTCTGAATCACGCAGCGCAAGACATTAAGATTCAAAATTTTAGTTCTTGGAAAAGGTAAAGAAACTAAGAAAATGTGGTAAAAGCTCTTTGAATTGTCTCGGCCGAAATACCAAATTGATAAGGAGGCAATCCCCAGGCAAGATCTAGTGTGACACGTATCGCACACTAGGAAAAGTTCTAAGCTAAAGTTGATCATGGAAATTAAAATTTTCTTTCTCAGCTCGAGCTCAATAGCAACCAAAATAAATCTTTTGTCGATGTTTGTGAATATCTCTATTTATCAAGCATCTGTCAAACTCAAATCAAACGAAGGGAAATAAACTTTGCAAAAGTAGCTCGTCTAGAAGAAAGGAAATCATACATCACTTCAGTACTCGCCTAAACCTTGGTTTCATTATTGATGTTGGTGAAACGATTTCCGAACTGCTGAGTTTTGTATTTGTTCATTTCTTTCAATAGCGAGGGAAGAAACACACACCGAGTCGTGTGTTAGACAAAACGGAAAAACGTTGTTTGTTATTAAAAAATGATACTTGTTCTGTTGAGCGTCAGTTTCTCCTTATTTCGGTGACACTTCAAGACACGAAGATCGAGTCGTCTTCTCACACTTCATTTCCCGTCTCGGGCTCCACCTGTTGCACTGCCGTGTAGCCCGACAGCGCAGCAGACACCTGCTGCGTCAGCTTATACAACGCCGGCACGAGGGTCGTCATCAGAATCGCGCCAATCATGAAGAACAGAAACACAAGCGTGATCAACGAGAAGAAAGCCATCTGGTTTTTTTATTTTCACCTCCGAGATCGCAAACGGGAATTACCTCGACCTCGAGTTACTCAAAATTTTGCCTGCACGTAGTTCGAAGCAAAGAAGCGCAAAGACACTACAAGATTTGTTTTTGCATATTTGTGTATTAAGTATCACAAACTACAAGAAACCTAGAACAAGATAGAAGTAGTACCAGCAACCAGAGAATATTGCGGCAGTCCCCGGCCGGAATGGTGAAAGTGTAGGCGGTGCCGGCCGCGAGCCAGATGCAGGCGCCAAACGTCGCAACGGATTCCGCGACAAACGCCAGGCGGAAATTCTCGTAGAACTCGTAAATCGTGTGGATCGCCATCGTCGTGGGGATAGACCCAATGACGCCCGTGACCAACCAGGCAACCATCATGTTCGTCTGCGGGCAGCTGGGGCCGCCCCCGCCGTCTCCGGCGTAAAACAGGGCCAACGCAGCGCAGATCAAGATGTCGCCGATCACCGTGTAGAAAACGAGCTTCACGAACATCTGCCGCAACCACTTCGTCATTCCCTCGTGCTCGGGAACCGCGAACTTCACGCTCTTCTCGCGAACGGATTCCTGCACGAAGCCCGGCGCAGTCCGCGTGTGACCCAGATTGGCCGCCCCGTACGGGGTCTGCTGGCCGCGCGAAGCAGGATTAGTGGAGGCCATTTGTTCGGTGCTCCTGAAGATCTACTGCTCTGACCGTGGATGTGAGAGAGAAACTTTACACCCCGTCGGAATACCGAATGAAATGCTCCCAGCTACAGCACTAGTTCGTACAGCTTGAACTTCTTCTATTTTTCGAGATTGTTTTCGACTTGGCGAATGAAATCTTCAATAGCAGGCCTTTTATCAATCTTGAATTCCTTCATCACTCTATCAATTTGAGTTTCATCACGACGAATGGTTTCTTTTCTGTATCACTCGGTCTCTGCGGGATTTTCAAGCACCTGGCACCCTCGCCTTCTTTACTCGCTCTTTTCGACGCAACCCGAACAAGAACAAATATCGACATTTTTTTAGCATCAAGATGTTTTTCCGAACAAACGGCGAACTGCAAACTTCTATACTGTGCGACTCTTATTTTTCCTTTTTTTTCCTCCGCAAAATACAAGTTCCATCGATGTTATTCGTGCGAAATGCAGCTATGCGCCAACAAAAAATCTTTTTCTAAAATTCTTACCGATCAAAAAACCAATGAGGATAAGCATAGACACTGCAAAATAATCGAGATATCCAGTCGAGGTCGTTTTTGTTTGCGAAGATCTGAAGAAGAGCAGGGAGATTGAAGCCTGCCTAGTAGTCCAACAAACCAATATCGATACTCAGCCCATCAATTCCGTGGGCACGATTTCGATTCCTGGACTTGGCCAAAATTGTGCTAAAAAAAAACAAACTTAAGCCGCAGCCATTCTCATTTTCGCAGCGGTCTTCGTGGCTGCGGTAGACGATCTGCGAATGCGCTGGAGGGGGGAGAAATTGAAGTTGTGCCATGCAATACACAGGTCACAAAATAAATTGAAGCAAATACGTGGATTGGCCGCCTCGGTTCGCCTCAGACGTCGACGAGGAAAGCTTCCCGATTCTCATATTACCATGGCTACTCGTACATACAAATACAATTTATCATAACGCCTCGTGAAAACCTCCTCGCGAAAACTACAGCCTGGACGAAAATCGAATAACTCCCTGCCTGATGCGAAAAACCAAAATGGAATAGCCACCTTGCTAATTTTAACATAATCGGATACCAACTCTATCACTCTCGTCAACAAAGCTCCGGCTGCCCCTGCCATTCTATTAACTTCTTCGACTAAGCGCCTGCAAGCTCAAAGGGATCCTTGAGGCCCGGGAAAGCACCACCTGCAATCCGCCCGAGGGGACGACCTGAGCCCAATACGCTGCTCCACCAAGCGCGGGCAAGAAATTTGTCGTGGTTGGCCGGCGACAATAAGAAGTTCCTCCGCAGCAGCTGCATTTCCAGCTCTTTTCCACCAACCAAGGTGCGACGTTGCCAAAGCCAAGGGACAGATAAGTCACTACTTTACCTGGGCGGTGCCTATGGGAAGCCTATCATACGTAAGTATCTGCCAAACTCTTCATGTGGAACCACCGTCCTGCGTCTTCCCCTCGAATTTTGATAAACCTGTTTTGGAGTTTATTTGATTTTAACTTCTTCTTGTAAGTAGTTTATCATATAGCGAACCTTAATCGTCCGATCGACGTTAGAACGATCGCGTCATCGTAAGAGGAGCCACATAGACAGAGCATATGCCGGAGCCAGCTTTTAGCATCCTCGCCAACCCGAGGACAACCAGGGGCGCAGGAGGATCTGACAACTGCAAAGTGCATCTGCACTCGAACTAATGCCTCCGCTTTTGGCCTGATATTTTGCCAGTCATTGAAGGATCTTCAAGGAAGGCACTTAAGTCCTGGCTCTGAGGCGCTTCTAAAAATTAAAATGCCATAGCTAAAGTAAAAAAATTTAAATTCTACCGGACATAATAAGTACCAAGCTGCAGGCTTCTGGTATTGAGGCTTGGCGTCCTTTGCGTCTTCAAAAAGAAGTTGCTTTTGCCAGCCAGCCTCGGTGGATCGATCTTCGAAAAACCACTCCCCCGTGACGCCATTCAGGAACCAATGTTTGCCCGTCGTTGGCGAGCTACATCGGTGCCAATCGAATTCGGGAAGAAGACGCTTTGCTTCGAAAAACCAACCCTCTGCGTTCGCACGAAGAATCTGAAGCGCATATTGGAGTGGAACTTCGGTAAGAGCTGCGAGTTTTTCGCAAATCGTCCGCCGCTTTTCTGCTGGAAGTGCTTTCTTGACACCTGCAAAAGTTTCAAATAGGCACACGTCTTTTCCCCTTTAAACAATAATAAAGCAAACTGGCTCTGCGTCTACTTATCAAGATTCCTAATAAATACCGGTAGCGTATTCAGCGTACCCAGAAAGAAAAAAAGAACAAACCGTCAGAAAGAGGGACTCGTGGTTCCCCGAGAGAATGAAGAGGGTCTTCCTCAAGTATGAGCTCGAGAAACGTGACCCATCTTTCCTGCAATCGGGTTGCAACGCTGTAATCTCGAGTCCCAACGATCACCAGAAAAGCGTAGAATTCCACAGCGAGAAACCGAACGCACTGCCAAAGCTTTTCCTCCGTGCGCGCTCGATCCCTCTCGGTTCGACATGCTTCGGCCACTAGCGACGAACCCTGTGTGTTTTCGTGGAAAATGACGATACGCAGATCTTTCTACGACAGGGCGAGTGCGGATCACAACGGAATAAACGGACCCCGCCTCCGCCACTCATTGCGATATAGAAAATCTTCCGAATTCAATTCAAGGTCTGAGGCAGGATTCGCATTGCGCAAGTGGCGCAAGCCAAGAATAAAGCACGTCAACGTAAGGGTAAGCTGTCACTAATTAATATGACGATGAAATTGTATAGTACGGTCGTCTCCTCTGACTTGGTCTTGACTGGGCGCGCAACAGCGGTTTGTTCTGCCTCCACGGGTTCTGGAACCGGTTCTGGGGGTGGTGCGGCGCGCTCCACCCGGGCGGCTGGCTTACTGGGCACAACCGCTTCCGGAGGTGGAGGCGGCGGACCAGTTGCCGGTTGCGGAGGAGGCTTACTCGTCGGCGCGGTTCCTGCTGCGCTACGTGCTGCAGCAGCGGCGGCCACTTTCGCCGCGGTTGTCCGCGCAGGAGGCGGTGTGCTGGGGGCGGGAGGTTGTCGTGCGGCAATGCTTGCGGCCGTGGGGGCAGACTCCGCCACGGAAACGCTCGTCGGGCTGAGAAGCTGCTGCTCACTCAAGTCCTCTTGGGTAGTGTTTTCCTTTTCCAGCGGGGACCCGTGTAGAGTGGCCCCTGCCAGTCGCATCGCGTAATCTAGTACCGTATCTCCGACGTTCGCCGAAAGAGCTTGGGGCATGCGGTCGCCAAGAAATGCGACAAAATGAATCAGACTCAGGGTGTCCACCTGGCTTGGCTTCTTGGCACCCTTTCCGTGTTGCGAACAAAACGCGCCCCACTGCATGCTCGCACAGTCTCTCTGTTGTGATTGCATTTTTTTCCATGTTGGGATTGATCTCGAAGCTGCATTTCAACTCATTCGAAAACAAGTTGATGGGCCGCTCAGGGTGTTGCAAATTTGTATGTGCCTGTACACTCAATCTATGAACAACAGTGAACAAAGTGAATTTTACCACTAGCTCGTTCACATACTTTCCCAGGTCGAGTTCGTGCGCGAAGAGCGTTCCCATGACCCAGTTTTCTAGCTCGTCCGTTTCCCCAACCGGAGCAGCGATATTCAAAATTTCAGCCAACTTCGTTGTAATCGTCTCCAGGATATTCTTGCTGTAAACAAACTTCGGGCCGCTTTTTTTGTTCGCTGGCTTTGTTTTCACTTCCTTCTCCTTTTTCTTCGCCGCGGCTTTCAACGCCTTTTCGCTCTTCGCGACCTGCTGCGCCGTTCCGATGTCTTTTGCCGTGCCCGCGCCGGCGGACGATTCCAGCGGGCTCGACGCGTCTTGCGGACTACTGCTGGACGAGGACACCAAGCCCTCCTTTGCGGCACCAGCAGACGACGCGGTCGTTGAGGTTTTGCTCATCGAAGAAGATGAAGCTGGTTCCCGCCCGCCCGCCTCTCCCTGTTCGGCGTCCTTCTTCTTTTCTTTCGACTTAGGCACGACCGGAGGCTCCTCGTCCTTCTTTTTCGTCACCACGGTCATCATTTTCATGAACTGGGCCTCCCTCTGGTGCAGCTGCCAGATTTCGAACGCCTCGCGGAACCGCTGGTAGCGCTTTTTCAGGTGCTCCAAATTTTCCTTCGACGCCACCGCCTGCACGGCCTGGACCAGATCGTCGTCCAGCTCCCCGTTCTCCAGCATCAGGGCGATGTTTTCCACGACCTCCTCCACGTCCTCCTCCGTCTTCTCCCCCGCCGTTACCTTTACCTTCAGCATCTCCTCCACCTCGCTCAGCATCGCCGCGTCCTGCTCCCCGTCGGGAAGCTCCGCCACGTCGATCAGCGCCACCGCCTTGCTCTCCTCACTAGCCGCACTGGTCGAGGCCTCGCCTTCGTCCGACCCGAAGGCTTTGCGGTTGTCGTAGAAGTCACAGCACGCCGTGCACACCGGACAAATGTCCGCATTCTTCCGTCGCACTTCGTCCAGCGTCGTAAGCATCACGCGGTTCAACGCGGTCTTGGGCATGCGCCTGAAAGACAAAGAATTATGGGGAAGGGTGGAAAGACTTTTCCATAAGTATTGGTATTCATCAAGTGGTTATACTTTTACCACCAAATCTCGATCTCCGAACCTGTACTTTCACTCACAAAAGTAAACCAAAATCAAAGAGGTGTGCAATGAGAGTCGATAGTGGTAAGTACTTGAGCTGCTTTAAAGTTGTCTCGCTTTGTTTTTGGAACCGCTGTTGGCACATCTCCGAGCAGAGCCACGTGAAATGGTGCGAAGAACTGCAAACGTAGGTGTAGGGGCATTCCTCGACCTTCTTGCTCTTCTCGCAGTGCCAGCATTTGACGCTCTCGCCTCGTTTCGAAAGGACCACGCTGTGGTCAATATCACCGACTTCGTCGCCTTTTGCGAGGTTCGGATTCGCGTCGTGGTTGTTCTTCGCGAGCACCGTGTGGCTGTCCATTAACTGCCGAAATCGCCCCATTTTTGCACCGTTCTGGATGCGCGGACCGCCAGTCGGAAGTTTGAGCTGATAGATACAACGACACTCTTTATTTGTTAAAAAAGCTAATTTAGTTTCTAGACTGCTCTACACTAGTACTTTCTGTCTGAGTCTGACGGTGTAAAAATAGAGTTCTTCAGAGCTGCTGAGCATGCAAATAGATAGATAGCAATGCACTGCGGACGAACTAAAACGCTAGTACCTCGGGGAGATGTGACCTGAAACAAAGACAATGAGAGTGAAAGATTTGACTTTATGTATTGTTAGTCAGCTCGAAAGCACAAATTCTACGTTTTATCGAACAAGACAAGCCAAAGCACAGTACTAAAAAAAGCAGTTTGAGTTTATTTCCTTTGTCATAAAGATTCTCTCAGAAGACACACATGCTGGCCTCTGTTTGGTTTTTTTTTTCCTCGGTCTGGAAAGTTGAAGTTCAAAAAACTACGACAGAAAGCTTGATGAAGATACAGATGCGTCTGGAACTGTGTCAGGCACTAGACGCTCAAGCAAGGGCAGTTGAAAGTGCAGATACCGGTGCTTATCATGTTGTACTTTTGGTTTTGAAACATGATATGACAAGAAAGTAGCCGTTTGAGCCTGTGCCTGTCTGATGAAGACGGCATCACAGAAAACAGATGAGAAGCATCCTCCAGCTTCAAGCACAGGAACATCACCTTGCTAGCTGCAACAGCAGTTTCGCTCACGCATCAAGTTATGGCTCTTAGACGCTGCGACGTATCATTTAGACCACTTCGAGCTCGACACAAGCGAAATCGCGGCGACGGCCGCAATGTAGTACTTATTTCACTCCTCGTCACAAAATCTACTGCAAGCAGAGCAGATTGGTGGAATATACTTGTTTTGGCATCAATCGCGTGCTTTACCTTTCCTCGCGGGAAAAAGTCCGCACAGTCAGCAAAGTATCATGCGTTGAATATGAACTGAGAACGACATTGACTGAGAACATCCTATAGTATGATTACACACGGGTCCAGGTTTATGTTCGACACTCATAATTAACGTACGACCAAAAATGACATGGACATCATGAAAAAGAAACAAATCATGCTCTGGGGATGAGGAATGGGGCCAGATCTAAAAGTAAAACTAAAAGCACGTCGAAAAGTACTGATTTTGCATGTAGGCATCGGATGACAAGACGTATACTTAGCACTCAGAGCGAACCGGTGCGGTCTAAAATTTGCGTTCGTCGCAACAGGCCAACGATTCGCTGTTCCACGTCACGCCAGCCGTTCAGCCCGGCGAGCGATCCAGGCGTTCGGTCCTGGCGGTCCTTCATGCACAGAAATTTGTAAATGTCGCCGAGAATCCAAGTCGATGCTGTTTGCGATTTTTGCTGGAAAGCATTCAAAGGTGACGACGGTGGTGGATATGGGACTCTTTTTCCGGAATAAGTTATTGTGTCGGAACCGGACTCCAAGGAAAGGGACCTTCGATTTATGGTGCGACAGGACGCTGGCGAATTTGCAGAAAGAATAAGCGCTGATGAAGTTGTAGAGCCAGGCGGTGACATCAAAGCATGCTGCGACTGCGACACCGTGTCCTCCATGTCCAAATGTGTAGTCTGGCTGTTGCTGTCAACTCCGTTTTTCGGAGACTTCTGGAGTTGCTCCTCTCGTTCCGTATTGCTGGTCCTCCTTGAGTTTCCTAGCTCGTGCATCGACGGCACGAGATTCATCGCTGTCGTGGTGGGTTTGGCATTGTGGACAATTTTCCCACCGGTCGAAACGACGCCCGGTGGTGTGAACATAATTTGGCCGCAGCTGCTGCTCCGTCTTGCGTATTTTCTCGAGGACCCCGGCGATGCTTTTGGTGCTGCTGTAACCTGCATGGTCTCGTGAATCTTCTGCCGCGTTTCCTGCGCCACGAAGGACCACAGATACTGCTCGAGAACGTCCAGAATCCGGTTTACCAAGTCCCGGTGCCGCCTCGAGCACGCTAAATGCATCACATTGGTGCGATACAGAACGTCCTCACTGCAAATCATGCTTACAAGTGAGGACGCGTCGTCCGAGCAGCCGTCTTCATCATCGACGACCAAGCCGCCGGCGTGGTCCAAAATTGCGAGGCTCAAGGTCTCGCTTCGGCTGCAAAGCAGTGCGGTGATGCCGCGCTTCGAGATGTGCGTGACCACGTGGGCGGGAAGCTGGTCGAGCAGCTGAAAGCACATCTTTAGCCCGTCTTTACTCGCGGAAAATTTCTGGCAGACCAGCATGAAAGCGGAAAGTCCAGAAGTACTCTCGACGTAGGCAAAGAGGTCGTCTTGTGCTTCGGCGACAGGCCGCAGATCCTGTGTTTTGTCGCGGCTTTCTTCAGTTGGTGCTTTTGCGGTACGTCCTCGCAGCCTTGCGCGATAGTCGATGAGTGCGGCCGTCAAATTTTCTAGATAACGCCCAGAAAACTGCTCGGGCTGCCAGACGCCATTCTGCTGCTGCCTGTTGTTCGCGATCGTTGCGCCCGTGGAGGTCGTGCAAGCCAAACGAAACAGGAGGTTCGGGGAGGTTTCGAACATCTCTGCATTCTGGAAAACGTACTCCTGGCAACAGGCGTAGCCCATACGATCGACTTCGAGTAAAGAAATGCGGTCTTTGAAGTTGGTCGATCGAATCACGAGCCGCAGGTAGCACCATCTTTGCTTCGACGCCTTACGACTTCTGGCGGGGTTAATACCTGTGGACAAATTCTCCCGGGCTCCCTCGCCTGATCCTGAAACACTCGGCTCGCATAAAACAGTACCCTCCTCGACACACGAAGTGCTACGAGTACTACTGCCTGTAGAGGAGTCGCGCGAGGACGGTGTGGCTGTGCTAGTAACCGAACCCCGAGAGACTGCGCGGCGCGCTGCTCCGCATGGGGACGACGAGGGGCTTGCAGTCCTCGACGGAAACGTAGTTGCAAACAGGTTGCTCGCATCTGTCGGGTCGGTATCAGACGTCAATGCCAGGCTGGAATTCAACAGCGTTGTGAAAGGTCCAGGAATCTCATCGGCATGATCTCGAAGTAGAGCTAGTCCTAGTTCGTCTTGTTTCATCCCAACAGACGTCGTCCCTCGCTCATCTTCAGACTGATTGATGATCGTCGACGAGAGCGTGGCTTTTTGCTCCTCGTCCACTGGAGTACATGCGAGCGCGCTGTCACTTTGCGGGGCGGGGTGCACGAAATCAGCAGGGCGGACCAATGTCGTTTCACTGTCGGTCGACTTCATCTCGTGGCCGGCATCGTTCTTCACCCTGATGTTTTCATCAGTGTGATTAAACACAATCAAGAGTTCCAAGCCGCAGTTGCGGTCGCCGGCATAGTCCACACCTGTGTGATTCTCTTTCTGAAGTTGCTCCTGTGCAGTTCCTTCAAGGCGAACGGCGTCGGTGTCGCGTAATTCTGTCTCATTCTCGTCTTCTTCCTCCGCACTTCCTGCGTCCATGTGACAAGGGTCGGCGTTCTCGAAATCGGACCCGGGGGAAGAAGACTCGTCCAACAACTCAATAACTGGCTGCCTCGTGATTGGAATAGCAGTGATAGCGAGTAAGCTTTTCGGGACTCCATAGACCCGCTGCAATTCATCCTTCAGAAAGGATACGGTGACGAGATTAGTGCTGGTCTCATCAACACTTGATGCCTTTTCTTCGCTACAAGTACTACGAGCAAAATTCGTCGGATCTTGCAGAAGAGTCAAAGAATGTCCTACATCCCCCGTTAAATCGAGAAATCGGATCGTTGTGACCATGGTAGAGGCGCTCGACTTAGAAATACAGGAAATATGCGCAAGTTTGATATAGATATTCGGTCGAACGCATGATTCAAATTTTTACAACAAAAAGTCAAAATCAAAACTGACAAAAGATGTACTATGGTGATTTCTACACGATCATATGATTGGCACTTTAGTTTAAACGGTTCATGCTCTCTACGTCGGCTAAGCCAGTAGTCAGGTACGTGAAAAAGGCGTTTTTCTTTTGGATACAGATTAGGTTCATGATGGGTATGCGCAAATGTCGAAACTACGAGTGAAACTCTTTTCAGCTTGTGAAATTGCAGGAAGGCAAAGAAATGGTCAAATGGCGTAAGTATGGGATCGAGGATACGACATGCTAAGTTGCAGCAGTGTGTGCTGTAACATTGGCGAGAGGCGGACCATATGATGGGTTGGGTACAAATCCTGATGGTACTTCATCCACACCCCCTTCTGACAGTGATCCTGCGCGAGATGCTCCAGCTCATGCCTGCACCGACGTTCAATCTCGATGTTTTCGAAGATATCACAGTCATACCATTCCATCCGACGGAAACCGATGTTTTTTTTGTACTTTTTTTTTCCTGCTTCTTGGGCTTATCTTTTTCACGCCGATCTTCTTTGGCTTAACACAATTATACTAGAATTAGAAATGGCGGACAGACTTATATATAGTTCGTTGTGGCATCATCTCTTGCTCCGCATCATCATAGTTGCTCTTTTGAACAGATCCTAATTGGCAAGAGCTCGAAGAAGAACACCAACACACAAAATTCGCAACAGATCAAGTAAGTACTGCCACTGCATCACAGTGCGGCTTGCTTGGAAAATTATATTTCACGTGGGTGCGTAGCAAAAGTCGTATGGGCGTGACACCCGCAAATACATCATAAGCGTTGGATTTTTGCGTGAAGCCTCCAAAAACGTTGTATTTCCGAAGATCTAATCAGATTTGTTTTTCTTCTTTTTTTTCTTGGGGGGCTCAGCAACGATTTCTCCTTCGTTATTGCTTTCGTCGGTGACAGCCGGCTTTTGTAATTCCTCCGCAACTTCTGCTTTTCGCTTTTTGTTTTTCTTTGCTTCTTTCGTCGTGATTTCCGATTGCTGAGCTTCGGTGTTGACCACCTCCGCTTGCCCTACCGTAGAAGTCGCGTCCTTTATTGGTGCAGCGGTGGTAGAAGATGCTTCCCCTGAAGTCTTTTTCTTCTTCTTCTTCTCTTGCTTTTCCGTGGCGCTAGGCGCTTGTTTCTCCGACGTCGTTGATCCAGCTACGGAAGCCTTTTCCGTTTGCTCAGTTGCCCCCACTGCCGATTTCAGCTTCGCAATTTGCTCGTCTCGAAATTTTCGCAACTGCACCAGCCAATTTGGTAACGAAGCTTTCTGTTCTTTTGCTGCCGGGGGCACTGCAGGGTCTTGTGTGCCTGTAGTTGTACTGCTTCCAGCAGAAGCGGGTTTTTGATCCATGCGGCAGACGCGGGCAAGCTTACCACGCATTACTCGTGCGCCTTTGATAGCGGAAACACCCTTGACCGGACCCTCTCGGTCCGACGAGGATTCGTCCGAGTCGCTGGAGGAATCGCCCTCGTTGGTCTTCGCTTCCGGAGATGTTCTGTTTTCGATAATTTGAAATTCACAAGTAGACAAAAAAAAGACTCTAGAAAGTGTAGCAGGTGGTACTTCTACGCTTCATGGAAATGAATCTACCACCGAGGACGCACATACTTATGTTGCACCGTGACCAAGTACTACGATTGACCTGCACATGCAAAATTATATCAGTTTCGACAAAAAAAAAGTGTACCCGGCGCCAACTTGGCCTAATTTTCCGGCGACGGAGTTGTACGCGCTTGACCACCAGTTGTCCCATTGCTTCTCATCTCCGTCCGTTTTTGCCTTCTCGCCACCGAGACCAACACCCTCCTCCCGTCGCTGAATTTGAATGCACTTCGTCGACCCATCGAGATTCGCTCCGAGGCCCTTGCCCTTGGACCAACCGAATTTCTGCAGAATCTTCAGACCAAACTCGGACTCATACTCCTTCGAACTCGTGGCCGAGTTCTTCGCCAGCTTCTCGAAATACTTCTTCGACATTTTATCGCGGCAACGAAGTGTGAAGCGGTGTTTTCGTTTTCCTAGTCGCAAAAAAGGAGGTGGTGTGTAAAAACTAGATGGCAACAATCGAAAAGCAAGTCCTCTCGGTGGTCTACGGTGAACGTGAAAGTGGTCGTGGAAAGGCTATACATAGAGATGCAGGTCGCCTGCTCAAAGGAAAATTTGCGTCGTGAACATGCTTTATTTGAAGCAAGCCTCCTAACTAGGTAAATCGTAAGGACAAGGTCTCAAGAAGATCGCTTGGAATATTGATCCATATGATCTTCCGCGGTGGTTGATCACGATTTGTTTCTTGGAACGGGAGGAGCAGTTCTTTCTCCGAGATTTGGAGCGGTTTGATCCTCGTTCTGATCGCCTGTTTTTTTTAATTTCTGCACACCTTTCCTGAGTGCAATGAAAACTAGGAAGGAACGCGATCTGGACTTCTCGAGCAGGCCTAGTGAGGATTCGCATGATTTGAACTTTTTTTGCTACATATGATCTGAGGTTCACCGGTGCGGCAAATTTATTAAGTAAGTACTTTCAGTACGTTTTGCAACTTTCGCGTCAATTATTTCGCGGATTCAGGTTCAGCCTCTGACACGTACAAGACGCTCGCACAGCGGCGACCACGAATTCGAATTTCAAGTTCTTGTTCAACGAACTGGATCTGGAACTGCAAGGCGGAAAACCAAATAACTGTGTACTAGTGTTGCTTCGTTATCTCTGTGGTGTCTCCTCAAAGGGCGTATTTATTTATGTCTCCTTTCACGAATAAATCTTCACCTTTTTCAAGTCTGAGTCGAGGCATTCGCGGTCTTTTTTCCAGTACACGAAAAAACCGTTGGACTTCAATTTGGTTTTCAAGATGTATTGATCTGCGCATCGCTCCTGCTCCCACCGATCGGGAGCCCCGTTGGCGGCGGTGTATTCTTCGAGAGTTTTCCACCCGGCCTGCTGCAGCCGGTAAAGGTCTTCGACATCCCGGCTCCACTGCGACGCGCGCACCATCGACTTTGCGCCAAGCGCAGTGGTCGAGCTGGACGAGGACGTAGCCGACCCGGCGCCCGGCCTCGTGCTGCTAACCCGCGGGGCGGGCTTCGCACTCGCCTGGATAGAGGCGGACTTACCCGAAATTCCAAAATTCAGGTCCATTTTTGTATTGCGGAAGATTTTCTTTTGGCGCTATAGGCAAAAGGAAGAACCAAAACTATTTCTTTGCGCAAAGGCAAACTTGACAAAATAAACCGAAACTAAATCATGTCTGCCGGTTCCTGTTTTGCGGCGCTTGATGCGTCAACTCTCTCACTTCTCTTCCTCAGCCTCGCACTCCTCAAGAATGCACTCCTTGGGCCATTTGCTTTTGGTTTTTTCGGTCTAGTAGTTCACCTGTTTATCACGACAAAGCGCCCGCCTCCCTTTGTTTTGTCACGAATGAAAACATCTTTTAAAACACTTTTGCTCAAAGTTCCAATCGATGACCCTCGATGGCAATGGCTGGTGAGCTACTAGGCCACACTTACACATAAAAAGGACGATGAAGGGCTACTTCTCTTTCTTACATAGGTGGTCGCAAGTTTCATGTCTATACGATTCAAAAATCTCGAGTGAAGGTCATGTGAATTACAATGAATTGTTGTGTTGAAGAATTTGAAATAATAAGTGGTAATATTCTGAAAAAAAGACTAAAAAGGATGTATTGTAGTTGTACCTTCTAAACACTAATGCGACAAGCGAAATGCAATAAGATTAAAGTTGAAATGATCAAAATGAAACGCAGAGATGTGACTGACAATGAATGAAACATAGATACGTGTAATTCCATTAATTCATGGTTAATCTATTAGGTGGAAATAGTGAGATAGATAGCGACAGCTTCGACAACAGGGGAGTTGCCCGAATGCTGTGTGGCGTAGTTTGTGAAAAGTGCCAATTACATCAGGTGGAGCGCAGGGGGGTAAAAATTTCTGATTTCTCTTTTGTATTTGTATAACTTTACGCAACAAACTTAGAGTGTGCTGGCTGCTTGCCGTACCGGCACTTTTCCGCTGCTAAAGCTAATGCTATCTGTTTATTCCAGCAGCTCTGTTTTTAGGAAAGATCCGACCTCTGCGTTGGCTGCAGAGACATCACCGCGGTGACAGCATCTACCTTGGCTTTCATTCGCGCTTTCTGTATGAGCTTGGCGTCGACCTTTCGCACCTGCTGCTTACCCTTGTACTCGAGTTGCTGGCCGTAGTACTCGACGACCGGGGCCATCGCCTGGCGGTACTTGTCCAGTTCCGACTGGATCGTGTGCAGCTTGTCCTTCTCGCGCTGGATCAGCGGTTCGCCCGTTTTGTCGTCCAACATGTTCTCTGGCGTGGCTTCGTACACCGTGGTGCCCTTAAAGGATTTCGGCGGCTTGTAGACCGCGTGGTAGGTGCGGCCCGACGCGGGGTGGAACCACCGCCCGCACAACCGCTTCTCGAACGACTCCTGGCTCACCTCCAGGTCCCACACGCGCGTGATCGACTCGCCGTAGTCTCCGAGCGCCTCGTCCAAGCGCTTCGCCTGCTCGACGCTGGCTGGGTAGCCATCCAGAATCACACCGTTGTTGCAGTCGCCCTGCTTCAACCGCGTCGCCATGGCTTCGAGAATCACCTCGTCGCCCGCCGTGTCCGGGTCCAGGTTGCTCTCCTGCATCACGTCCGCGAATTTGATGGTGGGGATGCCGTACCGCTGCCGGCTCTTCTCGGCCACGATCTTTTTCCCACTCGTGCGCGGACCGAACATGAGCACGATGTTGCGGGCGGCGCCGCCCTCCAGGTTCATACCCGCCCCGAAGGTGGACTCCATCTGTTGCTCGAGCGGGTCCTGCGGCTTCGGAGGTGCCGAGGTTCGTTCCGACTCCCCCGCTGCTGCCCGATCGGCTGCCGAGTTTCGGTCTCCAGTTGCGGCCTTCTTGCCCACGATGCCCTTCGGGTCGCCGTGCTTTTTGCGCGAAATGTGGTGTACCGGCAGGCCCCCGCGCGGAGAACCGGGATCCGGATGCTCGTGGAGGTTGTGGGAAATGCGGTGCTGCTTGTGGACCCGCACCTGATTCTTTTTTGCGAACGAGCGCTCGTCGTGCCCTGGGGGATAGGGTGAACCACTGGCAGCCCCACTTTCTTGTGCAGTGGACTGTCCATCTCCGGTAGTTGGCGCTGCGCCGTCTGCCGGAAGGCCTTCGGCTTGCTCACCGCCATCCACAACGATCTCCACGTCGCCCGACGGCCTCTTCTGGTCGTCCAAGTTTGGCGCATTCGTGTCTTCTGGAGGAAGTTCCTGCTGCGGCAACGGCGTTACATCGCCAAACTGGTTCGCGAAGGCCTCATTGTCCAGAGCACTTGCGGCAACCCCGGAGGCGGAAGGCACCTCACTTGGAACAGGAATGTGCGGCATGCCGTCTTCCGGGGACGACGCGCCTGCCATGGGGTCTTCGTTGATGGTCACGGACTTTTTCGCGGAGGGTGCCCGACCGGCGTCCTGCATTGCAGAAGGGCCCCGACCCTGCATTGCGGAGGGCCGACCCTGCATTGCCGAGGGTCTTTGTCCGTCCTGTTGCATGGCCGACGGTCCCCGACCGTCCTGCTGCACTGCCGAGGGTCCCCGAGGACCCTGCATTGCCGAGGCCCGACCCGCCTGGCCCGGAGCTGGTGCGGAGGCTTGCTGCATAAGATGCGCCTCGCTCTGGCGGAAATGATGTCCGGCGTGAGTTTTAACTGGGCCCGCGGGCTTCACGATAGCGTTCTCGTCCGAGCTGGCGCGCCGCCGGTTCATCCAGCTGGTGGCGTCCTTCTTCCAGTTGCCTTTCGGCAGGTACCCGCCACTGTTTGTGACTTGCGGCAAGCGCTTCACTGCGGACGGTCTCTTGGTGTTCGAGTCGCCGGCGCCGCCCGGTGGACCCGACTTTTCGCTGCCGGTGAGCGAAGCTGCGCCATCGTCTTCCTTGACTTCCTCGGCCGGTGTGTCAACCACGGTCGGTTGTTTTTCGGACGGCATCTTCTCTGCCACGGTCGGCTCACGCGGAACAGACGGCTCCCTCGCACTCGCCCGTGTCTCCGAAGCCCTCGCGGCAGCCGTTTCGCTGATTTTGGCAGAGGCTGTGCTGTCGCGCTTCACGCTGGAACGCTTTGCCGTCGGCTCCCTCTCGGAGGCTGGGGCACCACCTTCGTTCTCCTCGCCATCAGCGTCTTCCTCGTCGTCTGAACCTCCGGCTCCGTCCTGCACTTCCGAGACGGCGCCGGTGAATGTCGACGCCTGACTCTTGCGCATGGGCGACTTCGGCGGCTCGTCGTGGGCGAACACCTTGTGGCCCTCGTCGTCTAGCCACATTTTCACCCGTGTATCCCACGGCGGGCGCTCGTTCGGGTTCGGCCCGCACTTGTCGCTTGCGTACCACATGAACCGCGGCAGGCCGGCTGGCTGGTTGTTGATGATAAACTTCATCGGCGGAGACACGTCCGTGTCGTCGTCCTCGTACGCGTCCGCTAGCATCAGCTTCTTCAGCTCCCGCCGCAGCGGGAAGGTGTGGCGAATGTGCGGGTCCAGCGTCTGGTAGATCTGCATCAGCTGTTCCACGGTGCGCTGCTGCTTGCGCACCGTCGGCTGCTCCCACAACGGCAAGCTGTCCACCTCCGCGGTCGCCGTGTACACGCCCAGCGGGTCAAACCGGTGCAAGTCATACTCCTCCTCGTCCCCGCCAAACTCTTTGCCCTCCGCGGGAAACCCGGTGGCCGCCAGGCGGTCGTGCGCGTCCGCCCCCAGCGCCCAGGTGAACGCAATGTCCTCGAACCGCCGCGCCAGCTTGTCGCGGTCAAGCTTCTCGGGCACCGTGGGCTTGCGCGTGGTCAGCGAGATCACGACGTCGCGCTTCAGCGCCAGCATCTCGGCCTTGAACCCCTCATGGTTGCGCGTCTTTTCGCTCACCGGGCGCTGCTCCAGCAATCCCATCTCGTACCGGGAAGCGGCAGCGAGCAGCTGCACCAGGTCGATGCCCGCGGGCAGACACGGCTGCTTCAGCCGCTCCACCTCGTCGAGGCTGAGATGGTCGCTCGCCTCCATCATGCGCTGCTCGTAGGCATCCTGGTACCTGCCCCACTGCTCCGCCTTCATTTTCCCGCTCTCGTCCAGTTCTTCCTTCAGGTACTGCTCCGTATACGCGGCCAACTGGCCTTGCGACATCAAAGTCCCATCCGCAGTGCCGTCACGGGAAGGGTCGAAAGCTGATTTAGAAATGAAATTGCGATAGATAGTTGGCGCCAATGATCTCACTACATATCTTCGTCGCTCTGTGTTTGTTCGGAGGTGGTCCTATGCTATGTGTACCTACTAAGAAACAACGCCCAAAAAAAAAACAAAAAGAAAGTACTCAGTTCCGTCTTGACTGGTGCGATGTAACGCGGAGGCATGTTGGCTGCTCGTCGAATTTGTGTACCCAGGGGCAGTGAGGTAGGCTCCCCCATCTCGGTCTTCATGACGGCCTGTCGTTCCTTCGTCAACGCGTCGCGGGCTTCGATCTGCGACAACACACTCATGCGTGATGTCGTGCCGGGGACCTTCAACACCTCGTTCTCGTACTGGACACAGCCAAACCGCATCGTGCTTTCGATGTCGATAAAGAGAGAAAGCAAGATTTGCTGCGACGTGGCCGGGTCCTTTTCCCGCAGGATGGCGTCCAACCCCAACAGCTTCTGCTCCAACTGCAGCGAGTTGTTCTTCAGTTTGTTGTCCGTCTCGTCCGCGCGCCCCTTGCGCAAGGCATCGATCAGCCGCCACACGGCCGCCCGCGCCTCGGCAATGTCCTCGCCGATCAGCTCGTTTTCGGGATCTTCCCCGCCTGCGAGCTCGACCTCGATCACGAACTTCAGGTGCGACATGTGTTTCTCCAGAATGGTCTGGTGGGACTGCAGCTTGTACTCCAGGCGAATCGCTTCGATCAGGCGGATCATGGCCAGGGACGCGTAACGGTACCAGGCCCGGTTGTGCGACCCCGGCGTCGGAAACATGTGGCCCTCGCCGATGTTCGGCTTCCCCTGATACTCCATCCGCAGCTTGTGCACTTCCTGCAGCAGCTTCCCGTGTCGGCGCACAAACTGCCGCGTCGCGACCAGCGCCAGAGACTGCTCCACGACGGAATACGCCTCTTCCAGCGTCAGTTCTTCGGTCTGCAGCCCTTCCTTCAGCATGGTCAGCATCTGGTCGACCTCCTTCGCCATGTGCGCTTGCTCGATGACCATCATGTACAAGGCCTCGCTGGCGCGGTACTCCTCCACGCGGTCTTCGGGCGCGCCCTCCTGCATCCGCTCCATGGCCATCTCCTCGAACTCCTTCAGCACGTCCCGGTGCTCCCTCTCCATTTCCTCGCGGTCGACGCCGAGGAAGTCGACCTCGTCCAGCAAAATGTCGGCGGGCGTTTCGTTCGCAACGTTGCGCCCCGCAATGCGGTCCCGCACGCTCTGCCGATTCTGCCGGAACTCCTCGCGCTCGTCCGGAGTCGCCGTCCGGTAGAAACCCGTTCCCAGCGCACCGCCCGATGGAGAGATCGGCGACAAACCAAGGTGCTCCATAACCTGTGTAAATTTTTGTATCCCGATAAGCGTGAGTCTAATTGGTCAACACGAATCCAAGATTTTTAAAGTAAAAAAGAAGCATGGATGTTGTATGGAGTTTCGCTAGGAACCATGTTACAAGAGACCAAATAATTGGCTAGCAGCGCAAGCCGTGCCTTACTTTTTGAAGCAGGTCTGGACATTGATGTAATGAATACCTTTGCAGCCTTCTTCTTCGTGGGCGACTTGTCCGCCATTTCTTGTGCAGCTTGCACTGCCGCTGCGGTTGCAGCGTCCATGCGCATGCTACTCTTCTTGCTTCTCCTGTCCGCCCCAATCTCTTCGGGCGCGGTCCCTTGGTCGCCGAAACGGGGCTGGCCCTCCTCATCTTCGTCCTCCTCATCCTCCTCCTCCTCGTCGGTGACAACGTTCCCGGTCTGCGTGGTGCGCTTTATTTGCGTGGCCCGGGAAGCCGAGGTGACCCGGGAGGGGTCGTGTCCCTCGGCGCCAACGATCTCCGTTTCCTGAATGCCGTCCATACCCATGTCCGGAAAGAGTTCCTGATCCATCATGGTTCCGGATTTCTTGCCAGAGGCGTTGCTGGCCCCGGACTTCTTCGACGGAGGCCGGTCGTCCAACGGGATAGACGGCTGCTTCACACTAGAAAACTTACTTCGGCGCTCGGAATTCAGGAGCACGTCTGCCCTGCTTCCCGGGTCGCCGAGGATCACCTCCTCATCCGGGTCCACATCCCCGGCCGCCGCCGGCTCATCCGAGTCCGCAGGCGCAAGAACGTCGTCTTGACCCACTGGCTCATCCGAATCTGCCGGCGCACCCAGGTCGACGTCGCCTGCGTCACCTCCCGCGCCCCGCTGGCTGGCGCGCTGACTCGCGCGCTGGGATGGACGACCCAGCTGACTCGCGCGTTGCTGGGTCGGGCCCTGGCTCGCGCGCTGGCTCGCACGCGTGCTCGCGCGAGGCGGCGAATCCGGCTCTGGCGCCGAGTCGTCTAACTCGCCTCGGTCCTCGCCGAAAAACTTCTTGTGCAAATGGTCGGCCCCGGGCCCGAAGGGTGAACTGTACATGGGCGAAGATTCCGGCGTGGCCGGAGTTTCGCGTTGCGGAGTTTTCTTCAAAGTCACATTGAACAGGTTCTTCGACACTTGGTCATCGTGATCCACGGACCCGCGCCCGCCGCCCCCCATGAACTTGTACGAAGTGGACTTTACCACACCCTCGGGAATCATATTCGCAAACGGGTTTTTGCCGTCAATCAGACTGAAAATCTCGTCTTCGTCCGCCGGCCGCTCGCGGAGGTCCATGGTGCGCGGATCGACCGCGCCGTGCGGCTTCTTGCCGCGCAGCGCCTGGTCCTGGCGCTCGCGAAACGCCTCCAGCTTCTTCACCATCTCCGCGTCACCTTCGTCAGCCTCCTTGAGCAATCCTCCCTCCATCACCACCACAGACGGCGCCTTCCAGTGGCCGTCAACGTTGCGCACGTAATTCGCGTCGCCCTCCGCCTTCATCTTCGCCAGCGGTTGCGCCTCCCCCTCGGCACGCGGCATCTTTATTCCGGCCGGGCGCTGCGGGGCGGAGAGACCCTCGGTCGACGAGCGATCCCTCTGCGGCATCGGCATGGGTTTCGCAAATTCGTTCTTATGCGCCGGCTTTTCATCCGTCTTTACCACGTACATGACGAAACTGTTTTGCTTCTTAGCCATCACGCCCGCGACGAACGCGTTGCGCTCGCTGGTGGACATCCGCGGAAAATCGTCGCGGCCGCCCAGCGAGAAGATCTGGTCGCCCGGATTCAAACCGCTAAAGGACCCCGACGCGGACACCACGCCCCCGCTCTTGAAGGTGACCTCGCTGAACTTGTCCTCCGGGAAGACGGTGATCGCCACGGCCTTGCGTTGGATCTCGATCTCGAACGGCACGGGGGCCGACATCAGCTGGCCCGAAACCTGGGCCGCGGGCTTCCCCGCCACCGCCGTGATTTCGTCGCCGGGGTAGATGCCCGCGGCGTGCGCGGTACCGCCCAAATCCACGGCCACAACGGTGCTTCCGTTCACGCCGACGCCGAGCTTCTCGCGGTCAGCAACCTTGATGATCTGCTTGCCGCCAATGCCGACCTGCTGCGTAATGTCCGCCATGGTGTCCACAATCGGAATCACGACCTTCTGCCCTGCCTGGTTTAGCACCTCCCCCGCCTTCATCTCCTTCTCAATGATGGTGCCGTCGCTGCGCAAGATCTTCTCCGTCGTCCGCCCCGTGTCGCGGTTGATAATCTTCGGCGTATCCTCTGTGATGTCCAGCACCTCGCCTACCTCGTCCGCAACCTTGAGCTCGACGAGGCCGGGGTGGAGGTCGACCTGCGTTTGCTGTATCGTCGTGGCGTCCCGCTGGGTCACGGCCAACAGCGTTGCTTCCTTGCCCTTGATTGATGTTCCCTTGCCTCCGCCTTGAATAGATGGTGGCGGCGGCGCGGTGATCGAACGGCTGGCCGGGGCGGAAGCTGTGGTCGTTGTACCTTTTCCCGCGGTCGTGGGCTGCCCGGCCTTTCTCGACGCGGCAGACGCGGAAGTCGTTTTTGCGGAGGACGAAGTCGCCGTCTTTGCCTTTGGGGCCGATCCGGATCGGGACCGCGGTTCCTCGTAGTTGCCAGCTGCTGTTCCGGTTTTCTTTGGGAGTGCCTGATACGCCGCGCTCGCGGGGGACTTGCTGCTGGGCTTATTTTTAGGGGGGAGCGATTGCAGCGATGCGCCCAGCGAAGTTGTATTTTTCGGAGCAGCGAGCAAGCCCGGTCGACCGGGCGCGCTCACGCTGTTTGAGCTTTTCGGCGCGAAGTTCGCCGCTTCCTTGACCAAAATTTTCGGCACCGCCGGGGCCTTCAACGCCGGCGCAGGAGCGGTGGAACCTTGCTGCGACTGCACGAAGGACTCCGAAGCATCCTGGGTGCGCTGCGTCTTCTTCTGCAGTTCGGAGCGGCTAAGTAACTTCTGCGCCGCAGGCATCTCCTCGTAGAAGAGTGTTGTTGCGGAAAAGCCGCCAACTTCTGGCTCTGAGGGGGCATCATGTTCTGGAATGCCGGCGCTATCCAAACTTCCTACAGATCCGGAGAGACTGCTGGGCGCATGTTGATCGTGAGCAACTGCAACACCTTCACTACTAAGGTCCTCTTCCGGAATACTAGACTCCTCAATTGGCCTCGATCTGCTCGAAGAGCTTGGGCTGCCCTCGTTCTCAAAATTCGGTCCAGCGGCCGATCTTTCTGATCCTGACGTGGCCCGTTCGAAGCGATACTCCTCGGTGTAAAACTTGAAGACTCCACCCATCTCGTTCTTTTTCCTATCCGGTGCCGTGGACCGCGGCTTTCCGTTTTCTCTTGAATCACGGGCCTGTGGCAGGTCGCGGCCGATGATGGACTTGTTACCTTTTTTTGGTGACCGCAACATGTTGTTGTGTGGTTCCGTCGGGTTTTGGGACGGGAAAACGAGTGCAAGTCCCTAAAACGTCGAAATAGGACAGCTGCAGGTCGTTCTTCTTGCCATAGAAGCCAATTCGACGATCTTCGTGGGGATTCCAGAAAAAGGGTAACTTAAATAGTTGGTACGAGCGGGTGTTACTGGTTTGTTCGAATAAAGGTTTAAACAGTGAGAATGAAATGTCTACGTTGGGTCGTTCGCTTAGGAAAGCTGGAAAAGGTTTATTGACATTGAAAATTTTCCAGTTGAATACAAAGTTGTAGGCCAGAATAACGAAGCGACGACACGCACACGATCAAGATGCACGGTGGCACAACACGCCTGGTAACGTGGACGTCGACCGATATGAATTGAGTCATGCGCTGGTAGAGTGCGGCGCTGTACGAACGAGACGATGCAGGGATGTGGACGATAGTACCGATGCTAACGTTGAAACAGATTACAGAATCACAAGCAATACAAGTTTGCACGAAAGTGTAAGTGATTGCAACTACGATAACAGAAGTCCTTGCAGAAGTCACCGCTGCTGGTGCTTTATTGAACGACTTGGACTTTCTCTAAAACCGACAGCGCTTTTTTCTTCGTAAGATGTGGGCACGCACGAACGACGGTGGAAAACCGAACCTCTTTGAGCACTTTTTCTGCGATGGCGACTCAAATATTTCTTTTTCAGAAGAGACGAACATACTTCTGCGTCCATGACAACAAGGGTCGAAAGCTTTCTTTCAGCCAGGTGTCAGCAAATGATTTTGCAATAGTGTGGGCGGAGCTCGAGCACGAGCTGCGGTATAATACGTGACATATCAGCTACACGTTGGATGTTTCGACTCTGCGTCGCAATAAAACGGGACTTACTCGTAGTACGTGTCTCCGATAAGATGCAATCATAAGCGCTCCCAGGAAGCAAACAGAACGCCGCACTTCTTGCATTTTCCCCCAGTGGCCAACCGCATGGCGCATTTTCGACAGGACACTGCATGACCGCAGGGAACGGTCCGAAATTCGATGGGATTCTTGCTGCAATAAATGCAGGGTTTTCCGCGCGCAGCGTCGTCCGAGTCCTCTCCCTCCTCCTCTCGCGGCCGTCGGGTTCGCCCGCCCGGCTTCTCGACCGAGGCGTTCTCGACTGAAGACATGGATTCCTTTTCGTATGTGTACTACTTTTTGCGTGCTGCATTCAACCTACTTAATACTGCTAGTACAAGCTAGGCAAAAGTCATTTTGGTTGTGATGCTGCCTCGCGACGATCGGTCAAAGACGCACTCCCGCCCGCCGGATATTGCAATATAGTTGATTACTTAAATTTTCTGTGCGTCAATATATACCCGTAGAGGAGAGCGGAGTGACTGTTTTTGGGTGGTCGGTCATTTCTACGTAAAAAAAAATCTCGAGCGGGATGAACAAAGGATTGGCTCTTATCGCGGCCGAAAAACTTTTTTGTGTTGCGAGAGTTGAGGGTCAAACAACCTAACGTCTGGTCCGGAATCTTTTTGTGCAAAGCATTTCTTACAGAAAGAGCAGAAAGGTCTTTTCCATCGGGTTTCGGGGTTACGGAAAGAGAGGCTGCAGATTAAACTTCAGACATTTGTCGCCTCAAAAATGCTAAGCTCATTCACAGATAGATTTTGAAAGCTTGGCAAAAGTACAAAGGAAGTTCATTCGAGAAGTCTTGCTCCTACATGTAGCAGTAGCAAACAAAGATCAAGATCAGACAGTGCGTCGTTTGGTAAGTATAAGCAAGTGCATCTCTCTCAGCTTGCAGTCGATTGCAAATACGGTTGTGTCGCTTGGCCTTCTAAAATTGAATTGTGTCGCTTGGCCTTCTAAAAGATTGTCTACCAGAAGCAGAAGCAGGGTCATTCTTTCGACATTTACGCATTCAAACTCAAAAGAAAATTTGGAAAGTTTTTTGGTTTCGGTTTCGCGTTCAAGGTGTATAAAGATCGCTCAATGGTGCACAAATTTAGGTTTAGCGACAGAGCGACGGCTTCATCTATCAAGCTCACAGAAGCGGCGTGCGGTAGTTTTTCTACGGGAGCTTTTTGTTTTTTGACAAATACAGAAGAGGAGCTGATGTGGAGAGTTTCTCTTGTTGGGCTTGTTCTGAAAAAGAATAAGCTGCTCCTTTAAATGCCATCACCGTTCGAAACCATAAACCATGTTAACGCTGATAATCATGCAGAAGGAAAGCGTCGCGTCCACCCGCAACGCGCGATGAGCAGTTGCATCATGTTCATGGATAATGATCTACTTGAAATAATCAACAAAAGCATAGCACTTAGTTACTGCATGAAGTGGAGCAAAGATGAAACGAGGACAACTACTAACTTACAACGCATACGTAAACGTATGCATGCGCTTGATGCATTTTAATTTTTCCACATTTCCCGTTCTGGTACGTACGAGTTATGCATCACGACCCCAAACCTTAAAGTGACCCATTCTGCGCGGGGCGGACGGTGTCAGTAGCTGGTTCGATGAAGACGCTTTGTGGTGCTGCTTGGCCGGCGCAATTTGGAACAACGAGGGCACCAAATTGGTCTGGGAAGAGGATGAAGCGGGCCTGGTGAAATGGGAAGGGAGAGCCATGCTGGTATACCAAAACAAAATTGAAACTTTATATCAGTTGTTATGCGCGCTTGGTGCCTCCAGTGCCTAGATTCATCTGCATCAACGCGGACCTAGCAACAAGTCGCAGAGTAGACCTAGTAGACGTACACATAGACATACCGTGCAAGAGCAATGGGAAATAACGATACATAGGAAAACGAGTCAATACTCCTTCGCGTACGAACGGCCTTCCCACGCCAATGTGGAAGTCGGAGACGCCAGGGAGAACACCTGGCGACTTTCCTTCGTCTCCTCGATTTCCGGGGAGTCTGGAGTCGCTTCCAGGCTGCGCGGCCGGACGATGGCCAGGTAGCTCTGAGACCTTTTCCGGAGCGGCGGCACAGCTAATTTGGTCGGCCGTGCGGTGGCCGCGTGAGAAACCTGATGGGAGAAACAGGCACCCGCATCGAATCGAATTCAAAGTAAATGTAAATCTAAGGGAAAAACACAACTGAAACGCGTTCACGGGTCCTAACTTTTTACATTTTTTTTTCCGCCCTGGTACCTGCTGATCATCTAACTGTAATGCAAAACAATCTGTGGCCGCTACCTGCTTCATCAGCTCATTCGAAGAAACCGACTCCCATTCAGGCACGTCTTTGCTGCATGCTGTGGAGCAGGAGGAGGTGATGGACGGCGTACGCATGGGCAAGAGCATCCCGGACGGTTTCGGTTTGTCGGCCGAACCCATTCCACGGCGCACAACCGACACAGAAGATCCCGACTTGTTTAGGCCAAGGACAAGATCCCCGGAACTTCCGTGCGTTCCCGGGAGTAGTGAATCTCGCTCGGAAGCCATGGTTGTCACGGACTCGAAAGAGGTGTCTCGCTTCCAGTTCAGAAAATTGTTGCCTTCAGTGGCCGCATCGGTGATGGGGCCGGTGCCGAAATACGTAGGTGCGGCACTGGTCACAGGAAGAGAGTGCTCTTCCGCGCTCGGGTTGCTTGCAGCGGCCAGCGCCACAACTGGCAAGAAAAAAACGGCACGTCGGAAAGCCCCCATCTTGTAAGTATTACTTTCGAAAGGAACTTCGCCCAAGAAAGAGTTTTTGGTTTTGCATGGCTTCAAACGAGAAAATGAGAGGGGGGGAAGACCGGAGAAGAACTTGCTACAGAAAGAACACTCGGGCGAGGGACATGCCACGAACGGCACCCAAATGGCAAAGGGGCGCACTTCATTCCGATCTCCCCTTAGGACGAAACAAGTGGCCGGCCGGCCGTCTATTGCATCCGGCGTGTGCTCTTTGCTAGCTTTCGCAAAAATACAGGCGGCATACTTTTACTTGTTTGCACAATACGACATGGCTCCGAAGGCAGTAAATGCCCCGCCAGGCGCATGCAAATTAACCGGGCTGCGTAGGCAGGCATTCCAGCCGCCACGACCACGCCCTCTGGCCTATCATTTCCGCCAACTACTGCGCCGGCTCGGCCGCGCCGCCAATTGGCAAGTGCGGCCGCGCCTCTTTTGCTAAGAAAGACGTGCGTGGCGCGGCGGGCCGGCACAAGACACTGGCGGCGCCCTTGCCTGCGCCGCGTGCGGGAGGGCGCACGGACAGGCTGCAACAAAGGCCGCGCCCGCGCCTTCCTCCGCACGGCACGCGCTTATTTTACTGCGCAAGGCGCCGCGGGCGCTTGCCATGGCGCACGGGGCCGCCGCCAAGGGCCGCCACTGCGCCCCTCAGTTGGAGGGTTTGGGGCGACTTCGCGCGCTATTTTTTGGCTAATTTTTTCGGGATTTTTTAAAAGTCCGGGCAAGCAGAAGCGGCCCCGACGGCGCTGCCGCCGGAGGAAAAGAGAAAGCCAGCGCGGCGCGGGTAGAAGAAAACAAAAACCCCAAGGGGCTTCCTGCGATTGTTGCGTGGCGGCCCGGATGGACCACGCGCGGAACCATGCGAAACCCCACGCCCAATGGGAAATATGAATGGAAATACCGGAAGAAGGAAACCTTCGGGCCCAAGATAAACAAACCCAAACCAACGGAAGCCGGGGCCGGCGAAAGTCTGCGCGGGTCCCGGATATCTATGGGCTGGCCCACATCCCATCCGCAGCGGGTTTCTGCATCTCCCTGCTACACTTCCGCGATCGGCTAAATCGGTCGGCTAAATCCCGGCTAAATCGGTCGGCTAAATCGGCCGGCTAAATCGGCCGGCTAAATCGGCCGGCTAAATCGGTCGGCTAAATCGGCCGGCTAAATCGGCCGGCTAAATCGGTCGGCTAAATCGGTCGGCTAAATCGGTCGGCTAAATCGGCCGGCTAAATCGGTCGGCTAAATCGGCCGGCTAAATCGGCCGGCTAAATCGGTCGGCTAAATCTATGCGGCTAAATCGGTCGGCTAAATCGGTCGGCTAAATCTATGCGGCTAAATCGGTCGGCTAAATCTTGGCTAAATTTTCCGGGATTCACTCCGGAAATCCCGGCGATGCCGAATTTAGCCGGCGGCAAAATGCGGAACCACAGGGAATTCGGGAAGGAAAAAAAAGTCAGCCGATTTAGCCGAAAATTTAGCCGAGGAGAGGACACTGATTTCCGCAAATTTGAAAGGACCCGGGCGTCTTGGTTTCTAAAATTCCAAAGCCGAACACAAAGGAAAAAAAAGGGGCGGCGGCCGTCTTCGCCTGAAGAAGAGAAATAACACGCCACACGGCGCGACACAGAGCACCACCACAAAAACCGCCCGCCGCGGCTTTTCGAGATGACAACACAAACAAACCCAAACACGCCCGACCAGAGGTTGCGCTCAGCACCTGCAAACACATGCCCGATATGCCGGGTGCTTTGCGCGACGCAAAATACCCGGCGCACCGCCAAACGGAAATGGGCCAAAATTGTAAGGCTCCGCACCCCAAGAGAAAGCGGGGCAAACATCTAAACTGCAAAACATAGCCCGCTAGCAAATACAAAACACCCGGCGGCAACAGACAACACAGCGAACCCGCCGCCCCTATGGCCCACCGAAACAAAGAAGCAAAACAAAGCGAGGCGGGCCAGACAAAGGAAGCGGCGCACCACTTGCGAGGGCGGGGCTCCGCCGGTCAGGCTAATGCAGAGCCTCGGTCGACGCGCTTCGAAAAAATCCCGAAAAATTTAGCCACTTTTTAGCAAAGGAAATGGCCCTGCTACCCTCTAACTGACGCCCCGCGGCCCGCCCGGCCCGCAGACTGGGCAAGGCGGGCCCGCTTAAATAAAGCCGGGCCGTTGCCAAGGCGCTCCCACGGCTGCTTCTTCGCTTTGCCCCCACCTACCGTTGCCGCATCTAGCACATACTCCACGAGGGCCGCCGCGTCGTAGCGGGCGAAGGCCAACGCAGAAGGGGCCCGGGCCATCGCGATCGCGGGAGCACGCGGGGCCGGGGGCGGGGGAGCTAGCTGGCAGCGCCCCGCCCCGGTGGGCTCCGATCCGCTGTAAGAGCAGAGACCAGCGGCGGCGCCGCCAGCTAGAGCGCACCGCATCCCGTCGCGGGGGCACGGCGAAGCCGGGCCCTGCCGATCTTTCTCGAAGCAAGGGCGCGGCCCACAACGAAAGCGCCGGCAAATGGCGCGCAAGGGGCGTAGGCTGGGCGGCGCCCGCCGACCACCTATCAAGCGAGGGCACGGGCGCGCGGGCTGGCCCGTCCCCAGAAACGGCCGACGCCCCACAAACTGCAGCGCCCCCAGAAGCTGGGGCACGACACAGAGCTCCCCGAGGAAGCTCCAAGCGCCGGCGAAAGCGCCGGCGCCATGCAAACGGAGGGGCGCCCGCCGGCCTTCGGGGCCGCTTCGGAAAGCTCAGGAGGTACGGCCCCCGGCTCGTATATCGGCAAGGACGGCCGCGCGTCCCTTCCCTCGGTGGGTGTGTCCCCAGGGGCGACGCCGTGCTGTCGCAAGTTGGTAAGGCCAGCACCGGCCCCCCGTCTTGGGCGGCCGGGCGCTCGCGAGCGCTGCCGCCCCCCTCAAAAGCTCGACGCCTGCGAGGTCGGTGGCCACGATCGTCATCAACTGGCTCCGGCCGTTCTTGTCCACCTTCCTGGGCTTTTGCGCTGGAGGCTGTTTCAACTTTTGGTATGCGGCTAGCTTCGCCTCCGCAAATACCAGCCCTTCTATCCCACAACCGGTGCCATGAAAATGAGTATCGGCGTAGGCGTATTATAGGGAGCAGAACAGAGTGACTTCTATCTACCGGCCTTTCTCAAGAGCGGAACACCATGATGATGACAGTCGTTCTTACGTGCGAATTTTTCTGCTTTGTCGTGCCTTCGTCTTCATTTTTTACGTTGATGGTACTTAGCTTCAGAGTACTGACGCTCACACACTTCTCGTAGTATGGTAGGCGAATTTCGCCAGCAGAAAGCCGACATCATCAGAATCCGTCAGGTGGAACATGGCACGCGAAGGCTTTTCGCCCACCGTGCAGCCACAGAAGTAGTAATCCTCAGGCTCTCCATCCAGTGGCGGCAGCATCATGTCATCGTCGAGTGTGCTTTCGTCGCCGCCAACTTTGTCCGGTCCCCAATGCGCAGCGGCCACTGGGTCGGCTAACTGTGGCTGACCCGAAGCGCTTGCTTCGTCCTGATCTTCCGCTACTTCACCCGCGTTGTCTTCATGCACTGGCTCGGTGTTCTTTGACGGGTCCTTGGTTGCCTCGTTCGCTTCTTTCTGGCTCGGGTCAGTTAGACGGCGAATCGTCTGAAAAACGTCCTCGTCTCTGCTCAGAAAATCGCCAGCGACAAACACAAAGGAGTGCGCTTCTCCCGCCCGCAAAATCTTAAGACTCTTCGCCTGCTCGAGCAACTCATCGTCTTCCGTGAGGGAAGCTTTATTTGCCGCATCTTCTCCCCCGAGCTCATCGGCTACTTCCGTGCCAGGCCCCTGCTCGCTTTCGAGATTTATTCGCGCGACTTTGTCGGAACCATCAAACTCTTCGTCGTGGTGTTCCTGCTCGGATGGTATCTTCAGCGACGACACTACACCGACTGCAGTGACGCTCCTCGGGCTGAACACCTGGCCCATTTCCACCTCCATATCCTGTTCGTCACTCCCCGCTCGGTGCTCCCGCGGAGAATTCGCATTCGTCTGTGATTCCGCGGGATCGCACTGGTACAGTCGCTGCAGGAGCTGACTGCGGGACACGTCGGCGTAGCGAACCTCCACGGAGTTCGACCCGACGAGCACCTCAGCGGGTGTGGAAAGCAGAGGCCCTGCCCACAAGTGAATCAACAAGTCCTTGCTCTGAATGGTCCCGTGGTTCACACCGCCTGACTTTTCCATCTGCAAACCCTGGCCGCCAGGGGCTGCCAGAGACCTGAAAATGAAACTTTGTGTAGTGCTACTTCCTTGTTCACTCACTATTATGATGTAATTTTCATTTATTGCGAAGCAAAGCACACGGTGCCACTAGCACTACGGGTTCGGTGGACCTCATTATTTTCATATTCATTGGAGAATCGCAAGGCGGACGCAGGCGCTTCTATGGAGGAGAAAAAAGGCGGTTCTACTACTTATCTCTTTACCAAGATATGGAGCAGGCGGTTTTGTGGACACAGCTCCCGGGCGTTCGGTCGGCAAAGTATTCGATGATTTCTTCTACTGGGGAGAGCCACTCTGTATTGATTTCATCCACGAGCGAGCACCACTTTCGCGTTCTGGCTGGCCGCCATTTCACGCCGCCTTCCGCCACGAGCCAAATGTTCTGGACGGATCCTAACGCGTGCTCCAGCGCCTCCTGACTCACGGACGACATCACCACGATATCGGTCAGCTCGTCCTCAGCGAGGACTTTCAAGTTGTGCAAGGTCGTGTGCGGCACGCGGCAAGAAGAGAGAATACTCGGGTGGTAGTACTGGTTGCGCGGAATCAAAGTGCCACTGAAGCCGAGGACGATTCTGTTTTGGTATCGCATATCAAAGTATCTACAGTCATGCTCCTGTTCTCGGGACAGAGCGACATAGAAATTGACTCCTGGTCCTTTTTCACTGCTTCGTTTTTCTTTACACAACACAATTGAACAAGCCAAACCCCCCGATGGTACCCATTTACTTAGATTATACTTAAACTCTGACGACCAGATTAAAAATCACCTAGCGAGCGAAAAGCAGTATAAGTACAGTTTTCGCCTCGATGTGGTGCGAAACGCGTTCTCGATGTTGAGGGCGTGAATACTGAGCGCCGGAGGCACCTTGAGGATCCCTGGGTCGCCGCTTTGTTCCTGCAACAACTCCAGCTCCTGCTGCTCGTGGAGCAGGTCGGTGATCCACCGCGTGTGGGTGTGTGTCACGCAGTAGTTGTACCCGTATGCGTAGCGCTCGATCCGCTCGGAATCGTCCATGGTGAGCGCGTCGTGGATCGCGTCGGCGAAGGAGACGGTGTCCCAGGGGTTCACGGTCAAGGCCGTGGCGCGGAGGGACTGCACGCTCCCCGTGAACTCGCTCAAAATCAACACCCCCGGCGCCGCTTTGTGCTTCACCGTGGCGTAGTGCTTCTGGCAGATGATGAACTCCACCGCAGTGGACGCGAGGTTGTCCCGCAGGGGCGTGACCAGGCAGACATCCGCGACCGCGTAGATCGGGATCAAATCCTCAGCCGTGAACGGCTGATCTAGGAAATGCAGCGGTAACTCCGAGAAAGAACCGTACTGGGACCCGATCTCGCCCGCCATCTGGTGGATTTGCGAAACCAGGTCCGGCCGCTCCGCCGTGGCCGCCGCCGCCGTGACGGACCCGCTCTTCTCCCAGCGCGAGCTGCCGCCGGCGTAGCCGCCGGCCGGCGGGGCCATGTTGGCGCCTCCACCGCCGCCGCCCGAGGGGGACTGCGGGGAGTGGTCATCTACTTGTTGCTGGTGGTGCAGTTGACTGGATTCCTGTCGCAGATCGGCGATGCGGAGGCACACTTGCAGGAACACACACGTGCTGTGGTTCCACTCGGCCGGGTGGTCGCGTATGGCGTTCTCAAATGTTACATTCTCAACTGCTATATGATTTGTCATGCAAAATTACCTCAAGGCGCCAGGTGGTCAAGCTGCTTCGCATGACAAATCTACGAAGGGCTAGACAGCACCTAAATCTGTGCGGAATTTGTAATGCAAAAGGCGCAATCTTTCCCCTTTCAATTTTGCCGCCTCTGCATCACAAATTCATGTAACAGTTGAGAATGTAACAGTTGAGAGTGCCATATCGCGCAGGAGCTTGTTGTAGGCCAGGAACTTGTATCAAATGTAAAAATGTCTGGGTCTGGAAGAATGCAACTTGTGATGCTGCATTTGGATTCCAGAAAAATCTGTATTGCATGAGTACCGAAAGGAATGTAATTTTTGCTACGCGGAGACGGCATCTGTCATGCGGAATAGGCATCAAGAAGCTCTCAAAAAATCTGTGATGCTAGAGCATGCATCACAGACATCAGGGCTCATGCAAAACGTGCATGACAAGTGTCAGAATCTTCCAGACCCAGACATTTTTACAGTTGATAACTTGTGCGGGATGCCTTTCTTCTCCTGCAGGAGGTCCACGCCGAGGATCACCTTGCGGTTCCCGAACTTCGCCCGCAGCTCTTCGATGCGTTTCTGGCACGCCTCCGACTGGAGGCACTTCTCGTAGTTTTCCGGATCTACACCGAGAGGGATGGCGGCGAGCTTCGTTTCTGTTCCCAGGGTGTCTCGGCAGGCCTCGACGACACTGCGACTGCAGGGCACGCCGAGGATTCGGGTGCAGCAGGTCTGGAAGTGGCGGATGTACTGGAAGTTGAAGAAGCCGATGATGTTGGACGCGAGCACGCCCTGCAGCAACTGCTGACGGAAGGGGAAGATGCGGTAGATTTCGGACGAGGGAAACACCGAGTGGAGGAAGAAGCCGACAAAAAGCGCGGGCTTGACGCGTTTCAAAAGCAACGGCAGCATCATCAGCGGATAGTCGTGGACCCAAACAGAGTGAATGTCATGCTCCTCGACTAGAGCGAGGACTTGCTGCGCGTAAAGGGATTGCACCCGTTCGTACGCATGCCAATCGGGTTGCTCCAGTGTCAGGATGTCGTCTTGGCTCAGGATGTAGTGAAAAAGCGAGAACAACACCTTTTCCACCCGGTCATTCTTCAGGTCCACCGTCGGCGCGGCTGTGTTGCTGTCAGCTGCGCCGGTGGTCCCTCCAGTTCTGGGTCCTCCGCTGCCCCCCGTCGTCGGCCCGCCCGTCGGAAAGCTGACTGCTGCGGGGTGGCTGTGCTGACTACCCCCTAGTCCGCTGGGCGTGACGTCGTCCAGAACGCTCGTAGTCGTTTGCTTACTCTGGTGCTGCTGCACAACATCTAACGCCGCGGGGAGCTGCAACGGGTGTTCAGCGGTTGACATGCCGCCAATCGTGTAGTTCCGCGGTTGTTGAAGTCCGACGTAGGGAGGCGGACCCAGATGACCACCTGTTGACGCGTTAACCAGATTTTGCATCAAAGCGACGCTCGACAAGTGCGACGAGGACCCGCTCATCGCGCCTGCTCCGCCCGCCGCGGCCGGGAAGTTTGTCGGCGTGCTGTGCAACCCCGCGCTGGTAGCACCGCTTGGCGATCCCAAATTGTTTGGTGACATATTCGCTTTCCCCGGCTCTTCCTCGTCTAGGAAAATGGGGAAGTAGCCGTACAAGCTCAAGAACGAGGTCAAGGTGTTTTTCTCCTCGTCGGAAAAGGACGCCCGAAAGTGCTCGGAAACTTTCTTCCCCGTCGTCGTGGTGCTGGTCGTCCCTGGGCCACTCGCGCTGGTTATCGGGCCGGTCTGCTCCCCCGTGGTCGTCACCTCCCGCACGAGCGGCCTCCCCACACGGAGGATGCGACAGGAAAAATTGCCCCCCTCATTTGGGTCTTCCAGCGTCACAAACTGCGGATCGGACCGGAAGGACGCGTCTTCCATGATGCTACCCGGACCGATGGAGTACGCCTTGTTTTCTTCGTCGTAGTACACCTCAATCGGGAGAAATTTGCTGACGAACACGGACACGGTCAGCGAAGGCGGCTTCGCGAGTATCGGCTCCAGCGCGCCTGCCACGACGGCGTCTCCGAGGTTGGGCTGGGAGCTTCCCGCCGCGGTGGCCGCTACCATGTTTGGCGACGTCAGTTCGTGGAGGTCGTCCAGCGGCTGATGTGCCGACACGCCGCCCAGCTGCTGCATTCGATGTGCTTCGTACAGCTCCTCCAGGGCCGGGCGCCGGCCGCGCGGCCAGGTGCGTGAATTAGCGCCGAGCTCCGCCTGTGCTTGTGTCACCGGTTCGGAAGATTCCGGTCCGTCGAGAAGTCGGATCGGCGGAGGTCTGCTGGTGTCGCCGTCAGGAAGAAGAGCTTCACCAGATGCCGATGTAGCGTCGGGACGAACGCTGCTTCCGATCATCGAGCCCCGGTCCTCTGCGGTGCTCCTTCGCGTCGCTGGATCTGTGAGCGTTGACTGTGATTGACTGATGTGTGCAGACTTGCTCAAGGACGAACCTACGGAGCGCAAGAAGCTTCCGCCCAAGCGGTCCGTGGTGGCTCGTCCATGGGTCCCCAGCGCTTCCATCTCGCGCGGCAGCACGGCGCCCCGCGGGTCCATTGCGCCCGCCAGTAACTCTGTCTGGCTCCGGGGCCGCGAGGCCGCCGTCGGAGTCAAATACGGTACCTGCTCTCCTGTGGTACCCTCCGCCGCTGCATCGTGCGATGATGTGCGTTGCCTCTGTGTTTTCCCGCTAGTTATACCCGCCGCTGCTTGCTCCCGGTCGAGAGGCTGCGCTTTCGTCTTGCTGCCCGTCGCAAAGGAAGATGAACTCGAGGCCGAGGAAAACTCCCCACTGCGGGACTGACCTAAAGCCTTGAACGTGAGCGGACCTCCCAGAGGTGCTCCGGAGCCGCTCAACAAGGGCGCCAAACCAGATCGCGAGCCAAGCCGCTCGGAGCCGGTTCCCGAGGACGTTGCTGACGGTGGTGCTTCTTTGGATAGCGACGGCGAAGTGTTCAACGAGTACTCGATCGGTCTTCGTCCGCCCCCCAGTTCGTCCAGCAGAGAGCTTCCACTGGGTGGAGAGGGAAGCGAAAAGCCGGTGGCGCTGCCAAAGCTGTTGACACGGAGCTGCTGGTCTTGCTGCATACTGGTACTACTATCCGAAAACACTTTCGGCTTCGAGTTGGCTGGAGTGGGGCCGCCCGCACCTCGCAGGCGAGGATCTCCCGGACGGAACGGTTGGTGGGGCCGGTCCTTGCTTCCCGCGGCGCTCGCACTCTCGGACGCAGCAGCACTGTCTGGCACCACGGTACTACCCGCGGCCCCGGATTGGTCGGGCTGCGCCGCGGCCGCGGCCTGGTTTAGGCGTGAGAGTTTTTTGCGCAATTTGACCTGGATCTTGTCTTTCGCGTTCATGATCTCCTGCGTCAAATCCTGCTGACCATACGCGTAGAGTGGCGAAGGCGCGTTCGCGGCGGCTGCACGACTTCGCAGCGCTTCTGCACCTGATATTGCAAAAATTGAAATTGAACATACAACAAGACCATCATGCTGGTGCGAACATTCATTGCGATGAAGTTGAAGACTTTGTTCTGCACAGAACCTTTTTCTTCATAAAAAAGCTGAGACGAGATGCAGATGCTGATGCATTTTTAGACTTAACAATGTACCAGCTGCGTGGTGCAGTGCCGGCGGGCTACTATCGCGGCTCACCCTGCCGGCACTTTGCGTCCGCGCCTCCAAAAATTCTACGTCGTCTTCCCGCGTAGGCTTGCGCAACAGAACGTGCGGCTGCTGTCCGGGTCGCGGCGTTTGCTTCGAAAATCGATACTGCGCGGCGGGCCGCGGCTGATGATGTTCTAGCTGGCGACTACGTACGGTTGGAGTTCGCGCCGCGGCCATGTTGACGAGCTCCATGCTGCTTGTACTGGAAATGACACTCGCGCTACTGAGAGTGGCACCCAGTGGGCCCATGGTCGCTGGGTCGAAAGGTTTCAGATGCGCCGGACGGTTTAGAACGTAAGAGCCCGAAGAACCTTGTTCGTGACTCGGCGCAGCTGCTCCGCCTCTCCTGTAGCTGCTGGACGAGGAGGGTGTCGCTGTCGGCTGCTGCGGCAGCAAATTTGCCGGAGGCTTTCCTGGGAACGAAGATGAAGCAGAAACACCGGCGGACGATTGTGGTCCAGTTGCCATGCCGCGAGGTTGGCCCCCGCCCCCGAAGCTTCCAAAGGAGCCGGTGCTGTCTTTCTTGCTGCCAAGCCCTTCGTCGCCCGTCCCAGCACTAGACGTGCTGTAGGAAGAGCGAGCGGCTTCGATGGACACGGTCCTTGCATCGACACGGAGTGGCACGCTATGTGTAGTTGTGTCACCGGGCTGCAAAACAGGAGCCGTTGCTCGTTCCTCCACCAAAGTTGTACTTTTCTCATGCTGAAAATCCGGAGTGGTCTTGTTGGTGATGTTCCCGCTTGGCTTGTTTTGTGAGTGTGACGACCCCGCATGCGGTGGCCCGCCTCCTCCAGCTGGGACTTTGCCGTGCAAGGTCGTGGCTGCCGGTGACGAGGACCGTGCGGTATCTCTCTCTCCGCCCGCCTGCGGCGACGACGGTGTCGTCGCGTGCGGTGAACCCGAAGAAGTTCGGGGAGCGCCGGTCGTGGCACTGCGACGGGCAACCGGCACGAACCCAGACGAAATCGGGCGAACTGGGTATCGGGGCGCTGCATTGTCGTCCTCGGGTGCTTCCCCAGATGTACTACCGCTTTTACTCGTTTGCTTCCTCTGTGGGTCGTTTGTGTTCTTTGACATCTTGCCGTCGAAGCCATAAAACCTAAACGTAAACCAAGATAGAAAAAAAGAAAGAAGGCAAACAAAGCCCTCGGTGGAAGAAACAAGGTGTCGCTCAAAGGTTTAGACCCGTCAGTAGTTGCCGCTTACAAATGGTTTTGGATTGAGCTTTTCGACCGCAAATGGAACAACTTGAAATCTGTATACGGACCAGAAATATTTCTTCGAAATGACAGGACGGTGGAAGGACTGAAAAGTTGATCATCGAGCATGGCAGTATTCATTGGATCGAAGCGCGACACACGACGCTGCCGCTGCAAGTTTTGAGGTCAACCTCGTTGATCACGCAGATCTCACTGTCCATGTCTCTTTCCAATTACACCAACACAGCCAAAAAAGACTCCAGCACAAGCACATGCTTGAAGTTGAAAAAATCCCCCCAAACGCACCTTGGGAATAGACTTTTTCAACCAACTTGAGAACATCGACGACCAGGTAAATGAGAAGTTCATCAAAGTTTGTCACTTTTTGTGCTTCGCTTCCCAGCCTGGTAAAGCCGAGGCTGACTCAATATCAATTGTATCTAATATGTCGCTTTGGGTTTGGAGGATACAGCTTTGCGTTTCCTTGTCGCTTGATGTGAACGTGGTACGACTCCATCCTTGTCAGTGCGTGACTCGCGCACCGAGGTACATACGAGCTTGATTTTGAATGTCGGTGGGAAGCATTTGAAACTGTTCCGGGGTGAGTCGAGAAATCCGCTCCAAAAGTTTCTGTCGTTGTTCCGCAGTAATAGACGCGGACGCGCCTGTGGATGTGACTTAAAAATGTTGTATTTGTTGAATGTTGCGCGAGCATGATTTTGGTCCAGATAATCGGCGTAAAGAACTCATGAAAGTGACCGGCCCAGTCGGGCGAACGCGAAAGCGAAACTCGGTCAAGGGACCAATAAAAATGAAACGACACGCCGACATACCTGCAGAAGCTCCTCCGTATCTCGGAGGCGGGCCGCCCCCGCCTCGTCCGTAGCCACCGTAGCCGCCCCCTCCGCCGTACCCGCCATAACCTCCGCCACCATAGCCGCTTCGCTGGGGCGGGAGCACGCGAGCTGGCATCGGCGGCATTGGAAACATGTTCGGTAATCGCAGGCCTGTATTTTCGTAAGGATCGTAGTTTTTTCTTTTTGGTGTCGCTGAATCTTCAGAAGCAGTGCCTACTTTGTTGAGCTTTACTTCTTTTTAGTCGCACAACTCGTGTCAAAAAACGAGAACCACCTTGGCCTTGTATGCGTAAGCGTAGGCATCACGAGATTGACGAACGTAAGACAGAGCACTTGTTTCCTGCAAGATATTCCGGAAAGCAAGATGTCCCCTTTGGAAAAATGCTCATTCCCGCTGTAAAAAACGATGCATATGCAAAAGCGCTCGATATGAAAAGTTAAGTCCAAACAAAAATACCAGCAGGCGAAGGCATTTTCGGTCGCTGCACCGACGTTAAGCCCGGACCCTGACTCCAAAACCGGTATTTCGATAATTTGTCCTGGATTTCTTTGGATTTTGTCCGCGCCAAGTCGATCTCTTCGTTGGATAGCGGCAGGAATGTCATCCTGTCAGGCAAAACCCCGACCACTGTATCAAATGTAAAAATGTCTGGGTCTGGAAGATTGCGAGATTTGTCATGCTGATCTGGCATGGCCCTTAAATCTGTGTTGGGTGGCCACAAAAAGCCTCTCTCGCCTGTCATGCAAAAACGCAGTTTCTCATGCGGAATACGCAGCACAGAAGCACGAAGCAACTTGGCATGCTTGGCCACGCATTACAGTGCATTTTTTATTGACTGACTTGCATCACAAGTTTCCAGACCCAGACATTTTTACATTTCATACACTGCCTGCGCGTGCAGTAAGCTGATGCACATCTCGCCGTTCTGCGTCAAGAGGCTCATGGAAAAATCTGGTGCCTTCTGGATCACCTTGCGGGCGTGTTTCAGTAATTGGTGCACATCCTGCACGGTTACGTTTTCCACCGGCTCAAACTTTCGCTTTTTCAAGTCGGGGCCACCCTTCTGCGTCGCCGTAGCTGGAGACCCCGACGGTCCGGCGGCTGCGCTCCCCGCCGCAGCGGATCCACCGCCAAAGTCCAGACCGGGAAACAGAGAACTCAAATTCGCCGCCGTCTGTGCGTCCCTCTTCAGGGACGTGTTTGGGGCGGGGGGTTTCAGAACCCAGGAAGCCATTTTAATTTCTGGGTTGAATTCAATTGCCAACAAGGTCTTTGTAAAGTTGAAAGTAAAATTAGCTCGCGTTGTTCGAAATACGATGGCACGTAAAGTAAAAATGATCACGGCCTAGAGAAAAAAATCGCTGTTTACAAAGTGGAGAATTGTGGCCATGGAACCAAAATTATTCCGTGAGAAGTGGAGATCGAGATCTGCATCCGAAGTACAATCACACAGGGCCAGTTGGCGCTCGATAGCAATAGCAAATAACTCGTCATGTAAACACGGAACTTTCGACCAGCGAGCAGGAGACGATATGGCGGGTGATCCGTGAATCGGCAGTTTTCCTAGTGAACAGCCTAAAAGGAGGTAGAGTTAGTTATGAGGTGAGCTGCTTCCTTGCATCTTCAACTTGCTCCGCTGCCAAATCAATAGCCAGCACATGAATTCATCATCCGATTGGTGTTTCTTGAAAAGATCGATATCACAGCGATGACTCGACTGCTATAGAAGCCGCACCGTGGTCCCTTTTTATGCAGTTCGTACGTTGCTGCAATTGATCGAGAAGACTAAAGAAAATTGAGGGTCAGTTGATGTTTGGGCGCAGCGGCAAGAACTACACTAGCTACTTACCTTTTGGTACATTCGTGAGTGAGACATTTCTCGAATCAAGACCTCGTCTTTCGCAGAACCGTAAAAATCTTTCTGCGGTGATGAAACTCCACTTCTCGCTGCGTTCTTACAGCCCAGCACAGTTACCCCTTGTATGCGCGGACGGCTTTGATTTTTCCGCTGCTGTCGTACTGAATGACATCCAACACCTTCAGCGTTTCCTCCGCAGAAACGACGATGTGCAGTTCGCACGCCGCCACGGGGCCCAAATCGGACGTCGAGGGGAAAATATTCAGAATCTCGGCTTTGATGGCAGGGACGGCTTTGAAAATGCCACCTGATAGGATGAAAAAACAACAGGAATTGATGAGCACGCCGCGGGGCGAAATTTACATATCTGCTGCCGGGAAAAAATCCATGCGACATTTCAAAAAACTGAGACGGCAAAATGAAATTAACGGTACCGTTCGCGTCGACGACGTCTTTCTTCCCGGACTTGGCAATGTCCCAGTCGCGCAACTCGACATCGTCGGCAAAAAGTTCGCCGAGTTTGTCCAAGTCCTGGGCATTCCAGGCCTCAAAATACTTCTTCGCGAGCGCCGTGGTGTCTGCCGCCATCTTTTTGGTGAGAGCAGTATTTGCAGAGGAATACCCTGCTGTACCGGTGGTTCCGCTGCTATTGCCTAATAACGGGTCGCTTGCCAGCGCCGTACACAGATTCGCAATCACACTAGAGCCGTAGTGCAGGTGCAGCTGAAAGGCAGCAAACGCGATCAAAGAAAAGGTACCCAGGTAGCACACCAAGGACGACGAGGAACTTGAAGACTTGTTGGCTTTCGACATTTAGTGAAGGGGAAATGTTTTAGATGTAGTACCTTTTATTTTTTGTCTTCTCGAAAGTGCTTCGCTTTTCAGAAACCGAAGCCACTTGCATGATGACCAACGAGTGATCTATCAGTTTTTGCAACTGATTACGCAGGATCTTTGAGTCGCCACCGAATACAGGCGAAGGAAAAACCGATGAAAGTGAGTAAAAACGAAAATTAATAGAGAATCAGGTTCTGCAATATCACGACCAGCACCTGGGCTGATTAAGATCACAGCTGAAAAAAAATTCGATCCGTCCGTTACCGTTCTTCACAACTGTCGAACACAAAACGCCAACAGAAAGTTGTCCTTTTTTATCGGCCACCGTTTTACGCTTCGTATCCAAATCCATGAAGAGAAGTGGGATGACAAAGAAATTTCATGTTCTTGCTCCGGAGTTGCAACCTATCAAGTCGACGACAGCGTTATTCGTGACAATGCGCTGCTGGCGTCACTCGATACGCGTACTTTAGGTACATTCTTATGACAAGGGCGCGTGATGGCACATGGAGTGTGTAGTAGCATCCTGCTTTCTTGTTGTTCGACTACTCCTCTTCTACATGACGAAGTTGTTGCAGTGCGCGTTGTTATTTACAGAATTACTCATCAGCAAGATCTGGGTTCGTTCTGACGGGCGAGATAAATTGAAATGGAAGTAGTGATTCTTCTTCTCGAGGGACGCACAGCTTCTACTGCTTCCTTGTTGTAAATAGATGGACATGGACTTCCGAAAGCGGCGGCGCAGTATCCACTCTTAATTTTTTGCATCATCACGATGAGCCGCGGTCACGACAGGCGGCGGTGCAGGTGGGGACCAACCAAAATTTGTCTTTATGCTCGCGAAACATCATTCAGGGTCAAAGGGCTTGTGCTTCTACTTTTACTTCTTTTTGCGTCGGAAACAAAAACGCAGCTGGGATGTCGCCACGATTATGGTACTCTGCGGGGAGTGCGTCGTGTGAAAAAGTCGTTAGGTGTGAAGTGGATGAAGATTATTCATTGATAGTATGTCACGAGGTCCTGATGTGGTCATGGCAGAAGACCCACTTCTGCGTAGACCTACTAGCTACCAGGCCCCGGTGACGAGATGCGAAAACATATCTTCGCTGAGCGCCCATGTCGGCAACACCGGCAGGCCATACTCCGTTCGGAACGACGCTAGTGTCAGTATTCCGGGAACCGGGAGCGCTACGTGCCACAATGTGTGCCAGAAAAGGTAGGCTTTGAAGTGCGTCTCGACCACTAGGGCCGCCTGCGTGCCGGTAGAAGAAGGAGCGTGCTCTCCGGTCGGTGTGCTTTGCGTAGCCACGAGCCTCGTGCTCTTTGTGGATGAGGCAGAGGTGGACACTGTGGATGCAGTGCTGTTCTTCCTGGACCCGACCGTCAGTTGGTTGCTCAGAGCTGCTTTTTTACCCGACGGCGTGCGGTTTCGCGGCTTTTGCTTTGATCTTTTTCCGTCTGCTTGTTCCCTTCTCTCAAGACCGGCCTCCGTCAATTGTACAAGCGAAGATTCATCGTCTGCCAATGCTGGCGCTTTTGGAGCATTATTTCCGGACAAGTCTCGTGTTTTTATTCTTGCAGTGGACCACTCGGTGCTGGTGTTAGCTTTTGTTTTTGAAGACACTACTGCTCCACCGCACTCCTTTTCCGCTATTCCGCTACAGGTCAAGACGTTCCCAAAGTGTGTGCTTGCGATGAGAAAGATGATTCCCGCCACCCAGAGAAGCACAAAAACTATCCAGTTCGTCGGGAAGTCCAGGGGCACGACGAACCACTTGCCGCACTGCAGGAAAAACAGCGTCAAAGCGCTGGCTCTATCAACCTGAAAGAAGCGGTGGCATTCGTTCAGATTCAGTTCACGACAGCCAAAGGCGACATAATATCTTTTCGAGTACTTACATGTTGTAGTACGTGCATCGAAAAAATACGACCACGCGGGCTCTGCTATTGGCTTTAGCAGCACGAGCACTTATTGGGTGCGCAGAATCGCTCAACCCAGGTTTCAAAAGTAGTCCAGTTGGGTCCAAAATCTCGTGAACTGCTCCCGCAGACCAGGACCAAATCCAGACACAAAAAGAAGAGTGACATGTCTTTTAGTTTTAGGCATGCATCCACCTACCCATCGATACAATTCAAATTAGTGAGTCAGAAGAAATTTTCAAGTACCGACGACGCTGTCTTATCCAACCCGAAGTGGTAAACGTCGTTCCAGTAGGATATTGGCCCCTGTACCGTGAGAAAAAGACCCTCGTACCACCACAGCCCGGCGAGTATGGGAACTGATTTATTTTTGATTTTTTCTTTTTGCAAGATTCAATCTCAATGATGATTGTATGCGCTCGTCCAGTAAACCGGTACCGGGGGGCGAACGCGAGGGCGATGCCTAAATTTGCATAAAAGCAAGTATATCTCGCGTGCCTCAACAGCAGCGCCGCAGCTATGAAGTCGCCGTCAACAACGGACGTCATGTTAAGTGAAAATGGACAACAAGGGGAATAAACAAAGCATCAAAACAAGCGCAGAAAGCCAAAGCTGCGATGAGTACATTTTCGATCCATAACCTCGGCGCAATAGATCAGGTAGAGCCCGAAGACGGAGTAGAGAAACGAACTTCCAGCGAAGCACCACGAAGCCTTTGCCCGCTTCACGTATCCTTCGCGATTCAAGTAGTCTGAGACTCCGACGTCCCCGCTGTCGGTTCGAGCAAGGCGATCATACTGGGATTGCACCCACGCCCTTGCCGCGTCGACGACGCCCATGCTACAGTTGGTTTTTTTGTTCTTGGCCTACTTGAAGCGAAAACTATAAGGCCATCAATTACCTTACTTTACTCTGAGAAGATTTTCTCTACTGTACTTCTAATGTTGCAGACGTATTTTGTATTTGATTATAGAGGGCTTAAGCATGTGCATTTTTTCTAGATCTGTCAAGGAAAATCAAAATTTGTGCCGAGCACTTGCTCACGCAAAACGAAACGAGTAAAGCGCTACTTTTTGTTTTTGATTTTGAATCAAAATAAAACCTGGAAAACAGATGCAGCTGCAAGCTTTCAGAAAACAATTGCCACCTGATGCAGACTGGTGGAAGTACACAGGACGGGATCTCTCGTGTGAGCAATGCAGACGTAGAACGTCTCAAGCTTCTATACGAGTGACGGTGGAGGGCCGTCAATTCATCAGTTCTTGTTCTTTTCCCGAGACAAAGTAGTTCTAGAACACCGCATACCACACAGATATGATAGAACGTGCAGAGGACATGGATACATCGGCTGCGAGGCGATCGCGATTTTTCCGATCTTCAACATACATAAAGCGCGTCCGCATCCTACTAGAACTAGTGCCACAGGCCTTCTCACATTACCATTGGAAAGGTTGGTCGCTATTTGTACCATACAAACTGCTGAAGATCAAGGTTTAATAGAACTCGACGACATGTGCATCATCATGCCTTTGTCGCTCATCACACAACATGTAAGTTATTCTGTCGAAATTCCTGCAAGCTGACGTTAAATCGCACGAGAACCTCGACGCTATCTTCTGCTCGGATCCCCGGCTTGGACTTGTTGGGTTGCGCGATGTAGTCAATCTCTTCGTCCAATAACTCCGGGACTTCGCCCAGCAGTTTCTGCCGCAGCTTGTCCTGCGAAAGCGGCCTCCAGCACTGGACAATGAGCTCGTGGCATCCGGGTTTCGTTGGCACCAGCACCTGACCATACCCTGCTACTTGGTTCCGCCCGTCCCCGTCCTTGCCTCGTACAACCAACTCCATGCGCGGCCAGCCTTCGAGTGCGAGAGCGCTGCAGTAGAAAAGTCGTTCTTGTATGTTGCGCGCAAACGCAAAGTCAGCGAGTTGTACCAGCAGCAGCAATCATACTATTTCGATTCTAAAATAAGTAATTAGCAAGCTGACGGCCTGACACCGGTGCGGTTAAATTTGATTGTTGCGTCGTCCAAAAAAAAGCAAAAAATACGCGAAATGCGCATCAAACGGGTGGTTCCAGACACACATCCCATTGTGACCGTCAGAAACGAACGTTTCCCCTCGCTCCTCGCCATTCAGCATGAACCAGTTCGCACGGATGAAGCGAAACCGGAACGCGCAGTACAGTTGGCTCATGTTGGTCGCACAAATTCCACCACACTCTACTTGATGGGAGCGTCAAGAACTGGGAAATCGTCATAATGGAATATGGCTTGCCATACTTGATATACGCAAGAACAGAGGCCGACTGAAAGTCTGAGACTGGGTCATAGCGCCTGTGCGACATCAAGTCATTTCCCTATATGATGATTTCCCACGAAAAATATGTTTGCATACACCTCGCCATTGACGTACAGCTGCGGCCGGGACTGTAACCTCTGTTGCGCGCGCACGTCGGCGAGGGACCGTCGATTCGACGAGGAAGCAGAGCTCTTCGCGTCCTGCGGCCCAGCCGCGGAGCCAGTAGCACCGGAAACGACGCTAGCCATGGAGGTGGTCGGTGTGTGAGGAGAGATGCTGTGGCGCTAAAGCAATAAAATCGTGCTGGGAATAAATAAGTATGCGGCCTTTACAGCCGTGATCCCTACTGAGTTTGAAAACACGACACCGAAGATCGCCGTTAAACCCACTCGCTCGTGGGGACTCGTCTTCAGCTTGTTCTCAGAACGCACCGTCAGCAAAGCCAAAAGATAAAGATTCTGCTGTTTCGTGCGAACATATTGGATACTTACGCGTGGACGCTGCTGGGCGGTTGACTCACACATGATACCACGAAGGGCAACCATGGCTGCGTCCGGATTTTGTAGGTCGGTGGCTTTCTTTTTGTTTATTTCTCTGAGAAAATAAAAATTTCTCGCTCGGTTCGAGCAACGCCAAAACATACAAGGGGTATCGTACAAGTTGTCTGTGTGCAGCACCTCGTTTCCGGTCGTACTCGTGGCGAGTGCGGTCTTTGCAACGAATGAAAGCGGTTTTGATTGCTGACATTGCCAAAAAAAGCATGCCGCAACTACGTCGATTGAATGTTATTAAGCAAAAATGAAGAAAATAAGAGGAAAACACCTTTAGGTGGCCCTAGGTGTTTTTCATTGTACAAGCTTACTACTTTAAGGTCATTTTTTTTACTTTAATACAAAAAAGCCTACTAGTGGCAAGCAATTTGGTTTTGGTACATGATCAATCAAAAAAACATTGCCAATACGGTTTCTGATTCCACTAGAAACCCCACTCTTTTGGCTTCGGTTCCCGCCACCAGTAGCCTTCCCTCCGCACCGGGCCTAGGGAATCTACCATCTCCGGAATTTGCGATGTTGGTTTTCGTACGGAACTCAGGGAGGCTGTCAGGTACTTTCGGTAACGCCGCATGGGTGCACGCTTTTTATCGTTGTAACTTTGCGCAGTAGGGCCGCTCAGTCCTGCCGAATTTTCATTTTCGATTTCACATTTTTGGGAGAATAAGTGCCGTAAACCAGAAGTGGAGTATGACTATGAGGTCCACCCTTCTGCGAATAAAACAAGACTGCTGCTACCTACGCAACAAGTTTTCTCTCGTTTCATCATCTATAAAATAGAAGAGACCACATTGACATTCATATTTTAGTACTTGTAATCGACTCCGCTAAGCGGATGTGCTTTTCGCTCTGTGTCCCGCCGTGACTGCGACTGGAGAGACCGCCGCCATGCTTGCTCTGGTCGAAGAGCACCCGGGTGTGAGACACGTTGGCGAGGTGTCTCTTTTTTTCCCTTGCAAAGTGCGCAAACTCCTCTCCAATGTGCTCCGGCTTCTTTGACAGCGTATCCATCGTTCGCACAAGCCGCCTGGTGTCGAGCTCCGGCACTGGCGACCTTCGGGGAGACCGTGGACTCCGGGAACGCGGGGAGTGACGGGCTATTTCATTTTGGTGTTGTAATTCATTTAAGCACGCCCCCCTATCCTTTTAGAACGTATATGGCTTGTCTATGGCTTGTCGTTATGAAAATGGTGTGTACGTGTAGGGTAAGCAAATGAAAGGATGGCTGTGGGAGCAAAAATTACACGAGTTTGACGAAACAAAAAACTGTTTACTGTATCCATTCTTAGAGCAAGAGAACAAACAATACGGCTCAACTCCGGCGAACTCAAGGCGCCGATGTGCTCGCTGGCATCGAACTCATCACGCGGAGAGGGTGGCGTTCCCGGCCGCCGTGGCAAATCCGTCAGCTGGGTGCAGGGCTTGAAGCTGTTCTGGAAATGCCCTGCACGTGATGATGTTTTTAAGCGAGTGATAAGGCTCCTTTGATGTGCAGTTTGTTACTCAAGGTCAAACCCGTCTTCGTCTTATAGTTCAACTTCAACTACATGACTGACAAATACAACGAAAAAAAGGTGCGTCACATCATCATATCTGTACAGTAGCCGTTCACCGACGTCGGTTTCGGTTTGTAGTCGAGCGTCACGTGCCAAAATTTGTGATTTCGCAGGTCCTTGATTTCCTGTCTCAGCGGCGCTTTGAATTCCCAAGGCTCCAAATTCTGCTCTTTGCGCTGTCGTTCTCTTGGGGAAAGTGACCTTGGGGAAAAGCTCATCACACTCGTGTTCGCCACGTTCTTGAATTCGCCCATCTCCTGGCCGAGGCTATCCTGGAAGGCGGACCACTGCGGTGACCGCTTCCGGAGCATGCTGCCCGTACCTTTGTTTTTTTTTGAAAGATGAAGATTGCAGGAACAAGCTGTTGTACTTACAGCCTTCCAGTGTCTTTTGGAAACAGCATTTCGTCTTTGCGAGGAAGACAGATAAACCACATCGAATTGTTGAACGAAAAGAACTCGCGCTAGCCTTGATACTTCTTCTCCTGACTTCTCCATCACTATAGACGCTGTCAGTGAATCCGGTGTCGTGGCCCCACACGCGAGGATTCTGCCCTCTGTGATACCGCGTAGAAAATCGCTGGACTGGGAACCCGTTGCTATCGAGTGGTACATTCGCGGCAATTGAAGCCGAACCAAACGGCGGTCTCAATCCCAACATGTGCGTAAAAAATTATATGACAAGTGTTTTTTGAAAATCGATAGTGTACAGGTAAAATTGAAAAGAACAATTCCCGAGTTCAACACAAAGTATGTACAGTTTGTTTTGTCCACCCCCTAGAGAAAGAAAACCTTAAAAAAAACGCTGGCTAGATATGTTAGTAAGTAGCATGATTCTTCGTAACTTCCGGCGATCGTTCCTCCGGTTGCGGTTACTTAAGAAAAAGGAAATGGTGAATTACTACAGTCGTGCGGCCGCGGTACTTCTACGCACTTCGACATGGTCGTCCAGTAGTCATTCATTATCATTACATTCACGAAGAAGAAATTTGAGGCCCGACGATATGAATGAGGTGGAGAAATGACGAAGAGCACCGACAACGACAACACGAGGCCCGCGGCCAGAGCTCAAAGCAGACGATGGGGAACTGAAAAAAAAAAAGTTCACGACGAAGACAGTCACGAAGACGATAGCGTGGATACGATCAAGATCTAAGCAATCTACCCGGCCAAATTACTTACTTACAACTGCGAGACCACTTCAAAAATAAAAATTGAACTCCAAGACATGCGGAGAATACGTGTTGTTGTGCTTTTCTTTCCTATCCCGAACGTCCTTGGATTTTCAAATTTCCTATGTTGAAAAATTCGTATCAAAAGTTTTTTCACTCACTGCATGTACGTCTGAGTACTTTTCTCCTATGGCCGCTCGGTCTTGGTACTTATCATCTTTTGCAGATGATTTCTGTCATGTAGTGCAGCTGCTATGTAGTGCTTCTATACTTCTTTCTTTACTTTTGTAAGTTAGTAGGAACGGGTTGTGTAGCGGTTGTACTTTTGGTTGGTAAAAAATCAGCACTGGCTTTTTTTAGTCTGCATCAAGATTAACTTCAACACAACCATCAAGCATAAGAAGTTCATGATCGCGCTAGACCGTCCCTGTCTGTCCGGACCCTGCTCCATTGTTCGCTGTCGCCCCTCGATTTCGCAGTAAATACTCGTGCACACGCTCCTTCGCTCTTCGTCCGTCTGATTTCAGAATGTTTTTGAACAGCATTTCCTGCACCCGCTCCCCGCTTGGATCCGACGACTCCTCGCCCAGCGTGGGGTCCCACACGCCCTTCCGCAAAAGCTCGTCCACCAAATCTCCCAGCTGCGGGTCCGTCAACACCTTGCTGCACACCCGCTCGCACAGCTCAAACAATGGCTTCGTCATGTTCACACGCATGCCGCCCACGCTCGCGGGAACCGGGGGAACGGACTCGCCGAAGTACCGCCACTTGAGTCCATTCCAAGCCCCGTACGGCTTCGATTTCCCGCCCGCGTCGTGCTTCCCCGCGACCCCGATCTTGCCCGGCGCAGAGCCCTCCAGCCCGAGCAGCAGACTCTTCACGCTGGCGCTGCCGGCCGCGTCGAGCTTGGCCTCGCGGAGTTGCACCAGAGACGAGAAGAGAAGGGGAGACTCTGTGAACATTTTGCTCGCCCAATCTAGGTTGTCCAGGTCCTCCATCTCTTTCCAGTGCCAGTAGCGCGTGCGCGTCCCCGCCGACGTTTGCACCTTGGTCCAAAAGCTGCATTCGAAGGGCCGGGTTTCGAAAGTCTCGTGGTTCAGGAAGGAGTCGATCGACGACTGCACTTCGTCCTGCGGCTGCTCTTTGTTCATCTCATGATCCGTGGGGGACGTGTTTCCGCCATGACGCGACAGCGTGGACATCCGGCCTTTCGCGGCGGCCATGGAGGACCGCTTCGTTTTCCCCGAGTTCTTGGACGCTATGTTCATTTTGGTCGTGCTGGCCTTGGTCGACGTGCCTCTCTCTTTGCTGGAAGGTTTCTTGGCCACAACCTTCGCGGAATCGATCGAGTCCTGCGGAGATGCGGCGGTGTTATCGTTGTTCCCGTCAGACTGCGGCGAATTATGTTGATCCTTGTCGTTTGCACCATCTACACTGGCCTTCGACCCCTCCTCGGAGGAAGGATCGTAGATGTCGGATGGCTTGTGGTTAGTACCGTCTGCACCTCCATGCTGGTGGTTCACCGGGTGTCGCTGAACCAGAGACATTCGCGTCGCGGGAAGGAACGCCAGAACGGATTTTCGCCAGCCGCTCTTCCGGCTTTTTCGCTTAGTTCCTTGCGCAAGCACAGCTGGTAATAGTGCCCCGTCGTCTTTCGGAACGGGGACCACCGGGTCAGTGAGTGCAACTGTTCCCCCAACCGCAGCCGCGGACTGAAGCGATCCACTGCCGGCTAGTACCCCCGTCGAGTCTTTTGCTTTATCATCCGAAATCGGGGAACTCCCGCGGCTGTCCGGGCTACTACGGCTCCCACTACCTGACGCTGGCCCGTCGTTCATTTGCTCCATGTGCTGTTCGCCAGCCTCTGGTCGTGACAGCGGCGACACGCTGGGGCTCGGAACGGCAAACTGCGCAGCGTTTCCGGATTTTCGGTGCTTGAACACGGCGTTTACTAGCGTTGAGGACCGCTTCACACTCAGACGGGATTTAAAGGAAATCCGCTTCCGCAAATTCGTCACGGCGCTCACACGTGGGCGCTTGTCAACTTCTGCGGAAGCCGACGGTGATCCGCCCTGCTTTCCATCGCAGTCCTTCTCGTCCTCGTTTAATATTCCCTCCTCTTCATGTCCTTTATCCCCGCCCTGATCACTGCCGAAAAAGCTGGCCGTTCCCGACCTCCGCAGGTTCGGCAGGAGGTTCCGCTTGCTCCCATTACTACCGCCGGCGCCGGTGAAGCTTCGGATGGACAAAGAGCTGCTGCCGCTCCGTTTTCGGTTCACCACCCCGGAAAACGAAACCGCAGTGGAAAGCCTCCCAGCTCCCTTCTTGACACTATTTCGCTTGTTCCGGTACGCCTTACTCGCGGTCGGCGAGGTTTGCTGCACGTTGCAGCGGAGCGCGAGACTGTCCGCAAACTGCTGGGTCACGTTGACCTTGATCAAGGTCAACCCGTAGTACGTTGCGATGCCCGGCATGTTGCTGCTGTCCCCACCGCCCTCCTCGCGGCACAAGTGCGTCGCGTCGTGGAATTTCAGTGCCTTGATGTTTGGCGCCGCACCCAGCTCGTCGATGCAGGCGCGCCGCGCGGCGTCCTCCCACTTCTCCTCCGGCATCTTCTTGGTGGTCAAGAGCGTCAGGCGATCGCTTACCCGCCCGTCCTCCAGCTCCTCGTGCGTCCGCAGCAGCACCTTCCCGTTGCACATCAAACACACCAGGCAGGGTTCCAGATACCGCTCGAGCACGCCGCGCCGCACGCGCAGATGGGCTTTGCGGAAAATCAGCTCCTGATAGAGCTGCTGTAGCAAATCGCGATCGATCACCGCCACCTTGCTCGACCGGGACTGGGAAAGAGCAGCCCCCGGAGCCGAGGGGTTGAAAAAGGGATCGTTTTCGAGCGCCTCGGCGGTGTCGCCACTTTCCCCCGAGCGCGAACGGTGTAGGTCACCGAAAACTTCGGGAACCTCCGGCACCGAGTTTCCGCGCTCGACGTAGCGGATCAGCAATTTCTTCAACGGCGGCGCCGGCGCCGCGGCGGCTCGAGTCACGCCCCGCGAAAACGCGACGCTGGCGGTCCCGAACATACTGGTTGACGCAGCGCCGAAGCCGCTCTGCAGCTTGTCCAGGCCCTGCGGCTCCGACTGCGCGTGGCCGACCGCCGTTCCCATCGCGGTCGAAGACTGCGCGAAGAAACCGCTGAATAACTTGCCGGTCGTGCTCTTCCCGATTTGCGCACCAGGATTGGTGGTAACGCCGTCACTGGAGGCACTAAGCGGGTCCGCGTGATCCAAGTCCTCCAGAACTGGGTCGCTTAACAGGAAGGCCCGCGTGCTGTTGAAGGCAGCCTGCGACCGGGGGTTGCGCAAGCTGCCGCCGCGCACTTCCCCGTGCAGCGTTGGCTCGATGTCCCAGGGAAGCCGTCCGGAATCCGGCACCCCCTGTTGGGACGAGCCGCGCATCGCTGCATTCGCCGGAGTTGTCACGAGCGACTGCACGTTACGCAGCAGCCCAAGCTCCAACGCGCGACGCAGCAAGGCATCCAGCGCGTCGGCGGACGGCGGGACGGGTAGCACAAAGAAGGGCTCGGACCGCGTGTCCCCGGCGCCGTCTAAAAAGACGGGCAGCTCCTGGTCGCTGCCCATGGCCACCACGCCGATCTGCTTCTTGTTCTTCATGTCCTTCTGCGAGTCGATACTCTTCGCGTTGAACGAAGCCGCGGTCAGAAATGTCCGCGCGTTCAAAAGTGCTTCCTCCACCCAACGTTCTGTTGGGCTCGCGAATGTGGGCGTGGGCACAACAACTCCGTGCTTGGTCGACGTCGCCCCGCAAAGGCTATTACTAGCATGGTCGCCCTGGCGTGCTTGTTGTGCCTCCCCCGGCTCTGGATCAACATCGTCCTGCCGGCCAACCGCACCGCTGAAAAACACCTCGGACATCACTTTCCCTACTTTGCTCTGCACGCTGTCGCTCTCGTCCACGACACCGCCTTGCCTCGAAGCGGTGCCGCTCAGCCGTGGTTTCAAATTTTTGATGCCCAACCGCGACAGGGTCACTGCGTTCAGGGTCTTTTCGAACTCCTGGCTCCAGGTCCAGTAGAACGTCCGCACGCCCAGCGGTGTGGCGCGCTTGGTCACGAAGGTGAGCGGGCCCATAAAGCCGAGGCTTCCGGGGTCGTACGACACGGTGGCGGAACTGTTGGCACTCATCACGTTCTCGCACGAAAACGTCCATCGTTCTGGTTCCTTGACCGTGACACAGCACACATAGTAACGGTACTGGGTGCGGAGTCCGGGCACGGCCCGCGAGGTCTTTGTTTCCTGCACCGTGAAGCGGATGTTCTCTTCCGATTTCTTCTTCTTCACCTGCTCTCCTGTTTCCGCTTCATGCGGTTGGGTTGTTTTACTGCTCCCACCACCACCGAAGAAAATGGAAGACCTCTTCATCGCCGAAATGGACGAGTTGCTGGTGCTCAGCCGCCGCTGCATCATGAGCGAGATGCTGCTGCCAAGCACCGATCCGCGGGAGGTCGACGTTCGCGATTGCAGCGACGGACGAGGCAGAGCAAGCGTTTTGGGAAGAGTCTGCGTGGATTGCTGGAGGTCCAGCGATCCGGAAGCCGGGCTGGTCTCTGTATCTTCCTTTATTTCCTTCGAAGACGAGGCCGATGGCACCATCATGCCGCCATCAATCCGCTCGAAGAACTCCTGCACACTGTCCGCCGCCTGGGGCTTGATGGCCTCGATGTTCAGAATGTTCTCGGCGTCCAAATGCAAATCGTCCGCCAACATCCGGTACACGCAATCCCGCCAAGGCTCGCTGGGCCGACGCTTCGCGCCCGGTAACAGCGGCGCGGTCGACACCAACCGGTCGTCCTCGCTGATTTCACAGGTACGCACCAGAATCTTCCCCCGCGACCGAATCAGCACGATTACCGGAGCCACGCGCCGAACCAAAGAGAGCGTTACCGGCGACTTCGCGCCCGGCATGCTACCATTGCCGTCCGCAAACATCGAAACCTCGCCACGACCCAGTTGTAGCGCGCACTCCAAGGCCATAGGCGGGTACTCCAGCGGCTCCACCTTCTCGCTCGCCAAACTGCAAACTTCTTCCTGGAGATCGTCTTCCTGCTGCTTTTCTTGCGTAGAAGTTCCATTGGCCGGCGTTGCCGAGTTGTTCAACATTCCGTTGTGATGTAGTTCCATACCGCACACCGACCCGTCCATCTGCTCACCACTGTTTTTGCTCCTCGCCCGCTTCCCCAGTACGGCGCTGGCAAGCAAATTCGTGTGATCGGAAGACGGCGCACTGTCCGCGGGACTGGACGGACTTCCCAAACCGTTGCTGTAGTTCGGGGACCGGAGTGACGAGGACAGGGGACCGTTTTTGCTCGTCATTCGACTGTCGTCCTCCGGCAGCTGCGCCATGACAGCATCCTCGCGAATGGTAACCATCTCCTTCGAAGTCACGCCCAGCCGGCCCCCTGTCGTGTCGGCAAGGGACCGCGGTGACAGAGGCGCGGACTTGTTCTCTTCTAGCGTCGACGCTGCGGATCGCTGGTCGGCGTGCTGTTCCAAAAAAACATCGGACAACTTGACATTCAAGTCGTGCTCGAGCCTCGTTTTCGACGACGCCGCGCCCTTCGACGAGTCGCGCGTTAACGCGGTTCCAGCAAGTTGGTCGGTCACCGAATGCGAGCGTGCGGCGTTCTGCTGGTGTTCGTAATTCATGCAAATCGCGAGCGCCGACTCCCCGCTACACAGCTCCTCGTAGAAAGCTTCGAGTGACTTCGCGGACCCTTTGCCAAACTGCTCGAGCGCGACGCCAAAGTGATTGGAAAGAACCTGCCGCAAAACCTCGATCGAGGGCGGTGCGGCGAGCGTTTTCTCGGTGACGCCGCACGAAGAGCCTCCGTCAGCGGAGCCGTTCGCCTCATGCAACAAGCGATCGCAGATCCCGTATATTTTGCCACGCCACGCTTGCTCCGCCGCGGGGTCGCTGCTTCTCTTCAGACTGGTCCCCGAGTTGGAAGAGCTGGGCACCGCGGAGAGCCCCGGTAGGTTCTTGTTCAGTACCGCAACCGGCGCCCCCGGCGATGCCGGGTTCACCAAGTCATGCAGCGGCCGGCCGTCCTCCAACGGCCCGCCGGGCGTGCGGCCGCCGTCGCCTGTGAGCCCGGAAATCCGGGCCGCGAGTACCCCACTGTTGTTCGCGGCGCGCGCAAGGTCCGCGTGAATGCCATCCAGACTGCCCCTATTGTTCGTCCCGTACGTCGAAAGGTTTCGCTCGCTGGCGGACGGATCTGTCTCCTGTTCCACCTGCAACTCATCCACCTCCTCGTCCATGCTATGGGGTTCTCAAACGTTACATTGATCGCTGTGCCATGATTTCGTGACGCAAATCCGACCGAACACACGAACGCACTCCGTACAAAGGGCACCTTTTCACAGTCAGCGACCCATGCAACGTTTGAGACCACCATACACGCGAAGGTACACGTGGCCGTTCTGCACGCCTCCGACCACGCGAATGGATCGCTTCCATTTCTTCTTCTGCGGGGGTGTGGAGGAACGGTGAATGTCCGCTCCGGTCGCGGATGCAGAGGTGAACTGGTAGTGATGTAGTAGTAGTTGTAAGGGCAAATAATTTTTTGGGATCATGCGCACGGGCTCCTGCAGAGGTGGACGAGATCGAGACCTCAACAAGAACATGCACATAAATATTAGTGCGATGTCTGCCTAGCCCTATCTACTTTCACGGATAAGGAAGTTCAAAGAAAGCAAAGAAGTTTTTAGACTTCAGTGACCGGTCTAAAACCACTTAAGAAAGCTAGGATTTGGAGTATTTACTTTGTTTATGTACCACAGTGCTCTGGTCGTCGACGTTGCTATTGCCCGAAAACTCGCTTGCTTCCGAGGTGAGGTCGTCAGTAGTGTTGCCTTTGCCTGGTGACACATGATTCTCCGCTGTTCCACCATCGACCTTGCTGCGGTGCCCGCCCGCGCTTTTCTCCTTTGTCCGAAGCAAGTTCCGAGACCCACCTCCCAGCGACATGACTTTCGTGACACCGTGTCGGGTTCGTTCCGAAAGGTGCCGCCGAATGTTTCCGCTGAAGTTGGCGAACGAGTTGGACTTTTCCATGAACAGAGTGGCACGGTTGCTGAAGGTGACACGAGGAAGCACGTGCTGCTGATTTGCCTTGGGCCCTCCGCGATGCTTGCGCTGCGTGCTGGTCGAGCGCGCCGCGTACGAGGCGACGCTTTCGACTCCCGTGGGACCACCCCCTCCAGGAGCGCCGTTATCTTGCATAGAACGCAGACTGGACGTCGTGCTCGCCAGGCCGGCAAGCCCGTCGTCGACAATGAGCCCTCGCACGGAACCGCTCAGGTGCAGCTGCCTGCGCGCCGAGCCCACGGTGCTCGATGCCGTGTCGTCCACGACGCTTGCGGATGCGCCCGTCAAGTCTCGGCGCGCGGATTTCCCGTCCCCCGTTGCAGCTCCCGTGGCGTACTTGTTTGCGCCCGGGTGGTTGCTCTTCTTTCGGCTCGGGTCCTCCGGACCGAGCTCGCTGCTGCCGAGTACCCAGCTGACCAGCGGCAACCGCCCGAGCACGTCGCGCAGCAGTGTAAAGGTCGTCCCCGCGCCGCCACGGTAGCCTTGGCTCCGCGCCCCGATGGACAGCCCCTCGTAAGTCGCGGAGGGCAGCAGTTGGAACAGCTCTCCGTTGAAGCCCACAAAACCTGAAATTTTTGTGAAATTTCATCACTGTGTGCCACCGTCTTGCTTCCGATCGAAAAACAACGGACTGTCGAAAGGACAAAACCAAAAAAAAAAGCATGTATACAAGAATCGAGCTACATAAAGAAGAACGCAGGTTTGTTCACCAGGAGAGCTACGAACCTGCTTTCCCGTCGTGCACTTTCTTCGGGTTTCCCGCGCCGCCGACGGGAAGATCGAGGCCCCAGTGCTTCCCGCGCTTGCCGTCCACGAGGATCTCGTAGCCCTGGCTCAGTGCCTGCCACGGCTTCAAAACGCGCTCGACCAGCAGCGCCCCGGCCAGCAGATTCTCATCGGTGAAGGCGAGCCCACTTTCCAGGTGGTGCTCCCCGCGTCGTTCGACCTTGTGCGTGGCCGCGGCCCGCTTTGCGAGGGGCAGCTTCGACAGCACTTGCAGCACGCGGATGTCCGTCTGGGAATGCGCGGTAAAAAGTCCGTGCCGCTCGGGCGTTGTCCCCTTGTTCGGAGCCGCATGCGAGGGCGAGGACACCAGCATCGCAGAAGACGCGGTGGCGGAAGGCGGGTGCTGATGCGTACTATTTGATGTTAACGAGGTGTGGTCAACTACTGCGCCTCCTCCTGTTTTGGACGGGGAGACGGAAGTAGACACCGACGTCGCAGCATTCACGTTCAATGCCTGGACACTCACCGAGCGCCCGCCGATGTCGGCGCCGGCGTCGACCGGCGCGGCGGATTGCTTGGACGAGGTCGCTGCGCGTTTTTGCAGCATCGAGGCGGGACTGGCGGAGGCGACGATGCTGAACGTGCTCTTCATCATGCCGGAAACGGGCTCCGGGCGGTGGATCTCGTCCGCTGCCGGAACAGCGACGCTCTCGTCGGGCAGCGCGAACTTGCTCTGGTCTTGCTCGTCCAACTGCAGCCGCACGGACCGGCGGCGCTCCGGACTTTTGCTCGGGGACGCCGGCTGCTCCGGTTCGGGAACGCTGCCCGTGAACAGGAAGTGCAGAAAATCGACGGGAGACACCCCTTCGAGTTGGAACAAGACGCGACTTCCGTGTCCAAAAACCGTTGCCAGGGGAAAAGGCCACAGTTGATTCGTCGCGGAGTTCGGCACGTCCGTTGTGTACAGGCCACACGTTGCAATGCACAGAAACAGTCTGCGCATGAACATCACCTTCAGCTGCAGCGTTTCCAGGCTTTGCTCCACTTCGCGCCTGCGCGACGCCAAGGCACCAAAGTTGTCAGACGCGTGGCCCCTCTTGGTCGGACTTGAGAGCGCACTTCCGTGCGCGGGCGTGCTCACAATCGACGATGCGGTTTCGACGTGTAATCTTGTTCCTTCGTTCTTGCTCGGAGAAAGACTCATGCCCGCTGATTTAGTATTTGGCTCCGCGTCATCGACGGCAAGCAGGGTCCGGCTCGCCGAGCCTTCGATCGAAGCAGCAGCTGAAACCTTCTTCTGCACAGCCACGTTCCCGGTTGTACAACTGGTGGGCGAGGAGCCAGCCAGAGCCACCCCGATCTGACTCGCGTTACTTATCGATGAGGTTGCCGTGTAGCTGCTTAAGTTTCGCAGCGCAGACTTGCTCAATACCTGCTGTTGTTGAGTTGCTGGATTTGCAATTAATGCGGCCGCTGCTGGCAACATTGATGCATTCTTCGGTGGCGGCACCGGGACGGACGCTGCGCCTGCGTTTGCGGACAGCTTCCCGGCCAGCGTCTGCGAGTACTTGACCCGCGCCTTCTCCCAGAAGGTGCGATCCTGGTTCCACAGCAGATCCGCGATGGCCTTTTTGGTCGGGAACAGGGTGTTGAACATCAAAACGATGTCGTTCACGAACTGCCGCTCCATAATGTCCGTGATGTCCACGGGGAAATTGTAGTCCTCCACCTGCGCCACCTCCGCCAGCGGCTGCCACAGCCGTTCCATTTCTTCCCGCGTTTTCGGTCGCCAGGGGATGTTGTCCTTGCAGTTCTCGATCCGAAAGGGCCGGAACGAGGCCGCGGTGACCGTGACCTCGATGTCAAACGGAAAGCCGGGCAGCAGAATCCGGCCTTCCTGCGTGATCCGTGCCTTCGCCTCCGTCAGCGGCGTATCTTCCCCCCGCAGGTCGCGGTACACCGCGACCAGGAGCTTCATGCCGTTCTTCACGCGGAACAGCGGCTGGGGAATGATCACCTTGTTCCGATAGGAATACGCCTCCCAGGTGGGGTGGCTGGTGTCTTCGATCGCACGGGTGCGGATCGTCACCGCGCCGCTCGCTTCCAAGGCAGCGTGCTCCTTATCAAAATGAAAAATCCCCCCTCCCCATATCAAAACAGAAACTGTGATGCGGGATTCGTGTACACAAATCACACCTGTCTTGCAGGAGAGCACTGCACGCAGATCGCAAGCGCGAGGGGGTGTTTTTTGGTGTAGGAACCTAGCATGGCAGACGTCTGCCATGTAGGCCTTGCAGCATTACAAACCGCCTGCATCTCGCGGCGGACTCTCTAGATTTGTCTTCTGGCAAGACAGACAGGATTCGATTTGTGGTCACAAATCTGCATCACAAATTTTCGGAAGGACATGTTTTCAATATGGGGAGGGGGGATTTTTCCTTGCAATACTCCTCCACCCGCCGCTTCCGCCGTTTCTTCCGCAGCCCGAGCGCCTGCATGCCTTCGCTTACGGCAGGGGTGCATTTCGACAAGTGCTTCCGGAAAAACCCCTTGCCTTTCTTGTTGTCCTCAATCAACAGGCAGAAGAGCCCACTGGTACTCTCGTGGTGGGCGCGCTGTTTCGCAATGTAACCGGGTACCCGAATACGGGTGATGTTGAAGAACGGAGCCTTCTGGTTACTGCTCCCCTCTCCGCCTCCGCCCATGGTGTTGATGAATCTTTGATGTTCTACTGCTGCTGCAGCAAGTTGTCAAGGTTAAGGCACTTGACCACCATGATCTTCGCTATCGAAGCGAAAAGCCTTTGGTTTGCATTCAGTACTTAATTGTGCGATAAAGCTAAAGCAAAGGTGAAGGTCATCTCCAGCTCCTCTAGAAAAAATTACGGTTCACTCTCTCGGTGCTGGCGGACCACCAACGCAAAAACTAGAAGCCGCTCACGCTCGGTGTCAAAAGAATAACTTCTCTCATTGGATCGCTGCAACGTTCTGCGATCTCGGCCTTTATCCTGTGGACGAGACGCTAGCTGCGTGAGAATCCCGCGCTGGTCTCATGATCTTCATGTTTGTGCACGTGATAAACTACTCGACACGTCCTGAGGCTATGTACCAGGACGGAGGGGCTCCTACAGGAGTACCGCCGAAGAACAAAGAAAAACTCGGAACAAAGGCTAAATCCCTTAATTTTACAGTGCGACTACCTGCTCAGCACCCTTCTTTCAAAAGCTCCGGATTCCCGCAGTTCAGCGTCAAAGCGAAATCAAACCAGGATTTTTGCCAGCGAGCAAGCAACCCTCCAGACAGACTGCGGTGATGGACTTCGAGTCGTCCAGGTGGAATATCACGTACAACCATATTGTCTCGCGGCGCACGATCACGATGATCTTCTTGAGTATCGTAGTCATTTCATGACGTAAGTACTATGTTGGTTCTTATGGTTACACCTACACGATATTTTTAAACGTGGGTCGTGACTAATCCACACCAAAGCCCAGCCTCGCTGCTGCCCGTTGGTTACTTGCTCCGTGGAAAAGTAGTCATTTCGTCCGCGACACATGCCTAAGCAAACTGCACCCCGGCCTTGATGACCGCATCGGCATACTTGGTTTCGGCGCAGGACGACTTGGGGAAGCGGTCAATGAAGACCTGCGTATTTTCATTCACACACCCTTTTTAGACAAGCTCAAGAAACAAGAATAAAGGTATAGAGATTCTGTGCATGATCGGTCTTGAATGGGTAACGTGCACCGCTCGTCTGAAAATTCGAATTCCAACAAGATGAAAAAGCAAACGCTCTTTATAAGCAGGAAAATGAAGGTTAAGGTTCAGATTAACACGAGATGAGACCACAACGTGGAATTTGCTGTAGGTACCTCTTCCTCATGCCAGCCAACGGCTTGCGCCGTGGTCATGGGCCGCTTGTAGATTTCCATTGGGCCGTACTTGACGCGGGCATGCTTCCTTCTGTCGTCCATTGAATCTTGGTACGAGTCGTAGCTGTTTGTAATTTTTCCGCCAATGAAAAAAGTCACTGACTTTTGCTCAACCCCCTCGATCATATGTGAACAAACATTTCAAAAAGGAACAGAACAGCCAAAAGCATGAAAGATTGAAGAATTGTACTGTGTCGCCTTCTTGCTGATCTTTTTCACTTTTTCCCGAATCACAAAGAGCCCCTCCAGGAACTCGCTCCAGGTGAGACTGCCTTCCTCTTGCAGCTTCATGGTGGAAACGATATCACAGTGAAAAATGCCACCCACCCCTGATTGCAGGAATTTGTGATGCGAAGTTTCCAAATGAAAGCTTTTTGTCATGCATGAAAGGAGTACGAATCTTTCTGATGCAGATTCTAGTCGTGTTTCGCATCGCTTGCATGACAAGCACCGCTTTTGCTGGGATCTTTTGCAATAGAAATTTTTGCTATTCACGATCGGAAATCTGTGATGCTGATACACGCAAGAGGGCGAATGTTTCATTTGGAAAGATTTGCAATACAAATGCTTTCAAGTTCGGGGGTGGGGGTATTTTTCATTGTAATAAACGAAGATGTTGATTTCTTCTGGCATTGGTTCGAAGCCGTACGTCCGCGTCAAGCATTCGTACCTTTATATTTTTTGGGAGATGGGTTACCATCCGATCAAAAGGGTCATTGCAAAGCATTTCTACTTCATCTAATGTTCATACTGTATGCTGACTAAGCGTCTGCGTCCATATGCGATAAGATGAAAAAAGATACACGTCAATTCTTGGTATGCTTCCGTCCGCACTCGCAAGTGTGTCAAAGGCCTTTTTGAAATCCTCATCCGCAAAACTCGTCACGCCCAACGTCGACAGCAAGTTGCATCCGATCGGCTGCCCAGGGCCCAACGAAGTCACGCCGAAAAATCCCGACATTTAATTTAGATTCTTTCTGCGTTAGAAACTGATGGTCGCGAGTCTTTGATAATATCTTCTGAGTTGTAGCTACAGCTAGGAAGAAGTACTACTGTAAAGTTTACAGGTCTGAAGAACGCGAAGGTTTTTTCACAGACAGCAAATCGAACAAAAATGAGAACAAAACTTAACACCCAGTTTGTAATGTTCAATGAGTACTTCGGAAAGCAGAAACAGACAGTCTACAGCTTACACCCAACCCCTTCTAGTCAAACAAAAAAAAGCTACAAACTTTTTGCAATTTCAAGTATACTTCTTGCACAATCGTGATATTAACGGCTGCAGCTTTGCGTCGACAGCAGTGTCGTTGTAGAAGGGTTTATCTTTAGGGGCGACGCAGCAGAAAGCTACATTTAAATCGAGCACTCATCAATCTGTTGCTTTTCCTTCTGATGCTGTGAACGACCCACCCGACTGAACGAAAACAACTCTTCTACACGCTCGTTCGAACGAAAGTCGAGCTGTATCTTTGGTACGTTTTCCACACGATACGATGATGAGCACAAAAAGAACGATTTTTTGCTGGGTACCAGTTTCTCCGTCAACAGACACCAGACCAAGAGACACGAGACAGGACAAAACATCAGCGAGAATCGCCTGCAGGTGCATCGCGGAAGCAGAAAATTTTTATAGCCTATTGCTACGGGTCCACGTCCAAGAAACAAGTGCTTCGTTCTCATCTTCTGAAGCTGAATGTCAGGGAGTATTCTACAGGAAAAACTTTAGACCAACAAATGAAACACAAACCAACGATAACGATTAATACGGGTTGCGGTGGTGAGACCGCCCAAAACCTCCATTTCTGATTCTGAGTTTCAACGAAAAAAGCCTACCGATAAGTAATGCATATGCAGCATTCGACGAACGATCAAAATTTTCATACATTGGTTTGGATTGCCATTGGGTTTGTTTCTGAACTTGTTTCACTTCGGTCTTGGCGGCCTTGCTTGCGCACTTGCTCCGCCGGATGACGAAGCCCCTCCAGCCGTGTGCGGTCTGCGCCGCGCCCCGGGTTGCAGCTCGGGAAGCGCGGATTCCGCGTTGGTAGGTGCGGAGTGAATGCGAGCACCAAGAACCCGATCCAGCGGAATGCTCGATCGATTTGCCGGCACGGAATACACCTTGCGCGGCTGGTTCGGTGCTTGCCACTTCGAATTGCCCGGTCTTTTTTGCGGGCTCAAAGAGGATATCTGCAAATCCGGCTCCACGGTAATCGACTCACCATCCTGCGTGTTTGGCGAACACGGGGCCATAGCCTTATTTTGTCGCTGCTGTCGACCAGAAGCAGAGGTACTGATTTGGTTCCGCATGCGCAGCGCACTGTCCTGGCGTCGCAAGGACATCAACAGCCCCGTTTTCCCTTGCGCCGCGGAGTTGTAGTTATTTCCGCCACTGTGCAGAAGCAAATTGCTGCTCGAGGAGGAGGAGGACCACGGGCGAACCGCCTCCTTTGGCGTCTGAAAACCTTCTACACCGACGCTCTTCTCGTTCGTGGGCGTAAACGGATTCGCTATTGTCTCGTAGTCTGGCGGTTCGAGGAGATTCATCTCTGCGTTATCTTTGCCGCCGCGATCGAAGTGGCTGATCCTTATCCCAAACTGCCCGCCGTTGCCGCTCTGTTGCAGTTGTTGCTTGGCGAGCTGTGAACGGCGGTGGAGATTCGCGGCGCCACCGGAAGATGGTCGCCTGTTGTGCGATCCAGTTGCAGAGGTCGTGTTTTCGGTCGACTGTCCCGTTGTACTGCTCATCACGGCAGAAGACGATCCGTTCGCTGTTGGGTACTCTAGTTGCAATTCTGTCACCGCCGTTTTGTTTGGCGAAGTAGATGAGACGTTGCTCCTGCTCACAACTCTGTTTGGGCTTCTGTTCTGACCCAGTCGGCTATCGCTAGTTTTTTCGTTTCTGTTGTCCAGCTTTTTCTCATTTTCCTCCTGTGTTTGCATCCGGAACGATTTCGGCTGGATTCCCTGCGCATGTAACACCAGATCATGAATCGACAGCTCCGGCCCCCGGTCGGGATAAAACAGCAGCCGCTGCGCGGCCGCCGACGACGGCGAGCGTGCGATATTGGCCGAACCCGGTCGAGCCGGGGAAGAAGCAGTGTGATCTGCACCCTCACGACCAACATCGACCTCCATTTCTTCTTGCTCCGCAGTAACGGGAAGATGTGGCTGGTACACCGCGACGGACGCACTGTTCCGCGTGCTCCTACTGCGGTTCTTCGCCTCAGCAGTGGCCGTCGTCTGCTCTGATGTGGAGGACGCATCACCCCCCACGGTACCAGAGTTCCGTGGATCGAACGCGGATGCCGTGGACGCCGATGCGTTTCTGCTACTCTGGTGCCTCTCGGCGTTCGGGACGGCAGCAAGCATTCCCTGCATGTTGTTCGTGGTTGCGGCGCGAGGGGTGACGGGAATCAACGGCTTTAGTTCCTCTTTCAGTAACTTGCTGTTGCTGTTCGTCATTGCACTGATATCCTCGTAGAGGAAGCGCTTCCGACTGTTCCGCGCGTTTTCGTACCTGTTACTCACCGTCAACGTTCCAGACACCCTGTTCTTGGTGGCCATCCGGCTCGGGGGCGATGACGCGCGGGATAGAGCCTGCCCTCCCGCGCTCGTGGGCGCGCCGGAAGAGGACGAGGCGCGGGACATTGGCCGGCTGCTCCACGTACCCGCTGCGCTACCGGGTCGCGTAGAGCCGCCCATTGACGTCCGGTTCTTCGCACTACCGTTTTTCGTGCCTGCGGAGGATGTGCGGTTGTAGTTGCCGTGGTCTGCGTTCATACCCTCTTGCTGTCGCGCCGGACTGCTCCACGGCCGTCCGCCGGTCTGTGCCATCCAGTGCGCCTGCCGCCCGTCCCGCACGGCGCTGGCGCCGCAGTGCTCGAGGACGAAGGAAGTCAGGTTGTCCACGTCCGAAAGGTCTTCGTCGATAAAGAGGAAATCGGGAAACAGACTGGTGTGCCCCTCCACGCACTTCAAAATTTTCAACCGCTGCTCCTCCATCGCGAGCTTGAACTGCCTCTGCAGCTCCTGCAGGCGAATCAGGCGGTTGCGCGCGTCCTGATACAACCGGTCAAACACGGACCGGTCCCGCACCTTCTTTTTCCGCCGCTTCGGGGACCCGCTGCCATCGTCGTCGCTGCTGCCCCCCAGCGTGTGGCTCAAGTCCTGCGACCTCAAGCCGTGCTGCGCCATCGCCTGCTGCACCTCCCGACTCGGACCCTCGCGCTCGAGCTGCTCGATCCGGGACCGCAGCTCCTCGATGGCCAACAGCAGCTCCGCCTTCTCCTGCTCCGCGGCGCGCAGAAGTTCCTCCAGCTGTTTGATACGCGTCAACGCTTCGCTATGGCGTTCTCAACTGTTACATTCTCAACTGTTACATGAATTTGTGATGCAAGAATGGCAAAAGTCAAAGAGGTGACGTTGCGCGTCTAGCATGACAGATTTGGCACAGATTCTCAGCCTGTTTGGCTCTTCGAGAATTTGTCATGCGGAGCAGCTTGATCGTATCAATTCTACTTGTGATTTTGCATGACAAATCATGTAACAGTTGAGAATGTAACGTTTGAGAACGCCATATTCGCCCGCCTCCGCCTCGATCTTGGCCAACTGGGCCTGCAACGACGCGTTTTCCTCCTGCAGCTGCGCGTTTTGTTCCATCATCGCGGCCAGCTGCGCCTTGGTCTGGTCCAGCTCGTCGCGGAGACCCGCCGCGAAAACCTCCAGCTCGTCGTATTGCTGCTGCAGGTACAAGTGCTCTGCTTCCAGTTCCCGCAAGGCTTTCAACAGCGAGTACATCTGGCTTTCCATAATCTGCTTCTCCTTCCCCGCGAGGGCGCAGGCCTCGGGGACCCGGTGCGTTAACGCAGAAAACTCCCGCACCAGCGCGTCAAAGGTCAAGCGGTTCGCCAACACCCGATACCGGAGAAATTCATCGAAGCCGGCGCGGTTCACAACGCTTGTCGTGTAGGCTTTGAACGCTTTGGAAAACTCGTCCGGCACGAGCAAGATCCCGCGTTCCCGCTGTGGAATGGTCGGTCGGTTCGGCGCCTCCGGCTGGAGCAAGGGGTCCAGCATCGCAAAAGGGTTGGTTTCCCGCCCGCCCATAGACGCTTTCAACAACCTCGTCGGCCCGGAGAGTCGCGGCTGTACTTGCGCGGTTGCTCTATTTCCGCGCGATGTTGTTTCCTGCGCGGACACGAATTTCATTTGCCCACACTGGGCGAAGACATCTTCGTCGACGAGGTGCGCGGGCAGCAGCAGCGCGTTGTTCGCTTGGTCGTCGGGCGAGCCGTCCGGCGTCAAAGGAAGAAGCGGGATATCCTTCGTGTTTTTCACCAGAACGGGAGCGAAGCGCGCCCACAAGGAGGTGGAAGACGACAATTTCCCGACCACCTCCTTCCCAGGGTAAAAACCTTCCGGCAAACCGACGGGAATCTGCTGCGAAGCCGGCACCGCAGCCACCTCTTCCGAACCCCCTTCTTCCATGTTGAGAGCGGACAAATCCACGGGCGGCTCCGGCGGTTCCAAATGGACCGAGGACATCGCATCCGGCACTTTCAGTGTGAACAACACGCCTAGAGAAACACCCTTCTCGTTACTGATGTCCTCACTCTCGTCCTGTTGCTCGCCGGAGGAGGATTGTTCCGCCGGATTCAGAGACATCGACACGGCATGAAATTCCTTTCCTACGCTGAAGAACCGCTCGCACCTCCGGTTGAAATCCGCCAAGGAATTGGCCACTACCCCGTCGCGACTGGCCGGCGCAGGTAGAAAATGGTCGACGGCTCTCACCTCAACTTTGAATTGCAGCCCTGCCTGCGGCACTTTCGGGAAGCAATTCGCCAGCTCCTCCAGCAACGCTTTCTCCAAGTTGGCCCAGCTTGCCGCCTTCGCGTCCTCGAGCCGCTCCCCGATTTCCGGCGGAAGGCCGAGGAAAACCAGGAATTCCCCTTGCGTTCGTTGCATCAAGTCTAGGTCCTTCGCGCTCTGCAAGTCCTTGTCCATGTCACACAGCTTTTTGAAGTGTTTTTCGTTCCCCGACACTTCCAAGCAGTTGTACAAGGACTTCACCAAGAAATCGTGGTGATCGCTCACCTGCAAGTGACTCGTCCCCAGCTCCACCAATTGGATGTCTTTCTTATCGCACTCGTTCTGCAGGCGCGCGATCTCATTTTTCTGCTGCACAATTTGGTCCTCCATCTCCTTCAGCTCCCCGTTTTTGATCCGCACGTCCGCTCTCAATTTGTCGATTTCGTTCTTCTGCTTCAATTTCTGCTCCTCGAGACTGGCGATTTTCGCGACGTCTGCGTCGTTGTGCACGGACTCCGCGTCGGACTCCTCCTCGTCGACGTTTCGCTTCGGTTTTTGAATCAAACAGCCGCAATCCGGGCACGTGCCGTTTTCCAGCAGCTCCTCAGTTCGGCACAGCGTTTCGCGGATCAGCTTCATCCTGGTTTCCCGCGCGAGCTCTTCATATTGATGCAAAATCTCTTCGGGCGATAGCGGCTCCTCGGAAGCCTCGGACTCGGGCGGTGCTTCTTTTCGGTCCAGCCACCCAAATAGGCCGCCATTCTCGGTGCTCGCTTTCATCCTCTTCGCGCTCTCGTCTTCAGATGACGTCGCGGAAAATTCCATCGCGGAACCAGAGACCAGTCCGGATTCTGTCTTTGCCATGAAAGCTTTGTTTTTCGCGGATGTGACGGGCCGGAGCGGTACCTCGGCCGGAGTGTAGTCGTAGTAGGCGTGCGGCCGCTTTGGCGGAATTTTCAGTCGGACGTCCGACTCTGAACCACTGGCCGATGCGCCTGCTCCGGCAGCCGCAGCACCTACTGGTACTGGTGCGGGTTCGGTACTAGTTGACCGGCCACCAGTGGCAATCAACGCCGCTGCCTCGGCGGAAACGACCTCCCGGTTCGTATCCGCTTGTTTGGTCAGGTTGTAAAACTTTTCGTCGTCTCGGTGGTCCCACTGGACGCCCGGCCCGATCAGCACCTCATCGTGTTCCGCACTCACCATCTTCAACGGAGAGGTCGGGCTGAACGTCGGCGGCTTCTGCCCGGCTCGCCGCTCCTGCACCACCTGTTTTGCGGTGAGATTTGTCGGAAGCTCCGAGATATCAAATGTAAAAATGTCTGGGTCTGGAAGATTTCAAACTTGTGATGCGCATTTCAGAACACAGAAAAATCTCTCATGCATAGGCAGCAAAAGTTCCCACTTTCTGTTACCAAAAGCAGGGATTTGTCATGCTAAACCGAAGTGCGACACACTTTGCCTCCCCCTGTGCAAACAGCCGCAGATGGCTGTCACGCAGGGAAGGTGGGTTTGTCATGCGGATTCTTTCGGCATTGCGGAGGCTTCTCGAAACTTGTGATGCTAGAGCTTCCATGCCAGACCTTCTGTGTCATGCAGAAACAGCATGACTCTTCCAGAACCAGACCCAGACACTTTTACATTTGATACGAGACGCCGGCACTGTCGTGCGCTTGCCCGGTGACCGGGCGGAGACCGTCCACGTTCATCGGCTTCAAGCTGCTGTCAATCTCCATTTCCAGACAGCCGTCCGGCACAAAGCCCCCGCCCTGGTGGGTAAACACCGGATTGAAGCACAGCAGCGGGTGCTGGGACAAAAGTGTGTCCAGGTCTTCGCTCAAACCGGAGAAATCACGGCGCGAACAGGTGAACACCATTATTTTTCGCAACTGCTCGAACACGCTCTTCCGCGCCGCGTGCAGAGACCGGCGAAGGTTTGCGCTCCGACACGACGGGTTCGCGATCTCCATGCACCCTTGCAGTGTCAACGCTTTCGTGATTTGACACCCGAGGGTCAGCGTCGCGAGTAAATCCAGCACGACCGTTTGGTCCCTTTTCAGGTTTTTCGGCTTCTTCGCCTGGAGGAGAGAAACAGCCGAAGCGTCGGTCAACACGTCGGGCACTCGGTAGTGCTCGCCGAGCTTTTTCTCCAATTCTTGTCTGGTCCGTGGCGTGAAAAATCGCCCCGTGACAAATTCTTCCAGGTCCTGCGTGACAATCTCCTGCGGGTCCCAGCAGTACCCGCTGAGCAAGGTGCTGTCACTGTCTTTCACCTTGATTTTCTCCTTCGCGGTGCTGAACTTCGCTAGGGAAATCGCGTCGAAGGGAACCTGCACTGGAAGCTGGTTTTTGTTTTCGGGCAAGGGGCGCCGATTCTGCTCGACGTCCTGGATGTACCGCCTGACCGCACTCGCGTGCCAGGAGCCCGTGATGTAGAAGTGTGTGAACTTGACCAAATTTTCCCGCCAGTCGCTGTCCTTCTCCAGAAACAGCTTTAAATCGCTCATCAGGTGCGTGCTCGCCTCGCCGCGAAAGAGAAAATCCGGCTCCAGTTGCGTGACCAGCTTCGACGAGGGGTCGTGGGGCAGCCACGGCAGCGCCTTCACCTGGCCGTCTTCGTCGTCCCGTGCGGCCCCGAGCAGCTCCGGCGGACGGTCGCCTAATCGCTTCGTAATCACACTGAAATGCTCATCTTCGACAACCTCGTCGGGCTGGTGCAGCCGACTGAACTTCGAAGCCTTCTTCCCTTTACTATCTTTACTCCTGCCTGGTGCGGTCTGTGGACGGGAGGACAGGAGGCCGGGCGCTGCGAGACTAGGCGTCAAGGCACGCGCACCCACACGCTCGGGCGTTTTATTGCGGTACAGGCCCACCTTGTCGGAACCTGGACCGACGCTCCGGCTATTACCGGAGGCAGGCATCTTCTTGTTTAAACTGTCAACAGAACTTCAAACTTTACATTCAGCCAAACATGATATTTTTTTTACTTACGTATCATAGTCGTACTTTGGTTTTGAAAAAAACGCACGGCAAATAAAATAAACTACTTGGTGCAGAGAGATCATAAGCAGAAGTAAAATTCAGAAAATTATTTCACCACTGACTCCGACGGAGGATCATCCGCCGCGGATACCATCACCGCCTACTTCTGGTACTCTTCTACTTTTTCTTATTCCTACGCACGAAACGAATTACATCAGTAAAGTTTCTTCGCGACTGTATGTGCGGGCCCAAAACTACACCGAGCGAAGATACTTTTTTTCAACCAGAAGCCCCACGAGCGCACAAACACGATAGATGTTGATCTCTTGGAACCGAAATGCGATTGCAACTACACCCCCAACCGATAGTGACGATGTACCCAGCACAGAGAATAACAAGAACAACTCAAATGCAATTTACAAGAACAGTTGGCACCTGGAGCAGGACAAAGCAACAGCTGAGCTGTGTACCAGTTGGGTGGGCAGAAGACGTTGATGACCCTGTCTAGCTTTTTCGTTTTATTTTCTTGTTGCTTTGCTTTATTTCGTCTTCGCCTCACGTTGGAGCGAGCCGTCATTGTGATTGTTCTGGTCTTCTTCACAACTTTCCTGCGATGCAGTTGCAAAATGCCGTCTCAGTTTTTATCATGCGAACCGATCTACAAAAGACGTGCAACTGAAACTACTTGATGTACTTAGTCATCTCTTTACGAAAGTAAAGCAGCATGCCACCATTTTGCATTTGCTCGCGGCACAAAAGAGCTAAGCATGAGTTGAGAACTATCTCTATCCTTGCCAACGACCCTACGCCTACACTAACACTGCCAGCTTTTTCGCTGTGGATTAATAAATGAGTATTCCTTTCACCTGCCGGAACTTCCGTGCTTGCTCTTGCCACGAGTAGCAAGAAGAGGAAAAAGCCTCCCACGAGATGACTCGAACTTGATCCAGAATATCTTTTCCGTAGTACGTGCTATGACAGTATTTGAGCTTGAAAACAGAAAAATTCACGAAGAAGGGAGACTCGACCTCCTTCCACCTCGCGTCATGCCATAATTGTATGTAAGGGTGTTTCCGCCTAAGGAATAAGTCAGGATTTGCTAAAGCCCTGCAGCCACGATAAGATGTAAAAACGCGCCTTCGGTTAGAATTGGGTGTCACCTATCAATCGTAAATTATCAAAGCGCAGCTCCTTTATTGTTGATAAGAGGAGGAGTATCGAAACCTTTACTCAACCATTTGATGAACGAAACCTTTTTTTTTTTTCGAGTACATACTACAAACACACATTGAGACCTTGGTTGCAGAAATTCCAAACATAAACACAGCTATGGAAATAGAAAAACATTTTACTGTACGTCGTTGGTGGGCGTTTTGCAGGCGTCTTCGGTCTTGGGATATGAAATTCGCTACTCTTCAGGAATGATTTGCTCACAGGGCCTGATGAGTCCTAACGGTTTTTGAAAAAGTGCCGGGTTCGACCGTGCGCCATACTGCTCGGGGTCCGCCGGCGAGGTGACTTCTGTACTGCAGGGCGCAATGTCACCCAGAGGCTGCATGCCGCAATCCAGATGGGAAAGCGCGGACACTAGTTTCGGATCCGGAAAATTCAACAGTGTTGCGCTGCTTCCCGACCACTGTTGTGTGTCGTGGATGGATGAATCTATCATATAAAATTGGATGAACTGGAAGTTGTTGCAAGTATTTCTTTTTGATACAAGAATTACTACCGAAAAATGAGTCTGCTCGTGTTAGTAGTCGAATTTATTTTCACACTAGCTGACGAGGACAGTCTGTACCTTTGTACTAGCGGGCGACACTTCCACCACTGACGACACAGGCGGTCGCAGTCCGCTGCGCAGGTCGCCCGGACTGCAGCAAAAAAAAACAAAATTTTTGGTAGTGCAGTTTCTGTCCTTCTCTTCTCGCCCGGACTGCAGCCCGCTTGCGAGCGCCGTGGACCCCGTGCTGGAGAACTTGGCCGAGGAGTTGCGATCCATTCCTGCGTCGTTTGCTCGACGACCCCGCGCGAGGTGCAATTTTAGTCCAAAAAGAGTGGCCTCGGAGGAGGCCAACTCGGGGATGAGCTCAAATTGCAGGCTTTTGCCTGCAAATTGAGCCCGATACAGTTCGGGGCCGTGCGAAAAGGGCGGCCGCAATTTGTCGCCCCGGAGGTCCGAGACTCGGGACGACTCCGAAAAGGTGTCCGAGGACACCTCATCTGGAGGCCAATTTCGGAGGTGCAGACGTTTTCCGGAACGCAGACAAACACGGGCTATGAGGCCCACTTTTCCCCCCTTTTCCGGAAAACGTCTGCACCTCCACTTGGGACCTCAGTGGCCGAGGTGCAGACGTTTTCCGGAAAGCCACCTTTTGCATCACAAATCTGAACCCTCACAGCACGGCATTCTGCTGATGTAGGGGCTCAGATTTGTGATTCGGGCCACAAAGTTGACCCAAGACGGGGCGCAAAAAGCGGCAATGTGTAATGCGAGTTGGCGGCCTGTTCCTCCGCGCAACAGGTGCAGGGGGGCACACACCCAAGAACCTGAGAGAGTCAGCCAGCATGTCGGGCGTCAAGATTTCGCTCGTTCTATACGATTGCGCACGATAAAGAACACCCAAGCAACAGCCTCGCTCAGTAGTGTGTCAAAATTTTGACTTTTTTAGCTGCAGACATATTTCGACTTAGTAGTTAGTAGTCGAATTGATTTGCACACTAGCTGACGAGGACAGTCTGTACCTTTGTACTAGCGGGCGACACTTCCATATCACGAGAAAAAAGTGTTACAGTCACACATTTGTTGGAGTTTCTGCATCACAGATTTTCTCTGTGTGGCAGAGAAAACTTGTGATGCGAAGACCAGAAGGGAAAACAGGAAGGAAACGAGGCTCCCAAGCATTTCTTGCATGAGAAAGGTTGTCTGTGTTGCCGGTCTTGCAACACAATGTGTAACTGTAACACTTTTTCCTTGCGATATTCCACCACTGACGACACAGGAGGTCGCAGTCCGCTGCGCAGGTCGCCCGGACTATGGCAGCCCCGCCGAAGGTCTGGACTGTAGCTGCCGTGCTGGGGAGACGGTGAGACTGGCTCCGAAAAGTTGGACGCAGTCGTCATACTGGTTCTGTAGTACATTATGTAAGAATTTATTTCGAGAGTCAGTAAACTGGTGACAATTATTCTTCGTCTTGGCTGACGAAAACCACTACGGATGCTGATGGAAGATGAGCGTGAGCAAATGCAGAACAATCTCATGCCATTTCTTGATCTGCTCCCACGTTCCTACCTGAGTCGCAGTTCGTGATCCACTCGATCGTAGACTTCCAGCTGGTCGGGTGTCTCGCTCTCGGGACTATTTGTCGGTGGCGGGGCACTCCGCTTGGTAGCCGCCGCAGCCGACGGCGCCGTGAGATTTTTACTTGAAGGCCGCGAGGGCTCAGTGGGGACGTCCTCCAAACTCGAGCTTCCTCCGGCGGGTGACATCGACGGCCGCCCTGAAAGGAATGGACTTCAACTTCCAGCAGTCTCCATCATGAAAAAAAATGGCCTCGCCGATTAGATGGAAAAAACGATCGACTCATACATATCTTTTTGTCATACATAATGCCTGTGGTCTTGGCACTTGTTTCGGAAAAACAGTACCTGTAGCTGATGACGAGCTGCTTGCGATCGGCGGTACCACCCCGGTGGCCTGGGCCCGGTTCCGTTTTGAGGTGCTGGCGGAAAAGCCAGCAGCTCCGTTGGCCAGGAAGGCAGCACTGGGCGAGCTGTCGACCCCGCAGCCGGAAACCCCGCCAAAGTCAGAGGCTATACCTGGTCATGTTGAGACAAGGATAACTTTGACAAAAACAAAAACTACTTACAAGTAAAAAAACAAGCGATCAATATAGCACAAACTTTCGACCCCAGGTGGCGCACCCATGCGTAAGACGAGTTCCGATCTATGTATACCTACCTGCAGGCCCGCCGGCTGAGCTACTGGAGAGCGTCCGCCGCAGTGAAGAAAGGACGCTGTGCCGCTGCAAAACGCTATCGTTGCTCAGTACCTGCAACAACGCGCTGTACTCCTCCGCCGAAAGCTGCAAATGACATGGGGGAAGATCGTCCAACCTTTGCATTGTTTTTTGCACAACAACTACACCACTGCACTCATCATTCTTTTCGATTTCGCACAGAAGTTTGCACGACGCGAGGTCGTGAAGCCGCTTGACCACGTGCTGGAGCTGTATGTGCATCAATCTGCACTCGTCGACGAAAAAAAACTACAGCGAGTGCTATTACCTCTGTTGCAGTTGCCGCCCAAATTGAGTGTGGTTGGGAGTAGCGCCAATTTTCGACGGCGAAGCAGCATTTCGTGAGTTTCGCGGTGGCGCGATCCTGGCATGCTCCGGAGAATACGGTGAGTCGGTCACGCTAAAATCTACGACCGCCTGGAAGCGAAAATGATTGTCTCTTTCCAGCCGCACCGGATTGATAGTACTTAAAGTAAACTTCTTGCAGCAACTGTGGCCACTGAGAAAGAGAACAAAAAGCAAAAATCTTTTTTTATACCGGTGAGCCATCAATGCCCGCTGGCGTCCAGTCATCCGCACGACGTGCAGGTGTTTCGGAAGCGGACCACGCAGATCACGCAGAAAACACGTTCTCACTTGTCCACGGACTTCTTCACTTCTGATTCTGTGCTTTTATTTCGATGCAGTTGGGTGATGCAAAAACATCAAAGAAAAGTGCAAGAGAATACTTTTTAGAAATCGCTCAAGGCAAACAGATTTTAGCTTTTTGTAGGTGAGATCAGAATGTAAATGATGATCGATCCGAATTCCCAATGCTCTCGTGATGAAATGACATGTAAATCTGCGATCTCAAATGACATGATCATCTGCACTACCACCCTGGTTCTGTGCACATTCACAGAATGAACATGAATGATGATGATGCTTACCCATGCTGTTTCAGGCTGTCAAGTACCTCTGGTACTGGTTGAATAAAGTCCACCACGGTGGTGATACCATCTAGATTCCTTGTACTTAGGCTCTATTTGTGTTCCTCGTCGTGGATTGTTATCGGTACTGCTAACAATCTTGACATCCTTTAAGCCAAAAGCTCAAAGGGAAAAACACTGAACAACGGGGCAACTGGACAGCATCGCGCTGGGTTGTGTTGTGTGTTTTTGGAACTTTACAGTTTTCAACTTTTAGGTTTACTGTTTTCACAGTTTGCGCCTTGTAGGTTGATTGATTTACGGTAGTAGTAGTGGCAATTTTTTTGCTGGTTTTTACAATTTTAAAGAAAATTTTTAGCGGTTTAACCCCTAAAATTTACCCCTTAAAACTAATGGACGGCTGGTCCTTTACTGAGGTCGTGTACGATCTTGGCGCGCGTCTTTTGTACCGCGCGGGCAGTCATAAGACTGTGCTGGTAACGGACGAGTTCTACTCTTCCAAAAATTGCCGGGTGGTTTACAACCTGTATCAGAAATTGTGTCACATTTGTCTCAATTTTGCGACTTTAGGTCCTGCCAAGGTTCAGCTGTATCTTAATCTCGCTCGCACCACGATGGCGCAGTTTAAGATGGAGCTTCCTACCTTCAACGGTAAGGATGCGGGTCAGTTTTCTTCGTGGTTGTACAAGATGAGTCTCATCCTGAACTGCTACGGGGAAGATGTCGTAGAGTACGTGAACAACACCGCTCTTGGCATTGCGACCAATGTTCAACTGACTGCGGAACAGGTTGAAAAGTTGAACCAGCTGGCTGCTCACGTTGTGACTAAACTCGACGGGGAACCGTTGCAGTTGGTTACGACTGAGCATGCCACTGACCTTCCGAACATCTTGCGCGTGTTAGTGGGCAAGTACCGGAGCCAGGTCGCGTCTTCCCGCTTTTCCGCCCTGACTCAGTTGCTCACCAGCAGCAAGAAGACGGACGAAAGTGTGGAGGGGTACTACGCTCGTAAGTCCAATTACTTGCGTAACGACCTGGGTGGTACCATCACGACTAACGAATTGTTGTTGTTTGGTATCGTCGGCGGCTTGGATGACAAATCCAAAAAGTTGGTTACTCCGCTCTTGGCGATGAATGCTTCCACTTTGCAAATCGTGGGCACTCTTCGCGAACAGGAGGCGCAGGACAAGGCTGCTCCGAAGCAGGTTACCGAGCACGTCTTGGTGACTAGCAAGAAGGAAGAGCAGGCGCAGGCACAGCGTATTGTCGACAAGGCAGTTGCTATGATTGCGAAGAAGTTTCCGAACGTTCGCAAGCAGGACGAAAAGGGTAACCAGCTCAAGTGCTGGACTTGTGGTGGCAATCACAAAAAGTCCGATTGTCCCAAGCGCAAAAACGGTGGCAACAACAACAACAAGGGAAACGGCAAGCAAGGAAAAGACAAGAAAGATTACGAGAAAAAGAGTTTGCATCTTTTGCATGAAAGTAGTTCTAGTAGCTCTGTAGCAGCGCCTAGCGCTGTGGTTTGCATGGCAATGGCTGGCACGGCTTCGGCCTGTGTTAGTGTTCTCACGGTGAAAAGTGAGGGGGTTAGGGATTCTGGGGGGGTTTTGTCCCTCTCTGGGGTTCTGGATTCGGGGGCTTCGGATCACACGTGCGGGGAGCGCGGTGCTTTCGAAGAAATCTCGAATGAAGAAGTTACAATGAAGGTCGCCGATCGTGTTTTGGATGTCAAAGCACGGCGCGGCATCTTCAAGGGTAACACGGTGGGACTCCGGTTGGGGTTGTATCATCCTGACATCGCCGGACTGCTAATCTCGGTTGGCAGACTGGAGGACGATGGCAGGAAGATAGTTTTTGATGGCCCGAAGAGCGGCGTGCTCGACAAGGCCTCGGGGGATTGGGTCGGCTTCGGTCGGGTCAATCGGCTCCCGGTGCTCCCTGTCGAGTTCGTCGAGAATTCTTCAGTGGTCAAAGTTTGTGTCGACCAGGACACGGAAAAGGGTCTTCATTGCGAGCCCGCTGCGGTTTGTGATAAACTTTCCGCAGAGGACACTAAGCTCTGGCATGAGCGGTTTGCACATCTCTCAGTGCATGGCGTCAAGTGCAAGCACTGCGATGCGTGCGCAATGATGAAAGGCAGAGTGCCTGGGCATCAGAGTGCTCGGCCTGAGCATCTCAAGGCCAAGGAATTCGCTGACGAAGTCTCTTGGGACTTTGTTGGGCCTTTTCCTGTTTCCTTTTCGGGAAACAAGTGGTCTTTGAATGCGGTGGACGAATTGACGTCCTGGCCCTTTTGCTACCCATGCAAGGAAAAGGGAGAAGCTGGGTCCAAGCTTGAGTTGTTTTGCCAAACGGTGAAACCGCCCAAGCGGGTACGGGCTGACAACGCTCCCGAGTTCAAGGGGCAGAATACGAAGTGGAGACAGGTTGCGGCTGAGCAACGGCCTCCCACTATCGTGGATTATTCTGCGCCCTACACTCCACAGCAGAATGGTAAGGTGGAACGTTGGAACCAAACTTCGTGTAACGCGGTGCGTTGCATTCTGCATGGTGTAGACCTACGCTGTTGGGACTATGCCTACAGGTTTGTGGCGTACGTGTTTGCTCGCGTGTCACGGAAGGGTCCAAAAAGTTCGCCCTACTTCAAGAGGCACGGCCGCGAAGCGTCGACCAAGCATTTCCGTCGTTTCGGATGCCTGGCCTACGCTAAGCAGCATGTCCCTGGTGGAAAGCTGGACGCTAAATACGTCCGCGGTGTGTTTCTTGGTTATGGAACTGAGAACAGCACTTACCTAGTTGGCACTTGGGTGCAAGACAACAGGTGTGCGGACGGAATTCGTTTTTCCGTGATCGAATGCCGGGCGTGCGCATTTGATGAGTCAATTACAATCGGGAAGATTGAGGACTTGCAAAAGTTCAGTAAAGGCACTTTTGTCCCGTATACACTGCCCGACGCGCTCGGTGACTCCATTTTCGAGGAAAGGAGTCAGGTGGCCCCAGGTGAGTCTGATCCCTCGCCTGCTGGTGCTTCTGATGTTCCCGAGGGAGGTGGTTCCGTGACGGAGGGTAAGAATACAGTCGAAACTTCTGACATGCTGGATGATACTCCTCCAGAGGAGCAGCAGGAGGAAAATTTGATCGGTGACGAGGTCGCGCCGGAGGCTGTTGATCTTGAGGCGGAGAATCAGGCTGGTCCTGAGGCTCCTGCTGAGGACGATCAACCACCTGCCGACCCGGCCCCTGTCGGTCAAGATTTACCTGCAGCGCCTCAGGCGGATTCTGGTAATGTTGTGAAGAAGAAACGGGGACGAAAGCCCGGGACCAAGGCTCAGCCACACTGGCGCAAGCCAGGCCGTAAACCTAAACAGGTCGCGGCAAAGGCAAAAGCAGCTCCAAAGCGCCAGCCTGCTGGTGCGGATTTGGTGCAGATGCTTTTGGCTGAGGTGAAGCTCAAGAATTCTTCACCTGAAGCTCTTAAGCTAACGCGCAAGGCTTCAGGGGGGGCAGAAGAATTTTCTGCAAAGAGACGGAAAGAGTCACCCTCGGAGGATGAATCCGGATTGACGTCGTCTTTGCAGGGTGCAGTGCTTACAGTATCTGCGGAGGATCCTGATTTACAGGAGGCAGCAGCTTCGTACTGCTCCGCCTTAGATGAGGTTTCCATTGAGTTTCAAGTGATGGTCACTAAGAAGTCAGCTTTCAGCGGTCCGGATGCGACCAAGTGGATCGAGGCTGATACACTTGAACGCACCCGACTCGAGGCCCTGAAATGCTGGAGGCCTTTACGTGAGGGAGAATTCGATCCGGCCACGGACGAGGTTATTCCTGCGGTTTGCATCTACTCCCGCAAGCGGTGTGGTAGGTACAAGTGTAGACTTGTGGCGCTGGGCAACCGGCAGAAACAAGTTTTCTCGCATGAGGTTTACTCTCCCACTATTTCAGGGGGGGCCAATAGGTTTCTACTCGTAGAAGCGGCGGCCCAGGGACATCACCTGCGTCAGTTCGACGTCACTAATGCCTTCATCCAGGCGGCGTTGACTGATGAGAGGGTGATCGTTCGGCTTCCAGCACACTGGAGCAAGTCGCCGAAAGGAGACTTGGTGATGCTGCTCAAGTCGCTCTATGGCTTGAGGATAGCCCCACGGAAATGGTATGACCGTTTTTCCAAGGGTCTGAAGTCGCTCGGTTGGGTGATGTGTCCCAGGGAGCCCGGGTTGTTCCGAAAGGAATTGCCTAGCGGAACCATCACGATGGCCATCTTCGTGGATGATTCTTTGATGTCTGGTCCGTGTCCCAAGACTCTGGACGAGGAGATGTCAAAGGTCCTGAAATTGTTTCCCGGTACGATCATCGCTCCAGAAATGGACGGAGACGTGGAGACTCGAGACGTTCTCGGTATGGTCGTCAAGTATGACAGGCCGAAGCGATGGCTGAAGATGTCCATGGAACAGGCTGTGAGCAAATTGCTCAAGAAGTTCAATATGGATGACTGCAAGCCTGCACCTTCGCCCTGTGTGGCTGGCGATCTGCGTGAAGGGGGTTCGGCTGAGTCCTTCCCACTTCGGTCGTTGGTCGGGGGTGTGCAATACATCGCGCACCAGACGCGGCCTGACATTGTCTTCGCTACCCAACGCGTGGCAAGGGGTCAGGAAGCGCCGACTACTTCTGCGGTAAAGGCAGGCAAACGGATTTTGGCATATCTGAAGGGCACGAAAGACCAAGGTCTTGAGTACTCTCCAGAGATCGAGCGCCAGTGGCGTGAGACCTATGCTGAAATCGCGAAGAACGGTGGCCATGAGTTGCCGGACACTGTTGCTTTCAGTGATAGTGACTTCGCGGGGTGCACTGCTACACTGCGCAGCACCAGTGGGTCGATTCTCTATCACAGAGGCGTCCCGATTGCATGGAGTTGCAAGCGTCAGACGGTTAAGGCGCTCAGCACCTGCGAGGCTGAGTATGTTGCAACCTTTGACACGATCAAGTTATCCTTGGGGCAAGGGTATCTGGATTGGTTCCTGGTTGATAGGAGTTTACCTCTTACGTTTGTGGACAATCGTAGCGCCCTGGATTTGGCCAAGTCGTCACTAGTGACGAAACGGTCGAAACACATAGAACTTCGGTTCCATGTGGTTCGGGATCACTCTCGTGACCTGTGTTGGGTTCCCACTGCGGCCAATAAGGCTGACCCATTGACGAAGGCGCTTCCTTCGGCTGCCTATCTTAGGTTCTTTCATCCTTCCCAACAGGATGATGGGGGGTCGGATTCCGGGTCGGAATCTGAATCATTTGCATGATGCTAGGGGGCATTGACACTAAAACTACTTACAAAGAAAATTTCTCGTAATTTCTCCTGCATATTGGCTAGACGCACCGTAGCCATGTTCCGAAAGGGTACCAGTTCGCCGCAGCACTGGCCGAAACCGAAGAAGAAGAGGAGAAGAAGAAAAGACGCATGTAGTTCAGGGCAACTATATGGTCTAAAGCAGCTTTACTATGTGTACTACTACTGTTACTGTAAAATCCGATGCTACTCGGATGGTTCCAATCGCACCCACGGTCTTGGTGCGTGTTTGAAAGAAAAAACTCTGTTTGAGTTGTGTGCCGAGTCGCAGGCATGTCAGAAGATTCCGAGGGGGGGAATGTAGGTGAGATCAGAATGTAAATGATGATCGATCCGAATTCCCAATGCTCTCGTGATGAAATGACATGTAAATCTGCGATCTCAAATGACATGATCATCTGTACTACCACCCTGGTTCTGTGCACATTCACAGAATGAACATGAATGATGATGATGCTTACCCATGCTGTTTCAGGCTGTCAAGTACCTCTGGTACTGGTTGAATAAAGTCCACCACGGTGGTGATACCATCTAGATTCCTTGTACTTAGGCTCTATTTGTGTTCCTCGTCGTGGATTGTTATCGGTACTGCTAACACTTTTCTTATCCTCGTGAGACGCTTTGATCGCACATGATATTGTCGTCCGATAAGTCGTATCAAATGTAAAAATGTCTGGGTCTGGAAGGATGAGCGATTTGTCATGCAGCTTTTCCATGACCCATGAGGTCTGGAATGCAGGACCTAGCATGACAGATTCTGTGCGACCTCTCTCACTCTCATGCCTATCCTGCATGAGAAACTCCCTCCCGACTTGCTCAAAACTGGACGACTTTTGGTAATCATGCAACACAGATTCTTGCATGTTTCAGATTTAGCATGACAAGTTGCATTCTTCCAGACCCAGACATTTTTACATTTGATAAGTCGACTAAATTTCGCAACGGATCGGCCGCAACGTCAAAGTCTACCACATCCGTCGCACTGCGTATTACAGTGAAAAATGCCCCCACCCCCGAACTTGAAAGCATTTGTATTGCAAACCTTTCCAAATGAAACATTCGCCCTCTTGCATGTATCAGCATCACAGGCTTTCAATCGTGAATAACAAAGCTTTGTATTGCAAAAGTCCCCAGCAAGAGCGGCGCTTGTCATGCAAGCGATGCGATACACGCCTACATTCTGCATCAGAAAGATTCATACTTCTTTCATGCATGACAAAAAGTTTTCATTTGGAAACTTCGCATCACAAATTTTTGCAATTTAGGGTTGGGGGGCACTTTTCACTGTAATACTGCGGTTGCTCAGTTCAGGATGCTTGTGTAAAAGGTCCTGCAAAATCGCCCGCGGGTTGTACTGTTCCTGCTTTTGGCTGATTTGCGAGACCAGCTCGGGGTTTTGAATGCGCCGCAACTCCTCCTCCGTGATGTAGTAGATCTTCTTGCCGCCGCTACTTATTGAGAGGAAAAATCCCCCCTCCCCATATTGGAAAAGGTATGTTTCCAAAAATTTGCGCTGCGGGTTTGAGGTCACAAATCACATCTGTCTTGCAAGAAGACAAGGGCAGAAGCTTCCGCCCCATTGTGGAAGCGATTTGTCATGCTGTTAGGCCTAAAGGGGAGCCGTTTGCCATGCTGAACAACTAGACCTATACGCCCCTACCTAGCCTGGGGACCTGGCCGCCATGCCTCTCTGCAATACAAAGCTGATTTGTGGCCACAAATCAGCATCACAAATTTCCGTTTTGATATGGGGAGGGGGGATTTTTCATCTTGATACCACTCGGCGTCGAATTCCCAAACGAGGAAGACGCTACGGGGAGATGCGGCAGAACCTGGCCTCCTTGCCCTACTCCGACAGCAGCAGCTCCAGCCACAGCACCGCTGGTGAGCGCTGCTGGATCATGATCATCCATCCTCGCGCGTACAAAAGGAAAATTCGGCCTCGGCTAGTAGTAGCGAACGCTTCCAAGAAAACCAGTCTACTGTTTCTTTCGAGCTAAACGCTAACTTGTTTATGTTTTCGGAAGCACAGGAATGGGAATCTTGATCTTTGTTTTTCAAACGGTGCCGGTTGGTTGCAAAACTCTACGCTTGACTCGAAATACTCGTGGGCAGCATCATCATAATGTCATAACTGTCGGTGTGGCTGCGCAATAACGTCTCTTTTCCGTATCAAAAAATGGTATTAAGGAGCCGCCAACAAAAGCAAAACAAGAACATAAGCACATGGCCCTCAAGTTACATGGAGTCTCACGATGAACGGACAGCTTCCTCTACTGTTTCCTTAAGTATGTTTGTGAAAAACCGAGCTTGTGGCACTGTTGTGAAGAGCAAACCAAGTGCAAATGCAGGGCTTTCGCTTTATCATGTGTGACATTTCATTCTTCCACCGCCATGAAAACCTACCTGTGCCATCACAAAAAAGATACCGCTACGGACTGCAACAACACTTGTTTCCACTCTTCGATCCCATTTAAATTTCATAGAAAACAAAAAGCAATTGCAAGAGGGGCAAACAAAAACATGAAAATGAAAAAGACGCACAATAGACACTCTGGCTCTGCCTGCAGGAGCGACGCATAAACTGCAAACCGGTGTGAAGATGGATACGCACATGAAGAAAGTTCCCAACAGGGTTCCTTGCTTTTGCGTTGCTGCTGTTGCTGCTGCTGCCGAGGAGCGCATGAGCAAGCTTAAATGATACAGCACCTATCTAAATTTCTAATATGATCCCGGGGCACTAGATCATTCTTCGTTTGTGCACATCTTTCGTTGGTCTTTTGTCATTCGAACACGAATTCTCTAAATCCGTCGGTCGTTGAAGCCGGTACTCATGGTAAAACGTGGGCGCGCGTGTCGCCGTCGCTCCAAGAATTGAAGATGAGATGCTTAGTTTTTCCCTCAATACGGGGTTCGTTGATCGTCGTCGCTTTCGAAATCGTCTATGAGATTGCTGGAACTCAACAAATTCCCAGATAGCGCGCGGTCCTCTTCATGTCGTTCGAGGCCCCCGGGTTGCCCCAGGGCCTCAATGGCACTCGAAATACTGGAAGCAGACAGTTGTTGCTGCGGTGTGCGAAGAGCTGACCCCATGTTGTCAAACGCTCCTGGCGGTGGCTGCACGCCGTAGCTGAGTTGGTAACCCGTGAACTGGCGCTGGGGCTCTTTCTCGGCGAAAACTCGTGTGTTCTTCTCGTGTATCGCCTTGGGATCAAGCATCTCTCGCGTGTTCTGTGCCGCTGTGATCTTTGGGACCCGATTCGGATTTATTTTGGGGCTGCGGGTGATAACCCCCGGGCGAGGGCCTTGCGGCATCGAAGTGTCCGCTCTCTGAGAGCGGCCAGATTCCCTGGTGGTGTACTCCACCTTCGGTCGCCGCTCCCTCGTATTGTCTCTGCTTCTGCTTCTGTCTTGGCGCGACCTCGCCCGATTCCTTTTCCCGCGTGACCGAGACGATGACTCGTCGCGACTGTCCTCATCTCTGCGGCGTGCACCCCCTCTTCCCCGCTTGCGCTGGTCGTTCTTCCTGTCGTCGTCTGCTCGGCTTCGCGATCGATCTCGCGCATTTTCAGTACTGTGCTCTCGGGAGTTTCCTTGAAACGCGCGTCGTATCTCATCAATGCGTTTCGCATCGCCCTGTGCTGTTCTTGTTGTTCGCGCGGCTGCTGCTGCCGTAGTGTCATTTTGCTTCCCGCCTTTGACACTTTTCGTCTTACCCTTGCCTTGACTCTCGCCGCCTTTGCCCACACTCTCGCCGAAGCTACTGCTTTTTGTTTGCGCTTTGGTTCCATCTACTGGTTTGCTCGACTTCCCGCCTTTGTCTTTGCTCCCAGCACTCGTCGCATTTTGCTTAGTAGTCCACGGCACATGCCCGCCTTTTTTACCTGCCCCATGCTTCATGGTCGCAACGCTAACATTCGCGCGCGTGTTGTTGTTCGCGGCAAATGCAAACTTCCCAACTACTCCGGCACCTTTCGCTGCTTTTCCACCTTCCTTGTCTTTCCCTCTGTTCATCTTCCCGCCGCCTTTTCTGCTGTGTTGCGGAAGGAACGGCGGCGGTTCACAAGCTTGATGTTGTTGCCCGGCCACTCCAGCGAAGTCGAAGCTACCCCCAGCAAACCGAGCTGAACCGCTCGAGGCCGCCGCGGCACCTGCGGTGAAGTCGGCCGCTTCGATGAGGAAGGGGTTTTGCGGTACGTTTGTGCCGCTACTAGGACCAAGCAGCGGCGTGCTACTGGCGCTCGCAGGGTTCCCACCAGCCAGGTTGACCATCATCTGGTTCATCATTGCAATGTTGTTCATCAACATTTGGGTCATTGCCGCTGGGTCGACGCCGGAGGAAGCTCCACCGCCGCCGGTGGAAGATTGCGCAGCAGTTTGTTCATCTGGAGAAACGACCGGCATGCCCATCACCTTCCGCGCGTGCTCTTCCTGCTTCAACCGCTTGAAATACTCCTCTTCCGAGAGCCGGGGCTTCTCTTTTTCCAGTTTCGCCAGTCGATCCAGTAACAGGTCAAACTCCGATGCAACGTGGGGCTCGTACTGTTCTCCTTCTTCATCTCCACCGTCAACGTCTATGCGGCTTTTTGCAGAGGAGGAGGAAGATCCACCTGCTTCTTGCCGCTGCGGCACGCTTCGGTCTGGCACCACACGACTGCCCCAACCGGGAAATTTCCCGGCATGGTTGCCCCGCGATTTCTGTCTTTCCTCCTCGGAATCGGTATCCAAATTTATCACCTCCATCTCTGGTTCCGACGAGTCTGTGTCTAGGCAGATCACTTCCGTTCTTGCGGGATTCGTTCTGCGCTTCTTTTTGTTTTTGTCTTCTTCTGCGCCCGCCTCTGTACTCTTTTGCTCCCTATTTGTTCCAGAAGCGTCCTTGCGCGAAGAATTTATTTGCTGTCTGGCATCTTCTGCGGGGAGGGCTGTACTAGTCCTATCTTTGCTGCCAGTACGTTTGTTGTCCCTTCTGTCGCCTTTGTTTCCCTCTCGTTGCAAAGGATTTTTGTGCGTCCTTTGCGTCGCGTCCCCCGGCCCCCCGGCCGCTGCGGTCGCCGAAGAGGAGGACGAAGCAGAAGCCTTCGCGTTCGCGGATGCACCAGCAGTTCGCTGCGGGACTTCGAACATATTTTCGGGCGCGTGCTCATCTGCAGGCACATCACTGTTTGCAGGAGGCCATCTCTCTCCCATACCGGCTCCAAAATCACTCGCGTGTGTTCTCTTTCGCGCCGGCTGCGCGTCTCTATTCCGACTTTTCTTGTTGTTCGGTTCGCCGAAGACATTTGCTTCTTCTTGTCCTTGCTGGTCTTGTTCGCTGGCGAACTCTTCATCAACATCCATGCCACGACGACCTCGGTGGTCGTGGTCCGCCTTCTTGTTGTCCTCGCTCGAAGAAGATACCTCGCCGTAGGTACCTAAATCCTCGTAGTTATCCACGCGTTTTCCCGCAAAGCGAAAGCTGAACTGTGCGGATTTCGTTTGGTGGTCTGCAAAAACCTCTCGGCGATGCGACTCAAAGTCCTCGGAATCACTACTCAACTCTACTTCATCTTCGTGGTGGCCGCGTCTACTTCTAGTTCCGGGATTGTGCTTCTTGTCGTGTCGCCTTTCTCTCTCCTCCCTGCGGCGTTTCCTGCTGAAGTACGCGGCCGGGAGAAATTCATCCTCGACGTCGTCGTTGAATTCCTGCTCTTGCCTAGCATCCGTACTGTGAAAAAAACCCGGAACGTTCCTCCCCACCTCGTCTCCCGACGAGGACAAGTCGCTAACATGATCCCCCGGCCCCCGTTTATCATTTCTTCCGCGCTTCTGCTCCCCTTCGTTGCTCTTGTGGAAGTAGTACCTTTTCTCTTGTTTTGCCTTTTCCGTTTCCTCGTCGAAGAACGCACCGGCTTTTTTCTTCCGCCGCTCCCGTGCGGCATTTTCCTGTTCGTCCCACCGTTTCTCGCGCTGCTCGTAGAACTCCTCGTAAGCATTTCTTCCGGCCGTGGGCGGCGGCACGTCAGATGGTGGTCTTGCCGCGCCCGCATTCTCGCCCCCGCGCTTGCTTTCGTAAAACGCCCGGAATTCCGCCCGGGACCGGAACCGCGCCGTGCCGGAAGAAGGGTCCCTCGGGGAAGCGGAACTGTTGCGTGTCGCTGAAAAATACGCACTGCTTTGTGCAGCTGCCCGTGGCCCCTGCGGCATGCGGCCCTGGTTAGTACTCGGATGGCGATCCTCCCGCGGCGTCTTCTTGCTTCTAGTGCTGGCCCCACCTGCCGTCGAGGAGGTCGCGGCGTGCTGTTTCTGGTGGCCAGCACCTCGCCCGGACTGTTTCACCCGTCGTGCGTACATGCTGTCGTAAAGTGCTTTCTTGTCCGCGTCCACGAGCGTGTCGTACGCATCTTTCAGCTGCTGAAACAGCTCCTTGCTGCCCCCAGGCTTGTCCGGGTGCCGCTCCTTGGAAAGAGTCGTGTACGCCTTGCGGATCACGGTCTCGTCCCCGCAGAGCGGCGGAAGCCCCATCACAGCGTACAAATCCTTCGTGCTGGACATCGTGTCAAAGTGGGCGATAGGCGGTGCTGGAAGTGGTCTTCCAAGAAGTCACAAGTTTACGTTTTAAGCATCAAAAACAAGCCACTCGATCTGCCCGGAAAACGAGTTTCGTCTCCGAGAACGGGTGGCACCATCAGGTCCTCAAAGAGAAAATCAGAATCATACTCAAACTCACAGGAGCACAACGGGAAAATATTACAGGGGGGTCTACTTCGGCTGCGCGGGGGCGGGGAAACAAGGAACGACAACGATCCTCTAGAGCTCATGATCAAAAGACACTCAGGGGAACTACAGAACAACTGCGAATAAGAAAATAGTTCACTTTCTATGGGTGGAAGTGGAGCTGCGGCGGGATAAAAAATGGGTACGAGGAGGGCAGTGTCGCTGCAAATATCACAAAAAAAGGACGACAGTCTATCAGTTGGAAAACACCATTAGCACTGGCACTGTAGCTACGGAGCTTATCCATATCCTTTTTGCGACAATATGAAATGTGAGACTAGAGTCGAGTCGAAAGAAAAGCTAGTGGAGACACTCATTTGATTGAGACCAAGTCGTGAGCGCTGGAACATTAGTGAGGTGAACAACTGAGCTGCTTGAAGCAACGTCAATTCGTGTGTCGTTCAGATTTTGCACACAGGGTACAGATTGAATTGGTTCAAGTCCTAAATTGCATAATGCATTTTCCCAAGTGAAGAAACGGTTTTGTGTAAACTCCTGGGTCATTTTCACGCCCGGCAATAGCTCTTTGCAGCATTATTGCATTTGCAGCTCAACGCATCTACCAGCCGCGATTCCATTATTCATTAGATATTTATAGAGCGGAAGCAATTTTTTTTTTTTTGAATCCGCCGAAACTGGAGTCTTGCGGGCGGATGCGATCTCTACCCAGCGAAGGATGGTGCGGCTCGCGGGTCTGCCAGAATCACAACCAGGGAATACTAGTATCTATATTTCACTTTGTATTTGTCGGCCACGCTGCTAAGCGGCCTAAAAAATCTCTATTAACATTTTCAAGAAGGCGACGGCTCCCCGGACCATCTCGGTCGCAGTTCCGGACGCAGTAGCCCTCTTTCTGGAATTTTCTCTTCTTCGCTGTACACAAGCAGTTGCGTTTCGCCCGATCGCGGAGGAAAAGAATTCGGGGACCGGGAATGGTTAAAGCGTCCGGACAATAAGGTCCACGCCAGCATCGAGCGCAGGCTCCGTTCCGTTTTGTACGTGTTTTTGACCGGCTCCCGGTTCGGCGGTACACCGTCGCTGGACTTCTCTGCACCACCCTCCTCGATCTCACTAGTAGGTTGGTCCGGCCGATAGAAAGGGTCAAAGAGCTCCCGAGCAACGACTTCATTCAGAACACGATCGAAAACTGCTACAAAATCGGTTTCGTGCGCACGCAGCGGATTTTGCCCTCGAAGTTCCTCCGGATCGCGAATGCGCTCGAGAAAATCCACCTGCGGATAAGGGCCGGGAATCTCTCCCGTCAAGTACATCTGCAACACGGCGGCCACGTCGTTGCAATTGCGCCCCTTTCGTGCAGGCATCACCTCCACCCGAACGCGGTCCGCAAGCGAGCAGCTGCGTGCAGGGACATGATCGCCTGTACCCTCGCTATCAAAGGAAGCCAGCAAATCCTCAGTCGCCTTGGAAGCATCATCGTCGATCCCGTCGTCGTACCGCATCCAGCTTCGCGTTACCGTCAACGCCGAAAGCGGCACTTTTGTTTTTCGCCGCGGCTCGGGCCGGCTGCCCGGCAACCGGGGTAGAAGGAGCTTGTCCTTGATGTCGCTACTCTCTTTCGAATTATAGAAGTCGATGTCCGTCTCTGTTTTATTGCGCTGGTGCTGTTCAGACAACCATGTTATTTTCGCAGCATTCTGTCGACTCATGCGGTTGAACTGCTCTAGCTCCGCGCTTTCCTCTTCTCTCGAAGCAGGGGGTATTCCCGTCAGAACCAGTTCGTCCATGGTGTAAGACCACAGGTCTGACGCAAGGAGAAAACACTGATTGCTGGCGGTTTTCTCGATGGTGAAAATGTGGGTCGCATCGCAGGAGCCGTCCTCCATTCCGGCCCCATCAAAGCCGTCGTCACTGCCGAGGGCGCACGGCATATAGGCGATAGCAAAGGCGCCGCCAACTGCAGCACTCGTTGATGACGGGGGAAGGAATTGGTGTGGATCTTTTGCCGTCGAGGTACTCGTGTGAGTCGAATCCGCGGCCAAGAAGGCCTTCACGATGCCGAGGATTGCAGCATTCGAACCCTCGTGGTACCGCCCTGCCTCCCTCTTCTCGACAGCCCGCGCGAGCCCAGCACCGGCAGTGCCTTGCGTTTCGAGAAATGCGCTGATTTTGGTCCAGTGCGCCGCACCGCTGATTTTCGCCATATTGCCGCAATGCGTCACGTCAAACATCCCCGGCTCGAAATTTCGCACAGCTGCTCGTACTATGCTGGTGGACCATTGCAGCATTTGTGCCTTGTAGCTGAGCGGCCACAGAAGCTCCGGGGCTTTCGCCCGTTCGAGGTCTAGCTCGTAGAAATTCCGCAGCACTGTGAGCGCAGTGGACTCGCAAGGGGGGCGTTCGTTTACGTTTACAACCAGTTGTACCGGGCACACGCTCAGATCTATTTCCGGAATACCGATAAGCTCTCGTGCCGACCGCGATGGTGCGGTAGTAGTTTCCCGGTCTTTGAGTAGGCAAATGAGCGTCTCTGTAAATGACGGCTCATCGTCTGTTCTCCTCGCGGTATGATCGGTGTCCTCGTTCAGAGATGCCAAAAGCCCGAGCGTACTGACGCTAGCACAGGTTCCCTTGGCTGCGGTGACAGGAGTGGTTAGAAGTTGAACTTGAAAGATAAAGAATGACCATGCGCATAATGACGCGCAAAGAAAAAAGATGTCACTTTTTCTGTGCGGAAGCACTTTCGCTGGGGCGCAATCTCGTGCAAAGCAGCGCATGTTCGGGTGGAGTTTTCACAACGTGAACGCGGTGGTGGTGAAGCAAAAAATCTATGCATCGACTATAACATTTAGACTGTTCGTCCTGTCCAATTTCCATTTCGAACGGAAAAACACAAGATGAAGTACTTATCACTTTCTAGTACCTAGCTCGTACTAGATATTCGGGATCACAACACACATATCGGCATCGCGACGTTCTTTTCAGGGTGAGTAAAAGTCGCTGCAGGAATCCAGATTCGCGCAAAACAAACCCTGGTGAACGCGAAATAGAAATTGTCTCCTGTCATATATCTGCTCGCGCCGTGTGATACGATCTTGGTTTTCGAAGACTCACGACAAAGCATGCCGATATTAAGCCGAGGATGAGGAACACACCAGCAGAATCTTCTTTGGAACGAGCTTTTTTCTCGTTTTTGCGCTTACCTTTTGAAATCTGTTGTAGTCGCCATAAGCATGGATTTGTTTCCTTTTGCTTTTCATCCGCTAGGATTTCTTTCCCGTGTTGAGCAGGCTGGAAGAACTGCCAGCGCCGCCGTTTGTTCTGTTTGACATTAAGCTATTCGCTCTGGACTCTCGCCAGTCTTGCAGTTTCGCTTTCAATTCCGCCCATAACGTGTCCTCGTCGCTCTTGGTTCCCAAAAACTGCTCCTCGCGCCCCCGCACCCACTCCAGGACCGTGGTAACCACTTTCTGGTCCTTGCTCGACAGGTCACTCCAGTGTTCCTCCGGCACCAAACGGTCCCGGGTCATCAGGTCCACCTTTTCGTGGGCCCGCTGCTCCTCGCACCCACCCTTCCGACTGGTGAATGCAAAGTAGAAGTGCGACTGACACTTGAGCACCGGTAGATCCGCGTTCACCGTTTTCACCAGAAAGGCCAAATCCTCCCACAGTTTCTGGTACGGCACGTAAAACACGTCGCGCTTCTGCAGCTCCGCGATGTTGAGGAAGACCGCTTTGTACAGCTTGAACGCTTGGTTGTTCCACTCGCGCGTGTTCAAGTGCGCCACCACGGCGCCGTTGTCGCGCAAAAACCCCGCGACACCCAGCTTCGAGACGTCCCCGTGCCTTTGGATTTTCAGCAAAGACTCCAGCCACGTAGTCTCCTGCCGCCCGACCTGGCTCTGCTTGGCTTGCGATAGATTGTTGTCACCAGCAACGCCACCGCTCGACGAGGAACCTCCGCTCGCCTGGACGATGCTTGGCACCTGCTTCTTGCGCTCCGTCTTGTAAAACCGGGCGACCATGTCGTCGATCATCCAGCAGAACGCGGAGCAGAAGGGCAGGGCGACCATGTCCCGGAATTTCCGTCTCTGTTCCGCCGGACTCGTCAGGCTCTCCTGCGGCTGCGCGCTCAAATCCAGGCCGAGCAGGGAATTCGTGCAGAAGCACTGGATCATGTAGCGCGCGTACCCGAGGCCCATCTCATTCCGGTCGAGCACCAGAAACACGTGCTCCGGAAAGTGCGCGTGGTACTCCTCGTACTCGTTCGGCTCGACGACAACCACGTGCACGATGTCCCGGTGCGCAGCTTCGCCGAAGCAGTGGTGGCCAAAGTAATTCAGCAGCGCTTTCTTCGGGCGGCGCGCGGACGGGGTGAAAATTGGCACCGGCTGCGAATTCAGGTCAAAGGTGTACGGCCGGTAGAAATCCACGTCTTCTCCTGGCGTTTCAGCGTTCTCCTGGTGCGAGGACGAACTTGAAGAGGACGCCCCGACGCTTGCAGCCGCGCTCCTGTCACCATGCTCGTCCGCGTCGGCGACTCCCTGCGCTGCTGGACCAGAAGAAGAGCCGCCCGTGCCGGCATTTTTTACTTGTCCCGCCGATGCAGATACTTTCTTCCCTGGATTTCTTGCAGGAGCCTGTGAAGATGCGGCCGACGCCGCGGATGATGTTGATGCCCCCGTTGCAGCAACGAGCTTTCTCTTTTTTAACTTGAATGTGTCCCCCGTGGCGCCTGAATCCAACATCTCAACGTCGCCGTTTTCAGGAATGGTCGGCAGCTTGTTGTCAAAACCCTCGTCCGCGGACGAGGAGGAAGAGGAACTGATTTGCGGCCCTAGCGGGGTCGTGGCGTTGTCTTTGTCACCAGTCGTGCTATCGAGAAAAAGTGTTGAACTCGACGAACTAGTAGCTCCAGACCAAAACCGCACCGGCTTCGCGCACGCCAACACCGCGTCTGCGCGCTTGCTCTCCTCGCTCGCACTGTAGCTGTTGGCGGAGAGAAGCAGTCGCAGTTTCTCCGCCGGTCCACGCAACTGTAAATCGTGCTCCTCGTTGTTGTGCTCCACGACGACGCCGATGCTCCACACCGGCGGGCGGGAATACGCAGGTGGAAACTTCTGCGGCAGCATCGAGTCCTTGACGGACTTCGCGTCCACTTTCACCCCCTGGGAGGCTTTCACGTAGGTCGCCGGCCGCGGCTTCTTCACCTTGGCGTAGCTGGTGTGCCCGGATTTCCCCGTGGCCCGGGAGTACCGGCTGGAGACCACCACCGTTTTCAAGTACGAACGCGCGGTCCGCAGTTTCCGCAACTCCACCCTGAGCTTCTGGAGGACGTTTCTTTCCAGCTCCCGCTCCGCGTACACTCGATTTCGGTGCTGGATCGCGATTTGGACGTCCGCTTCCGCGCGCTGTGCCTTGTCCTCGGGGTGCTCGTAAAATCCGAAGTTCTGTAAGTCTAGCAGAGAGAAGCATGCGTTGGGCTCCGGCTTCACCTTTTTCAGCTTCACTGCTTGGGGAGCCGACGGCTGTAGCAGCAAAGAAGCTGCAGCCGCGGAGGATTGATGCGGTCTCTTTGGATCATTTTCGCCACCTGCTGTGTTTGTTGACACGTCTTCGTCCTCGTCCTCGAACTGGAGGTGGCTCAAGGAACCGACATCTTCTACCATGTTATTCCGCGCCGCGGTGCTGACGACCTCTTCGCTCCTATGCTGCGGAAAAACGTCCCCACGCCGCCAAAAAAGTCAAGATGCTGCGCCGGATTTTGCTTTACACAAATCGACAAGTTTGCGCCTCAAGCGTAAAGATCGTGGTTGGCTAGTGAACTTGTCAAATCACAAGTCTAGCGCCCATTCCTGATTGCAAGTGCAGCAACACAACTGCATAAACAATCTGCATAAACAATCTGCATAAACAATCTAGTTCCCCATTGGCATGCAAATCTGCATAAAACACGTCTGAGGTGGGGCTGTTTTTGCTCAAGATAGTTCCACTCGATGTCCTCGTCTTGCACGGCTAGACGCAGGTAATAGTCGCTGTTCAGGTTCCCGCCATTCTCCTCGAACTTTTCTTGAAATTTGTAATAGTCAGCGGCAATGGTCTGCAAATGCTCCTTCTCGGGACACCTGTCCTTCGGTTGCGGGTCAAATTCCTCAAGCTTCGCGGCCGTCTTGTCCATCATGTTTGCGAGCGCTTTGGGGTCGACGAGGGTTTCGTTCAGGTACAGTTTCTCCCCGTCCTGTTTGCTCAGCTTTGGCGTGTGCCAACGATGGGTTCTTCCAGTAGCTCGAGCAGAAGTTGAAGTGCTGGTCGTACTGGTGTCATTCGCAGTCGCTGTGGTCCTTGTTGTGCTTACTATTTTCTTCTGAGTGTAGTCCAGTCTGTCGATCGCATACAACAGCCTTTCCTCGTCGTTCCACTGCTCCTGCCTGCGCTGCGCTTCCGGGAGGTCCTCCCCGGTTTCGGTCAGAAGCCAGAATCGCTGGAAGGGGCGATCGTGCCACACGTGACGCATGCGCGTGTCAAGGCCCAGCAGTTCCCGGTGCAGATCCGGGGCCAGCGATCCGCTTCTTTCTTGCTGCTCCCAATGTGCTGCGAACGTTCGGCTCTTCCACCGGCGCCAGAGGCGGGGTATGCCGCTGCCTAAATGCCGCTCCTTGCAGCAGACCCACATGAACCGCCAGGCCGTGTCGCTGCAAAGTAGGTCGTAGGCGTCGTCGACGAGAAGGAGCAACGCCCACACCTCGACACCCTTCAGCCGCTCTTCCGGAACGGCGCATTGCTCGCAGCGGTCCTGCAGCTCGCGCCACAGGTACTGGTAAAAGTTCTCGCAATGTTCGTCGTCCTCGCAGTGCTGCTCAATTAACTGCAGCGCCGCGATGTAGTGCTCGTCGTTGCGCTGCTTGACCTGGGCGACTTTCGCTTGTAGTTGCTGCCCGGGGTCGTCTGGATCTTCCGGGACGTAGTCCCAGGCCATCTTCTGTGCTGCTACAGAGAGACGGGCGTGGTACGAGACGTGTGTCGAAAAACTCCACCACAATCGCGCATTTGTAAAATGTATTTCGGCTGGCAATCAAAGCTTCTAAGTGACGAGTGCACCGCGTCTACGTCCCCTCCACCAAGCAAACTTTACAGAATGGATAACGTGACTACGTGAGTCGGCCTGAAAGGAAAACTATATCAATCTTGTTTCTTTGGTAGACTTTTTCGCACATGTCTACATCTTTCGTCGACCTCGAGCATCTATTTTTGTCTTATCGTGCTGAAATTTGCTTGTTAGCACGGTCGTTTTTCTTCTCTATCAACTGAAGAACAGCATGAAGATCGTAATCATTATCTATCAGCTCTTTCCTTGTACAGGATATCCGTCTTTCGGCGAAGTGCTTCGGCCAGCATCAAGAAGGAAGATTTTCAAGAACATAGCTTTCGTCAACTCCTTGTATGCTTTTCTGACGACCTTCCTCAGTCAGCCGCCTCCTGTGACCCATGAAAGTAGGCACTCCAAAAGACGGCCCGCAAATCTGTTTTCAGAATGGCATCCTCTACAAAGTCCCATAGGAAGATCCGCCCCGCGTGTGATTCTTCTAGCTCCTCCGGTCCCGTGTCCTCTCTCGGTTCCTCGGCTAGATGCGCAGCTGCCATGGGGTATCGCAGATGGTTGGTGCGATACCGTACTTCTGCATCGTCAAAGGTCCCCTCATCGTTGTCTGCGTCAAAACCATACGCCCTGCTCACGGCCTCGTCCGCCAACGTCCGTGCCTTTTCAGAAACGGCATATGGTAGAATATCTTTCGGAGTTTTGACATGGTGCACTGCCTGTGTCAGGTTGTAGTGCACCTGCAGCATTGCAACGGGGTCGCGCCACATATCCGCATAAAAATCCGAGAACTTTGTTCTAGCTGCACCAGGCTTCTCGCGATCATGACCACCTTGTCTTCTTCGAGCGAATGAACCTCGTTTTTCGGCAGATGTTTTCCATTCCTCGTAATCGTGCGGCGACACGTATTTCGTAAACAGGTCCTGCAAGTCGACGATTCCCATGCGATCCAGCAACAGGCAGGCGCTGTCGTGTGTTAGCCCAGCAGAAGAGCCCGTTTTTTGCGTGCGCGAACCGGCCCCAAAAGTCTCGCGATTTGTCGAACCCGAAGCCCCATCTTCGCTCGAGTCAGGACTCCTCGTTTTTCTATTCACACTTGTCGTCGTCGTCCAGCCCAGCTGCATCAAGGAGAGGAAGCTGCCCACGCTCCCGCGCTTTCGCCACGCAGCGACATACCAGAGCTCCGCGCCGCAAAGCACCCAGAGCGAGTCCAGAAACCCCGCTTCGTGCGCGCGACGCTCCAGATACCGGGCCAGCTCGTGGTAAAAATCGTTTTCGCCGTTCCGGTTCGTGCTGATATCCACCGCGGTCAGCTTCTGCAACAACGCACCCTGTACGTGCTTGCTGTCCAGCACCGTGCCCAGTTTCATGATCCGCGGCTCCACAATGTAATTCGGCTGGAACCGCGATCCGCAGAGGCGCGCCGCGAGGTTCGCCAACCCCTTGCCCGGGACGCGCTGCGTGACCACATCCAGGAAACTGCGGATCGCGTATCTCCCCTCCTCAAACAAGTGCCAGTGCTGCCGTGCGACATTCGTGGTATCGCTGAGCGGAATCTGTGCCGTCGCAATGTCCACGAGGTCCTTGTGCTCCTCCTGCCCGGCAACCACGGACTGCTTGATCACTCCCTGGATCAGTTCGTCCTCTTCTTCGCCCGGCGTCGCGGCGCTAGCCCTGTCCGTGTTCGAAGCACTCTCTCCCCCGTCTCCAGTTTGCCTCCACCAGGGAGTTCTCGGCTGGTCGAGTTCCGCCTGGTTGGTGAAGGCGTGGAGGAACGCGAGCGTGCTGCGGCGGGCAAAGCCATGTCCGTGGTTGCCAATTTTCGCCTGCGGGAACACGGCCGCGAAGTGCGCGCGCTCTTCCCTCTCGATGCCTATCCCGGTTCGCAGCCACCAGTCGGAAGTTTTCTTGAAACTGCTCGTCTCGGCGCCGAAGGGCTTTCGGAACAGAAAGAGAAAGGCCCGCTGGTTTCGCGTGTGTTTGGCGTGCAGAAACCGTGCGTGCGTTGCGCTGTACGTGCAGATCACGTTCCACGCACGCGCAACTTTCATCGAGAAGTAGGCTCGCAAAACCGAAGGCAGCTGCTGTCTCTCCTGGTCGTCACTCCGAAATAAATGCTCAGGACCTGCGTGGTCGTCCAGATGTACTTCCTCGCGTTGTGCTTGCAAAAACACCTGCTCGTACGAATCGTAGAACAGCTGCTCGTTTAGCGGGAACAGTGCGTCGGGCATTACCGCGTAGCAAAATTTGTACTGCACTTCTGCGGCTAGGAAATGAAGGAAGGTGACGAAATCTTCTTCCCCGGAGACATTCACCTCGAACAGTAGGTACCGAACCATTTTCTGTTGCAGGAGTCTCCGGCCGCCTTTCAAAATGTCCATGTCGTGGCCCTCCGCGTCCACTTTCACAAAGAGAATCGAGTCCCGTGGTCCTGTCTTCCAGCCAAACAGCGCGTCGAGCGTCTGGATGCCTACGCGGTGCGTCGTGCTCGCACGCTCGTCGCAAGCCTGCGCAGATTCGGAGGTGCGTGTGGCTAGTTCATGTTCCTCTGCACCGTGTAGTTCTTCGTCCTCGACTCTCGTGCTCATCACAAGCTTCCCGGTTTGCTGTCCACTGCATGTGAATACGGCATTCCCCGGAGAACTTCCTAACGCTGAGTGTACCACCGTGAAGCCGGTCAGATTGTCTACCGTTTTCGTTCGGCGCGTGAGTATGCCGCGCCGCGTGCCGCTGTCCAATTTGGTCCGAAGCACCCGCAACACCTCCTCCCTGCCGACCAGCACACTCGTCGTTTTGTCCTCGACATGGCCGCGTGCATCGTCAACAGTCATGCCTGCCTGGTCATGTTCGAGGCGATCCGTGTTTATTTCACCCGGATGTTGAACGTCGATTTCCATCTTCTCTCCGGTGTTCAAGCGCAGCAATTGGTCGAAACGCGCCGTGCCAATTAGTCCCCACACCCTGTCCAGCAAAGCCAGGCTCCACGAGGAAAAATCGTCTTGCACGACCCCGCTCGCCTCGTCGTTCTCCTCGAGCCGCGCGGTTGCCACCACGTGGAGGTGGCGCAGGGCCAAGGACGCGTTGCGCCTATTCGCGTACGCATCCTGCAAGTCCCGGTACCGAAAAAAACTCGGCTCCACGCACGTCACATTCAGCAGAGGTCGTTTCTGTTTGCTGTCTTGATAGTTCTCCCACAGCTTGATCGCGGTGTCAGAAAGTCCCGCCGCAAAGCACCCGACATCGATGAGTTGGTAGACGTCAGGAGCGTCGGCCGGTTTTGCGTGCCCTTTCGGCTCTAGTACGTGCCTCTCGCTTTTGATCCCCTGGAGGTGCCTCTCCCCCTCCAAAGCGGAGGAGAGCACGGCTGGTAAGACGACCCCCGCCTCGAAAAAGTCCCAGTTTGACGAGTCCCGGAACCCCAAGGCAAACAAGGAAAACAGCTGCAGAAGATACTGGTACGCAGTGTGTTTGGTGAAAGCGCCACCTGCGACGTTCCAAGAATAGTCCGCTTTTACAAGAGCGCTGCTCTTTTCCTGCCGCAGACGCAGCGCTTTGCAACAATCTTCATCGTAGCAGGTGTTCGTATAGAAGATCCGGCTCGCCGAGGGAAGCTCAGTGCCTGAGTTTTCATTTTCTCGTGCAGGAGCGACGCTCAGTCACGGAGTAGTAGTGTGTGGGACAACGAGCTTTATACAGTTATTCGCGATGGCAGTGGCAGGATAAAAGACACAGCAGAGCTGCATCACAAAGTACGAGTCAACCTTCGCAACGCCAGCTGTTCCCTTCTCCACGCCACCGAATTCCTATCCAAAGTCCATTCAGATTCAGTAAGTACATGGCTCTAAAACATATGGACGACACCGACACATCTATCAACACAAAGGCAATAAAATACCTACCTTCTCGTCGTAATACAGCAGCCCCTTCTGCCGCAGGATCGCGGTCGCTGTCTGATTAGTGGCAGTGTCGACCCCAAGGGTCTTCCGGTGCCGCGATTCTTCGAAGAAGCAACACAATTCGTAGTTTTCGGTCATGGGGTTTTCCCACCGGGGGCAAGTGTACACGGGCTCGACCAGATCCGTTGTCACGGGTACAACGCGCTCACCCCGATTTTCTCCCTCATCTGTGGAAACCTCGGATGAAAATGGGTCTCGAAATGTTGTTGCCACGCGCACCAGCGAAATAACTTGAAGAGCCGCGAGTACGATACCACCCCGGACACGCGACGGGAGCAACCGAAACGACCGCGCGAAGAAGTTGTTCTTCCTCCGCGGTAAGTAAAACAAATCTCCTACTCTCCGCCTCCGCCGACGGTGCGGAGGCGTTCGCGTCGCTATTCGCGGTCCGTACCTCCTTCCGGTCGTGAACATTTTTTTCCAATTCCTCTGGTGTCGTGAACGGCGAACAGCACAGCAGGGAACTCCACTTCTTCTTCTAGCCAGTCTCCCTCTCCATGCTATTCCAGATTCATAAGCCCCTCGAAGATCTTCGCTCTTTTTGATTTCGTGTACCACTTTGGAACGTGCATCAAAACGGATTCTTTGCCGACAAAGAGGGGAAAGGGAAACCAAACCATATCAATGAAAATAACGATCGCAAAAGCAAAACGAATCCGAAATCTACGTGCAAATTTGGAATGCTACCTTCATGTAGATGTGAATGTGAAGACCGGCGAAACCCTTAAAAAATAGGCTCGTGCATTGCTGCTGCAGAGTCAACATTCCATATCGTGATCGCCAAAACGGAGACCCATCAGTCATTTGAACGCATCTTCAGGAACACTCGCATTCTCTAAATCAAGTCCGTGTGTGCGAACCTCGTCCGCACCAGACATCGCCGTTTAAAGTTGTATTTGCGGAGAAGATCATACCAAATCTGGCGCAATGAATTCATCAAAGACACACACAACACTGAGGAGAGCGGCGCTTACATGAATCCACACAGCCGAGAGGCACGGCAGCCGGGGAGCACAACGAGAAGCAGTTGCTGCTAGCCGCTCCTACTTCTACCTCCTTAGTTAAAAGCCCAGCCCGCAGGTTTGCAGCAACGCTGTGGACGAGGAGGATGCAGGGCGGGTCTGCAGCCGCTGACGCGCAAAGAATTGCCTCTGCAGCCTCTCCCACTCGATGTCCGGCTGCGTCCGGTGGACGCGCAGTCGCACGTTCTCGTGATAGAACCACGCCGTGCCCCGGTACGTGTTGGGCCACCCGCGGGCGGAGCAGAGAACCGGTAGCTCCTCCTCAGAATCCTCTGCGATACTGCGAAACAGGTCGAGGGAATCAGTGTACACGGGGGTTCGCGGCCCCGTCAGGACGAGTTCTCCCTGGTCCACCAAACAGGGCTCGCTGTCGCAGAAACGCGACTGTCGTGGCGGATTGCTGGGTGTGGGTCGTGCTGGCGCTTGTTCTGAACTCGTTGTACTAGCTGCCGCGTACCGCTCGCGCCGCTGCTGGGAATAGAAATAGACCGACGCTGCGTTGTTGTAACTATTATCGTCTTCTTGCTGCTCCTCCACGGCTGGCAGGTGCCCCAGCTGTCCGCTGTAGTACCGCTTTCTGCCCGGATCTTGATCGTGACCGGGGGGAGAGGAAACGCGGCTGCTCAGCGTCGTGGCAGGCGGACGATCTGAAGCCGAACCCGCAGGTTGGGTCGTGCCTGAACTCGCATTCCCCGAGAAATTCCCCATAGTAGCTCCCTCAGGAGAGAGGAATCTATTTTTGTACTGCGTGTAGTTCTAGTTTGCCTTGTTGGTTCAAAATAGGTGTACGAATTGAACAGCACGTACCTCCTCGCTTGCAAACTCTAACGTATACCGGTAGACCACGAAAAGAAAACACTGAAGAAGAGCGTCCACCTGGGACATCTATGATAAAGTGGAGGCTGCACAAGCTTCGAAGCAACAACCAAACGAAAAAAACGAAGAAGAGACCATCCTCCGAAAAGAACGTGAAGGGCTAGTTTGACGCAGCGATGATTGGGATCCAACGCGCACGACTGTTCATGTTTACAAGCCAGGACATACTGGGAAATTCAGCAATGCAATTGGTTGAATAAAGACGCAAGTGCATGATCATATATTTATAATATGTTATCGGTGCGATGCAAACGAAGTCGCAACGCATCTGCAAATGAGCTAAACGAGTGAGCCATGACACTGGCTAAGAACGAGGGCAATTAAGAGAACGATGTCAAAACGATAAGGCGTGAAGTGGACGAGGACTGACTTGTATGCCTACGAAAAACGGCGTCAGCGGCAAGACCAAACACAGTCTGTGACTCGATTTCGATTTCGATAGTTTTTGGTAAATACTCATAAAGAGTAAGTTTACAAATGCTCGCTCGAAAGCGGCGGTAGGGACGTATATTATCGCTGCAAGATTCCATATTTGTAAGATCACTTTCGTCTTCCAAGATGCTCGTTAGGTGTTCATTTCGTGCATGCAGCACTGCAGTTTATTTCTTACTTTGCGTTGAGAGGTTCATTATTTGTGGAACGAGACAGAGCGAGCACATGCGCTCTTTTGCTCTCGGAATCAATTTTGCATTTTTGGATACCAGCCTGGATCTTAAATCTGCGTGCTCTTCTAGCCGCGCAAACAGCGCGATTTCGGGAGCTCCTTGCCCTTGAAGACGGAATTGTGAATCATCCCCGGTCCGACCCTAGCAGCCGCGAAGGGGTCGAACGTGCAATGTTCCATTTCCTTCTCCGCGCGGTCCTGTTCCGCCTGCAGGCTTTGCAGCTCTCGATTGCGCTGGTCCATCTGCAGCTGGTCCATGTACAGTGCGGGGTTGCGCAGCTGCAATTTCGACGGCACGTCGTCGTACAAATTTGGAGTAAAACTGTTGTTCCCTGCTGTGGAGAGCCTCGAGGACGCGGACCGGTTGTTCCGAAGGGGATAGCTCGTGCTGTCCCCACCTCCACCCCCGGGAAGATGACCTCCCCGCGCATCGCTGTCGCGCGGCAGTTCGTGTGTGGGCGAGAACGGATCCCGCGCATGTTGCTGCTCTACATCTATGCGGGCGTTTACGGACGTGGAAAACAGCTCCTGTGTCGTCTCCTGGTCGGGCGAGCCCGGATGATCTCCATAATTGTACTCCTCAGCAAACGCGGGCTGCATCACGCGAGCCAGCTGCTCCTTCCGCTGGCGGTGCTCCGCCCGTCGCTGTGCCCACTGCGCTTGGATCTTCTGCACTTCCAGCTCCTCCTGCTCCTCCGCCGAAAGAAACTTCTCGGGATACTTTTTTTTCAGCTTTTCCCACTTTTTGTTCTGGTCCTCGTAGCACAATGCCGACCAGCCGCGCTTTTTCGCCTGCTCTGCGTTTGCCAGTCTGCTCTCTCGCTCGCTGACCTTCGCAGCGATCTCAGCCGCCTGCTTCAGCTGCTCCCCGTATCCTGAGTAAAGTTGCAGTACTACCCTTCCCATATTCCTTCTATATGCAAATCTGCCGGCCCAGCATTGATTGTGTCGCACGACTCGGCTGCCCGTGGTAGGATTTGTCACGCATACCCGACTGCACCACATCAAAAACCTTTGCACCGTCGCCGCAAGCAGCTTCGGACGCAGGAGATCTAGGGTCAGAACCGCGAAAAACATCGCGAGTATTTCTTCAGTAGGATTTGTCATGCTTGCGGGTTTTCCTCTATCTGGGGATGGTCCCGGCCATGAAAGAAGCACAGCAAAGTCAGACACAAAAGAACATGTTATGCTCTACCAAGAATACCCTACTGGGTCTGTGATGCGCTTGGACTAACTAGACATAATCACAACCACTCAGGCTGCACGATTTCGTGCGTAACTCCCATACCTGCTTCTAAATTTGTCTAGCGGTCGGCCGATCATAATATTCATCTTGGGCATCTTGGGAAGGGTACGTTTTGGCACAGGATACCTCGCGCTCCTTCTTCTCCAGCTGCGCAAACCGAGTGGACGTGAGAAACCGCGCCCCCTGAACGGTAGTTCCAGCACGTGTGTTGTTGCTTGTAGTCGTCATCTTCTGTCGAGGAGCGCTGGTGCTACTGCTGCTCTGACCCGGCCGCGCAGCGAGAGGACTGCCTGGCCGCTCGTCGCCGGCACGCTGCACGTGCGCAGAAACGTCCATGGGGACCACGCGCTGCTGGAACAGGCTCGACCTGGTAGAAACGATGACAATCAATGCCAGTATAGAATTATTGCATCTCCATACTCGCCTGCTTGTAAGTACCATACCGATAATTCTCATTCTCTTAAAGTATAGTTACAGTGGCATACAAGTAATTGCGACTGACTTGTCTGACCCGCTGTGAAGATGCCACCTAGCGCCTGGCCACGCCTGCTCTATTACAACAAGGCACTTTCCCTGCCTCAAGGGCTACGATCTGTAGTTGGATTTCGAATACAAACGTAATCTTCCCTCAAATTTTCTACTAGAGTGGCCCTCTGAGTTTTTGTCCAACCGACTACATGTGCATCAAGTTCAAGCTCTATACTTTGCAGGCGATGTGCTTTGCTGCCGCGTGGGCGGGGACAGCTCGAGCGCAGGGCTGCTGTTGAGAATCGGCGACGCGGCCCAGCGCGGCATCGGTACCGCGGACACTTTCGAGGCATCCATGCTGCATTATCCTGAGTAAAAACGTACCCACGCCGAAGTTGTAATGCAGATTTGCAAAGACAGGAAGACTCGTAATGCGCATCCCCATGAGAGCCATTTCCAATCGTGTTTTGGAATTTGTGATGCTGTGAACAGGATGAGCAGATGAATCTGTGATGCGGCTGCACTTGCTAACCTGCACTACACTGCGGAGTGCAACTTGTCATGCGTGACTCACAAAACTCCTAGGTTTGTGTTGCAAAATCCCCATCCTGACTCTGGTGTGGGGATGTTTTTACACAGGATATGAATCCACTCATGTTCAGCAGGCTGCTTTGATCCTTGTTTGCACTGGAGGAGGGCACCTCTCGTCCCTGCGCGTGTGGACTACTACCCCGGCGAGCGCCGTTGCCGCCACTCTGCGGCTGCTGCGGCTCGTCCGATATTTTGACCAATTTCTCCGGGATCTTGCGGTAGATTTCCGCTGCACTCGGCGCTGCGGCGGGTACGGCGCTGCCATGAACCTTTTCGAAGACGCGCCGCGCGAACAAGTACGGATTGCTGTCGTTTCCATAGTGCGCACTCGGCAGTGGTCTCGGTGACACTAGAGTCGCCCAGGACATGCTTCGTCCACCCCCGCCTCGCGTGCTCGTGCGTTTCGTCGGCGAATATTTGCTATCGAGATCACGCGGATTGTTCTTCGACCGCGCTACAGCCTCCGCGACACCGCATCCACCAGGAAACAGTGTGCCGCGAGGAGTACCGTTCCCCGCATCGCCCGATATCGTTGATCGCTTCGAGCCCGCGGACACCTTCGAGAGATTGGAAATCCGTATCTTACGTAAACTGTGCGAGGCAACGCATTCGCAGTAGTCTGCTCTCGAGGACACCATTTAGAACTAGAACTCTTTCGCTTCCCTGTATCAGACTGGTGGTGCATGTATAGAATTCTCGTCACCCAGAATGTTATGTATTCTTCAGTGCAAGTATTCTATGGTTAAAACAAATCATCATGGGAAGTCAGAAAGCCCCATGACGCGGTCGCGACGGCACCTCAAGTAGCCATTTGGACGCACTGGGTTCTGGCAACGTTAAAGTTAAACCAAATCAGACTGGTGGTACATGAGTAGAAGTCTCGTCACTGAAAGATCAGTGCAAGTATTCTATGGTCAAGGGAGTCATCATTTTCGTCTATTTTCACTGAACTTAGAGTTACATCAACGAGTTGTGTGCCACTTCAATTGACACGACACCGAGACGAAACGGAATGTCGTGACACCCAGCAGCTTGCTTATTGTAGGACAACTTTTGACTCAGACACTTATGGAAATTGAAGTGTCAGAGCTTCGAAGTGTCCACGTATCTACTTACGGTGCTGGATCATGATACGCTAGTCTTAGAAGTACTTCAGATGGGAGCAGTTGCGTTATATATGTAAAGCGCAATCAACCATTACCGAGCAAGAAGGACACGGTTGGCAGTGGCAGTGCAATGCCTATTTACAAAATTGGAGGCTAGCAGAATACCCTTGATGCAGCTGCCCCGGGTGCGGACCGTGGTTGCACGGCGTTTCTCTTCTTGTCTACCGCATGGAACAGGTTGCTCAGTCGTGCCTTCTGAAGGTCCACGTGTGAGTCTCGCTGCACTTCGGACCGTAGATCATTGATGCGGGATTGGTTGACGCCGACTGGTGCTGTAGCCCCGCGTGGTAGCTGCGGCGGACGTCCCGCCATGGCGGCGTTGCTGTATGATGAGGCGAGCCGACAACGATAAAGGAATGAACTACGCGTGGTTCTAGCTAGCTCGAATGCCATGAGTCGAGCTCGACATTGCGCATGCGCATGATCTCCAAGATCGCTATAATGTTCATGTTGATGCGCGAAATAATACTAAAGAGCGCTCTTTCTATACCCGGAAGCCGGTAGGCGCTGTTCTTCTGCTCCACCAGAGGGTCCTGGTGCGTCGTCCTGGGAGGTGAAGGACTCATAACCGGCATAGTCCCCAGGGACGGCATAGTCCTCTCCGTCCCTGGGCGGAGGGGCAAAATCCAGAACTTCGCTATGCGGCTCTCGGCGGGGTGGTTCCTCGCTTGTTTCCTCATTTGCCGAGACCTCAGCCTGGGCTCGTGCCCACGTCCCGTTTGTTCCGGTTTTACCGCCTGTATTATTGTTGCCCATGCCGAGAGAACTAACTCCTGCACCTTTCGCTCTGCCTTTGGCCGTTGAACGCATCAGGTACGACCCCGGTGCCTTTCTCGACGACGACGACGACGACGCGGCAGCACCCTTTCTCGGCTGTGCAGTCGATGCGGAGGCAGGAACGACGAGTGACGCGCGGCTACTCCTCTGCGACGGCCGGTGCGAAGAAACCTTCCCCACACCGCCCTTTGCGGCTCCTTTTGACGACGAAGAAGAGCTGACCTTATGGTAGGTGGAACTTAAACTCTTGTGCCCGTACAGCCGCTCGTACACTGGCTGCTCCAGGTACTGCGACGTCGAGCTCGACAGGCGGCGTTTGCTCGGACTCACCTCGGGCTGAAACCGCAGGTCGGCGTCGCGCTCCTCCCTCTGCCGCGTCGTCAGGAAGTCGCCACACGCGTCCTTCCGCTGTTGCCGAGTTGTACTAGAGCACTGCTGTTTATTCCAAGGTCTACCACTTTCTATGCTCCGTTCTGCCAGTCTCCCGTCCGGGTGCTCCGCAAGGAGGGCCGTTGCTGCGGCAGCGGACGCGTGCGCGCGCTCTGCACTGTTGCGAGGAGATGGTGAGTGGCTGCTTTTCCGGACCTGATGAATATTGCCAGCCTCCTGGTCTTCTGTTCTCTGAAAAACGTCCTCCCGCGTTCCGTAAGAATTCGCACGCGCGACATCCCAAACGATGGGCTCGGAGGTCAGGGCGGCACTCTGCGACATCTGCTGTGCGAAGGAGGTGTTGGTGGCAGCGTCCACGTAATTGTTCTGGAATTCGTCTTCGAGGCCACCGTGTGGAATCTCCTTGGACGACGTGGCTGGCACTTGGGCAGCGGACAAGATTTGCAGAAAACCCTCTGTGCCGACTTGGTAATGCCGCCCCCCGGGAGACACGCTAATAGTACCTCCAGACGGTGCCACTACAACAGGCTGCGGTCCAAAGGAATCTTTGCTGGTCTTCCCCGATAGCGTCTCGCCAGGCAGGAAGAGAAACGGAGCGCCTCGGTGGCTACTTGCATGGCAAAAATCGTGCGCGATTCTGGTCGCCCGTTCAGACGATGCCGTTTGGTTCGAGCCCTGCCGCGAAGGTGGTACTGCAGCTTCACCGTGTTGCTGCGCATCGCCTGCGAACCGAGCTGGAGCGTAGTCGCCCGGATAGATTGGCGATCGACTCAAGCCTTGGTGTTGCAGCAAACCTCCACCTTCTCTCGCAACCAGAGGTTGTGCACCCGCCTTGCGGCGCTCCTGCGGAGTTGTATTATGCATGTTTGACCACCGTGTTGACTAAGTACGCTCGTCGGGTCGTGTGCTTCCATCGCTTTGGCTTTCAAGAAACGTCGACACAACATAGTACTGCAACAGTCGACTTTTGGTTTTGTCTCGTCTTTCAGCAATTTTTACGTCCCTTTATTAAGATTTACAACATCGAGAGCAATCACGTAGTCTTAGGTTAGTACGCAACTGTCGAAAAATTACCGGTCACTCAGCTGCTTATACCTCCTCCTCCTCCCTGGCTGCTCTGCGCTTCTCCCGCTTAATCGACGACTCGATGTCATTGGCGCTGGGAGGAATCAGTTCTGCCGCCTTCACGGTTGACTCGAAAGGAGAAGACACCTTCTCGATATGAAAATTCTTGTCGCTCGGGGACCCGTGGCGAAACTTTGCGGAAAGGTACGTTTCCATCATGTCATGCAGCCTCTCGTCTTCTCCGTAATAATCCTCGACTGCTGGGTCCTCGCCAGGTGAATTTCACACCGACACGCGCTCACCGCAAGTACATCAAAAACCAAAATTTGCAAGTGGATGAAACTACTTACTGTATTCTCAACGGTGCATTGCGTTTGCCTTGTTCGGAGATCTTCTCAAGCGGCTGGGCTCACCCAGGCAGCGCCCCAGCACTGGCGAGCTTTACTAGCAAAAGTCGCAGGCTACATTTGTAAGTACGTTGTTTTTCATTCTTGCCGAAGAACGGGGTCCAAGCGATACCACGAACAGACGCGCTCCCTCAAAAATAGAGAACTGACTGCGTTGAAACGCCCAATTTTGTCGACCAACATACATAGAGGACACCCACACAGCCAATAAATTGAGTCTTGTACGTCGCTCCGACAAGTATCTGCAACGCGTCGACTAGGATGTGTGTTCGCTGGACTCGACAATAACCTCCGTTACTTGCTACTCCAAGGGCCCGAACGCTCCACCAAAGCTTCTGCAGCAAATAGATACATAGAGACGGCAAGGACGGTGTGATCAGAACACGCAGGCAGGATGCTGCTCGCGTAGCGCAGTCCACAATTCTGCAGCGCTCCGCCACTGTGCTTTTCTCTTTGCGCGTAAGTCTCTTCGTTCTTTTCTGTCAACAGCAGCTTTCTCCGAAAGCAAAACTTTGACCATAATTGCGTAAGCGTTGACCATTATTGCGTAAGCGTAAGACGAAAATAAACAAGCAGCGCGCACCAGGGTGCATACCTTTTGCGGATGCCACTTTCTTGATAGTCACTATACTTAGTTAAGCATGCGAAGCCGGAAGACTTCTTTTTTCGTAAACTGAGCGCACCATTGTTTTTGACTCCACACAGGACGAGACCGGCAGCTCAAACACCCGTACAACAAGCGTGGCCGTGCTACGAGATGGCCACAAAGTGGCGGCAGTAGCTTTTGCGATCCAAGGTGGCCATGTCGCTGACCTCCTCAATGTCGTCCAGGGCAGTGTAGTCGGTTGCCAGGTCCTCGAACTCGCCGTTGTACACCGCATCGATGACGTCCTTCTTCTATGAAATGCAAAAGCATCGCACTAGTAGAAATCGCATGACAAATTCCCTCAGCATGAAAAATGAAATTTTTTGTAATGCGGATTGAGGTCACGAAGGAGATTTGTAATGCATGACTGCGATTACTACGAGTACGATACTTTTGCACAGCATATCTTCTTCCACGTTGCGATGTTTCGCAGGTGTTTGCACACGTCGTCGCGTTCGTAGGTGCGCTTGGGCTCCTCCCCGATCATGTGCGTGGGGCTCGGTTCCCCGAGCTCGGCGAGCTCCTTCCGGTAGTAGTACTCCGCCCGACGCAGCGCCTCCGCTCCCCAGTCGTCGTACACGGTGCGCGGCGGGAGCGGCTTGTCAGTGGAGGGACCTGAGGCCAGAGAGTTCCAACGAATAAAGAAATCCATTGCGAGAACGAGGAACCTATACGAAAACCGCACGATGTGCATTCAATTTTTTTTCGCCGCTGTTTTTACGCTAATAAAGTGACCCTTTTACTATAACAAAATTTATTGAGAATGAACTGTACGTGACAACGCCGCCTGCACCGCTTTTTCGGAGGGCTTTTTGTTAAACGGCCGCTTGTGCGCCTTCACGACGTCGTCTATTTCGCCCCCTTGCAAGTCGCGCAATCCGAATGTCTCCAACACCGCTGGATCCGCGGTCAGATACAGACACTGTGTGGGGGCTGCGAAAATGGTTCGTGTTCATCCATTGATTCGCCTAGCTCAAGTAACTTATCCCTATGCTAGATATGATTTATTACCGGTTCCTCGAACTCTCTACATATTATTATTATCGAAGCCACAGGTGATGCCGACCACTGTGCACAAACATCGCACGTACAAGGGGACGGATGGGTCTCAGTGCATTGTATGTGGGATCTGTCTCGCCAGGATCTCCCGCACCCGGAGTAGGTGCACTTTCGGTCCCTCTCTCCTACCCTTCCGAGTGCCCTCACGGCTCGGAGGCGCGTCGGACGTAGTGCCTCACGAACACCAACACCTCCCCACGACTGCCGTTGATTTTCGTCCGATTTGGTATTGCACTGCGTAGCTACAGCAAGCATTTGCATGTCTGGGGGCGCTCAACTCGTGGGCGGTTGTGCGCCGCCAATGTGTTGCTGTGTGGCCGATTCAGTGGTGCCACAGGGCTCGCCTGTCGTGGCGCGCTCTTCATAGTACCGACCAACCGGGTGGCCGCGCACTATCAACGGTCGGCGCTATAATTCTCGGTATGGGCTTGGCCGAGCTCGGATAAGGGGCGGCATCCGGGAGGGTGGGGTGGCCAGCCATCTGGGTGGCTGCGCTCCCCTAACGGTAGCGCAGCTGCGCTCATCGGTGGTGCCGCGCGGCTTGCTGCCCCGTCGCGTCCCGTGGACGCGCGAGGCGCAGCCGCGGCACCCGGGTGGCAGGCAACAAACAGCACAGCGGCGGCGTGCCTTTTTGTTGCGAACCTGCGCAGCAGCGCAAGCGCATGGGCCAAGGAGCTGCTTGCTGCTAGCTCTCCGTAGAACAACAAGGCCAGCGCGTATATATGGTCTACGAGGTGGCATCATGAGAGGCGGCGGCCCTCATTCACTGGGGCCACTCTTTCAACCAGATCCACTAACCGCTTGCCCTGATAAGCATGCGGCCTGCTTCTCCCCACGTTACGACCGGGAGATCTCCTCAGGCGACGGCCTTCACAGGAGGTGAACTCTCTACATAATTCATTTGAAAAGTCACACTCTACGAAGTCAGAGATATGAGGTCTTGAGACTCAAGCCTTCCGAACCAAAAGAAGTAGAGCACTTACTCGGCCGTTCCTTCTTTGGCGGAGCAGCCGCCGCAGGTACCTTGGGGACTGCTGCGGCAGCCGGCACGGTAGCAGCTTTTGATATTGAAGCTGACGAGGAGCTACCCTCTCCGCCACGCGTGACGTCCGCTGCTTTACCGGATTGTGCAGGAGCTTCTCCATCTGGCGCCTGAGCAGATGACAAAATTAAATAGGTTAAGGTTTCGATTTGGCCGGCGTCGCGTTCTCCCAATGCCGGCGAGCGAAGCAAGTTTGAAGCGCACATCTAAGAACTTGTCACCCGAAGATAAAAATTCAAAATGACTAGAGGATTCGACAGCTAAAGCACCTCCTCTCCGGCAGCGGGGGCAGCGGTGCCGCTTACAGCGTCGGCCATTTGCGCGAATTCCGAGGCGGCGCGAAGCGTATCAGACCCCACGACGTCCTGTAGTGCAACCGTCCCTGCGCCGTCCTCGACGATTGCCGTCGCCTCCTCAAGCTCAGGTGGTTTTCCTCTCGTGTCCTCTGCCATATCGTCTGTTGCACCAGCACCACCACTGAGCCCGAGACCTAAAAATAAGAAGGAGTGTCGTGGTGGTCCAAAATGAAAACGCTTCTGTGTTGATTGTGATGATCATGATTCTCTACAACTATCTTCTTCGTGACAATAATATCCGCAAGCTCACAAAATTCACAGCAGCAGAGCAAACGTTCACAAACACATATCCCAAGATGAAGGTGAAGCCGCCACTCTGAGTTCTACACTGATAACCTCCTACAACGTATGTGAAAGTACCGAGGATCTCAATAACGGAGGTGGCAACGGCATCGCTCTCCAGTGTGATTACGCCGTTACCGGCTACACTGACGAGAGACTGCGACCACCCTGCGCGAGAGCCACCCCCGCCGCCATAGTTCAACCCTTTCTTTCCCCCGCCGCCCCCCAAGCTTCCGCCGCTTTTGCCCTCGCAATTGCCGATGTGAATTTCCGGATTCTTGCCCGTTTCGGGCGGAGCCTTCGCCCGTGGCCTCGACGGACTGCTCTCCTCAGCCTTGCCCTTCGTTGCCGACCTGCTCCGCCCGCGGCGTTTCTGCGGCGACGTGGCCACAGACGGACTACGGCTCTGAAACTTCAGCTCGTACGGAGTCGGAATCACGAACCCCTCGTCCGTTTTCTTGTACCAGCCTTGCTGCTATCAAATGTAAAAATGTCTGGGTCTGGAAGAGTCATGCTGTTTTTGCATGATACAGAAGGTCTGGCATGGAAGCTCTAGCATCACAGGTCTCGAAGAGCCTCCGGAATGCCGAATCCGCATGACAAATCCCCCACTTTGGTGACAGACAGTGGGCAGCTTTTGCTACCTATGCATGAGAGATTTTTCTGTGTTCTGAAATACGCATTACAAGTTGCATTCTTCCAGACCCAGACATTTTTGCATTTGATAGCTGCGGTGGCGACTGCGATCTCGAATACACCGTGTCCTTTGATGCGGGACCCGCGGTTGTCGCGTCTGTCGCATCCCCCCGATCTGCGGACGAAGCGGTGGCCCTCTTGCTACCGATCCCCGGACGCACTCCCGTGGGCTGCACCCATTGCCTGCGGTAGGGCGTGACGTGCGTGCTGCGCGCATCGATCGGCCCCCACATCTCAAACGGCTTCGCGGCGTCCGGTACTTGCCCGAGCCGCTGCGCGAGCAGCGCCCGCTGCTCATCGGCCTGCTGTCGCAGTCTCGACTTCGCGCCACCGGCTTTCCCTGCTGCTCCGGCACCCCCGGGAGGCGGAGGCGGCGCCGGTTTCGTCCTTTTCGTCCCGCCCGGACTTGTGACTTCGACCGTTCTTGTTGCGTGCCCTCCGCGGCCTTGGTTCTGCATCATCTTCTTTCCCGGTGATAGCGCGTGCTTCAACTTCACGGCCATCAGCGCGACACGCCCGAAAATCTGAGGTGGATGATGAAAATGAAGATCTCACACAGATACACACTGGAGTTTGTATTTTGACTAGTGTGATGAACAAAAAGGAATGCAATGCGCTTCCCAAGGTGAGCGGAAAAAGAAACCCAAGTTCGGATTCGAAATCTTCAATCCTATACTTTAAAGAGATCTTCCTGCTCTTCAAATACCTGGAATCATAACATGACAGCAGCAGTACCGAAAACGGCCGTTTCCCCCCGATTTGCTGATTGAAGAAAGCGTAGTCTTGGGAATTCGCTTTGGGGAAGTGCGGTTCTAAGATTTTGCAGTCTAGCAAGATGTTCTCGAACGTGTCCGGAGATATTCCTTTGCCCAGCCACTTGCCCAGCGAAGCCGAAGCTACCTCGAGCACGACGGAGAAGTCGTCTGCAGCCTGCTGCGCAAAATACGCGCCATGCGCGTGCCCTTTGTACGACTCTCCGCGAATAAAGTACCTTCATTGAGTACGTGAGCAAGCATGACGTGCTCGCGCGGATCATGCCATCCGTCGGGGTTGCTTACTAGAATGTGATTTCTATTTTCTCAGTAAGTACTAGTTTCTCAATAAGTAACGATCCCTCCGCTGCCTCAAACGCAAAACCATATTCATCCGAGGCTAGCGTCACAAACAACTACAACCTAACCCTAAGAAGCACTTAATATTTTTACGCCAAAGCGCGGACGAGATCGACATTATTGCGTTCCCTTTCCAGTTCGGGTGTCGCGTAGCTGCGGTACGCTGCAGAGGACGATTGCGACCCGCCGATTTGCTCGGAGCCTGCGATTATACCGCCCTCGTCCCCTCGGAACTTCACACTCGAGTTGCCATCTCGAGCTAGTGATACGTGCTTTTCCGTCCTGGTTGATGATCCAGGTACGTCAGAGGGTGCACCCCCTTGTGGTTTGAACTTTTGACCTTCCTTGAACTTCTCCTCGTTTAGCTTCTCTAATCGCGTAAATTCCTCGTCCAGGGAGCCAAACTCTTGTTCCATTCGACGCATGACTCGCGTGCACATCAGGATCCCCTTCTCCTGGAAACCATGAAAACCCAGGAAGAAGGCGATGGTCAGTTCCACGAAATTGCGCCACTCCGGGTTGGCCCCGACCAGCTGCTGCAGCACGCGATACGCGACTTCAATTCTCTATGAAAGTGCACAATATCCCCCCGGTGCCCTCCTTTGAAGGGGTAGGGCGTGTGTAGCAAGACAAAGAACCTGCAAAGTGCAGTTTTGCATGTCGCATCCGCGAATTGTAGTGCACTTTGGGATTTAAAAACTAACTTGTCATGCGAACACGACCGAGACACCCAGAAAGAATTTGGCCTCTTGCATCACAAATGAGGGGGAGGGCGAGGGGGAATAATTGTCTACTATCATAAATTCTCCGCGGTTTTCAGAAGTAGGAAGCCACGCCAGTAGAGGGAGATGGCAGCGTGCGGCAGGACCTGTATTTTTTGAGGCATAAACGAATGACTAACGTCGCGTACACTATGTCTATAGACACTCACGATGCAAGAAGTAAATATGTTATTTCGGCATCAATGAGTGGCCACCAATGACATTCATTGAAGAAGAAAATTCCTTTTCGCACATAGTACCTGCAGGGAAACCTCGATGTCGTGCAAGGCTTCGACCGTTTTGCCCATCAGTGAATTCGCGACACTCCGCATGAACTGCAGATGTCGCGATTTTGAATATTGGTAACCTACTACAACATTTTAGCTTTTCTTCAAAGACAAGTAGCAACGAAATAAAACCACAAGGGGACAACACACAGACGAATAAACTTGAACCATGATGAAAGCGGCTGAAAGCAAACGCAGCCTGGTACCAAAACGCCCTGCACCATCGGAAAATGGGGCTGGGACATGCGCCGCGAGATTTCGTAGGCGACCCCGAGATACTCGGTGCACTTGCTGTAGTCCTTCTTTTGAAAGCAGTCAATCCCACCACGCATCGCGACCTCAAAACTGGGCTGGTCAAAACTGTACTCCAGAGCGAGGTAGTCGATCACTACGTCATTGCTCGGCAGCAACCGCGGCATCGGGAAGGCGCGCTCTGTTATCCGAGCCGTAAGTATGAAGGGTTTTTGCGACGTTTGCCTTTCAGAGACACAGACCTAATATCAAAGTAAGCCCACGGGAAGAAAAAAGAACAAAAGCAGCACTAAAGGAAAAATAAATACTCCCCGCTGCCTGTCGCAGGATATCCCGTTCGTCTGGCATTTTGCGATACTTATAGTCACGCGCTCTTCAAAGCTTCGGCTTCTTCGGCGTCAGCCTGGGTGTGTGGCGGCAAAGGCGATACCAACCCTCACGTCCATGCAAATACCAACACACCAACTGGATCGCAAATTTGTCAGCCAGTGGCGTCTTCTGATTTCCCTTTCTACCAATCTCGTGGTCGTGGTCATGTAGACACTGACAAAACAAGAGTAATCACCAGAGAATGTGCAAATAATACTGCAAAACGGTTTGCACTTCCACAGATCAGGCTCACTCAATTATATTAAACTTCGCACCACGATTCCTGCGAGACAATTTCCATTTTTTCCGACTGAGAAAGCTACTACTTTGGTTCCTCGACCTATGAGATGCCTCGACGCTCGAAAAAATTTACCTCTCAAGGCGCAGAAAATCACTCGACGGACGGAAAACGATTGCAGCTTACTCTCACTGCTATTCGAAATCGGAATGTCCATAAGTAAGGCTGCAAACGCAAGACGACCGATCACGACTCCATCACCATCATGATTGCGAGGCATGAAAAGGCGCGCTCACAGGGGTTATTAGGCTCGCTATGGCCCACCTGCAACACCCAGGGACCCTCACAAGGCCCTCGCCCCCACGGTTTTTGCTTGGATTTCAAGCAACGTCCGTTCTCAGCGACGAAATGAACAACAACGACGACGAAATATGAATGAAAGCACCAAGAGGACAGACACATTACTCGTGCTTGATGTGATGTTTCGCCCGCCACGTGATGTAGAATAAAGTCATTGCTGCGATTCAATCTTCGGTGCTGGTACTGCAAGTAGAATTAGCCAGTGTGCCCATGTACTGGCAGTGTCCTCGCCCAAGAGCTTGCTAAATCTCTAGACAGATTCCGTTGGCTTGGTAATCTGGTCCGCCCTGGATTTGGTGTTTTTTCTAACTGTGAAAAAAAAATCTACTTTTGATTTTCCTTCGTCTGGTGTACCCCTTTAAAATGCAGCCCATCTTCCTTCTAGTTCTTTTACCTTCTAAGACTGCTCCTAATTAAATTGAATTTTCATTCTACTATCCTGCTAACCTTCCTGCTAGTTTTAAGCTAATTCTCTTCCGCTAGGACTCGACGTCGCGCTTGCATTGTGAATTCTCAAATTCCGGCGGACAATTTGAAGAACATTAGAAATCGGGACTCTGGCCATTTTGCCGAACCTTCTAAAACGACCGATCCACGGAGGTTCGTCTGGTTCGAGCATTTCGATCGGTCTGCGGGCGCTCGCGATGTTCGAATCCCAAGCCCAAGAGCAAAAACATACGCAAGCAGGGACAGGCAGTCGCCACTGGCACAGGTGTGGACCAGGGGGAGCCCTGAAGCCAGGTACTTTACAGACCAGGCACCCCGGACCAAGTACTGCGGAGAAACAGGCAGCCTGTGGCCCGGGGGAGCGGTTAGGCGCCCCAGAGTCTGGCGGCGGGCAGGCGGTCAGACCTGGCGTCGGACGGCCAGGCGCGTCGGACATGTGTGCTGGCAACCCGGCTCCCAGGGTGCGGCACCGGGTCCGTAGGGTACCTTTTGGAAATTTGACTTTCAGAAACTGCCAAAACCCCACGTGAGGGTGTCGCGCAGAGAACTCCGGACCAAGGAACGGGAGGGGCCTCGAGCCAAGGACGCCTCGACGGTTGGTATGGGCCGCCGCCTCTGGGCAATGCGCCACAGGGTCCGACTACACAAGGGCCTCCCACGAGAAGGGCGCGCGGGATTTGAGTGAATGCGAAGCGTTCGCGTTGTAGTGGTCTTGTAGAACGAAAAACGGAGCAGGGCGCTCCGTCCCGTCTGGCGAAGTGGCGGAACTCTGGACGGCGCCGATTTTGTCACGCGCGCGGCGCCACTCCATTGCCCGCGACTTCGGCAGCCTCGAACTTCGTGGCTCCTGTTGCTTTGCACTCGCCCTTCGGAAGTCGAAAGCGACTTTTGCTTTGGAAGGCGGCGGTTCTTTGAGGACCAATGATCACATGTAGTACTGTATGCCGACTGATTCAGATTGGGTGGAGGGCAGGTCCCCGAGAGCAAAGCGCTCTGGTTTTAAGTACCAGAAGACTGCGTTTCCCGTGTTCTTGACGATAATTCACTACAATCAATCAAGAATAAATCAATATTAAAAAAAAAAATCGTGATCGGTTGATTTTAAAGCGTGAACCAGTGGCTGCCCCTGTTCTACTCATCAACGTGATTGTTTCAAACTACCTACATCATATCTGAAACACCATAAGGTCATATCCTTGTAAGTGCAGAGTGTCTTTCTTGGGAAACAAAAGCCATTTCGGTTTTCACCGGCCTCTCGTCAGATGATATCTGAGTGTCAAGCTTTAGCTTACAGTGGAAAAAGATTTTCGCCACCGATCATTTTTGTGGTTGTGGCACCGGTGTTTCGACCGTCTCGACGTCAGCTTTCTCCTGATTCCGTGCGCCGGCATCCGGGCTCCCAGAAACCTTGTCTGGCATCCGCGCGGGCAACTCAGCGTCGCTTCGGGAAAGCTCGCGATTTCCGGCGTGGCGGTCCGCCGCGTGTTCTGTAAGCGGGGGGGCTTCGGGTTCGTCCGGCGAAGGTAATTCGCTGAGTTGGCTCGTACTCTCAGGCTCGGGGCTCGACTCGATGCCTTGCTATGCATTGCGAAGAGGCGTCATCGTCAGGCAGAAAGCGGCTCATGTTCAACACAGGAGGAGCGGTAATGGACCTCAAAAGTCTGCTGGCGCGAATGTGCGGGAAGCTGGTAATAAATTGCGACTTCAGAAATTTTCATGGTGCGACCTGATGAGTTGAATCTGTTCGACTCTAACGCTTCGCCTGTCCATGTGCGAGGACTCACTCCTTCTATCATTTTGGAGTCTAGCTATCGCGGCGCAAACAAAAACTTACTTAATAGCGTCTGTCTGCGTGGTTGAACCTTGCTTCCCCACACAAGCGGAACTGTCAATGTCTGTGCTTTAGCTACCTGCTCTGACCCTGACTTTATATTCGCGACGCATAGTTGCTTCGCCAACGCTGTCGCGAGGTGCCCTTCGTGCGTGTACTCCTCGAACGGTGTAGGGTCGGAAAACTCTCCGGTCCAATCAACCTCGAGGTCGTGGCCGGGCAAACTCTTCAGCGCAGCCGCCGGCCCTGCTGGCATGGCCGTGGAAGCCCGTGTTCGGAGCGCCTTTTTCGCGTACCTGGCAGCACGATCCGGCGATGGTGCTGCTTGCGCAAATGCACTCGGACGGGAGCCCTGGTCGCGAAGCTCAAGATAGCTGGCTCGGTTGTCGTTCCCGTGCCCGTGGCTGGCGATCTTGTCCTTGAGGCGCTTGATCAATTTATCTACTTCCTCAACACCCTTCGTGATGGCATCCTCGATGGCCTTCGTGATGGCCTCCCCGTTGAAGTCCTTCATTGTTATGAATTCGTGCAGACTCGGCAGAACAGCACCCACTGTTTCCTCAATCCCCTGAAGTTGGTCACTGACGAGTTCGTCTGGCAAGCGGAACCAGCGGGCCTGTTTCCAGAATTCTGCATCGCCGTGAAATTCTTGTGACAAGACGTGCGTGAGAGCCGCAACCTCGTGCGGACTGAAATCCACATCCCTCTGCTCAACGACCGCGGTTATCACTGAGGAAACAGCCGCTTCGGCCGCACAGTGCCGGAGCATCGCGTCGATGTCATGCAGGAGGTCCAGGATGGCAGTCGTCGGCACAAACTTGCTGACAAAAGAGCCCATAAAAAGCGACGTGATTGTTTTTACGAGAACACTGCGGCCGTCGTTAAAAAATTCCGTGACTTTTTTTACGGTTTCTTCCGCAAGAAAAAATGAACGCCCGACATGCTGCTCCTGTGACAACTGTAGGAACGCTCCGCGCTCTATGTCTGCCGTGGTATTGTAGTGTAGCGGACCACCTGGCAAAAGCAGGTCAGCTGTTTGGTGCGCGGAGCCTTCAACCTCTGCGTCTTCCGTCACTCCGAAGTAGTTTTCGATCCGATCGCCAACTTCGACGCTTTCTTGAATAAACGAGGCTCCTCGCAGCCTCGGCTTCATCTTTGGACGCGTCGCGTGGGCTGGGGGCTGGCGCGCGCGGCCGGTCTTCTTCGCCAGATCTGGCGCCGTTTCGGGGGGGCGTGGGCCCGTCGCGCGTTGGCGGGGCGCAGCAATCGGAGCGACCCGCTTCTCGTCCTCGAAGTAGCTCTGCACCTTGTCGAGGAGTCCTTCTGCAGTCCAAGAATGAACACACTGACCAAGTAGGAGGTGGCAGAGTGCGAATCTGTTTATGTAGTTCTACATTTTATAAGTTGATCCGTCGGAAACAACAACGGGCCTAGCTGGCGAACGCAGGTCGCCAGACCGCACCCCGCTGGATAAGGGTTTTGTCTCGACAACAAACCCGCGAAGCACGACTGAGGGCGGGCAAGGTGGGAGAAAAATTTCTGGGAAACTGAGAGACCTACAACCGCGATGAAACTTGGCCGCGAGTTTAAGGGCTTCCCGGGACCAGAACAACACGGGCAACGCCAGGCGAGAAGTAGGACGCATCAATTTATAAAAATCCGCCTTGTGTTCCTGCGCCGCCTGCCCGGGCCGCTTCGCTAGGCCCGAGCTGTTTCCTTGTCACACAAACCAGAACTCTATTGATTCTTCAGCCTGTGAGCTCACATATTCAAGGGCCGGATAAAAAGGTCAGCCATGTCAGTAATTCGCCGAGGTGCCGGCGTGGGTGCTTTTGCTTGCGTGGTATTCTATATAAGGCACTTGACGAAGATGCGCATCCATGGGGCTGTGGATCGGTTTGGCTGCTCGTGATGCTTGAGCGCAGGGCATTTCTTGCTGTTGTATGCATGTGCTGCGATATCCCCCGCCTGCAGTACTGCATCACGTTGCCACGTGTCTTCGTACATGATGCACTCGACTACAGACTTGGAGTTGGACTCCACAAACGTGCCCAAGCGCAAAGTGTGCGCAATCCTTCTCACTCGACACTGCGAAAGCTTGCCGCCGTTTCTCTATCCAACCGCCCTGCCGCTTAGGATTACTTATTGTCGGTTGTTATACAGAAATTGAAATCCCAGCGGCTGCATCTCAACGAGTGCACCCCAGCGGCCTGGGAGGCCTCAACGATTTGCCGAGGCAGGGCCTCAGCGACTGGCCCCATTCAACGATCGAAAAACAGGCACAGGCACTATCCTGAGCAAAAACAGCCCCGCCCCAGAGCTGCGTCGAGGGGATTGGCGTCGGCCTGGTTACCAAATCCAAAAAAAGAATGCGCGCAATTTGTGGCCCTCATGGCATGCGGATTAGAATGACAGCCGTTGCCCAATTTATTCCGACAATGGCGCGGCGGTTACTGAAAAGCTTGAAGCGATGCAAATCCTTCCGACTGCAGTGGCATTCTGGCACGCTCGGTCGCAGACAATCGGTCGGCCGGGGTGCGTCATAGTGCCGCGCCCCCTTCGCTTTTTCTGACAGTTGAGATCTTCATCTTCGCCAATTTCTTGAGTGCTTAGAAAATGGACTGCGAGCCCCGGCGGCCTGGCCACGCAAGGGGCCCCGCGAATTATGCCAGCCCTCGAGGCTGCCGGCCTTCGCAAAAAAGAAAAAACGCGCCCGAAGCCGCACACCATGGGCCTCCCTCGAGGAAGGGAGGGGACTTCAGTCCGGAAGGTTGGTATGGCGCGGCCAAGGCCCGGCGGGGTATGGGTGTGTGATACAGCACGGGGGGCAATAGCATGCGGATGTGCATAATTGCCAGCCGGCCGGAACCCAGAGGGCGGCCGTGGCGCCGGGGTTCGCTGTTAGTTATCTTCTGGCCCATGAAGCTGCCTGCTTTCGCAAAATGAAAAAGGGCGCGCCCGAGGCCGCACGCTAGGGGCCCCCCGAGGGCGACAGGGGGCCCAACTCCCGGCGGCATGGCGCTGCTACGGTCGCTCGGCCCCGCGGGTTCTGGCTGATCATGCGAGGGGGGCCATACCAGGGGGATTGGCATAATTTGCGGAACCCCGGGGGCAGCCATGGCGCCCTCGGGGCTCGCCGTTTTTAGCCAATGCAAGGCAGATCAAGAAATCGAGCCCGGCGGCCCGCGAAATCATTCCAAACCACACGAACTGGCGAAGAATCGCAACGAATCTAGGTGCCCATGCCGCCCAACGACTTACATCCGACGGCGACGATCACAAGGAAAGTGGCCTGATTTAGAGCCAAGCCTGACAGCACCTGGCCCGTGTTTCAAGAAGCGCAGTCTCCAAGGAGCGCGCAGGGACTGAACGCAACTAAAAAGGACCGGAGTCACGACCTGGCCCCACTCTACACACAAGGCGCAACGCGTTCAGCCCGCCCGAGCCTCTGCGCTCGGTTGCTGGTCGTGTAACGGTCTAATAGCCAAGGAACTGGCGGAGTTCCTCTGTCAACGTCGACAAAACGAAGAGGGGCGCTGCCCATCTATGGAGCACCCTGCCGGCCGCTTGTCTGCGCACCAGCACACTACTGAAATCGCAAGAGTTTGCATTGTCCGAAGCTTTTTGGTAGCCGTCCGCCGCGCCATGGTCGGCATTGGGAGGCGGCTGGAATCTTCTCCGCATGCTATCTATGGAGCCCACAAAATGCGCGCGCCCTTGCTTCTTTTTGGATTTGGTAACCGAATCCGCGCCGTGCTTCTCGCTGGGACTCTGGGGCGGGGGTGTTTTTGCTCAGGATGAGAATTCACCGGCGTGAAGGTAGGTCGGCAAGCCCATGGGCCAAGGTTAGGCGGGAGAGCCACCGGCCCGGGCGGGCAACGAAGGCCACGCATTCTTTCAGAGCAACACAAGGCACAACGAGAGCACGTGGGCCGAGGGGTAACCACACAAGGGCAGCAAGTAAGAGGGCGGGGCTCGGCGTGAAGGTCAACCGCTGCCCGCGCGCCTGCCCTGCCCTGCCCTGCCCTGCCCTGCCCTGCCCTGCCCTGCCCTGCCCTGCCCTGCCCTGCCCTGCCCTGCCCTGCCCTGCCCTGCCCTGGCGGGCCGGCTTCACGGACCGGATGCGCTCTATCTTCTTCGCCCGACGTTTTTTGGAAGGCGCCACACCCTTTCCGCGGGCCTCCGCAGGCTGGGGGCCTGCCCTGCCCCCGCGGGCCAACACCCCGCCGGCCGGCTTCACGGGCCTGATTCGCTCTATCTTCTTTGCCCGACATGTTTCGGAAGGCGCCGCGCCCTTCCCGCGAAGCTTCGCAGGCTGGTGGCCCGGGGGAAAAAAGAAGAAATCCGCGGGCGGCCGCAAAAAAACGCCACCATCAACACCGCGCGCGGCCAGGCCATGCGATTGCGCGCCTCTGGCCTCGCGCGCGGTTTTTTTGGGCGCGCCAGATGGATCGCCAGAACTTACAATGCCGGGCGCCTCGGGGGGGCGCAACCATTGCCGGCCCACCATCGTCGAAACTGTGAGGGGTTATCGATGGCGCCCCTCCTCGGTTCGATGATGAAATAAAGGGCAAGCGCTTCCTTACTTAGTAGGCTACTAGGCGTCTCCTGGAGGTCCCTCGGCGGCTGTGGGTCGACTTGACTCCTCCTGATCGGTGCAGGGCGTTCATTGTATCTATACTCCGGCGCCCGCGTTTTTGACGTTGTGGACGTAGACTCCGAAGCGCTGTGACTCCATCCATGCCTTGACGCTCGTGGTGATCGCGCTCCGAGCGCCGCCGACGAGTCCTGGCTGCAGGCCGGCCTGACCGACTTTCATCTTGTACAAAGCGCCAAAGAATTGCCAGCCCACCTCTTCTGCGAACCGACGCACCAGTGGCCGCGCTAGAGTGATGATCGCCATCAGATCCGCTACTCCAAAATCCTTGAGCAAAATTAGAAAGCTGTCTCCAATCACATGGCACAGCGCGGCTTCCACGGAAAGCGCAAGCGAATTCGCTGCCAGATCGTCGACGACGACGGGCGCTACCTTCGACGGGTCCAGATGGTCGCTGACAAATGTGTCCCATCTCGTAGCGAGTGGCAATGGTGCAGCCGGCTGCCCGTCGGCCGCGCCGCTGCTCGTCCAGCTCTTGCATCGCGTCGCAAAAGTCGCACGCCGTGAAAAACTTTCTGCGCGCATTTTTCCGCGGCGCCTAGCTTGGCAAAGTGCGCACGGACAAGGGCGGGGGGCTGGCTTGCGCGCCGTTTGTTTTCGCCAGCTTGTTTGTTCCCAAAAGCAAAAATGCGCTAAGGGCTAAGAGAAGCAAGACTGACGCGGGGGGGGCGCCGGGGCGCTGCGGGTCGTTTTGTGGTTAGTGTTTTATTGCAAAAGCGCTGGGCGCTCGCAATATGTTGCCTCGGTTCCCTGGTCGCGCTCTTGCTGCAGATGCTTGTCGCCATGGCATGGATCAAGGCCTAGAAGCTGCGGGCGCCCCGCGAGATACCTACGCAGGCCCTGGCGTTGTCGTCTCTAGCGGGTTCCGCGCACATTCGTTAGCCGCGCAGGCCTTTCCGGAACCCTCCCAAAGAGGGGCGGCCGGAGGGCCGCCCGGAACCCTAGAAAAAAAGCGAGCCGGCCAGTTTTTCTTCGAATCGCGATGGCCCTACCGGCCCCTCTCCAAAAGGGTCAAAGAGCGCGCGCAAGTGCCGACACACGCGCGCACAGCTGCGAGGCAGTAGGGCCAAGCGGAAACGCAGCCGCGGCCGTTTACATGTGCGCCCTCCACTCCGGCCGGCTTGTACAGATTGAAAGTGAAACGCATTGCCTAGCCGCTGGACTGCATGAGGCCGTGCTGAAGCACCTCCAGCCTTTCGGGGCGATCAGAGGCAAGTCCGCGGAGCAGCAGCGCGGAGATTTTCCTCTTTAGCTCCTGAGAGGCGCCGTCAGTAAGCTAGCAGCCCCGTTAGGTATTCAATAGTGGCAGGCTATACGCATTTTTTTGACTACAGCAAAAGGCTTTTCACAACTTTCGGCAAATACAACTTTTGCGCCCCCATATTTCCAGCAACTTGGGTTCTTTCAAGGCCAGCACTGCGATTGCAACCCAATTGAAGGATTCGAGCTGGTGCGTAACAGTCTCACTCATTATAAAGTCTGGAATCCCGCGTTCAAGCACAGCTTCCGGCACGGTGTTAACCACCTCCATAATCTTCCGCGCTATGAATTTCAGCATCAGCGCATTAGCTGCATTCGTGACGTGTCGAATCAAGGATTCAAAGCCCGGTAGACTGCCAATTATGGCGCCGAGGATTCCTTGCGCAACGTCCTGAAAGAATACCACGATTGCGTCCTTCAATTCCTCCCAAACCAGAATTAAAAAATAGTCGCTGACTGCATCCGACAGCAAGCTCAGCAACGTCGTGCCCAGATGGTCTTTGTGAAGTAGATTGTGCGCTTCAGTGAGGAGCTTATTGGGGATCGTGAGCGCATTACGCGCGTTCCCGTCGGGAGCGCGAATACGGAGTTGGTTGATTCGGACGCCGCCTTCCTTTTTGTACAACGGCTTAAAGCAAAAAATTGGAATTGCATCCGCGTCGGGGGCTGGGGTGCCGGGCTTGGGGCAATCTTTGACCTCATTGTAAAATGTAAACTTCGCGCTGCTTGTCGTCTTGTGCACATGGGCCGTCTTGAGGTGTTGGGACCACGCTCCGCCCGAAGCTCTGCTTTCTTTCCTCTCATGATGTCGATCGCCCCGCTTGCCTCTGTGTTTTGCTAGCGCTTCATGTTTGTCGCGTCTGCTGTGCCCCCGCGGGGCGTGCGTCTCGCCGACGTTGTCCGGCTTTTCAAAAACCTTGCGCAGAGCTTCATCGTGCGCATCGTTTTCTTCGAAAACTGTAATGTAGAACTTGCTCCGCGACCATCTCGATCAAATGCACTTGCAGCTCTTTGCGCATCCACGTCCCGAGCCCGCCAGGCTCATGGAAATGCGACGTTAGCACTTGGAGACCATTTGCGGAACCAGATAGCGCGGGCACACTTTTTAGAGCCATCCAAAAGTCGCCGGCAAAGCTCTTGACCGCTCCACTTGAAAACTTTTCGAAGGTTTCTTTTCGGGCAATTGCTTTGAGTGTCTGCGCTGCCATCTTCGTGCTCATGCTTTTACTACCAATAGCAGCCGCGTCCGCGGCGGTAGTGAGGAGGTCATAGCGGCTTTCTTAATTAACTGCAAGCCCCCAGCGCATGGTCTCGGGGGCGGTGGGTATCATGGCCACAAGTCGCCATCTCCCCGTCTCCAAAGCCCGAAAACCTTCCCAGCATGCTATGGCCCCTCCAGGGCGTCCGCCACGGTCGGCCCTATGGCCCCCCAAATCGGGCCCATCGCATGCCGCTTGGCGTGCTGCCTCTGATCGCGCTCGCGCTTTTTGGTTTTCTTGGCTGAAAAGCCACGCCCCTGCTGCCTCCAGAAGAGAAGCGCAAGCGCCCCCCCGCATGCTATGGCCACTCCCGGGCCTCCGCCAGGGCCCGCCCTACGGGCCCCCAGAGTCGGGCCAATAGCATGCGGAGCCGCCTTCGAATTTTGGCGGCGTTTGCCTTTTTTTCTTTTACCTTGGTGGCCGGCTTTGCGACCTCCGAAAGCAGGCAAAAATGACGCCCATAGCATGCAGCTTCGCGGTTTTTCTACTCTTGCCACTTTTTTTGGCGACTCCTTTTTCGGCGCCCCATATCGGCGGAATTAGGTGCGCGGGGCGCCTGAGATGGGCGCCCCTTTTGCCGGCTCCCTTGCGTCGTTTTATGAAGGTCGCGCCCGGAAGCCGATATCGATAACCGAAAGTGTGCGAAGCACCCTAGTCCGCGCGAAGGCTGCCGCGCATTCCTTGACCTCCTGGTCAGAGGATGAGAGCGCGGCCCGAGGCGGGCTGCAGTGTTGGACCGCAAACTTGACGGGCAGCACTGTGTCGCACAAAGAAAAGACTGCGCTTTTCGGCGAGCAGCATTCCGTCGCGCATACCGTTATGCACGGGGGCACGCTAGCCAGAAAAAATGCACAAACTTGAAAAAGTTGCGCAATTCCCTTCATTTCAGGATGCCCATTTGGGCCACCCAAGTTAGTCGGCCGATTCCAATACGGGGAAGGGATTCCGCCTTGAACCTCACAGAGGGCGGAAGCCGTGCGGGTGTGACACGCCTCCGCAGGATCTGACTCCATTCTTGCTCATGCAATCCCGATGGCATGGAGTCGCGGAAATTTCTAAAATCATCTTCCAGCGGCCACTTTCGATCGGGCGGCTTTGCATTTTGGAAAAAAAAGTGGCTTTTCGGGTGCCCAGCATCGGCTTTCGGGCAATACAGAAAGTCGGCCGTTTTTTTTGGGTTCATATCTGCAAAAAAGTGCGGGCGTTTCCTTTTTTGCGGATGCCTGTACTAGGCTTCAGACACAGACCCATGGAGCGGCCCCCGGGCGGACTACTTCTGGTGGTAGACGTGGCCCCGAAGCTTGCGGCCTCGCGCCGCGGCAAACAAATGGGGCCCCTCCCCATCCCGCGTTCGACGATCCCGCTTGTGCGTGGACACTGCAAAAGGTGGACATCAGTGGTCGGCAAGACATCGAGGTCAAGCTCGAAAAATAAGCACCGGCCAGAAAAAGAAGAGACGAAAATCATCGGCGAGGGTCCATCGACCGGACTTTGAACACAGGACCCCGAACAAAATCACTCGACTTTGTCCGTCGTGAGCCACTTGTATTGTGCAAAGCAGTGCGCTTTTTTTTTGTGCGCAAACAGATCGGCCGCAGCGGCCTGGAGGTGACGCAGTTTCCGCAGCCAAACGCTCCACAACATCGGGCGCAGCCCAACCATCGGGCCCCTTTCTTCGGAATCACATCGGGCGAACCCGAAAAAGCCCGCTTTTTAACCTGTCCTCCGAACTGGCTGCGCAGATTTTTCTGCTTTTTCGAAAAATTGGCCAACTTTTCCGAAGCCCGCTCTCTGGCGGCCAAACGGCAGTGGAACTACCCGGCTTTGCGAGTGATTGCGTGCCCTCGAGTCTGTCCCATATGGCAACAGCAGAGCCTACTCGCGCCGCGTTTGCGATGGATGAGCATCTCGCAAAGAGCGCTTTGCGCGCGGGGCACGCTTTGGCTGCCACATCAATCGGCAATCGATAGAATTCGCCCGCACTTGTTTGACAACAAGGCCGCACCCGATTGATGAATGGAAACCCTTTTTGTCCAAAAACACTTCCGGCCGATTGCAAACTTCCGGTCGTTTTGCGTGTGGGCTGTCAAGAAAGCCGCTAGATTAGAACGCTCGTGACCTCACTACATATCACGACCACCTTGTTGCGTCGCTTTTTCCGCTTTCTGCCCGGTGAGTGCTTCTCGCAGATTTTGTTGCACTTTACGCAACAGAAGGGAAGCAGTTTTGCTCGTCTGTCCTTGTTCTGCGTGGCTTTTGAGGTTTTCTAAGTGGTTGTGGTCCCACTCGGCAGCCTCCGCAGAGTGAGCCTCAGTCATCCCGACGCGACTCATGAGCCCCCCGAGGCAACTACCCAGGCAGCCTCCAGCAGCACGGTTCGGCCCCAGTCCGAGGTCAACGAAAGTCATGCCACGTTGCTCAAAGCTGTGCTCGGGGTGTAGGATGGCGTGGTACAGTTTCTCCTGCTCAAAATGGGCCGCGGCACCACCCGGACTCGTTAGGTTGGGCGTCGCGTCGCGGGGAAGTCTCGCTTGTTCAAATTCGTCCGGGTCCGTCTCCCAAGAGTCTGGGTCTTCCTCGGGATTCGTATTTTTTCTGAGGCTGTGGTGGTCTGGTACACCGGGAGCGAGCGCACCCTGGTCCGCGTTGTCAACCACCAACCCGCGGACGACAGGACCTTGCTTCTGCGCCTGTCGTGGAACGACCAGCGGCGACCCGAGAAAGACGATTGCCAGCCCCCACATAGCGCGGGAATGCGTGCAGCTGTGGCGGCGACGATCGCCAGCCCCCACGCAGTCTGGGAAAGGGGATGCGTGCAGCTCATGCTCCGCCTGGGTCTCTCCTTTCCGTGGCCCGGCCTGTTCGGCGAGGGCCGCTCCTCGGCGCCTCGAATGACTGCGCGATAGCTGGAAGCTCCCCCCGCGCCGGTAATAAATTTGGGTCGCGACAGAGTTCAGGATCGCACTACCTTTGTGCTCGACGGGCAGTAATTCCAGTACCCAAATAACAAGCAGCAGGGTGGCCAGCGACATCCAGTCTGCGTTCTCGGGTTCTTGCAGCGACTCTTCCAACGTCAACATCAACGTCCTGCCCGTTCCGCACACTTGGCGCCTGGTCCATGGTGTCTTTCTATTTCATTTGTTTTTGCATAATTGTTCTTGCTACACGAGCACGACCGATACTGCTTTTTCCAAAATACTTGTGGCGCTGCTACCCCTAGGCTTGCGGCTTGTGTATGAATATCTCATCGCCGTCTTCACCACAAGAGGCGACTTCGTTCTGTACAAAAAGTAGCGTCAGCGATGTGTCGCAGCGTCGTTTGTGCAGCCACCATCCAGCGGCGCGGCGCGCAGTAGGCACAGCACTGCCACCGCGAAGCCCGCGCCAGAAAAGTGGCCGCGCTCCTCCGCCGTGCCCGTGCTCCTGCAGCACTGCACAAATAAGTCACAACAGTAAGTGCGACAGGAGCAGGAGCGAGCCCAGGAGCGCACGCCTTGCGCCTCCATCTAAAACCGACGCCCTGTGGCACCTCGTCGGCCGCACGAATCCAGCCGGCTTTGACCCGCCGGCGCGATGAGTCGCCGGCTTGTCTAATCTATCACGGGCTCAAAATTGTAAACCAGAGCTGGCTGTGGTAAGCCTGCACGCAGTGCGGCACCTAACTACCCGGCCCGTCTTCGCCACTCGGGTGGCTGCTACATGTCCGGCTGGGCCTGGGGCTGGTAATGTGGTATCACTAATATCATTATCAAGTAAGTCTACACATGGTTGGCACGACCATGCTGCCAATAGGAACAGTAGCTGGATGATGTGAGCGCGCGAGGGCGTTTCTCGCCAGCAAAGCGCAACAATCGAATCACGTGAAGACTACGAACGTAAGGCCCGGCACGTTCACAGCATCCCGTCTTAAGTCCATAGTCGACAGCCAGAGCATTGTGCAAAAAAGTGAATCGCCAAGCGAGACTTCCTGCTGGACCAGCGAAATAGGGGGCGCCTACCACTATGGTGCGGCGATGCGGCACAGCGTGCCACGCACAAAGCGAACTGCGTCCTGCGCCTACCGTCGGCGCCCAGCGCCGTTACCATCGGCTCCGGGTGCCGTGTGTGGCCTTAACGTGCACGCACGGGGTGGCCACGGCTGACTAAAGCGCTTTCGCATTTTATCTCGCTGACCGCTCACAGGTGTATGAGTCTCGATGTCTGGTCGTCAGAATCCTTTGCAAAAAGATCACATTTACATTTCTTATATATTAAGTATACATGCAGAACGAAACACATGTTGCAGTAAGGCCATTCCGGCCCCAGGTGGTCTACACCTGAACCAAAGTCAATGCAGCGCTTGAACCTTCAACGGTTAGACTGCGGCGACGACGTGCGGTTGAATGAGAATGCGATGCATGGTGCTCAGAGCAAGAGCGAATAGATGTACCTTCCGGCCGGCAGGAACGCATGGACCACGATTCCACCGGTCAGTGTGCTGGACTCTTCGTGCGAAGAGGATGGCTCATATGTGACGCTGCCATACGCTGTCAGGTGCCTTTGCCAGGGCGAGCCGAAAAACTCGCGCGACGTCGAGCCGTCCTTCATACCGATGCGACTTTGCAGAGCCGCTAAACTTGTGCAAGGCGTAGCCCCTTCTCTGCCCTCGGGGGCGCTGCCTTTCGCAGATGTGCAGTAGAGAGCCACGAGTAGACCTTGAAAAAAGGTTTTTTCCGAACGAAAATGCAAAAGCTGCTTTTTTTTCCGCCGTCATTCCAGGAAAGAAAGTCCAGTTCAAGCGCATGCTGTCCCAGACAGAGCGACGCACTTTCGTTCACATCCACACACGGACACAAGACCATTGGACCCGCATCAAATTAAAAAAGTCGCCATGCCGTAAGTTCTTGTACGTCGTATACCGTAGCCGGTGCGATATTCCTGCTCATCAGCTCCGCTGGCCGGACATGAGGGCCGTAGCTCTCCTTGGTCTGCATTTCCACGGCAATATGAAGCCCAAGGAGACTTTTGCAGGTTGCGTGATAGACATAGAGAAAGTAGTTTGTACCCATAGGGAACAAATTCACTTAAGGAGTCCCAACCTCCATTGGCGCTTGCCACAGCGACACCTGAGAGCGTAGATTAATATTTGTGACCATATGACGAAACTTTAGATAACTGCGGAAGTTTGTACAACTTGCAACAATGTTGTCATGAGAACGATCGAAAAGCGCCCACCGAGATACCCGCAAGCGTGGTGCTCCATAATAGCCCGGCACTTTCTCCCTTTTTCCGGAGATGAGATTTCGCACAATTGCGCCGAAGCTTCTTCCTGCCAGGAACATTGCCATGCATTTGTTTAGTAACGCAGTCCGATGCGGTGATTACCCCCATTTCCAGGGTACGCAAGTTCGCCGAGGCGGTCGAAGCGCTCCCGGTGCCCCGGGACGACGCGCTCCATTTTTGACCAAGGCCCTGGCGATGCGCATCGTCCGCGAAGCGCGTGCTCGCGATCGAGACCTGGCCGGCGGTCCAGTGGTATCCGCAAGCGGCGAATACGCTTTGTTGTAATTCAGCGACACAAGGGACGCACCATAGGACCAACTGCAAGGGCAAAGAAAGTAGGCAAAGGCCCACGATTCCTGGGGGCGCCGGGCAGCGAAAGCCGCCCATCGCGTCACTTCATGATATCTTGTATTACGTTATCTCGTATTCAGATCGAGGTCAAAACCTTAACCTAACGATGTAGTTGTTCGACGTATTAAGCAATTGACACGACAAGAGCCGCGGCCCATACTTCACGGCAAACGTGACGCCTTTCAAAACACATGCTCTCTAAAATTTATCCGCCCTCGCTGACGTCCTTACGCACTTCCACTTAAGTACACTCTGAATCATTTCGACGACAGAAACCCGGTGAGTCTAGGTCGGAGGCGAGCCCACTGCAACGTCTGCAACAAGAGGCTTCTTCGCCGTTTGCGCGAGAACCCCGAGCAGTGTGCCTGTTTCTTTTTTCTTTCGGTCACAACTCAACCGAAGTTATAACACTTCGACTTATCTTCACTTAAGGATTATAGTACTTCTACTAGTCTGTCCTGGTTCAGGGCGCCTGCGATTTTTCGCTTAGTAGCTGCACGAAATCGCGCAGCGGATTTTTTGCTTGGGAGGGCACCAAGTGCCCCCCTGGGTGAGTAAAGACGCAGGCATCGGGAAAAAAAGTGGCGACCTCCTCACTGTGCTCTGCAAGAATAATATGGTCGTCCATCCCGTAACAGTGAAAACTTGGCGGAAGCCTGGAGCTTCCGATACCAAAAGGAACAATCCCCCCTTCCCATATCGCCGCGAAGTTTCTGACGCTGGATTTGCGTACACAAATCAGGCCTGTCGTGCTGGAGAGGACTGCAGGCCTATGCGTAGTGTACTCAGACTGAGTAGCGACGTTTTGGGCCAGGCGCTGAGCATGGCAAACGTCTAGTCTGTAGGGCCAACAGCATCACAAACCGCCTGCAGAATGCGGCGGAGCCAGTGGAGTTGCGTTCTTGCAAGACAGAGACGATTTGTGGACACAAATCAGCATTACAAATTTTCTGAGACATATCTTTTCGATATGGGGAGGGAGGATTTTCCCCTACGATATCCAACTTCTCTCAGTTTCGCTCGCAAGATGTGCTCCAGCTCGGGGTTTTTGAAGGGGATGAACCCAGCGAAGAGGGCGACGAACTTATATCTTGAAGATGCTGTTTCGGGTCCTTCGTTTGTTCCTCGACTCACAGTTGCGATGTCGTTGAGCATCACCCCGAGCGACATCGCCGCCCCCAGGCTGAACCCCAGCAAAGCGTCGATCTGCTTCTCAGCGATGATTCTATCAATGAACTCCAGACTCGTCTGCCAAGACTCGAAAACTGTCTTCGGGTCAACATTCGGCGCCGTGTCCGGGCTCACTTGCATCCAGCTGCGCGCCGGCTCGGCGGAATGCGCGCACGGAGGGACCTCAAAGGGGCCGTCTAGAAAGTGGAAATCGCACCACTTCTTCAGCGGCGAGCGTATGGAACCGATACGACCCCGAAACGCCTCCGCTGTCTGGGCGTGGCCGTGCAGGCACAGAACTTGAAATTTCTTGCTCGCAGGACAACCGGAAGACATTGTTGCTTTGTACTTGCTCTTCGTGCTCTACCTGAGCAGTACTTTGCTCGCTGCATAAACTCCCCGACGTCGAACTCCTAGAGGAAGTTCCGTTCTCTTTTTGGGACAGAGAGGAGCGCTCGCTGTATACAAGATGAAAAGAGCAGCAAGGTTTTTGCGGAAAAATTTGATGTACAACGCCAAGCGGAGAGTTCAGGACAAAAAAGTGCTTAGCGTATGTTGCTACTGGGAGTGTTTCTGCTCCCGTAGAAGTCAAAGTAATTTGATCGCACCCTTCTAGTTGTGTTCGAGCTATCAGCGAGCATCTTCAGCGTTCCGATCTGTTTGTTTTCAGTTTCACAAAGTGGTACTTCTTACTGGCAGTCAGAAATCAACTGGCCGAGGATGACGGGTGATCCTTCGGCAGACAGATTTTTTCAATGAAGGCAGTAGACACGACATTCACAGAGCTAGAGCAAGGAACATCAACAGACACACGACATCGTAGTTCATCAATGCCCTTCTCACGGGCAGCTGCTTGATGCTGAACGGCGCTCTTTTGGTTTTCATCTCAGTTGCGCTGTGTCGTCGTGCCAAGGGAGCGGATTCGGCAGGGAGCTCTTCGCCGCACTGCACCCCGTGTGTCCCCGTACCGGATCTGCGACAACGCCCAGACCCTCGGTGTGTAGAAGGGAACTCAGGTGGCCAAACAGGATCGTATTTGCCTCCTCGCCGAGATGGAGGCCGTCAGGTAGCAAGTCCTCTCTGCGCGACCAAAACAGTTCATACACGTCCACTAGGACGACTCGCTTGCTCTCGCCACGTACAGTTATCGCCTGGCTGAGGCTGTCGACGACCTTCTTCACTTCGTCCCGGTATTTTCCTGTGTGCGCGTTTTCGTATCCAGTGCAAATATGATGTCTGGGTCTGAAAGAGTGGAAGGTTTGCCATGCTCGTCGGGCATGGCTCTGAACTCTGTAATGCATAGCCACGAAAAAATCGTCTTGCCTGTCATGCAGAAATGCAGTCTGCCATGCCGAATGCGCAACACATGGCAACACTTTTCACGCATACCCGACTGCACCTCATCAAAAACCTTTGCACCGTCGCCATTAAAACCTTTGCAACACTTGTCATGCTCGGCCACGTATTGCAGTGCGCCAATCTGATGTAATCTGATCATAATTCCCAAAATTGCATTTATAACTTTCCAGACCACCACGACATATTTTACCATATGCATAGCTCGCGATCGCAAACATATTCGTTGTATAGCTGGAGGGCGTACGCCCTGCGCCGGTCTTCCGCGATGGGAGGTGGGGTGAGAATATCAAATGTAAAAATGTCTGGGTCTGGAAGAGTCATGCTGTTTTTGCATGACACAGAAGGTCTGGCATGGAAGCTCTAGCATCACAGAGTTCGAGAAGCTTCCGCAATGCCGAATCAGCATGACAAGTCCCCTATTTTGCTGACAGAAAGTGGGGAGCTTTTGCTACATATGCATGAGAGACTTCTCTGTGTTCTGAAATACGCATTTCAAGTTGCATTCTTCCAGACCCAGACATTTTTGCATTTGATAGAGAACGAAGACCAGATCCGTCTTGTCAAGCAAACACCTCGCTATGTAAGACAGATTCGCATTGAAGTCTTCCACACCAACCGCATACCGGCTGCCTTTGTTACCCCCCGCGGTCGCGGACGGCAGCCAGGCGTCGTTCGCGCCGAGCCACACACTCGCAAACATGCACTTGTCGTTACCGAGGTCGCGCGAGACCACACCATCGACGTATTCGCGCGCCCAGCGGCTATTCCAGCCCGATAAGCCACGATTCACAACATCGGCGCGGCGACTGTAAAGGCCTTGGAGGCGGGCCGCCCACCCGCCAACCTCACTAGACCCGTACTGCGTCATATCACAAGAAAAAAGTGTTACAGATACACATTTGTTGTACCTTCAGCAACACAAATTTTCTCTGCATGAGAGGGAAAACTTGCAATGCGCAGACCATAAGGGAAAACACGTATGAAATGAACCTCAGAAGCATTTCTGGCATGACAGAGGTTGCCTGTCATGCTGGGCTTGCACTTTACTGTGTAACTGTAACACTTTTTTCTCGTGATACGTCAAGCTGTCGCCGTACAGAAAAATCTTTGGGGTGCCGGTGTACACCATGCTGATTTCTTTGAGGTCAAATCTGTTTCTTTCTTGTTGAATGTAAAAGCTGCTTTTTTTTCTTGATCGAAACGCTGCTTCTTTTCTCTTGGTGCAAAAGCTGCTTCTGCACGGAAATTCTCCATCAAAACAATCAATCGGAAAAGCAGACGATGCGTCGATGCTACAGACAACACGCAGCAGTGCAAGAATGCAATCGAAATCGTGCGCGAAGACCGAAAGGAGAGAGAAGGTAATGCTGAGATGTCGGAACAGTAGCTTCTTGATCAGCAAAAAATTTGTTCGATGCTACAGCGAGGCACTGCGTGTTCAAATCAGTTCTCTTCATTTCGATAATATGCATCTCGCCTGTCGAGAAGTTCACGTGTGGCTGCACGCGAGGGAGCCACAATTTGGTAAAAATTTCGAATGAAGTTGTGATCCAGATTGTTTCTCACAAAAACTAGTCGAGGCGCCGCACGGGATACTCCGAGGGTGCGGTCCCTGTATCCGACGCCGCCCCGCCGACCGAGGGCGGGCGGGTGGAGCCAGCTTCCCCGTCTTTATCAAATTGAAAGGCGCCCCCACCCCAGATGAAAGGGAAAATGTTTGCATTGCAACAGTTCCCAATTATGAAAACACTTGCCACGACCTGGCATTTTTTATCAGCATGACACATTTCTTGCAAGCAAGAATATTAGCGAGTGTCTATGTTGCCGAACGGCGCAGCACCGGGGCGGGGACTTGTCATGTAGGAGCTGCTTCGCGCACCTAGATGAATCTGAAGCAGAGATAGTCTTCGCTCAAAGAAACGTGCAAGACGCGGACCAAAAGTCTTTATTTGAAAACTTTGCCATGTGGGCCGGTGGTGGGGACACTACTTCAATTCATGTTGATAGTCTTGTGGGTTGAACTGCTGAGTGGCCACGTAGTGAAGCTCGGGCTCGTCCTCCTCGGAATCGGACGAGGAGGAGGAACTGGAACCCGCGTCGGACTCCGAAGACGACGCTGCCAATTCCTCCAGCATGTCCAGGTGCTGTACCACTATCATATGTAAAAACGTCCCCACCCCATAGTCAACTTGGGAACTTAGCAACACAAACCCAGAAGCTTTGGGAGCAACACATAACAAATTCCAGTCCGTCCTGTAGTGCAGTTTAGCAAGTGCAGCCGCATCACAAATCCATCTGTTCATCGCGTTTACAGCATTACAAATTCCAAAATGCGATTGGAAATGCCGCTCATGGAGATGCGCATTGCAAATCTTCCTGTAATCGCAAATCTGCATGACAACTATGGGGTGGGGACGTTTTTACTCAGGATAACCACTTGCGGATGGTTTGGCTCTAACTTTAAAATCTCCCCAGCCATCTCCAACGCGGGCTTGAACCTTAGTCGTTTGATTGGAAGTACTTACACGCTCGACAACACTACGAAACACAGGGATTCTTCCGCGACAACAAGATGGTCATCCAGAAGTACACGCGGCAAGAACCTTCTTTGTCTTTAAAAGTGAAAGAACTTCTGTCTCGAGTCATGCGCCCCCTTTTGCATGTTTGTTCTCGCCCAGCCGCGAAACTGTATGCGAAACGAAAACTACTGTATGCGCAACAAAAAAACTGAACCGTCTTCTTCGGAGGAGCTGGACAAAGTTCATGCAGAGTTCCAGAACCCGCTTCTTCCGCAGTGCCTCTGCGTCTGCAACGACGGCTGTGTTCTTGCTGGAGGATGATGCCTGCTCAGTTGACGCCACGGTGGAGGAACCCACCGGCGCGGGGCGTGTTGCGATAGTTTCCGTCATTTTTTTCTACTATTTTGTTTCCCTCCGTCGTCCGGGGAAGTGCTAAATATTTTCTTTCTGCTTCTCCTCTCCTTGCGCCAGTACTGCTCAAGCTCAGACCACGTTTGATCTGCAGAAAAAACAGTTCATTTTGATCCGCTCATCTTTTCTCTCCGCATTTCCGCACTCGCGTATTCGCCGCGATTATCAAGTCTTTGAAACAGCAGCAGCAATTTTGAAGAAGCGAACCACTGCACTCGCCACTCCTGCTAGAGCAACGACTGTTGCAGCTGTCTCTCGAAAGATTTGGGAAAACAAAGAAGATAGCATCGGGACGACTCCACAACGCTGATCGCGCTCAACAAGATAACGGCAAAACGAAAGTCAAGAAAACATGGGCACGCCAATGGCTCGTGGTGCCAAAGCAACGCACTTTCAAACGCTGACTCAGAGAAGGGATGACAATCAAGAGTACAACGAAAAATAAACGCAACAATCCTTGAAAAATCTACGGCAACAAACCGGTCGACGAAACCGGTTTCAAACCGGTCTCGTCGACCGGACCTTGAGGAGCCAAAATGAATTACAGAAACAACATCGTTCCAAAAATGACTATTTACGACGAGGGTCTTGCCAGCATCGGAGGTTTCATACTTATCACTCGTTGTACAAATTTTATTTTTTACAGTCAGGTACATTTTTTTGGCACCATCAAATGAAGAAGTCGTTTGATCGTTTGTTTATACCAGGAGCTACTGATCCAAGTTCTTTCAACTTTACTCCCTATCGTAATAAACTACGAAAGTGCTTCCCTAAGTGGTTCGAGTCTTATCTGGAGGAGGTTCTACTAGCACCCGGGTCGCGCGTCGCTTAGGATACTACATTGTTTCGCAGTACATCTAGAAATTATCGCTATCACCATATTTCATCTCCTTCAAGTACTTATAAGTCGTTGGATAGGTGTTTACAAAAGTTCGCGGCTTGCCCTTCTCTAGATGTTGATTATAATTCGCGACATAGAGGTCGAATTTTATCATAGACATTTCGCAGAGCGCTGTACAGGCGTACCGAGAACCGTGCTGCTTTCAGTTTTCTTTATTCCACCAGCGTATTTTACTCATTCGACACGGAAGATATAATTAATAGCCCTAGAAGAAGAGCAGGCAGCTAGGGAAGTAAGTACTTACTTATATCATTCCCCGCAAGACGGAAGACAAATCTCGAGTGAGAACTACTCCCAAACTTTTCTTTTACCGCACGTGGATGCCACAACGGTCGAGAATCTCGTAGAGCTCTTCTGTCTTCTCTGTCACAAGGGACATGACGAAGGCCTTGCGGGCGCGTTCCCCGTAGGGCCCGCCCTCGCTGTAGTGCCAATCCCCGCTTTCGCCACTGTGGCCGAACCGATGGTACCGGGCCTGCTGGTAGTACATCAGGCTGCTCCGGTCCGAAACGTCGTCCTCCTCCGTGCTGTCCGTTCGACAATCAAAGTTGTCCGAGTCCGTATCGAGACCTGCAGCGTGTCGCAGCTTGTCGTTCTCCAGCCCCGCCTCGCGGTTCGAGTACTCTTGCTGCACCTGTATATAGAAGTTTCATTTGGTTTATTAATGTTATTCAGTCGACGTTCACCTATTTTTAATACACGCAACTCGTCCTTGTGAGACGGTATGTTGCGGGGTTGGGGTTTCCACCTTTTGCTTTCAACAGGGTCGAACGTGCCGCTAGCATGATACGGAGTTGATGTCACGAACGAAAGTCAAATAGAATGGAGAACTTTCACTGCTCTTGAAGACGCAATCATGTTCATGATCATCGGTGTTAGAAGTTTTTTACATAACTTTGACTTACTTATATGAGTACCCGCGTCATCTTTATTTCAGCGGTACAAATATAGTACTTAAATCATACCATCGACGTCTCCAACGCCGGCACGGTGGTGGCGTTCCATTTATTTTCAACGTGCGTGACAGCATTCGCTTGCTTGACCGCGTTCTTGGCCTTCTCTGTTTTGATCATTTGTTTGGCATCCCTCCACTTCGTTCGCCTCTCGGATTCCTTCCCCGCAGCGGCTCCGCTGCCGTACAGATTGGTGTCGCTGATGGACCTATCAAATGTAAAAATGTCTGGGTCTGGAAGAGTCATGCTGTTTTTGCATGACAGAGAAGGTCTGGCATGGAAGCTCTAGCATCACAGGTTTCGAGAACCTTCCGCAATGCCGAATCCGCATGACAAGTCCCCTATTTTGCTGGCAAAAAGTGGGAGCTTTTGCTACGTATGCATGAGAGACTTTTCTGTGTTCTGAAATACGCACTACAAGTTGCATTCTTCCAGACCCAGACATTTTTACATTTGATAGGACCGCGTCAGGCGGCGCTTCGGGGGAAGATTCGCAGTCGCGTACACGGCGTCTTCGTTCGTGTGCCCCCGGACTCCGGTGGGCGATCCGTTGGAGGTGCTGGTGCTATTCGTCCGAGGGCCCCCGCTCCCTCCGGTGTCGGTAGATCTCTCCGCGAAAGCATGATCCGCGCCCGTTTCCAGCGGCTTCGAGTACTTACGGCTCGTAGTTTGGGGAAGATGTTGTTGTACTAGAACTTGCGGCACCGCAGCAGCTGCTGCCGGCGTTCTACTTGGAGCCACTGGTGTTTCCACTGGTGTTTTGTTCTGAGGCCCAACAACAACTCCCGCCGTGCTAGGAGTGGAGGCTACTTGTTGCTCCTCTTGTTGTGCCACAAAGCCTAGATCCTTGGCCGGCACGTGGGCCCAGTCCGTTCCTCGGGGCTGCTGCAACATCTTCATTCCGTTGTCATGGTCTTCATACTGGAGGTTCACGTCCGTTTTATGGTTTCCCCCGAACGAGGAGGAGCTTCCTTGATGGTAGTCTGCGACGACAAAGGACATGTTGTCCCGTTCCTGCAGCGCCGGCGGGTCGGAGTACACGTGCGACCCGGGCAGGCTTTCCACGTTTTTGCGGTCTTCCATCGGGGACGGCAGTTCGGCCACGTCGCGTTTCTGCAAGCTGTCCACGCCGCTACCGGGAAACTGCTCCAAAGAGCTGTGCGATTCGTGAATGGTAGACGCGCTGCGCTCGTTGTCTAACCCGGACTTCGGTAGCAGATTTCGGCTCATCAGGCTGGGCGCCAGAGGTGGCATAGCTAACTTCTGTTGGCTTTTACCGTTGTTCCAGCGCTCGTTGAACCTCTGGAAGTACAGCTCATCATCCTGCTTCCCCGCTGATGTCGCGCTGTCCGTACTATCCCCAGGATTCCTCTGGGGCAGCGGGAAACTGCGACTGCGCTGCAAATGAGGCGCCCGGCGACCATTTTTCGCATCACCTAGCACGGAGTCATCGACCTCTTCATCCATTTTGTTATTCAACGTACTTCTGATTGTCCCGGAAGTAGCCGCCGCTTGACTTTGCGTCTCGCCAACTTGGTTCAACAGCGGTTGCTCCTGGTTGTTGCCCCGTGCGAGATGTTGGCCGGCGCACAGGTGGTCGTATTCCTCTTCCTCCATCCCCGGAAAGTCCTCCAAATTTGCGTCGTCCGACCCGCTCAGGTTGTGGAACCTCCTCGACGACACCGGCTGGTCGTCGAAATTCGAACCGTTCGCAGGAGGAGCAAACAAGTTTAGTTCGTTGTCGGGGCAATCTTCCATTTCTGGAAAATCCTCCAGCTCGCCATCGTCTATTTCGTCGGACGACCCACTCATCAGCTTGTTCCCACGAGCAGGAGCACCACCTCGTCCCTCCCGTTCCACATCATGATACGCGGCCGACGGCGGACCCGCAGGCGGGTGCCAGTCCTCGGGAAGCTCTCGGCCGGAGAAAATCAGATCGCTGTGGATCGCCGCCGGGTCCACCGCGCGGACGGAGTACCCGGGGCCCTGCCCAGGGTCCGCCCACTCCGAATTTTCGTCGAGGTCGGGGAAATCTTCCAAGTCCTCCTCGTCCGCCTCAGGGAAAGGCTCCAATTCGTCAGAACCGGACCCGCGTGTGCCGTATCCTGAGCAAAAACGTCCCCGCCCAAGGTTTTTCATGACGTATATCATATGTATAATGTATAATCTCATTTGCCCTAACTTAAGCAGCAACATACTCGCATGCTTGTTTCTGTTGCGGCTCTTTAGTCTATTCGTACTAGTCAACATGTTGTAGTTGTTTGGAACCAGCAACTTTGTACAAATGTACAACTCCAATATCAGGATGAGGCCGTGGATGTGTAGTTATGCGGCCAGATTAGCTACAGGAGCAGGACACGACTATGCTACAAATCCAGCTCGTGTCGTGTCCTCATGCGTTAGCAAGCCGCAAAGCTCGCCGGGAGTTTGTTTGCGCATATAAATCCGTGTAGTTGTTGACAATCGGGTACCAAATATAGCCGCCGGGGCGGGGGTAGTGAGGTCGTGGGCGTTTTTTTGCCGACCGCAGCCTTGGCCGCGGCTTTGCTTTTTATGGGCTCACCATACCACCGCGAGTAACGTTATGCCGCACGGTATGGCGGCCACTTGGGAAACATCGCAAATTTTGGCAAATTCCCGAAATTCCTTCCCGAAAGCCAGCCCCCATGCTATGGGGCCGATCCGGGTGCCACGGGGGGCGCCCAAAAAGCGAAGAAAAATCGGGCCCATAGCATGCGGATTGGCTTTGCGCGTGCGGGCCGCTTTTTCTTTTTCGCGTTTTTATTTTTCACGCCGGCGCTTTTTGCAAAGCTTCCCAGGCTCTGAAACCGGCGAAAAGGCGGCCGCTTTCGCGGCCGTCCAAAATGCTCCGAAATCGCGGCCGTGCCATGCTGTTTCGCTGTTCTGATTTTGGGCGCGTTTTTTGCGCGCCCCTTTTTGGGCGCCCCAAATCGCCAGAAACTAAGGCGGCGGGCGCCTCAGAAGGGCGCCCCTTTTGCCGGCTCCCCTGCGTCGTTTTATCAAGTGCGAATCGATAGTTTACGACCGGGCTTGTTTGACAGCAAAGCACAGACCGCTTGATAATTAAAAATTTTTTATGTCAAAAAACGCTTCCGACCGCTTGAAAACTGACGGTCGTTTTTCACGGGACATGGCAAAAAAACTCCCCGGTTAGAACCGTTCGGTGACCTCACTACATATAACTGGGATCGTTTTTACGCAGGATATGCCGTCTCGCTTGTTCACCAGTAGTTTTGAGTTCCGATAGTCCGACCAGAACAGGTCTTTCGCGCTGCTGCTGCTTGAGCTAAGGTTTCCGTTGTTTCCGGCGCGATGAAAGTCCGCCATCACACTGCTGGCGCTGGACGTGCCTATTTCCTGCGAGTCTTCGTGGTCCCCAAAACCGCAGTACAGTGGCACACAGGAATCCACATGATTCGAAGACCTGAAGATCATGTCAATGAATTCGTTTAGATTTTTTTTTTACTGAGGTTCACATGAACTACATGACAAAAGCGTGGCGCGTCATCTTTCGATGCGACTAAGTGTGCCCGAAGTGCACCTCCCCAACGACTTATTTTTGATGCAGTAACGAATGGCATTGTAGGGACTTTCAAGCAATGAATGCTCTAGAAAGACAAAGACCAGTGACAACCAACAACAGGAGCAGCGTCAACTACTCCAACATGGGACAATGACTGACATGAAAGATCATGAATGTCAATCATCTAGTAAGTTCCAAAGGACAATGACCCTTGAAGATGGTGGAAAAGCATCAAAAGTCATACACTAGAACAACAGCCCAATGTATATGCATATTACTTACCTGCCGGTGAAATGCAGCTGGTCGCTATCGGTCGACGACCGGGGGGCCTTGTTCCGCTTGGGAGACTCTTCGCCAAAATCCGACCAGCAAGACAGGTCGTCGTCCCCGGGCAGCGGGTAGGCCAGCGCCGGCGGGTAGTTACGGTCGTAGGCGATCTGCACCTCGTGCCCGGCCGGTTTGTAGCTGGTAACCTGTTATCCTGAGTAAAAACGTACCCACACCAGAGTTGTCATGCAGATTTGCCATGACAGGAACATTTGTGATGCGCAACCCCATGACAGGCATTTTCAATCGTGTTTGGGAACTTGTAATGCTGTAAACAGGATCAGCAGATCGATTTGTGATGCGGCTTTCCTTGCTAACTTGCACTACCTTACGGACTGAAACTTGTCATGCGTGACTCACAAAACTCCTAGGTTTGTGTTGCAAAATCCCCATCCCGACTCTGGCGTGGGTACGTTTTTACTCAGGATACCTGCTGGTTCTTGTTCGCGGAGTGGAAGTCGGACAGGAGCCCGCCATTGCTGTTTTCGGTCGCCGACCCCGTCGGGGAGGAGCCCGGGACGACGACTCCCGGCTGCTGATGATCCGAGCCACCGCCGGTGCCCCACCGGTTGGCCCAGGGCCGGCGCTTGCGGCGGTCGCACCAAATGCCGGCGTGGCGGCCTCTCGCGGCCTTCAGCGCGGCCTCGCGCATCTCCTGCCCCTTGTCCCCACAGACGGTTGCATTCTTCACGGCGTTTTGTTTCGCCAGCCCCTTGTGCCCGCCCAGCTCCGAGTCCGTCGTCCCCGAATTGGAGCGCTCGAACCGCCCCTCGACGTCCTGATCCTCCAGGAACGCCGCCACCTGCTTGCCCAGAAACTCGCTCTCCTCCGCCGTCAGTGCGTGCTGTCGCTTGGAAGACGGCTTCAAGTTGGACAGCTTCGGCTGCAGAAAATCCTCCTCCGACCGCAGCTCCGGGAAGTCCTCCTGGTTTTCCTGACTGGTGTTCCCGTCCACCTGGTTTTTTTCGACCGGCGCCGTACTGGGAACAACCGGCTGCACTTCCGACGGGTTTCCGAGATGTGAAGAAGTAGATGCGGTCGTCGTGTCTGGTACAACTCCCTTGCTTTCGCTCTCGAGCTTGAATCTGAATTCCTCCAGACGCTTTTTCACGTCCGCGATGCTTTCGCACTCCTCGTCCGGATTTTCCGCACGCCACATCTCCCACAAGGCGGCCTCCCGCATCCAGGCGGGATCCACCTCCGGGTCCTTTCCCAGGGGCACGAGCAGCGAGACCTGGAACAGGATGCCCAGACTGGCCAGCACGATCAGCACTATCAGCAGTGGGAACAGCGAGGCGCTTCCCCGATTCTGGTTCCAGTACCCGGTTTGGACGTAGCTGAGACGCTGGTCCCGCATCTGCCGGAGGTCGTTGTTGAAAAAGTGGGACACCGCGCCCGCGCCAAACTGCCGCGCCACCTCCTATCAAATGTAAAAATGTCTGGGTCTGGAAGAATCCAACTTGTCATGCTGATTTTGGATTCTAAAAAAATCTGTATCGCATGAGCAGCAAAGAGAGTCCAAGTTTTGCTACGCGGAAAGAGCATTTGTCATGCGGTATAGGCATCAGGAAGCCCTCACAAAATCTGTGATGCTACGGCATGCATCACAGACATCAGGAGTCATGCAAAATGTGCATGACAAACCTGGCAATCTTCCAGACCCAGACATTTTTACATTTGATACCTCCTCCTCGTCGACAACCGCGTAGGGCAGTTTCGCCGGGTTTGAAGACTCCGCTAACGCCCACAATTGCGCGTTCCTGTACAGAATTCCACGAGGATCGTCCCCGCCCGCGGCAGGCAGTTGTAGTTGTAGCCCACTCTCTCTCGCAAGAACCCAGGCGAGACCGACACCCTTGAACTCGCCAGTGTTTGCGTCGTAGTTTGGAGATACCGTTAGCACTTTCGCAGCGTGTGGTGGTTCGGTCAAGGCTGAGTCATGTCCCGCTACGGCACTTCCGCGCTCGATATAATCTTCAAGTCCATATTCCCACGCCTTCCGCCGTTCCAAGTTTTTGACGGCAAATAATTCCTCGTTTGGCAGAGGGGCGCGAGTTTCGTGAAATCTGTTTTAGTGCGATCAAAGTGATGAAGGTTCTATGCATGGTCAATACTTCTTTCGCATGTTCAACCGCAGCGCTTACTTAGTGTAGTTTATGCCAAGGCGAATGCAACATGGTTGATCAGAGGAAGTCAAATCAGAAATAAATCTCGGACCCGGCAGAACGGCAAAGGTTGTAGCAGGTAGATATTCATCGAATAACGCAAAAAAAAGACGCGTAGATACCTATTAGACTGGAAGTCGACAGTAGTCCGCCGCTCCCTGTCTGCGCGGGCTTGCATCACCCCGAAGGCAGCTGCGACTCGCCCCGTCGGCGACGCAGAGACTCCCGGCGTTGTCCCCGCGGAGCCTGCTCCGTGGGATGTCCGCGCCAGCTGTGCGAGTGCGTCCACTTGCACTTGATGTTCCTCCCGCGAACTTTGTAGCGATGATCCACTTCCCCGCCCTCTAGACTCGACCCACTTGAGCGCCGCCACGGAAGCGACCGCACTTCCTTCAACGGCGGCCTGCTGCTGCATCACTTCCTCCACGGCGGCCACTAGATACGTATCGAGCCACGCATTCATTATCTCGGCTTCGCTTTTGGCCCGCGGCTTGTTCAGTCCCATACCCAGCGGCCCCAGAACTCCGGCGTAGCTACCACCTGACCTCTGCGACGACATCAAGGCGTTCGTCGCAATCCCCAGCCGGCGCTGCATGTCAGCGGATAGTGCGTTCATGGTCCGAAAGAGCTGCGTATCCACGACCTTGATAGTAGCACCACCACCACTTCTGACCGGCGCGGGCGCGTCGCCTCCAGCTTTACGTTGCTCCTCAGCCTTGTCGGCCGCGTGCGCTCGGGCCAGTGCGCTCAGCACTCGATCCGTCCTCATACTGTCCTTGGTGGCGCTGCTCGGACAGACCTGCAGCGGCCGGGCGACACTCTCCGCCACCACCCGTGCCACGTGCGCTGCACCGTCCCCATGGTCGGGTGGTCCTCTCCCGTCCTCGTTCGCAGAATCCGGATCCGCCGCGGGAGGCGGGTCAAAATAGGCGTTTGTCGGCGCCGGCTTCTCCAGCCGGAGGCAGTGCGCGTCCGCGGGCCGCCACAGAGGGCGCACGGGTTCCAACAGCCGGCAGTTCTCCGTGTTCACTTTGTCCGTGTGTAGGCACTGCACCGTGCAGGAATCCTTCCCCTGTTTTTCAATCACCTCGAACAGGGAGCCGTCGTGCACCCCTCGGACCGCAACCAGATCGCCGACGCGCACCGGCAGCGAGTACGATGCCGCCGGGATGGATGAGGTAACGACATGGGAGATGACCAGGTACGCCGCAAGCTGTGCGCTCCCCCAGAGAAATGGGGCGGAGAGGAGGGGGACCTTCCTGCGTCGAGTTCGAGTACTTCCTTCTACTGGAAAATCCATTTTAATCCACTTCTCGCATTTACTAGTGATTGTAGAAACCACCACAGAGAGGACATGATGAGTAAGTACCTCTTGATCGAGAATTTTTTTTATTTATTTCACGTGAAAATAAATCAGTACTTGTGGTTGTAGTTCGCAAGAAGTATTGCTGGTATATTCATTCTCCTACTTAATCTTGTTGTTGTTTTTCTGGTACAGGCAACTTTTTCGAATCAAATCTACCCTTTTTTCTACTACCAACCAGCCGCTGTCCAGCGGCGGTTTGCGTTGTCTCTTTTCCCTGTGGCACCAGTTGCATGAATTGAAATCTTCAAGGAACTATCACTACGTTATGAAGAAAAGAAAAACATCCTGAAAAACCTACAACTACCATGCTGCATTTTCGGGAGCTCATTTCTTGCCTTGCCGTGTGATCAAAAACCATCTTCTTACGAGCCAGCTAGCGTTGCGTACGGGTATTGCATTTTGCTTTTACTTATACTTTCTCAATCTCATTTTGCGCATGGAAAATTCCAACATCTTGAGAGTGTTACACGTGAAATGATATGGTGGAAATGGCAATGGGTGCTTTCTTGAACATTTCATGAGGACCTTGATGGCGTAGTTAAAGAAAACTATAATTTTCGATCTCTTGATTTTCGTGTGAGTAGAAACAACTAATTTCAGATCCTTCCGCTTTCATGGAAAAGCACTTTCATCACATTCATCACCGATTCCGAGATCGAGGGCAAAACCGATTCTTCCGTCATACATTTTTTTCCGTACCGAGACAGCGTAAATTCGCACATTTCTATTTCCCCATCAGAACCTTTACTTTCCACGTCAGGGAGTTGTAACAAAATGAATATAGCATCTATCGAGATCGATCTATTGTTCCCTCCACTGCGGGCCATGTATCGTCCTGAAGGACTTCCGCATTGCTACTTTTCTCCTCAATCTAATACTCCTGTCATTTTCTTTTTGTAGTCCTTCCTTTTGCAGGAAGTCAATGTTGCCTTTCACCGTTTATCTCTACTTCCAGAAGCATCGAACTACGTCAACATTGATCACTAATCGGGGGCTCCGTCCATCTTGTTTACAAGTAAATAAGATGCCGCTGATTCATTAGAAACTGAAGAGAGCGAGCAATCCTACACTTATCATACATTCATATTCTATTCACTTCTCGTCCGATCTGCCCCCCTCCACTGCGGTCGGGTCGCGCTTCTAATCCTGCGCAGCAGAAGGTGCAGCAACAGCTGCATTTTTCTCCACCTTTGATCACAGCCCTTCTCTACTCACCCAGGGTAGCAAATTCGGCCCGATCTAAATAGTGGGAGAGCAGAGCCGATTCGAGCGAGAGGCTGAAGACATCCACTGCGTGCTGAAAGTTGTCCACATCGGTGGGTGAAAACGGCCTGCGATAGGAAAGTATTTGCACAACAGCGAAGGCGTCGTGTTGTATGTTGCTCATCCCGCTTGCGCAACTCGTTAGGGGAGGTGCAGTAGTCGTTGCTACCGAGTTTCCTGCGGCTCCTCCCTCGCCACCTTGATTCTCGTCACGATCCGCTGAAGTAGTGTCCCCAACGACCGCGGCTGTAGGTTGTAGTTTCTGGGCGTGCAAAATGGCCGCGGTTGGGGTATAACCCGCTAAGGTGTTACAATCTCAAACGTTACAATATAATATGGAAATCTGTGATGCAAGAGTGCATGATCTAGCCAACTCTCATAGGATCGCGCATGACAAGTTCCGGAGTCCCAAACCCCACTACAATCAGGCGAAGTTTGTATTGCAGAAAGTGGAACGCTCTGCGATTCTGTCATGCTCAGCATGCAAGACAAATTCCAGATTCTATTGTAACGTTTGAGATTGTAGCGTCTGAGCAAGCTATACGGGGGAAGTGGAAGGCGCAGAAGCTGGTTTTTCTGCTGAAGCAGCGCCACATCTGGGGGGACGGCCTCGCTGTGAAAGTGGCTCCCTTCCTCCAGCATCTTCCCCGCTACCTGCGGCGAGAGGAACACCGGCGCCGACAAAAAATGCACGTCGTCCAGCGTGTGCGCCGTGTGTTTGCTAAAGCACAACTCCGCACCGTCGACTTCGGGATCAAGGAAGGCCCCCCGCTCGTGGTAGTACTGCCGCGTGTCGGCGCAGAGATAGAAGCACGTGGAGTATCTTCCTTCAGCGCGCACGTGGCTTGCGCTGCTGCTCACCAGCTTGGAAGTGTGAAAACTAGCCGCCGAAAAACTACCAACGCGTTGCTGCCCTCCACCGCCCGCCCTCGATGTGTAGCCAGAGAAACCCCGCGAACGGGGGAGAAAGACGTGCTGCTTTCTCGACATGCCAACTCCTCCAAAGGCCATTTTATGTCTCGTCACTCTTGATGTCGTGGTAGCAGTGTTCGTCGTTCGCGATGGTGTAGTAGCAGGGGCAGCTGACGTGGTCCCATTGGCATTCAGAAGGTGGCTTGGGGACCGGAGCTCGGCATATTTTTGACTATCCCCGTCAACAAACACCATGGCAGTAAACGGTGCGACCACAAGATAGTCGCCCATTACGAGCAAAATCCGGGCCATGTGCGAGCCAGGCAACAACTCCTCCAGCCGCTGAACGTTATTTTTCATGGTAGTACAACTCAATTTCCCAACGTGTCGCGAGAGTTGAACGCTTTCACAAGAAAGTAAATTCTCTGGTGACCACAGAGAGCAATCCACATCGAGCGAAGATCGCAGCTCACTGCAAGGATCAAAAACAATGCAATCGCTCAACAAGATTCACTTCTAAAAAATAAAAAAAAAACGCGATATGTATGGCATCCTATACCTTTTTCATCCCGGATTCCAAAACCCCTAAGATTCCGCGCCCATCATCGCTGCCCGACCGAAGCAACATTTCGCCTCGAAGATGGCCTAGAAACGCCAATCCGCGTCGGCTCGCGGCCGCTCGCGCGATGTTGCCTTCAAACAGGCGAAAGAGGTCCAGTGCCAGCTTGCCGACAAACCGCACCGCTGTCAGGTGCGCTAGCGTCATCTGAAAGACCTTTCGGCGCACGTGCGATGCAGCTATGGCCCCGAGAAGATCCGCCAGTTTGAGCCTATCCACTGCTGCAACTGGACTCTTCATCTGATGGCTCCACCCATGATTGAGGCCACCCAGGGTTGAGGTCAACGGGGACAGTGCTGGCAGTGGTTTTTCATCCTGACGGCGAGACACCGGGGGATGAAACCTGCTGGTTTCTCTGGTCGTGTCACTGAGCTCTCTGGTATCTAGGTGCACGCCCAACTGAGCACTCTGCCGTTTTCGTTTCTCGGCCGCAGCTTGCGCGACTTCATTCGCGAGGTCGGAGTGCTCATCTAGCTCCCGAAAAATCTGGCTGAATAAAGCCCCATCGTACACATTGGGGTGCCCGGTTTGGTTCGGTCGTCGCATTGATGCATGCCCACTTGCCCTTGGTATCCAAGGCGACACCTGTGATGCACGCGACAGCGTTGGAGAAAGCAACTGATTTTTGTTTTTAATCGGCGACGTCGCGTTGTTGTCAAGATGAACGTCCCGGGGAGTCGTGTGGCTAAATTTCTTCCCACAAAAATCGTCAGCCGAACAGTTGTAACCCGTACTACGGGCGGGCGCCGCGCCGGCGATCTGAAGAGAAACCAGGATACGCAGTGGCCCCGTGGACGAAAGCTCAAATACCACACCGCCGCGATGCCACTGCGGCAGCTGCAGAAACGAGCGCGGTTTGGAGATGCGCTGCTTCGACAGGGTTACGCCAGTTGTCACCGTTGAGTTCACGAAGAACCTCTCAACTTGCAACACCGCGGCCGCGCGGTGATCCTGTACTAGGGCTCCGCCGCCAGGAGCACAAGCTCCAAGCGCGCTGCTGCAGCCGCCTTCCACCGGCCCCCGGAGGGGAATATTCCGCTGCGCCAACAGTTCCGGAAAACCGTACGCTGCTAAGTCACCCTGAAAGTACAGAGTCGCGGTGATCTCCGCCTCGCCGATAAAGAGGCTCTCCAGCACCTGCAAAAACTCACCCAAAAAGTCAGCTCCTGCAGGAGCGGCACCTGCGTCGCCTGCGTACGGCGGCGCGACTACGGGGCTGTGTTTGTTCCGTGCTTGTACTACTACGGATGGAGAGGCCGCTAAGGTTGCTCCTGTCGCGTACAGATGTCTTCCTTGCATGCGTGTGTGGCGCGGAAACGGAGATGAGGGAGAGAACGTTCCTGCCGCCGAGGGTCTCACCCTCGGACACGCTCCTGGTGATGACAACGACATCAAGGAGGTCAGCCTCGGTGAGGTCGTCGTCGTGGACTGCTGATTCACACGCGACGAAGGAGCAGACACATCTTCCTTCTTACTCCTGACAACTGCAACATCATCCCCCGGAGGACCTTTTTGATTACAAACAGGGTCGGTGTGCGGCGCTCGTCCTGCGCGATGAAGACAACTTCCGCCGTTACTATTGGCATCGTACGAGGACCCCTTTGAGTTGTAGTACCGCAACAAACGCACGCAGGCTTCTTCCACCTTGGTCGCAGGGATTTGGTCAAACCGCTTCTGATTGCCCTGCCAGTGCGCTGCAGTTTCTACAACCGAATCCAGCAGCGGCCGGTTGCGCACGAGCAGCAACTTAAGCTGATACTCCACCTCCGGAACCAGAATGTTTCTGTCTTCGGGCGTGAGAACGAGTTGGTCGCTTCTCAGTTCTTTGTTGATTCCACTTCCGGTGGCTCGTCCCGCGTCGCCCTCACCCGAGACAGTCTGCCGCTCCTCCTCCTGCGGCCGTTCATCCAAGTAGAACCCGCGAGGACTTGTTATTGCATCCGCACTACAGCTGTGCTGCAAATAAACCTCCACGAAGGAATCCAGCACGATGTCCGAGAGCTCCGCGGCTGCCTGCTCCGCGACAGACGCGAACGCCGTAGTCCTCCGGCTTCTGCGTGTGCTAGAATTGACGCTTCTGTTGATGTGCGTCGACCTACGCAACGACGAAACACCCAAATTGTGCCCTGTGCGTCTCCTTGAGGTGCGTTTCGAGGCCGTCGTTGCTCGGGAGTATCTGCTCTGCGCCATTAGCATCCGCGAAGATTTTTTCCTCCTCGTTATCATCTTCGACATGAGAAAAGAGCCGCGGCTGCAAGACGTCTCATTGTCAGTTCGTTGTTCACCTTCTTCTTCTTCCCGGGCATGCTGCAGCGAGCCGGCTTTTTTTGATATCGTGCCAGGTATCAAAGAATTCCTGTCGCCTTGTTCCGGAGATTGCAGGAATGAAGAAAGACCAGGACCAGCTCGCAGATTCGAAATCCTGGGGGAGTCTAATGTCCTCGTCGAGGACATGTGCTTCACGACCGTAGTGCGCATTGTTTTGACCGCCGGCCCTGCATCGAAGTCGTCCGACGCGGGAAGAGGATCCTCCAGCTGCGCACCAACGCCCCCGTCATCAGAATGGACCTTCATCTGCAGGGAGGCTTGTTCCACCTGGGCGCAAGGCTCAAAACGCGCACCATGTTTGTCAAATGAAACCCTTTGTGCAACAGGAAACTCGTCCTCGTCAGCGTCCGATATTTCTTGTCCTCCTTCCAGTTTGCGCAGCCGCTTCCGGTAATACTCGCAGGCGCGCTCCAGCTTCCGATACCGCTTTCGCAGAGCACGCAGCCGCCTCCGCAAGTCTGTGTTCGGGGCAGACACTGCTGATTTCGATTTGCTTGTTCTTTCTTCCCCGCCTCCAACACCGTAGGAATTATGTTCTTCTTCCTCTTCCACGGTAAATTGCATCCGCCCGGCTCTACCACCTTTCAAATTCGCATCGTCTGCACTTTTAGTATTCGTTAGATCTGGTTGCATCTCGTTTAACTCGGTACTTGTTCCTCCAAATAGCACTCGGGTGAGCCTCGCCGGAGACCTGGCCACGAGCCGCGCAGTTGTGCCTTGATCGTTTTTTGCTTTGTTCCCTTTCTGTTTTTGTTGTGATTTTTTATTGGATCTAGTACTCGTTTCCTCGGACTGGTCACGACCAACAAAACTTGTACTTGAAGGCCCCGCGGCTACTCTTGACGGCTGCGCCAACAGGTCCGTCATCGGCAGCACCAGGCTCTCTTCTATTTGCAGCAAGCCCGCCGGCCGCGCAGCTTTCTCCTCCTGCGCTTGGCACTCTGCCACAACAGCCGGAAGTTCTAGTGCTGTTCCTTCAGCTGCACTGACACTGGTTCCAGCACCGGCGCGCACTGGCTTCGCATCCTCACCGGGTCGCATATTTCCGAGCTCCTCTGGTTTCTTCAGCACGGGAACAGAGGGAGGAGGTTTCTGTGAATACGAACCACCAATTTTTGCACGCAGCGACGGTTTGGACGCAGAGCCCAAAAGGAGATTTTTCGTCATGAACTTGTTTGGGTCCGATATGGTGAAAGAAGCCGAATCATGCTCCTGCTCTGTCGCCGCAGTAAAGCCATCTTCGTCCTTGACTCCGTTTTTTCCGGGCCTTTTTCTGTCTTGGTCTTCGCTCGTCCTGTTCTCTGTCTCATCATCTGCTATGCCCAGCCCCCGCTGCTCGACCGAGTACGCCAACAGTGTGGCGAGCCGCGGGCCTCGATAGTCCAGCGGACGTCTTCTGCGGCGAGGCGAGCTTGATGAGGATGTGACTGGCGGATAAACAGAAGAATACGGCATCGTGAAACACGCTTAGCGGTTGAATCTTGAATTCCAATTCTAGGTAGAAGGTGAGAACAAATGCATTGCAGACCACCTCCTCAGCTTTTGCTTCGATTGTCGTGAATGTAGTCCTAATACTTTTGCCAGTTGGCTCCGGCCTTGAAAAATGCGGAAAAAATCTTGTCGTCCACCCACCGCCGCGTCAGCTTAAAAGACATTCGCTAGGGCCTAGTATAACCTTCCCATAGCCTTCTCCACTACATCGCTCAAGCTTCACTGGTACGTAGCAACCACACACCAAGAAGTCACTGCCCGGATCGATCCACCGATCGAAAGAACGCCCTTCATAGATACCTCATGAGAACGGTACCGTACTCCAACAAACAGAATACTCTATTCACTGACCAGGTCAGCACAGCAACAATTCAAGTTTTCCGTCGGGATCAAGTGTTCAGAAACGCGATAGACTCCCACTGCATCCTGCCTCCCAGATTCCGAACATGAGATGCGTGAACTGGCACGAAAAGGTGTAGGTCGTGCTGCCTGGCAGCCAATCACCATTATCATCATGTGGGAAAGTCACCAGATAAAAATCGCGACAATGTTCAATGACCTGTACTGTTTACGCTTGTTTTCAGTGGTGACAGTTCAGCGGGTCTGACCTTGCCATGCTATAGCGACGGAAAGCAAAGGACGAGCTCCCTGACTCCTCCAAATCCGCAGGGCTTGCTGGCTCACCCTTCAACGGAACAAGCCGCCTCCCGCTGCCCATACAGCTTTCACTACAGGGTCACCAAGCGTCGCTTCAAGAAATGCATATGGTCTCCTTTATTTTCATTTATCCTAATTGTAGTCCACGCAGAAAGCAGCTACAGTTACTACCTCTACGCAGGTTTTGTACATATTAATCTACTCAGAGTCAGACAAAAAGAATGACAGCACTACATAGTAAGCCAACTTCAAGTATCTTCCAGAGGTTTTTTTTTTTTCTGACCTGACTCATGCACCTCCGTGCTAGTCGCTGTTTCGCTTGCACACTTCTTTACGAAATTTACTCTAGAATAACCTCGTGAGCAATTTGCTTGCGTCACAGGAGGTGGGCCGTCTCAGAGGGAAGACAAGCCTGTAATTACTATGTATACTAGGTGTACTGTACTAGATGTAGCTATCACTACTGATATCCAAGTGCTGGCTTTCGTCGCATCTTCAATTTGAATTTTACAGGAGGATAGGATGCTCATCCTACCATGCTACCACGACAGCAGCTTTCTCAGCTGTAGCTCATCAGTATCATTTATCAAAACAACTATGGCAGCTCAGTTTTTTGCTTTTGTACATAAGTCTAGATATAAGCATCGAGTCTATCTTAGTGTTAGCGATTGATTTGTGTGTGGTTGACGACAAGAGCGCGGACGAAATCAACAATTTGTTCTAAAACCTTCTAGAGATAAAAGCTAGTACGCGAGTGAACAAGACAATCTTACTTTTGATCTCTACCCGAGGTACGTTCGTAGGCTCGTCGAAAAAAAACTTTGGTGAATAGTACTCGCCGCGGTAGCAGGCCACCAGTACTCCTACGATTCTTGCAGCGCACCCGGGGGGCAGGACAGCGACAGCCTCACTAACGACCCCATTCTTTTGCGCGGCGTCTCGCGTCGACCACCCACGGGCTTTGTTCGATCTGCGTTATGCTGGACCGTCTTGCCTCGTCGAAGACCTGAGGGATCGTTTCTACGTCTAGATCCAATCATCCCGAGGGTTGAATTTTCTATCTAGATCCGCTACCAGCACCAGTTGTGATTCAGATTCGCGCCACGGAATTACAACACGGAAGATCAACACTAGTAGCTAGAGTATCTATCCTCGAGATATCATACCAGCAGCTCTCTGGTTAACATGTTGAGGAGGTTTTTGATGGACTCGTTGCCGGCTTTTCGCATGTAGTCGGGTCGAAAGTCGCGCACGATGTCGTTCCGAAACTTTTCCTCGTTAGAGGTTCTTTGGAAGATCTCCCGGGCCTTCTCTTCGTCCGCAAACAGTGCCCCGTCCATCGGCCACCGCATCAAGCGTTCCATCTTACTTACGCCACACGTCAGCTCCAACAAAACCACGCCAATGCTCCACACGTCCAGCTTAAACCTTGTTTTCACAGAAGCTGCGGACCTCACCTCGAGGATCGATAGTTGTACTTCTCATCTTCCCTACGACGCAAGTACCTACTTACGTGAGACAAAGACACACACACTTTCATCGTGGTCATCATCTACTTTCTTGTGTTGTACATACACCCCAGCGAACATGCTGATCTTGATGTTGATGGTAAGTACTATCTTCAAACTTGTCTGCGCATTTGCACAAGTGAAGACGAATATCCACCACAATCAATCACAAATACCCGTCGTAGCTCTTTGCAGCCATCACTTCGGGCGCCGCAAAGGGCATGGAGCCGCACTGCGCCATCAGTCTCTGCCCCGCTTTCAAGGTGGCGGCGAGATATGCTTTGAAACTATGTCTGGGTCTGGAAGTTTGTGTTGCTGCTACTTGCATCGCATACATAGTACTAAGTAGCATCTACTTGTACGGCATGACAGCATCAGAAGTTTTTTATTGCTTTTGGTTTTGCTCTGAACATGCAATGACAATGACAAATAGTCCAGACATATTTGCAATGCATACGAGACCGAAGTCCGCAATCTTCAAAGAGTCACTTGACCATGGCCGGTCGGGATTGTAGCGCGCATGGTCCTTAGGCGTCTCCATTATGAAATTCTCCGGCTTCAAGTCGCGGTGACAGACAAACCTTCCGTGGCAGTACGCCAGTCCCTCGGTGATGTGCAAGAAAAGCCGCTGCGCGAGGAAGCCGTCCACTGGTCCGCCCGAGTTTCTTTGCTCGTGGGCCAGCAGACTGTTTTATCAATCAGTAAACTCTACACAAGTTGTTCAAGTAAGATTCAAAACACTTACAACTACAATCATACTCGTATCAACTAGCTGCAAATGTTGCTCTTATTGCACCACGAAAAAACAGAAGCGCTCGCACATGCGCGACCCTGCCGCGGCGTGTGTGGTGATTCATTTTCATCCCGGGAGAGTAGAATTTTTGACGATCATGATGTCGAAATCGCATACATGTCACAGGTAAGTACTCGAAAAGACTGTTTCTCCCGGCATATTCGAGTATGATGTAGATGAAGGTGTCCGACGCCACGGTCATGCAAGAGAAAAACGGCGTGAGCGTAAGTCTGTGATGCAGAAAATGCCAAACAGTCACACCGGTCATGCCAGACACGACCCACCAAGTCGTCTTTTCTTGTGGGTTTTCAAGTGGTAGCCATGGTGCATGACAGGTTTTCTCCGCCATGCAGAGCAGCACATTTGTCAACTACATGCTGTCAACGCAAGACTGTTACACTATCACAGTTTCATTTTCCTTCGATAACGATGTTGTACAATTCAACTATTCGTGGGTGCGGGTTAAAGCTGGACAGAATCCTGCACTCTCGCAGCAGGGCCTCGAGCTCCGGACCGTTTTCGAAGCGCCACTTGGGAATTTTCTTCACGGCAAAGTGCTTGGGTCGGGGCTGGCCTTTCCGTCTCGGGTCCGTATTCCAATTCGCCAGCAAGTCCTGTAATTTCACTTGCTTCTCCGCCATTTCGGATGGTTTCATCAACATTCCCTGTTGTGCGTTGTATTTTTTCGAAATCCTTCACAATATTTTGGTCGTGCTGACCTCCTCCAAGATCATGACAGATTTTGTGTAGTAACACAGTATTTGAGTCCAGCACATTTTCATTTTCTCGATACAGTGATGAATAAACAAGAACTACAAGCTTGTATGTACAACTCCGGGCGCTCTATTTCTTTTCGTGCTTTCCTTACCTTGTACACCCTCCCGATCATCCCTTCCCCCAGCTTTCCAACGAACTTCATGTTTCCCAGGCTTGTGTCGGACTCACAAAGGGCCCAGCTCGTCGACCGCGGAAAGGAGGGCATCAGGTGCTGCGCAATGTAGTCCCAGACGAGCTCGGCGCTTTGCTTCTTTTTGAATTCGACGTAGTTGGTCATCATCGTATTCATCGCCTCCGAGCCGGACAGCTGGTTCCGCATAGTCTCCAAGTTGTGGTTGATCCAGGCCAAGGAAGTCTCGATGTCCAGTTCCAGTTCCCGGCTCTGCAGCTCGAAAATCTGCTCCCGTAGCGTCTGAACTTGCCGCATGCTCTGCTGGATCGCACTTTCCGTTTCACTTTGTCCTCTTTCATCCACATCCGCGCCTTGTATCCTGAGGAAAAACGCCCCAATCAATCTGCTCACAGAGATCAAAGCAAATAAAGTTGTTTATGCAGATAATCGATCCCCATGAGAGGCATTTCTGGTCGTGCTATGCTGTGAACAGGATAAGCTCGCGTCTTTGTGAGGCGGCTTTGCTTGCCACAAACCCGCCTACCACCGAAACTTGTCATGCGTGACTTCTACCAAATATAAACTTCGGGATTTGTGTTGCAGAGATTCCAGTTTGACTTTGGGGTGGGGACGTTTTTACGCAGGATACCGTTTATTTGGTGGTCTCTGGTACTTCGCTTACCCTTGTTCTCTCTCGCATTGGAGTTCGAAGACGTCGAGCGGTTTTCCTTCTCCCCGCCGCTCGTCGTGCCTGGCGCCTCGTTTTCCTTGTTGCCTTCCGTGCGGTTTCTCGACGTATCGGTCTTAGTGCTACTCGCAGTTGCGAGGTGGTGCTGGTCCGTGGCCGCGGGGGATGCGCTGCGGCTCCGGCGGGTCGCCAACGAATTCCAATTGTTCACTTTCCAAAACAAAAAGTCATCCGCCCCGTACCCAGCAAAGATTTTGCTGCGGTCAACCAAGCGCTGATCCTGCGTAAAAACGTCCACGCGCAGAAGTCCATGCTTGTCATGCGAAACGGTACGTAATTGCAGTGACAGACGCGATGGATGTTGCCCCTGTACATGGAAGGAACTCTCTCAGCCGTTCAGGAATTTGCGATGGCGATGCTCTGACAACTAGAAAGAAAGTGGCTCTGTAATGCGGCTTTGCCAGCGAATCAAAACCACTCATGTCAATGTCGTAGGCCGCGATAGTACTCGCAAAACTTGTTCTGCATCGGATGCCTCCAACCTACAAAAGTATAGCAGAGCTGACACTTTGACTCTGCGGTGGGAATGCTTTTCAGTAGAATAGCGTTGCTGTGCCTCCATTTCACTCATGCCGGCGAATCCGTCTTCGAAGTACGGTGTCAATACCTGAAAGATATGATAAAACATCTCGTCCCATGTGAGCAAAACGAGAATGATCGGTCACCATGAGCGTCAAGGACATACATTGTCATTGACTCATCTCAACAAGGTAATCAGATGAATACTTACATGATCAAAAGCAACAGCATGATGATATACAAGGATAGGCGGAACGAAAGAGGAGCAGTCAAATGTCTTCAGCAAGCGGGACACGAGGATGCTGTCATTGTTGACCGGATTTTCTTCGTCAGTCAAGAACGCAATGATGATACAGCACCGCAGTTGCGAGTCCTCCGCAAACAAATTGTTCGCCAACGCCTCCGCGTGCTCGTCCGTCGTGAATTCTGGCACGAAGGTCACCGCAGGGAAACGCTATTGATGTTCACGTTTATCTCACATGAAATTATGCGCTCAGATACAGGCAGACAGCCAGACTACACGCTCTGGTTTTTCCCGTTGACGATGATCAAGAATGTAGTTACGTCCTTTAGTGCCTCGAAAAGATCCACCAGTAAAGCTTGACCAAAACCGTTAAGTTATTCTTGTGCTCTATGAAAATAAAGCAAAAGGGAATAAGGAAATGAACTTCACCTCGTACAGCGGCGTAGGGTCGAAGGTGGAGCAGCAGCAGAGGGTCACGCAGTACTCCGTGTCGTGAAGCACCTCCACCTGCAGTAACTCTTGGATCACTTCCGAGGGCTTGGGAACGGCGTCGCGGGGCACCCCTCTCATGTTCACGGGCGAGCGCGTGCTAGAGCGGGTCGTTTCGCCTTCCCAGGCCTGGTGCAGGTTCTTCGGCATGCCAGCATCGCCAAACAACAACATGCCCTTCCCGAGCTGTGGCGCACTCGCGCACTGGTCCAACCAGTTGCCCGCAGCTTGCGGGTCGACCCCCGCAGACCCTCCGTGCACCATGCTGATAGACTCGACGCTGCTCGCGAGCACTTGGGAATTCTCCGTTCGATGGCTGCGGTTTGTGCTGGTCGACAAACACGGATCGGTCCGGGGCCGAGCGAGCATTTCCCCAGCGGGCGGCGGGTCCGACAGCCGTCGCGAGCGGCGCTCCCTGTTAGTACCCGGCGACGTTGTTTGCCCCGCCGGGCCACCACTCGAAGACGGGGGCTTCGACTCCTGCGAACGTTGACCCGGGGACTTGATGTGACTATTGGTTTGCCGCTGGAGCTGGGGCGTGGTGGGACTGGTCGCCGCGTTGTAGGCCGCCAGCACTGACGACTGCGCCGTCGACGTCGACGCCGTTGGCAGAATCTTGCTCGGATGACTCGAATTCTCTACCTCTTGCTGTTCCTTTTTGCTGATGGCGGTCGTGCTTGTCTTCCCGCCCGCGCTGCTTTGCCCGTTGCTGTTGTTTCGCTTGTTCACCGTCGACGCCTCACCGCCGTGATCCTCCTGTTGCTGTAACAGAGTCGTGGTCCCCAGACTTTTGCTCTGATGTTGTGCGTTGGTCGGGGAAGACGACGACGAGCTCGCAGCGGCTTTGCTCTGCGGGTAGTTTTGCGGCTGGTGCTTGTGCGCTGTTGAAGGGGACACAGATCCTGCTTGTGCACTCTTGCTTGGCATCGCCTCGCCGTCGGACGGACCTGTCCAGGCCTGTTGCGCCGTCATGGTCTTGGGCGATGCGCCGGAAAAGGAGGGATCGGATATCTGGTCCTTGAGCTTTTGCGCTGCTTCAGGCGACTTCCCAATTTCCGGTTTCGAGCGGGAACCGGAGCTCGCACTGATCCCCACGGAAGGCTGCTCGACGACCACAGGTTTCACCTGGGCCTTCGATCCGGACTTTCCAAGCAGCCGAGACAACATTTTTATCGATTCTGTGGGCGCGGGGAAAGAGAGAGAGACCGGCCACGACACACCAGGTCAATCACTGTGCGCCGTCGCCCTCTCTGGCACTCCGTCCGAGGGTCGTGGGTGGTGCGAAAATAAATCTGGTTCACCGACTTTATTTCAGCATGCACGCTCTCAGGCTGCCTCGTCTCCAGGAGAGAAGCCCAGTGCACACACAGGCACACGTGTCGAAAACCCTGCCGCAGAACCAACGTCTCTCAGCGATAAAGCAACAACGACGCTGGCGAATGGCTAACACATCGAACGACCACTTTCTAAAATGCCTACAATTTATTCCTGAACAACCCGCCATCTTCGCTTCCTTGTATTCGTGTATTCTGTACACTGAGTGCAGCTTCAAATGAACTACGAGCGTGAAGATCGCACTAAAACTGAGACATCTATCAACTCGGTCTTCGGGGTCTGTAGATTCCATCAGAGCCGTCGTTCTTGTTTCCAAGGTTCAAGTAGCTCAAGCCTATTTGTTTCTCGATCTTGCGACTTTGTCGCGATTCCAGCACCCCGACTGGTTTTGCCTTTTGTCTTCTGTCCGTTTGTGTCTCGTCAACAGCGGCGTGTTCTACCTCGTCTACGTGAACGTTTGTTGCAGGAGTACTATCGTCCTCTGCAGGAATGCCGAAGGACCCACGCGCTGCTGGAGGCTCGCGGCCCTCGTCCGTAGTTCCGGCACCGTCAACCGCAAAGCTGCGCGATCCGCGGCTGGCCGGCAATGTGTTTGCCTCTACCGAATCGGTTGCAGCATCGTTGTAGTATTGCGTCGCAGCAGCAGCAGCAGCAGGAGTGTCTTCGCGTTGCACCACGCTTTCCGGCACTCGGCCTTCAGCGGCATTTGCGACTGCGACATCACTCGGCGCAGCGGCCGCTACGCCAGCTACAACTGGGTCGTGTCCTACTATCCCGTCCGCAGTGGCTGCTTCATTCTCCGCAGCCGCAGCCGGGACGTTTTCTTCCACTTCAGCAACTGTGGATGCCGGATTTGCTTCCACCCCAGAGAATCCCTGTGATGAGAGTCTAGCCAATTTGCGCTTCCCCCGCTGCTCCGCAGCTGCTGCTTTTTCATCGTTGTCCATGGAATAAAGCTGCACTGACGACGCTGAGCCTCCGACCTGCTGGTTTGCTCTCTGACCGTCTTGTCCCGTAGTTTCGAAACGGTCTGTCGCCCGGCTTCGCTCCGGTGCAGCAGGTTCCGCATCGCGTTCGCCAACTATAGCACGATCATGCACCGAATCTATCGCGGTCTCCTCGCTCCCTCTTCTACCTTGGTCCTTTGTCCCCGTTTCGGCGCTCGACGCTGCATCTGCTGTCGCTTGTACAACTGGAGGTGGTCGTGGATCCACTACTTTATTCAGTACTACTTCTTCCTGTGCCGAGAAGGAGCTTTTGCTGAGTCGTAGAAAGTCGTGCTCCTCCACCTCTTCCTCCACTGCCTCCTCCTCTTTCAGATCCATCGCGGCATCGTGGTCCGGCAAGCGCGTCCACTCGGGCAGGAGCACGTCCACGTTCTCGACCATAACTTTGAACAACGCCTCGGAGCAAACCAGGCACTTCCAAAGTTCCGTCCGGTACGCGCGCGGGCGAATCAACAGCCCCGCAAACACCTCCGCCAACTTGTCCAGCGTGCTGCCGTAGCCCCGCCGGTCCTGAATCAGCGCCAGCAGCTTCTTCGCGGACGACCCCTCCTTCTTTTCGACGTGAATCACGCGTTGGAAAAGCTTCAGCAGGAAAAACAGGGTGTGCAGTACGTACCACGGGAGGTGCGGAAACACGCGCATCCGCAGAAACCGTAGAGCCGCAGCATCCTGCTGAGGACCAGCGACGAACGCGCGCGCGCCTTCGTTCACCTGCCATCCGTTGCGGTCCTCAACGGTTGTACCAACGCCGTCATTTGTGGTCGTACCCGTGTCGCCGACGCCGGCGGCGGCGGGCAACCCAGCGTCTACTTCCTGATCCCGCTCCGGGTAGTAGAACAGGCTGTTTGTCGTTCCTCCAGGACGACTTCCACCCGACCACGGAATCGTCCTGGGACTCCCGACGTCACTGCCGTTGTCGGGACCATGATATTGACATCGCTTTATCGACGAAAGCTGCTCTTCAGGACACGAGCTGGACTCATCATCTTCCCATTCCGAAGACAAATGTGGTAGGATGCTGTGAGGATCGGGAACATCATCGATATGCCGTTTGGTGGTACGGTTCCATGGCGAGGGCGTTCTCAGTGGCTCCACGACCTGCTTGTTGTTGTTTCTACTCGGCTCCAGTGCAGCAGCTGCTGCAACATTTTTCACCAGTTCCGATTTTGATGCTGGCGACGACGTGGTTTTCTTGTTTATTTTTCGTACTTCAATATTCGCCGTCGCATGATTTTTCCTGAGCCGCGAGGGCCTTGATGGGTCGTGGGAGGACTCGAATTTCGGATGGATTGCGAACTGCTCGTGGCTCGTGTTCGAGGCGGAGGCATAATCCAGTTGCGACCAGAAATCCTCGGCCTCGTGGACACTCATGGACCACGTCGAAGCTGCGTCACCCGTGGCAACCGCAGCATCATAGTTCAGACTCCTGTCGTTTCGAAGATCACGAGCTGCTCCTTCCTGCCCGCTTTCATCTTCACGCTCGTTTTTGTCGCGGTCGTCATCCACATCGTCCTCCATGTTGTCCTCTGGATAGAAGAAAGTGTGTTGCATCTGGCTCGAAACTTCGCTCAGCTGCTGGTACGTGTCTCCGATATTCCGCACGGCTTGCAGCTGTGCTGTCGTCGCCGGTTGGCTACCCGCATTTTGTACTTCTAGTAAAGCGGGACTTTTATTGCTGCCCCACTGTCGTGCGGAACGCGGACGAGCCGCGCCAGCCCCCTCACCAGGCAAGCCTGTTCCGGGTCCTACTACTTTCCCAGGCGCTGTTTTAGTTTTTTCCCCCGCGGACATCATAGTATCTTCGAGCAAAAACGAATCCTTTCCGCTCGGTGGTCCCTCAACCATACGATCGAAGGTCGTGAAGCCGAGCAGCGGCATCGGAAGAGAATTTAGGAACAGCCGCAGAGCGCTCCACAGCACCGAGAGGGGCGCCTCCCTGATGCGGTGCACTTCCCCAGCCTCGAGGCGTTCGACGAGGGCGCGCACGTCCTTCACGGATGCACTAAACAGGTTGTCCCGCGCCGACAGCGGAGCCGCCGGTTGCCCCGGCTCTTTGCCTTTGTTCAGGATCTCGCGCGCGAGTGTGGTCAAGACAAACGGCACGCCCCGAAAGGTGCAATCCGGGAAGAGGAAGCGGTCCACCTGTCCGGTCAACGCACACAAGCGGGGAAGGGGCATCCCGAACACGGACCCGAGCTTTTCCGGAAAATTGAAATTCACGGACTCGTATCGCAGGACGTAGCTGGTGGATGAATTGATTTTGAATCAGGTAGTTCAATGTCAAGCAGTACACAATTTTCAAAAAAAAATGAACGACTAGCCGGCAACGAACAAGATCAGATAGTTTTGTCTTTGTGTCAAAGTCAACTACATTAAACTTGATATGATGTTGTACAATGGAAATTTCTGCAGCAGCTCCGATCTCCGCACGGCGGAATGCGGATGCAAATCGTAGACCAAGTGCAGCAGGGATTCGTATTCGACAATTTTTCCCTTCGTTGCGTCGTCTAGAAACGGCATTTGCGTGCTCATGAACAGATTCCAAGCCATGTCAGGGTGCAGGATGAGAACTTCGTATGCCCGTGACTGTAGCCCCAGTGGCACCAGGTGCGTGAGCGAGGACATCTCTGCGTGCTTCAAGATCGCAACGTCGGTACTGCTGAAAATGACGATCTGGTTTATAATTTTCGCGCGAGAATGAAGATGGAGATACTAGTCACCGACGAAATAAGGAAAGAACGATAAGCTACGACAAAGATGTTGCGCAATTCATGTTACATTCTACTTCAGCAACTACGTGTATGAATCTCAGTACGAAGTGCTCGTCGGGTCCTACCCACTTGTTGACCTGCTGCACGCCCATTTTGATGCACCGTTCGACTTGGTCGCTTTCTAGGTCGTTCAAAAAAACCGGGGTTACCAAAATGGTCACCAATCCGTGCACGCCATCTCGCCCACAGTTCACGACGAAGGGCACAGCAGCCAGCAGACCCTCCGTCTCCGGATCGTCCTCGGACACCTCCTCGGCGCCCACAACCAGCCCAGCGCCCTCGAGCGGGTGAGAACCTTGGGCGGAGGCAAGCATATTGCGGTAGACAAGGGTTTATCAATTTTCGTTTGTTCCGGTGAGAACTTTACAAAAAATACCCTCACCAAGTCAGCGGACGATCGTCCGATCGATTCTTGGAATCGCCCTGACTAAAAGAAAATACGGCTCCGAGCAAGACTCAATCGAAAATCGAAATTTGCACTGCAGTCGTAGGAAAGAGAAAAGATCACACACGACCATGTCGCGCGGCCACGATCAACGATGTCACCCTAACCCCGGTGGAAATCACGACGGTGGTGAGGAAAACACGAATCCAAATGTCTCCACACTCCTGCTTGACCTCGACGGGTTTCGATTGTCTCGCTTCTTCAAACTCTCAGTTTTCGAAAAACAACAGGAAGGAAAACGACTCGGGGAAGCTGTGCGGCCGGCTTTCTGTCGCTGGCTCGACAATCACAATCGGAGATGAAGCGAAAACTCACAAAAGCTCTGCTTTGTTCTTCTGGATTGGTATCGACGATATCATTGCACTGGACCTTGATCAGTCTGAATGGGAAAATGTGCTTGTCTTTGTACACCTTGGAATGAGTTCGAGCTCGGAGCTGAAAGATCGAAAGAAACGAATGAGGTGACCAAAATGATCACTCGATCTGTGCAGGTTGTATATCATCGGCCTATCATGACCAGCGCATCTTCACACAATCACTTTCACTTCGCAATAAGTGTCTAGCATGAATGTTAAAACATGATATGACTCAGACTAAGAAACAGCATTTCTTTGTTCTCTTGCTTTCAGTTTACCCCAGCGCCGCGTGAAGATATCCGCAATTGCAATAGCGAAAGCGACTACATTGTTTAGTCTTACAAGGGGGCACTCGGTGCTTTTGGCTTTAGGAGGCGTCTCGTCGCAAAATTTTTCTTATTTTTGTTTTCCCCCTACCCGTGCATCAAAACTATCTAGTCACAGCCCTGCACTTCCGACACGCCAAGAAGTTTTCCAACCGGCGACGTTGATAAATCCTCAGCTAAATGCCGCGAATCCGCGAGGAATCGGTGCACAAAGCCGACGACACTGCTGGCGAAGGGACAAGAACTGTCGGAGAGCTTTTCTCGGAGACCTAGGGTTCCGCCAACGGAGCTCCTCGCGCCTGGCACGACAAAGCCGTCACGTTGGATCAGCCCCGTGGAGAATAACAAGTCCCATTGCTCCGTATTTCCTTCCTGTGGCGGCGATCGAGGAACTAGTCCCAAGTAAGCGGCAACTTCTCCGAGGAGTTCGGGATCCACATGGATGCTACCTGCGAGAAGATGCACCAGCGGAGGCACGTCGATGCCGGACATGGTGAGGCATCGCCTGGGTTGCTGGAGCCGCGTCAGTGCCGCGAAAGCGTAAAGATTGAATTTCGGATTCGGCTCCCGCAAAGACGAGCGGAGCAGGTGAGCGTAGTGCTCCGCTTCGAAATTCGAGACGACGACGAGAAACTCGGGACTGCTTCCATGCACCGCTCCTCGCTCTACCCGGACGATGAACCGAATTCGCTTCAGGTAGTCGTCCTTGTGCGCGGTCGAGCACCCTGTCACAGTTCTTAGAAAGTCGGTCGTGAAAACGACCTTCGAGTAGGAGCTGATGATCGACCTGACGTCGGCAAGCGAGGGATCGAACGTCCCCTGGTACAGACAATCACGAAGCGGTGTACGCCGCAAGCTGGTATCGTTCAGAAGCGCTCCAGCAGAAGGAAAGCCTGCAGATTCAGACATCGCATGGCTTTCCAGCAAAGTACGCAATTCGTGAGACACCTCTGCCTCAGCAGGCGATGCCGGCGGAGGCCGCTCCACCTGTGTTTCTTCCTCAAGCTCGGCTTCCAATTCCCGCTCTTGCTCCTCGTCAAACATGTTGCACGGTCTTCGCACATTCGGCACGAGGCGTTCCACGCGAGCCACTATGGCCGCAGCCACTACGGTTGTTCCGCAGCTGTTCCCCCGTGGCGTGAGCCGCCGACACGCACCGTCGTCTTCCTCAGGGGACGACGCCACCTCGGGCGTGCTGGCCGTTGTCCGGGGCGTCAAGCCCCCACTTGCAGGTGACATCCTTTTGGAGCTAACTTGGCTCCTCGGCTCCGGGAGAAACCGCGCGAGCTGGTGCCGTGCGATGTCAGCGAGCGTGGCGACATCCCGGTCGTGTCCGTACAAGTCCGCCAGTTGCAACACTTCGTCTTCGACCACCTCTGCTGCTAGGGACGCAGGCCCCTCCTGCTTTTTCGTCTTGAACGCGATCGCCTTACGAAGCGAGGAACGCGCCTGGTTCACGAGGTAGGGGAAAAGGTCACAAATCTGCATCACGGTGTTGGAAATCGCCCAGCTCAAAACTCCGCTGATTTTCTCGCGTTCCGAGTCCGACCCGAGAAGCCGCAAAGCGGCTGGGAAATAGTGCCGCTGCAGCGCCAGGTCGACTTCTCTCGAGGCAGCAAACGTCAACGACTGACCGTGCCCGAGCTGCCGCAGGCGCATACAGGCCTGGAGCAGCTTGTCCTTTGGCATTCCCTTCCCCAGTGTGAGGAGCCCGCGGGTGGTCAGAGGTAGTCGAAAGTCGCTTCCGCGCGTGTGCACATCGTCTAGGTAGATAATGCACTTACTCAAATCCTCGGCGTAAGGAGTGGAAGACAGAGGAACAGGTCTTGCGTGCGAGGGTGCGCGCTGGCGAACAACATACGTCTTGTCACCCCGAAAGAACACCACGGCCTCCGTGTCGCGATCACGTTCAGCCAGCCAGGCGCGCGCGAATGCTTCATTGTCCTTGTAGTGGAGGATCAACCCGCCAGCGTCAAGCACCACACTGATATCCTTTCTCCGCTTCAAATACGCCAGCAGTACGAGCGTCGAGTTGGCTGCGGTTGCAGAAGCGCCGGACTCTTCGCACAGACCTGCGTCGGTATCTGGACAGATGTACTCGTTGTTCTCTGGACGCAGCAGATTTCGCAGCTGAATGCCATTCGTCATTTCCAGAGTCCGCAAGTTCTGCTGTCGCACCGTTTCCGGCAAAACAAGGCTCAAATCGTCCGTACCCGAGAAGCCGGTCGTCACCGCCTTCCACTCGGCCAGCAGTGTCGAGTCCCGGCACAAATCCGCCGCATTTGACAGCAGCTTTTTCGGAAATTGCTTCGCCTGCACTGGTAGGATGAGTCGCTGCAACCAAAAATCCACAACCCCAGTGTGGTAACGAAGGGTGGGCCAGATCCGCTCTTCGAAGGTGAAGGAGTCCTCCAAGTTGACGCCGTTGAATTCCGCGAAGCCGTCCTTTTCCGTCGCGGGCACACTTTCCATCCAGCGCCGGTAGATCGCTTTGGCTTCGCTCTCGCTGAGCCTCTGGAGGGCTCGGAAAACACTCTCCAGCTGCGCCGCTGTCAACCCGCCCAAGTAGTACTGTATGTAAGTGAGTGACAGGAGCATGTCAGCGAAACCGAACTCTGTGCGTTCCGCAGCTACGTCTTTTGCCCGAAAAGGCACAGCGAGGTCATAGGCCTCCCGCGTTGGGTGCGCCCCAAAATCCACGCGCCAACGTTTGCGAAGCACTATCTTCAGCACGTCCTGTTTCAGTAATCCCCGAAGGCAGAGCGCGATTTTCTGCGCCGTGTCGGGAAGCCTCGCACCGAATTCCGAACGGTTGTAAGACTCATTCCTTGCACACTGCGACCAAACCTGCTCTTCCGAGGGTGTCAGCTGCAGCGCTATGCCGGCGGCACCGCTGCGAATATCGCCCGCAACCAGGGCACACAGATCCTGGTAAGCAGCCTCTAGATTTTTGCCATCGAGTAAGCGAACGCCCGGAAACTGCCGTCGCGGATCCGCGGAGGGATGTAGAATCTCCACGGTGTCCTTCCCATACTTTTCCTGCAAACTCTTCGCGTGACGTCCGACGCTCCGGATGATTGCTGAGTGCACGGCCCACCGCAAAGCTCCGCCGTCGACCTCCGCCGAGGCACCTAGAGTGTAAATGAGCTGATACTTCGGCGACAAAATCTCGTCGCTCTCGTCCAAAAATTCGCGACCATGCTTCGCAAGCAAGTCCACCACGTCCAACAGCTTCTCCGCGGCATCTGGGTCGTGATGAATGCTCTCTTCGGAGCCCAATTCAATGGCTTTGTTTTCCAAGGAGAGTCGGTGCTCGGGCACAGTGACGACAACGTCGCCCCTCTTGTGAACTTGCAACAACAAGGAGCGGAGCGCCTTCGCTTCAGCTGCATCTAGTGGCAGATCCCGGCGACAATAGAGGCCATGTACCCGGCGACCCAGAACTCCACCGAGAGCGTTTTGCCACGCAGCCGCGTTCGTTGCATACAGTGAATGCAAAACCGTGGCGCGGACGATGTTCTGACTCTGCGGACGCGCAGCCACTGCGAGAATGATTGGCATAATCACAGCGGACTTGCCCTCGCCCATGTTCAGCTGCGTGAGGGTGTTTCCAGCGGGACTCTCAAGCATGTGGAACGCTACTGCTGCTTGGTTCTCGCGAATGCACAAATCGTTGTCCACTTCAAACGCCAAAAATTCAGGGTACTCTGCAGGGCTCCAGCCATGACCTCCAGGATTCTCCAACTCTCGTAGCAAGTGGGCCGTCCAACCTGACAGACGAGTTTCAAAAATTATACACATGAAGTCGAAAAGTGGGTCATGGCTGCACCATATGTTGCTAGATATTGAGGTAGAGAGACCATAGCTGAAACGGTGTTGCTCTTGCGAGTGCAAGTCCGCCTCGTTTGTGACATAAAGGTCGGCGCACAGCATCATGTACATGGCGCTGTAAAAAAAAGATGGCTTCGATTCTTACCTTTCTGCAACAAGCGCAGACAGCGACGAGTGCGTTGCAGAGAACGCATCGCTTCTGCATATTTCACTAGTATTTTAGCAAGCGCATGCTGGTCCCGTTGTAGATTGTTCCCTGATATCGCATCAAGCTGGACCTTGAGCAGCCACCGGATGATCTTTGCGGGCGTCAAGTTCAGCGTCAAACCGACAGCGGAAATTCGCGCACCTGCGGGCGACGCGTCTTCAGTCATGCTTCGAATCGTGTTCCTCAACCCTGACAGCACTGCAGAGGTGCGCTTTCCGTGCTCGCGCAGCTGGCACACCAATTCACCTTCGTCACCTGTCGCGAGCTGTAACGTGCCTATTCCATCTCCCTCGCCGTGAGCAAGATCGTAGCTTTTCCTGAGCGAATCTTCAAAGTGCTGCCAAATTTCTTGATATTCCATCTTCACCTCGGGGGGAGGATCCACGAGGCGCAATTCGTCAGGGTGCGAAGGTTGTGAGTGTGCTTCAACAGTTTTCGGTCGCCGAGAATCAGTGGGATAGAGAAACCGCACTTCGTTCTCGCCTACATCGGTTGTTCCCGCGCTTTTGTTCAACCACGACAACCCCTCGCTAAGTGTAAACTGGCCGTCCGCAAGAGCGCTACTGCAGGCAGATGCGCTCGCATCCGAGATGACATCAAACTGCAACTTGGCAACGGACGTAGACCGTGAGCTTCCAGTACCCGCACGAATTCCCTCCAGGCCGCGCGTGACGCAGCCGAGAAAGTCCATTAATTCGCGCGCGCGTCTCCAGCGATCGAACAGGTGCTGGATTCGAGAAGCCAAAACACCGGGAGAAAGAATCTTCGGCTTGGCGACGGCAGAGCTCGAAACCCCACTGCCGAGCCAATACTTTTCACGAAGCTCGGAAACGAGGGACGTTTTTGTTTGCCGGCAAGCTGCTTCGTGGTTCGATTTTTTTGTCTCCCATCGGGAGTGCGCGCTATCAAAAGACGAATCGGAAGTGTAGTTCCAACGACACGGCTCACTATCGGAAAAATTCTCCAAATTGCTTTCGATTTCACTTTCAACCGAGCAGGATAGAAAAAACGTCTCCTGTGTGTGTTCATAATGGCCATGCCGGGGCGCATCGGGAAACTTTCTTGCGTTGTGTGCAACCAAGAGCAGTTGGTACAGGTGATCCACATGACTTGGAAAACTGATGGCAAGAAAGCTCAACAGGTATTGAAGCTTTCTCCTCTCTTCGGTTGCGTCGCCGGCGAGTCCCGCCGTTTTCGACATGGTGTACAAAGAGAGCCACAGACTGGGAAAAAGACCGTCCGCACGACCCGCGGTACTCCGTAAAGCTGGACTATCCTCTGTCAGACCAAGCAAAGCGGAGGCGCATTGGACTGTGTTCCCCGCTAATTGCAGCCCAGAAAACCCGACCAGGTAGGCACAATTTCCAAGAAGCTCAGTCAGACTTGCTGCCGGGTGACTCGTGGCGCAATCCTGTGACTTGCCTGCCTGGCCCAGGTCCTGCAGAAAATCGATCTCTGCAAGGTCAAAACCCGGACTGTAAGGCTTTACGTCCCACGAAACTTTCGACGTGCCAAAGAACTCGCTCTCCTCGTCTGTCGTCGGTCGCTCGTCTGCGTGGTACATGCCACGCAGCCGGAAATACGCCCGAGAACAGAGATCGTTTGTTTTGCTAGCCCAAAAATTATGTCCCTCTTTGTCCGTCAGGCCGAGTACAAGTGTCGGGTTCTCGATCCCAGTGCGACAAAGAGCATCCGCTAGGTCTTCAGTGTGCTTCTTCGCCAGAAACGCAAAGGCGGGATGCGCACACAGCGCGTCTGGCGGCCGGCTGCTTCCAAGATGCTCCACTTGCTCCATCCCGTGATAGTCGCCTCGCATAGTGGAAATCTCAGCGAGTTCCCGCAGGGCGCGTTGCTCAGTATTTGCAATTCTGTTCTTTTCCCCGGGCGAGGTCGCGAGATTTCCGCGACAGTGACCGGAACGCAGAATGTCGAGCGCCCGCTCCAGACCGGTCACCCCGGTGAAGGAGTCGGGAAACAGGCCAGAGGTCTGCGCGTGCAGTAGTGCCAGGTACTGCCAGGCGTCTCGTGTTTTGGCGGTCAGGTCCTGCAACTCGGGACGTACTTCGTACACGAAAAAAGGCGGGATTCGGGGGCTCTCGACCGCCACGCTCACTTCGCCACTCGCTGCGCACGTCGTCTTTGCGTGCGGACACAAAAACCGAGAGTTCTGATCGCCCTGCGCGTCGATAAGGAGCAAGCCGTGCTTCAATCCCACCAGCGCCGAAGCACCTCCCGCACCGTCGACATTACCCCCCTGGAAGCGGGCGACATGCAGTCCAGGATACTCAACGGAGTCGAAGCGCTTCGCCTCAGGAACGTAGCGAAATCGCAAGCCCTGCATCAACGGCAGATTCACGAGCAACTCCGACCCGAACGAGTCCGCCAACGCATGCACCGCGGTCCTGCCAGCCATGCGATGAAAGATTGTGTCGTAGAGCCGGGAAAAAGCGCTGCTGTGTATGCACAGAAGATTTTTTCCCGTTTCCCGGTCGAGCACGTGCTTCGTTGCGGCCTCCAGGACCCACGGATCCTCCTGGAAGCCTACATCGTAAAACTCGACATCTCGGTATGTCCTTCCGCGAAAATGAAGGTGCCTCGAGCCAAACAGAAACCAGTGGCTGTAGTTTGCGCTCAGCTGGGTAGGGAAGTCCTTCTGCAGCATTTTTCGTGGCACCAGCGCAGCGCGCGCCTGCGTGTTTTCTTGCTCGAACAGAATGAGTGGGCAGTCCTCCTTAAATCCGCAGTCTGTCCGGTGGCCCGGAGGGTAAAACTCAAAAAAAAATCCACGGACGGACATCGAGGTCCGGTAGCCACCGTTGCCCAGCGGCTGGACCACAAACACCGAGGAGCCAAAAAAGCTCGAGTAGGTTTCGTGACTGGTTATAGATTCCGGCAGACGCTTGCAGGGAAGCCCATTAACCAAAAAAGTCCCACTGATGACGTCGATTTGTAAGCAGCAACTACTGCTCTTGGCCCCGGTGCTGGAAAACCGCGCCGAAAACCACCACGGCGCGTCCTTGGCTTTCTGCCACGCCGCCAAATTCCCCGGGCGGTAGTACCGCTGGAAAAAAATCGTCAGACCGAGAATTCGCACTGCATCAGTCAGCTTGACGAATCGCGCAAATACCTCCTCTGCAACCTTCATAGCGTGCAGGACTGCGTTGCGCTCTTGTTTGCCGGATTTGAGCCAGTGCGGTGAAGTGTTGTCTTTCGCGGTTGCGCGAAAATACAACCAGTCCGCAACGTCCTCCGAGCTGTTTAGTAGCAACTTATCCGCGGAAAAAGTCAGCGCACCCATCGTTGACACAGCAACAAGCTTGTTTCGAAAGTTCTGCATGGCGTCGTCACTGTCACACCCATTCAAGAGGTTAGTGATTGCTCCGATCCAGTCGACTACCACCTTTCGTGCCTCTCGCAGCACATGCGCAACAGCGGTTTTGGAGGTACCGTTGCAGGTCCGCTCGAATATAGCTTGCGCAAGGTAAATGATGCTTTGCAGAATGTTTTGCGCAGACCAATTCTTGGCGCAACCGGCGAGAATATCCATCAGTGTCTTACAAAAGTCCTCGACAAAAACAGGGTCAGCAAGAATGTGCCCCGCGTCACGCGTAACCGGCGCGTCCGGAAGATCTCGCGACCCAGCCTGCCACGCAACAAACATCAGCAACCAGCCCGTCTCCTCCATCTCAAGCGACAACGCACGCTGCTCCAGGGCCGCTTTTAGCCGCACCCACTGCAATCGGGCGCCGCCGCGAAGGGTTCCAATCTCTTCGTACTCTCGCAAAGAGAGCTGCTTCGAGGCTTTGCTTTTGTGCGCAATGATCTTGTTTTCGGCAGTAAGATCGACCTGCCAGAAGAAGTTCTCTGCACTCTTGTAGCGCGAGGTGCTGCCCATTGACAAACAGCAATGCTCTGCAATGGTCCAGTTCCATGTGGATGCCGAGGCAAGCTCGCTACTTGCAGTAACCCACTTGACATGGTAGTCGTGGTTCACGACGAATGTTGCATGCGCCGTGACGTGGCTGGCACGACCGTAATGCGACCGCGAGAGCTTCTTTCGGGTGGAGCCCAGATTAATTTTCGGATCGACTTTTCCCGAACGACGTCGCTTGAACTGGAGCCTGTCCTCGCACAGCCAAGTCCCCTCCACTTGGCCCCCATCGTTCAAGTCGATGCCGCACACGGTCGACGCGAAAAGCGCTAAGCTTTCCCGCTGAAGCGTCAGAATTTCCGGCTCGCGGAGTTCGTAGACGATTGCAAGCTGCTTAACCTCCTCGTCCGGTAACAGCTTCTCGTAGTGATGTAGTTTGATGTCCCATATGTCATTCTGCTTTCTACACCGAGTGCAGAAATACGTCCGGTAGCCCCGGGGGTGGTTGTATTCGCACTCACATGTGGTTGAATTGATCTCGCGCTTCAGATCGTCATGACGCTCTTGCTCCCTTTGTTTCTCCCGGAGCTTCTGCTCCTGGTTTTCTGAACATTGGCGTAAAATCTCTTGTCGCGCGTCCTGCATCTCATCATCTTGGCTGGCATAGCGAACGGAAAAAAACGTCGCCCGCGCGTCGCCGCCGGTCAAGGTCGCAGGATAGGCGGCCTGGTTTCTCTTCTTTATGTAGCCCTCCACCCTTGCCAAGTGCTCTAACTGGCACGCCTTCGTGAGCAACAGCGAAGCACAAATGCTCTCGAGACCTGGAGCCAGCTTGTGCTCGGTCAGCAGCTTCTCTTTTTCACAAGCAAGCGCGTCGATGATTACCACCACTGTCAACGCAGTTAAAATGACCCCACTGAGCCCACGAGGATCCGCTTTGAACGTCTTCAAGCCAATTTCCACCAATTTTCCGAGCAGGATGAGCAGTTCACTTGCGCCGCCATAGTTGAGGTTGATCAGACAAAAAGATAGCGCAAGATTCTCAGGGGTCCCTGAGAGCACGGCCGCAAACACTTTTTGCAATGTTCTTTCAATATCGTCGAGGACTCCAACAATATCCTGCAGAGTGGCATCCGCGTCTTGAGCAACCTTGTCCAGTGTATCTCGCAGCTCTTCAATGTTTCGCGGAAAGTCCACGGAGAACCACGCTCGCTTTCGATCTGCAAACACTTCAGGAAACTTGATATCCCCTGCGTCATCGGCGCCACCCATGCCGATGTTTCCGTCAGGGTGAAAAAAGCAGAGCTGGTCCAAAACCGTGCCGCACCCCTTCAGGGCGTGTTTTTTCGACATTTTCAGCGCAAATGGCGAGATGCTCAGTTCGGTATCCGCAACGCTCCTCGTTTGCCTTGCTTCCCAGTCTTTCCTCGCCCTTTCTGCGCCTACCAGACCGTGACGGCGGACGTACGGCTCGACTGACGAGTAGAGGCCATTGGTTTCCTGGCAGAATTGTGGGAAGGCTTGCTCTAATTTTGCTAATCGTCGCATCAGCTTGCGAGAGGCCTCCAGCAGCTTCGACGCGGATAGAGAGAGAGAACTGCAGCCGGAGCGCAGGACGAACGCCAAAAACGCGGTAGTCCAGAGCTTGTAAAAAAAAGCACCGCAGCCCGCACCCCGTTCCTGCACAAGCACCAAGTGCACAGCTGCTTTGAGCGCCAGCCACACCGGCGCACGTCGCCAAGGATGCAAGCTGCTTTCGTAGCGAACCTCGTCTCGCATCTTCTTTTGCACCCCAGTGACACTGCAACTTTGCAGCGGCGTCCCGCCGACCGCGGCGAGGAGGAACTCGACGACATAAAGCGCACCCGGTACGTCCCGTACTTCTTTGTGGTTTCCGCCGGCTTTGTATACCTGCGGAACCGCCCGGGGCAGATCATCGGTGTTCGATAAATCGGCGAGTAGCTCAGCGAAGGAAGGCGCTGTCACCTGCTCCCAGGGTACGCGGGTCCCGCTTCTCGGGATGTCCTGTGGAAAGTAAGTTGGAATAAATTTCCTCACACACAAGCGGGTACGTAAGAGAGGCGATCCATTATATTCAAAAAAGGCTCCTGTCTCGTCAGCTTGCAAGCGCCAGTGAAAGAGCCTCGTTCACCCTGGAAACACCTACACAAAAGTCTAGGAAGTCTAAGAGTCGTGCCAACATAAGTATACCTGCAACGGCGACGTGACGTTGCTGGTAATGTCGCGGTTCCCGCACTGCACCTCCCAGGAAAAGAGTGTCCCCGTAGAAGCATCTGCTCGGTGTATCAGCAAACAAGCGTTTTGACCCCGTAGCCAAACGACGAAGTAGCCACCAACTGCGACAGACTCAAGAGCGGTTTTCAATGTCGAGCTGACAAGGACACCGTCCTCAGTGTTGTGAAGATCGCAGAATCCCGAAACCAAGCCCTGAACAACCGTCGCACTGCGAAGATCCGGACCGTGTAGTTCCAGTTCTTGGTTCTGTTCACGATACCACTGTTGCGCACAATTCAAAATATCACTGTTCTCTTGGCTGCGAGCGAGTGGCTCGTCTAGATGTGGACACGTGGGAATTTCGATGGGCAGAAAAAGCGTCGGCCAAGCCGACACCGCTGACCTCCACAAGCGCAAGTCAGTGTCTTGCATAATGCTGCTTTTTGCTTTTGTTTTTCTAGTATTTTTGCAACTTATCTATCGCGCATCTCTCCACCATACCAGTAATCATATTGATATTCATTCTTAGCCGTAGTCAGTTTTGGGTAAAAATATTTTTTTGTTCCTATCAGGACGGGCAAACGCAAATCATGTATGAGGAAACTCCAATACGGATCGTCCAAACGATACTGTGTTAGTAGTCACGATCACGAAGCTTACAGTTACGATCACGAGGACAGAAAAGGGACTATTCTGATGAGAAAAAACTTAAGCGCCGAATGTGAACAAGCTAAAAATAGCCGTACTTTTCTATGATAGATAAAGATGTACCTGTGGCGACGACTGGAAAATGAATGGAACCGACTGCAAAGCACGACGCATTCAGAAACTGCGTCGGCACAGCGACGACCTTTGAGTTTGAAGTTACCAAAAGACCATTAGATAACGTTTGGTACTAGATGCGGCGAACACCAATCGGTAGCACGCAGAGATTATGAAGATCTGACAGACAACGACAAAGCAAAAGCAAGCGTCGAAGTAAGCTGCCCTGCATGACTTCTACAGTTAGATCAGCATCAAATTCGCGATCTACTTGGTGCTGGTGAATTCTCTGTGTAGTGCGAAACTAATTGCTACTGCTCATTCTTCATTGACAACTGTTAGCTTGTTGCTCTTAGTCTTCTCCTACTGCACACAGAAAAAAAACTATACAATTTTCATATCCTTACTCCAATTGTTCTGCACACGATCGAGCTAAAACCGGTCTTGCGTGCATTGGACTGAGGTAGCGATACTCACTCTCAATCCTTGAAAACCAACCATGCAAATCCACCTGCGTCTTAGTGTTATTCACATATCCTTACGTATCAATTTCACGTGCTACTTTACTTTGAACTTAGATCGAGCGGCCTTTCCTTGGGCACCATAGTGCTACTTACAATCAGAAAACCAGTGTACAGCTACAGGCAGAAGAACGCGGAATCAAATATGAAACAGGAGCCCCCCTTGCTGGGGTTCTTTAGCCTATGTAAGACCTGGTAGTTTTCTTCTTCCCCGGTTCGAGGCCTGGGTGGAAGTATTCCATCTTTGTACCCTGGAGAAAGTTCACGGCCCGCCGCAGCTGCCCGTCGAAGTCAGGCTCGCCTTCTTTTTCCAGTTCAGCACACAAGTGCTGCACAGCGTCGAGGTAACTACTTTGGAGATTCTGCTTGTGCTGCTGGTCGCTGTCGTTTTGCAGCTTCTGCCACCTCGCACGACAGGAATCCGCCCACTGCGTGGCTTGCCGCAAGTCGCGAGTGAAGGCCGTTCCTCGGTGCCCACTGGCCCTTTGCTTCATCAAACGCGCCAGCAGATTCGGATAATCTTTCTTTATCCTGAGTAAAAATGTACCCACCCCAGAGTTGTCATGCTAAACGAAATGCGACGCACTTTGCCCAGAGTTGTCATGCAGATTTGCAGCTACAGGAAGATTTCTATATGCGCATCCACATGAGAGGCATTTCCAATCGCGTTTTGCGCTTTGTAATGCTGTCGACAGGATAAGTAGATGGATTTGTGTTGCGGCTGTGCTTGCTAAACTACACTACAATACAGAGACGAACTTATCATGCTGGACCCCCAAAACTTCTCGATTTGTGTTGCGAGATCCCCAGCTTGACTCTGGTGTAGGGACGTTTTTACATAGGATATTCTTCACGACCGACTCGTCCACAGAAACCGCTATCTTGGTACTACCCTCACGCGGGTTGTTGGCGTTCTCCACAAAGTCCTTGTTTGCCGATTGCGCACTTCCAACCTTCGCTAGTTTTTCTTCCAACCACGCAGCGCCATCCCGCAACTGTCCGTCGAAGTCGGCTTCGCCTGCGCGAGCCAGCTCCGTGTGCAAGAGCCGCAGTGCCGCCACGTAGGCGCCTGACGTCGAAGATTCCAAAGACGTTTCCCCGGCGGCTTTCTGTGCCTTCAGACGAATGTCCCGAGCGGCGGCGCGGAGGGGACCACGGGCCTTACCGTTGCAGGTTCGGCGGTGTGCCTCCCACCCCTTGATCAGGTCGTCGTTCGCCATGTGCGTTTGCAGGTCGGCAAACAGACTTTCGGCCGCGACCCGGGCTGCGGATTTCATACTGACAGCGCCGGATCCGCGTTTCTGATCCTCCTTCGGTGGAGGATTCTTCTTTGCGATTTGCTCGCTTTGCACCTGTGCGGCAGACTTCAGTGATATCCTGTTCTCCTCGGCTGCAAAAGAGCTAGGAGCACCCGGCTGTTCATCCGTCGGCGCAGCGTCAGTCTCCTCGTCACCTGTTTTTCTGCGTTTGTTCCATCTACCCGACCGGGGCTTGGAGTTTACTTCGGCCTTCGAAGCCGGAGCCGCAGCCTGAACGTCGACGCATTTTTTAGCCGGCCTGGACCCAGGCCAGAACGCGGAAATTTCCAAGCCGGACGTGCTTGTCGTGGTCGTGTTCTCCGTAAGTTCAAACTCGAGCTGAAACCACTTATCGGGCGTCAGCGTCGCGTCTGACCGATGCAACCTGTCGAACAAGGCGGCGTTTTTGGAGCGAAGAGCGCGGTGGTCCTCCAGCTTCACGTTGATCAGATCGAGCACGCCTTTCTTGGCAACATCTTCCCTTTTTCCATTTTCTGTCGCACTATCTCCCAACCCGACACAGGCAGTGCACCATTCGCACCTCGCCTTCTGCCCCCAGCGAATCGCTGCGTCACCCGGGGAAAGCGTGATCGTGAAATCGGCCGCGTTGTTTTTCTTCAGCCTTTTGAAAGCCCAGGTAACCGGCGCGCGTCCGAGGTTCACCCACACGGCCGGTGTGCCATCGACAGCATCGGCGTCGTAGGCCCACCCGCACAGGGTGCGCTCCTGGGACAACTTGCGCCCGTTCGCCTGCTCCCAAGACACGGCTAGTGACGTCGTTTGGAACTGGCGCAGCTTCTCTGCTAAGACTTCCGGGACTGAACCATGTTGATTTGGGCTGTTCTTCTTCAAAACGTCGGCGAAACTTGGGTTCAACGGGAGCAAATCGGCGGTCCGACCGCCAACATTGGCTCCATCGAGGCGAAAACGCCCGTGCAGACCGGGGAACTGTTCCAGAGGTAGTCCTTCCACCGCAGCAACTACTCTTCCCTGCATTCCCAGAGGCTCGGGCTGGTTGTTATTCCATAAGCCCCCGCATTCGGCCTGAATTTTCTTCGGGTGCGCTAGCAACGACGTCGCCAGGCTTGGAATGTCCGCGTTTGCAACAAGCCCACGCATCACCGCCAGTCCCGCTGTGCCATCTGGATCGTTGCAGAGAACGTCTACCGCCGGGGCTGGTCCTCGCATCGGGCTCGAAGGCGCCCCACGAGAAGCCGGCTGGAAAGCTTTCTCACTCGAAGTATTTTCAGAGGAACTTGCCACAGTCGAAGGCTCGAGCACGCCGTCTGCCCCAACGGAAACGACCAGCGGCTGCAGATCCTTGGCCAGCTTCTCTACGGACGCTTTTGCTGCACCGGTGGCCTTTGCCAGAAGCTGCCCAAACAAAACTGCTTGCAGTTTCTCACCGTTGATCTTTTTCCCGTAGCCGCTGGGATTCCGGTCATCCAAGGCCGGGATCACCTCACACGTGTCGAGTTGATTATCTCCAGCTGTTTTCCCGACCTGCTGCCGATCAACCTGGAGACTAGCTGCGCGCTTCGTCAGTTTTTTCCAGGGTTTGCGGTGCAAGTTGGCCTCAAACGCCCGCTCGCTTTCTGCGGAGTCACAGAGCGCGACGATCACACCCGGGCAGCCCTTGAAAGCCACACACCGCTGCACACCAACCGTTTCTCGCACAGCTAACCCAACGCAGCCATCCGGAACACCCTGCAGACGGGCGGTCTCGTAGACGCTGAGTAGAAGTTTATCTGCCTTGGTATTGAGCATTCTTAGGTGTTTGGGATGAAGAAGCACTTACCCCAGAGTGAATAGAATGCAAAAAGAAACGAATTTGAATGATTTTGGCTTGATGCAGCTACCACAACAGTTGGAGATAAGCCCTAAACTAATTCAGGTGGCGCGAATCGACAACTACGGGGAACTGGTGTCAAGTATTCTTTGATGGAGTAGTGTTTGTGTTTCTCCATACGAAGTAAAAAAATCATTCTTTGTCTTTTACTGAAGGACTCTTTTCTCGCATACCATATCAAAACCGACGCTGATGTGTGACAATATGACTCCCGACCATGCCGAAGACACGATGGTTTTTCTGTTGATCTACCGAGCGTACTCTTCGTTTGTCTATGAATATGAACACGACAGCGGCTTTGTTTGAAACCTGATTCTTCATTCGAGAATGCGCTGGAAACGGATGCGTTCTGTAGTTTCTTCTTGTCAACTTAGTTAGACTATAAGTGATTAGTTAAGTTTTCGTACATTTTTGTGTCGATCGTGTAGCGCGCACGTTTTTCGAACCTTTTGTATCAATCCTACAGTATGTTAACAGATCTTCTTATACTAAAACCACATGTACTTAGTTGCTCGCTGTTATTACTCGCAGTCGTCTCGAAGCCCTGAAAAAGGCTCGCCGGGGGCAGGAGCGTTTTTTTCACTGGTTCTTCTTTTCCTCACCAAGCTTCAGCATTTTGCGCCGAATATGTCGCAACACCGAGAATTTCGTACTGATCATACTCAGCTCCACAAAAACGAGAAAAACAATCAGTGCCGTCATCCCGAACGCACACCGGCTGTGCAGATTATCGAAGTGGCGAAGGATGGAGTAGGCGGGTAGGGCCGCGAAGAACAAAACCACCACGAGCACTTGGGTGACAATCGACTGCAACATGTAGTAGAATTGTCGTCGCGGGTTGTTCGCGTTTAGATGGTACCCCAGCACCCCGAGCTCCACCACCGCCGCCAAACACGCACCGAGTGTGAGGCAGTATCCAATCACTTCCAGCACGACCGCCCGCTTGCTCGAGTTGTCGCACGTGGAGGCCGCGCGCTGTCCTGCGTCAACGCGTAATGGCATGGTGCTCTCGTCATCAACTTGAAAGTGCTCGTCCAGCGTTAGCGCCACCCCCAAGATGACAAACAAATGATGCAGCCACGCGTCCAATCCCAAATGCGGAATGAAACACAGCTCCCACAGCATGACCGCGACGAGATTGTAACGACTGAACATCCAGGCGCGGATCCCCACCGCGTCCTCCAAGCGCATGCCCGCAGCCGCACAGGTAGTCAACTTTCCGTGCTTCACGTAGTCCGTTACAAATCCAGCTTGCCTCACCGACGGAGGCGGAGTGGTGGGGACGGTGTTACTAGTAGTTCCTGTGGTCTCGTGCGGTTGTCGTGATATACTTGATCCGTCGCCCGCCATAAAAGCCATGCCTTGGTCAAAATCGAGGTATCTTCCGCAAAGCAGACCAACCTGCACCGCACAGGAGAGGCGCACCAGAATCTTGTTCGCAAATCCCGTGAGCCGGTTCTGCTTGTCCGCGCCAAAGCCGTCCCAGGCGGACTTCGCAGTCGCTCGGTCCCGTTTCGCAGCTTCATCCTCCAGGTCCGAAGTAGAGCTGGGCACCACTTCGTCACAACTACTCTTGGCATTGTTGCTCTTGTTCTGCGGCTCGAATTGTGCTGCGCGTGGTGGATTTTGAAACCATTTTGGCAAAACAAATCGTTTCAACAGCACGCCGGCAACGAGCACCTCGAGAATGCAAAAAACCAGAATGGTCGCCGTTGAGCCCGGCACACAGGCCTCATGGACGTAGACTGTGGACAGGTCTTTGGTATACAGCAAGCCCGGAAACGCTACCACGATTGTTGGCTTCCACAAAATCAGACACGCCAGAGCGAGGGCCGCATACGAAACAGCTGCTGACAAGACGCTTCCACCAGGTGGCGACGGAGCAGCTTGCTTCGTTTTCACACCAACTGCTGCATGGCGGTGCGCAGGCATCGTTCGCGCCTGACGGTTAAGTGGCTCTCCGCTTACGAACTCACTTTTCTCCTCGGCAAAAAGACGCCCGCCTGCAGCAGATTGCGCTGCAGCGTCGGCTGCGGGGGCATTCGTTTTACCCGCACTGCGGTCGTGCATTTCTGTGCCAAAATCGTACTGGCCTTCCATCTTGAAGAATCGCAGGGAGAAGGGCGGGGGAGAGAAAGACTCTGCGGAAATGAAGGGTGAAGGGAAACGCAAAACACAGCAAATCGCGCTACGACGATGTGCCGTGGCTTCCGAATGTCTGTGCCCACCACTTCTGATCTATCGAGGAGGACCAAAAATATTCTGACCTATCCATGAACATGAAGCGAGTACAGTACGGCAATGCGGAAACGAAAAACACTAATATTCTTGTAGATACTGATGGGAGCACATGAATAGTGCGCCGATCCCGATCTTCCCAAATCTGGTTAGACTGATGGGAAAATCAGATAAAAATGACCATGATTTGTTTGCCCGTCAACAGGAATAACGTGAGTACAAGGTGAGCCAGTGTGGTAAGTGGTTAGTGTAATATGCCACAGTTAGAACCGCGCAACACCATTCTGGAAAAATTTTCTTCATGAGCGCATATCTTACTTCTGTGATTCCGAGCTTTCTTGCGTGCGACCGCACACGATTTTTGGTTGATGCATCACCGATTGCTTTGCGAGGCTCAAGATCGAGTCTACTGTTCACCGCTTGAAGTTCTGATTTTCCTTCTTGTGCGTTTGATTTTTTTTGAGCTTGTGTTCCTTTTCTTCTACGTGTTGTTTAAGTATGTGCGGCATAGATCGGAACACTTTTGCTTCCGATAAAGAATATGTCGTTTCCGAATTCCGATCGTAATTTTGTATCGTCACCCGCGGCGATGTGAGTCTGCGAGGATCAGGATGAACCTGTCTACGTATACTTACATTCTGACCATTTTTGGTGCTGCTTTCCGAATCTTCCGGCATCGGGGAAAAAAATTCTCGATATAAAAGTGCGCGCAACCGAGCAGCAAAAACCCTACTCACCATTCATCCACTTGGGTTTCCGCGCGCGGTCTTTTTGCTGAGGAGCCGGTGGACCCAGGTTGTGCCTCTCCATCAACGGCGGGGATGAGAGGAGGGGGCATCAGTTGGTCCCAGTCCTCCTCATCTCCTTCCGCCAAAATTGGCTGAACTTCGACAACCTTCAACCAGGACTCGCCTGAATCGACTTCCACTACTGGCGTCTCTTCTGTACTTGCGGATATAATTTCTTGCTGGGCTAGTACTTCCCCCGCACGATTGCCTCCCGGCGGTGCCCCTGCTGCGGCTCTTCTACTTCGTGGATGCAAGAATGTTTCGCTGAAGTATGAGTCGAAGAAATTTCCCGGTAACGGCAGCAGTTCCTTCTCTACCGCGTCCCACGTGGCGAAAGCCGCGCGCTTGTTTTCCGACCTGCCAGAACTACAATTCTTCACTTGTTGATAGTGGAACCGCAGCATCTCGTGCGTGATGCTACTCGCACTCTTCGCCAGCGTTTTCAAGTTTCCAACCACTCCGCAAAACTTCTTGCTGCGCGTGAGCGCCACATTGAGCCGGCGCCAGTCCCGCACAAAACCCAGGTTGCCCTCCGCGTTCGCGCGCACCAGCGACACCAATACGATCTCGCGCTCCGATCCCTGAAACGCGTCCACGGAGCTTATTTGGACGTCTTTCACCTCCGGATTCGTGTTGGTCCACTTCGACAACCGGCTCCGAACCTTCCCCACCTGCGCGGAGTACGGACTGATCACGCCAATTTCCTTGGCGGGTATCAAATGCAAAAATGTCTGGGTCTGGAAAAGTGGAACTTGTAATGCGTGTCAAGCATCCCTGGAAAATCTGTGTTGCATGAGCAGCAAAAGAGAAACTTTCTTTGTCATGCAAAAACGCAATTTGTAATGCGTGCTATGCATCAGCGGGCGTCTCAAAAACTTGTCATGCTTGGCTGCCATTGGAAGCGCTTCAATCATGCGCAATTCAGCATCACAAGTTTCCAGACCCAGACATATTTGCATTTGATAGAGGGACACACTCGGCAGTTCAAAAAATGCTCGACCAGGTGCACGACACAATTCGCCTCCTCGTCGTTCGACTTGGAAGAGCCGCTCGTTTGCTCCCAAGCCTCGACGTGGATGAACATCAAATTGGAAAACTCCCCCCCGTGCACGCGAAGCTTTTCGAACGGCCGGTCCTGGTCCGAAACCCCGTTCTGCAGCTTGCCGCCGTAGAACCGGGCGCTGGAAAACGCGCTGATCACCGGGGCCATGCGGTACTGCGTATCCAGCATGAAGACCTCCATCCCCTGTTGGATCAACCGGTCAAAGAAACTCACCCCGAGCCCGCCCCGAGCCGCCTCGTCGGCCATCACGGTGGGAGGAAGCTGGCACTGATCGCCGACCATCACGCACTGCACGCAGCCGCGCGTCAAGGGGATCAGCGCCGCGGGCTCCACGATCTGCGAGGCCTCGTCGATGATCACATAGGGAAACTCGAACTTTTTCAAAATCGACATCCCGCAGCCGACGCAGGTCGCGCAAACTACGTTATGGGAGTGTCAGGATCGAAATCAACAAAATCGAAAAACTTGTCATGCATAAAATGTATGGCACGCAAGACCTGTATTGGGGGGCAGGCAAATGAGACCGATTGTAAGGTAGCCTGTTTAGGGGTATGCAATTTGCTGCCGAAGTAGCATGCCAGGAGCAGCCCTCTTTGCCCCAACAGCATGACAGACTGGATTTGGGTGCTCCCGAAATTTGTCATGTGCCACTTGGAAACTGAGGCCCCAACTGGCATCGATTTTGTGCATCACAAATTTTCCGATTTTGTCAATTTCGATTCTGACACTTCCATATACGTCCGCCCAGTCGTAGATGATGCTGGCTAAGGTGCCCCCGTACTGCTCTATCAGTGCGTCGAGCGAGAAATCGACGGGCGAAAGCCCCACGCGCACCACGTTCAGCTTAAACTTGTTCGTCAGCACCTGCCCCAAGTGATCCGTACCCTTGTTGGAAAACGCGGTGCACTATCAAATGTAAAAATGTCTGGGTCTGGAAGATTGCAACTTGTCATGCTAAATCTGCAGCATGCAATATTCTGAGGAAAAATCCCCCCTCCCCATATCGAAAAGGTATGTTTCCGAAAATTTGTGTTGCTGATTTGAGGCCACAAATCACGTCTGTCTTGCAAGAAGACAAGCGCAGAGGCTTCCGCACCATTATGGAAGCGATTTGGCATGCTGTTGCGCCTAGGGGACACCCGTTTGCAATGCTAAGCAACTAGACCTATACGCCCCTACCTAGGCCGAGGATCTGACTGCGATGCCCTACTGCAAGACAAATCCGATTTGTGTACCCAAATCCTGCATCACAGATTTCCATTTCGATATGGGGAGGGGGGATGTTTCCTTTTGATATGCAAAAATCTGTGTTGCATGATTACCAAAAGTCGCCCAATTTTGACCAAGTCAGGAGGTAGTTCCTGATGCAGAATAGGCATTACAAAGGTCTCGCAGAATCTGTCATGCTAGGTCCGGCATTCCAGACCTCATGGGTCATGGAAAAGCAGCATGACAAATCACGCACTATTCCAGACCCAGACATTTTGACATTTGATATGCACAACACCGGCCCCTTGTTTTTCTTCAGCCACTCCACGGCAATCGCCGCTGCGGTCGTCGTCTTCCCGGTACCTGGCGGCCCCTGGATGAAGGTCAACTTCCGGTTTTGCACCTGCGCAACGGCGTTTTTCTGCGACAAGTTCAGAGTCTCCGCGACCACCTGCTTCGCTTCCCCGAGATCCGACTTCGTTTCGTACGCATTCGCGGCCTGCGGCCGTGCCGCCGCTGCCTCGCTGATGGCGGCTTTTGCATCCGAAGACGCGCGGTCCAGCGGGTCCCACTTTTGGGCCGCGGATGAGGTTTTTTTGATGTCCGCGCAGACGGCGGCAGCCAGGGGCGTGCCGGAAAGCAGCAGTCCGAGGCGGTACTTGTCCTTTTTCATCTGCGTGTTGGATGCGCCGCCGTCCCGCTGGATGGCGTCGAGAATCAAATCCATTCGCTTGAACGTCGTCACGTTGCAAGAGAGGTCCAGCCGGTACTTCCCGTTCGCGGCACGAGGCAACAGGCTGAAGGACGTTTGAATGATCAGACACTTCTTGTCGGGTGTCCATTTCACCACGTCCGCCAAAATGCTGACGCTGCCGTCGTCCGGATCGGGCGTCAGGGTCTCCGGCGTGACAACCACCTCCCGGCCGACGTGCACTTCCGAAAGGTAGGGGAAAAACGGCCGCGAGGCGCACCGCAAGGTCAGCTCGCCGTTTTTCGCCAATTGCAGAAACTTTTGATTTTGATGGTTACTATTGTGTTTCTCGACGTCCTCGGCGAGTCCGCGGTCCAAAACTTGGCCCCCCACCCCGAAGCCGTCGCGTTGCAGGCTGTCTAAGGACCTGCGGACACGGCTCGCGAGCTTGTCCTTCTCGGCCTTGTGTTCGTGCGTCAGCAACTCCCGGAAGTGGTTCACATACTCGGTTTTTGCCTGGTGCCACGGCTTCTCCTGTCCCAAGGTGTGCTGGCTTTTGAAGTTCGGATCGCTTGCGGGTTGTTGAGCGGCGTCATTATTCATCCGTCCCGGAGGGTTGTAGGCAAAGGAGGCGGAAGTTGATGCGGAAGTAGCGAGGACCGCGGCAATGTCTGCGTGCGCATTGAAATATCCGTACGCGCCTGCTCCGCTCTCTTGGATTCCGGCGTTGCGTGGCCGCAGGTCAACGGCTCCCGGGCGGCGTGCGGCAAGCCAGCTCGCGTTTTTGGGCAGCGGGAACTTCGACCCCGCTCGAACGTCCGCAAAGTCGACGCAGAAAGTTGCTTCCTTCGTCAGGACGTGCGCGTAAAAGGTCTCTTGCCAGAGCTCTCGCGGGATCCAAAACGCGTCCCCACTGCCGGCGGCCACACCATTCTTGTAGTAGGTGATTGTGTGTCGGTCCGCATCCAGGACGGCGAGCACCGTGTCGTTCACGCCGAAAGTCTGCCCGTACTTTTGATACTTCTTGTTCGTACTCTTGGTGCCGGTCCCGCCCCAGCCAAAGCTCTTCGCGTCCATACCCAGTTCGAGTGTGGCATCCTTCGTGCTCCAGCCAAACCGCGCCACGCCCGGCGTCTTCAGGAGGACTTGAAAGGCGACCTTCCCCCCGCTTGCGAGATTGACGCCGACATTGGAACGCGCACCGACCCAGTTCTTCGCCGGTGCGTCCGCCTTCCGAAAGCACAAGTTACCTAGGGTGCCAAAAAACGGATCACGATCGGTAGGACTCAGATGCACCGGTGGGGCGGCGGGATCCTCGGGAACGGAGGTGGTAGACCCGCTCATTTTGACGAGTTGTGTCAAACTAGTCCTTTCTCCCAAGAAAAAAGTCGCTACATTCCTCAAAGCTGAAGTAGCTCTAGGTAAGTAAAAACAAAAAGTAAAAACAAAAAGCCTGTACTTACTAGAAAAATAAACTCTTGGTCTCCACGTCGACCTGGCTATTTTCCAAGGTCTAGTACACAAACTCTGGAGCGAACATAAGAAAGACAAATGACAGAGGAAAGACTGTATTTGGGTCGTCAAAGGAAGAGAGCAATTATCCGAAAGGTTGACATGGTTCTCACCGTCCCCGCGACCACGCTTCAGCCGCGGATAGCAGAGCAAAAAATTGTGGATCTCCAACATGCAGCTCCTTCAGCTTGTTGCGCACTACAGTACTAGATCACAGAATTATTTAACGGATCATCTTCCTGAATGAGCCCATGGCGCCGCATCGGATAATCCACCAGAAGATGGTCAACATCAAAGATCTTCCGATCCTCTTCCGAACTGTTCCAACTCTTCCTCTTGGAAATCGGCGCAGAAAAACACTGGTTCCTGAGGGACCGCGTCCGGTGCGTGACATCAACCAGTAGAAAGTAGTAGGTACCACCTACACCCGCCTGCGCCGCAAAGAAAGGCGCGGCGTTCTTCCGATAAAATTTTTTTCCTGGTACACGACTGCGAAACCAATACGCAACGTTTGAAACAAGGTTCGCAAGCACCGCCATCGTACAGATGAAGATGTTCTTCGTTTCATTCGTACTATACGTCGAAACTGAAAGTTGCGTTGTACTAGCTAAAGCATGCGAGGAAAGCCTCAGCATCTTCCGTGCGGCGCAATTATCACAACAAGAAGGAAGACGGCGTACATCAAATTGGCGATTCTACACGAAATGCACACCCGGCCGCGTCGGCCAGAACCAAAGCCGACGCTGCACCGCAAAAGATACTGCTCCCACTCTACGCGCGAGTGTTGCGACGCGTAAGCAGTAACGGATACGGGTGTCGTGTGTACCGACTCACTGCCCTGTCGGGAACGCAAGGACGGAGCCGCTCTCCAACGCGAAACGCGGCTGTTGACACTGGGGACCTGCTCGTCACGCAATCCGATCTAGTTGCGGTTCTCGGGCCGTCGAACGAAAGCAGCTACAACACCCAGACCGTTCCCCCGGATCTTTTAAACGCTTGTTCTCAGGTATTGCCACCGGTAAAGCTGCGGAGTGGTTTTTAGGTTTGACCCTCGAAATAAGATCTCGATGCTCCTATTGATTCTCAGTTGAAACGCAACATCTTGAGAGTCGAGAAATCCTTGCAAAGGAGAAACACATCTATCAGTACGCATGGCCACGGTGCTGCTCGGCACTGCATTTGGGGCTGACGGAGAAGCAAAAGGAGCACTGTAGTCGTTACTTTGCACGGTTTGAAAGCTGTACAGCGAGAAAACGTCGTCTTCCACGCGCGGCTTTTCTTGACTATCTGGGGGAGTGTTGTTGCTCGTCAGCAAATTCTTCTGCTTGCTCGAGTACCGACTGCCACCCTCCCGCTCGTCGTTGCGCGTGCAGCAAGTTCCACTACCTGAATTTTTACATATGAAAACGATTGCTACTGCTTTCTCTTGCACTCGCGTTTCAGTTACTACACAGAGGGCCGAAGGAGGGGCAACGACAAGTACGTAGCAGGATGACCATCACGATAGCTACCAAGATGCTACAAGAGATTCTGTAATGCAAAATATCGCCCACCGAGTAGCTAGTACCTCGCTCACGCACATGTTGGCCTGGTCCCAGCTTGGTTGGGGGTACTCCTGCGTTCTGCGTCCGCCCGTCGCTGGAGGAGCTGTGCGCGAGGCTGTCCTGCGACTTTTCCTTGGTGAGTTGTGGTGGGCCCTGCAAGTGGCTCGCGCCGTGCTCCGTCTGCGGCGTACTTGCCGCACTGGAAGCGGCGCTTAGTTTTTCCCGTGATTTACTCGGTATCCTTTTCAGGACCGGCTTCGCCGTGTTTTTCAGCGTTGTCGCAGAGGCCGCGGCCGTGCTCTTCATTGCGGCGGCGGACCGCACCAGCCCGCGGCTCCAGCGGCGCCCTTTTTTACCCGCCGGCTCGAGGACGTTGAGCGGGTCGGCCTCGTCGGGAACCAGTGGCTCCTTTAGCAGCACTATCGACTCCCAGTGCTGCTCTATGCAAGAAAAAAACTGTGTAAGTGTAACTCTGTAATGCAGAACTTGCAACAGAGGCACGTCTGTCATGCCAGACAGCCATCAAGTCCTCTTTTCATGTGTGTTTTCCCTTACAAACCACGCATGACAGGTTTTTTCTGTCATGTAGAGCAAATTTGTGATGCTGTCACCCAAAGAAAGTTACACTAACACAGTTTTTTTCTTGGATATGCTCACCGTTCCATTCAAACCCGCTGCAGCCGCCGATATCGTCAGGCACCGCCTCGGCGCCAATAAGCTCCACCATGTTCTCCAGCGCACTTGCCTCTGACATGTGGTAAGGATTTGGTCCAGTTAGATGACTTCTGATGATCATGTCGCCAATGGTGCAGTAAGTAAAGCATTCACCGAAAGCAGCGCGCAGCGCGTTTGCAGATTCAATCAAGAACTAAGTCGTGCAAGAATAAGTGGGAGGATCCCGCCAAAAAACATCACTACTTCCGCCGCTGATGGACGAACTGGAGGACGCCCGAGATATTGAGCTCTTCCGCGGCCGCTTGACAAACTTGATGTTCTGCTGTGCACCCTCGCCGAGGAAGGGTTTCATGAAGGAGAAGATGAGATGCGGAATGGTTCCCGCGTCGATGATGTACACTTTGTACATGAGTTCTGGGTAAAACTTCGTCGTCATTCCGACCAGGGTATGAAATGCAAAAGTATCGTACTCGTATAAATGCATTACAAATTTTCTCAGCATGAGAAATAAAATTTGTAATGCTGATTTGCCTTGTAAAAGAAATTTGTAATGCAAGACCTGCATTTATACGAGTACGATGCTTTTGCACAGCATACAGGGTCTTACTGAAGGACAGGGACGGAGAGCCATACGCCGGGCTGCCGGCCTGGTCCATCACAATGATCCACCGCCTCTTGTCAAACTGCCCGTCGTCCATCTTGGCCTCCAGCGAGTCCAGCACCAGCACCACGGCCCGTATTCGCTCCTTCTCCGCGAGGCGGCAGTCCAGCCGTCGGTTGGTCTGCCAGATGATGGGGTAACCCTCCTTGGAGACCCCCTGACTGTAGAAGGCACCCGTCTTGAGCCCGTTTTTCACGGTCTCCGACAGCTCTTTATAGTGCAGACCCCACAAGTCGTGCTTGGTGCGGTCGGCCGCGACCTTCTTCAACGACTCAAACGCGTCGTCTACGGTGTTGCAGCTTATCAAATGCAAAAATGTCTGGGTCTGGAAGAATGCAGATTTTTGTAATGGTGTTTTTGCATGACACAGAAGGTCTGTCGTGGAAGCCCTGGCATCACAGATTTCGAGAACGTTCCGCAATGCTTAATCCGCATGACAAATCCCCCTGTTTTGTAACAGAAAATGGGAATCTTTTGCTGTCTAGGCATGAGAGATTTGCGCGTGTTGTGGAATTCGCATCACAAATTCGGATCCTTCCAGACCCAGACATTTTTACATTTGATACAGCTGATCAGAAAACGACGGAGACCTGTAGTTGGTTGTGCAGCCAAAGGATTCATTCTCTGCGTGTCGTCCTGCAAAGAAAAGGGGAAGCAAAGAAACAGATCGATTCCCAGCAGATTGTATTTGTATTTTTGGGTTGTATAAAAGCAACTTTACAAAGAAAACATTACGAGGCTCGTGCCGCATCCATTTCTGGACGTAGACGCGGTCTTCCTCTTTTATGTTTTCCTTCCATTGGTGGTTTTCTAGCTTCGTCGAAAGCTCCAGCAGTCGCTCTTCGAACGTAGCGCTGCGCTGTAGCGAAGACGCAGTCCCGCTCCGTGTGGCACCCCGCTTCATGGAGGCCGCAGGTGGTCAGTTTTTGCAGGGACCCTTGCTGCTGGAAAACTTGAAAGGCGAGGGGAAGTGGCCCGTTGTGTTTTGTTCTTTCACCCATCAGCGCGCGATTAGCCGGTCGCAATACTAGCGGTCATATCATTCAAAACGCTCGAGACACAAGTGGCACTCATTATTACAACTATTTCATTTATTCATTTTTTCCCACTACTACCGAGCCAGGAACAGCTGTCATTTGGAAACCGCAAATACAATGGATAGATTTAGGCGGTTGCATTTGAAATGGGTTTGACGAACTCTGACAGCGCTCAGCACCGTTTTTTTCCGGAAATGGACAATCTAGCGGCCACTTCTTTCGCTAAATTGCCTTCGAACACTAAGAAATTCAAATTTGTGTCTAGGCTGGTACCGAAGCCAAAGTCAGTTGCTCTGGTTCGTTGACATTCATCGATTGCAGCATATTTTGCGATTATGCTAACTGCGTAACCAGCCAGTTTGCGCGCTGACATCAAACAGTCGCCGTCGTTTGCTCTGACATCAAACAGTCGCCATCTTCCGTTCACTAAGCTCAGCAGTATCGCTCACTCATTTCTTTTTTGGCTCGATACTGTTCCAGTGCGTGGTTCCATCGAATGCGGCGACCAGCGTCCCTGTCATCCAAGGCACGCCCTGCCCGGTCGGTCTGGTAATCAGCGTAGGGGTCGGAGTGTAGAAGCCCGGCGGCCGGAACACTTGTGGGCCCGAAAGCACCGCCCGTGTTTGCTCCCGCTTGCCTCGCTGCGTGCTTCTGTCTGTTCCCGGCGAGAATAGACGTCAGCGAATCGCCGTCATTCTGTTTGCTTTGACTTTGCGCAGCAGGTTGACCAGGTGCACTGCCGTGGAACAGCGGATTTGCAAAAGTCGCCGGCTGCGGGTCTTGCCGTATGGACTCGACAAGTGAAAATTGCTGCTGGCCGGGACCACGTTTACGACCAGGATGAGCTCCTGTCAATTGGCTCTTTGACGCTACTGTGGAGGAGGAGAAGTAGTCAAGATCCTCTTGTTGCGAGAAGTCCGCATCTCGCTCATATTCCAGCTGCCTCGAGTAGAGATCGAATTCTGGGTCACAGTAAGCGTGCTTTTTCGTCCACTCGCGGGCACGGCGCTTAAACTCCGGGGGGTGTTTCTGCAAAAGCTTGCTTGCATGCGTGTTCAGTGGGTCCTCACAGTTTGGCTGTTGCAGCAACACGGAAACCGCGACACACAGCATGCTCAGGTCCATCATGGGGGACCACTCCGTTTTCTCGTTTAGCGTATTCAAGCAAATTTTGCCCCGCTGGGAGACGTTCGGATGGAAAATCGGGGTCGCGAACTGCAGCTTCGGCGGTTCAAATGGGTACTTCGATTCGCCGCTGGTCCGGTTTACGAAATCGCAGTGCAGGTAAAAAATCGCTTTCGCGTACGGCGTTCGGTCTGGCGCCCGCAGCGCGATGCGCCACTCAAACAGCTTTGCGGGATTGGGCAGAAACGCCGCGACCAGATCCGCGTTCGTTGTCGTCAGCGATTCGTTTTGCGCGCGGAGTTCTTTCGCCATCCGCTTTGCGGGCTTGATATGTGGCGCGTCGTCAAGTAACAAGGCAACCTTTTCTCGGAGCTGCACTGCTTCCGGGCCGAAGGGGTTGCGCGCGGCGACCGCCTCGAGCCCGGTCCCTAGAAGGATCTCTTCCGGGGCGGAAAGAAAGTCGTTCGCCATCAAGGCCGCCGAGGGAAGCAGGTCTGCGCCCGGCGTGTTTTTCTTCTTCCCTTTCTTCTTCGAAGCTTGCCCGTCCTTCTCGTCATCGTTGTCTAAGAGGCCCTCCTTCCGTCTCCCCCGCGAGCTTTCCCCGGAGCCGCCGTTCCCTGCGGCAAGAATTTTCGATGCGTCCTCTGTGTCCACCGCGTAGGGCATCTTTTCCCGCAGTCTCCGCGGATCCACGACCAGCTCCGTGCCGTTGGGATACCCGTGGGCCTTCGCCGCAGCAGTGGGGAGGACGAAAACCCTCTTCTTTCGCAGAGTCACCGCGTCAGTTGTTGCGGGGTGGTGCTCCAAAACGCGCGCGGTCACCCAATCTAGCAACTCGCCGGTTTCATCCAGCAGCGAAACCTCAACGAGCTCCTCATCCTCCTCAGGCCCGCGGGCCATCACAGAATGCGCACCTGGCTGAGGCCCGGTGGAGGGCATCGAGGCACCACAGCCCATTTCTATTTCACAGTATGTGTGAGCACAGGATCAAAGTGACATCTTTAAGATCCACCAGAATACTTTTGAAACTCCGAATACCAATACGTGCGCAAAGCCAAAGTCGTACTTAAATTATAATGGGGTCCTGTAACAATAATTGGAATTGTTCTTACCATCGCGCCTTGGGCTTAAAGTTCACCAGTTTGGAATCGCTCACACTCAAAAACGGCATTTTTACCCGTTTCCACTGGTACATATACAACCTACTAAATTTCTCATCCATGATACTCTCAAGGACTCTCAGGCAAACACGGACTGTGACGAGGTGTGACCGTGCTGGTCGTAAGCGTAACCCACCTCTGCTGGATAAATATAAAAGGTGAGACAATCTTTATGTGCATGCATTTAATAAGTGTTTCCAAGTTAGAAAATTACGCCGAAACTTTCTATATGATACAAGAAAAGCATTCAAACTTAACTACAGATTATCCAAATCAAAAGTGGAATTCGGCCTCTGATAGGAAAAGCGTGCGGTTAAAACTGGCTCAACAGCCACAAAAAATACGGTACATACGACGCGATTCTTATAATTCGTGATCCTAAAACTAAAAAAGAATTTGCATGAACATGGTAATTGTTTCCTAGCGTAGACTGTGCACAACGAAACCGTCAAATAAGACGATGAAAACTATGACTTTCACGATCAAAGATGCGTCTATCTATCAGAATGATGAAGAATGTTGAGCTAGAATCGAGAAACCGAAACACAAAAGAACTGAAATGGAGTTTCGTTTGGCTAAAAAGTATGTTCATAAAAAGCCAGCATAAAAAGTTAAAACGAAAAAAGAAGCTCGTGCCGAAGCAAATCAGAATCAGTCATGTTGAAAAAAAAACCCGGAATCGTCCTGCGGAGGAGGTTCATTTCTTCACGCGACCACCCCCGCTTCGTGGTTTTGGAAAACCTCTTCCTCCTCGTTGCTGTTCGCCCCCGCGGCCACCAGTGCCGCGTTCGTCATCGGATGGATCGCGGCTTTTCGTGCGGACAGGGCGTTCCGCAGGGAACGGATCTGCTCAGCGGTCATTTTGTTGTTCTGCAGTTTGAGAACCGTTAGCTGTGGACACAAATTGACGTTGCTGATCACCGAGGCGAGGGTCTTCGCCGTCTTTTCCGCGAGATGGTTGTGCTGCAGGTCCAGGTATTTCAAGGTCTTGTTCGTGCACAGCATGTGCACGCAGGCCACCGCCCCGTGGTCGCAGATCTCGTTCCCCATCAGGTCCAGCCGTTTCACCGACCGGTTGGCCTTCAGCCCATCGAAAATGGCGGCGGCCCCGTGCTTGCCGAATTGGTTCTTTTGCAGCAGCAGCGTCTTCAAGTTCTTTACCTTCCGCAGCATGGTGCCGACGCGCAGCGCCGGCAGGCGGCCCATCTTCGTCTCGCCCAGGTCTAGCACCTCCAACCGGTCGTGCTGCACGACGGACTCCAAAATCTGGAATATGGCCTCTTCCGCGAGCCAATTTCCGCTGAGAAAAAGCTTCTTTAGCCCGGATTTCTTCCAGATCTCGCCCAGTTTACCCGCCGTTTTGTCCTTGATGTTGTTCTGTCCTAGGTCGAGCAGCTCCAAAGTCGTGTATGGATGTGTCAGAGTTGAAATCGACAAAGTTGAAATAATTTGTCATGCTAAACCGACCGAAACCACAACACAACCTGTAAGGGCACCTCACCGCAGATGGTTCGGCCACCAGGTCGTGGAGTCAGGCGGACCGAAGCCATCACCATCATCCTCGGGCACATGATCCCACTTACGCCAACTTTTCCTTACTTTCTTTTTTTTTCAGGCTCCCGCACCCCCTCGGGCTAGTAGGTAGGTGGTCCCAAAAACATACAACGTGTCCTCAAGCAACTCCGCGCAAGAGGCGACATTCCGATTTTGCATGCAAAACAGAGCTCGATATCGGAAAGCCAGGGCACACATACAAACTACCTTCGGATCGGCTGAAGAAACTAGAGCTAGGAGGGATGCGGGCCTCCGAAACAAATAAATATCTAGGTTTTCTTTTTCGCAATTTGATCAGGCGACACAGTGAAGTTATAAATTTTTTCAGGCGTGCAACACAAAACTCGCATGACAGAATAGGTGTCTGCCAGCGGGTAGTGAACGAGCAGCCAAAAAGAAATGTGTCAAAGCTCATCATGGAGTAAAACGCAGCGGAATAAAAAGACTACGCGCTACCGACCAAAAGAGTCGCCGCATACAAAAATAAAAATAAGGCATAAGCTTCGATCCCGGCCACCATACTAACACGCACAACGTGCTAGACGAGTCCTCACTTCGCCATACTAACACGCACAACGTTTCGCACACAGTCCTCACTTCGCCAACATGCGTTTAGCGTTCGCCAACGATCCTTACTTTGCGCCAACAAACCATACTTTTCGCCAACAAGTCCAACTTTTCGCCCACTGAGTACGTTTAACGTTCGCCAACGATCCTTACATTGCGCCAACGGATGCGTTTATTGTTCGCCAACAAACCTTACTTTTCGCCAACAAATGGATGCCAGTTGGCATGCATAAAATGGATGCCAGTTGGAACCCATTTTCCAAGTGGCGCATGACAAATTTCGGCGGTCCCTAAATCCAGTTTGTCGTGCTGTCTAGGCAAAGAAGAGTGATTTTCTCATGCTACTTTAGCAGCTCGAGCTGTAACCCCAAACAGGCTTACAATCGGCCTCACTTGCCTGCTCTGCAACGCACGCACCTCGGGGCATGCATTTTATGCATTACAAATTATTTCAACTTTGACGATTTCAAACCTGACGCTTCCATATCGTGTTGCTTTGTTCCAATGCGGCCACTATCAAATGTAAAAATGTCTGGGTCTGGAAGAATGCAACTTGTGATGCTGCGTTTCGATGACTAAAAAATTTGTGTTGCATGAGCAGCAAACAGAGACTAATTTTTGCTACGCGGAGAGGGCATTTGTCATGCGGAATGGGCATCAAGAATCCCTCAAAAAATCTGTGATGCTAGGGCATGCATTACAGGCATCATGGGTCATGAGAAATATGCATGACAAATCTTGCATTCTTCCAGACCCAGACATTTTTACATTTGATAGCCACTACCTTGAACAAACCGCGATTCCAGAAATTCCCAGAAGCCCCTATAACCCGCTCAGGTGTTACAATCTCAAACGTTACAATAGAATCTGGAATTTGTCTTGCATGATGAGCATGACAGACTCGCAGAGCATTCTACTTTCTGCAACACAAATTTCGCCAGATTCTAGTGCGGTTTGGGGCTCCGGAACTTGTCATGCGCAATCCTGCGAGAGTTGGATGGATCATGCACTCGCGCATCACAGATTTCCATATTCTATTGTAACGTTTGACTTTGAGATTGTAACAGCTGAGCACGTCATAGCCCCCACGTTCCGGAGGTAAAGCTCTTTTAGCGACTTGTTGACCTGATTTGATTGGCATTTCTTCCTATTAAACCACGAGCACTAGTACTCTTACGCGAATCCTTATCACGGCATACAACAGAGTGCTGGCCGAGTATAATCTATGTGCAAGAAGATTACGCAAACTTAGAAACGGGAAAGATGAAACAGGAATCCAGATCCACTACTTTTTGGCAGTATTTCACAGAATGAGGTCGAAAAGTACAAGTAGGACAAAACTTTATGCAGAATACGAATAGCATTTCCCCGAGCCGGTCAACGCCGTCCAACCCAAGGTGGTTATTCGACAGGTCCAAGACCGCCAAAGTGGCGTTCGGCGTTCGCAGCGCCTCGGCGAGTATTAATGCGCCCGCACGGGAGATGTTCTGTTCCTTCACCACCAGTTTCTCCAAGGCCGATTTTGACATTTGCTGCAGCGTCTCGGCGTCTGACGAACTACCAGCAGGAGCGTTCTCTTGTTCGGATTCCGTTTGCGAGCCGGAAGCTCCCCCCGCCGCCTCGTGGCCGCAGCCATTCACCCCCTGCTCGACAAGTTTGAAAGAAGTTTTGCTGCCCGCAGTGGTTGAAGAACTTTTCTTGCTCTGCATCAAGTGCCCGACGATGGCAGAAACCCCCGTGTCGCCGATGCACGTGTTGATCAAACACAAACTCTCCAGCCAACCCCTTGCCCCGCGGTCCGCCAGAATCTGAATGGTTTCTGCCGTCATCGTCTTTCCGATCACCATGTTCTTCACCACGACCTCGCGCAGGTGGCAACTCTCCTTCACGCGCTGCAATACCACGGACGCGAGGTTTCCGGCAATCACCGGCGTGGTTGTGTTTACCCCAACGGAGATGCTGTTCAACTCGCAGTGCTCGGACTGGTTCGCGACATCAACCAGAGCCGCCACCTGGCGGAACACGGCGTCGCGCTTTTTCAGCGTTTCTGGTTCGGCCTCGTCCTCGCCCGTGAGAAGCTGAAACTCGATCTTGTACTTGGCTCGCCGGCCCTGCCCCTGCCGGCGGACATTGGCCCCGCAGGTGCTACCTTCCTTCGACGCGGAGGGGGAGACGTTGGCGAGACCTACTTCGGGAACAACGAGGCCGCCGTTGAGTAAGTCAACGGCATTGGCGGCGGGTTGATGTTCTTCTGCGGTCACCGTTGACGTGGTCCCGTCCGCGGTTCTGATATCCAGCCCGGCGTCCGCCGTTCCTGGGGTCACGTCCATTTGCTGCGTGGAGGTGAACATTTGCTCTTCCTGCACGGCCTGCGCGATCGCGTCCAGGGACCGCAACGTCTTGTGCGGTAGGGCAAGGAAGAAATCCACGCTCTTCATGACTTCCTTGGGCACCTTTACGCCGTCTGGCACCAGTTCGCCGTCGGCGCATCGCCGGATCTCCAGCGAGCCCTTCGTGCGAGACCTCTGCGAAGCTTCGACAGATTGCCGAAAGGCTGCCACGTCAACCAGCCCATCGTCGGTGGAGTACTGATCCAGGTCAGGAAAATCAACCTCGTTCGAAATCGAGCTGGCCTCAGAAGAGTTATCCGAAACATGATCTGGGGCTAGTACTTGTTGCGGAGGATTGATGTTGATCGCCGGGGACGCTTGGCCCGAGCTGTGGCTGGTGCTCTGGTGCGGAGGCCTAGAAGTATTAGCGTGCTGCTGCGCCGCGGCGGCCGTATTACTCGACTGCGCGATCCATTCGGAGTCGGAGGCGCTGCGGTTTTTTGCCTGGGCGGCGGCAGTCACGGAATCCACAACAATGCTGCTACTTCTGCCGACCGAGAGCAGGGGAACCGACACGTTGTGGCCGTGGTTTCTGGTTTTGGCGTGAAAATCAAATTTCTGCGCGTTTCCATTCAGATAGTGATGTTGGTGGTGGCTAGAATTGGGGTTCGCACCGTACTCGTGAAAAAATGGATTTGTGCCCCCGTTGAACATGCTTTGCTGCAAGTACTCGACGTTTTGGCGGGCTGGGATTTTTTGTTTCGTGCGTTTGGGTTTAGGGTTTAGGGTTCGTGATGTGATGTGATGTGATGTGATGTGATTCAAGGTACTAGAAGAATGTAACAACATCTTTTCAGAACAAGAGCGGAATTCAACATGATTACTTCAAAAAAACGGTAGTAAGTACACGAGTTTTGATGACCATGATGCGATGTATGCTCCACGCGTTTGATGTGAGAGTGCTCGTGCTGATGCTGCTGCTCCCCCCAACCCGAGGCCCAGTAGGAGGACTGGTTCCAGTTACCATTGTTCGTGCCGTAATGGTCGTAATTCTGGTCGTGATAGTACCCTCCGCTGGCAGAGTTGCTGCGGTGGTGTTGACTGCTCCCGCCATTCGCTCCGTGTTGAGAGGGGTTATGCGGCTGCTCGTAGTAGTATTGCGCGGCGTGGTGATTGTTGTAATTGTAATAATCCTGCTGCTGGTGCTTGTTTGTTCCCTGCTGCGTCCCGCTGGGCTCGTTTCCGTTTTGGTGCCAGTGATGGTCTTCATTCAACTCCAGCACCAGCTCACCCGATTGTTCCTGGTGATAGTGCTGTTGAGACGATCCCATACTGTCGTGGAGTTGCTGCGGAGGGGAAACCTGGGTGTTAGGAAGATTAGATCGATCGATGCTGCGACAACGACCACTCACACGATAACAAAATACAGAAAAAATAAATTATCACGATCAAACTACAACCACAAAAATCTACCACAGATGGAGAGCTGTCTGGTGGTGGCGACGAGGGCGGCGGAGGGGGGAAGTTCGGCAGCATCGGACTGCCCGTTTGGTCCGCCGGCGGACTTCCGGGTACGCTCGCATCGGGTAAAGGCGGCGGCAAAACCACCGGGGCAGGCGGCGGCTCCATATGCTGTCAACGAACAGTGTGGAAATGACCTGGAATAAAATCTCTAGTCGGGCAAAGTGTGTAAGTACAACTTACTACCCGGTCTTCTGCTGGCGTCGTGCCGGATCTCGTCTTTTAAAAAAACTACGCCATCACTTCACCACTAAGGTCACAACGACAGCCGAACCGGCAAAAAAAAACTGGTTACGAGTCGCGGAAACAAGTTGTAGAGGTGGCGAAAATAACTTGTTGTAGTAAGCACTTGTCTCCATGATGCCGGTGTGCTAGTCATGACTATCGCGAAGCATACAAAAACTGCCTTAAACACGTACTTCGACGAACCGATCTTGAATAGACAGCACCGAATTTCCTTCACGATCATGACGAAGAGAAACTGCTTTGCGACACGTAATTCACGATGGCTTGTTTCGTTGAGTACTTCACGAATCATCTGATGAGGCTGAGGATCACGGAGCTGGGCTGCAAAAATAGACAGGATAATTTTCACTATAAGAATCTTCGAGCACGACCAGCAGCTGCGGACGAGCAGAAAAATGGATATACAAGTGCAGCTACGACAAGAGAGCACTACAAGAGAGCACACAAACTCGAATAAGTACTCACCGATCTTTAGAAGGTAGCTCGAACAGAAATTTCCTATTCGTCATTGAAAGACGACATTGGTCATCCTTCTCATTTTTATGCCATTTTTCATTTTCCTGTGGTATAAAAAAGATCAATTGTACACCTACACCTGTTCAGCATATCCGTAACGCAATCGACACTTCTCCGTAATAAACAATTGTTCAGGTTTCTCGGTTTTTTTTTCACCGCAAAATTCTGGAAACTTCGCCTCGACGTGACCAAAAAGCGACTCCATTTTGTGTACCTACATACTCCTGATGTCAATGTCCTATGCCATAAGAAACTGCTATGGTCAAAATGACATTGGTTTTGAGGCTGTGGTAGACCTACAGTTGCAATTAAAGCGAAAGCTTTTAAGTAAAAGCACCTTTTGCCTACTTGCTTGCACAGCCAGCGGAAGGTACAAGGTCTTAAAATTGTTGTACTTAAAAAGAAGAGATCGATGCTGCACTACTACACAACTAAACTGCCGGCGCGGCTGCGCTTCCTGGTGGTTCCCCACTGTTCCGCGATGATTCGCTTCTCGTCAAAGACCTGCTTCGGGAGGATTTGCTTCAAAAAGTCTCTGCATTCTTTGATCATCTTGGCTTCTCCACAAAAGTACAGAAATCCTTTTTTCGCCACAAGCTTTTCCACAAGCAGACCCTGGTGGACTTGCAGCAGTTTCTGAACGTATAGTTTTTTCCCCTCGCGGGACAGTGCCTGGTGCCAGTGAAATTTGAATTTTTGCCGCCCGAACTCAGTGCCGCTGCTGGTGATCAGAAAAGCTTCGTCTTTCACCGCGTACGCGTTTGCTTCCTCATTGTCCTCCGTCTTCGTTCTCTTATCCGTCGACGTCATCTTTTCATCTTGTAGGTGTTTGTGGTCCTCGAAGATATTAGAGGTTGTGTCCATGATCTTCTTGTTTTCCAAGTTCACAGAAAAACTCTCCTTCGTCAGTGTCTGGTGCAGAAAGCCCCTGTAAGGAACTTCGTCCCAGGTCCTGCAACCGGCAAACAGGGTGACGTCGTGGAAGGGGCACTTCTCTTCGCGGCCCAGAAACTCCTGCAGCCACCCGATAAAAACGCCCATGCCCGCACCGGTCGCGATCATGAGCAGCGGGGGCGGCTCCACATTCTTCTCATCAATGCTGGGCAGGAATTTCCAGACGTTGCTTTTCTTCTCCAGATCCTGCAGCCGCAGTGGGGAGGACACCAGTTTGGCGAAAACCTTCGTTCCCTTTTCACAGTTGCAACAAAGGAAAGTCGACGCCTGGCCGAAAGACTGATGCGTCACACAGATCCCTGTCTTCCCGACGAGCGTGTAGGGACGGGACTTCTGCACGAATTGCATAAACTCAAAATTACTATTCAGCTTCATCTCCGAGCCAGTAGTACCTGGCGACGGCGGTTCTGATTTGTTCGCGTGGTCCTGCTGCTTGATATTAGCAAAAGAGAAGTTTTCCAGCGCGAAGCAGTAGCCCAGAAATGTGCCGACGCAGTCTAGGTCCGCCACGCGCGCATTCTTCTGAAGACGTGGCAGCAATGCCTTGCCCTCCTCTGTCTGCACGAACAATGCGTTCAGAAACCGGGCTAGGTCGGTTTGGCTTTTACCCTCGTCATAATCTTTTAAGACGTCGACCAGTTTCCGCTTCATCGCGACAGAAGAGGAAGTGCCGGTAGGGGAGGTGGTGCCGTTCTTCGCTTTTTCAGCTTTTTTGTTTGGTCCTCCGCCCGCCCCGTTGATTGTCACGTCGTGCTCCTTCAACATGATCGCGTTGTCGACATCATGTTCATCGGCCGCACTACTTGCTTCCAAGGCTAGAAGCAGCTTCTCCACCGCTAGTGGAGACGAGGGCGCGAGAATGGACACGTTGTCGCTGACAAGGAACTCAGACGAGGAGAGGAGCGGTTGAAACTCCACGTGCACCATCCGGCGCGGATCCTCCGCATTCGCCGCCAAAAGTGGTTGCACCGCGCGCGTCTCCAGCTCGTGGCTCTGCTCCAAAAAGTCCAGTACCACGTGCAACTGCGACGCGAGCCGGCTCATGTTCTCAAAAGACAGGGGGGCGTCTTCGAACCCCTCCAAGTCGCCCGCTCGGCTGCGCCGCGCCAGCGAGATCGGGGAGGAAACAGACCTGGAGGAAAGCTGCACGGAACTTCGCTGACTCGGCGGAAGAGCGTCCTTCGCCCCAGGAGAGAATTTTTCCTGTGGGGAATTCTCATCTTCTCCCTTGCACTGCACGCCACGATACTTCGAGTAGTACACGTTCCCCCGCGGCGAAACGCTTCGCACCCATCCTTTTTTCGGTTGCGCGGACGTGGGAGTGGATCTGGATCCCGCCCGCGGTGGGGACGGGGTCATTGTAAGTCCCGCCACCGGCGACGTCACGTTCATCGACATCTTTTGTGGCGAAAACATCGAGCCCGCGACGGGTGATGCTTCTGACGCTGACGCCGATAACAAACGATCCTGTGGCTCTTTGTCCTGCTTGTTCTTCTTCTTTTCTTTCTCGTTTACAATTTTTTCCGCAGCCGGGTCCGGATCCGCGCCCACGCAGAACTGGACGTATTCCAGCAATTCGGCGACGCTTGCCGCGCGGAACACTTTGCAGTTCAGTTTCTCCAACACAGAGACGAGCTTCTTCGCGGTCGTGTTTGCGTCCTGTTGCCTCTCGGTCATCAACACGCACGCGGAGACGTGCGCGAAATGCGTTTCCGGAAACCCAAAGCTTTTGTCAACGAGCGACCGCTATCAAATGTAAAAATGTCTGGGTCTGGAAGAGTCATGCTGTTTTTGCATGACACAGAAGGTCTGGCATGGAAGCTCTAGCATCACAGGTTTCGAGAACCTTCCGCAATGCCGAATCCGCATGACAAGTCCCCTATTTTGCTGGCAAAAAGTGGGAGCTTTTGCTACGTATGCATGAGAGACGTTTCTGTGTTCTGAAATACGCATTACAAGTTGCATTCTTCCAAACCCAGACATTTTTACATTTGGTAACCGCGCAACGGTTCGCGCCACCTGGTCCACGTTCTGGATGAAGAAAAGATGCTTCGTATCCTGAGTAAAAACGTACCCACACCAGAGTCAGGATGGGGATTTTGCAGCACAAACCTAGCCGTTTTGTGAGTCACGCATGACAAGTTGCACTCTGCAGTGTAGTGCAGGTTAGCAAGTGCAGCCGCGTCACAAATCCAGCTGCTCATCCTGTTCACAGCATCACAAATTCCAAAACACGATTGGAAATGGCTCTCATGGGGATGCGCATGACAAGTCTTCCTGTCTTTGCAAACCTGCATTACAACTCTGGTGTGGGTACGTTTTTACTCAGGATACTTCGTTTCCTTCCGCGCAAACGCCCTCTGCAACTCAAGGGCAAACAGACCCCGGGCAAAGTCCGAGGTATCGGAGTCATCGAACGCGCCCGCCTTCGTGGGTACGAACACTGCTTCGTCACAGTACACAACGCGGTCAGACTTCAAGAGTTCTTCGACAGAAAGATGATTATTCTCACCAGTACTACCCTTTGATGACTTCTTAGCACCTCCAGCGCTATTGACATGCGCGAGCAGGTGCTTTTGTTGACCAAAAATCACGGCGGTAGCTGTGGAATTTTGGACGCGGCTTCGACTATTGTTCAGTATTTGATTCTTCTGCTCCGTTAGTAGAGGAGAAGTTGTGGGCGAAATACTTTTTCCGACGGGTGAGGTGATGCTGGAACAACTCGGGCTAGATGTAGTTGCAACAACTTTGTTATTCGCCGGCGGCGTTAGCACGGCGAAAATATCCTTCTTGCCAAGTCCCGGTTCTTTAGCAGGCGACGCAGCCGGAGATGCCACCGGCGTGGCTTTCGCTGAAACTGCTTTGGCAGCTCTTTGGTCGTCGGCCGCCGCAGCCGCGTAGAAGTCGTTTTTCTTCAGCGGGCTGCTTTCTGGACGAGAAGCAGCTTGATACAAAACCATACCGCTCTTGTCGTCCGTGTCGTCGGCATGATTCTGCGAATTCGGGGCCGTCGAGATTTCGGTCGAGCTGTCCTCTTCCTCAAAGTAAGGCTTCCCTCCTATTGAGAGGAAAAATCTCCCCTCCCCATATCGAAAAGGTATGCTTCCGAAAATTTGTCTTGCTGATTTGAGACAACAAATCGCGTCTGTCTTGCAAGAAGACAACTCCACAGGCTCCGCCGCATTACGCAGGCGGTTTGTGATGCTGTTGGGCCCACAGCATAGACGTTTCCCATGCTGAGCGCCTAGGCCAAAACCTCTCTACTCAGGCTGGGCAGGAGCCTGCTTTCCTCTACTGCAAGACAGACCTGACGCGTATACGCAAATCCAGCATCAGAAACTTCCTTTTGATATGGGGAGGGGGGATTTTTCCTTGTGATACCTCCGCACTTTTGGTATTCACTTTCCAAGCAGTCCCAGAACCCATTGTTTTTCCAGTTTTCGAAGTCCTCGTCGATGTCCCCGGCGTTGTCCGCCTCTCCGCGCACGTACACCAAGGTTGCCCCTAAAGCGGCCAGAGCGGATTGCAGCGAGATGGGGAAGCCCTGATACTGCATGTAATTCTGGTCCCCCAGACCCAGCAGCGCAAACCGCAGGTGGGCCAGGGCTTTCTTGTTCCGCTCCCCCGTCAGGGCGTTGTAAAAGTTGCAGGCGGAATCCGGCGGATCTCCGTCGCCGTGCGAGGAGCAGATGAACACGGCCAGTTTCGTTTCCCTTAGCGAATCCACAGCAACTGAGGTAACACTCGTGGCGACAAAGGGAACTTTCTTGCCCGCGCTCTCCTCCTCTAAATTTTGGGCGAATTCCTCGCTGATCCCCGTCTGCGTAGCAAAAATCACCGGAACTGGATCCATAATTTGTACCCGGAAAATGCGTCAAACTCAAACCAAGAGTGTGAATTGTTCTATACAGTGTGAACTGTTCTTCAATGGGACGAGTTGTATCAAAATGGGAAAAAAAAACAGTGACCGCGCCAGCTCCTAACAACGGCAAACAGCAGCAGTTCTTGCTTTTACATAATGATAATCATAATTCTTTGCTTCGATATCTGGTTGTATAGGCATGGCTTATACAACAAAGGTCGCGAAGGTAAAAATGTCAGAAGAGGTAAACGTAAAACCATTCATGGATAAGAAACGAAATGCTCTTCAATCACAGAAACACAGCCTTGTTTAGAACTACTACGCGGTAAGTACCTACAAAACCTATCTTTTGGCAGGAGCCATAGTTGTTATTCATCTTGACAGCCTTCCCATCAAGGGGCAAGTAATCACATGACAACGCCAGCATTGCAAAAAAGAAATCGCCATAGCATTGACTTTTTAGGGGCCTGATGGATGATTCAAAAAGTTGGTTCACGTTCAGATTTTTCACGCAAAACTGCATCTTTTCGAGCCAGTAGAGTTTCAGATCAACCTTCTCACACGTCCATTTCTAGCAGGATGCCAACCTTATCTATAGTTAGACCGAAATCTGGACTAGTAAAAACTACCGATGTATTTTGTATTCAATCACGCATACAGGAACCGCTCAAAAAAAACACCAACTTTTTTTGTTGCAACTCCCGCCTGTACTCTATCACAATCTCGCTTTATTCCTTGTCTGCAATCGAGAACATACTTGTGCCGCAATGTCTTCTAGAACACTGAATTTAGAACAAAACAGACCTCTGGTTCGTCTCTCAAAAACTACAGATATTGAAAGCCTGTAGTGATGGACTTAGTGTACCAAAGCGCCTTTTGTAGCTGCATCGGAGACATTTTGTCACTTCCTCGCGTTCGCACGTGCAACAACTACAAGATGACTTAGAGGAGCATCTTTTAAATCGAGATAACGTCAGCTGCTGCCTGTGAAACTTAGTCGCCAACGCGTGTGACAAATGCGCTGACAGTGCTTCTCAGTAACCGCATCCGCCTCAAGCTGGCGGCATAGCCCAGCCACATAGCGTATCCAAGAAAAAAACTGCGCTAGTACATCATGACCGAGAAAACCAGTCACGCAGGGCCAGTACGTGAAAACGCACAGGAAAAGCGGACTTGTTGGGTGTCTGGCATGACCAATGTAAAAAAACTGTGGTCTGGCATTTTCTGCATCACAGGCTTACACTTACACAGTCTTTTTCTTGAATATGGTGGTGCGATCCAGCACTAGCTCCTCGTCTGGCCTGATCTGTGACAAGGCCCTGACGAACGGAACTGGTACGCCCCGCACGAGCACCTCAACGATCTCGACGTTGGGCCTGCCCCCTGGTTTCATTAGCTTTTCTTCCTGTTCCATCTGCGCCAAAACTGTCCGCGCCCGGCTTTTCGGACTCTGCGTGCTGTCCGTCACCGCTGTGGATTTGTTCATCTTGATGGTTGACCCACTTTTGTACTAGCGTCTGGCGCGGGAAACAAACTATCAATCAAGCTTCGATAATCCTCACAGCGCAAGTAGGAACATATTTGCTGGTTCTCGCGCACAATGGTAACACTGGACGTTCGTTATCTAACGTTGAAAGCACATGATGATCAGCGACAAGGACAACTGTTGACTAGAGCTTTATGCACACAGCATGCAATGCGTGTTCAAGCTCCCCTGCGTGGTTCCATCGATCTTGATCTTCAGCACAGTAACGATCCTAACCGTTTAGCTTAGTCGTCTCGTCGTCTTTGTGGTCTGGTTGACCAAACCAAACGAATCAATCCATCTTGAAACACCACCTGTATACAGATGCGAATCAGTACTCCGTTCTGAATCATTCCAAACAGAAAGATGCGAACTCGACCGCTATTCGTATGCTGTGAATGTGTTCAGAATTCCTAACATTCTGATTCACACTTGGTGCCACCGGTGAGACCGGTAATCGCGAGCCAACGAACAACTTCGCCATCCACAAGTCCAAATTTTTCCGTCGGAACACCATCGGTATCTACACGCAAAAATCTCTCTTTGGAATAGATTGATTTACGAATCCCGACGGTATGCCGACGGTAGATCGGAAGATCATCTGCCCGGAGATAAAGAACTCCGAGGGCTGGACGATGTGGAAGCATAAAATCAAATCGATGATGAGCATGGTATTGGAATTGGACGCACAATGGCAGGCAATTTTGAACGACAACACCCAGCAGACGAACTTTCAAAATGTTCAGCCTGGGTTGACAGCACAGCAAAAGCAAGATGTGTTTTCCCTCGAGTCCACATTTTTGAATGCATTGCAAGACGACGCAGCAAAATTGATCACGAACAGCCAGACAGTGGGTTTTGTAAAATGTTACTTCCTTCTGTCATCGCACTGGGATCAGAAAGCATCTTCAATTGACAGTGACACAACCAACAACGAATTGATTACTGTCTGCTACGACATGGAGAAGGATGGAGATTTTTCTATTTGGATCTACGCAGAAAAGTACAGCAAAATCCTCCTTCTGAAAGACAGATACCCAGATGCGGCTGCGATCAATCGCCAGATGTGGGACGTCCTCAAATTCCGACTTGACCCGACTTGCATGAAAACAATCATGGCGGAGATCAGAAATTTGAACAGTACTACAGCTACTTGGGAGAAAGAAGGACTGGCAATGGTGATGGACTTCATCAAATCAGGCAGAATGAATATTGAAAAGGAACAGCAAGCGACTTTGCATTTAGCACGAACGAACGTCGCCCCCGCAAACGCAAACCCCAATGCGTTCCTTGCTGGTGCATCATCATCATCTTCATCTTCTGGTAACAAAAATTCCAACTTCATCGTCGCACCGGAAGGCGCGACCTTCGAGCAGCAATTGATGTGTCAGTCCATCAATAACCAAACCGCCTTAGTTATGATGAATAAGGGTCACAAAGGACAGGGAAAACACAACAACAAAAACTACAATTCCAATACCTATGCGAATCGAAATCAGCCCTATGGTAACAACGCGCAGAATCAAGGAGGCCTCTGGTGTACGTATTGCCAACGTCCAGGACATGACGTTCATTACTGCTATCGCAAGAAACGCCAGCAGGAGAAGAACACTGCCCCACCACCCGCGAACAACTACGGCAACAACCACAAGAAGGGCGGTGGTGGTGGCAAGGGCGGTGGCAAACACGGCGTGAAGAAAGGTGGCTACAAGTCTCACCAGAAGGGTCGCAAGTGGTGACATAAGGACCACGATTCTGCTGATGATGTCGATGATACATCGAGGCTGATGGATTCAAAACACGATGTAAAAATCGATGTTGAGTTGGAATCAAATTTCGTTGATGTGTCGAAGAACACTGATGAAAAGAGCGATGCATTTGATGACGACGACAACTACTATTCGTGCTTTTACACAAGTCACGATGCTACTAGTTACAATCAAAAATCGTTACTGTGCAAGATCGATCAATCAATGCCGATTATAGAGTGCAAGATCAACAAATCCATTTTGGATGAAGGTTCGGCAGAGGAAAGAAAACAGAGGACAAACAGGGATATCCTCGACAGTGGCACTACTCATTACGTGTCGAGTGTGCTTAGCGATTTTGTGTCCTTTCGCTCCAATCCTGTGAAAATCAATGGAGTCGGAGGCACTTTGCAAGCGAAAAATCCTCCAAGGATAGGTAGGCTGAAGACGAATCGACTTGGTTACTCAGTAGGTATTTTTCACAGCGCTTTGCCCGTGCGCCGCCTTTTACCTACAACCACCCTGAACGCAATGGGTTGGTCAGTAAAGCTAGAACCAAAAGCAGTAGCCAAGTCTGAGATAGTTTCAAGATTCGCAGATTTCGCAGTGCCATTAGAAAATAACCCGCCTGACTTACCATTTTTGCCTGATGGTGAGCTTTTCGGCACGGGTGTGGCTTTATACTGCAGAGAATTTGAAGAGGTTTTGTCAGAGGAAGACGCTTTGTCTGCGTCGCGTTTTGGTTGCAATCTTTTCACACCTGATTGCTTATCCAACTGCTGCAAAAAGCGCCGCGTAGGACAGCTCGATGAGTCTGCTTCTATTTTCACTGGAGATGCCTTGGCCGACTGCGTAGAGGATTTTGAGCATTTATGCTACTTGTCCAAGTTAGACCGACACCGAAGACGTGGCCACATCCATGTCCCAGGTGAAGAGGTGTTTTGCCCTGAATGCGCCCTCGCAAAGGGTGGCAGGTCAGGTGCTAGGAAAGAACGACCACAGAAGTACTCTGATCCAACACCGCTAAAGCAACTTGATGCTGACTTTTGGGGTCCAGTCAAACCCGTCAGCTTGACAGGCAATTCATGGCTATTGATTTTCATTTGCCCTGCTGTTGCGCGTGTGTTTGAGTTCAAGTTGAAGCACAAAGATCAGGCCTACGCAGTCGTAGAACGGCTAATCAAGCAACTTCGCGCATCGGACAGCATCGACTTGACAGATAAGGTCGTATGGTTTGTCCGCAGTGACAACGACCCCACGTTCAGAGCAAAGAAGTGGGAGGATACGCTCCAAGCGCTCTCCGTTTTTCGGCAGCACTCAGTCCCATACGTACCACAGAAAAATGGTGTGTGCGAACGCTTCATGGGTACTCTGGGTCCCGGTTTAAGGGCTAATCTAGTGGGTGTCGACTTGAGACTTTGGGATTATGCCGCTTCTTACTTTGTATACACGTGGAATCGCTTACAGCGGAAATTCTACAAGCGCGCCCCTCAGTTCAATGGTCTCTCACCTTTGGAAGCTTGTCGACAGAGGAAGTCACTGCAAAATGACCGGAAAGTTTCTCGCACAGAACCCCAAGAGCCCGATGAGATATTGAAGACTTCGAATTTTGACTCCAGGATGCGTCGCTTCGGTTGCCTCGCTTATTTCCTGAGACAGCCAGTAGAAGGGGTCAAGAAACTTGTAGAGAAGTACACGAAAGGAGTCTTTCTTGGGTATTGCGATCAGTCCTCGTGCTATCTAGTTGGAACTTACGTTAAGGATGATCGATACTCCAAGGCCGGCGCTTTGCGCTGGGCAGTTTACGAAACAAACGCCGTGAAGTTTGTCGAGTCAGTTTTGATCGACAATGTTGACTCTCTACGCCCAGGGTACCGCGGTGGCGTCGTAGTTTCAGACGACCAGCTCCTGCAGACTATCTGTGGCTCGAAGGACAATGCCCGGGTGGTTGGTTCTGATCGGGATTGTGCTCCTGTGCGCAAAAATCCGGGTGGTTCAGAGGTCTCAGGTTCTGGGGGGGTTGGCGGGTCCAACTCCCTGCCACTTTTAGAAGTCGAGAAAGCAGCTTCACAAGAACACGCTCATAACGCATCCTCTGCCTCGTTCAAAGACATCAATCTTCAGTCAAATCAGCATGCCAGTGGTGACAATTCGCAAGTACAAAATCCGCATTCCGCACCTGATTCAGTTTCATCGCGCGCGCCCGCCCGGAACACGGTTGAACACCATGAGCCAGACCCTGAAGTGGTCTTTGGTCGCGAAAAGACCAAGCGCCCGCGCGGTAGGCCCAAAGGGGCAAAGGACAAAACGCAACGCACGCGAAGAACAAAGCAGCAATTGTCCGAAGCCGAGAACTCAGATGCGTTTTATGCCGACTTTGCAGAAGTGATCAATGATTGTTATGTATGTGACAGCGTCGTAGACGATTTCGAAGAGGGTGAAGAGTTAGTCGAAGCACTTCCACAGTTCGCGAACGTTGCCGCGATGAGCTCGCCAGATGCGCCGCACTGGTTAGAAGCCAAATCCCTCGAGAAGTGCAAGCTTGAGGCGTTTCAGACGTGGAGAGTGCCTACTCCAGAAGAGTTAGAACGCGCTAAGACCACAGGCGTGGTCCCGATAGCATTGGTGCTTAGCCGCAAGCGCTGTGGCAAGTTCAAGTGCCGTGCTGTCGTCCTAGGTAATCTCTACAAGCCCGGCGGTGAGTTAGAAGTTTACGCGCCCGTAATCAGCTTTGGAGCCTCGCGCTACCTGCTGATCGATGCCGCCGCGCATGGTGATGCCATAATTTTGTTTGACATTGACAACGCATTCGTACAGAGCTTGATCGATTCGGAAATTTTCATTCGTCTGCCAAAGGAATGGCGTGAGCAAAACGACGATGGTATTCGGAAGCTAGTTCGTGCCCTTTATGGGTTACCACAATCCCCGAGGCTGTGGGCAAAGCACTACGAAAAGAAGTTAGTCAGTCTCGGTTGGACACAGTCAACAGAAAAAGGGTTGTGGAGAAAGCTCTCCAAGGCCACAGGCAACAACTTCCAGAGTTACAAGAAGTTCAGTAAGTATATGAAGATGGGAGTTTATGTAGATGACAACACCGCAACAGGCCCGGACGAGCACGAGCTTAGGCATGAAGTCAGTTTGATTTTGAAAGAGTTTCCTGGCAAGATCATTGAGCCCGAACACCAGCCAAATGGTGATCTTTTGTATGATCAGCTCGGTGCAGACGTCCACTACAACCCGAACAAGTACAAAGTACGCATTTGCATGCAGAGTTACATCCGAACAAAACTAGCTCCGAAGTTTGGCATGGTTGGTTGTAAGAAAGTTGACAATCCATGCTTCACCGAATCAGCTCTGTACGATACCGCCTCGCCCGAAGTGAAATTCCCGTTGCGGGAAGCTGTAGGTGCCCTGCAATGGTGCGTAACGATTTGTAGGCCCGACATCGCGCAGCCCGTTAACTGCCTCGCAAAGGTAGCAAGCAAGCCCTGCACCAAAGCAGTAGTCGCATGCGTAAAGAAAGTTTTGCGCTATGTCATTCACACCGAAGACGTAGGCATCGACTACTCACCCGAGAACGAACAAAAGTTCAAGCAGGTATACGGATCACTTCTGCAAAAGGGAGAAAAGTTGAAAGACTGGAATCTCTTCACCGACGCAAGTTTTGCATCTTGTTTTGTAACGTTGAAAAGCACGTCTGGCGCTCTGCTGTACTACAGAGGCGCCCCCATCGTGTGGAAGACCGCGCGCCAATCGGTCAGAACGCATTCCACATTCGAAGCAGAGTTTGTAGCTGGCTCTGATGGACTGATCATGTCCGAGACATGCACCTTCAAGGGTTTTCTTGAAGATCGCGATGCTAGCGAAGACCTTTGGATGGACAATCAGACCGCCATCACGGTCGCCAAGACGCCAGGCGATGCACAGCGCCCGCGTAGCCGCCACGTTGCCCTGCGCTACCACAAAGTTGCGGATGAATGCGAAAAGATTAAGTTCTGTCCCACTGAGCACATGAAAGCTGATTGCCTCACAAAGAACAATGTGCCTCGTGAGGTTCGAGATCACGTCTTCCACCACAATCCGCACATGACGAACAAGAGGAAAGTGAAAGTGTCCGAAGACCCTGAGGAGGTCGACGCTTGTTTCACTGTGGTAGGCGTGCCCGGTCTCTTCTTTTCACTTGAAGACCTTTGGGCTTAGAAAGGAACTTGTATACGCCGGAGCCCCTTGCGCTTTTTCATGCCGTAGCCATCCTGATCGCTTTTGAAAGAAAAACTTGTGATCCACCATTCTGCTTTGCTTTTTCATTGCAAGCTTCTGGTGGTGATTTTGTCGAACAGCTTTTACTTGCTGCGATTTTCGAGAAACGGCTTGCGCTTGGGGGGGGGAATGTTGACTAGAGCTTTATGCACACAGCATGCAATGCGTGTTCAAGCTCCCCTGCGTGGTTCCATCGATCTTGATCTTCAGCACAGTAACGATCCTAACCGTTTAGCTTAGTCGTCTCGTCGTCTTTGTGGTCTGGTTGACCAAACCAAACGAATCAATCCATCTTGAAACACCACCTGTATACAGATGTGAATCAGTACTCCGTTCTGAATCATTCCAAACAGAAAGATGCGAACTCGGCCGCTATTCGTATGCTGTGAATGTGTTCAGAATTCCTAACAACAACAAAACAAAATAAGTGTGACAATAAATAAGCTAGTACTGTCTGGCTGCCTCTCGAGCAATCGAAACGGGTCGCCAGTGACGTCACCGATTGCATTCAGCGGATTCACTTCCGGCGAGTCCAGCAGTAAAAAGAGTCGCTCCGCAGCAACACTGCGATCGGCGCACAGCTTCTGTACCGCGTAAGTACCAGGAGCGAAAAAGTACCCGCTCTCGCTCGCGTTCTGTGCGTCGTACACTTGTTTCCTGATAATAAGATTTCTTTGCGTTTCAGCATTCGGTATCAAACCAAACTGCAGCTGCAGCTGCTGAAAAATCTTCATGCAAAAAAGACACGACCTGCTGAAGATGAACTCCCTGCATGTTGCTAAAACATGAATGCACTAAAATCACACTACTTCCTCCGCCTTTACCTGCAATACTCTCCGGACAGGAATCCCAGCACCGTGCCGGGCGGAACTGCTTTTTCTTTTTTCAGAAGCTTCACGCTCGTCGTGAATACCTCCGAAGTGATGAAGCGCCGGCCAACGACAAAGATGTCCTTCACTACAGCCATCGGGTTCCCGAACCAGTCCCTTGAATAAATTTCGTTGTACAGTTGATATTGATTACCCTCAGAGGATCATCTCATCGTCATCAAGAAAGGTCATGCTGAAATTATAGTACAAATATTGCACCCTAGATGCAAGATCGAGGGTCTTCATTCGAAGCACCGAGAATTATGAAAAAGATCCTCGTCCTTCTACCGCAACCGCTGCCTCTGACAGCAAAAATTACTAAAACTTCATACCCTCTGACAGTTCGGTCGGTGTCAGACTCGCTGGGCTCCGTGTATTTTTTCTGGTCCGGAAACACCAAACTTTCCCAGTAGTTGATCTCCTTCCCGGCACTTAGCAAGTGCCCATCGGCGCTAACTTGATAGGGGTCATCCTGTGATATTGCGTCTTCAACGTAGTAGTTTGGAAGTCGACGAAATTTCGATTCCTAAAATATAAGAAGATGTACAAGTACAACTACAGACACAACAAAAACATAGCCTTCGCACAAAAGAGTAACCTAGAGTGTTCCATACAACAAGAACAAACATGGTTGCGGACGCCATAGAAAAAAAATTTCCGTGTCGTACCTTCACCACCGGTATTTCCTTTGCCATGACGCGCGCCATCACGTCGGTCGCAATATTCTCTTCTTCGGAGGAGCCAGACTCGACCGCTACGCCCGTCTTCGTGTACACGTCTACCTCTTTCAAGGGGAGTTCCAAGGCCTGCGTGTGGTCTAAATGCGCTTTGCGATCTGCCGCCATGGTCATCAGCCGGTGTACGGCGGATTGCAAACTCAAGTCCGCCTCGGCCACACGTATTTCGTTGAACTTGCGCTTTGCTTTTTTGGTACTGTTGGGAGCTGAGGATGAATCTCTTGATGATAGCTTAGATGGTTTTACTTCTTGCGCGAAGGCTGAGCCGAAGAAATTTCCGACAAACACCGGGCTCCAGTACTGCCTAGCGTCGGCCAGCGCGGTGATGCAGGATTGAATCTCATTTGCATAGCGGACGTAGTAGTGGTCCTTAGGCCCGATAGGAAGAGACTTTTCGGCTGCTGGTGCCGGTGCTGTAGCAGGCTCTGCCGGCTTGTTCGCGGAGGTTGCACGAACGACATCCTCTCCCGGCACGGTCTCCTTCGCTCCAGCTGCATCGGATCCGCCTTGCTCTGCACTTGCATCCTCATCTACTTCCTGCTCGTCGTTTGCCGGTTGCTCTTGCTCCTCCTGTGGAGATATTGAATGGTTTACAACTGCTCCTACTGCCGTCGGTGGACTGGAGTCCGTCAGCTTGTGCAAGTCCTGCAGCTCCGCGTCGATCCTGTAGTAGAGTTCCTGTGCTTCTGCCAACTTCTGTGCTAGTTCCGTTTTCCTCGCTTCGGCAGTCTTCCGGAGAAACATTTCGATTTCGGGTGCCTTTTGCGCCGCCACCTCCAGAATGCTCATCCCGAAAGAAGTTTGTACCCCGAGCTTCGCGCCGTTTGTCAGAAGAAGTTCGACCATCTCCAGGTTCCCACTGGAAACCGCGACGGAAAGCGGGGTAAGGCCGCTCGAGTTCGGGCTGTCCAGCAGATCCGCGTGCCGCCGCAGAAGCGACTCCATCAACGCGAGGTCTCCGCTGATCGCCGCCGCATGCAGCGCGGTGCTGCCTTTCTCCAGGCTGGGCGCCGAAGAGAGCAGCGCTCGGGTGTGTTCCGTGTCCGCGGGCATGGCTGCACAAACCAGCCCTGATTTCTCGTGTTTCGAATGAGGACACGACCAGATGAGGCCGGTGGTCTTCGTGTCTGGAACAAGCAGATCTTGTCGCGCAGCTGCCCGGACTTGCTGCGGCGCACCTCACACGACCGTTGTTGGCCTTCTTCTTTCACTAACTGCCACAAGGGTAGAAGGCGGCTGAGAGCTGCGAGAGGAGCATTCTCTTCTTCTAGCCGCTGAGCAGTCGTGATCAAGAGAGGAAGCGACATTGTGCCACGTGACGGAACAAAGTTTTAGATTGTTTAAGCACTGTCAACACGACGAAATCACGCAAGCAACTTGTCTAGACGATTGCAACTTTGATTCTGCACTCTGAGGTTTCGTTTTCGCTCCAGAAATCCTCAATGAGGCCCGATTTCCTCTATCGATACTGACCCGCTGTCACTCCCGGGCACCGACACACATTGGAACACGAAAAGCAGCAACCGCCCCCTTCAAACAAGTTGTGTCGTGCTGCCGCAGCATATAACCGAGCCCTGGAGGGCAGATTTTCTTTTTCACTCTGAACTTCGCTTGTACGAAATAAACAAAATCTAATGCGTTATGCCGTGCCATTATCTTCGGCAGAATTTGTACTCAGGAAGAACAAAAAATGCGTACTTACTAACTGCGTGCGCGTACTCCTACTCCTACTCCATGTCGGGAGATGAACAATGATAAATGCGTACTTACTACAAATTGGTGCTGCTGCTCGGAATTCTAAAAGTTTGCGATCTGCGATGACCGGTGCGCTGGTTGAGCGGGAGGCTCAAACTCGGTCGGTTACTATTGTTCAAACCCTGCGCCAAAATCCGCCGCGCGCCCGTGCCACCACTCCCGGTTGTGCCGCGCGCTGAAATGTCTTCATCTACTGCATTTGCGAGACTCCGCCTCGTTGCGGCGGGTTGAGCGGCCGCGGATGCAGCTGCGTCGGCGCCACCCGCCGCCCCCGGGGGCGGTGTTCCTGTTCTCGTTCCCACTCCTGGGGCATCATCTGTAGGCGTCGGTTGCTCTAAAAACTGAATAGTAGAAAACAGGGCCCCCTGTTCTTCTGAATGCGCAGCAGCGCCTGCTGGCAGATCCGGCATCTCCTTGTTGTCTCGGTCCATTTCCAAGAACGACGGCAACGCGGATAGCACCACCACAGGCCCAGTTGTTTGCGGGTTACTGCTCTTCTTTTCGAGCTTGACAATGTTCTCCCCGTGAAATGGGATGAGCGACGCCACATTTTTCGTTGTGGTGGAATCTTTCGAAACATTCATCTCACCTTTGTTCGTCGGCGCCGTCATTGTCTCTCCGGCGTACTCGCCTACCGCCGCTCCAACGTCAAAAGCAAAGTCGCCAACTAGCGAAAAAAGGCTTTTTTCCTCCTCTTCTTCCTTCTTTCCGCCATCACGGTTCCCCGCAGCAGAACCGGCGGAACTCGAGTCGTCATCTTTCGAAGAAGCCATTCGATCGTACCGCTTGATACCACCTCCAGAGGACCGCGTGTAGTTGCCGTTTTTGTCTCTAGTACTGTCGGGGTGTCCGAGGTCGTCTTCGTCGAAAGCGACTATCTCCATGGGCTCGAGAATTTCGTTCACCTTGGCGACGTTGTCATTCACCATGGCCGTTACGGCGGTTAGATTCAGTCCGCTAAAGGCTTCCGTGACGTGCATCTCCTTCATGAGCCGCACCGTGTCGTCCACCAAAGCTCCCATCGCGCCCTGCTCCTCCGCTTCAGCTGCCTCGCCGCGCCTCCGCGCGGCGGCCAGCGGTCGCAAGTTGCGCCGGCCGCGGGGCGGGGACGGGAGGGCGACGCGGGAGGTCCGCATGTGGTGGTCTTTGACGAGAGACCGGACTTTAGTAGTATCTGTATCCAACGCGATCGTGTTGTCCGCACTGATGTCTTGACTCTTGTCGTTGGTTCCGTTGTCTGCGACAGTGTCGGCGTTGTCCAAAATTGTGTCGATTTTATTTTCCTCTGGAAGGGCAGAGATGCCCTGGTCACTCGAAGTAGGTGCGTGTTCTCTTTTTCCAGCAGCGGAATCTGGATCCTCAGCATCGGAGGCTGCCGGGAACGGCGACGCATGCGAGGGAGCCTTGGGCGCTCCTTTTTGTCCACTTTCTTCTTGTGTATCGATTTCTTTCATAGGCGGAAGCGGATCTAAGTCTGACCCTTGCTCAACATGTTGGCCTCCGTCTATTTCCTGTTCTTCGCCACTTTCGTCCTGCATCCCCTCCTCAATCACGAGCGGACCGACTACCGGCGCAGCCTTCTCCCCGTCCGTTGCCACCACTTTCGCAGCCGGAAGACGAAACTGAGAACCAACAGCCTCTTGCAAATCGATAGCGCCGGACGCGTTTTCTGTACCAAAGTCCTCCTCTCTCGCCTCTCCCTCGCTCGCGTGACGCGGCAGTGCAGCCACAGTCGCACCGGGCGGTCGTGGGCTTTCAACATCTTCACCACCACCGGCGTCGCCAGCCGCACGACCGATCCCGCGGCCGCCGGAGGACACGAGCTGTGTGGTGTGCAGAGCCAGTTGCAAATCGTTCTTTTCCGCTTCCAGATCCGCAATTTTCTGCAACAGCAACGCCTCGTTCGCTTTGCTGGACTGCAACTCTGTGTCTAGACTGCCCTGCGCCTCCGCGTGCAAGTCGTGCATGTCCGCCAGGTGGTTCAGCATGTCGGCGTTTTTCTGGTTTTTCTCTTCCACGTGCAAGGCCAGCTCCTCCTGCGCTTTTGCGTGTTTCGCCCGCAAATCTTCCAACTGCTGCTTCAATTTTGCTCTCTCCCCGTCGCTGTCGGCTATGGCTGCTACCTCCGTGTTTTTCATGACATCCTTCACACGCCCCAACTCCGTTTCCAGCTCTTCCTTTTCCATTTTTCTTTCTTCGTGCAATTTTTCCAGGTACAACTTTGCCTCAACTAGCTGCGCCTGCTCTTGCTGGATTTTTCCGTGCTGTTTTTCCAAGTCTTCCAACTTTTGCTCCGCGAGCAACTTTTCTTCCACAACTTCTGCTCTCTTTCGTTCCTGCTCCGCTTGGTCAGATCGACTTTGCCTCAAATCTTCCTGCAGGGTTTGTTTCACGGTTTCAAGCTCCTTCACTTCCGCCAGCAGCTTCTCGATGTCAGCTTGCGCATTTTGCACCGCAGACTGCGCAATCTCCAGCTTTTCCTCCACGAGTTGAAGCTCCGACACCAGCGCGTTCTTGCTCTTTTCGGTCTGGTCCAGCATCGCCCTCACGCTTTCCAACTCTTTTTGCGCCGTCAATTTCGCGATGTCCGCGTCCGTCAGTTTGTCCACCAGATCCCGACTTTTGCTTTTCGCCACCTGCAACTCCAACTGCGCTGCGTACTTTTGGTCGATGTGCCGCTTGGTGGCTAGCACCATCTCCTTCTCGTTCGCGCGCAGGATTTGCACCTGCACAAGTTCTTCGCGCAGTTGCTTCGCTTCCACGGACACGTCGTGGTGCGCGTCGGGGGGCACGAATCCCTTCGCTTCGTTCAACACCGCGTCCATCAGGTTGTTTCCCTCTTGCTCCCTTTCGATCAGAGCCTCTTCCCGCACGTGCAACTCCTCCTGTAACTGTTCCAGCTCCTGCGTGCCCTGCTCCAGCAGCTTCGCCTCTTCGGACAGAGAGAGCGCTCTTTCGGCGAGCTGCCGTTCCTTCTGGCGCAGTTTCTCTTCTTTCTGAAACACCGCCGCAGTCTTCGCAGCAAGCTCGGTCAGTGTCATTGTTGGAAGCTGCACGTAAGCGCCGTCTTGTTGCCATGTTGTCGTTGGCATGGACTGAGTTCGCTGCTCGGCTGTAGCATTTGCATTGGTAGTAGAGGATCCATCAATTGCAGCAAGAGCCTCGGCGGACGCAGTTTGCGTTGCAGGAGCACCGGCGTCATTCTGAGCGAGATCGAGAGCAGCAAGGGCGGAAGCAGCATCGCAGTCAGCAACGGCAGCGGCCGATGGTAGTACAGCCTGCACAACAGCATCACCAGATCGAGAACCAGTTTTCCCCCGCGAAGCTCGTTTCTGGCGGTCCGCGAGTCTCAGTGGGTCATTCAACTCCGTCTCCTTTTCTGCTAGTTCGTGCGCTAGTCGCTCCAACTTGTCCTTTAAGTCCTCGTTTTCCTCCTGTAAAAGAGCAATTTTCCGTTCCCGCTCTTCAACTTCCATCTGCGTATTCGTGGACCGCCTTTTTGCAACTGGAAATAAACCAGCAGCAGTCACATGTCCACTCGCACTTTCGTCCGTGGAAGTTTCGTCCTCCTTAGCTCGATCGAGCTCCGCCTTTCTCTGCGCATCGAACATCTTCTGGCTTGACGCGACAATGGCTAAAACCTTCTGTAACCCGCCCGCCGTATGGATTTCCCGCGCTTGCAGCAGCAACAGGTCGATTTGCTCGCAGATTTTCGACAAGTCAGTGCGGCTCGGGAGCAGCAGCTCGGCCGCTTGCTCCGCGGATTCGATTTTTGTCAAAATTGGAATCGTGGAAGATTGGTCTTGCTCCTGATCCTCTTGTTCCGGCGCGTTTTTCATGACTGCGTCTCCCTCTCTACTAATAGCGGGGTTTTTCGCAGCAGTTGGGTCCACCTCCTCGTCCGAGGTGACGCCTCCCATTTGCTCCTGATCTACTTCATCCGCCTCAGAGTTGCTGCTCGACGAGGTTGCAATCGCGTTCTGCGAAATCATTTGATCGTGCGCGGTCAAGCCCACCCCGAGCACGGGGAGTTCCGCGGCCAGACTGTGACTCAGTTGCCGCAAGTCCTTCAACAGGTTCAAAAATTCCTGGCCGATATCCGCCTCGAAGAACAGGTTCTGAATGTCTTCCGCCGTGGAACAAGCGTCTTGCAGGATCTTCTCCCGCTCCTTCTCCGCTTGAACCAGGACTTTTTTCGCTTCCTGCACAAATTTCTCCTTGTCCGCCGCACGGTCCTCGTCCACGCGCTTTAGCTCCTCCTCCTGCGCATCCAAGTGCCGCTTCTGCTCCTCGGCCTTCAGCTGCAAATGCGCCACCTCGGCCTCGGCGTTGGCGAGAAGTTCGTCCCTCTCCGCCTGTGCCGCGGCCAAAATCCGCTTTGCCTCCGCGCGCATCTTCTCGACCTCTCGTTTCTGCGCCGTCAGCTGTTGCTCTACGGCAAGGGCATTATTCTCCGCCTTCGCCTCCACTGCCGCGGCCTCGGCAAGTAACTCGTCACGCTGCGCCTCCGCCACTTCGAGGTCATCTTCGCGCTGTAGGAAAGTTTCTTGATGATCATGGGCTGCAGATATGGTAGCGGCCAAAGTTACAGTTGGACCACTTGGAGCCATGGCTGCTGCGATTTGTTTGCCTTGTTCCACTTTTTGAGCGACCTGTTCTTCCTTCTTGTTGTTCTCTCCCTCTTTCTCGACCGTAATGTTGGCTGCATCGCCCTGATGTTGCTGGACAGTTACAACTGCTGGAGCAGCAGCTACTTCTGCAACTATTTGTGGTTGTGGTTCTTCCCGACGTCGCCCCTGTCGCTGCCAGATGACTGGTTGTTCTTCGGTCGTGATAGCAGACGGTTTATCCAATGCCGCTACAGTCGTTTCAGCACCTGTCGGTGGTGCAGCGATCGTTTGGTCTGTGTATGCTACCGCAATCATGTCTTGCGTGTGTGTATTCGCTCCCTCGATATTATTTCCCGCAAGAGTATCCATCGAGGCAAGTTGTGGTAGCTTCAACCTTTCAGTCAACGTCAGTTCAGCCGACTTGTTCCCCGCTAGCCGTGGAGTCGTGCCATCTTCCGGAGTGCCCGGATTAGACATCATGACGCCCGTCTGCTCCGCGTCCCCAGTCCCTAAAGCTGCCATGGAGCTTCTTTTCCCCGCTGCAGGGCTGGACACTTCCTCGCCCGCCAGTATGCCAGTCTGCGTAGCACCGGGTGACGGAACAGGAATATCACTATCCATTCCTTGCTCCGGCGTACTTGCGACGAAAGAACTTTTCTTCCCTTCATCGTCCGAAGAGTTCAACCGAGCCAAAGGTGGGTCTTGGTCCCCAATTCCGAGCAGCGAGCTCCGGTGCGCATTTTGATTTTCCTCCCCCGAGCTGCCAGACATTTGAATCAGTGCGGACTGGCCTTCCAACGTCTGCATGGAGTCACGGCGCGGCGCGTCTGGAGATTGCGAGTCCTCCTCAGGTGCTGGCTGTACACCACCCAGCGCCTGCATGGAGCCGCGACTGCGCCTGCGCGTGCGCACCGGGAATGGCGGGTCTTGCTCTTCATCCGTGCTACCTCGGCCCACAGGCTCGTGAACCTCTTCGGGGTTAAACAGGAGCGGTCCGTATTGGGAGCGATTGGTCGTATTGTAGGGACTTTGCACAAGAACAACGGGCAGGTGTGCGGAGTAGATGCTTTGGCCAGCAGGGGCCGCACTTCTTCGATGGTTACGCGCGCGGTGCTCCGCCGCGCTCCGGCGTCGCTCCGACGGCGAGGTCGAGCGGTTCGGAGTTGGTGCAGATGGCATAGTTATAGTTTTGCTTCTTACGTGACACGACTACTAGAGTTATAGAGGTTTTTTCCCAAAATAAAATTTTCAAAATCGGAGATGAAGAATGAATGCACTATGTGTATTAGGACTAGAGACAAAGCGCAGCACTATGCGAAGTACTTCTATATCAAAAAAACTATGTATCTATCTATATGTAGTTTACAATTGTCAACCGCGTGCAAAGAGGCCACAGCAACCGCCTGACACGGTCGTGTTGGTTGTCTTGAACTCCTCTACCTCGATTACGTCTGCCACCACTTCCCCCGTAGCGGACTCGTGAAAGCCGATAGCGTGGTTTTTCTTCTCCGTGATGGGAATCCCTCTGGAGTCCCGTCTGCCCAGTGATGGCCTCGTATCAGCGGGGACCACTGGTGGCAGCACTGTTCCGATCTGTTTGCCTGCAGTCGGGGAAGAGGAGCTTTTCAGAATGCTCCTTCTTGCGTTCTCCCCGCCCTGGCTGCTTGCCGAAGAGACCACCGAGTGGGTACTCGCCCGGTTCCCTGGGCTTTCCACCTCCCCGGAATTCATGCTATCATGGGGATTCGGATTTCATAAACGAAAAAAGGTAAAAATCCATAAACAGTTCGCAATATTGATGTGCTCGGTTCTACGAAAATTGTTAGAGATGTTGGGCCTGATGTTCTGATGCGTAGTGGGGGTACGGGTAGGTGGTTCTGGATGGTTTTGTGATCTGAAAAAAAAGAGAATCGTAATCGGGGGGAACTGTCACAGAAAAATGCTTGAAAATTCATGTGAATAAAGCAACACTCCTGATATGCGGTCGTGATTCAGAAGAACGAAACGATGAGTGGACGGTATAAAGGACGATTTTTTCGTACGATTAGACCGACGAGAGTAAGTATCCGAAATTTTCTTCCAACGATTAGAGGACCGATGGATAATCTTTTCGTACGACTGGCAATGCTGCTGAACCGACGGCAGAGCTTTTTTCATAATACGGCTGGAACGACGAGCTCAATCGATTCTGCACCGATGCTAATTGCATTTTACATGCACTGATTTTCATAGCTTCAGTTTTACTTCGCGCCAAATCAATGCATAAGGCGGCTCGAAAGACGGAGGATACCACGAGGAGTCAAAAGAACTCCAGCTCGTCCGCACTAAATCCAAATCATAAAAACGACGAAGGCTACAGGAGCAGGATGATGGCGAACCAAAACAAGACAAGCACCATATACACAGATGAAGGAACAGATCTTTTTGCTGCGCAGACGGCACGCGAACCCGAACCCTGCGAGCGCCTATAATTGTTTTTCTCATTCTAGAAGTTGTACTAGCTTTGCTTCACAAATTCCTTTCCACACAGCAGTTTACACATAGCATGGAGATCAAGAACAAAGGATCTTCGTCCCAAACAAAGTTCAGCTCTGATAGATTCAAGTCCTCCTCGCAGCCAGAAACTACTCCATCCCGATGAGGTAAAAAGTAGTTTCCTTTCCGCTCTCTCCTTACAGAAGCAAGCCCCCCACTTCGCCTTGCTCACGACCTAGCAAGGCGGTAAGTACCCTGGTACAACTGCTGCATCCCGCGCCCCCGTCCATCGTAACTTACTCCTCCTGTGCACCGAGGAGTTCTAGCCCCGCCAGCCGTCGTCGTTGTTGGGAGTGTCGCGGCGCTCGGTTACTAATATCTTTCTCGCACGCTAGGCCAGTACCGCACAGAGCGCGCACGGCGCTCTTGCGGGCTCGGGAGTGCCACCGCCTATCTCGCGTCGTCCGCCCGGACGGCGAACGCAAACCTGAGTAGGAGAAACAAAGCGACTATGCCATTTCTGGTCCAGAAACTTTCGAAATTTCTCCGCAACGAGCTCGCGCCCGCCGTGGGCAGCTGCGAGCTGAGGGCGCAGCAACCGCACAGGCGCAACGGAATTCCGCACGGCTGATCGATCACCCCCTCGACGGCTGTTTCGCCCGACGTGTCGCACTTGACGAGCGCCTCCCCGCCGGCACAGCTGTACCGCTGGAGCGTGTCGGGCTGCAGCACCTTCCCGGTGGACAACTTTCCGTAGTTCCGCGGGTCGAAGTCGTCCTGCACCGACGTGTCCACCCACAACGTCGTGTCCAGATCGTACCGCACCGGACATTCCGCGTTGCAGTTCACGTTTTGCGCGGTGACCTGGGAGTTCTGGCACAGCAGCTCCGCCGTCCCGACCGAGCCCCCGGTGCACGACACCGTCAGGGTCTGCATGTGGTAGAACTTCGGGTACTGCACGGGCGGGTCCAGCGGCCGGCGCGGGTCCAGCAGAATCTCCCCCGCCAGACACGGGAACCCGCAGTCCCCGCCGACGATCCGCACCTGCGCGTCGCTGCACCCGACGGAAATGGTGCTGTTGTCCGCGCACTGGCCCTTGTGGAAGGTGTCGTGGTAGATGAATCCGTGGCGAAACTCGTCGTTGATCAGTTCGCCGGGACGCAGGGGCAGGCAATGCCGCTTGCAGGTGAAGTCCTCCGCGGGGACCTTGCGGATCCCGTTGAAACACTCCACGCGGTAGGTTCCCACGGCCAGGTACGGGGGGCACTCGAACACGTTGTCCGTGGTGCCGTGCTCGACGACCCGGGGGGGCAGCACGTCGATGGTCCCCTGGTAGATGTAGGGGCGGCAGTTGATGACGCAGTTCTCCTCCAATATCTTCAGCTCCCCGTCGTCGCAGACGCGCAAAATCCCGGTGCCGTTGGCGAACTTGTTTGTGTCCGTGCACGGCGTCAAAACTTCCTCCCCGTGGTCGTAGTAGACGGAATCGTCGCGAGGGAGTAACAGCAAGTTGCCCCCCGGAAACGCCTTGCGGTACTGCGCCGCGACGCACCGCCGCTTGCAGGTCGCCTGCACATTCACGGTGCCGTCCTGACACTGCCAGTTAACTGTGCCCATGAACAGGCTGTGCCCGCCGGAGTTCGGCACGCCGGGGACCGGCGCGGACTTCCGGCCGAGGATGTCCTCGCAGTTTCGCGAATGCTGCTCCCCGTTGCGCATCAACGAGAACGTCGGCTCCCGCTGCAGCTCGTCGCGCCACGTGAACCCGGGCGTGCGGACCGGGCGGAAGTGGCCAAACTCCAACGAGAACTGCGGGTGGCCGATCGCCAAACCGGTCCGCGGGTCGATGTTGATTTCCGGCGTCGTGTAGCCCCCGTTGTCGTAAATCGGCAGTCCATCCGTCCCGAGCAGCGGGTCGACGTCCACGTCCCACTCGTGCTCCTCAAACTCAGTCCGGGCCGTCGGCTGGTTGCCCCAGAAGAACTCCAGGAACAACGTGAACGGGTCGTCCCCCACCTCGTCCAGATGCCCGTACTTCTCCGTGAAGGGGTTTCGCGCAAACCCCACGTAGTTCGGATCGGCCCTCCCGATCTTGAACAAAAACCCCTCGGCGGGACAGTTCCGCCCGCACGCGACGGAGTCCTGCAGGGCCGCGACCCGATCCTCCTGCGTCGGTGGCTTCCCGTCGTAGGAAAAATCCTTCGAGCCGAACGTGACATTTCCGTTGTAGCAGAGCAGCAACGGGTTGCTGGAAAACAAGTCCGTGTTGCTGTGGTTGTTCCAGCAGCTCATCAGCTTCGTCTCCATGTGCTCCAGCTGGAACCCCGTGAAATTCTGCGCGGAAAAGAAGTCGAAGTGGTCCGTGACAAAGAGCGGGTCCGGCGTCGTGGTCGCAATGTCCGATGTGATCATCGGCGGTCGCGTCATGCCGAGAAGCAGCGGCGGGGGCTCGGTGGTGGGTGGGGGAGTAGTCGTCGTCGTCGTGGCGAAGGTGAACATGATCGACAGCGTGGTGTTGTAGTCCAACCGCTGCGTGAGGCCGGACCGGCGCCACACGTCGGCCAGGTCGTTCACCACGCACTTCACGCCGCAGATTTCCGTCTGGTCCATCTTCACAAAAATGCCGTCCCAGCACACAAACCGCACCAGGTTCCCCGCTCCCGGGCAGGTGATGTGGTGCTCCTCGCCGTGCAAGAGATTCTTGTTTACCTCGTACGTGTGGCTGCCCGTTTCGTACCGCGTGTCGAAGTGCTCGAACACCAGCGGCCCGTAGCAGCTCTGCCCACAGGAGGTGACGCGCGAGACGAAGACGATACGCGGGAGTTGCTTGTAGGGGTAGAGCGCAGCGTCCAGGTTGTACTGATGCAGCGACGGCCGCCCCGGACCGTAGTCCGTTTTGTTCTCGTCAAATGCATCGTAGTACTGGTCACCGTACCGCCGCGCGTGGTCGAACTGGTAGGGGGGAAACAAAGACGTCGTTGCATTCAAGTACGTCGCGACCCGCCAATAGGGCCGCCCCCGCAACGAATTGTAGTCCTGCTCGACGTTGATGCTGTAGCCGCGGTAGGTCTCCGTGCCGCCACCCATATCGTGCCGCGTCTGCTCCGCGGGGGGGAGTGTCTGCCCGAAGGGGAGGGCAGGATGGTGCAACTGTCGCCCGTGTGAAGCTGCGGGTGGCGCCGGGGGGGCTTCAGAATACGCTCTCGTGCTCCTTTCTTGGTTTATTTCACTTGACGATGTTGTGGTCGTTGTTCCTACACCAAGAGCACTGTGTTCCAGACTGGAAGTAGAAGACGCCGCTCCTCCGCCTCGTCCTGCTCCCATTGGCGAGTTTATGTAGTCCGCCTGACTTTCGCCGTTGTAAAACGTTCCAAACTCCTGCTGTTCCAACTCCCTTGAGGACGCCGTGGCGAAGTTCTGCGTGTCGTAGTACTTCAGGTACTCCGCCTCGGAACTGCCCGGAAACGTCATGCTATCCTTAAACGTCTTCAACTGCGACTCCTCCAGTGCCCCCCACGCGTCGCACATGATCTCGACGGGACCGCCAAACCCGGGCGGGCACTGCAGTTGCATCGTGGAGAGGTAGGTCAGGTTGCTAACGTTGTAGGCCATGACGTGGCCGGACTTGTTCGCGGCAAGCACGTACTGTGTGTCGTTGTACGCGAGCGAAATGGTTGTGTTGTGGCAGTAGAGTGCGCGAGTGGTAGTGGTGGTCGTGGTGGTCGTTGGAAGGCAGATACCACTTTGGTACGACGGCGTGCCGTCTTCGCATCTGAGAATCGGGTTTGGCAGATACAGATGAAACAAAGGTGAAATAAATCTGGCTCAGATCATGACGCATTGACTCCGTCCGTGCACGTTTTATTGTGGTCGATGCGAGTGCAGGTGAAGAAAGTGTACCATATTTATTGTGCCGCTGTAGCATAACACCATCCCGAATTTTAGAACCGGGAAGTGTAGTAAACAACGCATTAGTTTAGCAAGAATCAAAAAACCCAGCGCAATGAAGATGCATGCGAAGGGTTCGATAAAATCTTGCACATTCCGTCCGTTCACGTTTTATTGTGGTCGATACGAGTGCAGGTGAAGAAGTAGGTGTATCATATTTATTGTGCCGCTGTAGCATAACACCATCCCGAATTTTGGAACCGGGAAGTGTAGTAAACAACGCATTAGTTTAGCAAGAATCAAAAAACCCAGCGCAATGAAGATGCATGCGAAGGGTTCGATAAAATCTTGCAGACCGGGGTCTTTCATTTTCAGATGTGACTACAGGATGATCGCCCTCGGAGACTTCCATTTTTAACTAGACTTCCTTTGAGTAGCCGCAGGTTGCAACAAGTGTTTGCTTATGCTTACCTCATCATCACCGTTCCCACATATCCATCAGGGCAAGTGGCCTGGAAGGTGGACAGGTGCAACTGCTCACCGAAGGACACTACCACACCCTTCCCTAAGGGAAACTGCCCTCCTGCACAATTTTGACCGCATTCGAAGGTTGCGACATATGCCCAACCATCGTCGCACGCCATCTCGATGATGCCGTAAAACCCGGTCTCGCAGTCGCGCCGGACGATCTCGCCGTGCTTAGATGAGTTCGTCAGATTTAGGGGCATGCCGCCGTGGTACACAACTTGAGGCAAGCAGTTGCGGTAACAGACCTGCTGACTCTGGAACCGGCCCCGAACCTGTATAAAAATTCCGGAAATAACGTTTTCTCGAAGATTTCTATTTGAAGACAAGAAAAAAAAACCGCCATATGCGCATACTGTGCGATCGATTCAACATCACAGATAGAAGCACAAAAATCCTGTACGCATTTTGCGTCGATCAGGGTCCCCGTTTCCTCGCAGGGGAACTTTTTCACCTCTCCCGAGTACTATCGTAAGGAAAAATCCCCCCTCCCCATATCGAAAACGTATCCGTCTGAAAATTTGTGATGCGCATTTGTGACCTCAAATCCTGTCTGTCTTGCAAGAAGGCAAGTCCAGAAAGCGTTCCGCATTTTGCAGGCGGTTTGTGATGCTGTTGGGATTAGAGCATACACGTCTGTCATGCTAGGCGCCTACGTCAAAACCTCTCGACTGAGGCTTGACATACGCCTGCAGTCGTCTCTAGCAAGCCAAATCTGATTTGTGTACGCAAATCCAGCATCAGAAACTTCGTTTTGATATGGGGAGGGGGGATTTTTCCTTTTGATAAGTACGCCGGGACACTCGGAATGGCCTTCAAGAACTGGCCCGCCATGAACGGCCGCAGGTCGTTGCAGTTTGCCTCGCACGGCGTGCCAATGGTGATGATCGCGATCTGGCCGTGGTAGCAGTGCATTTCGAATTGACCCGCATACTGCCCGGGACAGTTGGCCACGCGCTTTTCGTCGTGCTCCATGACTACGGTGACGGGGTAATCTAACGTGTAGGGTCTTTCCATCTCGTCCATGTAGCTGTATTTCAAACCCTTCGGGTGCAAGGTTCGAGGGGGACTGCCCGGTATGATGATGTTGGTGACCGGGTCCGGCGTGCCGACGGGGCAACCGAGCAAACAGTTTCCGGAAAGCACTGTGACCACCGCGTTGTCGCACTGCAGGTTTATGACCCCCTGGTACGGGGCCTTGCAAACGATGGTCTGCGTGGATCTATGGGGCATGGGGTTGTACCCGAGCAGCGCGCCGTTGTCCAAAATGTTTCCGGCCGGGCAGTCGTGGCCGCATTTCTGGTCGGTGTACATGTATTGCCCGTTGAAGCAACGCAAACGCAGCGGGCCCCCGTACCCGTCCGGGCAGGGGATGTCCTGGAACGACCCATGCGCCATGGCCGGAACGACGACCACCTGCTTGGACTCCAGCGCCTGGATGGTCCCCTTCGCGCAGTCGCGGTTGCACTTCATTTGCTGCGTGACACCAGGTGGGAAGGTCACTTCGCCAAGTTGGCAGAGCAGGTCCACAGTCCCTTGGAACCTGTTTGGAATGTAGTACTTTCTGTAGTTTCTCTACCACTTCTCTAGAGGGTTCTCGAACAAACAAGCCAGCTGCATGACGTCAAAGACAAACACACAGCAGAGAAGATGAAACCTGTAGGTATAGAATAAGGGCAACAGGAAAGAAATAAAACAAAAATTGCAGGTATCAAGTTGTACCCTGCTGGACAGTAACCCTGCGTGTATCGGCCCGGCTGCAGTGCGGGTACGTCGGGCACAATGAGCTTCAGCTGCTGCGCGCCCGCCGCACTGCCGACGGACACAAAGATGTTGTGGTTGTTGTCCTTCACACTGCATTCCATGGTGTGCACGAGGCACACTGCGTCGCAAAACCCGTCGGAGTTCATCACGGTTGGCGGTTCGGTCCCAATACTCACCCCTCCTACCGCTTTGAAGAGCGCCGGGCTGGGGGTCAGTGGCTCGATGGAACACTCATCCAGACTGGATTCCCCAACTAGCGGCTGCGCCGCGAAGAGATTCGCAGGCATACCGTGCAGCGTGCAAGTTCGGCGGCAGTGCGACCAGGTGATGCCCCAACAGGAAGTGCCCGCGCCCGCACAGTAGTCGCGGCACAGCTTGAAGCCCACATGGAAATCGAAGCCGTTCAGGTTGGCTTTGATCCCGGTCACTTCTTCCTGCTCGAACGTGCAGCGCCCGTCACCGTGCTTCCGAAATCCGGCATCTGCTCTTGGTAGAAACGGCAGGGCGCACGTCAGAAGATAAAGGAGGAGTGGAAACAAGCGCATTCCCGCGACCCCGATGGATAGTCTCGTCAGCATCGTGAAAGCTGCACACGGGATTTTCCCTCAGGCGCGGGGTCTTCTTCCCGCTGCCGTCACGTCCAAATTCAACCGCTGGACTAAGCGGTGCATGCACATTGCTAATCGAGGTAAGAGACGCATGGTGGGTGATTGTGGGTGCTGGAAAATAAGATTGCTTTAGCTTAAGAAAATTCAAACTTGTCAACAAAAACACGGACAGGAAAAGAACTAGTGAAGATGCTTGTTCAGCACTGTGTGAAAAAATTAATGGGTAGACACGGGAATACGGGTAGAAAGAATCAAGCTCACAATACTCAATATGGGTAGCAGAAGATGAAAAAGGTCCTGGCGACAGGTGCGAAAAGAGTTAGCTTCAGTCCGATGCTACAAACAATTCTGCTCGGCTTCAACTGAGTATCTACACGACCGATGTAGTGCCCTCTTCAAAGCAAATCTCTCATTATCAAATCGCTCAAGAGGATGACCCGCTCAACTTCACACTCCTAAAATTAGTGCAGGCAGTATCGAAACGAGCAAGCGATTAGCGCCTTCAAGCGCCGGAAAATGCGATGAAAAACAAATCTTGTTTTCGCTACAGAACACACCGCTGCGAAGCCCTTTATGGCATCAAGGCGAGTACAAATCAGAAAGTTGAGATGGAAACTTACATACATGACAGGTTGCGGAGTTGTCGCACAGTTAGTTTCAGTTTACACCGTACTGTTCACGATACTGCACGACGGCGTCCAAAAGTGGATCGCCTTTGTCTTTGAGATAAAGCTGCAAGTCCCCAAGCTGGATGATGCTGATTACGGGGAATTTGAATTCCTGCTCGACCTGTGATGTTGTTCTTTCTTAGCGCATGGCAAGTACTTCTGCGGCGTCATTTCCAAAAAGAAAAACCTTTCCATGCAAAAAAAACATAAAGACCATAAGCATCAAAAAATACCTTCTGTATCGCGGACAAGTTCTCCTCTAGGGAAACCTTTTCCTGGCGATCCAGTGCTACCAGAACGCCAACCACGGTACAACCGGGTATCTTCTCCAGCAGTGTCAGGGACTCGCGAATCGCGGTGCCGGCCGTGATGACGTCGTCGACGATGATGACTTTTTTGTTTGCCAAGTCCGCGCCGACGAAGACGCCGCCCTCGCCGTGGTCCTTCTCTACTTTTCGATTGAACGTGAAGGGGATGTCCTTCTTGTGCCCCCTCAAACCTATCGCGGTCGCGGTGACCAGTGGAATGCCCTTGTACGCCGGTCCGAACAAATGGTCAAACTCCAGGCCGGAGGACACGAGTGCGTCGGCGTAAAACTCCCCAAGTTCGCCAACCGAAGTGCCGGAGTTGAAGCTGCCAGCGTTGAAGAAAAACGGGGACTGCCGGCCAGATTTCAGCGTGAACGATCCAAATTTCAGCGCCTGCTGGGTCAAGCAGAATTCCACAAACTCAGTTTTTCGCTTGCCGTCCATTTTTTGATGCAGTGTGGGAATGTACGACGAAGAGGTTGAGTCGAGAACTACTCCGATTTTTGATGTTTGCAATTACAAGGCCAGCGTCAACCGATTAGTTGTAAGATTCGACTTACATCTAAACAAAACGCAATCACAGATCCGAACTACTTTTGGTCTGCTGAAGTGTGAGGTTTGACACACCACTGGCATTGCCACCTTCACATGTCTTCATTAACCGCAGCAACGGAACTTTTATTGGATCGGAGTATACTGGAATGTGTTTTATTCCCCTGATCCCAGAGTGAAGATCACTTCGATGCATTTTTCCTATCATAGAGATGAACACCGACCGGGTAACCGAGAAAACCAATCTGATGCGTGGTTGAACTGACAGCCTTCCTTTTGTGCGTTGGAAATTCCTCCTGCTCCGAACAAGCATCTAATAGTCCTCGCTGCGCACTTGCTCGCCCCCGAGAAAAGGCCCCAGCGCTCGCAACCGCCGCTGCTTCCCGGTCGGGGACATGCCCCGGCTCTTCTTCGGCGAGTCGCCCTGCTTCCGCACCCGGTACACGGCTGACAGGTACTGCGCGACGAACTCGCTGTGGTAGCAGGCCATGACGCAGATTGTGTTTTTCGACCGCCTTTCCCCCGCGGCATCCTCCTTTTCCATGTGCATGACCATGCGAGACATCCGTTCCCGGGCGAAATCCGTCAAGGGCTTGCGGTAGGTGTAATTTTCCCCGGACACGTCCAGCACACTGCAGAAGGTCTCCCAGTCCCTCGTCGTGAGCCAGAACGCCGCCTTTTCCTCCACGTTATAAAGGTGCTCCGCCATCGGACCGCAGTGGTACTCGTGGTTCTGCGCGTAGCTGCTGCCCTTGATGTCCATCAAATGGTCGTCGAGCCAGTCCCGAAACTGGTCCTCATCCAGGCCGCGGGGAAACCCGTACAGGTAGCAGCGGTATTCCAAATTTCTTTCCGGAAGATATGCGAAGGGCTGCAGCAGCTTTGCCACCGAGGGAAACTTCCGCACCGTCGCTTCCCGCTGCGCCCGTTTCAACACGGCCTGCCAACACCGCTCGAACTGCCACGCGGGCTTGACATCGGATTCCAGCAGGAACTTGGTGCAATCCCAACTCCCCGCCTGCGCGGCAAGAACGAGCAAGTTCGGCGCTAGGTACACCAACAGTCTTCGGTACGCGAACTCGAACTTGTGATTCAGAATTGCGATCAGCCCGGCGACGCACCCCGCTTGGATCACGAGATGGAGCGGAGACAACTCCCCGGGTTCGTGGTGTCCCTCCAACGAGTTGAATACCGGGATCCGCTTGGTCCGCTTTGATTTCGGCGTCGGGTATTTCTCAACCCAGCGGGACGCCAAGCTCGCGCGTTCGGTCAACCGGAGGTCCACGGGTTTCTTCTTCTTGTCCCCGTCTGTCCCAGAATGATCTTCCGGGGACGCGTTGATGTCGTCAGGCGAGGATGCCGCTGCGGCGTCGTCGTGGGTGCCAGTGGGTGCAGCTGGCTCCGCGCTGGGCTGTGCTGCGGACGGGACTGTTGCAGATAATGTCGTATACGTTTTTCAACAAGCTACGAGGGTACAATCGAATTTTCACACTAGCAGGACGAAATCTGATACAGACAGATCATCTTCTAAGTAGTAAAATACCTTCCTTCTGGTCCCTCGCAGGAGAACCATTATTCCCTTCTTCCCTCGCTACCTCCGGCGGGGGCAGCAAAGCTTCCGGTGGGGGATTCGGGAGAGCGTCTTCGGTCAACGCCAGACAGCGGACATCCGCCACAAAGGGCGTCAGATAGTCGTCTAGTTTTTGGCTTTCGAGCACCGCGTTCCGCAAGTTCCAGCTGTGCGCGGCGAGGTCCAGACTGCCGTAGGAAAACGGTCGGTCCTCCATTTGCTGTTCCAGTGCGGTGACCGTGGTTTCTGTAGCAGAGCTCGCGGCTTCGAACACGAGAATCCGGTCCGTTTCCGCTAGTCGCACGAAATCCTCGCAGAAGAGGTAGGTCTCGCCTGCCCCGACTGCCACGCCGTCCTCTTCTTCGTCGCTGCGCAGTGGTACGGGCGGCTTGTTCGCCGGCTGTTTCATCGCGCTGGTTTGCTGCTCCACCTCGGCCCCACTAGCGGGTGCGTTTTCGAAGTACAGAATACACCCCGGCTCGATTTCCCGCCGCGCCTGCGCGAACTGCTGCTCGTTTTGCACCCGAGGATAGGAGTTCATCATCTGCAGGAGTTCCCCGGCAGTGCTGAAAGCTAGCCTCCCGTTTGCGTACTCGAGCACAGCGTTGCGGTAGCTCACCTTCAGCGCCGACCACTGACTCCGACTGATGACCATGGCGCCGGAAGAAAGAATCTCCGTCTCGCAGTCGGGACGGTGCAGCTGAAGAACTGTCAAAGTGAAAATGGTTCGATGAAAGAATATTCAGAAGACGTTGAGACCTGTTCCTGATAAAGACACACGCGTACGGCAGAGAAGGTGGGATGGCATAGCGGTCCATGAAACGAATTAGTTGCAAACAAGCTCTGTAAGCGAGTACACTTATACTTCTCTTCCCCGCCCCGCCCTCGGTCTCGCCAAGCCGTCGACCGACCTCATCGTGCAGGTTCCGACCGACCGAAATCTCCACAAAGTGACCCGGGACCGTGGGCATCACGCTTCCCCCTTCCTTCATCTTCCAAAAGCCCCCGTGCTGCACGTTCTTCAGCAAAATATCGCCGGGTTCAAAGGTGTCCGCAGTCAGCCACGAGTTGTTCTTCAGTCGCTTCGCCGGGTCCGCAAACGTGACGCCGCGCGGGGAAGCAGGACCTTTTTGAGCGTTGCTTTTCGCTGGTCCTCTGGCCGCGGTAGTGCTATTGACGCCAACTGAACCATGCTCCACTTGAAATTGTCCTGCCGCAACTAACTCCTGATCCGAAAGAAGGAGCGAACTTTCTCCGTCTTCCAACCCAGACGGCGCACCGTACGACTGCGACCCCGCGGTGCTTCGGTAGTAGTCCGCCGCGCGAAACGCCGCGTGCTGCGCCGCAATTTCCGGCGGCATCCGCTCGCGGATCGGCGCGGCGTAGGGGTTGGAGCTCGCTAGCGAGGCGGTGACCGGCTCGCTCGGGGGGACGGAGCTGTACTCGTCTGAGCTCGGGTCGTGCAGCGGGACCTCAGTGGTTTCGCAGAAAAACCGCAGAAACACCTTCACCACTTCCCCGTAGCCCTTCATGCACGCCCTCGTGAAGGGAAGAATCGTGGACCTGGGATAAACCGTCTGCATCAGCCGGATGTCCTGCGACAGGATGCAGTCGACGAGCAGGGGCTTGTTGTTCTCCACCGCGATGTGCAGCACCGTCTCCCCGTCCAGATTCGGCTCGTCCAGAGAGCTCACCCCCTTGGGGTTCACCTTCAACAGTTGCTCGAAAATCTCCCGCGCCTCCTGCTCGAGCGCCGGGTTGGCATTTCCGTTCACAGCGGCCAGAAAGCCGTTTTGCCCGCCGCGACAGCAGTGGAACCGCGGGTCTTCGCCGTGCAAGTCTTGCCGCGTGGGGTCGGCTTTCGCGTCGATCAGAACCGCCGCCGCGCTCTTGTCCGCGTTGAACGCGGCCCACATCAGTGGCGTCCACTTGCTGAAGTTGTGCTCGGCCACGTACTCCGGGTAGGCTTTCAGTTCCAAAAAGGGCACCACGGGATGTCGGGTTTCCGCGGCGTGGTACAGGCCCTTGTTGCACTCAAACAACTGCTCCAATACCTTCGCGTTGTCCCCCATCTGGGCTGCGTAGTCCGCCGCCGTCTTCCCCACGTGGTCCCGCATGTAGACGGACGCACCCTTCGCAATCAGCAATTGCAGCAGATCGATCTTCCGGTTCAGCGCGGCCCACACGAGTGCGCTCCAGCCGTCGTCATCCACCGCATCCAGTTGCGCGCCCTTGGCCAGACACTCGCGCACAATCGCCGTCTCCCGATTCTTCGCCGCCTCCAGCATTTCCAAGTTCAGCGCATGCACCTCGCGAACCACGATCAGCTGCTCGCGGTGGTCTTGCGCGGCCTGCACGGGCGTGCGTCCAAAGTTGTCCTCTTTGTTCAGACTCGCCGCGTTGCAAATCAACAGTTTGCACGTCTCCACGTGCCCGTGAATCGTGCCCCAGTGAATCGCCGTCCGCCCGTCCTTGTCTGCCGCGTCCACGAGTGCCTTGGAACAAACCCGCGCTAGCGCCTCCACCGTGACGTCGTTTCCGTGAATACTCGCCGCGATCAAGGGGGTGAAGAGGTTGAAGTCCCGGCCGCCAGGATTGGCTCGCGCAGAGAGCAGCAGCTGCGCCACCTCCTTGGCGTTCGCACGGGCCGCGACGTGCAGCGGCTTTTGCAAATCCCGCTCTGGTCGCTCGAGAAGCGCTTCCCAGAGGGAGTTCGGAGATTTTTCCGGCGTCGTCCACTTGTCCTTTGGTATTTGGGTAGCGTTCGCTGGGTAAAACTTGAGGTCCGCGCTCGTGTCTTTCAGCAAGTGAAACACCGCCTCGCTGTTTCCGTCGGCCGCGAAGTGGAGGATCGTCCACCCAAACACGTCTGTCTGGGCCCATGACTGGCTGCTGACGTAATCAGTGTGGGACGCCGCGACAGCCTTGCGCATATAGTCCCAGTTCTCCACCCGCGTGAACAAAATTTGCCCGGGATTTTCGGGGTCCTCGGAGATTTTTTGCTCAAACACCGGATAAGCGGCGCCGAGGACCGGAACCCCGCCAACCGTCCCCTGCTCCTGCTGCGGTCCACCCCCGCCGCCGGCCGAAGCCGAGGCACGGGAGGAGGAAGAGACCGCCGAGGCCGGGCGACCCTTCGGGGGCCCGCCGCCAGCTTGGGACGACGCAGCGGAGCCCGGCCTGCCGGCGCTGTGGCCGCTTCCGATGCTGGATGTGCCACTGGCGGATCGCTTCGCTGCCTTCGGGAAAACCGATTTATCATTTCCGTTTCTGCCGAGGGCCGGCGACGTAGCGGCGCGTAGTTGCGTCTTGTTTGGAGATCCGGCAGCAGTTGTTCCGCCCCCCGTGCTGGTTCCCCGGTCCGAAGAGGCCGCGGACGCGGTAGCAGCCTTCTCCGAGGTTGCGTTGAACGCATTTGTGTCGGACGCCTCACTACCCCCGTCGCCTTGCTTCTTGCTCGGACTGGGAGGTCGCAGCGTTTTAGCGGACGCCCGGTCGGACCCCGAGTGGCTTTCCACCTCGCAGATGAAGGACTGCATTGTTGTTCTGCGACTCGACTCTCTTTCATTTCACTCATGATCATTCTTGTTCCCCATGCCTGATCATTCGTCCTCTTTCGCATTCCTCGCTCAGGTTCGTTGGCATAATTGGCTCAGTGTTGATCCTTCTGTCCACGTTAGTGTTATGCCCCGCCCGCATAATCTTCTAGGGACTACTACAGTTATCCACCATGACGATTTTAGGCCCTTTCAAACTTTTTGCTCTGACGAAACGAAACCAGAAACCTGAACCAACGATTTACAGAAAAGGAACGTAAATTGTGTACTGGACGAGGAACAAACCAAGCGAAACTGAAACTTCCGCCCGCAAATAAAGCTTGATAGACCAATGTATGATATCCAAGAGCGATGCGCTCGCAAACGCTTACTGGTGGTTAACGTTCAAGAGGTACGACGACAACACCTCTTACAAAGAATTCTTGAGGTCCTGGTAATTGATGCCTCAAATTCTATTTTACACAGTGAAGCTGTAAGTAGACTCGCACTCCTTCTCCTGGTGCCTGCAGCGCAGTCACAAAGATACCCTTGCACCGCGCAGTCACGTGTTCTTTCGCGGTGGTATTCGCAAAACAACGGAGACGCCGGTTTATCTCATGGCAGTGCGGCTATGTTTTTTATCCAGCCTCGTGCACTCGCCACAAGAGACCAGCCTCGCAGGCTTCCTTTACATACCAAGATCCGCATGCCCGAACGCAACGCGTGATAGCCAACGCGGTTTCGTTTCTATCGCAAACCGCTCTGGCACTGTCGTACGATTCTTGGAAGCGAGTTCTTGTACCGGCAAGTCGTTGAAATTAGTCCATCGCACCGGGTCTTCGCCTCCGCCGGTGCCGGTCCGGATGCTCCGGCGCACTGCCGAGTAAGTTGCCTTTTCGCGGCCGACTCCTCCAACTACGCTCCGTCCTCTGCGGCCCGCTCGCGCTCTTCGCGACTTTTCGTGAAGAGCAGGGGGAACATGCCGAGCAGACACCCGGTGAAAATCCCGGTTGCCATGGCCACGGTTTTCATGCGCTGGACCTCGTGCAGTTTCATTTGCCTAGAGGTGAGTCTGTGGTCGTCCACGTGCAGCCCGGCCAGGTATTCCACCGTGCCACCCAGCCAGATCCCGGACACGTCGCCCACGATGTTTCCCAACGCCGCCGCCGCCATGGTGCTGATCCCGAGGAAGGCGCCCAGGTACGCGTCGAAGAACTCGCCAAACACCAGCATGATGGTGTTGTCGAGGAAGCCGAACGCGAGAAAGGGCAAGAAATTCCCCAGGAAGTACAGCTGCAGCTGTCGCGGCTGCGGCGGATCCACCGGCTCTTCGTCTTCCTGCATCTGCTCGGCCACATCCTCGGCGCTGCCGGGCGTGCCGTTGACGCTGCTCGCCAGGGCTTCGACGCCACTGCTGCGCTTTTTCCGGACGGGGGGCTTCACGGCCGACGGGTCAATGTGCTCGAGTTGGGCTTCGAGCGCCTCCCAGGCCGCGGCATTTTCCGTGCGAAATTTCTCCAGTTGTGCGGTCTCCAGCGCCTGCAGCCTGGAACGGATGCTGTCTGTGCTGAGAAACCGACAGGACTGATGTGACGGTCGATTAAGATTATGCGCCGGGCCGGTCGGGGTTGCTGAGGCAGAGTAGACCGCATCAAATCTTCGTGGGCGCACTTGCAAGTGGACGACACCAGGTCGCCACAGGCGAGTTGAAGAAGACGAAGAACTCGAGCGTGTTTCAGTTTGCGTCGCGGACACTAGCCGCCGGAAAGCTCGCGGCCGCATCACGATCAAGGGAGAAGATACCTGCTGCCCGAGAGATCGTGACGAAACAAGCATCTTCGTCACTGATAGGAACAAAACGACGCCGTTCTTTTTTCACATTTGAGTAGCGTTTTCACGCAAGGCGCCGTGCGCAATAGATAGCTCAGAAGATAGCCACTCTCTGTCTACCGCGGTCTTGAATGCGCTCTAATTCTCCTCCCTGACACGCTCCACTCGCGATCCTTGTTCCAGGCATTTTCATAAACCCCGCACAATTGAAATTGCCAAACTTATCTGCCAGAAAAAAGTATATACCCGCATCACCTGAACAACCGGGTATGCACGATTGTATCGCACAATCCATGAAAAAATGAATCAGTTGTGAAAGAATCATGTCGTACTTTGCAGAGTCAATGGCGTTGACTGATTGCGTGTTCATTTCGTTTTTTTACAACATCCCGCGCCCAATAGTTTCCAGCATTCCTGCGAAGAAGTACTTACAACTTCCGTCCTCACGTCACGCCGTTCCTTGGACTTGCGTGTCAAACGTCACAAGAAGGCAGAGACCGACTACAAGCATCTTCGTCCGCAGTCTCGCCGAAGTCTTGCCGCGTCATGGCCCCCTTCGTGTACCCGATCGTCCCAGCCCGGCACTTCTGGCCTTCCAGCGTGTGATGGTGCTTGTCACTTCTTCTATGTCGGTTTGCTTTTCGCGGGACTCCCGTTCCTCGATGCGTTGGAGAGTTGTCGTGGCACAATCGGCGCCTCCACGTCACTGGCCAGGTTGCTCCCGACGTTGCTGCCGTCAAACGGGCTTGTGCTGTTGGCGGTTCCCGAGGACGATCCCGCTGAAGATCCGTTTCGTATTCCCGCGAGGACTCCGTTTTTGCTGATCGCGGTCGTGCTACTGGAAAACGAGGCACCACCAGCCGCCCCCTTCGGCTCGTGGTACAGGAGCTCCTTGCTCCCCGCTTCGTCGTCGCCGCCTGATGAAGTTGGAACGGTGAGTGTTCATCGGTGAGTGATCATCACTATCGTGGATGCAGCTGCCGCAGCAGCCTCGAGATTGCAGTTGTAACAGGTGCAGCTACTGCTAGTGCTACTCCTTTTCCTACTCACTCTTCATAGTAGAACGCGCGCACGGGCTTCTCCGGCTGCGGCAGGAGGAAAAACGCGTTGTCATTCTTCTCAGTGATGGTGTCGTGCATCCGCTCCACCCACACTTCGGTCATGCAGGCATACCCAATGAGGAAAAGGATCCCTTAGAGTATAAACGAGTAAAGGATCTTGATCTTCACTTCCCCGAAGTAGATTTGCTCGACGTACCAGCTGCACCCGTTTAATCTAGAGGTGCGAGTATCATCTTCACTTGTCGTGGCTAATCCTAAGGCTCCTGTCGGCTGCAAGATAGGGACAACGTCTGGAACATGTACTGCAGATGATGTTTCGTAAAAGAACTACTTCACACAGCCATCCCTATGATCAGTCGTCGCGAAGCTGGAGCTTCTTCAACAAGTAGAATTACTAAAAATCTCTCTAGTACCAAGCGTCGCTAGTGCCCGGCCCTTCTGCGCCTCGTTGGGGTCTTGCTCCGTGGCCTTCTGCAGGTTGAACTTTTCCAGCAGGTAGCTCCCCAGAATGCAGATGGCGAACGTGGAGAGCATGATGCCCGCGGTGACGGAGTCCGGTATTTTCACGACCTTTTCCAGCATCAGTTTACCGCCCGTGAAGACGAGCACGAAGCCCACGCCATACTTGAGCAGCGAAAACAGCGCGATGAGCTCGGACACCATGAAAAACGTCGCACGGAGGCCGAGCGTTGCGAAGGCGCAAGCCGTGTAGGCCAGGTAGATATCCGGTATCTGCGCAATGATGGCGGACGCCGAGTCGACGGCGAAAACCACGTCGGTGGCGGCGAGACAGCACGCTACAAGAAACGACATGGTGCAGCGAGTCTGCAGCTGTTTTGGAATAATGGAGAATCAGTTGCGTGGTCATACGAATAAGTCATCAGATACGAGATGGAAAGCGATGCAACATCGAAGTTTCCATACATACTTTCTTCCCTCGCGAGCAGGCCGGGACTTAGCAATGTGATAACCAAATGGAACACGACGACGTACTTACCTCTTCAGCCGGTGTCCCCCCGGCACCCCCACTGTCGCTTCTGCTTTTCGAGGGTGACCTGTAGGGGAACCTCCTGACCAGGGACCGGTGCTTCTTCGGTATCCCTTCGTCCGAAAGCTCGCCATTTGTTCGATCCGAATTTGGGCTGCCGGCCGCTAGTATGTTGTCGCTCTCGTTGCTTCCGCCTGCACGATCTTCGCCGGCCGTCTTGCTGCCCGGTCCTGCGGAAGTAGATCCCGCTGCCCCCGCTGCGCCGCTGCCACTGCCGCCAATCTCCAAGTCTAGGTCCTTCATGTTACCACTGCTACTGTTGTTCCCGACGACCTCCGCCAGCTCGATGTTCTTGCTCGTACTCGAGCTGCCGCCCTTTTGCTCCAGCCCCGCTGCTAGGTTGCTGTTCTGAAGGTCCACATGTTGGTGCATCCGGTCCGCGGACGTGGGCGAGTCGGCCAGCGTGTCGTCGTAGCTGTGCTTGCTCACCTGCACGAAAAACCGCCCGTCCGCGTCGTAGTAGCTGACGAGCGGTATGCGCTTGGCCAGCCACTGGATCACGCGGCCTTGCGTCGGGTCCTCGTCGTCATCCTCGTCCGTGACCACGACTTTGACGCCCGTGTAAACGAGAAACCCGCCCAGGATCAGGTAGACGAAGGAGATGCTGTGGTAAAGCCATTCTCCCACCGCGAACAGCAGCAAGCGCAGCACGATGACGCCGATGATGCCGAGGAACAGCGGTTTTTGCTGCAGGTAACTCGGGCACTTGTACATTTCAAAAATCACCCGGTACACGAACAGGTTGTCCACGGAAAGCATCCACTCCAGGAGGTAACTGGTGGGCGAGGAGAGAAATGAATGTATGACATTGCATAGATACATGCTGGTGCCAGTTTTATTCAAAAAACCACAAAAAAAAATTAAACAAGCCCCAGCACAAATCAATGCACTACTCCCTTACCCGGTGCTCCACTGCAGCGCGGGGGTGACCCCGCGCACGAAAACGATGAAGCCCCAGAAGCCTAGCGCACAGAGGAAGTAGAACAACACATACAAGGCGCTTTGCTTCAAGGTCATTTTGCTGATGCCCCGCAACAAGCACACACTGTCGAACACCATGAGAAGCACGAACGCGACCCCGAAGAAAATCCACTCACCGATGCCTCCGAGCGCGATTTCTCCATTTGTCGTAGCGCGTGCAGACGTGCCGGGATCGGAGTAGTGTTGTGTGCTGGATGACATGGAAGCGCTTCTTGACCCGAGCATGTCCTGGACCAGTCCCCCCGAGGAAGAGGGGGACTGTACAAAATTCGTGTTCATTCTTGTTGATGGCTTTTATTTACACAGATAGTGCCATTTAGTTTTTCGATGCAAAACACTTCGTACAACCAAGAAAAAGCACTGACGTCTCTACCTTACATCAAAGGTCTGAAGGTTAAAATGCATTTCATTATTTCGCACTTCGTACATCTGATCAGACTAGGTATGAGTTGGAGAAGTGCAAGGGCCGCAACGTATGTCATTCAGTAAGAAATCTTGTGGTCTTTTCACGACTTATCTTCACTCTTGTTAGAAATTTCCTTCGACAAAAAATGCCCACAGTCTCCATATTCAAGTTGCACGTACAGTAACCTCTCTTTCAGTTGATATGCCGCAAGGACCCGAATGCACGACACATGCGCTTGCTCACACACAGGGCCGGGTAAGATTGGAAATTGCAAAGACGCCGCCAACACTGAATTTGTCAATCACAACGGGAAAGTCTAGGGCACCCCGTACCAACTTTCTGCATGACGTGCAGTGTTGAAACTCGGACTGGCGGAGAGAGACAGTCAAAAGATTGACGTTCATTTTTCCCTTGCGCGGGAGGAAGTGCGAGTGCCTGATGAAACGCGTACATTTAAACTCATTTCCGAGAATACGTGGAGCGGCACAACAACATATCGGAGTACTTCTAGCCCTCATTAGATTTTCATTATCAAGCACTATCCGCCGCCCGGGTTGTTCTCCGACCCTCCCCTGTCACATCCCGGTTTCCCAGCGGCTTCTCCATTGTCACAAAGATATTCCCCGCGTCCCGTGGGTGCACCGTCTGGATGCTGGGAAAAACGGAGCGAACCGAACCGAGAAACTCCACGGCAGCCCGAAATAATCTTGCTTCGCCTTTCCCGGTGATGAGGCGCAAAGTCACTCGCGACCGAGTGCCTCCGTCCGTCTGATTCAAGTCGCCTGAAGATAATCCATTCCGAGATGCAGCAGCGCCAAAACTTTTCTCGACCTGGCCCAAAGCGCAGAACAAACAAACTTTCACCACTGGGGCGCAATAACTGCGGTCGGTGCACATGTTCACCGGATGAAAATCCAAGATCAGGGGATTGCTCGCTGAAGTATCTTCATGACCCACAGGCTGCAGTCCCGTTCCTATCCCCTGTAGCTTTTTCAAATCAAATCGCCCCTGCGGATACACGTCGGCGCTCCTCGTTTGCCACAGCTGCACGGCGGCCTGCCAGCCAGGGTGCGTCAAATTTGTCGCGCCATCCAAAAGGAACGCAAAACCGGCTCGAAAGAGCCCCTCGGTCCAGGGCACTTTCGTTTTCTGTGGGTGGAAGGGTCCGAGGATCATTTTGCGTGCAATCTGCACGGTACTTGCCTTGATCACGGACATACTGGCCGGGATCGCGCCTCCATCCACCGGGGATAATTGGCAACTCTGGGGCGGTCCTTCTTCGGGAGCCCAAAAAAACTTCCAGCTCGCGCCCGCCTCCTGCCGATCGGGTCCGGTAGCAGCAACGCTCGCGGTCAGAATCGTCTCAGGCAGCAGGCACCGCGGAAGTCCATGGACACTCACAGTCTTATTTGTTGCGACAGAATCATTTTTCGCAGTTGCCAGTCGAACATGTTGCTTCGACGGCCCCTCTCCGCCATGGTGGTCTCCGTCTCCGGCACGGGTAATTGCGAACACGCGGATTCTACCGCCCGAGTTTGTTCCGGAAGACAGACAGCGCTGCTGCTCCAGAAGTTCTGCCGAATTTTCGTTCTGGTTGCTTTCGAGATTATACGACCGCTCCAGATTGTGCAGCACGGCGTAGGCAATCTGGGTGTTGATCTCCATTTTCAGGTCCTGCATCTTCCGCAAAAGATTCAAAGCCAGGAGCCACTCGCCGGGCGGGAGCGCGGAGATTACTGTTCCGAAGGAAATCTTGTCAACAACAGGCTTTGGGTTCGGTGTACTATCATTCGCCGCACCTGTAGTTGCAAAATCATTGCCGCCGTTCTCCTCAACTTGCAGCATGTGGGCGAGCAGTTCCAATCCCTCCATCCACCGCCCGGATTTGTGCAGCGCCAGTAGCATGGCATTGTGTACCACCGTGTTTGCCAATCCCCGGCGCCTCGCGGTGATGAAGATCTTCAGTGCGGCTAGCAGTGGATCGTCACTGGATTTTTCGCCCAGAATGCGCGCATGGGAAGATGAACAATCGGCAGACGACTCTGAAGACGATGCTGTGTCTTGCCTTTGCTCTAGCTGCGCACTGTCGTTGTGATCCAAATTTTTCGTCAGGAAATGCGCTAGCATCACCGTTCGACTTTCTTCTTGATGTTGGTGGTTCTGATCGCAAGCCCGCGCGACAACGTCCAGCGCCGAGCCGAGGAAATGAGTGTCCTGTGTCTCTTTTGGTACCGAGTGATCGACAAATTTTGACAACTCGCGCCACGCTCGGGACGGGAAACACCGCACCACCTGCATGGCGCACCGGATATCCGCGCTGCAGGGCTTCGCGTACTTGCGGTACAATGACTCTGCTTTCTGATGGTAGTGACAGCTTCTTGTCCTCCGCCCCTCTTGCACGCAACGCTCTTCGCGCTGTCGCATGGCCACCCGGGCGGCGTTGCCGAGTTTCTGGAGCACCGTGGACAGCGTAAAAGCGTCGGGCGCGACAAGCTGGATTGGCGTCGTGTCGTAATCGACGTAGGCGGCCGGAGGACTGCTCGTGGTGTTACCTTCAACTGCCTCGGTTGATGTTGATGTTGTGCCCCCGCTGACAGCTTTTGTTACATTTTCCCTTCTCCTTCCAAAGCATTTCTCCAGATTCAGCTCCTCTCCCTTGCAGATAAATACGCCGTCTGGTGGACGCGATGAGGGCAACGACGATGATGAGGTGTAGTTTCTGCCTGTGGAAGAATCGGTAGCGCTAGGAAGAAGCAGCTCCTCGCGCAGATCCTTCCCCATCTCACCGTCGAACCGGCACTCAAGCAGCACTGCGGCGGCAGGCAGCGGGAGTTGCTTGAGCAAAGCGTTCAGCGGAACCAGGCTGGCGCGGTGCGGGCTGGCAGACTCTAACGCGGGTAGAAGTTTTGCTGCCTCTTGCCACGGAATCTTGTTCCGCGAAAACGCTTCGAACGCAATCGTATAGATCCAGCCGTTTTCCGATTTCTCCTGCAGCAGTTTTGGACTTTTTATCAAATGCCACGCAGCATTCAAGATGTCCTCCGCCGTCGCCCGAGGGTCCTTCAGAATCGCCAGCTTGTCGAATTTGCATGATGTCGAAGATTCCTCCCTGCTTACGGAATCACTTTGCCTTGCAGCGTCTTCACAGAGGCTTTCAGGTTTTCGCCTGGGCAGCTTCTTAGATGGTGGATGCGGGCGGGAATTCTGTGGGAAGCTGCTGAAGTGTCGCAATGATAGCACACCGCGATGCGGCGCATCCCGAATCTTTCCGCTGCACATCTGCACGCGCAAAGTGCAGCCTGAAGACGAGCTGCAGCCTCGCGTAACAGTTGCCATCTTGCTGCTCGCTTTCTTCTTGGCAACTAGCTACGGACGTAATAACCTGCCTGTTATTAAAACAGTCGCATGAAAAAACGATGCGCTAATCAAAAAATTTCATGAGCTAAAGCCGCGTAAAACTTTCTCGCCAAAAACATGAACGAGTTCAGCACAAACCGAAAACCAGCATCAAAGATCTCGAACGCCACACGACAAGCACACGAAAATGCTGCGCAATCTCGACCTGGATCAGGAGATCTTGGTTTACTACGTACAGCGATAGAACAACCAGGCAGTTTTCTGCGGACAACAAAAGAGACTTCGAGTTCTATGATACTTTTTTAGCTCAGTAAAAATCGACAAGCCGGAGTACGTTTGGTACGTTGTCTTCTGTCGTGAGCTACTTCATCATGAGCCGGAGGACATTGGTAGGTATATGCTGACAACGACGTCGAACAAAGATCTGTGCGCGCTTAATCATGTGTGTCACCAATTCTGTCCACATCGATGCCCGAACCTTGTCAGAGATTCGCAATCAACAAAGCAATTTTTTCTTCTTTTTCTCACGTGCGCGCCCGCCATGGCTAGGGTCTGGTCTGCTGCGTAAAAAAATCAGGAGCTGCTGACACCGTGCGATGCCGCGGAGAGGGTGAAAGGGGGGATAGATTTGATCGTCAGATCTTCATCCGTCTGCTCTCGCCGACGATACTTTCGCAGTGTCGTAAATCTCCTTTATTGCAGTTTCGATTCCAGGTCGGCTTTCTTCGATTGGAGGCTGTTGGGAAGATTTCAGTGTCCTCACTTCATTTTTCGCACTGATAGGTCAGCATAGGTACAAGCACACTGATTCCCATGTTCACGACTCTGCCGAACTAAAAATTTTCTCATGTGCTAAATCAATATCCGACTACACTACCAATCAATACGATTACGAAGTACTGAGGCCAAAAAAAAAAAGTACTCTGCCAAAGTTTGTCGCAGCTCCTCGAGTGACTCGCCACTGGTGGAAACCGGCGGAAAGCCCGACTCTTTGTGCTTTTCCTTCAACCACGCCAGCATGAAGGCTGACGGGTCTTCTGGTCGGTCGAGCAGCATCTGCGTGACGAGCTGTTCCAACACCGGGTTCACCTTTTCCTGGATGAACAGCATGTGATCCGCTGCCGTCGCCATTCTTTCGCGCTACGACGTTCTCTATTTGCTTCAAATGAATCCCGAACAATTTCCTAGTTCTGTTGTACTCTCGAACTTTATTACAACTGCACGGCCTGACTATTTCGTTCTCCTTGAAAATTCTTCAGTTTCCCTGTTTCACGCGCTCAAGGGGACAGCGTAAAACCTGGCTTTGCGGGAACAAGAATGCTGCAGCATATGTACATGCGACTTGTTATGTGAAAGAAGATTTCTTTTTGTACGTAGGTAACTTGTATTCATCTTCACAAGACTGATATTATCCGCTCGCCCACGTCTTTCCAGGTGCACAATTGTGACTCTTTCTTGCTAGCGAGTTGCAAATTCTCTTCGACATGCCAACACTGCTCTCCGGCAAAGAAAAAAACGCAACACTTCTATGACGAATAAAAAAAAACAATAGAGTCCGCGTTTGAGAATATTTGCAACTGCTGCGGCCCTATAGAAAAAAGACCGAACAGGCCTCGCATCTTTAGGAACCCAATCGCAATCCTGTCCCTCCGCATCAGAAAAACCAAAGCCCTCCTGAATAAGTTGGCTTGCATGAATCATTTTTTTCCGTAGAAAGGGGGCCACGAAAATTTGCTTTTCTTTACATGTTGCATATTTTGTCTCGGTCCCTTCTATATTCTTATGGTGTAAATGCGCGATGATGATGACTAGTGCGTTTTCTCTATGCCAAGAAGCTCTTGCGACGCTAAGCTCCGAATGTCATACCTTTCTGCAAATCAGTAGGTGAGACGATCTCAGTAGATCTCAAAGAAAACCACTACCAAATGTCAAAAATATCAAGTTTAGTACATGAGTATATCTTATTCGACAGCCACTTGATTTTCGCTGCGTGCTCTCGCTGCTTCTGTGCTCGCCCACGAGGCGTTGCTGTTGTGATGCCAGCATCTTCGTAGCATGGCTTGCACCTTCTTATGTTCGGTGCTGCACGGTTGCAGCACCGGAAACAGCAGCAGGTGTGCCGGACAATAAATAATGTACAGTACGTAGAGCAACGCATTTCCAGGTTTTCTGCTCTAGCTAGTAGCTTTCAATATTCGCGAGCAACTTTCAAATCGGTGTGGCGCGTACCTATTGTGTCCTGGCATTGTCGAAAAGCGCCGATACCTTTCTTTCAAAGGCGGCCATAAAACACTCCTGGTTCTTCGTTTCGTGCGTGTGTATTACAAAGTGGAAGTGCGTGAAGATGATGCGACAAAAATAAATTGATTGATGCATGGCATTTTCAAAAACTGCTAGTTCCGGTAGTGGCCCTTTGAAAAAGTCATGTTGCGTTGTCCCCAGTGCGGGAGCGTGCATACTTCTTGCTTCTATCCCAGCTAGCATCTAGAGAATACCGGATGAAGATAGCTGCGCGGGTGTCTTCAGTGCTTTCGGGGGTACACTTTGATCAGTGCCGACGATCACTGCGAGTGCGAGACGAGCAGCTCCCGGCCTATTAAAAATGCACCTCGGAGTATCCACACCGCAACGAAGTATCCACACCCATTCTCGTGCTGGCATCGCAGTCACGCCTTCCGTTTCTTCAAAATAAAAAACAAATGACCTAGACTGGTCGTTCTTTCACTCCGGACTCTTTGTCTTTTTGCAACCTCAGTATGCGAAAGGCAGCTGATGCTTTGATTAGCAGATGCGCGACGACACAATCCTTCCGTGTGTCGCGTAACTCAGGAAAAAAAACTGAAGTTCTGAAATATATTTCCTACGACAATCGATCCGAGGCATTTTTGGTTCCAATGCTCCGAAAAGACAGGTCTGGAAAAAGCTGTATTGTCAAATCACATTTTGAAAAGGAACTATTAAAGTGTAGAGCGATGTATCTAATTCTCTCTCCTGCTGTATTCTCTGGAAAAAAGTGTAACTCCTAGTTGTGCCAAGTAGTTTGCACTACCACCTTCATATCGTTTCTGGACGTATTATTTTTACCTTCTACTAAACGATCTTTCTGTAATATTCTCTAACAATAAGATTTGCTTTTGCAGGTTTCACTTCTCATGGCGCGTGGCTTTCTCAGCACCAACCAACATAATTTCTAATATTCAGCGTACTATCAAAACCTCGAATATCGTAGTTTTTCGTAAGGCTCTGCCGGCGCATTCCTGTGCCTTAGCAGGCTGGTGCTACTCCCGATCACATACGTTGCTTGCGTATGGAAAACCATGTCAACAAACCTGTACGCCAGGTCCGCTTTCTGCGCTCCGAAAAACGAGTAAGGTTGATGAGGATTTTTTCTAACAAGTGACCTACCTTTACTTCGATAAACGTATACTAATGACCTACATTCTCGACTGAGTAACCACCAAAAGCGTAGTTTTCTATTTCTTTGTCTAAACGTAAAAACTGGATACAAAACTTTTTGCTCGAAGGCAAGGCTGTAGTAATTGTTAAAGTCTAAAATCTGTCTGATTTCCCGCGCTCGCAGCTTGAGCGCGTGCAGCTGCATTTCTCATTTTTCCAGCTGAAAAGAAAACTCTACTTCGAACGGGAGCTGCACATGATTCTTGAACTCGCTTTTATCATCAATACAACCCAATCATGCCGATGCCGATCTCGCTAGCCATTTCGTCGTCACTGCTGGTTCTGCAGGAAGTCCCGAAACTGCGCTTTCGACTCAAGAGAGAAGACCCGCCATCCATATCGACATCGTCTCGTAGCGCGCTGAGGAGCGACCGCTTCGACACGAGTTTGCGAAGCAGAAGGCCCAATCCCCAGTCTTCGTCTGCGGATGTATTTATTAAGGTGGTATTTTGCTCGTCATGGAAGCGAATTTGAGTTCTTGTACGATCCTGCATAAAACAACTACAAAATAGAAATTAGTTCCAAAGATATGTACCTATCATAAATCCTGCGCGCTCGATAAGACAGGCGATCTTTGGCAGCAATGGCCCGGTCTGGTCTTCGACTTCGTCCTTGTCCATCAAACTGCTAGTGTCTTCGGCACTGAGGCTGCTGTTGGTGCCACCTTGCTGCTGCGAGCTGGAAGTTTGGTTCATACTAGTTGTCTGACAAAAACTGGCACTCATGCTCGCTGCCTGCGAGTTTACCATCGCGTTGCCGGACGATGCCGCGGCGGGGGGGATCGCGGGGCCAGGGGTCGGCAAACTGGATTCTTGTCTGCCTTCGATCATCATCTTTGCAATGCTGTCCCCCAGCTCCTGCCAACTGGACGACTCTTTCACCTCCCACGCGGATTCGTAGCGTGTCTTCCCTCTCGCCCGCACCCGGCGCGGCTGCGACATCAGCTGCTCAAGCACGGTTCGGTCGGACTGGTGACCTACACTATGCGGACTGTCCACGCCGTGCGGCGCGGCGGACCTTTGCCCTATCACCGAGGCAGCCGGTGTTGCGCTCCCGCTCGTGTGGTTCTGGTGGCTTCCGCCCGGCGTGTGCAGTTGGGAATGCGCCGACGACGGAGACTGCCCCCACATGCCCGTGATTGCGTTTATAGTCCCCTGGTGTCCACCTCCGGGCAGTGTACTCGAGCTCGCGCAGGAACTGGTCCCCCCACCTTGGGGCGGGGCTAGATTATGTGTATCCACTACACCATTGTGCGTGATGTGCTGCCGGGCCGGGAGTGGATACGGATTGTGGCCACTGAACAGCATAGGACTTGCAGCGCCGTGACGGCTCCCGGGACGGGTAGCCACACGCGGTGGCGGCGCCGCGTGGGGGTAGCCTTGAGGGTCCCATTGCGAACCCATCACCGCTGCTGGACCAACTACATGATTGGGGCCACTGCTCGATGTTGCCATGGTGCCAATCACAGTTTGCGCCTGGGGATGGGTGTCGATCGGCGTTTGGCTCGCACCTCGCCTGCAATTATGTGCACTGGGGTCGCCCTCGTGAAACGAGTCTGCTCGCCGTTGCCGCGTGCCAGGAATCTCGTCCTCGTGAAACGAACTGCCCCGGCGACCGGGAAGGTGGCCGTTTCGAGATAAAGTGCCGGCGCTACCCGGGGCGCTTCGGTGGTGGGCCCGCCGGATGTGCCGCCTCTGCGGCGTGTGGGACTGGTTCGGGCTCTGCGCATTTGCCGAAAAACTCAAACTGCCCGGGCCGCTGTCGTGTTCCATGATATGTGGTATATGAAAAAAACAAAACATCTCCACGTAAACACTTGTTCTACTCCGGCGCATTTCAAAAAATCACTCAGTGTAGTGTGAACACTCCAAAATCAGAAACACTGCTCCTATCAAGAATACACAGTCCCGCCCTGCACGGAAAGGGATGCTCCTGTGTACGCTCCCGTGGATGTGGCAGCGCTCCGTTCCAGTTGTTCCTGTGACATTGCGGGTGGTGCGCGCAGGTACGACGCTTTGAGAAAAACGATCTGTGCCAGTAACGCTTCCGGGCCGAGGTCCGCGCCCTCGCGCGCAGCCACGTCTTTTAGCTTCGTGTAAAACTTGTAAACATCGGAGGCCCGTTCGACAGCGAGGTCCGGAAACGCCCAGGGGAAGAACGTGTTGGGATGCGAGCAGCTGCCTCCGTGGCCGGCTATGAAAGTGCGTTATTTTTCAATATCGATACTTGACATGATTCTGGAGGTAGCTGAAGCGGTGCATAATTCCGAAGAGGACCACCTCGCGACGACACATGTACTGAAGTCTGTTTTCAGTAAGAAGATTTCGATAGTACGAGGAGGAACATATTTATTATAGAAAGTACGTAACTTCTATACCGCTCGTTTTTGCGCACTTCCCAATTGTCACCGGAGGCTCCTTGGATTGGACCTCTTGATCCTGCATAGCAAGATCCATTAAAGTTTCCTCGAAGCTTGACGCCATGGCCTGCGCAAACCGATACCGACTGTCCGTCAATGTGTCTGTTTTTTCCATTTTGAACAAATGCAGGTCCAAAGTCTTTTCGTTCTCATAAAATCCATCGTGCATGAGCATCCTCCAGATGATAAAACTCTGGAGGTCATAATGAGTCGATAAAGTACCTTCGTCTACATTTTTCCTTCCTGACCAGGCGTGGGCGGTACGCAAGCGCTTGCTCTCGGTAGTTTCCTCTTCTTCGTCCTCGGATTCGTTGGCTGGGCGGCTTGAAGTGCCTAAGTAGGTCACGGAAGGCAACTTCACGAAGATCGCAGTAGTTTCAATGAATACGCCGTTCGAAGAACTCGTACAAATATGAAGAACTAAAGACAGAAAATGAGTATCAAATATTAATTCTCTTTATTCAAAACAATTAGGAAGATGCACCTCGATTATCCTTCAAGTCGCGCAAGCTCGCTAGAAACTTGATGCCCTCGAGTTCATCTTCCAAGTGATCGCGACTGTCCACAATCTGAAGTAACCGCGGGTCGCCCATGGGCAAATTCAGTATCTCCTCCAAAACATCATCGGTCCGTAGAACTACCTTGATTTGGTCTATCCCGGAGAAAAAAGCTAGCAGCAAGGTCATATTTGTAAATGCAAAAAGTAAACACACAGAAGAATCTGTCAGAATTAAATGCATATGCTGGGCAGCATGCTAGAGGCAAGCCTTTTTTCTCTCTGTACTCGTTCTATGAATTACAAATGTCTGGCACCTGCTAGCTTTTTATTTGGGATACGGTCCGCACCGTACTGAATGGGGGGATCTAACGCGGTGCCATTGTTTTCCGGAGGTGTGGAAAGCGCCGACTGGTCCATAGGCACGGCGACCGAAGACAGCCTGAAAAATCAAAGACTTCGAAGTCTCCCGAATTTTAGAACCTTTCACTTTTCATTGCTATCCTCAATAGGGATAGCATAAAAAAAAAGCAACTTGAAGATGACGCTAAAGGCATTATTTGTGTATCATAAAACCGTCTCCTACCTGTCATTATCCTGCGAGTTGTGCACGAGGTAACTTGCCGCAGGGTCGTCGTCAGACGCGTGTCCCGAAGGTGCGGGGGCGGTGCAGATCTCCTCGTTGGTTGCGTCTGTTGTGGAAAGTTGCTTGATTTTTGACGACGCTTTACACTTTTGATGATAGACCAAACCTCTGACACAGACATGTCCACCGCTGCGAACAAGGAAATTCCGACGGGGGAAGTCGGTACTATTATTCAAACCATTCGCTCCTGCTATGATGCGGAAATAAAAGTTCAATACTCCAATTTCCCTGCTGGTCCATGACACTAGCTGCAGGTGTCGCACCGCATCCGGAGTTTGACGCGCTGGTTGACGTTTGCGAGTTGGTGCCCGTCAGTTCCTATGCAGTGCAAAAGCATCGCACTCGTAGTAATTGCAACTATGCATGACAAATCTGGACTCATAGCTAAATCAGCATTACAAATTGAATTTTTCCTTTTGATAAAATTTTTTTGTGATGCAATTTATAGATACTAGTACGATGCTTTTGCAATGCATAGTTCCTTCCGGTCGCGCTTGCCCGTTCGCCCGAGCGTGCTCCAGGAATTATCGGCTTCCCGAACCGGTGCCCCTCGTCCCGGTGGCATCCACGCATCGCCCGCGGGCCTTTGATGATTTAGGAAATCGTCATAGGACAGCGTTTTCCGCACCTCCGCTGTTAAAGGGCCGGAGCAGTTGAAGGGACACCTACTGCTACGCGCAGCATTAATCGGCAGTGGCAACTTATTTTGCTTTATTTTTGCTGTTGCACTAGTACTAGTGGTCGGGACTACTGCAGCTCCCGGTGGTGGCGCTAACAAAGACGAACTATCGCAGCTCACTTCTGCAGGTTTGGTACAATAACTGCTGTCAAATGCGGAAGCAGGAATGTGGTTGCCGCATCGATTTGACGGCTCTAAAATGGCGTCACTGTTTTGACGAGCTTCTAGCACTTCGCCCGATCGGGAGGTGCTGTGTATCTTTTGCTGGGTTAGTTTCGGAATCGCTTGCTGCGTAGTTGTACTAGCTCCTACAGGGAGTCCTATCTCCACCGCGGTTGCGTGCGATGCCGCTTCCAAATCTCCCTCCTGCTTCCATTGGTTCACTACATGACCAGCAGCAGCTTCATCCACCTCATCCGAACTATGTTGGGACCACACTTTTTGTGGCCTCCAACCTGACTGTTTGCTTTTGCCGCTTGGCTTAAATCTTGCACCGACTGGCGTCGGATCGCGACCGGTGTGACTGTCTAGAAGTGCTCGCAGGCGACTACAAAGCTCATCCCCACTGAGCAGGGGCGCTGGCGCCAGGACCCTCGCCTGCTCAAGCTCCGCCTGGGCGGCGAGCTGCTGCTGCGCCGCTATGCGCGACGACAGGTCCTCGCCGCTGGCCTGTTGCACTAGACTCTCTCGCAACTGACATGTGCGCAAGTCGTGATCTTCTGGTGTCCCCAGCATGCTATTATACACAGCCACATCACGACCAGGACGTCGCGTGAAGCCCTGCTTTCCCAAAATGTCTACAGACGAGAGGAACTGCTTCAGTCTTCTACTACCGCTAGTACTACGACTACTTCTACGACTATTTGTTCTACTACTATACACTGGTGGCCGCACAGGTCTCGTAATCTGTTCCGCTGTTGGATCTTGGTACGGCGGGGCTGGATATCCTCCGGATGTTGCGGCGGTTCCCGGCGGTACGGTATCCAGCGTCAACAAATCTTCCCCAACGACCCAAAGCTGCGACTTGCATTACAAAACAGTACATTCTCAAGATGCAAAAACAAACTCCAAGGGCGGGGCAATCATGGAGCTATGGACCTTTAAAAATCACGAGGCGCATGATAGATCAGGCATGATCCCGCCGCACGGTAACTAGCCTTTTGCGTTGCAAGTATGGGGAGATGTTGGGGACAATTTGACAAATGCATAAGCAGCGAGATTCATGTTTCCTGCCTGCAACCGGCTCAGCGAGAACGCCTGCGCCGGGTCGGCTTCTTGCATTAGCACAGAACCCATCAGAGCCACCTGCAACACAGACGACATGATTCTACCGGGCTCATATGCAGCAAACCAGGGGTGAAGTGTGAAAAAAACTTTTTATTCGGCGAATTTGTAGTTCCTTCTGCTCTCGCTCCCGAGGTGGCCGCTCCAGTGCTTCGAGTCGCTGTTGATCGGGGTGCAAGATAATCAGGTTCGTTGTACGGCAAAAAATGGCGCAATCACTTTCCCTTACCGAAGATGACTTCCGTGATGTACAGCCCCGTTGGGTCCATCGCGTATTCCCGCTGCACAGCCGTCGTTGCTGTGATCAGCAGCGGAAGAGGTGAAGATTCCTCGCACTTCAGCCGAGGCGTTCTCGTTGGAACCTCCCGATTCACGACACAGGCAGTTTTTGCTCTGCGTTCACAACATCAGAGACTGGTGTAGCTTTACCGACATCGATTTCTTGGAAATCATGCGAGGCCCTGGGCTTCGGCTCGTGTGTGCGGTCCCGATTGGTTCACCTGCTCCGATGCTGGCTGCCCAAAAACGATGTGAACCTTCGCAGCTCCTCCACCAAGTCCTCGCCAAATCGGCTGCTGGTACGAATGTCTCTTCTGCCAGTTACAGTGAGGGGAAAACACCAGATAGATCAGTATTATCAATCTATATAAAATTAAAATCGCTTCAATATCTAATATCTGGACACGAGTGGTTGTTCGTTTATGTGGCTCACGCTACAAAGCTCCTTCTCTTTACTACGCTTCCATGGGCAGCAATAGCCGTCGGCTCGCTGATACCCCCCGAGTTACGAGAAAATCAAGACAGCCGTTCTATCGCCGCCAATGGTCGCTGTAATGCTGGTAAGAAAAAATTAAAGCCTAATCAATGCTCTTAACTGGCAGAACGCAATTTTTTGTAAAAACTGCAAGAGATTTCCAATCAAGTAGAAACTCTATTGCGGTACTATGCAAAAAACCTTGCACTGCATGCAGTGATAAGATATAGCTCTATCCTAGCAGAGTGGAGATGAGATGCGAGAAATCAAAGACACATTCAAATATTTCTTAGTGGTAAAATGCAAACGGCTGACCTATTTATTCCGGCCTGCCGATCACAACTTTCTAGATGGGTTTAGATAGTACTACGGAGCGGCACAATTCCAGTCCTTGCTGGCTGAGTATACTTCTTGTCGAGGTATGTCCACGCTATTTCAAGTGGTATAGGTAGTTCCACTTCTAGTTGTCTATTTCGGAGAAATTACTTCTACTGGTACTTCTACTTACACTTAAAGGTAAGGCGTGCGTTATACTCAGCGCACGACCTTGATAAAATTCCAATTCGACGTCTACTAGCAGTAATGAAATGCTCTGTCCTCCCGCGGTTGGACTCATCGCGAATTTTGCTTCTTGTTCTTTCTCACTGCCACTACTATCTTTTATACTTCGTGCGCGTGAAAAATTAATCTTGATGAATCTTGTTGTACTCGTCTGAAGTGACCAACTGTCTCTTAGACTCTACCGGCTTTTTTTCTGATAGCTTGCGCGCGTGCACCACGACAAGTTTTTCAATAATCCGTCGGTGAAAGAACTAGAAATCCGTAGGTATCTTCATCGGATACTTACTCGTAGCCTGGTATGACAAACCTATCACTGCCGGTCCGTATCTCATGCGAGGTATTTCTCCTACAACTTCAGATGGTATTCATCACGGCCTGTGATTCTGTTTTTGGTTCGACAATCAAATGCAGTCCATCGACAATCAAATGCAGTAGGAAGTGCTTGACTAGCGAGAAATGGCACAGCTGCTGCTTAGACGCATTGCTAGGTGGGACTAGCGTGGTCCTGCTCATCGCGACGTGGGCATGAAGCCACTATCTTTGCGCGGCTGGAGCACAAGTGGGTCTTCGGTCGCCCAGCAGTGTGGCAGTTGCACTGCAGCGCTTTTTCTGGGGTCATCTTTATCCGCTTGGAACTTCTACTGTCTCGATGAAATGATAAGCTTCAAATAGAAATAGATATCCTCCTCGAATCGTCCGCACTACAGCGCCTCTACGCAGATCGGTCGGCGATGTTCATATTGCCTTTTTATCATGGAAAAATCGCAATCGCGATGAATATGAAAGGAGAACTGCAAACTGGGAAGCAGAGGATCATAGCCTTCATTTTAAGCGCACTGTGCAGCAACAGAGCGGTTCAAGAACCTTACGCCGCACAACAAAGCAAATGCAAGCTGCTTTTCTTTTTCCATTCCATGCAAAAGCGGTGCGCGCTGCGTGGGGCCGGTATTGGCGTACTCAAAATGGATCTTTTTTCGGAAAAGTGAAGTCAAAAAGCACGAACGCGGGCTAAAAATTCGACCTGTAGTGGACCCAGTCGAGAAATAAATTGCCTAAACAGCGGCGAAAGTTGGTGTTAAGGCGAAATGGAACAAAGTGTCAGCCATCATGAGTGTGACATCAAAAAAAAAGGCCGCCAAAAACTGTGGCCGCTTCTTGGCGATTGCGTCGAAGTCCAAGCTTTTCGCTGTGGAACAAGATAATCACTTTTATTCGTGCATTTTTGGTTCATACATTTTTGAATCAATAGTACACACTCGTATGTCGCTTTCGTGTCAAAAACAGGGAGGTCGTTGAGAAGACATGGGAGCACTAGTCGTCTCCCCAAATGTCCTCGTCTTCTTCTTCCTCTCGCATCTTCTCGCCAACGTTATCCTGCGCGTTGCTGCTTGCTTTCTTCACAAGCTCGAGCTCGGCCTGCTTGGCAAGCAGTGTTTGCTTCCCCTCTGCGGTTTCTCGGTCAAGGGCCTCGCAGTCCATCTTGTAGTTCCGCTCGAGCATCGCCATATTTCGTTGGTGTCGGGACTTGTGCCCTTGCATTTTTCCCTGAAAAATAAAATAATAAGACGGGAATCTAAACATGATTCGGTGAAGAGCTGGAATGTGAATATTTGAGAAAAAATAGCGAAGATAATGCGAAAGCTCATGGTAAATTCATACTCAAGGCGAGAACAATACCTCAACTGCTTGCAGCGCTTGTTTCTCAGCGCTGATTTTTGACATCATGTCCGCCTCTTCCTCTTTTCTCTTTTTTTCCGTCGCCTTCTGCGCATCCTGTGCAAAAAATTATCAAAAGTCTTATATTCAAAAATGGACCCGCTACAACAGTTACGCCGCAAAGGTAGCCTATAGGCTCTTTTCACTCAATCACTGCAAAATCATCACAAAAAGCATTTACCTTTATTCTGATTTCGAGATCCTTGTTGCCCTTTTCGTAGAAGTTTTTGTTTTCGGACGCCTCTCTCTCCAAATCGGCGATGTTTTCGATGGACTCCGCCAGCAGCTCCTTTACCTCCGGCGCGTCCCACGTGAAACCCGGCGGCAGCGAGAGATCGCCCTCGTCCTCGGGACGGTTGACCGGTACTCGGTGGACGGTTTGCAACGCCATGTTCTGGATATTAAGAGTAAGATACTACGATAGTTGTTATCTGCCTTTGCCTTTACCGACAACCAGATCAGATTTTACCTGAGAAAAACCAGTGAGAGAGAAAGCTGGATTAGAAAGAGCTTAACTGATTCTTACTTCAAAACGCTTAAACTAGGAAACGGAAGAGAGACATGCTACCTCGACTGCGCAAAAGTAAACAAGCTGTGCTTGCTAATGAAAGAATTAGGCGCTGAAAAGGCGAAGTGTTTGTATTAAACAGCGACTTTATTTGACTTTTTTTGTGATGAAAAGATCTAACTTTGGAGCTATTTTTGCTGAACATTATTTACTTATTCCTGATCGTCGCACCCTATGCAGCTACTCAAGATCAGCTTCAACCTCAACTCTCCCGCGGCAACACGGCCCTCACAGTCGCCTACTCGTAAGCCTAGCCATCGATGGAAAGGAACAGGGCGAGCTCGCATAAGGTACGGATTTAATACGCGCCAATCACTTTAAACGTGTTCATCTTCCTGGGGGGATTAGTGTTAGCGAATCGGCGCGATGCTCCACTGCCGCGTGTGAGGACCGTGTTGCGTGTGCACCTACACGAAGTAACTCCTTACTCTGTACGTACGATGGCAGCGCATTTTTCAAAACGCTACGTCGTTGTCGCGAGAACGTGATAAAGAGAGAACGTTAAATACAATCAGGGAAACAGCTGAAGTATGCGCTTCATGTTAGAAAACCTCTGCTTCGCGGTCTAGTTCGCTCTTCTCTCCTTGCGGAGGATCCAACTTATCAGTGATTGAGCACTGGATCGGTGTGAAAACATATGAACAGCGGATCACAGTGATGCGAAGAACGGCCCGCATTTCGGGTCATGCTAGATCTTTCGCGTGCTCTACAATTGAAGCGCTTTTGCTACACATGTGTAATCTCTTAGATCGTTCTTCGTTCATAAAAGAACGAGCTGGAAGCACTATCTACTTTCTAAAAGCATGCAATGAGGTGGAAATCCAAAAAAAAAAATCAGTTGAGTGAGGTTCACAACATCAAGCGAAGAAATCAGAACCACGAGGTCAACATCTACAGATACAATGCAGAAAAATCAATGCCCCAAAAGAACCGAAAAGCGCAGTCGGCGGGGGCAAAGTAAAGCAGATCACATATTCCAAAAGTCCGCCATCTCGCGATCAGCAGGTGACCAGGGATCGAAGACAATCTTCAACTCCGTCATCTCCACCTCTCCGACTTCCACAGTTTCCGGTTCAGTTCTTGCGGCAGTTGCTCCAACTTCTTGTCCGCTGCCCTCTTTTGCCTTTGCCGTCTCTTCCCTCTTCACCGAAACGTGACAGGATTCCAGTCCGCCGGCGTGCTGCGACAGGAACAGGATTTTGCGCGCAAGCAGTTTCTGGTAGAAGACGTTGTTTTCGTAGGCGACGACGCCACCGGCGGTGTACGGGTTCAAGTAGTACAAGTAGAACTTCAGCCGGTCGCTATCGTATTTAAAAACATCCCCACCCCATAGTTGTAATGCAAATCTGCACGCTGAGAATGTTTCTCATGCGGAGCCCCGTGAGAATCATTTTCTCTTCGAGTTTTGAAATTTTTCATGCTCCAATCAGCATGCTACACTGAATCTGTGATTCTCATGCTGCTGAACTACCTCAACCAGCACTACACTACAAGTCCAAGTCTGTCATGCAAAACAGCCAAAACTTGTGGATTTGTCTAGCCGATTCCCCATCTTGACTATGAGGTGGGGGCGTTTTTACATAGGATAGTCGCTGGACAAAGTGAGCTGCGCCAGGATCAGGGCGATGTACACGTCGACCGTGTAGTGACTGTGGTCGATGATCAGCAGAAACATTTCCAGAACCTATCCTGATTAAAAACGCCCCCACACGAGAGTCAAGATGGGAAATCTGCTAGACAAATCACACAGCTTTTGTTGTTTGGCATGACAAGCTTGTCCCCGTAGTGTAATCGTGTAATCCTGTTTCGCTAGCTCAGAAGCATCACAGATCTAGCACATCATGCTGATAATTCTAGCATCACAAATTCCAAAACACAAATGGAAAATGTTTCTCATAGGGCCCCGCATGAGAAACTTTTTTGGCATGCAACATTGCATGACAGCTCTGGGGTGGGGACGTTTTTACTCAGAATAGCACCACCATTGTGTACAGAAATATCTGCGACCGGGTCGGCACGAAGATGTTCCGGAGCAATTCTTTCTTCGACCCGCTAGCGTAAAGTTTTGGCTGCACCGTCGACGCGGGCGATTTTGGGTCCTGGTTTGCTTGACCCGCGGAGCCGTCGTCGGTTGTTGTTGTTGAAGCAGAACTGCTACTGTCAAACGGTCGCCCCGTCCAGTAGGCCGGAAAGTGCGTCCGGAATCCCTGCAAGAGGCCCCAACAAGCCAGGTAAGTCACGAACGTGTGCCCGCTCCACATCATCGCGGCACAAGATCCTGCGAAACGAAAAGTAGTTTGGGCGATTTGTCTAAAAGTACAACTGTAAAGTCTACTCTGTGAGCGGATGTTCATGCGGAAACAAAGCGTAAAAGGGAATCAGGCTGATCGCGATGGTGCAGACACGTTGAACAACCAGATCATCATCATTATCTTGCTAGCATAGGGGAGGGCTGCTAGGGGTTATTGGGACTTGTCCTCGTTATCGTTTAGCGCAGACAGTATCAAGAACAAATATAAAAACCGTCATAATACCGGTCGTGTTGCTCCACTGGTATTTGTGGTCGTCGCCGTGATTGATTCCGTTTCTGTCCAGACACCTCTCATACCCGAAGGAGGACGGTAATATTGTGACGTTTTCCGCGATGCCGTTAAAAACCCAGGAAGCCGCAAAAACGTTCGCCGCCACGACGAGATCGCAGGCCAGGTCGGCAAGGAACAAGTAAGCAAGTCCGAACAACACAGTCAAGTACGGCATGGCGTCGCCGCAATACGTTTTCCAGTTGTCCACGGACGGTTTGTCGATGAAATCCAAAAACACGTCCGGTAAGTGGCTCCAACGGTACGGCGTCTCCCGCGCGTACTCGATGTAGGACTGCGCGGCAATGTTGCCGATCTGCATGTAGGCGGCCGCGAGTATGCCCACGAGGTTGAAGGAAAAGGAGTACAGCTTGAACCTGAGGAAGGCCAACTTCTTCCATCGCGCGAACACCATTTTCGGAGAGCAACACACTCCGCAGCCGGTCCACTCCTCCCAAACGAGCTCGCCATGATTTCGGTCCCCCGGCCGTCGGTTGTGCAACTTCTGCAGCAACTGTATCGCCGTCTCCGCCCCCGATTTGATGGGTTGCGAGAAGATATTTGACATTTTGGCTTGGTTGGTTGCAGCTTTTATTGGTGCGCTGCTAGGAGGAATTGCACAATTCTCCATCAAACTAGTACCACCTGTCGGTCGAAGCGAGCCACCCTGGCCGGACGTCACTCGGTGGCGCAGCTCAGTTGTTTGCCCCTTGTTACTTCTCTCACTCCCGGTCCCTCCTGTAGTGCCGTCGGGACTCACGCTCGACGTGTAAGGTTTCTTGGAAGAAGAAAGAAGCCACATCGGGTCAAAGAAACAGAATCAGATAGAATATGCGTACTACAAACAGCAACGAAAAAACCACGAGACAGTTGAATATGATGGGGCAATGCCGAAAATATGTTTCTCTTACACAAAAGGAATCACACAAATAGATGCACAATCGTAAGCGATGCTTCTACTTTGGTTACATGCAATATTAGACAACGTTGAGGGAACTCTTTTTGTTACACAATGTACCGCGGGACAGAAAAAAACTCGTAAATGTAAATACGTCCTATCGGAAACGAAATAGATGTGAAGTCAACTTCAAAGGTATAGGTGTTTATCCGTTTGGTGGGTCTCGGAAGATGAGCAAGTTACGACAAAATGTTGCTGTCCACTTGACTAGAAAGTACGTGGTGATAGCCATTGCTGCTAAACCAAACATAATCAGAAAGACTCGCACTGCGAAAATCATCGAATGAGCTTGCTTTGCAGCACTCGCTCGACACAGTTCGTCGTTGAGAAAACAAACGAAAAAAATCGTGCAACAAAAAAGCGCGAAAAAAGTTTGTAGGATTGAATGAGTGTTGGTGTTTGAAGTCCTGGATTTGCAGAATCAACTCGACGAAAAAACTTGTCAGCGGAGAGCCTAACGAAAAAACCTTGAGAACTTGAGTCGCTCGTTCACTCTCTCAATCACTCCCGCTGTGCTGCTCTTTATCTATTTTTACTTTCCTGCGTCTCTGCATGCATACGCAAACAAACCTGCTTGCTTGGCAGAAGACTTTTGCGAAACGATTCTTGTGCTCTCTGTCGCTCCATTTTTACTGTTGCTTGCTAACACTTGATCCTATAAGTGCATGTGAGGAGTGTCCATCACTTCGACCGCGCTGCTACGGGGTGTGATTTATCGCGAACGCGAACTGTATTCAACATCTGCGCATTAACAATAAGCATAATCTGATTGAAGTTCATTCTACGTGCACCGGGCGATTGCTGTATTCTACTTTTTACTGGTAGTCTGCTTGCCGTTTTCGATCATACTCTGTGCGATTTCTAATACTGTCACGTGTTTCAAGTCCTGCTTCACCTAAAAATAAGACGCACCACACACTGTAGCATGGGATACTGCTACGCAAGCAGTACTTTTCTTCTTCAGGACCAACCGTCCACCATACGGCTGCCGCTCGGGGACGGAGGGTTATTAAACTGTGTCTGAAGTGATAAGATCTAGAACGATTCCAAACTGTCTCTGCACTGCTTTCAAACTGTTACTCTGAACCATAAAATTTGTCTGAAGATGTTTCGATTAACAAACTATTCAAATGCGCTGCTAACAAACTGTAACATCCTATTCAAACTTGCAAGAACATAGAATTCTGTCGAACGTCTTGCCGACAACCGACCCAACACGAGTCCCAAAAGACCACGATCAGGTATAGAAGTGGATTACGTGCGGTTTTAGTTTTTCTGATTCTTAAATACAAAGACCGAGCGGTTGCATTTTCGTTGTCCTGCATTTTTTGGAGCTGGTTCTGGTTATTTGGAGAAATTGTTCCGCATAAAAATTTCTCCGAAACCACAACCGTCGAAGATAAATCCAAACCTTTGTTCCGCAAAGCTTTCCTTATTTCGCAGAGGTCGGGCTCATCCCTCCGACCGCAGAGCGGGCCTTCTCGAGCTCCGTGTATTGAGACGAAAAATCCCCCCTCCCCATATCGAAGCGAAGTTTCTGAAGCTGGATTTGCGTACACAAATCAGATCTGTCTTGCAGAGAGTGCTTGGCGGCATTTTCTCAGCCTGTTTGGGTATAATGCAGAAGGCTAGCAATTGCGCATGACAAACAGGCTTGCAGTAGTCGAAAGCGCATGACAGACTTGCTCTGGAATGCGTCAAATGGCTCCTATGATCGTCCTATATACAAGACAAAGACGACTTGTGACCACAAATCAGCATCACAAAGTTCCGTTTTGATATGGGGAGGGGGGATTTTTCATTTTGATACCGTGCAGACATGGTCCAGCAGGTCCTTGTTCATTTTCTCTTCCTCGGCCGACATTGCCACGTCTTTGGGTCGGGCTTCCTTCTCCAAGATCTGCTTCTGCAGCTCTTTCTGATGCTCGTAGGCCTTCAGCTTCAAAGCCTGCACCTTCTTCGCCTCCTGCGCTTCGTACTGCGCCCGGTCCTCATCCAGAACCCCGGCCTGAGAATCCATTCGAAACACGGAGTCGTGTGGCATTCGCATTGCGCCTTTGCGATACAGACAGTGCGGTCAGCGACTAGAAATATCAAAGCCGCCATAGTACAACTAGAGTCAAACAGCACAAGACGCTGAATAAGTATACCTGCAGCTTTTTCAGCTCCAAGGATTGCTGTTTTCTTTCGTTCTTTATCTGCATCTGCTTCAGCAGGTAATCCCTCGTTTCCGCCCGCATTGCTTCTAATTTCATCTGCTTGTTGACGGCCATCTCGAGCTGTTTTAGGGTGCCGATCAACAGTATTGCTTATTCTATTCCACAGTACTACTTATGATTTTCCGTCGTATTCTACGACGAACAATATTCGCAAGAGCAACAAAAATAGATACCGCTCGCAAGTCAGCCTCCTCCTTCTGCTTTGCGGCCCGAATTTCGTCCTCTTGCCCCTTGGCGGCCGCCTGCGCCATGACGGTGTTCTTCATCTGTTGTTATGAGGGTAAAAAGTTACGCTTCTTGAATAATCACCAAAAATAAAATCCGAGCTTATGGAAGTAAGATGATTGAGTTGCGCCGTAAACGTAAGAGAGGACAAATATGGAATCTGCAACATGCTAGGATAGTACAAAAATGACATGCAAAGTCACGTAATCAAGCAACGCACCTTGTCCATGAGGCTCTTTTGTCTGTCCGCCCGCGCCTGCTGTTCCTCTTTTCGGGCTGCTTCTTGGCGCTCCAGTAACTTTGCGTATTCTTTCATCTGCTTCATGTCTGCGTCCGCCTGTTCCTTCAGCTCCGCCTCCTTCTATTACAATGAAAAATGCCCCCACCCCGAAATTTGCAAAAAGTTTCTCATGCAAAGTTTCCAAATGACAGCTTTTTGTCTTGCATGAAAGGACTGCGAGTCTTTCTGATGCAGAACCTAGACTCCGCAAGGTATCTTTTGCATGACAGATCCGGCTACTGTTGGGCTCCTTTGCAACACAGATTTCAGCTATTCAGCATGGAAAATAAAATTTGTGTTGCTGATATATGCAAGACGGGGAGTGTTTCTACTGGAAAGGTTTGCAATGCAAATGCTGCTAAGTTCTGGGGTCGTGGGGGCATTTTTCATTGTAATACCTTCTTGGCCTTGTTCTCCTGGTTCTCCTTGAAAACTTTCGCCATGTTGGCTTTGTTTTGCTGTGATATTCATTTTCCAAGCTTGTTCAGCAGCATCACAGATCTAGCCTATTATGCTGCTTGGAGCATTACAAATTCCAAAGCACGACTGGAGAATGCTTGTCATGGAGCTCCGCATGAGAAACATTCTGAGCATGCAGATGTGCATGACAGACAACTATGATACAAATGATAAGCAAAAAACTGTACTTCTATTTTCTTCGCTTGCTTCTTCGCTTCTTCCTCCAGCTCCCTCTGGATTCGCACCACCAGCTCCTTTTCCTGCTTCTCCTTTGCAGCCCTGTGGTCGATGTGGGGTCAGCATGCTTTTTTGCTGAAATTATCATAGCCTGTACTTGATGCAGTTGAAAGAACTTTCCGCTCATTTAGGTGGAATAACACAATGAAGGACCACTTCAGAAACAAAAAAGTCATTGATGTTCATTTGTATTTGCCCGCACGGAAAAAGTAGTTTCGATACTTCTCGTCCTCTTGCACTTTGATGTTCATTTGTATTTGCTCGTCTCGCATCTGCTTCTCGATCATGTTTTTTCTCTTTTGCTCCGCGAGCTTTTCTGCTTCCGCGACGCGCCAGAGCTCCAACTCCTTCAGGCCCTCCTCAAAGTACTTCTTGTCTTCTGCCTTCTTGTAGTCGTCCTTGTTCTTCGCGGCGTCTATTTGCGCGGTAAGGTCCCGGTAGAGCTTCTCTTGGACGGATTTTTGCTCTGTTTGGTGCAAGGTTTGTTGATGATGTTGCGCTTGCAAAAGTTTTCATTTCGTGTAGCGGACCGGAAGGCGAGTGATGTGTAGGAAACCAAAACAAAACTTTTTCTTGATCTGGCACCGTCAAAAATCTGCAAAGAACTAGAAACGACATCAGTACTGTTCTTGAACTTCTGCGCGTCCTGCTCATGGAGCATAACTGCATACTCGTCCAGTAGCTTCCAGTCCCGCTTCAAATTTGCACCGATTGCTGCACTGCCCATAGAGCGGTGTGATTGCAAGCTTTGCGCGACGGAGTAGTTGGACACGGATACGTTGTCGCCCTCAAGTGTGCCTGGGTAGATGTTTTTGTTGTCAGAGTAAGGCGTGCGCTTAAGTCGTGCGCTCCTAAAGTCGTGCGCTCCTAAAGTCGTGCGCTTAAGTCGCTCGCTTAAGTCGTACGCTAAAGCCGTGCGCTTAAGTAGTACGCTAAAGTCGTGCGCTTATAATGTTGTACGCTCCAGTCGTACGCTCAAGGCGTCTGCTAAAGTCGTGCGCTTAAGTAGTGCGCTTAAGTAGTGCGCTTAGGTAGTGCGCTTAAGTCGTGCGCCTAAGTCATGAACTAAAAAAACTCGCTTGATTCTCAAAAAGTTCAAAGCGCACAAGAAACACGCAAGAAATCATACCTGTTTTGCTATGGATTTTCTTCTCGAGCCTTTTCAGGTTCTGCTCCGTAATTGCCCCCGTTCCGAGGAAGTTTCCCACTTCGGCTTCTATCGCGGCCTCGTTAGCCTTCTTCTTGTCTGCTGAAACCCCATCGCCGTTTACTCTGTGTATTTTCATTACGGTGTGAGGATTAGCGTTTTTTGTTTCTGCAAATCATGTGCATCGGTCCAGTGGGTTCCTTTCGATCTCGAACAAGTAGACATCGAATATGCATAGAAGACAGAAATCACGATACCTCTCCGTGAACTTCTTGATCAAAACGTCTTTCATCTCCTCTCTTTTCTGTAGTGATATGAGCTTCGCCCTCCTGGCAGGCGTGAGGGTCTTGTCGTTCGCATCGCGGAGCATACGCTCGGCCGCTTTCGGCGAGCCGGGTCCCGGCTTCGGGACAGAGAACGCCATGATTCAAAAACTCTTTCCCAAAAAAACGCTGATCCCTGCGGTCGGACTCTTTCTTCTTTTTGGAGTGCTGGTCATGAATCAAGTCCGTTCATGCTCACCAGGAGCAACTTCCACGTCCGCGCGCCTCAATCGAGAACGAAACCAAACATGCTCTCCATCTGGTAAAGCAAAACTGCAGTGCAGTTCTCTCGCGACCCTCCTTCAAGTACAAGTCCAGTCCCGACGGTACAGTGGTGCCACGAGCGATCTCTCCCTTTCCGACCGCTCAGCAAGAGCAACTCTCGTCTACGAAAGATATCAATCTCATACATCAAAACAAAGCGCCTCTCACTTCTCCGCTGTCCCGACGAAAGAAAGAAAATTGGTCAACGAGTAAGAACAAAAAGTCTGGCGGACAGAAAAAACCGAGCAGGTCGAGGTTGCGATTGAATTGTGTGGTAGCTGTTGGAAACACAGACCGTACTTACTTCTTCAAAAAGTTCGAATCTTTCAGTATATCCAAATCGGTGGAATTTTACATTGCAAAATGTTTTCTTGGACCAGCAGGTCATGTCAACAATACAAAAAATAAGTCGAAAAATATAAACGACCCGATCCCGTTTTACAATGCCTCGTCCGCGATCGGCAGTCTGGATTATCACACGGAAAAAAGCCGGCACCGGGGCACCAGATTTGCAAAACCCAGATTTGTGTATGCAAAGACAGGTACGCAAGAAAATCTCTGTCGCATATCTCAAAAAGCATGAGCTCGCCCATGACAGATTTTCCTGTTAGTATATTTTTGCATTATCATGCCCGGAGGTCGGCTTTTTTCTGTGATGTGATATCGACACCAAATCGCCCATAATTTTCATCACTTCCGGTTCGTGTTCGTGGAATTCCAGCACCTTCAGCAGCAAATCCGCAAACGGCATCAGAGACGCGTCCGGGATCTGCAGCAATCCGCACAGCAACCCGATCTCCTTCACACAGGTGGCGTCGACGAAGTGCCACTTGAGCAGAGCAACGATTTGGTCCGAGCCGGCTTGCTGCGAAGTGGAGTTATTTGGTGTGTTCGCGCTGTGCGGATTTTTGATTTTCTCCACCATTCGATTGTTCACGTCGGCGACCGCGAGCCGACGGAGGCACATCAAACACCTGCGGAAAATCGTGCGTTTATTCTTGTTTTTCGTTTATCATTGATTTTCAAGAGAGTCACGACCTCCCGTACAGGTCTCGACGTCGTGTTCATATTTCCGCATAGAAGAAGATGAGGTACGAAGTAAGTGAGTAAAGTACTAGGTACCTTCTTGCAACCTGCAGGTCCTGCCCGTGCTCTTGCAGGACCACAAAGAGCATCTCTACGCCGGCGTGAATCCTCAACTCGTCTGCGCAAACCTGGTCCGGTGCCAAATGGGAGATCAAATTTAGCGCCGCCTCCACCACGATCTCGTTCCGCAAATTTGCATGCACCACGCGAAGCAGGACCGGTATGATGCCGTGCTGTAGAATCATCTGCCGGGAGGTGCTGTCGTGCGCGAGATTGGCCAGCGCGGAGAAGCAAATCTTCGCCAGTTTGCGATCCTCTGCGTGGTCGCAAAACTCGACGAGGGCGGGCACAAAACCCATGTTGAGCACGTCTTTTCGCCATTCCGGGTCCAGGGAGAGATTTCCCAGCATCCCCGCAATCTCCTTTGCGAGGTCGTATTCCTGGGGGAAAAACCGCAGGGTTTTCTGCGCCATGTCGAGGTAAGGCAAGGCCACGCAGATACTTCTGCACTTCGGGGACTTCGCGACACGGCGGAGAATTGCGAAAGAAGCTGCAAAGAGTCGGGGCAGAAGGAGGAGAGATTCCTTGTCGATTGTGGGCGGACCGCTGTTCAACATTTCGTGCTGTTCCTGCAGCCTGGCGAGTTTCTCTAGCACGTAGTGGGCGCTCTGCTCGGTTTCGGATTCCGTGTTGTGCTCGTCGGCGACGAGATCGTCTTCCTTGGTGTAAAAATTGCTTTCCTCCAGCTGTTGCAGGTACTCCTGTAAGCACGGTGGGAGAAAGACGTCGAGAAATGCGTCCATGTACATCACCTCCACCACCTTTTCGTTATCAATCACGCAGTTCCACAGCGCCTCGACGCAGGCCGTGCGTATTCTCAGGAGCTGGAAAGGCGCATCCGGCCGCGCCTTCACGTGCTGGGGCGCGGTCGTGAAGGCCGATTGCAGCGCGACGTGGCCCCCGTGCGCGAAGACGACCTCCCGGTACTCCGGCTTGTCCTGGAAGTTGGACAAAAACCGCGACGCGGCCACGACGATCTCGGGGAGGTCGTATTACAATGAAAAATGCCCCCACCCCCGAACTTGGGAGCGTTTGTATTGCAAACCTTTGCAAATGAAACATTTGCCCTCTTGCATCTATCCGCATCACAGGTTTCCAATTGTGAATAGAAAAAATTTGTATTGCAAAAGACCCCAGCAAGAGTGGCGCTTGTCATGCAAGCGATGCGATACAGGCCTAGACTCTGCATAAGAAAGATTCATGCTCCCTTCATGCATGGCAAAAAGTTTTCATTTGGAAACTTCGCATCACAAATTTTTGCAACTTTGGGGGTGGGGGCATTTTTCACTGTAATAGGTCGGCGCGCTGCTTCAGCAAATGCACGATGAGGGGGATGCCCCCGTTCTGGTTCACCACGCGTTTGTGGCGGCTCCGAACCATGAGCAGCGCGATCCCGGTGATCGCGTCCTCTAGCACCGGGAGCGGCACGGCCAGCGTGCCGCTGCTCGGGATGCTCGGGTCGTGGTCGATGCGCAGGAACTCGAGGAGGACCTGCAATAATCCGCGGGGGTTTTTCTTTTCGTAGAATTTCCTTTGCGGATAATTTTTGTCGTTGTATCTAGTTATTACCTCTTGTCCAGCGCACTCGCACAAAATAGCAGTGCATCATACCGGCGAAGAAGACTTTTTTCGCGTGAGTGAGGAAGAGGCACTTCTACGTTTTTCGTAAAAACATGCCGCGTGCAAAGCAAACACCTTGACAGTGCCAGCGGTCTGCACGATCTTGTCCGCGTCCCGGGGCTGCGAAAGCACGGTTGCAAGACTTATCAGCTGTTGCGCCTGGTTCTCGGCCACGGGACGGTGTGCTTGCGCAAGCTTCATCCAATCGGTGACGCAGGTCAACATTCCCTTGTTCAGCGCCAGCATGTCGGAATCCGTGTCCCGGCCGAGAAGGGCCTGGAACAGCGCACAAACAGCGCGCTGGACGTCGGCCGTTTCCGCCAGTTCAGCTTCGTGGTTACGACACCACGACGCGAGAACCGCTATGCCTTTCTTCAGATCATCCCGCGACACTTGCTCCAGCGCCGCAGCGTCGGCGTATCTTGTGCGGTGCTGTTCCAGCAGCGCAACGAGCTCGGGCACGCAACTCGAAACTCCTTGCGCGGGACCCGCGGTGCTCTCGAGCAGGGAACGTAGCTCGGGCGTAAACATGATCCTGGATCGCACGGGCGGAGGCCCGGTTCTTAAACGCTACGCAGCTCCTACGATGCGACCCCTAAAGCTCGATGCTGAGCATTGGCCGGCCTTATTCTTGCCGGGGCGCATCGCCCGTTAGTGCAGCGCGTCTCGAAACTTTACCCGCAATCGCTCCTGATGTTTGCATCGCGCCTGCTTCGCGCTCGGGTTCGCACAGTACGGCTGCGGCAGGGGGGGGGTGCCACCGGAACAAAACTAGCAAAGCCGGCGCTACCACGGCAGGCCGAAAGAAAGAATTGCGCGGCGGCCTTTCTTTTGCGCTGGCGCCGACGTTCCACTGGGCCACGCGGGCCCTTCTCCCGAGACAAACGCGGCCCGCGGGGCACAGACCGCGTGGGTAGGGTTGGGGGGCGTATGAACTGCGAAACGCACCGAAGTCGGCCGAACGCGCGCCCGCACCGACGGGTCCCGCATCTGTCGATGCTGGCGCTGCGGCAGTGCGGGCCAAATCAACCACGCAAAGACCAGAACACGGTCGCACATGTCTGGCCGGTTGCTACTTATCCTAAACATTGGCCCCACGGAAAAGCGCCCAAATACAAAGCCACTCCACCCGAGCGGAAGAAATCGCTCGGAAGGCGCGCCGGAAAGGGATGCGCGCAATCTGCCGGGCGCCAGCTTGCGCTCCCCCCGTGACTTCATGAGGATCGATCTGATCTGGTTGGGCAGGGTAGGGGTCGGCGATCTTTGTGGGTTTCCGGATTTCATAAAATGACCAGTAATCCACTGCGGCGGATTTAATGTGGTTCGGCCGATGAGAGGGGGTCACGCACCTACTGGCCAGACGTCAGGCAACGCGACCCCAGGTCAGATCTGGTTGAATGGCTACCACGTGGAGACTTTTTTCAAAATTTTCAGATTTTGCAAAATGTGAGAAACTGCACTACCACGGACGTGCTTTGCTCTTAGTAATGTAAAGAGGACACAAATCGAGGCTGTCCATACAAATCTTTGTAAAGTTATACCAAGTAATTGAGGCGAAACACCACATGTCCAGTTTTTCTATTTTTTTGGATTTTCTGCATTTCGAAAAAAATTCAAAAAGTTGCCTATCAAAAAACTTCAAACTCTTCTTGATCAAGTAATTTGCATATTTCACTCCAATGCAACTTATCACAACTCTAATTAATGACGTTTTTTATGCTCATTACCACAGCGGATTTTTTTTCGAATTTTTCGGAATTTTTTTGAAGTGGGCAGAGTTGCACTAATAACGCACCAAGTCGCAACTTAAGACACTCCCGACGAACGCCGATCGCTTTCCTGGTGGTTTGCAAACGACTTTAGTGCATTTCTGGACAATTTGCATTTTCGGGAATTTCTTTGATTTTTTCCAATGTTGAAAAATGTGGAAAAATGCTAGGAAAACAGGCCTTTTGCTCTTCGGAACAAGGTCAATGCTGCACAACAGTGCACCTTTTACCGTTCTGTCTTGTATTTTTGTCCATTTTTGAACTTTTTCACCTTATTTGTCATGGTGGATTTTTTTTGGAAATTTGGAAAATTTGAAAACAACATAAGAAATCTGATAAGAAACGAAAACTGTCAATGCAGATCAAGAAAAAATAAAAAAATGCGCAGTGAATATCTGACAATGATGATATGTGCCAGATTTTTGGCGAACAACGCCACACCTCAAATCTTCGAAGAAAAAAATATTTTTGAACGAAGTAAAAAAGGGCCAGATCTTCCCTAATGAGATGAGAAGAATCTATGTAATGCGTTCAACGATGTCCAGAGTCTCCGTCGCTGGTATCTCCCACCAGTTTCGGACGCATTCTTTAACATGCGATTTTTTTGAAATTTTCCAGAATCACAAAAAGACTATCTTTCCGGATCCGGTAAGAGGGTGTATCAGCATAGGCATAACCATTCGCATCGGTAGTTTAGACACAGACCGCGGGGCCCGGGCCCCAAAGACCCCCGCAGGCCAGCGGTGGATATCGCGAGGCCTATATGCCCATCCCGCATTGGCAGGCTGGATATCCCCGCGGGGAGCACTATTCCAAGCCGATCGCAAGGCGGCGCAAAATTGCAAGCAGGGCGCCCCGCGTTGCGGCTTTATTCTCGCGGAACGACGCCGTACCCTATAGCCGCTCTGGCGCTCATGCAATTAGGGCCGAGCACCGCCCGAACAAGCCTATTTGGCACCGGCGAAGGACAGAAGAGCGCCCAAGTAGGACGCCCGCTGCTCCACTGCGGGCCCCACGGTGGCCCCGCGCCGCCGGGATCGCGCACCCCCTTTGCACATCGCGCCCTTTTACCGCCCGCGCCGCGGCTGTCCCAGCGTCAGATGCCCCCGGCGCGCGTGGCCTCGTCAGTCGCCCGGCCGGCGCTGAGGGGCCGTCGCGCGCCCTCCGCTGCGGCGCAGAATAAGCCGTACCAAGGGCGGGCGCTTGCGCCGCCCCGGAAACCGGCCCGGCGGCATTTCATTTTGGGCAGCTGGCCTGGGGCGGCGCGGCTGCTCCGATAACCCCGCGACGGGGAAGGGTAGGGAGCCGGAGAGAGCGTCGCACGAACAGGCCCCCTTCCACCCCGTTCCCCGCACCAAACTTGAGCGAGGAAGTGCTTCTGCCGCGCCACGCCAAATCTTTCTGCGCCCCGTGCGACCGCGGCGGTAGTGTTTTTGTTCGTGCCACTCGCTGTTTGTACACTACTGCATTTCGACGACCGTCTTCGGGTACTGAAGTTTGTTTCTCGCCACCGTGGTGGGTTGCCAACATGGAGCCAAGATAGTTTGACAGCCGGCGCTCTCGGTTCTTGCCAGTTGAAAGAGCGAAGATGGCGCGACTGCTCGTCCCCAAATAACATCCGAATTGTGGCGGTGTTTTTTCGCTAGACCCTGCTGCCCGCACGCGAACACCACGATTGGGCCGGAATGGCGCGTGAAGATCCAACAATTCTATCGCGCCTGGTCGCGGAGTGCTTCGGCACCTTCGTGCTGACTTTTTCCGTGTTTTGCAATGTCCTGGGCGGTTCGGGGCCCGTCTTTGCGGCACTCTCGATCGCAAGCACTTTGATGGTCGCGGTCTATGCGTTGGGAGAAGCGAGCGGCGCCCACCTCAACCCGGCCGTTAGCGTGGCGATTAGCTTGTGCCAGCAACAGAAGTGGAGCACAACGATATACTATGTGGCGGCTCAGGTACGGAAATTTTCTCAAGGACAATCGGTTTTATGAGTGCCGCGCTCGCTGGTTCACAAATCCAAGACGATGACCTGCTTCCACTGGAGTCTCATTTATCAAACCGCACCTGTAGAAGTGACGTGAATTATTCTCCTGGAAATGGCAAAAATGCACAAACCAACTTCAGGCTCTGGGTGGGCTCCTCGCGGCAGCCTTTTCGTTCGCCATCCACGGTACGAGCTTCAAACTTGAGCCAGGAGCGGGCCACAGCATCTGGGCCGCGGGTACCTGCGAGCTGTTGTTCACCTGCATGCTGTGCTTCGTTGTGCTGAACACGGCGTGCGCCAAGGCCAATGCGGGCAACCAGTACTTCGGGCTTGCAATCGGCTACACCATCGTAGCAGGCGGCTTCGCGGCCGGTGCGATCTCCGGCGCTAACCTGAATCCCGCGATCAGTCTTGCGATCGACGTCTCCTCTGCCAGCCTATACACATCTCTGGCCTACATCGGCTTCCAGCTTGGCGGCGCGGCGCTCGCGGCCGGGTTGTACAAAGTACCACTCCTTGTTACTTCTACTCTTGTATATCAAATTCAGAACTGTTCGCAGCCAATTTGCAATTTCTTCCGGGTGTATAACAGCCTGTAGTTATTTGCACTCTACTCAAACAACTCATCGCTATATTCAAAAATCACTACTTTCCAGTACTGCCGACCCCTCGACCTCGCGCCCTCGCACCTGGCTCTCGCTCCAGCGGGTTTATCGGAAAAACTCGTCGCCGAATTTATCGGGGCTTTCTTCCTCACTCTGACCGCGGGCCTCAACGTCGCCCAGAGCGTCCCGTCCGCCGCCCTATCCATCGCCGCCGCCTTGATGTCACTCGTGTACGCCCTGGGCAGTGTGTCCGGCGCGCATTTAAACCCTGCGGTGACGTGCAGCGTCCTGCTCTCCCGAAGAAACCTCCTTCCCCCCGGCGACGCCATGCGGTACATGCTGTTCCAGGTGTTCGGGGCCATCGCCGCTGCGTGCACGTGCGTCGGGATCCTCGGCCCGAGTCACACGATCGGCCTCGCGCCGCCGTTGACCAAGTCCTGGACGCAGTTGGCCCTGACGGAGGCGTTTTTCACCTTCGTGCTCTGCCTGGTCGTCCTGACCGTGGCCACGTCGATCAAGGCGCAATCGAAGGACATGTTCGGGCTCGCGATCGGGAGCTGCGTCACGGTGGGCGGGTTCGCCGGGGCGGCGGTGGGAGCCGGAGTCTTGAACCCGGCGGTCGCGATCGGGTTCGACACGGCGCACAGCATCTTCACGTATCCTGTGTAAAAACGTCCCCACCCCATAGTCCAGATGGGGACTTTGCAACACAAACCTACAACTTTTGGGGGTCGCGCATCACAAGGTGCAGTCCGTAGTCTCGTGCAGGGTAGCAAGGCCAGCCGCATCAGAAATCCACCATCTTATCCTGTTTACAGCATTACAAATGCCAAAACACGACTAGAAATGCCTCTCCTGGCGATGCGCATTACAAATGTCCCTGCTACTGCAAATGTGCATGACAACCGTGTTTAGCATGACGACTCTGGGCTGGGGACGTTTTTACAAATGATATCACGGAGGCAAAATTCATGAACTCCCTGTTCTACACCATGAGCGAAGTCGCAGGAGCGAGTCTGGCCGCCTCGGTCTTCTACATCACGCACACCGACGACTACGTGGATGAGACGAAGGTGTAGTGGTCTGTTGATGGCGGCGGGGAAATGCATAAAAGATATAGTATCTCGGCGAAGGAGCAGAGCTCCTGCAAAAGAACTTGGCAGGGTCGAGTGTCACGAATTTGAGCAAAGTGTAATAATACGCGGATTTTTAACTGTTTTCTTTTCCTCATCTTTTCAGATAGCCACGCTCATTTTGAAAGTACATCGCGAGTAAGTAACACAGAGCGACAGAAAACTTGCCAGAGAAAGCGAAGCGAGTGCCTTTCGGAGGCGATGCAGTTCTGGGATCGATAGCAAGACAAGCAAGACGGATGGTGTGCCACCAGAATCGATCTATCACATCAGTGAATTGAACAGATCGAAACCTAAATGACCTAGCGACGACCGCATAGCAAATCACGGAATGCAGATCTGGCCGGATGTCAAATCCGTGATCCCTCGGCCTAGCTGTTGCCTCATTATGAGGCCCATCACCGCACATTCCACAAGGAAATCCTGCACTGATCCTTCGTCGCCAAAAAAAGAGCTCAAGACCGTCCACCCGAAAATCACTTTTCTAGGATCTCATTCATCTTTTGTTCACCGATTTTTACCTTTTTGTTTTCCAGGGTCATTGGTGTGTAGTTTCTTTCTGACTTTATCGCCGTAATGGCTACGCATACGGCCTTGTGGCCGAAAATGCAGACCCCAAGCTTTGGATAGAAGTGCTACGCGCGTGATCAAGAGACCGGTTTTTTTCAGGAGTATCGAGAACGATGTTCATTTATTGACTCAAGAGAAACGTCGCACAAAATCAAGAGCAGTAGCGTAGAAAAATAGAAAATTTTGATAAACTATGCCATCCTCGAGCCGAACCTCCTCGACTGGTCCGGCGCCGACTCGATTTGACGATACCAAACAGCAACGATCTACTGTGGATGCGAACGCAAGCAGCATGAAGTTTTCTCCCCTCGCGCTTTTTCTCACCCTTGCCGCGGTGTATCTGGTCTGCGAAGTGGTCTCTAAAATCGGTTCTGCGTGGGCGACCCCCCGACTCCGCAGCGCGCAAACGCTACACATAGTAGTCGGCCTGGAATCGCTTTTGTTTTCCCTGCTGCTAGCTGCGTTTTTCGACTTGAAGCGGCTTCATGCGGAGCGGCGGGGTCGAGGAGGTACCAAGCCGCAAAAAGATACGGAACGCGTGCAAGACGATGAACAAAATAGGGATCATGAACATCTTCACGAGCAGTCGATTACGCGCTCCGGGGCCGCGACCGAGCCGAGAGACCAGGGTCGTGAGAACTACACCTCGGGGAAAAGCTGGCCGATTTGCTGCGCCCCGGCAAATACTGTAAAGACGGACCATGCTGTTGACTCCGCCGATCCCGATGCCTCGCGAAACGCACCGTTGCAGCCGGAGCGGCGCGGGGGTGTAAGTGTGGTTCTGGTCGACATCGAGCCTCGGCGGCTATCTCTGCACACGCCGAGCTCAGTCGATCGCGATAACGCAGCAAACTGGTCTCCGGAAGAACAGCGCATGGGCGAGAAAGAAGATGCAGGGTTATTGACTAGTTTATTTTCCGAAGGGAACAAAGCACGAGGCGTTCCGAACAACACTACTGCGGGCGAACACGCGTGCAGTGCTTTGTTGGTAGACGGGACCACTATCACTTCCGAACCGGGCAAGCAACAGCGCCTAACGGAAATTCTCGTGGACGATGACATGGAAGTTCTGCTCGCGGGGACAGAAGTGGAAACCGAGGCGGAGCGGATTCCGGAAAACCTTTCCGCCGGCCAGCAAGGAAGATGCCAGACTGGTCATCCGCAAACGCGACAGAGGCCAGAAGCGACCAACAGCCGCGAGGACAACGAGGCCGAAGAAGCTGCTTCTTCCCCGTACCTCCTCCGACAATGTTTCATGTGGAACGACGGGTTTTGGTTGTACATGCCGGTGGCCATCGCGTTTGCGGTCTTCAACGCGTTGGAAACGTTTCAACTGGTTTTGGTTCGCGGGAGCCCCGGCGTCCTGTCCGTGCTGAGCCGCTCGTCCTTCCTCCTTGTCATGATCGGGTCCGTGGTTTTCCTGAAGCGAAAATTCACGAAATGGCAGTACGTGTTCGCCGGCCTGGTTCTGCTCGGGATTGTGTTGTTTCAAATCAGCAACATGACCATCCACGACGGGCCGCGGGACGAGCAGATGTTGTTGAATAGTGGAGCAGGCAGAACTAGAATAAATGCCAGCAACAAGAACAGCGACAGCTTTCTCCGCAGACCACGCCGCTCGCACAGTCGAAACAATCTCGCCGGGCTGCACCAATCATTCTCGTCTACTTCTGCGGATGAACCAGATGAAACTACTCCCCAACAGCAATTCACAATCGCGATCGTTCTGGCGCTCGTGGCGTCCTGCATCCTCGCTTTGGGCACGCTGTACCGCGAGAAGGGGCTGAAGAAAACCGCCGACTCCTGGTTTTTCGTGCAGAAATTTCACATTGAGGCGCCGGCGCTGGTCTTTTTGGCCCTGTTTCTGTTCGTCGTTCCGGAAATCCTGTTCGCCTGGAAGCACGACGACCCGGAGTGGGAAAGGTTCCTCGTCAAGAAACTCCGTTGTCCGCGGATTCGGTCCTGGGACGACCTGTTCCAGGGCTGGTACGACAAGGGGGACGAGGATTTCGGCGCCTGGCGCATCCACCTGTTCGCCCTCCTGACCGTCGCGACCCAGTGGTGCGGGGACCTGGTGGTGAAACGAAGGTCGACGGTGGTGCGGTTGTTGTTGAAGTTTTTAACCCCGATTTTGGTCTACTACCTCGGCGACCGGCTCCTGTTCAAGAAGAACGTGCCGAACAACTGGCTGCAGGAGGTGGCGCTGCTGTTTTCCAGCCTGTTGTTGCTGGTTTCCGCCACCACTTTTGCGGTGCTCGGGGAGGCGGAAAAGCAGAACAAGGAAGACGCGCATGGAAACGAGATGCTCGGGGAGGAAAGCAAACCTTGCGACGAGGGAGTAGAGAGGCATGAACTAAATGAAGAAGAATTATCCGCACAGTGGCTCCTTCCGCAACTCCCGGACGAAAGTCGAGGGAGTGACCGCGAGGCACAGCATGCCGGTGCTCTCACCGTTGAAGAGCTTGCCAATTTGCCGAGGCCGCACCGCACTAGTGTGTAAAATAGGGATTTGAAAGGAAAAAGTACAGATGTGAATACTTAGGATAAAAGTATTTTGAAAGCGCAAAGTTATGAATTCAGAAAAGCGAAATTTTCCGGTGCTCATAGGATCTGTCGGGCCAGATGTACGCAGTGCGGTGATTAATATTTCTCCAAGTTTCTAGTCTTGCGCTTCGTTTGTCGGAAAAAAACGCCCCGCAGCCGCTTGACAGGGAAATCTAATGAGTTGTCTCAAGTTCGATTGAAAGTTTTTGTTTTGACATTCGGCGCTTGCGCGCCGCGCGGTACAGGAGATAGAATAAAAGAACAAGGAAAGGATGTATCAGCCATGCCGAAGTCAAGAAACATTTAAGAGTTTTGGATTTGACCGCATTTTCTTTGCTCAATCCAACTTGTTAGTCGCAGTTAAGTAAAAATCAAGCAGGAACCTCCAGTCCTCCATGTCTCTCCGCCAATGGGCGGCCTGCTTTTGATATTAGCGCCACCCTATGGTTCAAAACGAACACGTACTGCAGTAGGATACAGTATCACGCGAAGTACTTATCTACGGGCAAAATGCCACTAGATGCAGTTCGTTGATGGTGCTTATCAATTGTCAACTGGAATGAATCCTCGAGAGGTTATGATTGCTTCTGTCTACTTTGTCACATCGCTCCCAGTAAGAGGTTACCTACGAACAAGATTGATAGCTCGCACGGTAGGCACAACTCGCCGTAATTCAACAAAATGCGATAGATAGTCCCGCTTTTGCGTCAGCGCGTGACATGATTGAAAATGAAATATTGATTATTAAGAAATTGCGACACTGCCGTCCCCATCGATCTCGTTACTGCCCAATGCAGTAAAAACATGGGCTACCTTTTGTTGCTCAAGCCGCTAGAGAAGCGATTCAGCGCCTTCTGGGGAAACACAAAAAGAGTGTTCGGCGTGACAGTCCGCATAAATGTACTATGTTAGGTCTACTTCGCGAAAACGGTATCGCGAAGGAAAAGCCACCAGATTGTTCCAACTGGATCTGGAGTCGTTCCGGTCTCGTTGTTGATGACCAATTCTAGAAAGAAGATTATTGAATTCGTTTTGTCGGAGCAAGTTTTTTTCCCAGCGATCACGATATTTCTCTGTATTACCAGCAACTTCGCAGAAAGACGATCGCGTTCTTGTCTACCATTTCTCTCGACCACCTGTTCTTAGTAACAAACTTTTGCCTATTGTCTACTTTCCGAACACGCATTGTATATTCTCTGACCTCTTTTAGTCTCTCGAAACTCATATCAAAATGGAGGAGCCACCCCTGGAAGACGACCCACCGTTGACGTTTGAAGCGGCGGCGCAGCTTATCCGTCCGTATTCGATGCCGCCCGTGGACCTAGTTGTGGATGGAAGAAAGTTCCAGCTTCGCTATTGGCTCTACGACAGTAGAAAACAGGATCCGGCGAGGAGCGGCGTCATGGTGTGCTTCCACGGCATTGGCGGCTGCAAAACCGACTTTGCGGCGCTGGTCAAAGGCCCGTTGCCCGGCCACATTGGCTTCGTCGTTGTCATCGACTGGCCGTTTTTCGGGGGAAACTGCAGTTCCGAGTGGGATGCCTTGACCTTGAGCGATTTTCTCTTTCGACCACCTGGTGAGGCGCCAGATGAAGACGACGTCCGCTTCCTCGCAAAGTTCGCGAACGAGGCGGTGAAACAGAAAATTTTACCGCCCATACTGAAAACGCTACAGTTGAACCAGAAGCTGGCCAATGCGAAAAGGGCGAAAACAAACGCAGGCGACGGACAAGCAGTTGCGGGTGGTGCTGCAACACACTTGACGGAGTTTGATACGATAGCCCCGCAGGCTGCGGTAAAGGAAGTCACTAACGTCGACGACCTGAAAATCGACCTTGTCGGGCACAGCTTCGGCGGGATTGTGGCGCTACACTATGGAATCCTGTTTGCGTCGCAGTTGAACTCGTTAACTGTCGTCGATTCTGCGCTGATATATCCCAAAAGGTCAAATCTTGTGGATTGGGTCTTGAACAATTCGCCAACAGAAAGCCACTACATCTCAGAATTCCACGGAGTGCGGAATCGCGATTTCCGCGACTTCATAAAAGGCGGGAACCTACCCGGGTATTTCTACTGGGATGCGGTGCTGCAGAACCATACTAGCTCAGTCGGGTTTCACCGGTACGCGAAGGTGATGCGAGCCCACATGGACGAGGCAAAATCGGCGGAATTGTACTTGCAGTGCAGAGCGAAGCTTGCCGACAGTGGCGGAAAAGAAAAGCTATTTTATGTTGCTGCGGGCGCGAACTTGACGTTTGTTCAGTCGACGTTGGATTTTCTGAAAGAGCACAACCTGCCGTTTGAAACGGTGGATAACGCTGGTCATTTTATTTCTATCGATAAGCCAGAAGCCTTCTGTAAGGTGTTGGCTAAGCAACTTTGAAATTACAGTGCCACGCGTGCTTCGGCGCAAAGGACGTTCGGATAATGAATCCTTCAAAACTACTATATCGGCTATGCAGGATCTGTTCGAAGTGTTTTGCGTATTTGCAGTGTGTGAATTTTATTTTGATCTCTCATTTTAAGTCAGGTCTGGTCCGGTACCGTTTTGTCAGATCAGCTTTCAATTTCGGATCCTCATCCTGTTGACCACACCGGTTAGTAAGTAATTAGAAGAATGCCTCGTGAGCCATGTCTGCTGCACATCCAAGATAAGGAGGCAAGCGCGAAGATCGCTCTGTGAATAGTATCGGAAAGCAACGGATTCGTAAGCACACACAAGAAAAAATGCAAATGCCCACCCCGACGCCCGGTCCGGCCGGCGGCAGCCAGCAGGCGGGCGGCAGCAGTTCGTCCACGTTGCCCTCCCTTTCCCGTTGCGAAACGGTTGATCTGGCCAGGCTGCAGCAGCTACAGCGGGTCGCGATTTTTGATTTGCTGGACGAGTTTTCGGGTCGGAAGATCTTGGCGCTGGACGAGTCTCTAATCCGCGCACTGGACTTGATCGTGGAGGTGCAAGATTTGGTCGAACACGGCGCGGAAGTGAGAAAATTATCCCCGGACCCGATCGTGTCCGACGCCCCGCAGATGATTTTCCTGGTTCGGTCCTTGTCCTTCCAGCTCGCGGAGTGGATCGCCGCGCAAATTCAACGGGACGAGCAAAGCCACCAGATGCGCGGCGTGGCGGAGCGGACGTACGTGCTCGCGTTTGTGCCAAGACTCTCCCACACGAGCGTCCAGATCCTGCAGGAGAAGAACGTGTACGAAAGCATTCACTTCCTCCGCGAACTCCCGCAACTCTCCATGTTTGCGATCGACGACGACTTGCTCAGCATGGAGATGGCGGACATCTTCGGGGACTACCATTTGGCGCAGGACCCGAGCTCGCTGTACGAGGTGGCGTTGGCGCTGCACCAATGGGAAACGAGTTTTTTCCCCCAAGGATTCAAGCCGAAGATTTCCAGTGTGGGGCGCGCGGCCAAGTACGTGACGGACGTTTTGTGCTCTGGCAGGCTGTCCGCCGGATCGGGTGGATCTTCGAAGAATGCTGCGGGGGGAGCTGCGCACGACATCAACCAGTCGCCCGAGGGAGCAGCCGGGTCCGGTGGATGCGGGTATTTGAAACCACCAGAACCTTCGCAGCTGGGCATACCGACAGTGATCGATTTTTCGAGCAGAACCAGCTTGAACAAACGACGGCAGCAGGCGGGGGCGGCGTTGAGTGAATTGAAAGGGAACAACAACTCCATCGATCAGATTGTGCTCATCGACCGGAAGACGGATCTGACGTCGCTGCTCTGCAGTCAATTCACCTACGAAGCGCTGATTGACCAAGAGTTCGGAATTTCCACCACAAAAACACAGTTGCCGTCGAACGTAGTGGGGACCGAGGTAAGTACATTTGAACGGTCTGTCAGTGTCAGCCGCTCGTCGTGTTTTACACCCGATTCGGTTTTACTAACTTGAAGCATAAGCTGGTCGTTGAGGTAAATTGAAAAAATTCGCAGGTCGGCGTGGGCGGCCCGAACAGCACGCGCGCGGTTCGTCTCGGAAACGACGATCCCCTCTTCCGCGACGTGCGCTACTGCCACGTTTCGCAGCTCGGGCCGTTGCTGCACAAGCGAACCCTGAAGATGCAAGAAATCGAAGCCGAGAAGGACAGCATACAGACGGTGCAGGACATGCAGGGATTCATGGTAAATACGCCTTCTGCTTGCCTATTGGAATTATGACATCAGGCGATTAATTTGAACAATTGTATGGCGATCCAGATTTTGAACTTTTTATCAGGTGAAACTGAAAGCTTTGACTCTCGAGAAGCCACTACTCTCCGCCCACGTCAACCTTGCCGCGTTTCTGAACGAGAGCAAGGGACAACCTGATTTCCAGCGGGAGTGGAAGCTCGAGGACGCGATCACGAGCTGCTCTGATACGTCCGGCCGCGCTCTGACGGGGATTGAGGAGGGCATGGACAGCGGCTGGCCACTACGGACCGTTTTAAGGCTGTTGTGCCTGTACTGCGAGGTGTACCAAGGATTGCCCAGCACCAACAGCTTTGAGCAGCTGAAACGCGGGATTTTGCAGGTCTACGGGTACGAAGTGCTGCCTTTATTGCAAAATTTAGAAGCAACCGGGTTGCTAACCGGACCAAGGAAAAACGCCACGGACCACAAACGGAATTGGAGCCAGATTAAAAAGGACTTCTCCCTCGTCGTTGACGACCAGAACGGGGAGGCAGACGCGTTCAGCTACGCATACAGTAATGCGTTTTAGTTGCTTTGTTTTTTTTATCAGAATGTAGTCGGAGAACGTGAACGTTGTTGAACGCAGTATTGGTTGATTTCGGAAGACGACTACAGGAACGACCAAAAATCAATACGCGTTTTATGTACAGGTGGCTACGCGCCCCTTTCTGTGCGGCTAATTCAGAAGCTCGGGTGGCGAGGCAGTATATCGGACAGCATGGCGCTCCTAGCTGGCCCTGTTTGCGAAGCCGAGCGCTTGCCGAAGAAGACGAAGGACAAGGAACAAAAGCAGAAAACGATCTTCGTGTTTTTCATAGGTACTTATATCCGTTGACTTTTCTCGGTATCTTGTGCCTGTTTTCCTTTCTAAAAGAGAAGCATCTTCGGCACAAAAACAAAAAGTTCATCCCTAGCTGTCTACCAATTCCATCAGGTGGCGTTACGTACGGTGAAATAGCGGCGCTGCGCAAACTTTCTGAAATGGAAAAAGGCGAGCGGAAGTTTTTAATCGGGGCAACGAGCTTTACGTCGCCAGAAAAACTTTTTCGCAGCTTGGAGCCAGCGGCTTTACACCAAAATCTCGTCCCCGCACTGCCGCAGGACCAAGTAGACAAATCACGGGGCCAAAGGACCGCTTCCGAGGAGCGCGGTGGTTCGGGTGTGCTCGGAGCACTGCCCGGACGGAGTTGGTTCGGCTTAGGGTGAAACGTTTGAAGATAGGAAGCGACTAAGACCAACCAGCGCTGAGCGGCTATAGCGAGCACGTAGAGCAGCAGATTACGCAAGTAGTGAAAACAAGTTCCAAAGAACACGACATTGATATATGTGCTTTATTGCTTGGTTTCGCTACTTTCAAACGGGCCGCGCCCGGGCACATGAAGAAAGAAAGAAGACAATAAAGAGAAAGAAACACACAATCTTACTTTGCTGATGTTGCCTATTGGCGATTGACTTGTTTAGAAGGCACCCATGCTGCAAAAGACCGCTGTTCTAATGCCGCGTCTAGTATACAGTTCGCCTTTCGTCACATATATACACTCAATTTCGGAATTCCTTCGTTCGGTCGTCCGCATTGCTCCATAAAGATGAGTCGTACTTTTCGTTTCGTCCTGTTGGAATCAACTTTTCGGTTCGTGCAAAGTTATTTGAAATCCAGCCCTCGGTTTTTCGTGTCTCGGTCACCGTAGTTGTTGCGTTCGCGTTTTCTTGCGTCCTGTGAAAGAATCGCCTTCGTTCATTTCTCCGCCGAATCGTGAAAGAATGATTTGCAAAACAAAAGATGCCTTGCGCTTGATTGGTACCCGACCAGGCACAGTTGCAGCTCTACCCAAAATTTACCACTTCCTTAGTACAGTATGTTTCGCTCCTCTTTACCATCTTGATGCGTAAGCGTGTGCGTTACGTTTGCTTTTTCTACAGAAAGAAGTAGTACAATGAGAAAACTTGGATAATCGACATCGATCTGATCAGATATACCCCTCTTTGTTCATCAATCGGTTTGATTTTAGTCGCACGCGAAGATGGACAGGCCGAAGTCGATCAGAAAAATGCAGAAGAGGGAGGCGGAACTTTCCGAGCTAGCTTTTCTGTTGAACGACCCCCAGGCGCTCGCCCAGAAAGCGGAAGTCAAGCGGAAAAAGAAAAGCACGAAGGAAAAGGAGTTCTGGCGCCGAGAAGAGCAAAAAAGGTATAGAAGTTGACCCAAGTCCCAAAACCCCTAGCAGCCCTCCCCTATGCTAGCAAGATGATGATGATGATGATGATTATGTGTTGATGTAGTTCCGAGGATGATGTTCATTTGATGTGCCTGTGTGTCGTGAAAAAAAAACCAAAGTTTCTGTCATCTTGTCCCACGCTACCCAATTTAGGTCCGCCTTCCTGTCTGCCGCGTTGCAGAGAAATGCGCGCACCAGCTCCTCGCAGTCCAGACACCCCTCGGCTGCGGACTGGGCGCGACTGTTCGGACAGAGTACGCCACAGGAACAGGACGCGAATCGAGCGTCGGATTTTTCGGGACGTCTGCATCAAGCCGAGGGCGAAGCGGGGCCGGGTGAAAATCCTGGCGGCGTCCTTGATATCGAAAATGCCGAGGATGAGGATCTAGAGGCGCTCGCAAGTGCGCTTCTGAAGAATGCCAACCATCCGCACGACCTGGTCGCGGTTCCGCTCGCGCCAGACGAAGAAGAAGAAGAACAGGGGCGAGGAAGTATATTGCGCGATGACTCCGTTAGATCGGGCGCGGAAGCAGGGGAAGAACAAGCGGATGTGGTCGGTCCCCTGGCAGCATGGCGTTTTGACAGTGCTCGTACAACGCATACCACACTTCTTCGCTCGTCAACTCATAGCGGGACGACGAATACGTCAGGCGGTACGCGGCCTTCCATCGTCTTTGCCGGGGCACTGACGGAGGGCGAAGGGAAGCCGCCGGGGAGTACGATAACCGGGATTTCCCTCAGGTCTGTGACAACTAATGAAGGAGAAGGAGAAAAAGACCAGGCGAGAAATAACATGTTGCTGGGACCGCCGGGAGGTGCCACGACACTACCGAGCCAAAGCAACGATGATTCATCCGCTGCTATCGACATGCCCGCAAGTTTAGCAGTCCGCGATCCCCGCCGATCGGCAGCCGTGACGACCGGACTGGAGGATTTCAAACGGAGGTCGGGCGTGCGGCCAGCAACTACAGGTAATATTAAACTTGGACAAGCAAATACTGCAGCTTCGCCGCTTCGAGACGACAGCGATATTTTGCGGGGGCTTCTAGCGGCGCCTGGTGATGCGGCAAGACTCGACGGGGCGGGCAGAAAGGTCGACCTGCTGCCACCGGAGTTCGCGCCGATTCGCTTGCCCGTGGAGGATGCGGGATTTTCTTTTGCGCCCACGTTCCAGTTGCAAGCACAGCTCCCTAGCAGCTTCGACGTCTTCACTCCGGAAAGCAGGCGACCGAATAAAACCGCGGAAGATGCGCCCCTCGAAATGTCGGACTACAACAAGTATTTGACGAACATGCAGCGGGTTTTGAACCAGAACGCCTTCGCCGGCGCGACCTTCCCACAGGAGCGGAAGAGCCGCGTGGAAAAAAGAACTGAGAATACTAACGGCAAAGCGAAAACGGAAGGCGATGCACCAGCTTCTACTGCGGAGCAGCTGAACAAATCCAGAGTCCCGCTGTCACGGAACATCGAGGTCGCTCGTCCCAGTGAGAAGCAATCGGACGGCGCGGCACTGTCCTCGCGCACCAGCCGGCGCCGGGGCGAACCCAGAAAGCCGCGCGTTTCCATGGGTGTCGTGAAAACGATTTTGAAGAAGCCGAGCACAAGCAACGACGCACTGCAGGACCTTGTCGGCCGAAGTGCTGATAACGATCCAAATGCAACAACGAACAAGCTGAGCCAAGGCAAGAATAGCAGCGCCACTTCGCTCGGTTCGGACCAGCAGGGGAAAAGCGAGCAAGAAGGCGACACGCAAGACGACCCCAATCCGGGCGAGAATTTGCTTTTGAGTCAGGGGGAGAAGCTCGCCGTCCCGACGGAGCAAATGTTTGAGGACTTCATCCTGACGCCGGAAAACCGGGCCGGCCTCGTGCACCTAATTGAGCTGGCCCGCGCGCTCAGCGGCGAAGGCGACTTCGATCGCGAGGAGGTGGCCAAGCACGTGATGCAGTTTCCCGACCTGCTCGCGTGCATGCTCACGAACCAGGTGCTCGTGCTGCTACCGGAAAACGTGAAGAGGAATTTGTTGCTGTGCCAAATTGACGGCACGAAGTTCGACAAGGAGACGGGGCGATTGCTGCACACCGCCCCGGATTCCAACGAGGCGCTCGCGAAGTTCTTCCAGGACCACCACAACCCGGAGCAGAAAATGATGCACGCGTCGTTCAAACAGCAGAAGCAGCACTTCGCCGACGTGGGCGCGTACCTGCGCAAGGGGACGGGGCACTTGGCGCAACTGAACAGCGCGCACTACTGGAGCAGTCCGCACGACGTGGTGTACCCGGAAACGAGCCCGTTGTCGGAAGACCCGGGGCTGGCGTTCCTGCCGCACCACGCCAGTGTCGCGGATATGTACCCCAAGTACTGCGTGCAGTTCGTCCGCAGGGCGTTGGCGTCTACCCGGTACCGACTGCTGGCGATGATGCTGCACGAGGTACAGGAGCGGTTTGGCGAGACGGCCGGCCGCGAGGCGAGCGAGTTGGCCGAGGAATTTTTCCAGTACACCAGCGACTGGCTGCAGGCCGACCGCTCGGGCTTCCGCTGCGCCGGACTGCGGGAGCGGGAGCAGGAGTTCTTCGCGCTAGACGTGTACGGCAACACGGAGCGGTCTATGAAAGGTTTCTTTCGCCGCTCCCGCTGGGCGACCGCGGCCCGTGGTGGTGACCAGCAGGGTAAGAGTCAGGATGTTCCACCGGGGGGACAAATCGACAAGGACCTGGGTCGTGCAGCAGCTACCGACTCCGCAACTGAGGAAGACGTAGAGCGGCGTCGGACGTCGACCGGTGTTGAGAAACAGGCGGAAACACGTGGAACCGGGGGCCGCCGTGGGACGAAACACAAAGATCGAGGACAGCTGACTGCACAGATGGCGGAGTCCTCTGTGGTGGACGCCGCAGAAGAGGAAGACGGTCCTGCATTCCGTCCCACGATTCAATACAAAGCCACGAGCAGTAGTCCCAAGACGACGCGCGCGTCCTCCGATGGGGTAACTTTTGGACTGGAAGAAGATAATCAATCCGCCGACCCGGACAGACCGTTCATTTACGTGCCGCGCGGCACGCCGATGTGCGTGATACCAGGGTACTATCCCCCACCTGGCCACCCTGCATACCGACCCGCGGTGGATTCGGCTCAGGAGACCACCACGACTCCTGCGGGAGACAATAACAACAAAACGCTGCTCTCGTCCTTCGCCGGGGGGTACAGCCAGCCATTGAAAAAGTCTCCGTTTCGCGACAGCGCCGCGTCTGCGAGCGATGGCAGTCAAGGGATTCCGGCCCTGCAGAGGGTCTCCTCGTCGGCGGATGCGGTGGTGGAGCGGGTGCGCAAGCAAGTGAACAAGCCTTCCGCACTCGGCGCGCCGACAAAGCTGGTGACGCAGAAAAGGGCGTTGGCAGGGCGAAGTGTGCGGGTGTCCGGAAGAGGACAACTGCAGAACTACTCTTCGCTGGAAATAGAACAACAGAAATTATCCTTCGACTCGGAGAAAGCGGTGAGCGAGAGCAGCGAAGAGGCCCCCGCGGCTCCGTGGAGAGGGAAACTCGGGGTGCCGTCTTTCTCACCTGGGCAGGTGCGGTTCGGCTGGCGGCCCGTCGGCACGCAGCAGCAGCAGACGCCGCCGTGGCGGCAGCAGTTTCTCGTCAATGCCTTGAAGGAGAAGGCGACAACGGTGCGATTCCGCTCCCAGGCCTCGCTTCAGTCGATCAAGTCCATTGGGTCCAAAAGCTTTGCAAGCCTCCGTTCGACCGATGACGAGGACGAGGGGCACAGGTCGAAAGACAAGAAATCATCGGCGAACAATGGTCCGAGAGCTCCCGGCAGCCCCTCCGGCAGCCAGCAAGGCGTCTTTCGTTTTTACCCCGATAGCACAGAGGACGAGCAGAGCGAGGACAATTTGGCTCGCGACATCAAGAACCTAGTAGATTTCGACGAGACAAGGCTGCTGCAACGTGTGAGTCACGGCGATAGCGAGCTACTCTGGCACGCCATGGATTCGCATCCCGAAAGTGCGGAGCGAAGGAGACGAGAAGCGAAGAGGAAAGCGAAAGAGGAAGCAAAAAAAGCGCAAGAACTCGACGGTATGTTCGCGATCAAGAACATGAAGACGCGGGAGTCCCGGGTGCACAAAAAGTTTGACCTGCAAGCGCGAATCGCCAACGACTGGGGGCAGCTCTGGCAGTCTGACTGGCTGAAACTCGTGTGCAAGCCGCTTTTCGACCAGGCGAAAACATCCGACCCGGAAAACATAACCAGTCCCTCCGCCGCACTGAGGAACCACGACTGGAGGGCGTTCCCCTTGACCCAGCACTTACTGGGTTTGCAGTCCATGATCGGTACGGCGGAAACGGAGAAACTAGCGGACTACTTCACCAACTTGGAAGAGGAACAAGAATCGGGTGCGGTGGCGAACAACAATGCGGAAACAAGCAATGAAAATGAAGATCAAAAAGCACACTCCCCCGTCGCCGGGGATGCCGCGAGCAAAAATGCTAGTTCCACCTTGACCGCGCGCGTCGAAGAGTCCCTGGACACGTTTTTGCGTTTGAAGCTCCGGCAGCACAAGCTGTGGAACGAAGAAGATTTGCGTTCGGATTTGCGCGTTTTCCTCTCGGAACACCACGGTTTGGACGACGTTCCGGAGTTTGACTGGGAGGGCTTTATCAAATGGAAAAATGTCTGGGTCTGGAAGATTGCACGATTTGTCATGCATGTTTTGTATGATCCATAACGCCTCTAATGCAGGACCTAGCATGACAGATTCTGCGAGATCCGTATCATGCCTTTCCTGCATGAGAGACTTCCTCTCAACTTGGTCCAAAGTGGACAGGTTTTGGCATTCATGCAACACAGATTTTTGCACGATACAGAAAGAGCATTACAAGTTGCAATCTTCCAGACCCAGACATTTTTGCAATGCATAGGCTTCGAGGGGGCGCAGATCGAAAAATTGGAGGAGGAGGCGAGGCAGGAAGCCGAACAGGCAGCGCGGATGGGCGTGGAGGACTTGGAAGAGTTGAACCAGGACGAGGCGCTAGGGGAAGTAGGAGCAGACATGGACAAATTCTACTGCGCACCGACAGGAGAAATAGTAGCCGGACAAACAGACAATGGTTCTTCCCCGACAACTACTGCTGGAGATAAAGCGCGGAAGGCGGTGCACACCTCCGATGCGCAGCGGCTGATGCTCGAGATGGAGAAAGCGAAGCAAAAAGCAAAGCAAAAGGAGAAGCAGAAAAATTTGCTCGGCGCCGGGCTGACGTCTAAGCTCAAGAAAGACGAAGCAAAGGACCTGGCCAAGGAGGGGGGCGCGATGGCGAAGAAGAACAAACTCGCGCGGTTGGTCCGGAATGACGTGCAGACTGCTTTCGCGATTAAGGAAATGGGTGACATCGAGCGGCAGAAAAAGGAAGCGGAGGAGCAGCGAGCTCGGGAAGCGGCGGAGGCAGCGGAGCTGCACCGGACGGCGCTGGAGGCGGAGGAGGCACTGCAGAAGGCCCTGGACTTCGACTCGTTTCGCGGAAAGATGCACGGAATCATGAACGACCACGCAGGAGGAGAGGATAATTTGGAGGACAGGAAAGAGCAACAGTTCGAAGACGAGGAACCCGTTTATGCTGGGGTAGCTGAGATCGAAGAACAACTGGGGCTTGTTGGAAACTACACCCGCGGCAGCCAGGACCGCGCGGTCCGAGCTTCTGCCGCTAACATGGAGCAGTTCCCTTCTGAGCCACCAAGTGCGTTAGACTTTGAGGACCTTGAACCGCAGGGTGCAGACGCAGAACAGATAGTACCTGCTTTGCGAAAAAGCCAGCGAAAGAGCGGAAGAACCAGTGCGGTGTCCTCGCCCGGAGTACAACTACAGCTGGACGCAGAGAAGAACCGTTCGTCACAAATCCTCGGCGTCACTCCGCCGTATTTGGAAATGGAGAATAAAGTGGTCCAACGAGAAGATGCAACAGCAGCGCCCATGTCGTCCGCGCGGTCGATCAAGTCCTCCGCTCGGTCGAGCAAGTCCAGCAGTTCCGTAGACCCGACCAAGGTCGGCGTCGGAGCGAGTATCTTGGCAGGGTCGAAAAGTAGAAAGTCAGTGACGAAGCCCTTTGAGGCCTTGGCGGCGAAGTCCGCCTCTGGTGTTTACGAAGAGTTAGTAGATCCAGCTGCTGCGGTACTTTCGCAAAGAGGAAATAGGATTAGTGTGCGTAAGTCAGCGGCCGCGGCGGCCTCTGCGGATCTAGATGAACCAACGTTGGATAATAATATGGTGGACCGCAGATCCATGACGGGAACGGGAACAAGCGCACGAGTTTCGGAAGCAAGAAAATCCCGAAAAATAGGTGGGCAACAAGTGGACGAAATCGTAGTAGACGTGCAAGCCGGCCCGTCGGGAGAAATGTTGGTAGCTGCAGGAGACAAAGAACAGCGTATGATGATGTCGCGGAAGTCCAAAACCGAACAAACGCAGCAAGCGTTGGATTACAACAGCACAGAGGAAATGCTACAAATGGGTGGATCATTTTCTGTGTCCGGAATGAAGGAGCAAAGGCGGGGCACCATTCCAGCAGGACAATTTGGGACCACGAGAAGCTCTATCCTCGAGGAATTGGCTGACAAACGGACGACGATCGTAGAGGAAGAACTGAGCAGGCGGTCGTTGTTCAAAAGAAGTTCCAAGGGGAGTGTAACAGGAGCTGCCCCACCAGTGGAACTTCTTCAGGACGGGATCGAGAACGAGACAGAAGCAGTGTCGCAGCCACCCGCAGATGAAAGTTCGATAAGGCGGAGCTCCGTATCAAATAGTTCGTCCGCCGGAGGCTCGCAGAGACTGCGGAAGAGCGTTGCGAAAGTGCGGGGGAAGTTGGTGTTTGCGACCACGTTCCAGAGAAACTTGCACGCGCCTGGAAACCAGATCGGGCGGGCCGAGCGAAAGGCAGCTGCTCAGTTGGGGAGGTTCACAGCCGGGGGGCGTGTAACGGGTCTGCAAGAAGAGGAATTGGATTAGAGTTGGTCGGAAGTTGTACTTGCAGTAGTACACGTGAAACCCCTTGAAAAGACACTACAACACGACTTTCTCTTGAAGTTTTGTTTTGGAAAGAAAAGCCATCTCCTCGTACTATGAACAAAGTTCCACCCACATTGAAGTTGCTCTGTGTTGTTCCCCCCACTCCGAGTCTAGATGCGCGTTCGTCGTCACTAGTAAAAGTAAGTTTCGTAAGTACTCAAATCGTCCTTCAGAAATCGTCCAAAAGTCGTACTATCTTCGTTCTGCGTGCGTTTCCACCTCCTTTTATCGTTGTTTCGTGCTTCTGCGATGGTGCTTCGCTGTGGTTCAATGAGAAAACCCAAGGTCGGCACTTGACAAAGCAACAAACCCAATATGTCAGGTACGTGCTATTCAGCTAAATCACCCTGTCGCTACTTTATTTCCTGCTGCGATCATTTGGTTACTTCTTTATTTGAAAACTTGTTCCTTATCGTTTGAGCGTAGATAAGCACTTGTGACAATAATGTTTCGGAACGAACTAACCTCGTGGCCGGAAACCATGTTTCCACCGGAGGGTCGTGATGGAAACAGCGCACTCTCCACCCCTATGGCCGCCGTCAGTGTCGCGGGCGCGTCAGAAACTGACGATGACTTGGCGTTTGCGAAGGAGTTTGCCGGCAGGCTGAGTGCCGTTGGGGTAGAAAGAGTGTCCGCTTTGGACGAGGCAGATTTTGCGCAAGGAAGAAGTGTTGAAGATGTTGAGCAGAATGGGATGAATGAAACCACGGTTCTTGGTACAGGCGGAGTAGATGATCAACAAGTTGAAATAAATACAGAGGCAACTACTACCACGTACCACTACTCCATTCCTAGGGATACACGTACCACCACTCCGTTCCTCGACGAATCGGCGGCGCTAGTAAACGCAGATGATGACGGAGCGCGAGCAAGTCCTGATGCAGCGGAGCAGGATCCCGCGGAGCAGGAGCCCGCGGAGCAGCCACCTACTGAGGAGCAGCCGGCGGAGCATTCGGAACAGGACGTCACCGCACGAAATCAAAATGCCGCAACTGTGACGGAAGAGGCAACCACGACCTCCAGATTCAACAATTCCTCCATCGCAAGCAGCGTCGGCGCGGGAGACTTGGCGCCAGAAACCCAGTTACTGTTGGACCAGGCTGTAGCGGTGTCCCGGTACAACAATAATTCGTCGGTGGCTGGCGCAAGTATCGCAAGCGATGTCGGGGCGGGAACTTTGTTCCCGGAGGAGCAACAGACACTCTTGAACAGTGCAGTCACCGGACTGGCGAAAGAGCAAGAGAACCTGTTGAACACACTGCGGGACTCGTTGCTTGGCGGAATTCCCGATTTGTTGATGAAGGAGGAGGCAAGGGGGGACAGTGTGGCACGGAAATCACGAATTTCGGACATCGAAAAAGCGTTGGAAGCCGTCGACAACATGCGAGCCTTGTCGGAAAGCGTAAAGAATGCCGCGAAAGATGTTTTGGAGAGGCAAACACTCCGTGAAAGCGCGGCAATGGCGGAAGAGCAGGGCGAGCGACATAAATCCAGTACGCGGGAAAATATGTCAGGTGTGCGATTCAGCACTGGGGGCCGCGGGGGCGAGTCATTGTCATTTTCGGTCGTTGGGAAAAAGAAGGAATCAAAGTCATCTACAAAACGCACGTTGAGAATAAGCAGCAAGGAAACTTCTACGCCAAATCAAGACAAAACAAGAAGTAGCAACCTGTCCCTCCTTTCCGATCCCGACGGCCCGACCGCGGGGCTGGATTATGCCGTCATGACCCCGGACAAGCCGAATGCGCTCCCCCCGTGGTACCCGGTCGGGCGGCACATTCAGCGTCCTCTGATGCTGAAACTTAAAGACATCCACCCGCAGCTAGCATTAGCGGAGAACGCAAGCGTGGTGCGCGCGCGGGCGGAGTGGAAGCACTACATGCAACTAAGGCAGGACTGGAGGAAAAAGGCAGCGGAAGGCAAGGAGTTGCGTGCACAGCAGAAAGAGAAGCTGCTACTCGATGTGGTACCTGGGGGCGAAGCGGGCTTGCAGATGCTGTTTGGAATCGAGGAGGAGGATATTACGGATGGGATTGCAGCTGGCAGTGAAGAAAAAGGTACAGATTCTGCACCAGGTGCAAAAGCACAGACGGGAACGTTCGAACAGATAGAAGCAGGCGGTGGATCATCGAAATCACCCACCAAGCCGTCGGAAAAAAAGATGCTTTTCTACCCGGAGAAGAGAAGATTATTACGTGGAGAGCCAACATCTCGACGTGCTGCCCCGTCGTTGACTGCGCAGGACAGCACGACGGTTAAACTACAGAGTGTTTGCCAGCGGGTGGTTCCGGTTTTGCAACGCGCCCTGGCGGTGCGATGCGGCAATAACAATCCGCCGACGAAAAAGGACGTCGACGCCGTGGTCGCACAGAGCGCAGCGATTCTGCTCGACTCACCAAGAGACGGGAAGGAGCACGCAAGACTCTTGCGACAGATCAAGCTGGAACTTCTAGAAACAATCGTCGTACCAACTGCAACCAGTAGAAACAACATCAAAACGGGATCCTCGTCGTGCCAAAAAGTCGTAAAAGGGAAGACCGGGTCGTCAACCAGATTCGTCACTTCGTCGGGCACGCTTTTCATGCAAGAAGAGAAGGATTTACAACTGTCTGATTGTAGAACTCCGGACTTGGTGGACTCGGAATCTGTGGTGTCCGTCGTTTTTTCGTCTCCAAAAGATTTCGAGGGTGTGCACACAATGGAAGCTGCCGCTGGGGATGGGTCTGCCGCGGAAAATAAGACCGGTGCTGCGGTCCCGAAAAAGAAGAAGCTGGTGAAGCGAATCGTGAAGAAAAAAGCCGCTCCTCCGGCCACCGATGCTACTAGTACTCTTGAAGCCGATAAAAATGGAGACGACGCAGCTACGACAGAGGCAAAGGCCGCAGTCATGCGTGCTCGGGGCGAAGATAGAAATACCGAGGGTGTACTAGACGCTGACGCAGCTGCAACGGCCGCGGATGAAGACCGCCAAGCAGTAGACGAGCCACGAACAGAAGAGGAGAAGGTCGAGTTTGCAAAGGAGATTCTGGAAGGTTTGAAGGAAAATCCTCTGGCGGACGAAGCCTCGTCTCCAGTCGCGGGACCGAAAAAGCCAAAGGCGAAAGCGAAGCGGAAAATCGCCGCGAAGAAACCTGCGCAGTCCTCTGACAACACGAGCGCGGATGACGGGGGAGAACAGGTACGTTATGATCTAATTGAAGTTTCTGTTTTTCGTGCTTGAACACAAAAACTGGATGAGATGTAACTGCGAGCCACAGCTGAAGCTGTCGGTAAATACCATAGAATGCTTCAGACGTCATTTGTATAGAAGATGTAGATGATTGCTGTCTGCGCAGTTTTAAACCCTTAACGTATCTGTTGAGATATTATCACGATGTCAACAGTTCCCACCTAAAGCACCACTCTGATGCCCTGTCTGTAAGTACTTGATATCCTGCGACCCCTTTTGATCTTTTAGGCGAGTGAAAATATCGTACAGAATGCTCGGCGTCTCACTTTCGCATTACATCCTGTTTGGAAACACGAAAGAGCGCACTACTAGCGATTCCGCCTTTGATCTCTCTTCAACAAAACAGCCGCAACCTCCCGGCACTCCGACGAACCCCGAGGGTGCGCTCGCCGCGGACGATATGGAGCCGTTTTTTCAAACCTTTCTGCCGTCCCTGGAGGACTCGCCTTCGCAGGTGGAGAAGCGGGAATTTCTCGATCATGAGCTAGGGGAGTTTAAACTCTACGGCGGTGAGTACACAGTGTCTGGCCAAGACGCGGAAATCACGTTGGCGAGGGATCATAAAAAGCATTCGTCTCTACCACCGAGCCCGGATTACTACGCGTCCCTGCTGAAGAAGGACCAGGTGGAAAGCGTCACGCCAGCGGAAGCACTGGAGATGCAGAGGTACTAGACTTAGACGGTCATATTTGGTTTTATCACACGGCACTTGTTTCTTGCAAACAATTACACTTACATTATCATGCTTTCAGTTTCATCTCGCACTGTGATATTTCTTGGCGTTGCACGCACGTACAACGAATAGTCACTACACTGAAAAATAAACCAATATCAGGCGTAACCTGCTGTATAAAGAGACATCCGAGGACCAGCGGAGAAACCAGAGTTTTGACTGGGGTCACAGTGCCACAGACTTGACGCAAATTTTAGGTTTGAAGTCGCCCGTGTTTCGAGCAAGACTCCCACCCGAGGACGAAAACGAGCCCCGGTGGGTCGAGGGAAGATCGGCGCTGGATAACTTTGTTATCGCGCGCAACCGCTGCATGGAAATCCTTGCCCGGGACGAGATCCGGGAGGGAAAGAAGATTTCCGAGCGAAATTCCAAATTTATACCGATAAACCAGCTCATCGAGAAGCGGGCGCCGCCCAGTGGGCGGGTGAAGAGGGAGAAATTGATACTGCTGTCGGGGATCGTCGACGAAGACGAGTTGGAGGACTAGCCTGCTAGGGAAGAAGGTTGACAAATCAAACGTGTCTATCCCGTTCCACCTGGACGCGGTTTTTATTCAAATTGAATTCCAGTCTTGACTTGTTGAGATACTGAATATACTAGATTGGTTTCTGATGTGCTGTACGTGGTATTTGATGTCTCCTGTGGAGACAGGGATGTTTCTTACGACACGCTGTACGATGAGCCGTGCACAGGAAATACCCAGCGTTGTAGCCTTACTGCTAGTTGTATTTCGCGAAAAGATAAGTTCTTTGTGAGTCCAATGTGTTCTCGATCTCATGCTAGACCCTCCCGTGCGAAAAACGATCTAATTAGCACCGAACAGCACGACTTCGTTCAACATTTACATGGGCCGCGATTGGTCGTCTACAGTGCGAGCGATAGCTAGATGCAATTTGTCCACACAGCGAGCTGCGAACAAGTTCTCCACAAAGAACGAACAGTAAGGATCTATGACTCCATTTCAGCATAGCGGTACTATTTTTTACTCAAGGCGTCCACTCCCCATGCCCTCATGGGTAATATCTGTTTCATTTTTTCGCATCATTTTTGATGGAAACGACGTGTCTCTGGAGCGCAAAAGTGAAGATCCGCAGGCATGAAAAGAAAACTGAACTTTCCTTTTTCACAAAAACCCCTCGCAGGCAAAATTAAGCGCCCGTCTCAGGCACCCTGGCTTGGACCGTGCTAGTACACAAAACTCGATAACCTAGTTACAGACCACAACTCTAGTAACTACTGAAAGGTTAACTGATACAACTACGAACGACTACTTGTTTTAGTACAAGAAAAGCTACGAAAAAAAAACCGCTGTACCACACACAGTACCAATTGTCACACTCGACACGGGTATTTTGTGTTTTTCATCATAAAACATTGTACGATCATCAAACTTGTGTAACTAGAATCGAACAGACGGTCGAGTTCCCCCTCCGGAATTCCTGTCTGCTTTTGAAGGTCTAGAACCAAAAAGCCATATACATACTTCCGTTGTGTACCATACTTTGAACTACGAAGTAAAAAAACTTCTATTAAAGACCCACAACTAGCACGCTATCCTACGAAAGTTTTAGGTCTGTGATAAGATACCAGCAGTAGAGCAACAGAAATTTCGACCTATAGAGAAATTTCTAGGCTGATTTTTACACTTCAGATTACACTGTAGCATTTACTACTCTACTACTTCTACATAGCTCGATAGCTAGCAGAATTTCATCCCTTTGCTAGTATCTATACCCCACCAAAAGACCAAACAAAATGCCAGAGGACGTAAAAGCCGAGACAGAGGTCCCCGCCCAGGAGGTTGAGGAGAAGAAACCGATGAAGAAGCAGGTGCTCTTCGTCCTGGGGGGACCCGGCGCAGGGAAGGGCACACAATGCCTCAACGTGGTGCGCCGCATGCGCGGCTGGGCCACCATCTCTGCGGGAGATGGTACTGATTTTGGAAACTCAGCTCGGTGTAGTTGCCTGAATAGAGTTGTATCAAAGTCAGCATGTCATGTGACTTCTACTGTAGTGCCTCTTTAATAAGTACTATGCAAGCGCGAAGTTTTGATTTGACACGGTTTGACTTCACTTTTCACAGTGCTCCGCGCTTGCCGAAAGGAAAATCCGGATTCCGAAGACGCTAAGACGATTGAGAAGCACATTTCCGCGGGTACCATCGTTCCGGTGGAAATTACGATCAAATTAATCAACGACAAGATGCAGGAACATGTGACGGACAAGAAGCGCCGACGCACGAAATTCTTGATCGACGGGTATCTTTTACGACTTGAAATTCAGCGATTTTTTATTTTCCCGGGTGCAGCACATGCAGCAGAACCCGAGCGCCACTAGAAATGATGCATTCTAGCACGAAAAGATCGATTGATTTAAAAGTAAAAGTCAAAAGGCTGATCGTTATCCTCGTTCTCACTACATACGTACAGTTTCCCGCGCAACATGGACAATGTAACCGGGTTCGAGAAGATCTGCGGCGCGGACTGCGACGTGCGCGGTGCTCTTTTCTTCGATGTTCCGGAGGAGGAGATGGTCAAGCGCGTGCTGGAGCGCGCAGAGAAGGACGCGGAAAAGGGCGAGAAGCGATCGGACGATACTCCGGAGGGCGTCAAGAAGAGATTGGAGACTAACCTGTATTTTTCATCTGGGGTGGCTGTTTTATTTTCACGTATTCATGATGATCGAAATCGAAATGGGAATGGCAATGGCTCGATAGCACCCCCGAATAAGTAAGCTCTTCAATAGCAATTCCAAATTATTCCACCATAAACAGGAAGGAGTGCGCCCCGATCGTGAAGATGTACGAGGACAAGAGCCTCCTGAAAAAAATCGACGGGAACCGCAAGCCGAACGAGGTCTGGAAGGATGTCCAGGCGGCTATGCGGGACGTCGAGAAGGCCATCCGGGTCGATTATCCGGGAAAGCCGCGCCCGGAAGCCAAGGTATTTGGTGTGTCTTTGTTAATACTTGTCGTATGCACCGGCACCGCAAATGATGATGAAAGCAAATCCGAAGCATAATCTGGTTTTTTAGTAGCTCCTTTAGTTTGCTTCGCTTCGAGAAGATAGGATATGAATATGATACGATACAGGGCAAGGGCAAGAAGGGTACGGAATGGATCAAGGTCGAGAAGATTGATCCGAACCAGAAACGCTGCAGCTTCTTCGCGAAGGTATGCAAGGAGCCGGTGAAGCACCCCAAGGTGGAGAGTTTGGTCGAAGTCCAGTGCGGCGATGAGACCGGAACCGTCACCTGCGTGATCAAAAAGGACACTGCCGATGCCGTCATCGAGATGGACAAGGTATTGATTTTGAGTAGTATATCGGGATGCACAGGCATAGGTACTTCTCAGTGTCCTTGCATGCGGGTCGTGGTGTGGAGGACCCTGATTGCAAGAATCAGTTCTCCTTCTCCGAAGGCTTGGTTTTAGCATGATGATGATTCAAGAAAAGCTGCAACCGATCTCGATTTAAATCTAGGTCGTGCGGTTCCAGAATGTGATGGTGCGCATGCGCAACAACTTTATCCGCGTGGAGACCGACCGATGGGGCGTCGTGAAGAAGGCGGACGACACCACGGGCGAGGAAACCGGGGCGGAGGAAGCGGAAACGACGAAAGTGACCGTGCCGGAGATCAAGGTGGTGAAGACGGACCACAACATCTCTGCGGTCGAATTTGAAGCGGTGGATCAGAAAACCCTCACGGGTGAGCAGAAATCCAGCGGCAAGGGCAAGGGCCGCAACCGACGACGAAAGGGAAAGGGAAAAGGTATAGAATTGTTTTTCTTCGAATCGACTATAGATATTTCAATGTTTGATATCGAAGTTGTACGGATTTGATGTTTGATGAATTGAGTACGGTACTGTTCTTCACTGATTTTGGGCGCTGCGCGACAAGTGAACGCGTTCGGAGGTTCCTGGGCAACATGTTGTGCTTGCAGAATGAAATCCACTCTGCAATTATGAATTCCTGTTTAGGTGAGAAGAAGGACGAGAAGAAGGAGGGCGAGCCGGAGTCCAAAGAGGGTGAGGAGAAGGCGAAGAAGTCCCGTCGCCCGCGGTCCAAGAAGAAGACCGACGAGGAGAAGGCCGCGGACCTGACCAAGGCGGAAGATGCTGCCGATGACTCCGTGCCGGCCAAGCCGAAGCGCACGCGCAAGGGTAAGGGGAAGCGAGCGGCGGCAAAGAAGGCTGCCGGGGAAGAACAAACATCTAATAAGGAGGTGGACGCTCCGCCGGCAAACGCGGTATAGTTTTGTGAGAAAATATAAATAGTCGGAAAGGAAACAGAACTACTTACAACTTCTCTCCAGAAGAGAATCATTAAGCATTAATATGAGCATCTCCACAAACTACAACCACAGGAGAAGAAGAAGCGGTCGCGCAAGGGCCGCAGCCGCAAGCCAAAGGAGGCGGGTACGGAGGAGGCTGAGGCTCCGACCTCCGGCGAACCGGCCAGCACGGAGGAAAAGCCCAAGAAGAAGGGCCGGGGCAAGCGCGCCCGCAAGGGGAGCGCCTCGTCGATGGAGGGTGGTGCCAAGTCGCCGGCGTCCAAGGAGGATAAGAAGCCCGCGGAGAAGAAGGAAGGCGGCAAGTCGAAGGGAAAGGGATCCAAGGGTCGCAAGGGCAAGGGTAAGGGAAAGGCCCCCAAGCCCGCGGGCTCCTGGGTGAAAAAGGAGGACCCGTAAACTAAACACGAAGTGGTCTGGGATTTCACAGAAGCGATGGTTTCAAACAGGAAGAGGTGAGGTACCACTGAAAGAAACATCTGTCCGAGGAAAAATCATAGCACTCCCTCGGGAGATGAAATGATCGGCGTTTTGAAAACAGAACTCTCAGCTCGCAACGACGATCAGCGCCCGATCTATTCGAAACCGACAGACAGCCGGTAAACCGGCCAGCACACGAATCTTTTGAGAGCAAAATCCACATGGAAAGAGATCGCGTTCCATGTGCGCACGAATGGTTTTTTTGAAAATCACGCGGCGATTGTAAAAGAAGCACGGTGGCGGTCATCGTCATTCTGACGACACAAGAGCTAGGAGCAGCTCCGGACAATTATACCGTCATCTCGTCTGAGCTGTACATTATTTTTGAATCTTTTTGAGCCCACTTTTATCAACAGTACAGATCGCACAACAACCCGATTTAAAAGCAAGCTAACTCAACAATCCAAGGCACTCCAGTTACGCATTTGCTACTTTTGTACCAAAAAAATTTTGGTCGTTCTAAACGAAAGATAGCTAGCTCAAGCTTTCCAGAAGTCTAAATCAAATTTGAAAAATTTTAGGAGCATTGATTTGAGTCCATTAGAGGAAGAAGCGGATTTTCAACAAAGAAGAATTTGTTTCACCTTCTAAGCCCGACACACGCATGAATGTTCTGAAAATTTTTCCGTGTTTATTTTAGAAAAAATAGAATGACGGTTCGCGATTTTAATAGGATGAATGTGTACACACAGTCATCTCACGCTCGTACTACCAAAATTGATGATGTTTCACCCTTGTAGACATCTTCGAAATGTACTTTTTTTGTCTGTACCTTCACATTGTCATTTTTCTTTCCATCCGAAAGAGGGGACTCGACAAGAATTCGGATATTTAAAGCCACTATTCGGCCAGATGCCGGCTTTCTTCTTGGATCAGAGGACGAGCACCTCGTGCGTACGTCTTTTGGATTGTAGCGGAACGAAAAAATAGCCGGCACAGAACCACTTCAACCTCCGAAGTAGCCAGGCCAGTAACTACACGATAGTGCCTCCGAGTTTCGTTACTTGTAAGCGACACATCGCTCCTTGCGCGATTGAGTAAGGACCTCGAACAATGAAACATTGGCAGGACAAGAGGACTCTTGGATGGAATTCAGAAAACGAGAAACTTGCTGGAAACCGGGCACGAAAAAACCACCAGTGCGGATGGCACCACCGATCACTGTGGTGCGCGCGTTTCTTTCCTCGTCTTTTGAAAAGGAGCGTTCTTTGTTTTTTCGGCATTTCGTGATCAAGCTTAGACGTACAGATCGCATCCGATCTTTGCCGTGCTTCAGATCTATGACAATTACCGTGTACTCACAGGATCTCACATGCACCTCCTTGCTCCTTAGGATCCCGAGCAAATTGTTCTTCTTTCATTAGACCAGAAAATCGGCCGAAGTACATACTTTTCCGCGCACCCGCTGGCATGGCGGGCCAATTTCGTTTCACTTCGAGGGCGGCGGGATGCCCTCGCAACACACCCGGCCCGAGGACCTCGCTGCGCCATGCAGCGTCTCGGGCGTTGTGGCTTGTCAAAGAGAGCCGGGGCGGCCTCCCGGCCTCGAAGCCAGCCCAGAGCGAGAAGCGCCGCCCCGCCAAGCGGCTTTCCCACGGGCCTGTCCATGTCGGGGCGGTGCGCCGCCGCCATGTTTTTTGCCGGACGCGCATGGGCCTGCTTGCCGTAAAGAAGGGGCCGGCCTCCGAAGCAGTAGGGCGCGCGCCCCTTGGGTTGGGCCTGCTTCGGCCCAAGCCAACGCCCCCCAAGTTGGGGGCAATGAGGGGGGGGCCCGGAGGGCGCGCGCGCCCCCCCTTCGGGGGGGGGTTAAAAAGGGGGCCGAATTGGCGTAATTCTGCACCCTTTTTTAGGGGGGGGGCAAAAAATGGCCTTCCCCCGATGCTACAGGGGGGGGGCAAAATGGCCCAGAACCGGGCACATTTTGCCCCCCCCCCCAAAAGGGGTAGCGAATTGGCCCAATTCGGCCCCCCTTTCCCCCCCCCCGGACGGGGGGGGCGCGCGCGCCTTTCACGGGGCATGCAGTTCGCCCGCCGGCCGGGGCCCCGGATGGGGGAGGGCGCGCCCGGACGCAGCCAAAGCAAAAGCTTTCCCGGCCCCGGGCGGGCTTCGAGTTGGGGCCCCGGGATGCACGCCGAGTCGGTTGCGTATCCCCGATGTGAGCCTCGCGCGGGACCGGGTGGCGAAGTGCTGGCTGCGTGCCGTCGCCTTCCTATCTATGTCAGGCCGACCCCTCCCGGCCCCGGCCGCCCCGCCGCAACGCCGGAGGCTAATTTTTCCGGGGTAGGGCAGCCCGGAACGCGGTCGCGCCTTCGCACCCCCCAACTTCTCTCCGCCCGCGACTCCCATTGCATGGGGATGCGCAAAAAAACATGTACTTCGACCGATTTTCTGGTCTAATTTCAGATCACCTGCACCACAGAGTGGACGTAGTCTTCTTCCTTCTGATCGTTTTACTTTTTTGCAGTACCAGCGACTCATACTTTTAGTGAATCTCCTCTCGAATTTTTTGAATTTTTAGAACCTGCTGACGCAAAAATGAGTTTTTTCCACAAGAGGGACGAGTTGTAAATCCGAGGAATTCATTCCGTACAGACCCGAACAGTAACAGAACTATACTAAAAATTTCAACTTTTCTCGTTTCGTAACAAGCCATGCGCTTGCAATTCGAGGACGACTATGACAAGGCCGTGGCCAAGAAAAGCCACTCCTGGGAGGACAGCAAGGCGATCTTGGAATATCTACGGGTAAACAGGGTTTTCCAGCCGGATGTCGCGGTGGTACACGGTAGCAGGCTGCTGGCGAAAAGCCCAGGGAAGCTCGGGGACGATATTTGGGCTGTGTATAGATTTTTTGCTACACTGCTACTGGAGCACCTTACACTTCCAATTGGCATTGCATAAAGTAGAAGTTGCTCAGTCAGTACGTCGGATCGATTTCTTCAAGGCACAAAAAATGTGTAAAATTGATATTCCAAAAACACAAAACCACAGCTACGAGCAAGTCTGCTTCGCCTCCATGCACCTCGGAATGCTGGCGTGGAGTTCCTACTGCGTAGAGAAACTGACCGACAAGTTCCCAGACAGCAAGCGAGTGAAGCGTATGGATTGTAAAAATGTCTGGGTCTGGGAGATTGCGAGACTTGTCATGCTAATCTGGCATGACCAAAAAGTTTGTGATGCATGTCCAAGAAGAGACCCTTTTGCCTGTCATGCAAAAACGCAGTTTCTCATGCGGAAAACGCAACACAAAGCAGCGGAGATATTTGTCATGCTTGGCTGTGCATTACAGAGCATTCACTATTCCCAACACAGCATTACAAGTTTCCAGACCCAGACATTTTTGCACTTGATAAAGCGAATTTACGCGCTGTTTCGCGAAGCGACCGGGGACTATGCCGACGCGCTTACCTTGTACAAGGAGATCCTGCAGGAGGCCCCAGAAAGCACTTTTGCCCGAAGAAGAATCATTGCCATGTACGGTTTTTTTGTCATGAGATTCCGATCCACGAATTGTGCTTCATTTTTCAACATACCATCACGAAGCTGTTTGCTTGACCGACATAGCTTGGAAAATCGACAATCCAAAAAACAGGAAACGCGCACAGGGGAGAACGATAGAAGCTATCGAGGCGGCGAACAAGCACCTGGAAACTTTTCAGATGGACAAAGAAGTATGGCACGAACTTACCGAGCTGTACATACAGGAGGGACAGCTCACAAAAGCGGCGTACACACTGGAAGACGTGCTGCTGCAGGATCCAAGGAACATGTATTACTTATTTGAACGTGCTGTTCTCTACTGTTCAAAGCTGCTCTCTGAAATTCTCGCGCAAAAAATTTTGCATGTATATCTGCTCGCTATTCTGGTTCCTGAAATAGAAATAGAAATCGAATTTGACCGCACGACAGGTATACGGTCCTGAGCTACGCGGAGCTGATCTTCTCCATAGGGCAAGACTACGACCTAGCAAGGAAGTATTTTTGCCTGGCCTGCGAAATCGATGAGACGAGTACGCGAGCGCTGTGGGGCCTGTTCTGGTGCAACCAGCAGCTCCACAAGAAGGACCAGGGATCGGATAAAATGCTGCAGCTGCAAACCATGACGGTGCAGAGGCTACGGAACGTGTACAAAGATCTCAAACACGTCCACAGCACGAAAATCATGCTGCAACTCCTCGACCAGGAGCTTCTCGCAACGTCGAATAGTGCAGCAGCACCGAAGTAGATGGGTTACGCGCACTCTCAGGGGCGCCCGGTCTGTGCACCGAGTTCGTAGCAGTTTGTTGCTCACTCTCACACACCAGAATCGCTCGCGTGGGCCCCGCGCTGGCCCAGCATTATCCAAGATTTAACATAAACGAAAACGACAAGAACCCTGGCGACATACACATAGAATTCTCTCTGGAGTAACCCTCAGAGCATAAGATGAAGAATCACTTTGGACATCTCAATCAGCAAACCACATGGCAGCTGCCGCACAGTGAGATTTGTGTTCGTGAAAGAGGCGATCTGGTTTTTCACACACAAGATCTAACGTTGGCAGCGGGATCTCGATGTACTGGAAGATCCAACTGTGAGGATGCATGATCCCTATCCCATAGTGCTGATCCTCTCTTTTGCTCGGTCGTGGTATTTTGGTGTCGGCTGCTTTCTGTTCCTGTTTTTTGTTTGTCTGTTTTTTGTCTGCCACGAGCGGAGCCACGGAAGATGATCATCAGATTTCTGGAGAACGAAGGTAACTGTGCTGGATCATGAATAAGAAGCAAGTCCGAAGGACTAGAGAAGAAATCGATCCATGTCGCAAGTAATATGTTGTGTACAAGCTTTTCTCAAAATGCAAGTCTATCTTTATGCTGACATGAACATCAAACTTCACAATTGCTACTGAAGCGCAACATGTCGCGATCTCGAAAGCGGGGGGCCAAAAATGGCTGCCCAAGCTTGTTTCGCCTCTTGCTCAGGTGTACCTTTTTGCGTGCATCGACTTGGTTTTTGAACACTTCTATCTCACCAATGACGGACCTGCTTCATGTGCGGGCAGATGCTGATGACGGCGCTTCGGAACCGCCGGTATGGATGGTCGCCCACACTGCGGTGTATCACATCGACCGACTCTGGGAGACTGCAGTACGAGCTCTATGGCCCTTTCGCGACATGGGCGAAGCAGATGGGGTGTACGTGCTCTACCATTGCTTTCTGGGCTACCTACGGCACTTTCTGTCACTGGCAAAGATAGGGATGAAAGCAGATGAGCAGACTGCGAGCTCCCCCAACCTGCAAGCGGTTGGTAGCACAGAGGCTGGCATTGTTTCTCTAGGAGCTCCTGCCATTACGACCGAGGAAACCGCTGAGCGTATAGCGCAGGGGACCACCTCTTCTTTTGAGGAGCTGATGTTGCTGTTGCACGCAGCCCCCGCATCCGAGGGAAGAGAAGTGCTCCGGCACATCATAACGGATCTGGAAAGGTTCGCACAAACGCTCGGCGGCAGTGGATTGCGACTAGAGTTCGGGGATGCGAGAACTGGCACGACAGAAGAAAGCAGCACGTCTGTCTTGCCAGGCGAAAAAATGATCCAACAAACAACGGACGTGCTGCGAAATCACCTCGTAGACGGGAACAACAACCCGCCAGCAGAGCAGCAGCAGCCACTGCAGCTGCGGCAATTTCTGCAGGTGCAGCTGGAGAGAATACAGAATCTCCTGAACTATTTTCTCATGCAGGTGTTCGCCAAGCGCTCGACTACGCAAGGCACGGTCCTCGGTTGGAGCCGCTCGCTGCTGAACCCCGGCCGTTCGCTCGCGGACCCGCAGCGGCTGTCTTTCTTCGCGACTTTCCTGCGCAGCGAATTGCGAACGCCCATGCTGTACAACCCTCTCTTGCCGGAGTGCTACGAAACCAAATTGGTGCCGCAAGCCCAGCCCGCGTTCGATCTCCTGCGGTTTCTCCGCGAGGAGATCGGGGACCACAAATTGAGCCATCAATTCATCGCAATTCGCCCCGAGCAGCTCGACGCGGACCCCGAGGTCGGGGGAATTCTGCGACAGGCACTCGAGGACTACTTCGGAAAGGCCGAGCTGCATGCCGTCGTGTCCGCGGACAAGGAGGAAGCGCAGTGTCCCAAGCTCGGCACGAATCGCGCATCGAGTGTCGCCGGAACAAACCAACCGCCGAGTGAGGGCCTGGCTTTGTTCAACGATCCGGGCGGGGTTGATCGCGCCATCTCCGCCGCAAGTCTGCTGATCGACTTTTCCCGCTGTCTGCAAGCGGACAGCCGGTTCTCCGGTACGGTGGAGCGCGTTGCTCCCTACTCGCGCAGCAAGTACGTTGAGCAAATCAGTGGCCCGGAGACGGCGGTGCCGCTGTTGCTAAAAGCAAACTGCTCCGTCTTTGACGCGTTTCCCACGACGACGCCGGATTTGCTCTTTTTGCACCCGCGCGCCGGCAACGCGGGCTACCTGGTGCCGCGCATCTTCAGCCGGAGGATGGGACCGACACAGCCGTTTCCAAAACTGTTGATCGTGCCCTTCAACCCAAATTTTGGCCCCACCGAGGTGCGGCGGCCGTGGTTTTTAAAGAAACAGATGAAAACGTTAGACGTGCTCTGGGAAAACAACAGCAACGCTGCTGGTGCGGCGGTGGGAGAAGTGGTGCAAACCCAGCACGCCGATGATGCACCGGACCCGCTGACGGAGGTAACCAGCGAAACCGTCGCTGTGAACACAGACCGCGAGGAGGTGGAGGTGAGATTGCACTGGCACCGCGCGCGCGAGCGCGAAATCTGGGAAACGCAGTGGTCGCTGGCCGCTGTGGTGGGTCTGCTGAAGAAGCGCTACACGCTAGTGAGGGTGGTGTTCGGGTTTGCGGTTTTTCAATTGACTTCCCTTCTCTCTGAGAAACAGCGACAAACTCTGTCTGCCGCTGCCGACAATTGGCGCGCATCGGACGCAGATTTCGCCGGCGTCGCGAAAAAGGCATTGTTTGCGTTCGGCCGAACAGAAACGGTGCCGGAGCGGCTCTGGCGCGAGGGCTGGTACTGCCACCCTTTGAGCTACAGGCTGCTTGACGGGTACTTCGTTCGCTGGCCAGCAACAGCAGCGGCGATAGACGCTGCAGGAGCTCCTGCTGTGGACTCACCACGACGAGCGGCGCACCCAATCCAGCCTGATCAGATCCCGCTTCCACTTCGCAAGACAACAGGCGCTCCTCGGGAGCACATCTTTGGACCCCGGCCGGCGTTGGCAAGCGACACCAGCACCATCGTCTCTACGACTACTGTCACCACGATCCCGCCTTCTTTCGCGAAACTGCTTGCCGAAAGTCCCTCCGCAGACGAGCCCCTCGTGGTCGAGTTTCCCGAGCGCCCGGGCTTCGCGTACATTCTCGGAAGGTCCGGTCGCGGACAGTGTCACGAGCAACTCGGCTTGTGCGAGTGTTTTCCGCCGTTCTTCGGGCTCTTGTGTGAGCACAAGGACCACGTGCGCGCTGCGGTGGATGTTGTGTACGCCACGACCACGCCGGTGCACAATTTGCAAGAGCTGCTTGACTTCCCGTTGAAGACGCTGAAGAATATCTCCCCGAAAGTCTTTGACACGATCCCCTTGGTCGTGTTTCACGACGCGCCGCTCAGCGGGGAGCATAAGCAAGCGATTGTGAAAGGCGCGTTGCCGATTCGGGTCTGGTTCGCCTATCTGGACGACTGGACGTCGGCCGTACCGCAGCACGATCTATCCCGGTCCGAAGCGAGCCTGGGCTACCGGCACCAATGTCGCTGGAAGTCCGGACCGCTGTTTCACGAGCCGGCCTTGAAGAACTACAACTTCCTGTTTTTCTTCGACACGGACTCGCACTTCCCAAAAATCGAACTTGCGGATGGCGGGGCGTCGGCAGGTACTAGAAGCGGAGAAGTTGTTCTTGCTTTCGCTTGGTGCTTTTGTGAAGATCAAGATTTCGCCTGAGAAACTCGTCATTGGATGCATTAGTTCTGAGTTGTGTGTTTTCAATTATGGCCGCGAAACAAAAATAACTCCCCCCATCCAGGTGATCTCACGCCCTCTTCCTTCGCGGACGACTACCTATCAAACACGATAGAGCAAATGCGGGAAGAGCAACACGTCTACGCCTATGTGCACCGTACCCGGGAAAAGGATTCGATGGTCGCCTATCTCTGGGACTACACGAAACTCTACCTTGCGGACAAGGACAAACAGCCACCCAGCGAAGATCTGGACCACGTCAGCCTGTTCAACGAGCTTCCAGACATGCACCACCAACTCTTCGCGTCCTCCGCGGAATTCCGGGAAAGTGTGGTCGGCAAGATTTTTGACGAAAGCAGGACCACTGCGACCACGCCGAAAACTGCGAATAGAGATGAAGAAGGAACCACAAAAACAACTACTGCCCTCCTCCAGTCTCGCGAGTTCGTGGAAACCCATGTAGGTTTGGACCTGCAGGCGAAAATTGCGGAGCACGATCTGGAGTCGTTTCTTCGGAATAACACCTTTCTGTACCGCTGGAACCGACACGTGTACATGACGGACTTCGAAATCATGTACATGCCGTGGTTTCGCGACCCGAAAATTTACGACTACTTCCACTACGTCGACTCACTTCACGGATGGTACACCGACCGGTGGGGCGACCACGCCTTCCGAACCATGCAGCTAAAGATCTTTTTGGACGACAAGTGGAACGGCAGTGCGCCGGGGGTTCTGGAGCTGAAAGATTTCCCCTACGCGCACCAGCGATTTTGCACCTGCGGCCGATTCGCATTGACGTGCGACCAGGAGAAGCGGTGCCGGGTGTCGGAAAGTAGCTTGCTCGGGGGGTCTGCCGTTGCATCTTCGTACAACTACGTTTCCGGCCGCCGAACCGAGCGCAGTTTGGACTAAGTTGCAAGTAGTGTTGGTGACAGCATCTTTCAGTCGGAAAATAAAGGAACGTCTTGCATAAAAGGAACCTGTAATAGGACCAGACGCAGTGAATGTCGCATCAAAAAGTCTCTGAAATGCCAAGTGCGTGAATTGGATCGATGTTCGCGCTAACAGCGTCGTCAGGAATTCGTAATTCACTCAAGTAGAAGTTGTGCATCGTGTTCGTGATGCAACTTACTGTAAATAATGGCCCATGTCGTGGAATCGTTTCACAAGTTCTTTTAGGGGTATCGTGATTTTTGTCGTTTGATACGAAGGGGGTGTCGTGTGTGAATCGTTATGGAAGCAGTAAATATGAAATCACTTCTAACGCTTATCGCGTTTCGGTAGGTCTGATTTTTTTGTTGCGTATGGCGCTCAGCGCGATGTTTTAACGTTCAAAAGTTTAAAAACTGCCACATGTCGCGGCTGAATTACTCTCGTTAGACGCAAATAAGAAAAGAACATGTCCACCGGCACCGTATCTTTTCGGCGGGCAGCCTTGCTGTTGTGCCGTTTGCTGTACGGTGGCGTGATTGGATTTCCAGTTCCCGGCCCGGTCTCACTGGAGTTAGCGCAGCGAAGCTCCAGTGCATCATCAAAACAAGCTACAAGGAACAGGCCTCCGACGGACTCACTACTGTCCGATCGCAAGCAGAAGAAGAGGGAGCAGACGATCTTCTATGGAAACGGTTTGGGCCTGCTTTACGACGATCTGGACGAGAGGCCCCGGGAGGTCATCCATTCCGAACTGCTGCAGTTGAAAGCCAAAGCAGATGATGAGAAAGAGCCCGAGGAAGGGGAACAAGAGCCCGAAAATAACGGTGCAGAAAAGGATGAGAAGAAGGACGAGCAGGTAGTGACTTTTTGTTTTAGGTAGGGCTGCGTCGGCGGTCCCTTGCCGATTCGAGCAGAGTCAATAATTGTGGTCCGACTTCTTTCCGTGTAATCTTCAACATCGGCACTTACAAATGCTGACCATTCGCACTAGACATAATGGCAAAACTACAAAAAACCAGGAGGCTGAAGAAGGCACAGAACAAGCTGGAGACAAGCAGACAGATGCGGACAAGGACAACGAAAGCAGCGATGTACTGGGCGTTGCCATGAAAGACGTGGCGGAATCTGCATCAAAGGAGGAGAATGCGAAAGAAGACGCTGGCGGCAATCCGTTTTTGGGTGGCGTTGCGTCTGTCGCGGGCGGTCTGCAGTCCGCGGGAAGCGGGGTGCTTGGCGCGGCCGGACAAGTATCGGGTGCCGTGGGGGCTGCCGCTTCGGCGGCAGGGAACGCGACGCGCACCGGCGCCAAGCAGGCGTCCGACGCCGCCAACAAGTCTCCGATGGGCGACGCCGTCCTGCACGCTGTCCAGGAGGGGCCGGAGAGCAATGAGGAGAAGCGGCAACGGATTCTAGGCGTGCTGGGAGACCTTCACGGCGACGTGGGTCTCGAGGGAACGTCATCGTTCAGAATCGCCAACGCGTGCTTGCTCTGCGCATTGCCCAGGGAAGAAGGACACGGACATCATGGAGAACACGGGCACAAGCATGGACACGGGCACAAGCACAAGCACGCAGGAAAACATCATGCCAATGCCTCCTCACGGCGTGAGACGGAAGATGCCAAAACGACGGCGGAGGGAATTGCAGCCGACCTCCAGGGTGAGGACGTACTGGGCTCAACCGATGTTTCGGGGTCTTCAGACGAAGACGTTTTGGGTGCTGCAGCGACGACGTCGTTCTTGGCGTCGTTTTTCGAGAAGCGGGTGCGGCTTGCTGCAAAGCTTGAAACCAAGGGCCGCGCAAAGAAGTGCGCGAGGAGCATGTACGAAGTCGTGAGCGATCCGAAAAGCAGCAAGGGCACGAACGTGAAGCACCTGCTGAAGGACTTGACCATGGTGATTTTGCACGGAAAAGACGTGGATGACGACAAGGAGACGCCGCAGGAACGAGAGAAACTGAAGCCCGTGAAGGCGTTGCTGACCAAGGTGAAGCACCATCTGGACGATCCGGAGGCCAAGCAGAACGAGCCCGTGGAAAGCGTGCACTCGAAGACGAAGGAGGCGGAGGAAGCAGAAAAGTCCGAACCGCCGCCCGCTCTGGAGGAATTTTACCACCCGGTCGGAGACCTGTGCACCTGGTGGGAGAAGCACTTGGAGGCGAAAGTGGACCCCACGCCGAAGGACATTGCCGCGCGGGCCACACGAAACATGGTGTCGGGGGCTGTGGAAAGTTTGGGATTGGGCCACCAGGCGGGCGGCCAGGCGGGCGACGCCGCGGCAGATTTTCTTGGCGCCTCGCTGGACAAACTGAACAACCGGAATGTGCTGACGTCGACGACGCCGGCGCCGTTTCTCGCTTGTTTTCAAGGTTTGTGCTGGTGAGCAGGGGGAAGGGAGGGAGTGGAGAGCGTCTACGGTTTTTTGAAAGTTGGTACTTGAGATTTTCGAAAGAAGCTTTTGTTTTTTACACTGTAGGTTTTTCTTACACTCTTGCATACACTTACAGCAGTTTCATTGTTTGTTTTGAATATGGTTCAGAGAAGATGATACACTTCTGCAGATTTGTTGAGTCCCATTACATTTCAATTTCGTGAGCATGAAGTTTCAGTTTGAAAGTTTAGCATTTTTCTGACCTGTAAAATATGGACATTTTCTTGTGATGAAACCGCTGCCACATTTTCGATTTTTGTCGATGTGCTCATACATTGAACTCAGCTTGCGATGGATTGGATCTTTCATTTTGTGTACACCATTTGATAAGAATTTTCTCAATGATGATCATGGGGTGATGGCAAGAATTCAGCCTGTTGCCTGACTGGCCGGAAGCGAAGGTGGACGGGCTTTGTACATGGTGTGCATGGTCATGTCGGGTGTACTAAAACTCAAACCCAGTGGTCTTTGGAGCGGGATCAGTTAGAGCGCATTGAAACTGTAGTTACTCAGCAAGATCCGCCGAGCGCCACTGAAGGAAGAATCACATTCGCATCAGTACAAAATAGAACAACAGACACCGTAGCACCGCATGCAACTTCTCTAACTAAGAAGAATGATAAAGTTGGATTCTTTTCAAAACTAGGAAATATAAATGGCGCCGACTACACCGCAACCTCATGATGGTGGCGTTCCAGCATCCGAGGACAAGTTGCAGCCCAAAATCAATCTGGACGAACTTCGGCAAGGACTACTAGAATCAATGCGCCAGCCACAGCATCCCGCCATGGAAACCAATCGGGTTACCTTGTTGTATTTCTGCGTGGCCAGTTTGCAACTTTTGCGCCACAAGTTCACGGAGTGCGAAAAGGCGCAGATTGCGGAGTTTGTTTCCACCAACCCGGCCTGCAAGTTTACGCTGGAAAGCGAGAGTAGTAGCTGTTTTGAGGAGGACGAGAGCATCGAGGAGGACATGTTGCAACCAAGATCCATCGCAAACATGTTCGCTGGGCTTGTCATACTCTGCATAGTTTGGGAAGCAGAGGGAGAGGTAGAACAAACGGATGTAGTTGCTGCAAAAGTACCGGATAGTAGCGAAACAGACACAGCAGACGACAACGGTGCCGGTGGTAATAGAACAGATCCAGTGCCGCTGTGTCCAGTACGGTCCGAGATCAGCCGGGCTGGTATCGCCGCAGATCATCTGGATGATCATGGGTTCTCTAGAAGAAAAAGGCTCACTTCGAGCGGCATGGAGAAAATCACGCCTGCACAGCGCCGCGCCATAGGCCAGTATCTGCGGCGCTGCCAGCTGGAGGATGGCAGTTTTCTAAACAGCATTTCCGAGCTGGGGACGGATGTGCGCTTCTCCTATTGCGCTGCCGTGATTGCGGAATTATTGGACCTGTGGGACTACGTCGACAGAGCGTCGATGAAAAACTACGCCTTGAGCTGCCGCGGAATTTCGGGGGGGTTCGGCATTGCTCCGTGGACCGAGGAGCATGGTGGTGCCTCATTCTGCGCAGTAGCATGCCTGGAGATTGTGCGAGATTACGAGGAAAGGCAAGCTGTACTGGGGAATGAACGTGCGATTGGTCACAACGGTGGAAGAGCGGTTGCCGGATCTGAGGAAGGCGAGAACAGGAAAAGCGAGCAATCTTGTGACTATTATTCCACAAAAGCCATCAACTGGCTACGTGCGCGGCAGCGAAAAGCACCAGGAGACGAAGCATGGCTGCATGATCGCTGTGAACCTGTTGCAGGAACGACAGGGAAAGTGCCTAAAAGTGATGAAGCTGCAACTCAGAGCTGCATCTCAGCCTTGTCTCCGACCACCTGCGAGGAACGAGCAAAAGAGAGGCGTCGTCGTTTTGCAATCGCCCGGCTTGCGGAGTTGCGCGAAGACAATGGGGGTTTTGAGGGTCGCTTCGACAAGCGGGCCGACTGCTGCTACACATTTTGGGTCGGTGGAGCGCTTGGTCTTCTGGGGGAGCCTATCCCTGATAAGGAAAACTGTCTGCGGTTTCTCGCGCAGTGCTTTGCCCGCACTGGGTTTCGCAAATCACCAAACCACCCGAAGCCCGACCTGCTGCACACCTGGGCAAGCATTTGTGGCTTGAGTTTGTGCGGCTATCCCGGGGTACGGGGACCGCTTGACTGTCGCTTGGGAACAGTAGTTGTCTAAAAGGCAAAAGAAAAGCTGAAGTTTCAAAAACGAACGAGGGAGATCGAAAACTCACAAAGAGTAGTTTCTTTGGAAGAAAAGTGATAGATCGGGATCGGGTTCGATTGTTGTTCTGTTAGCTTTGACTCGTCGCATGTCCTTTTTTGTCCAAGCAGAGAAGTAAAGTCTCGCAAGCGCGAATCTTATCGCCTTCGAAAAGCTGTTCGAAATCAAAGGTCAGCCCTGAATACAGGGGTGAAGTACGACTGTCGAGGAAAATATCCATGCGATATCAGTGTTTTGTTGTGGCAGCGGAATAGGAGATTGAAGTATTTGTGTGGAAGCTGTAAAGAAACTTACCCAGATTCACATTGAAGGAGCGAATAGAAACATCATGAGTTCCTCTTCCTCGAGCACAGCATCCGGATCCGCATCGTGGGCTGTTGTTGCTGCTCCGCGTTCAGCGACGTTTTCGGATCTGCTCGTACAAAGCGGCACCATACGCCATGCGGACGAAAACGTGGAAAAAACTACAAACAAGAAAAAAACTACGGGCCTTGAGTACAACGAATGGATTAGCGCGCTGCAGGATGCGAACAGCAGGAATTTCGAAAAGCAAGTTGTGGCTGCCAAGGTGCTCTGCAATGCAGCTTACTTTTTTTTTGAGCTTGGCATGTTCATTCATCATGATTTATTTTTGTATGGGAGTGCTTATCAAGGTCGTTTGCGCATGAGCATATACCGACTGGCTCCCTGACACTGAGGCTCTACCTTTTTAAAACAGGTGAACGCTTGGCAGTTTAGTATCTTCCGAGGTCGACGGACCAGTGCGACCCTACCGAAACGCCTTCCCGAAGATGTAGTCGGGTTGGTACAGAAGTTCATTGGTCCGGCTGCTACCGCCAAACTGCAAACGGTGCCGAACTTGCGCTCAGAGCTCGAGCGTCTGTCGGACGTGGAGCGTGCCCGTGGGTACAAGCGGGTTGTGGAATACTTCCTCAAGCTGGCGCGGGAAGTTGCCGCCAAGGGTGGGTCTATCTTGGAGATCTCACAAGCTACGCACGAGGCCGCGCCGAAAATGTCGGACGGCTCCACGGCAGACATCCGCCCGGTATTTGAAGTGCTAGAAGCGAAGGGTTACAAAGTGCGTGACGCTCGCGGCTGGTATCGGGAACATGTCGACTTTAGAACAGACGGCTACCCGCATCGGCTCGAGTTTAACTTCGACGTCGATAGCGCCACGTACATGCGAGAGCTCGTGGACGAACTCGAAGGTGGTCGCGCGTCCATGAACTCGTCCGATCAGGTGTCTAGCGACGGGGTCAATTCCAAGTTCGCCAAGATCTTTGTCGATTCTCTGTTAAAAGTGGAAGACGCAGCGTACCAGTATGTGATCAATCTCGTCGAGGAGAATCTCGCCCGTTCCAGCTTTCGGTTCGTTTTAACCGACGAGATCTACCAAGGTGCGCCGAAGTTGCCCGATGGGGGCGACTACCCGATGTTCCCACGCGATGTTAGTGAAGTTTCTGGCGGCGAGTGTGATACTAGGACGATCGGCCTGTATAACAGGCTATGGAAAACGAAAGGTCTCAATGTGTACTGCCGTAATGCTCAGTCATTCCCGATTTACATCGAGGTGATGATGGGGTCGATGTAAGAAAAGCACATCGTAGCTTCGTGCCTGACCCCAACTGCGAAATCATGTTATGATAAATCTTTCGCTGGCAAAATATGGTGTGTGGGTACTCCTGATTTCAAACTGCCCATTCCTTCGTGTGCCGGCGACTGCTGCTTCTTCGCGGATCTCGTAGACCCGTGTTCTACATTGTTCAGCTTCGTAACGATGGAACCGAGCCCAGTACTGATTCTGCTAAGTCGTGTTGTAAAAGTAAGCTGCATCGATATTGAAATTGATGCGCAATTTGAAGAACAGGACTCGACCGCTCCGCTTTGTGAGATGGTGCCCTGCTTGGCCGTTTCGTGGTCTTCATCTTTTGGCGGCGGATGCGAGGATCTGCTCTATCTTGAATTTCTTTGTTTACCCGAGTGTGAGTGCGGAAGATGTAGTGTACTCGCCCCCGACAGGACAGCCGTCGGCCCTGGAGCATTTCGACGCCGAACGCCAGTGCATGTGGTGTGAGCAGAACTATCCGCTGGCGGCCTCGTGGGGAACAACGGATGGCGGGCCATCGGAGGAGATGATCGCGCACATGCAGCAAGAACATGCGGTGAAAAAATCGACAAACACGGAAATCAAGGCGCTAGTTATGAAAAAGGTCGAGCAAATCAGCAATGAGCAAGATCAGGAGATACGATGTGAGATCATCGAGAGGAACAGCGACATTCTACGCGACAAGATGGCGAGGGGGCCGACGGCGCATATCAAAAAAATCTTCTGCAAATCATGCGAATTGATGCACGCCTCCACAGCGGGGGCAATGGAAAAACATGCGCAGGTCCACCGGGAGAGTGGATACATCAGGATAGGAAGGAAAAAAGACGCACAAGGCAGAGCAGCAGGCGACTACCGACCGGAGCAACACCTTTGGAACCACTGGGCGGGCCGATATTATTTTGGGTCGGATGCGAAGGGCTGGCGAAACGCTCTACCACGAGATGCTCTTTTCACGAACCGGGCAGGCTGCGAGTTCTTACGATGCAGGGAATGCAAAACGTACAAGATTCTCTTCAATCACGACAATCGGGTGGAGCGGCCTCATGACCATAGTGAATCGCTGCGAATTAGCAAGATGGTCGCGCATGAGAGTGCGTGCAAGCCGAAGGAGAAGAAAGTGAACCAACAGCCCAAACCCAAACGCGCGATGAAGAAAGTGGTGAAAAGTTAGTGAGGTGAGAGTAGGCGCGCCCTTCTCTCCCCTTGCTGGGAATCACTACTACTACCCCAGGAGATCACACGGCGTAAAATTGAAGAACAAAGGCGTTTTTTTGTGGCAAAACCGCACCCAGCGAAGGACAGGCACAAGGTTTGCAGGATATATCGGTCCGAAAGCACGCTAAGGAAAAGCAAACGAAGTAACAGACAAGGTCAATATCTATTTTAGATTGCTTTTCATCGAGGTCACCGCTGAAATTCTGCCAGTAAAACCGAGACATATCAAAATGATTTTGATGCAGACGCTTTGACTCGTCGCATGTCCTGTTTTGCCCAAACAGAGAAGTAAAGTCTCGCCATCGCTAAGTTTGTCGCTTTTGAAAAGCTGCTCGAAATCAAAGCTCAGGCCTGCATACAGGGGTCACGACTGTGAAGGAAAATATCGATGCGATTATCAATAGATTTCGTTGCAGAAGCAGAATAGCAGAGTGAAGTAGTATTTGTGTGGAGGCTATGTATAAAGAAATTTACCCAGTATAATATTAATATTCACATCGCAAGTAGAAGGAACAGGAAACGCCATGACTTCCTCTGCCTCGTCGAGCACGGCATCCGGATCCGCGTCGTCGGCAGCTGCTACCGCTCCGCGTCCAGCGACGTTTTCGGACCTTCTTGTGCAAAGTGGCGCCAAACGAAAAAATGCGGAGGAAAACAAGGAAGAAACGACAGGGCTGGAGTACAACGATTGGGTTAGTGCGCTGGAGAAAGCGCACAGCAGGAACTTTGAAAAACAAGCAGTGACAGCCGTGGTAATATTGTTTTGCTTGGTTTGCGTACCTACCTGGTGTCCTTTGTACCATTCGCCAGTGTGTCGCTGCAGCTAAGTTGGATCGAAATCGAATACAATAAACTACATATTAAATCAATACAGGTGAACGCGTGGCAGTTCTGTGTTTTTCGTGGGCGCGCTCTATCGACAAAAATCCCATTCGAAGTTATCGGACTCGTACAGGAATTCATAGGCCCTCTCGCGTCCGCCAAGCCCAGCCAGCAGATCGTGCTCAACCGTGGCACGCTGGAGGAAATTTCGGACCTCGAGCGCGCTCGGGGGTACAAGCGAGCAGCAGAATACTTCGTCAAACTCGCGCAGGAAGTCGCGGCGAAAGGTGGCCACTGTGTCGAGGTCACACGGGGTGTGCATGATAGTGCTCCAAAAATGTCCGACGGAACAACGCCGGGCCTCAAGCAAGTTTTTGCTGTGCTCGACGAGATGGGTTTCGACCTGCGCGACGCTAATGACAATACCGACGTGGTGAACGATGACGAGTTCGACTTTTCGACGTACCCCCTTTTGATCGAGTTCAACATCGGCCCCGCATTAGAGGACGATGCTGAGCAGATGAAGAGTTACGTAAGGGACCTTTTTGTGTCTCACCCAAGCCTGGCCCGCGGCAGAACTCATGGCGGTCCGAATAGCCGGCTCGCAAGAATTTTTCACGAAGCTCTAATAAAGGCGGAAGATGCGGCTTATCAGTATGTAATGCGGCTTGTCGAAGAGACCTTCGCAAGGGCCGAGTACCGCTTTGTTTTGACGGAGGCGATCTATGACGGTGCGCCAAAGTTGCCGAATGGGCAAGCGTGTCCCATGTTTCCGGACGATGTGGAGAGGGTCTCCGGTGATCAATGCGAAAAGACAGAGGTAGGCATTTTTGTCCGGCTAAAGAGAACAGACGGCATCCACGTGGTCTGTGCGGAGAGGGAACACCGCTTCCCGATAACTATCGACGTCCTTTATTGAAAGGGTCGCTACTTATTATGTTTGGCCCAACTCCTGAATACGAATAGGCGGAAAGTAATTGCTGAACAATGATCGTTCACATAGTGCCTCCATCGGAGCGAATCGTATGTAAAGACTGAGTACGGGGGTCAACAACAATAATTCATCTTTTTTGCGTCTGCTGATATGATTCGTTGCTTGCGCTATCTTCCTTCGGGAGAAAATGAAAAGTGGCAAAAAATGTTTCCTCCGGAGATACATTCAGTGCGTCAATCAGTTGTCTTTCCAAAAATACGCAGTACGGATTCAGAGGAGACTACGAATCAGAGGAGACATAAGTAACAAGTACTGTTCCACCCATTGGACAAAAAATCTGAATCGGTTCACCTGTGCATCACTTCGGCGATGAGAAAACGAATTCTCAATACTGCCCGGGTCGCCGTTTTAGAGTACAAATCTGTTCGGTTATTGTCGAGTAGATCCTCGGTCCGTAAAGAAACAAAAGCTGTTTGTGTTTCGGTAATTACGTACAACTAGAAAATCGTGCAATAGGCCTGTCTCTGTGACTCTGGCGCTATCCTAGCAACATCAGTATCGTTCATGCAAGTCGTTCGCATTTTTGACGTTCGTGCAACAATGACTTTTCAACTTTTATTGCTCTGTGGCGTCTGTAGTTTCAAGATTTTCCATGTCATCACAAACCGAACGAACAGTCCTGCGCCCATTCGCAGTTCTAAATTATTCTTGTTTCGCGCCCCCGCGATCCAAGACACCAAAATTCCTTTTCAATTCAACACTTCCTACCACCTCAATTTACAACTTTACGCGGCAAGTCGCTCTTGAAGCAGCTCTTGTACGACCCAACAATTTTCCAACAGCACCAACTCAGACAAAAATCCAGCTTACGAGAGCCTCCTAGTAGACTCTTTTTGTAAGCGAAGATGGACGTGATTGTGACCGACGCCGAGAACCTGCCGGACAAGACCTACGTGTCGATCCGGATCGGAGACACGCGCAGACAGGGCCCCTACCGAAAGGACGATGCCTTCCACTTCCAGAAGTCAGAAGCCGCCACGCTCAAACTGGACTTGTTCCAGCACATCGGGGGGAAGACCGTCTCCATGTAATAATTAAATTATGTTCGATCTGATTTATTTTGAGAAATCTGAACTTTGAGATGCTGTTTCGTTATCGTTTCGAATTTTCACGATATTAGACATCCCTTTCAAATGTTAAAACTGAAATCAACTCAGGTACTCGATGAAGAACGACGATGCTTATGTGGAGCAGATTGACATGGGCAACGAGATGAAGGTGTCCTGCCGCTGCGAGTTCCCGGGTGCGGACGTGGGTGCGGAACGCGCGAAGGCGCGCGAGGCCCGCCACGAGGTGACCCTGCAGGCCACAAAGTACCTGGAGAACAGCGGCGTGCAGCCGGTGCTGCAGAACATGATCCGTAGCCTGCTGGAGAGACAGCCGGAGAACGCCCTGGACTTTATGGTCGAGCATTTGCAGGACCAGCAGCTCACAAACCGAGCCAGCAAGGACGTTCCGGTCGAGGAGTCCCCGGCCAGTGCGGACGCTCCTCCCGCTGCCGCTCCGGAGGGCGAAGCTGCTGCAGCGCCGGCCGTTGCGGAGGGCGAAGCCGCCCCTGCTGCTGCCGAGGGTGAGGCGGCTCCGGCTGCCGCGGAAGGCGAAGCTGCTGCTCCGGCTGCGGCCGAGGGCGAGGCCGCGCCGGCCGCTGCTGAAGGTGAGGCTGCTGCCCCGGCCGCTGCGGAAGGCGAGGCTGCGCCGGCTGCCGCCGAAGGTGAAGCTGCTGCTCCGGCCGCTGCGGAAGGTGAGGCTGCGCCGGCTGCCGCCGAAGGTGAGGCTGCTCCCGCCGCTGCGGAGGAAGAAGCCGCTCCGGCTGCCGCGGAGGGTGAGGCTGCCGCAACCGAAGAAGCCGCTCCGGCCGCCACGGAGGAGGCTGCCGCCGCCGAAGAAGCTCCTGCTGCTACCGAGGAAGCTGCGGCCGCTCCAACCGAGGAGGCTGCTCCAGCGGCTAAGGAGGCGCCGGCTGCGTAAGGCAGTTTGGGTGGAACACGGAGGTTTTGAAATTGTAAATGAAGGGAATCAACGTTTTTTACACCTGGTTTTGGTATGGATGAACAATTTTTTATTGTTAGGTGAACTTTGTTTTGCTCAGACGCTCTCTCATGTTCTGGTTCTCGCGCGCATCCCACGCTTTTTCTGGAAATCCCATGAAACTCTTTGCAGAGCATTTTTCTATATTCAAGTGAATGCGAACAATTTTAGCATCCTGCTACCGTCGTGCTTTCACTCAATCACCCTCTCTGGTAGTTATCCACTCCATTTATTTTTCGATTTTTGATTTTTTTACATAATTTTCACACTAATTGTCATTTTCAATTTTTCACATTTTCCAGTATACTTGCAATTCTCTCGCACATACTCCCATAACAGTATCAGTACATCTTCAGCTTCTGCGCAACTGCGCACACTTCTACCATAATTAGTTGATTACTTCGCCTCATTTAAAAATCGGAGTTCGTGAATTCGTACTAGATTAGTCCTCGCAAGAAAATTTGCGGTAGCGGAGCAGCACCACCGCATAAATAGGGAACACGAAGACGACAAAGGGGAATGTGGTGTAGCCGTGCATATAATTCTGTATCGTTTTCCACGCCCCGCTCTAGTAGAAGAATAGCCAACTCTTTCTCAAAAAATTCCAAGCCTCCTGAGACTGCGCTGCGCGACTAACTATTTCCACTTCATCCTCCCCTACCTGTTAAGCTGGAGCTGTATAGTCTACGCCGAGTTCTGCTTCTGCATGAGGAGAAATCCGTAGTGCGAAAGCAACATGAAGACAGCTCTGGCCTCTCTACAATACGATCTCATTCGGGGACGACAGAGAGGAAACCGCTAGCGACTTATGTCGTCGCGATGTTGGATTTGGAACAGATTTTAACGCAGTGTCATATCAGTGTGATGGAGAAATTATCATGGCGGGAAGAGATGCTATCAGGCACGAAATAAAGCGCTGTTTCTTCAAATGGAGACGAGTTGTTCAGAATCAGAAGTTCGTACCTGGTCAAAACCTCTCTACGATCCAACTCTTTATTAGGATCGAAAATATTGATATGATATGTCGATCCGACTGCCTACACGATGCGTCACGATGGCCGGCTGCCTAAATCCTCTTTGAGAGCATACTGCACTGAGCGACCTCCTTAAATGGTAGGATCTACTTGCTTCAATACGTTGCACAAGTGAGGGCGGTTGCCTTGTGATCCGACTGTGCATGAAAGAATTTCGCACCGCCGCCGAGCTTGACACCTCAAGTTTCTGGTGATCGGGGGTATGGTATGTGGTGCTAGAGCAATGGAGTGACAAGCCTTAGGCTTTCACAGTACTGTCACTGAGCAGCGCTCGCAGGCTAAGGTATGCCTCTGTGCTGCAGATAGCAGTACTACAGAAAATTTAATTCCTCTCTCCAATGCAACTGTCATAAACTGGCATTGCAAATGAATTCCACTTCTACGCTGCTTTTTTTGCAATTATTTCAACTCTGAATCAATACAAGCAGGCTGCGCAGACGGGGCCCAGTTGGTTGCGGCACAGAGAGAGATCATGAGAGTTCATAGGATGAGGAACACAAGTAGTTTCTGAGAAGCACTATTTTTACGCGACAATAGAGCTAAGAATTGGCGACGAAGAGTAACTACTCGCTCAAGCGAGACTACGCACGGGCACGATTGATATCTAGGCGACATTACCATTCACAAGAGAGCCTCTTGAGCTGTACACTTCATTGACAACTGTTTAGAAGTGTCAACCCTATAGTTCAGAGTTAGTACTTACTAAAATCCCAAAAAACGACAATGGAGCCTCGCATAGCAGACGTCAAAGACGTGCACCGCCTCGAGCGGATTGGCGCGCACTCGCACATTCGTGGTTTGGGTCTTGACGACAGCTTATCCTGAGTAAAAACGTACCCACACCAGAGTTGTAATGCAGATTTGTAAAGACAGGAAGACTTGTAATGCGCATCCCCATGAGAGCCATTTCCAATCGTGTTTCGGAATTTGTGATGCTGTGAACAGGATGAGCAGATGAATCTGTGATGCGGCTGCACTTGCTAACCTGCACTACACTGCATAGTGCAACTTGTCATGCGTGACTCACAAAGCTGCTAGGTTTGTGTTGCAAAATCCTCATCCTGACTCTGGTGTGGGTACGTTTTTACTCAGGATACAGCTTGGATGCGCGGCTGGTCTCCCAGGGTATGGTCGGGCAGAACAAAGTATGAATTGCAAAAATGTCTGGGTCTGGAAGAATGCAACTTGTGATGCTATTTTTGGAATCTACAAAAATCTGTATTGCATGAGCAGCAAGAGGCGTCCAGTTTTTGCCCGGCGGAGAGGGCATCTGTCATGCGGGATAGGCATCAAGATACCCGCAAAAAATTTGTGATGCTGGGGCATACATCGCAGACATCACAGGTCATGCAAAATGTCCATGACAAATCTTGCAATCTTCCAGACCCAGACATATTTGCATTTGATACAAAGCCCGACGAGCGGCCGGTGTCATTTTATCCATGATCAACGAAGGGCGTATTGCAGGCCGTGCCATCCTAATCGCTGGTCAACCCGGAACGGTACTGATTTGCTTCTGTGGTCTTTGCTTGAATTCCGAACCCACGTGCATATTGATAGATTATCTTTTCTGCCGGTAGAAACGAAATTCACAATACGATCAACCAAATCTAGTACAAGAACATCGTTTATTAAAAAACTACAGGGTAAAACGGCAATAGCCATGGGTATGGCAAAGGCGCTCGGCGACGACACCCCTTTTACCTGCATAGCAGGTAGTGAAATTTTTTCGTTGGAAATGTCCAAGACGGAGGCGCTAACCCAGGCGTTTCGGCAGTCGATCGGAGTGAGAATCCGGGAAGAAGCAGAAATCATCGAGGGTGAGGTAGTGGAAATAGAAATCGAGCAGGCCGAGGGACGCGCGCCAACGTTCGGAAAAATGACACTGAAGACGACAGAAATGGAGACAATGTAACGAGTTTTTTGTTGCGTGATGCTCAGAGTAAATTTTGAGGTTTTTCTTTCGATTCTGTGCTGCAGTGCTTTTTGTTTTAGATGGGCGTAAAAATTCTCATTTCCAAAATTTCACAGATACGACCTCGGTCAGAAGATGATCGAGCAGGTACAAAAGGACGACATTCAAGCGGGAGATGTAGTCACGATCGATAAATCATCCGGAAAGATTTCTCTACTCGGAAAATCTTTCGCGCGCAGCAAGGACTTCGACGCCATGGGACCGCAAACAAGGTGCGTTTTCTTCTGCCATAATTTGAACTAGATGTTGCACAATTTTGATGGACGCAACCTAAAGTTTGGCGAGATCCTAAGGTCGGCTGTCGGTCTTGGAAAGATGCTGCGACACACGATCAAGTCGAACCAACCTACCACAACAAAAATCAAAAACAGGTTTGTGCAGTGCCCGGACGGCGAGCTGCAGAAGCGGAAGGAGGTCGTGCACACGGTGAACCTGCACGAGATCGATGTGATCAACAGTCGATCGCAGGGTTTCCTCGCCCTCTTCGCCGGCGATACCGGTGAGATCAAGCAGGAGGTGCGTGAGCAGATCGACGCCAAGGTCGCGGAGTGGCGGGAGGAGGGCAAGGCCGAGATCGTGCCGGGCGTGTTGTTCATCGACGAGGTGCACATGCTGGACATCGAGTGCTTCTCCTTCCTGAACAGGGCACTGGAAATGGAAACCAGTCCCGTGGTCATCATGGCGACGAACAGAGGTAATATATGTTGTAGAATTTTTTTTTCTCGCCCATAATGATATCATTTTCATTTCTCAAAAACAGCTTTTACAAAAATGATCCTGTTTTGGCCTATTTGTTCTGCACAGTAAAAATCAACTGGCACACGACCGTCATATTCTCTAGGTATTACCAAAATCCGCGGCACGGATTACAAATCCCCTCACGGAATCCCGCTGGATTTGCTGGACCGCGCACTGATTATCAGCACGGAGCCCTACAGCGAGCGAGAAATCCGGAAAATTCTCGACATCCGAGCAGGTTCGTTTTTGCTTTTTGAGCACTAGAACTGTTGATGAGGAATTCGGCTTTATTTCTGTTGCAGCTGTGCGTGACCGTGAACTACATGATTTATTTTTCAAATGAAGTCAAAGTCGTAAATTGCTGCTACAATACCGCCACAACAGAGGAGGAAGACGTCGAGATGACGGAGCCTGCTAAGGAGCTGCTGACCAAGATCGGGATGGAGAGCACGCTGCGATACGCCATCCACTTGATCAGTGTGGCCAACCTGGTGTGCTTGAAGCGCAAGGGCCAGGAGGTGGACGTGCCGGACATCCGCAAAGTGTACTCGCTCTTCGTGGACGTGAAGCGCAGCACCCAGTTCCTGATGGAATACAACCAGGAGTTCATGTTTTCCGAGTTCGACCAGGTCGAGGAGAAGATGGAGGAAGACTGAACAGAAGCAGTTCAACATCCGAAGGCGTAGTTTTGAAGCCAGTTCTTGGAGAAGGGAGAAACACTGTACTTACTTATCCAGCACATCATGGTGAGAACAAACAGAAGGATTTTTTTCGAACTAATTTCGGGTATTGACGAAAAGGGAACCAGCGGACGAGGTCGCGACCGAGCTGATTTTTTGGTGGGATCGATGCTCCTCATAAATATCTTTCAACAGGAGCAGCACGTAAGCTGAATACCACAGTAGACCTGGACTTTTTTCAATTATCGAATTCGCGGAGATAGTTCTTGGTAATTCTTTTGTACGTGAGAAGACCATTGCGGAAACAAGGTGTGGGTGTTTTTCTTTTGCTAGTCTGGGGATGGAATTGCCGATGGAACAGAATGTAAAGTCTTCTACAAGCGAACACATGTACAACAAAAAAAAAGATGAACAAGCAAGAAACATCTCAGCGACCTGGACTTGCCTTCAGCGGTGACAGGGACGTGGATAAACAACATCTGTGTTCGCCGTTTCTATCCTGGCAGTTACAAGAATTGGTCGATCTTTTCTTGTTCCTTCTATTCTGTCGCTTTCGCTCCAGTCGTTGTGTCGCTACATGGATTTCTTCGCAATCGTTTTGCGCTGTGTGCTAGGTGAATGAAAATCGTGTTTCTTTCATTAAGATTTGTACTCGTTCAACTTCAGGTTCATTTCCTGGGTGTAAGTATTCGCCAAAGAAAGTTCGTACCGTCGTTCATGCTTCTCTTCGTTCATGTTGTTTGTGCTACATTCGTACCGCCTTGACTTGGTTGTGATTGCTACTTCGTGGTTGTGTCTTTTCGTACGGTTGGCATCATCGTGTTTCGTCAAGCTTTTTCCTATTCTTCCTTACAATTTACGTGTTTCGCAACACAACTACTGTAAATCCTCCATGGATAATGAATACTGCAGTGGCTTGATTCCCTTTACCCCAATATCTATTTTGCCTTTTCCGGCCTAGTCGACCGGTCTTGAGCGTATGGCGCAGTAGTTGAGTCCTCTTCGGCAGGAAGACGTTTCAATATCACGACGGAAAGACGGGAAAGTTTCCCGTCGAAGCTTCGAGCAATGTTGGGCCGTAATGAATTATACATGCAACAGACCGTCCCTAGAGGTCTGGCTCTGATGAAGATGCGGGGCAACACGGTGCAGAGGCCCTTTAGCTACGCCGCCCGCTTGCTGGGACACGCTGCCATGCTGCAGCAGGTTGCACTCACGGTAGCAACGGCGGTGGAAGAGGGTGCATCGCGGCGCTTGGAACAGCGCACATCTTTTATGCGAGCTTCGCACGGTCTACAAGAGCGGGAGAGCGGTGGTGCGCTGACTTGTATAGTTGTGATCTTTCTCGTTCTCGTGGCGGCCGGGATTGGGCTGTACTTCGCTTTTGCGCGACGGCCCGCAGAAATGGACGACGAGCACGTACCGATTCTCCAGTCCGAGAACCGTGGAGCGGCCGCGTATCACTTCATTTTTCTTCTTCTGCTTAGCAAGGTTTCGGTGTTGCTTTGCTACGAACACTTTGTAAGGTTTTTAAAGAAGTTTGGTCGTCGTGGACGTCGCCTTGTGCGACACTATTGCATTGCGTCAGAACATCACATTCACAGGGGCTTTGTTGTCTAAGATGTTTCATCGTCCTTTGCGCTGCTGTCTCGCCACATTAATTTTGATGAACACGACTTCAGGTTACGTCCGGACGACAAGACGCGCGAGTATGCGCGGGAGGCGCACCGGCTACAGCGGCAGGCTAGTCGGATGAACAGAACGCCACAAACGGACGCGATGCTGCAGGGTGTTTTCGCGGAAACGAAGGGCGATTTTCAGCACATGCATGTGAAGGCGGCGCGGCCCCTTAAAAAAGGACAAATGGAGACAGTGGACCCAGCACAGGTGCCTATGGTGAACCTGATGAATCGGTTTCCGAGCCAGCAGCAGCAGCAGTTGCACCCACGCTCGACCGCGGGGATGCCAGATGCGACCGCGGAACCCTACGATCCGGCACAGGCGGACGCGATTGACGGGCAGCTCATTGCCGCTGCGCCTGGAGGCGTGGACGACCTCCAGGGGGATCAAGCGCCGGGCGTCAGTGGCATTCATGCGGCCGACCAAGACGCGATAGACCGTGTCGCGGCGGCGCTCGAGAGAAAGTTCTCCATGCCCTTGGACAAACAGAACGTGGAAGTGATGCAGGGAGCCGTAGATGCGGACCTGCCGTCACAAATTCGGAATTCAGACGACCTGGACGTATTTTTTTACCAACTTTTTTTTGCATCCTTGTTACATCAGGCAATCTTTTCTTCTAACGCACGAGTTGCTCTTACTCTGTGGCGTGTAGTTGTGTGGGAATTACAAGCAGTAATACTTATCTCAAAGATGAATCACTGCAAAAATAACAGAACTGGGGAGCGGCGGAAGCTCCGGCAAGCCATGTGGAGGTCGAAGTGCCGGCAAGCGTCGCAGATGAATTGGCGGCTCAGGCGCCGGAATCCTTTGCAGCACCGGCACCGACCGTGGCAGACATTGCCGTGCGCGCATCACGGGCGTCGCTCGGACAAGTGACTCCCCTGAGTGTGGCCGAACTAAAGGCGCTGCACCAAGCACCTAAAGCAGCCACGGGAAGCGCACCGCGAGAAAGCGAGGGGTTGCAATCGATCGCGGGGGGACACGTCTCCTCGGCAAAAGACGCTTTTCATGCGGCAAAAGGTGCAACGGCGGCTACCGAGCAGCGTGAAAGCGAGGGACTTCAAGCGATCGCCGGCGGGCACGTGACCTCGGCAAAAGACGCTTTTCATGCGGCGAAAGGGGCACCAGCGGCGACCGGGCAGCGCGAAAGCGAGGGACTCCAAGCGATCGCCGGCGGGCACGTGACCTCCGCGATGAGCAGCATCAAGAGCAACCCCGGAGCAGCTCCTTCCGGCGTAAGTGCCCATGCCGAGGAAGTGGCAAACACGATCTCTGGCGGGCACGTGTCCTCTGCGAAAGACACTCTGCACAAGAAGAAGCTTGCATCCCAGAAATCCGGCGTCGTGACGCCGCACAGGGAGGAGGTCGCGAACACGATTGCAGGCGGGCACGTGGCCAGCGCCATGGGGCAGCTTCAGGAACAGCAGGGGCAACAGAAGGCGGTGGATCGGGTAAACGCGTCGCTGAACCACATCCCGGGGGGCGTCGTATCGCAGACCGCGGGGCAGCTCACGTCGCAGCAGATGACACCGGCGCAGGAGCGGGCGACGAAGGCATCACTGAAGGAGCTGCATCAGACCGGAGCGGTCCAGGCTGCGCAGAGCCAGCTGCAGTCTCAGCCCGTCGCGCAGAGTCCGCTGGAGATGTCGAAGGCCAGCGCGACTTTGCAGCAGCTGCAGGCGCAGAACCTGGTGGGGGGCGTCTTCCGCTCAAACTCCAATCTCGGGGACGACGGGAAGGCCACGAAGTCAGCGAAAAAATCGAAAAAAGAGAAAAAGTAAACGGGCCCGGACTACACCAGTTGTTGGGTTCTTCACCTAAATCAGGTGTGCGCTGACCGTAGTAAGTAAGTATTTCCTCGTACTTATTTTAACAACATCATGCATAATTTTCTCTACATCTACTTCACGTAAATTTATCTTTTCCAATTTTTCTCGTTTACTCCTTTTGATCCCCATACGTAATTTCCACGAAGTAATTATCGATAGAGTTGTGTCACCCGGTCCTCTCGTAGCTAGTTGTTGCTTCTTTTACGATTTATATATAATGGTAGAAGAGGCAGAGCGAACGCGGTTGGTTGCCAAACAACTCCACCGATTAGCTCCCATTCCGAACCCAATACAATTCATTTGAAGTGCATGTATACTCATAATCCCAATCCCGCCTATTGTTTCACAACACATATCCCTCTTTCCTACGAGCTCGCTCGTATACTCATGCACAAATCAAACTCCTCATTCACCCATGACCCAGACCCGCACATAAATCTAGCAGCGTTGTAGTCGGAGAAGAGGCGCTCTGGAGACCACGGGTGTCCGCTGAAGTGTGTCCTGCAGGGTAGGGCTGCTACTGCTTCACAAGTCAGTGCGAGTCCGATGCATAAACAGAACCGAATCCCGTTTATTGTTGGAACGAATTTGAGTCTGAACAAAAATCATAAATTGGCTGGCGTCCTGTCGTAGCACGCAAGGGCAGCTGTGTTGCAAGTTTGTTCTTCACGCAAGCTCGTGTCTGCCCCCGTGTTTGAGTCGCTGGGATATAATTCAGAGACAAAAGTAGACGAATATTTTTGTGAAGACGGATGCGGACGTTATTATGGGCGCAATCATACTTCGTTCAAGATGAAATTCACAACTTTAGCGGCTCGGTGCACCACTTGTCGGTCGACTAAAATAGATACGAATACAATGATTTTGCTTTGTCACCGCATGGCTGGTTGTAGTGTTTGACGAGCCGTAACCTCTTCGCAAGGCTTGTGCCTGCGCTTGGGCAGCGGTGCCACGACACTCCGAATCATCTGAGCCCGATTTCACCACGGAGGTGCAGTACAGTTCCGGGAAAGCGAAAGACGAGCAAAAGTAGAAGAGCAAGACAGAAACGGCCAGGATGGTGTACATTGAGTACAGCCCCTTCGGGGTGGTGTGGCCGTCCTTGTTCGGGAGCGTGGCATGCTTTTTCTTCATCAGCTTTCTCTACCGACGTTTGATGGCTGCCCGCACCGGTAGCCAGATCGGGCACCCGAAGCTGGACCGCTTGGCCGCGCAGATCAAATCGGGCGCAACGGCGTTTCTGAAAGAGGAGTACCGCGTTTTGGGCGTTTTCGTCGCGGCTTCCGCCTTCCTGCTTTTCATCGTGTTCGCGTCGAAGCAGTCCGCGGTGATCGGGTTCCGCGTCGCGCTGTGCTTTCTCTGCGGCGCGTCTCTGTCCGCGCTGGCGGGCTGGTGCGGCATGAGCGTTGCGACGGACGGCAACGTGCGCACCACCGTTGCGTGCACGGAGGGCACGTTGAATGACGGGCTCGTGGTGGCGTTCACGGCCGGTAGCATCATGGGTTTCGCGGTCGTCGGGCTCGGCCTCGCCGGTCTTTCCCTCGTGTTCCTCTTCGTCGCGACGGGGCACGAATACCTGCACACGATGCAGGAGCTGGCCGGGTTCGGGTTTGGCGCGAGCAGCATCGCGCTGTTCGCGCGCGTGGCCGGCGGGATCTACACGAAGGCGGCGGACGTCGGGGCGGATCTGGTGGGAAAGGTAGAGGCGGGAATCGACGAGGACGATCCGCATAATCCGGCCGTGATCGCGGACAACGTGGGGGACAACGTGGGCGACGTCGCCGGTATGGGCGCGGACCTTTTCGAGTCCTATGTAGGCAGTGTGATTGCAGCGGCAACGCTCGCATCGCTCGAGATGGAGGACCCAATGGTGAATCGAAAGGTAAGGTGTAGGTGTGCAGAAGGTGAAAGATAGGCCCGTTTTCTTTTTGTTGAAATACGACGAGCGCGACAGTGGTGGCCATGTTGTGCCAGTGAATCCAAAGCTTGAAGAAAAACAATTATCGCTTCAGGTCGCTTTACCCTTTTACCTTTCCGGTATTGGTGTTGCCGCTTCGATCGTCGGTTATTTTTATGTCAACACATCCGAAGCGGGAAACGGCTGGAACACAAATCTGGGGCAACTGATGTGGGCACTGGAGAAGGGTATGTTCGTGGCCGGCGGAATTTTTCTGGCCGCGGCATTGTTCCTCTGCCTGGTTATGTTCGGGTTTAAGCTGGGCATTCAGCTGTGGCTCTGCGTGGGCTTCGGTCTCGGCGGGGGGATGCTGATTGGCAAGTTCACGGAGTACTTCACCTCGTTCGATTTTGGGCCCGTACAGAGCATCAAGGACCGGGGCGTCACGGGCCCCGCGACCGTGATCATTCAGGGCATCGGGGTAGGGATGATCTCCTGTGTGCCCCCAGTGGTCACGCTCGTGCTACTCATCTTGCTCTGCTCAAGCCTCGGTATAGAAACTACGTTTCTCCTGCTGAATGCAACAGCAGTTTGGGACTGATTTGGCTGAAGATCATGCCGTACAACTTACGGCTAACAGACGAGACGTACAGCGCCGCACTTTGGATCAAAATACTCAATCCCACACAATGACCCCTTTTGTATACAAAACACATCAAACAGGCGGTCTCTACGGGGTGAGCATCAGCGCCGTTGGTATGCTGTCCACACTTGGAATTACACTCGCCACCGACGCCTACGGACCCGTCGCCGACAACGCGGGTGGCCTGGCGGAGATGGACCCAAGTATTCCGGACGAGGTCCATATGGATGTGTCAGGTTTGAAATCGTCAAAGTTGAAATAGTTTGCCATGCATAAAACGGATACCAGTTAGACCTACAGCTTGTAGTCGGCGCATGACAAATTTTCCCGGTCCTGGAAGCGATTCTGTCATGCGGTTTAGGGCAAAAGAGCTGCCTTCTGTCATGCTAGCTTGCAGTCCGACTTTATTTAACCCTTGCCAGGACTATAATCTGCCTCCCGTGCGTCCTCTGCAATAGAGTCAGTTTTTGTATCGCATTTTATGCAAGACAGACCATTTCAACTTTGACGATTTCAATCCTGGCACTCCCATAGTCCGCGGGAAAACAGACGCGCTGGACGCGCTGGGAAACACGACGGCGGCGACGGGAAAGGGGTTTGCCATCGCGTCTGCCGTCTTGACCGCCCTCTCCCTGCTGGCGGCGTTCGAGCACGAAGTGGATCCGACGCGGGCGATGGACTTCCGGGTCGGCGACCCGGTGATCTTGTCCGGTGTTATTTTCGGCGCCATGCTGCCGTTTCTGTTCGCCGCTCTGACCATGATTTCCGTGGGCAAAGCGGCGGCAGAGATCATCCAGGAGGTCAGGAGGCAGTTCCACGGCGGGGTGCCAGGATTGTACGAGTGTATCGTGAAGGCCAGCAACGGCGAACCCATCCCCGAGGCCGAGGACGTCATGCCGGACAGTGATACGTGCGTCGCCATCTCTACGCGCAGCTCTTTGCGGGAAATGCTGGCACCCGGCGCGTATGATTCAGCTTTCATTTCGCATAAGATCCTTGTTTCCCCTTCGGAAGAATCTGAGTGAATTCGGTAATTGAGTGCGGTTGGAGTTTAGACTTGCTGTCAGACCAAAAATTTTCTGTCTTGTTCCCAAACTATCAGATACGCCATTCTTGCACCACTCTTTGTCGGGCTTTTTGTTGGTCCTCGATGTCTCATGGGAGTGCTGGCTGGCGCGATTGCCTCCGGGTGCATGATGGCGATCATGATGTCGAATGCGGGTGGCGCATGGGACAACGGCAAGAAGCTTTGCGAAAAACTCCAGATAAAAAAGACCGACCAAGGAAAGGCTTGCGTGGTAAGAAGGCGATGTTCAGGAACGAGAGGAGTGTGTGTGTGTAGAGATCGCGTTTTGAATTTGCAGAGTGCTGCGGGGATGAGATATGATTCAGATGAAGAATGATGATGAGTACCACTCTGCGTTTCGATTTCCATTTCTCAAGGTCGGCGACACGGTTGGCGATCCGTTCAAGGACACAAGTGGCCCGGCGCTGAACATTTTGATAAAGCTGATGAGCATGATTTCCCTCACGATTGCGCCCCTGATCCGCGGGCACGGGGACTTCGAGGAATGGTATGGCGGCCTCGTTCCCCTAGGGCTTTTTGTCGGGATTACGTACTATCTCGTGAAAAGCAGAATTCTCTCGTGGGACGACCCACTGGCGGCCACGCTGGCCTCCGCAGTCGACGCGAAGGGCGGGAACGCGACTGGCAGTCCCGTGACCACCGCGCCAGGAGGAGTTCCGATGCGGCCGAAGAACTTGCGACTCGAGGAGGGCGTGCCGCTGAACGGCCACAGCCCGTCGAGTAAGCCCGGGAATGTGTATTCCGAGTAAAAACATCCCCACCCCAGAGTTGTCATGCAAATTTGCATGCCAAAAAAGTTTCTCCTGCGAAGCCCCATGAGAAGCTTTTTCTAGTCGCGTTTTGGGATTCATTTGTGATGCTAGAAATAGCATGATATGCTAGATCTGTGATGCTGCTGAGCTAGCTAAACAGGATCACACTACGAGGCCAAAGTTGTCATGCGAAACAACCAAAGTTGGCCGATTTGTCTAGCAGATTTTCGACGTTGACTCTGGTGTGGGGATGTTTTTACTCAGGATAATGTGCCAGACACCGTCATTGGCCACGTAGTTGGAGCACCGGGTGGAACCGGCGTGCAGAGCTACGAATTCCAGGTATTAAGTTGTTGCTTCATGTCTTATTTCCGTAGTGTTTCATGAAGTGAAAATAAATTACTTAATTTGCTCGCTTTCGCTGTACGGCGAGCTACAGGTTCTCTTTTTCATCTTTCGCGTAAAATTTCTTTTTGCCGAAAGTACGTGAGAGTGAGGAGAAGATGGTGTGCGTGCATTCTTTTTGTTGAATATTCAGGACGTGATCCAGGGTGCATAAACTACCGCAGGAGATGCCCGCTCCGCAGTCCGTGGCCATTGGCAGACCTCACGACGGCGCAGCAGATGCGGATCAACGGATGGCCATAGAAAACCAGCAAGCTGCCATTGCGGACCGCGGAACCGCACCAGGCGGCAGTTCAAGCACGGCGCTCGCCAATACCTGAAAGACAAAGATCATCTACTGCACCAAAGCGTCATACATAGCACGTCTTCTAGTGAAACAGCAGAATGTTGGCAATGAGAAGTTTTTTGAAAATGTAACCGCAATTATGTACTACGCAAGTACCTCGGTGCTGTTGGTCCTGGATCTATGTTTTGCTTTCGGGGACGACAAAATTGTCGTCAGGATATTTTGCTGAATCGTCGAAGAGTGCTTGCTGCGACTGTAAATGCTAAGTTCTTTTCTCTTCTAGTGATAGATTCTGAATCCAAGGGGTTAGACGTTCAATGAAGCGTGCCTCTACAAACCTGCAACTGTAACTTGCTAGATGAGTGGTAACTCGCGAGTAGGGCGAGGATATGATATGACGTCCTTTAGAGGAGCTGTCGGACCTCATCATGTCAGATTCTAGCGAACTATGGTGCGTACTTATGGTTGTACTGACTCTTAATAGAAATGCACCTGTTTGCAGTATCCTGTTCTGTTTTTTTCTCTTTTGTTTTTTTCACACCAGTGGCCGCCTTGTTTTTTTCACACGAATGAGAGCTGCGCTTTTTTTTTTCGACATCGATCGGTCACTAGAGCGCAAGAGAGACTTGTCTTGCCAGAGTTTGCCTCTTTTTTGGCTTTTTTTAGCAATGTCGTGCCACGGTGTCCGTCTGCCGGCCAGGTTCGCTTTTTGCATTACTTTTGCAGCTGTAGCATTTTCTTTTTCATTAGCTGAGGTCGGTTGTTTTCTTTTCATGGTGTATTTTCAAACTTTTCGAAGTTTTCACTCGGCGTCCGGCCCTCCAGGAACCACTACCTTCCAACAACTATCGAGTATTTTTTCGCTTTTTCGATACGTGCCTAGTGCAGGTCCGGAGTTTCATTAATTTGCGGTGCAAGTACGTAGCATTTCATTGACCGCAGGAAGTAACAAATTCTACCTTGGTTACGTTTATATCCAATAAGCGTAATCGAACCAACCACCAAAGGGTTTCGCTCTCTCGTGAAAATTCGCTTGCTAACAAGCATTTGCGGCATGGGAGCTAAGCTCGCGAAAGGTTCCCATGTCGCCGGGGAAGGCGAATTCGGGAACCAGTTCCGACTCGGGCGGAAGTTAGGGGAGGGTGCCTTCGGTGTCGTGCACGAATGCCGTATCGGATGATTTTTACTATACCCTTTTACTTACTGAAAAGCCATTTTTTCCGTTTTGTGCCTGCATCTGCAAGTGGAACTACATGAAATCAGTCGTCGATGGTGCCTATCCTCGTGTTGCTTCCTTTGAAGTAGGCAAATTCATCTTCAGGTAAGCGTGACCAGGACGATTCGGGCGATCCTTATGCGGTGAAGATGATAGACCGCGTATCAAAATGAAAAATCCCCCCACCCCATACTCAAACTAGAAATTTGTGACGCAGATTTGTGGCCACAAATCAGCTTTGTCATGCTAGAAGGGAAAAGATGCGGACTGTAGTGCTGGTTGGCGTGGGAAAGCCTTGCATCTTCAGCATGACAGGGGGAAGCTGAAAGTGGAAAACAGCATGACAAATTGCCTGCAAACGAGGCCACAGCTGCGCCTCTTGGCCTTCTAGCGTTACAAGTCGATTTGTGTACTCAGATACAGCATCACAAATTTCGTTTTCGATATGGGGTGGGCGCTTTTTTCACTTTGATACCGCGTGGAGGCGGACACTTCGGATATCACGCGCGAGATCGAGGTGATGGTGTCCCTGGATCACCCGAACATTGTCGGCTTCGTCGCGGTTTTTCAGGAAAAGTGTTTCGTGTGCATCGTGATGCCGAAGTTCGGAGGTGGCGACCTGGTGGACGGCTTGCAGTTGCACCTGAAAAAGTACGGAAAGATCCCCGAAACGACCTGCGGCAAGCTCTGCGCCCAGGTCTTCTCCGCCGTCGAGCACTGCCACGCGAAGGGGTATGATTTACCGAGTACGGTTATTTGAGTGACTTGAGTGTTCGCGGTTGGATTTCGATTTTCAGTGTCCATAAAGAACTTATCTTCATTCACGTTGCTACAGTACGTAGCACTTCTGATTCTGAAACTTCTAAGAAGGCAGCAAACGAGTCTTACGCGAAGCAAAAACAGGTACATCCACCGCGACATCAAGGGCGACAACGTGTTGCTGGACAGACCGGACATTTCCGATCCAAATTGCAAATTGGTGCTCTCTGACTTCGGTACCGCCATCGCGCACACGAAGGGAAAAATCCTGCGCCAATTGACGGGCACACGGGTACTGTGGTGTAGAGGAAAGTCTTTTCTGGAAAATTCGAATTTCGACAAAACCGGTACTTGTTTGATGAACATATAATCACTGTTGCTGTGTACTACGTAGCTGCATCGGCGAATATTACGAAAACTATATGAAAAATTTAAGGTCTTTTGGTCCCCGGAAATGTGCGCTCGTCGGTATTCCTTTCCGGCCGACGCGTGGGCGTGCGGCGTAGTGATGTACGGTCTGGTGGATATCAAAAGGAAAAATCCCCCCTCCCCATATCGAAACGAAGTTTCTGATGCTGGATTTCCGTACACAAATCAGATTTGTCTTGCTGGAGAGGATTGCAGGCATATGCCAAGCCTCAGTCGAGAGGTTCTTGACGTAGGCGCCTAGCATGGCAAATGTGTATGCTCTAAGCCCGACAGCATCACAAACCGCCTGGAAAGTGCGGGGCGCTCTCTGGACTTGCCTTCTTGCAAGACAGACAGGATTTGAGGTCACAAATGCGCGTCACAAATTTTCAGTCGGTGCGGTTGTTTTAGCATCACAAATTTTCAGACGGATACGTTTTCAATATGGGGAGGGGGGATTTTCCCTTACGATAGTGGATGCCACTTTCCCTTTCCGCGACGAGCGGCAGATCTGCGAAAAGGAACCCAAGATGCCGCCGCGGGCCAGCGCGGAGTGCAAAGAACTGATCCAAATGATGCTCTCCAAGGACCCCGAGAGGAGGATAAGCATCTCCAACGTGTTAATTTTGATCATGTCCACATTGCTCGGATTAGGATTTTTTAGTAGAAGGTGCATTCATGTTGTTATAGTGATGTCAGGGTCCTCCTCAGCCTCATCAAGCGCAGCTAGAAAAACCTTCATTTTGTGAAAATCCTCTGTCAGGCTTTGAAGCACGATTGGATTCAGAAGTTCGCCCCGGGCGTTGCGGTCCAGGAGCAGCCCGCCGAACCGGCGGCGGAGCAGGAGACCGCCAGCAAGGGCGAAGTGGAGGCGGTGGGCCGCGAGCAGGTGCCGCAGGCGATGGCGCTGCGCCGAAAGGAGATGGCGCAGGTCTACGCGAACAAAAACCAACAGAAAAAAGTGTTCGAGGTGGTGGACTTCAAGGCCGAGGGTCTGCGCGCCGGCGAAGTTATCCAGTACACCTGGTTCGAGGCCAAGGACGCGATATCAAATGCAAAAATGTCTGGGTCTGGAAGATTGCGAGATTTGTCATGCTTGTCTGGCATGACCAAAAAGTTTGTGATGCGTGTCCAAGAAGGGACCACTTTTCCTGTCATGCAAAAACGCAGTTTGTCATGCGGAAAACGCAACACAAAGGAGCGCAGATATTTCTCATGCTTGGCCGTGAATTGCAGAGCACTCACTATTCCCAACGCAGCATTACAAGTTTCCAGACCCAGACATTTTTGCATTTGATACCCGAAGGCACTGTACGAAGTCTCCGGGACCGACCAGAGCGGCAACAAAAAGGCGAAACAGTTCGTGTGGACGCCGAAGACGTTGGAAGCGCATTTGCAGAAGGTAAGTACTGACTTACCATGAAAGGTGGAGTTCTTTTGTTTTTGATGCCGGCTTCTTGTTGCAACAAGAACATCTTTACTTGTTCTTACAACTGAAGACCCATCTTCTTCCTACAACAGGCCAACATCAAGACATCCAACTACGGGACGGGGAAGGCGAAGACGCTCGGCGAACTGTGCGCGGAGATCACCGCGGGCGAGTGTTCTTTGATGCACGATTGCACGGGCGGGTTTTCTATCAAATGCAAACATGTCTTGGTCTGGAAACTTGTGATGCTGAACTGTGGATGACTGAAATATTTTCCAATGTAGCCAAGCATGACAAGTTTGCAGAACGCTCTTTCATGCTCAGTCCGCATGAAAAACTGCGCTTTTGTATGACCTAAGAGGGCGTCTTTTTTGTTAGACATACAATACAGATTTTACCAGCATTACAAGTTCCATGTTTTCAGACCCAGACATATTTGCAATGCATATTTTCCTCCCGGAAGATCGTTCGCGTGGTCGAGCTGGTGCTGCTCCGCGTGAAGAACGGGAAGGACGGGCAGCAAACGCTGATCGAGGCCAAGGAGAAGCTGGCCGACGGGCGCGAGTACGACACCTACCGGTTGCCGGGTGCGAAGCAGCGGCCCAACGAGAATGTGAAGGCGACCGCGGAGCGGATCCTGGCGGAGCGGCTGCACATGGAGAAGTTATTACAATGAAAAATGCCCCCACCCCCGAATCGTTGGGAGCATTTGTATTGCAAACCTTTCCAAATGAAACATTCGCCGTCTTGCATGTATCAGCATCACAGGTGTCCAATCGTGAATAGCAAAAATTTGTGTTGCCAAAGACCCCAGCAAGAGCGGCGCTTGTCATGCAAGCGATGCGATACACGCCTAGAATCTGCATCAGAAAGATTCATACTCCTTTCATGACAAAAAGTTTTCATTTGGAAACTTCGCATCACAAATTTTTGCAATTTCAGGGGTGGGGGGCACTTTTCACTGCAATAGAAGTCGAAGGTGACCTTCAACTACGGCGAGAAGGAGATCGTGGAGGTGAAGGAGGACAGCCCGTCCTACCCGGGCGTGGTCACCTATGGAAGCGTCAGGTTTGAAATTGTCAAAGTTGAAATAATTTGTAATGCATAAAATGCATGACCGGAGGCACGTGTGTTGCAGAGCAGGCAAGTGAGGCCGATTGTAAGCCTGTTTGGGGCTACAGCTCGAGCTGCTAAAGTAACATGAGGAAATCGCTCTTCTTTGCCTAAACAGCATGACAGAGTGGATTTAGGGACCACCGAAATTTGTCTTGCGCCACTTGGAAACTGGGTTCCAATTGGCATCCATTTTATGCATGGCAAATTATTTCAACTTTGTCGATTTCAACTCTGACACATCCATATCACCGTGTACCGGAAGCACATCGTGGAGGGGCACCTGCAGGCGCACGCGATGAAGCCGTCGGACCTGGCCGCGGTCGGCGGCCAGAAGTGGGACAGCTTCATGATATGGATTGCAAATGTGTCTGGGTCTGGAAGAGTACGAACTTGTCATGCATCTTTTCCATGACCCATGAGGTTGAGGTCTGAAATGCGGGACCTAGCATGACAGACTCTGCGAGGTCTCTGTCATGCCTGTCCTGCATGGGAAACTCCGTCCCAACTTGGTCGAAAGTGGACAGCTTTTGGCGCTCATGCAATACAAATTTTTGCATGCTTCGGATTTAGCATGACAAGTTGCAATCTTCCAGACCCAGACATATTTGCAATGTATACATGACCAAGGGGAACAAGGACGAGGTGAAGACGTGGCAGTGGATGACGGCGAAGGAGATCACCAAGAAGAAAATCAAGATCGCGGGCAAGAAGGCCACGGACGAGGTGTCCTCCCTGGTCGCGTCGAACCTGAAGATCGACGAGGACGGGCTCAAGCTGCAGCTGGAGGACGCGAAGTTGGACCCCAAGTCCTTCGGCGCCAACGGCGCGAAGACCCTGTTCGAGGTCGCGCAGGAGGTGGCCCGCGGCGAGTGCCACCTGCAGTACAACGGCGAGGTGCTGGAGCGCGTGGTGGAGGTCGTGTTGCTGGTGGTCGAAGACGAAAAGTCGGGGAAAATCTTGCTGGAGACCAGCCGCACGGACGAGAAGACCGGCGCGAAGAAGGCCAAGGACCAGCTGCCCGGCTCGAAAGCCCGCCCGGCGGAAAGCATCTACACCACGGCAAAGCGGATCACGAACTGCCTGCTGCACATCCCGGAGGAGCAGATCCAGTTCGGGAACCACAGTCTGTTCGAGGAAGCCTCCAAGGCCGACTACCGCTACCCGGGCATGCGCACGCTGTACCGCAAGCACGTCATCAACTGCAAGGTGGATGCGGGCGCGAGTGCGTGAAAAAGTTCGAGTTTGTTTGATTTGTTGGTGTAGTTTCGGTTGATGTCGTCTTGTGTGTTGGAGTGATCGCGTATCTTGCACCTGCCGCAAAGAAAACGAATTTATCAGAAAGATGTATGATGTTGCAGTAAAAAATCGGGAAAATAGAATAGAAATGTCACAGATTTGAAGCAAAAGTTTAAAAGTCAGCATATACAGTCGATTTTGCATTATTTCATGATTGTCAGACATCACGTTTACTCTCTCTGGAATCTTCCAATTTGGCATAGAGACAGAAAAAAGCCGTGAAGGTCATCATGAGTCTTCTTTGTATGATTAGCGTGTTGAATTATGAAAATTTAGTTTTATGCACGACTTACAGTTACAGCCCACATTAGTGGAGTAGAGAAAAAGAGTTTCATCGAGGTCACTCATGTCAATGAATACAGGGCATCACTGACAATATCTCCACATGTTAAACACCAATACGGGAAAGGTACTATGTTTCTTTAGCATGAGGTCGCCCAGAAATTGAAAGACAACCAAACCGACAGCTTGGTGGTGTCGTCGTCCTGTTTTCCATTCTTGTTTCGTTTCGATTCGCAAGAGGATTCGTCGTGTGAAGAACGACCAGGTGTTCTCGTCATCGTTTCGTGAAAGGAGCGCGAGTTTTCTGTATCGGGTAGAGGTCCGAGATCCGATGCTATTCTGAGTGTCTTACGCTTCGCGCAAACATTGTTCAAGCGCGCGGACGCAAGTTTCTGGTCGTGATGAGATGAATCGTGAACAGCATCGCCCTTAATAGTGTCACCACGTTGCCCAAGAAACGTTAAAACTAAAAAAACAAAAGCATCAAAATGGAAGTCAACTCGCGCGTGTGGTCCGACACGCTGTCCCCCGGGCAAATTCAGCCTTTTTCCGTAAAGGCTGTGCAAAGCGACGGCAGTGTGGAACTTGCAGCTACGAACTCCGACGCAACCCGAGTAGTGCTGGCAGCCGGTAAAGTCGCAACGACGTGCTATCCGAAGCCGGCGGGAAAATCGAGCAGGTACTAAATTGGAAGCGCATGATAGTAATTCTAGTAGATTCATCACTGTAAGTATGATTTGGATTGCCGTTCATCGGCATAGTGCTTCGGCATTTGTTTTTGATCGCCAAATGTGATCAAAAAAACGCAATCCACAGCTCGCACGATGTGGCAGATTGGAGCGACGAGAAGACCAAGGGCACTTCCATCGCCAAAATCCGGGAAGGGCTGATCGACCGCTTCGCAAAGGGGTTGCTTTTTACCAAAGCCGGGCCGCGCATTCTTCTGCAGGTGAACCCGAACCGACGCAGGAGGGAGTTGTACACGTCCGAAGTGGCGGAGAAGTACAAGAAGGACAGCAGCACGACAAAGAACCTCCCCCCGCACCTCTTCAGTTTGCGCAACCAGGTCGTATTTGATACGAATAAAACAAGTACAACTTCTTCTATCAAGCCTAGTGATCCCAAGTGCATTTTCTTCCTCACCCCCGGCCCCGGCGGCGGCGCTTCTTTTGCGTTTGCAAAAACCGCCGCGTTCCTCGCGGGTACCGATCTCGTGGCGGACGCGCACACGCTTCTGCAGCACTTTGTCGGTGTGCGCAACCGCGCGGACGCCGCCAGTCCCGGGTCGGAGACCGATGGTCTTGTCGGTCCGGACTCCTCGTCGCGCGATCCGGCGCCCGCGCTGGCGACCGAGGCGGAGATCGAATTGGAACTGAGCGGTCTGACTTTGGAGAAAAACCAGGCGACGGCTGCGAGTTTTCAAATCCGGAACTTGACAATGGAGGACACCTTGCTCCACCTCGACCATGCCGAAGACCGGACGCGCCGCACGTTCGACATTTTCTACCACTACCTGGTCTGGCTGGAGTTCAACGAGGCGCCCTTCGTGGACGCCGAGCACACGAGCTTCCCCCGCGTCCTCGGGGGGGACCACTTCCGCAGCGACAGCGTCGACCGCCCGCTGCTCGACGAGACGCTGATTTTGTTCGACATCTTCAAGCTAGACAAGGACTTGGTCTTCCGCAGATTGGACCTGATCCTGTGGCTGTCGGGGTTGCTGGACCGCATTCACGACGAGGGGGAGCACATGGACCAGGAAACGTGGGAGAACCTGCACGAGTGCTACGTGGAGGCGTTGACAAACCAGATTCCGGTCGAGAAATTGAATAAAGAGACGCTGCCTGCCGGGGTGTCCGACGTCTCCAAATTCATCGAGGTCTTAGCCCCACCGGCGGACATAAGCGACGCAAATAGTCCCGCGTTGGTAAACTGGCGGCAAGAGGTGCGGTTGCTGTGCGAAAACGTGTACTCCTCTGTCGTGCAGCACGTGTTGGAGAAAGTGAATGCGCATCTGGCAGACCAGATCGGAGTAAAAGTGAAAAAGGCCGGCACGACCACGGTGACCCTCGTCGACGGGGGAAATCTCGGTCGGTTTTACAATGCAGGTGGATCTGGTGCAGCGGCGCCGAGCATCCAGGGTCTGTTCCAGAACCTCCGCGCGGACGCGGTCCTGGCGAATCTGCGATCACCGGGGGATGCCAAGATCATGCAGGTTTGCGCTGCGGCTTACGACAAGGCCGTCGCGTTTCTGAAAAATGCGGGAAGAACTGCTTCCGTAGAGCAGAAAATTCAGCACGTGGACGGGGCGACGCGAGTCTACAAAGCCGAGAGGGAACTTTTGCTTCGCCTGGAACACGAGTCTTCCCCCCTGTGGATCGAGGACACTCTCCTACCGGATTTCAGCTACACGATTGACACGCTCGAGGACGACATCGACCGGGTCCACGCGCTCGCAGGAGCCGTGACAACTTTCTACGTCTTGTGCCTGCGTGCGAACGACGGACACTCCGGCCGGCTGCTCGTGCCACAGATCATTGATCGACAGCTGCTGGATTTCGGGCTGAGTGGGAACCTGACGGCTCCCGTCAGAACTTCGAGTAAAGGTTCGTCGCCCCGCGGTGTGTCACTATCTTCCGGGAAGCAGGTCGCGGGGGTTGTTGGAGCGCGAAGAAGCTCGTCATCATCCTCGCCGCGAGCCAGTCGCAGTCGGCAATCGAGCAAAAGCCAAGTGTCCACGAAACCTTTGTCCGCGGAAGAGGATACTTTTCTGCGTCGCGCACAACGGTGGATGCGAGCCGCGAACGAGAAACGCGAGCTGCGGGCGCTGAAGAACGACATTATCACCGCCACCGACCGTGGGGACATCACGCGAATGCAGGCATTGCTCAGCTACTGCTACGCACAGCGCATCCGCTGGCCGGAGGTGCGACGATGCGCCCAAACATTTGGCATGCTGGCCCGGTATCGGGGGTACGGGATCCCGCCCGAGTGGGACTTCTTTCTACCAAGCTTGGGCGCGGCAGGAGCACCAGTGGGGAGCGAAGCCGGGGGTGGGAGTGCAAGCTCTACTTCTGCCGCCGGGGCGGGAGCGTCATCAAATGCTCGGAGTAGCGAGAGGAAAGAGCTGCTGCCGGCAAGCGTGGACGGCATTGTGGGCAGTGCCGCGCGAGAAGCTGCACCTAAGGCCGAAAGCAAGTCTGAATCGACTAGCTTTGTGGTTGACAACACTGCTACACCCCGTTCTGACGGAGCGTACAACGCTATTCCTCTGCGAAAACTTTCCCACTCCTCCAGTGTGGCGAGCCAGCGCGCAAGTGGAACCGCCATGACGGGCAACTTAAAAGCAGGCGAGCCACCCGACGAGCTGATGCAAGACGAGGTGTTTGTGCAAACGCTGGCCGAGCGGGACGCCGCAAGGGAAAAGACCGAGGAATTGCAGCAGCTTTTGCACGAGAAGAGACGGCAACTGAAGGAGCTGAAGAGCGAGGTGAGCACTGAGGAGCGGGAAGTCTACCTGCGAAAGCAGCAGACATTGGAAACGCACTTGGATCGGCTGAGCCGCATCACCAAAGCGTTGCTGCCGTTTGCAGACACGGTTTTGGCGAGACGGGACCAATCGAAGGAGCTGGCCGTGGTGAAAGAGTACTTGCAAACCGTGCTGAGCCAGCAGAAGCATCCAGTGCCTTCGTCGCTGGAAACCATCCAGCCCGTCGATCTAGAGTTGGACTACGAAAGACGGAAGTTTGCGGAGCCGTGGCGGTGACGGAACTTAGGATCTGTACTAGCTGAACTGTTTTCCTTCTGATGTTTGCAAGGACAACTGCCAAGCAAAGGAAATGAGTGCTGACGCTAGAAACCTTGGAACCGATATTGCGTTCTTCCGGGTGATTTCTCCCAGGCAGTATGGCAAAGTTCTAAGAACAAGCACAGAAAGCGTAGATCCTACTTTTTGATCGAGGTATCCATCCCGAGTTCATCTGTGACGTGCAAATATGCTTTTGTTCAAGGCGGTTCCGCCTCATCCGATCCTTTATACATAGAAGCTTTGATCAGGACGCCGTAGTCGGGCTCCTTTTGCAATGTGTCGCCGGCTGTTGAGTTGTAACTTATTCGCTGAGACCAATAGATGCATAACCGTTCTTTCAGCTGCTAGCTTCCTGAAGAGATTTCCAAGAAAAGAATGAGCCTGTTTTTTGTTTTCATGTCGATCTGTGGGTCTTCTCTCTCGTGAAGTATCTCGATTTCGAAAAAAGTATGGCGCTGGTTTCAGCTCGAAAGGTGGGGCGTGTCGTTCTATTTGGAGTACTTGCGGCATGTCTGTGCACATTGAGCTCCGAAGCTGGTACAACACCAGTACATCGAAGGCACGCTCACGATCCAGAAGATTCCACTAACAGCGAGAGCGACGTTCGCAGCGGTGGCGCTTTTTGCAAAGTGCGCCCGGAACCTGTTCTACGACCTCACGTGTATGATTATCGGGATGCAAGTGGTCTGACCCATGCAACTTGTGACAGCGGTAGCCACTCTGCAGACGGTTTGGCTTTGGAGCAGAGCAGCGAACAACAGAACGACACGAATCCAGCACCTAATGATAGCTCTACTAGATTTTCGGATCTCGTAGAGCACTACATTTCGCTTTCCTACTCCAAGCGGGCGGGCACAATACCCATGAAGGAACGAGACGCGCTGAAGCAGACTTCTACGAGCGGCAGTAGTCCAACGTATGGCGAGATTACTGCGGAGGGGCTTCACACCTTGTTTGCAAACGTCGGCAAACTCGACGGCAGCGACGTTTTCTACGACTTAGGGTCCGGCGTTGGGCGCGCAGTGATGCGGACGTATTTGAATTACAATGTCAAAAAAGCGGTTGGCATCGAGTACAGTAAGACACGCCACGAGCGAGCGCTGGAAGGGGGTGAGACTCTGTTGGCGCATTTGCGAAACGACACAACTTTGTCAGGGGCGACCTTGAGCCGACTCCTGGATGGGACAAAAAGCTTCGAATTTCGGCATGCAGACTTTCTGCAGACGAACCTCTCTGACGCGACGTTGATTTATACCTGTAGCGCGTGTTTTTCGCCCGAGCTCCTTGACATGCTGCACACCAAAGTGGTGAAAGAGTGTCCGAAGCTGCGATATCTGATTTCGGTGCGGAGGCTCTCCCTACATACGGTTTCGAAAAAGCCGCCTCCTGGCCTGGAAGACAGTCGCAAGCTGCTCGTAGAAAAGTTTGTGGACGACGCTAAGTTTTCCTGGTCTGATCACAGCTACCTGAGATTTTACGCGTTTGAGGAGAGAAACGCGACAAGGGTAGATGCTCCCCCAGTAGCCAAGTCTCTTCCAGTTGGCATTGAGCGCGGGCTTTTGAATGAAGACGATTTCGCTTCGTAAATGGCGCGCGCAGTATTTCGCTCTGGTTTTTTGAGACGCGCTGCAGAAATTGAACCCGTTTCGAAGAATGAAAAACGACCAGAGCCACTCACTATTTCTTCAAGATTGTCTTCTAGAATGCGGGCAGTGGCGCTCATTCTTCTTGCCGTGTCAAGTCGTCTCTGACGCATGGTCTTTTTCATCACATGTGTGTGTTCTACGTAGAAGAGCATCTCCTGTGCGCGGGTTGATGGGCATACTCGATGTCCGTCCTGATTTGGAAACCTTTAGCAATTCGCGCCGTGGGGCCCTGGCACAGGCAGACGCCGCGACTGGGAGGCTGCGCGTGTGTTGGTGAGCGAGTTACGTTGCCGAAGGTAATGCCAGCGCGTGGGGGAGCCCTACGGCCCGGCGGGTTGTCTTCTTTCGGAGACGCCTTGGTCGCGGGTCGCTCCCTTAGCGTTCGGCTTGGCGCCGCAGGTCTTGGCTTAAAGGGAACGAGTCTGCTGGAGGATGTGCAGCACGTTTCGGAGCAGTCCCTTTAGCGACAAATCGACTACGGCGCAGGCGGGCAAGTCGCCGGGTTCGATCTTCCAGGGCGGCAAGCCCCCCCTACGCTACCCGGCCAAACGCGCACCAAGGCGCGGGCCACCCCGGGGGCGCCTTGGCAAACGAAGAGTGGGCGCAGCTGAGCGCCCTGCTTGGGTCCGTCGGGCGCCGCCGTGCTCACGGCGCGGCCCCCGCCTGACGAGGGGCGCGGCTGCCGCTTCAAATGTTTCTACAAATTGGCCGGCCTGAACTGGGAAGACGTACAGAAGACCACTGAGCAAGGAGAGTGGCGCGCTCTCCAACGTGAGGCGGCCAAGCACATTCAGAGCAGGGCGAAAGCCGGAGATGCCAGGTTCGCCGGCCTCGAAAGCGCCACGCTTAGCGAAATCATCGAGGTCGCGCGCAGGCTCGACCAAAGACGCGCAAGGCATTGGCGAGAGCGCGCGCGCGTTCGCAGCGTTCTGCCATGTGTTGGGGGGGGGTCGTGGCGCGCCCGGCTCGAGCCGCCCTGCGGGCGGGCGAAGTGCGCCTCCCGCTCTGCAAGTAGAATATCCTGGATCTAACGAAATTGCGGCGATCTCAAGCACCTCGCGCATGTGCGCCGCTTCGGCCCGCGCGCGGGCCATCGTGCTACGGCGAAGCGGGGCGGGCCGAAAGTATACCAGGGCCGCGGCCGTGCGGTGGGTTGGCAGTGGGGGAAGGCTACCGGCAGACGGGCGCAGGCAGGCAGGAAAAGAGGGGCGCGCGCGGGGCTGCGCACGTGGCAGAATTGCGGCCGCGTGCTGGCGGCCTGCCAGCTCACGCTGCGCGTTTGCGACGGCAGAACCATCCCCGCCCCGGACGAGATCCGGGAGAGCGCGCCCGCCGCAAGGTTGTGGGCCCGGCATCCCCTTCCTGATCCGCCACAACAGGGGCCAGACGATTGCCGCGGTCGCCGTGCTTTCCGAGGTGGCGCGGAGGCCGGCCGTGAAAGGCGAGCGAAGGAGTATCTACAACGGCACCGCGCGCGACCTCCTGGAGTTTTTGAAGGAGCGGGACTATCAAAAACAAACCGTTGACATTCCAGGCCGACAGCCGAAAGCATTCCTCGGCCGACGGTGTTGTCAAGAAAAATACGAAAGCGGCTAAGTTGTCGAAGAACATCGCTCCGGCGGTGGTGCACAAGCGAAAGGCAGACGATGAGCCACTGGCGCAAGAACCAGTTGGGCCAGCGGGTGGGAATGATCTCAGTCGGCGGCACGGGGGGGGAAATTCGCCCGGGACGAGTAGGCGGCGAGGGACGCCACGACGCACAACGGGCCGGCTGCGCCAGCTTTGCCGCTGCTTGGCGATGGGCCCCCCCCCGCGCTTGCCCCTTTGCTTCATGTCCCGCGCCTGCTCCGCGGGTAATAAGTAGGCGCGGGGGAAAAGAAGCTGCGCCAGCCCGGGCCCTCTCCGCGGACGCCTACGCCGCGCGGCGTGGCGTGGCGTGCCACAGCGCCAAAAGCGCCCGCTCCCTTGGCGCCGGGTCGGGCGCGCCACGATCTTCCGTGCGCCTGGCGCCCCGGCGGCGGCGGCTGCCACCACTTTATACATGCCTTAGTTTCATTCTTTTGGGAAGCGAAGCAAGTGGTTTTGGCTTCCTTGGATTTGCGAAGCGCCAAGCAGATCTTCAGAGAAGCGCACAGCCATGGCGCCGTGAGGCCCGCGGATCTTGTTGCTCGAATTCTGGAGCCGTGTTGTTCACCTTTCCCGTGCCGGGGTCATGGGACTCGTCGATCCAGAGAATGTCCTGCGCTTCCCAAACACCCAACAGTGGCTGCACCAGCATGCAGCGGAAATATGCGAAAGGATGAAGGAGTATGAGTTGAGTTAGGCATAGACGAAGAAGGTAGGCGAAGACGGTGACACATCTGGCTGCAAGGTATACAAAATGGCTCGGGAGCAAGGCATCGGCTTGAAGCAACAGGGGCTTTTTCCCTCCCTTTCGTTGCATGAGACAACAGACACAAGATGGGTGACAGTTTTCTCGACGGAGCGTTTGGAAAGCTCTTCGGCGCCTATGGTGCAGAGCCACAGCCGCAGGACGTCTCTCAGCCGCCTCAAGAGCAAATGCGGAAAGCGGGGGCGACGGGAAAGATCAAGACGGCGAATTCTATCTCAACTGGCAGATCAGCTGCGTCTTCAGCGACTGCCTCAGGTTCAAAAGTCCAGAGAGATCACGAGGCTGCCCAGATGACCAGCGCGACAGGTGGTAGTCATCAACATCATGCCCACAGCGACCATGCAAGAACAGCTCCCACTCCCACTGGACAAAGCGGAACCGTGAAAATATCCGAAAAGGAACTGTACCGGCTACGCGTAATTGAGCGCGCGTATTACGAGCTCGGGCCGCAAATCGAACTCGTCAACGAAGAAAACCAAAGGCTCATCCAAGAAGAGGAAAGTGGAGGGCAGGTAGTTCATATCAAAACTGAATAAACAGAATCCATTGCCGATCTATATCACCATCAGCATTTTTTCGATCACGCTATGGTATGCACAGCTTGAATATGGGATTGCAAAACAAGACGACCACAGCTTCGGAGCCGAGTTCTTGCCTTAACTCGGCAAGTCGAGAACCTCGAGCGCGAGAAGCAGCAGGCCCGGGAAGCGTTCGACCAGCTGCGCACCGCCCGACAGTACGGGAATGAGTTGGAGCGAAAGTTGGATGAAGCCCAAAGGCAGATTTTCAGCCCGGAGCACGGGGAGCAAGAAAACCGGCATGGCCGGGAAGATGGTACCATCGAGAACAGTCTGCCGGCACTCACGCTCCGGGGCAAGTACAATTTGCTCGAGAAGAAGTACGGTGATTTGCAACTGGAATTCGCACAGCTTCAGGCAAGGCACCGAAAGTTGCAGGAGGAGGGGCCACTGCAAGGAAGGGTACTTGAAGGTCACATTTTCTGTAACATGGAGTAAGTGAGGCTGAGGGTAGGAAATTCTGAAATTGCATAGCGTGATCGAGCACCATTCACGAACGAGAAACAAGACCCGCCTGTTATTCTCCAGGTCTTTGGCAGCGGCGCTGACGCCACTTCCTTCGACGCGGCACTCTCGCCGACGAGTCGGAGTCTGTTCGAGTTTGACCGGTTGCAGCTCCGCAAGATGGACCGGCTGCACCAGCAGAGCCAACAGATTCAGCAGGAGTCGCGAGCCTTTCAGAACTACTGCGACCGCCGGTATTTGTACTGGCTGACCATGATTTCCAACACCAACATCTCCACCGGAATGCTGTGCATCAACAGTGAGCTGCATCTGGTGGGGTTAACCGGATCGACTTTCGACGTGTACCACAATGTCGACGATTTCGAAAAGGACGTGTATTTGCTCGCCGGGCTGGAGGTGCACGTCGACCTAGAGGAGAAGCAGTTTTTGTTCGTGTCAACCACAGGAGGAAAAGTAGCACCTTCCAAGAAGCGAAAAAAAGTAGAAGAAAACACGGTCCTCGTTTTAGATTGCGTCACGTTGCAAAAGCAGCCCGACTTGGTCTTTGAAAAGTGGCTGTTGCTTTTCGATCTCGTGGGCGTGTTGCAAACACCGTAGTGATGATCGGACCGGAGGACACAACGTACATGTTGACCACCCAGACCCGGCATCTCTTGAAAGGGGCCGTGCCCCCTTCTCAACACCGCCATGGAAGGGCCAAAAGAAAAACGAATCGCGGCAAATAAGAAAAGACTGCTGTCGCGGGGTCGTGTGCCAATTGGACCTAGAGACGTCAGCTGTTTTCATAACCGCGAGGCTCTGAGTTTTTTTTTGACTGCTTTGCATCGAGCTGATGAAAATAAGTCTCGTTTTTTTTTTTGAACGTACACGCACGGGCCTGTACCCGATACGCCGTGTGCCGTAGGATCCGATCAAGTGCGGAAGCAGTCGGTTAAGTGCCTGGCTTGCGTCGATCCCTCTCGCAGCGTACTCGATCACGGTGAAAACTACCGGATCACTCGTGAAAACTACAGCGGTAGCCACTCTGCAGACGGTTTGGCTTTGGAGCAGAGCAGCGAACAACAGAACGACACGAATCCAGCACCTAATGATAGCTCTACTAGATTTTCGGATCTCGTAGAGCACTACATTTCGCTTTCCTACTCCAAGCGGGCGGGCACAATACCCATGAAGGAACGAGACGCGCTGAAGCAGACTTCTACGAGCGGCAGTAGTCCAACGTATGGCGAGATTACTGCGGAGGGGCTTCACACCTTGTTTGCAAACGTCGGCAAACTCGACGGCAGCGACGTTTTCTACGACTTAGGGTCCGGCGTTGGGCGCGCAGTGATGCGGACGTATTTGAATTACAATGTCAAAAAAGCGGTTGGCATCGAGTACAGTAAGACACGCCACGAGCGAGCGCTGGAAGGGGGTGAGACTCTGTTGGCGCATTTGCGAAACGACACAACTTTGTCAGGGGCGACCTTGAGCCGACTCCTGGATGGGACAAAAAGCTTCGAATTTCGGCATGCAGACTTTCTGCAGACGAACCTCTCTGACGCGACGTTGATTTATACCTGTAGCGCGTGTTTTTCGCCCGAGCTCCTTGACATGCTGCACACCAAAGTGGTGAAAGAGTGTCCGAAGCTGCGATATCTGATTTCGGTGCGGAGGCTCTCCCTACATACGGTTTCGAAAAAGCCGCCTCCTGGCCTGGAAGACAGTCGCAAGCTGCTCGTAGAAAAGTTTGTGGACGACGCTAAGTTTTCCTGGTCTGATCACAGCTACCTGAGATTTTACGCGTTTGAGGAGAGAAACGCGACAAGGGTAGATGCTCCCCCAGTAGCCAAGTCTCTTCCAGTTGGCATTGAGCGCGGGCTTTTGAATGAAGACGATTTCGCTTCGTAAATGGCGCGCGCAGTATTTCGCTCTGGTTTTTTGAGACGCGCTGCAGAAATCGATCACCGTGAAAACTACCGGATCACTCGTGAAATTCTTCTGTTCAGGCAGCCACGGGCAAGCCACCAAGTGCTTTTTTCGATGTCAAAAGATCTACCTTGTGCGACGTGTACAGTACTTACTCATCAAAATGTATGGGCTTGAACTTCATCAAGTTTGACCAATGCACAAGCAGATTCATGAAGTCCTTCCTTTCCGATTTCAGAAATTTCGTGATTCTTGCAGGTTAATAGCAAAAGAAAAAAGACGACATCTACGTCTTTCTACGTCGGTCGCAAAATCTTTTATCTTTCGAATGAGTTTTCGTTACGTGTATATCTCGAATGTCTCTAGTGCTTTCGCTTTGCAAACAAGAAATCAAGCGTTAACATGATCATCGCTTTTTGGCATAACAGCAAAAGCGCGGCCGCATTCGTAACCGGAGCTTTGTTTTTTGGGGCTGCGGACGGAGTGCGCGTCGTAAACTACCATCAAGCTGGAGTTCGTTGGAATGAAAACTACGAAGCGACTACTTCCACCTCATATGCTCCCACACGGGACCATGCACCGAGTACATCAGCGGGAAGCGAAACCAGGATGAAAAAGAAGTCAATATTGAAGCGCAACAAAAAGGATGGCGTCGTGCTCGACCAAGATGGCGCCAAGAGTCAGGATATTATTGTAGACGCAAGCAGTGGGGAATCTCATTTGCGGAAGAATTCAGAAGAAGGTCAGCTGGCGTATAGCCGCGCGGCCGAGCAGGAGGTTCGGTACATCAAGACCTATGGAGACGACAATCTAGACGAATCGCTCCTGCTGCAGCAGATCCGCTCTTACGGTGCTGCGTCTGGCGCGTCAGGCCCCAGTACGGACCAGTCGGTTACTGAGCCAGCAGATTTGTGTACAAAAAGCAGTTGCACACTTAATTCTCCGTGGCTTGTGATGCAACCCCCTCCGGGTTTCGAAGAAGAAGATGCTGCTGCGAGCACGGCGAGATTCGCAGCAGGGGGAGCGGCTTGTTCCCTAGCTCAGTGGCAAGTAGACTCGTACCAGTTGCGATTTCTCCGCGCAACTTGTGACAAGGAAGCGGCAGAGGCGGTTTTATTTTCTGGTGAGGTAGTTGACGAATTTCGAGCGTCGGTGAGCGCCGAGGCAGAGGCGCGGCGCGGGCTTGCGGAGGGGTGCGTGCGACACTTGAATGAGGCCTTGCAGCGGGATCTGATGAAATGCGTGGACTTGTGTCATCGCGTCTTTGAGCGTCTGTTGCTCCAGCAACTGTCGTCCCGATGCTGCCAAACCGCAACGGATAGTGCGCCATCTCAAAGTTCAGCAGCAGCAATTCTAAGTGGTACGTCTCAGCAAGATGAAGAGCAGAGACGTGGGCGGACCGACTCCGGTTGTTTTGACTTGAGCGTCCTGACAGCAACTATTGATAATCTCGAGAAACTCTTGACAGAGGAAAGGGACCAAAAAAAACTGCAAGAGGAACCAGAGGATGTTCAAAATGACCGTATTCAGCAGGGAGGGCGACAAGAAAATTTTGCCGCAGAAGAACGTAAAAATAGCCTGGGCTCAGAGGACGTTCCACCGGACGTCTTTGATGCTGCTTTCACAGCGTGCCACCGCTGTCCTACAGGGTCGATGCAATTGTGTCCGCATCTGTTCGCGGCGGACGGCCCGCAATGGTGTCCTGGCCGGGACCAGGGCTGTTTGTTTGCACACAACAACCAAGAGGTAGCCGAGTGCTGCGAGTGGAAGCGGAATATGTGCCAGTCAGAACAGTGTTCGCAGGACTTCTTCACGCGGTATTATATTGCTTTTTTGTACAGCTGCTTTTTATTTTTTTAGGCATGATGCGCATAATCATAAAAGAATGCGGATTTGAAGAAAAGGACCGCAACCAAGCTGATCGAGAAGCGATCTCGGATTCGCTGTTGAGATGCGAGGTGGAGTTGTTTTGTGAAATGGTGTGCATCTGTGAAATCTCTATCACAGCATCAAGTGTCCGCACATCCACTCACGGGAATGGTTTTTGTTTGGCGAGGCCGGTAGACGGGAAGACGCTGCAGTAGATCTGCCCGCACTTTACTGCGCCTTCCTGACCCAATGCGTTCTACCCGATCTCGAGTCTGTGTGCATGCGTAGCGCGCAGCAGCGGCAGGCGCCTTGTCGTGTGCATTACAGGAACAACGACGAGCACATGCACAGGCAGAACGAATTATTGCGCAGCTACGTCGCTGATTTTTGTGCTCCGGGAGACCAGGCGGCGCACTTCATGAGGACTCAGTTGGCGCAGGTTCTGCTGCTTTGGCCATGGGAAGGGGTTTCGTTGCGGCACGATTGGCACCGTGCACTTGGCTGGAACTTGCGCAAAACGTGGGACCGGGCTCGGAAGTTGAAGTTGAAGAGTAAGCATTTCGCCGGCTCTCCCAGCAATGCTTGCTAGTTGTGACGTGGTCCCGATGGGAAATGTGTATCTCAAAAATTTGCCGTCATTGAATCGTGATAGCCGACAAACTTGCACTTTCTAATCAGCTTGACGAGCTTCAGCGGAATCATGGTAGTTTTTCATAGGCAGGACGCGTGTGCCAATGGTGTAACTTGAGACGGCGTCAGCAGAACGATCGTGGACTTACGCTCGTACTTGTTGTGATTAGCGTCAGCGTCCCGCGTGTAGTATGGTGGGGAAATCAGATCTGATGGTTTTGACAGAGCTATAACACTTGAGAGTCATCAAATGTGCGTTGGTGTATTTTCACGTCGTAGTGCACATAGTGTAGTGCAATCCCAATGGCTGCTTCGTGTTCGCATTGGTTCCTCATCGACTTTCCTACCGTTGGAGCTGTTCACACAATACTGTTCAACTTCATTGTAATAGATTCAAGTACTTCGGCTGCATAGGTACTGCAGATGAGTCAGTACGATCAAAACAAGCGCGAGTTCCTGTCTTTGCGGCGTTCATGTGAATTTGATGTCTTTCCGGCCTATTATCTATCAAGTGTGTTTGCTCTCTTTGGTCACTGAAGCTCCCCGCTTTATGATTCGTGCAGGATCGTTTTACAACGATGGTTGAACTTTTTCAGGATCCCCTTTGAAGGCACTTTCTTGCAGCACCTTTATGGCATTTACATTTTTTCCACAGTCAAACAAGCAGCTACATGTGAGCAGATACCTCTATACGAAAGCCACTGGGACAAGGACAATCAGCATTTTGTCTCTGTAAAGCATGTTTATTCATCCTATCGCATAGAAGTGCAGCTCGTGGCTGTGGGCGTGCTACTGCTACAGCTCTAACCATTTTTCCCGATGATGGCGATAGACGGCAACGATCCGACGAAGCCCGGCACTTCCGGCGGTGGCTTTTCCGCGCCACCAAGTGCGGGCTCGGACCTCGGGAAGTACAACCAGATGAGCTTCACGCCCCCGAAGACGAGCGGGAGTAAGGATTACGACACCGCTGACTTTTCCAAGTTTACCAGCAGTGTGCGGGAATCGGATGGGCTTAGTGATGACTACTACAGGGCTAGTTACCAGAATCAAGCGCAAACAGCCGGGTCGCAGCCCAGCATGCTCAACAACTTTTACAACTCGTTGCCGCCACGCGCACGGGGGTGCTTAAACGCGATCGGCATGGGCGCGCGCATGGGAGCGGCGGTGGGTGGCTGTTTTGGCTTCCTCACAGGAGCCTATGCCAGGTACTTGAAGTTTGCGTTGTAGTCCACTGTTCAAAACGGCACAACTTGTTGGTCTGAACCACAGATGACTGAAACAGAAAGAAAAAAATCATTTTTCTTCATCAAAATCGCAGTGTGGTGCACCGCAACGTGCTTTTGCTTCCCGTTGGGGTGCTTGGTGGGGCTGCGTCTTTCGGCTTTTTTCTGGGGTGCGGCATGATAATTCGCTGCGATGAGAGAGGGAGAATAGAAGTCGTCCGTCAGGGTTCATTGCGAAGCGGAACAGTATAATCTGCTGATTGGTTGTGATTCTCAAGTCGGAGCTCTTTTTTTTGCGGGCACTATTTTTTTTCGCCTCCAAGCAACGTTTTTCAAGTAGGTTGGCTGGGAAAGAATGAGAAACTGAATTTTTTTGGTTATCACAGGGCGTGCGGTCTACCTACCGAAGTGGAAGCAATGGGCTGCTACACTTTTCCAGAAATAATGCCGCAGCTGCGGGGGAACAGCGGTCACTCTCGCGTTCTTATCCTTTTTGGCTCGGCGGAAAACGCACCCCGCACGGAGTGCCACACCAGCGACAGGAAGTCCATGCGGTTTTAGAATGTGACACAGCAGTAGAGCAAGTAGCCGAAGCCCTTCGCCGACGCTTCACTTCTATATCAGAGCCGCAAGAAGCGACTTCGAGTCAGTTCCTTGTCGCGACCGATCAGAGAAGCCTGCGAGCATCAATACCATCACCAAGTAGTGCGTTGAACCTCTAAGATCGAAATCTGACAGCGAAAATCGCAGCTCACAGAAAAAGAAAAACATAATGATTCAAAATTTTACCACTACCGTTCTTAAATTTCACCACAAGAAATGCAATGGATGCTTTGCTCACTTGCTTTCAACTCGCAGCACAACTGCAACGAATGGATGCTCAGAAAGATGTGGACAAATTTGAAATCATCAAAGCTAGCCACTCTTATGGTGGCCTGAGGATCTTACAGCAGCTCTGAAAATTCCCTGCGCGCTATTCAGGCGTGATTTCTCCCTGCCATTCTCAAGTTACCAAAACAGTCTCACAGGAAAAGAGACGCGCAAGTGCGTGAAAAAAGGCTCTGACTGTTCTACATTGTGTCAAGCAAGAACAACAACGATCGCACTTGGATATTATGAGTTCGTCCACGCAACAATTCTCAGCGCAGCGACATGGCTTTCTAGAAATTTTTCTTGGAACTACTGATGAGTCAATGTTTTCACTCTCAAAAGCAAGGACTCGCAATGATGTGTGTAAACACAGAACGAGCTTATAAAGTCCAATTTCCACTGCACCAGCACGGCGTCGCTAGATGCGCTGACGAACTTTTGAATCTTTATCGTCTGTTAGGTAAAGAGAAAGACTCGCAAGAACTACGCGAGGAAGTGATTCACGCTAATCAGAACTGTCGTGCTCCTTCCAAGCGTTCGCGCGTCCTCATTCTCAGCGACAAGGCGAGTAAGTCAGATTCTTGTGAAGAAGGTAGTACCGGACACCGAGTCTCAGAGCTTCTGTTGGAAAAAGATATCAGCACTGATTTAAAAGATGCGTGCGAGTCCTCGCGCGGACACGTCGCTGTCTAATGACGAAGAGGACGAGATTCTTTTCATGCGTAAAGCATTGGAAAAGCATCGAGGGCGGAAGGTGCTAAATACCGGAACCCAACAGGTACAGTTTCGCTGTAATTGATGAACTTTTCTTTGTTTAATCTCGTATGGGTGCATGCTGCGCTGCTTCCTGTGGTCAACACATAGTGAAACGTACCATGACACAACTGAAACAGGCACACCAGGGTGCACGTCGGGAACAAGCGAAAAATACGAGAAGCAGAAGACCGCAACGAACGGGGCGCAGCTCACCTTCCGCCAGTTGTAGCGATCGTGGCTCGAAAGAAAAAACATCCAAGCTCCGATCCCGACGCGGCGCAGAGGACAAAACTACCGGTGGGAGAGACCCTGAAGCTAGAGCAGAAGATGTAGAAGTTGCAGAAGATTTTTCCTCATCGCGAAGGCAACGTCGCGAACAGAACAATTCCGAAAATTCCGGCAGTAGAAAACAGCGAGAGCAGACCACTTATAAATTTCAGCGAAGCCCCCGACGAGGACCATCGCGGGACCAGGCCCCCGAAGAGGACGTTTACAAGAGGCGCCGACCGCGCGACGTGTCTCCCCGCCGAGGAGGGGAACAAGGCAATAGTAAGCGTCGCATCGTGGACGGTGGCAGAGCAGGAGAACGTAGTCCACCAAGTAGGAGCGCGCGAAGAGCGAATGCGCGAGCGGAAAGAAGTACTGGAGAAAAATCACTGACGAGTAAAAATAGGAGGCGGCGGAGTAAAAATTCTGGACGGCACGACGTTGCTGTGCCAAGTACTTCAAGTCACGACAGAAGCTCCTCGACTAGGAACAAGGAGCAGAGCAAGGAACGCAGTAAAAACCGCGCCACCAAGCTGCAGAAGCAGTCTGTGAGCAGCTCTTCGTCTAGTTCGCCTTCCGCTGCGTCCTCATCTTCCAAAAGGAGAGAGCAACAAATAGAACGGACAAGAAAGGAGCACGAAAAGCGCGAGCGACAGCGCCGCATCGCGGAGATGAACAATTTGAGCGACTTATCCTGTGTAAAAACGTCCCCACACCATAGCTGTCATGCAAATCTGCATGCTTAAAATGTTTCTCATGCGGAGCCCCATGAGCAGCATTTTCCCGTCGTGTTTTGCAATTTGTAATGCTCCAATCAGCGTGGTATGCTAGATCTGTGATGCTGCTGAGGTAGCTCAAATAGCACTACACTACGGATCCAAGTTTGTCATGCAAAACAGCCAAAGCTTGTGGATTTGTCTAGCCGATTCCCCAACTTGACTCTGGTGTGGGTACGTTTTTACTCAGGATACGACTGCTCTGTCGAGGGACGCCGCGACCGCGCAAAGCGGCTCGCCCTGGCTGCTGCCAAGCGGAAGCGCGAGCGGAATAATAGTTCCTCGGATCTGCGAAAGAGTAGGAAAAGAAAAAGGCGAGACGAAGTTAATTATACCATGCGGTCTTCCTCGCCGTCGTCCCGGAGGTCTTCCAGTCTGGATGGCGAACAGATCGACGACGCGGAGCTCCTGGAAAGCCGGCCGCACCCGGAGGGCCGGCACCCACGCCTCGCTGTGTACATCCCGGAGGAGGAGTGGCGGGCGCAGCCGGGCGAGGGGGCGGACTTCCTCACGGCCGTCGTGGGTCCGGTCTGGAATAACATGGTGACGCGCAGACTCGTTCGTGAAAGAACCGACAACAATGTGCCGCGGCTACTCGCGGCGCGAAAACCGACCTGCGCGGACGACAACTGCAGGGGAAAGAGGCAAGAGTTCCACCCACCATCTTGGATGATCGACGAAGCGAAGACAAGTAGAATAAAACTTGTTCGACTATACTTTCGTGATAGAGAAGATGTTGAAAATCTTGTTTGCATCGATAGATACCTATTTCAGCTTGCCATTCATGAAGCAAACTTTGGGCGTCGTGTGTGCCCGCGCACCATCAGAGAAATGAACATTGTCACTTGATGTCGTAGTTTTCGCTCACAGAGTTCAAGTCGACAATGCACCAGTAGGAATAATAATTTCTTCCTCTTTCCAAATCACCCACAGGTGGTGAGCGACGCGTGTACCGAAAGCTGATTTTCCAGCACATTCCCCCGTTCTACATGCGGCACGCGCTGGCGCAGCTGTACAAATATGTGACGCACGTGCGGCACATCAACGGGGCCTTGATGTGGGCCGACAGCGATTTGGTCGAGAGTTTCTTCGGCGAGGACGAAATCCTGGAACGCCGCCAACAGCGCGAGCGCGACGGATTGCCGTCCCGCAGCGGCCCGCCCAGCCGGCATTTCATCCCTCGCGACGAGGACGGGAACCCCCTGGGCAAGGAGGCGGCCGCGCGGAGGATCAAGGAGTTGGAAGACAGCTGGCCCGCCCGGTCCTACGAGCTGCTGAGTCCAAAGAAGCGCACGCCCTCAGATCCCGGTACGGACTACGAAATGCGGGACGAGGAAATCGTGGAGGTCAGACGAGGACGATTAGACATTCCGGCTGCTTGCTCCAGCGGCACGGAAGCTGATGATCGCAGAGGGAGGACGAGTGCGGCGGAAGTAGATGAAGTCGACAAAAAGGAAAAGAGGCGGACAGTATTAATGAGTGACCACGACGAGAAAGGCGCGGCGAAAGCGAAAGCGAAACGAAGACGCAAGGCGAAGTCGGAATCTTCCTCCGAGGGCAAAAATTCTCCCGCAGCGGAAGTAGTAGAACAATCGGCGGAACATCTCCAACACGCAGAGCAAGAAGAAAGCAGCCCTGCTGCAGCCTCTTGTTCTCAGGAACGCAGTAAATCTGAGCGGGTACTACAACCAGAGCAGGAGAGAAGCAGAAGGAGCAGAGAAGAGGACGAGGCATCAAATGAGGATGCTCAAGAACGACTTGTAGAGGAGGAGCCGGGGAGTACTAACAACCAGGAGCATGATCAGTCCGAGCGGCGTCGAAGAACGCGGAGCGAGGATTCGAGATCCTCCTCTTCGCACAGCAGGCACTCTTCGTCGCGAAGGCGGAGCAGCGGAAGCAGAAGTGCTGTCGAAAGGAGTAAAGCTGCCTCGTCTCGGAAGGGGAGCGAGCGAGATCTTGCTGTCGAAGACATTTTTGACCGGGAGAGAAACCGCGGAAGCTCAAGTGACGAGGAGAAAAGCGAAGCAAAGAAGGAGGAGAGGAGCCGGGGTAAGAGGGATCACAAATCGGCATCACGGCGTGAAGACCGCGGGGACAAAAAATCACAGGATGAGAACCGTCGATCTCGGTCACGGTCAGAGTCTTCGCATTCTTTGTCAAGGCACAAACCTTCGCAAAAAAAAAACCACGAGCGCAGCGGGAGACGACAAAACAGCAAGTCTTCGAAGAGCAAACACAACAGCAGAATTTCGCACGAACGCAGTCGCGGCAGTGGCCGAAGTGGAAAATCTTCGCAAAAGGAAGAAAGAAGTAAAAATTCGCGGAGGGTGCCCTCCGACAGGCCGTCGGACCATAATGACGTTCAGCGGCCTGCAGAGAAAGGGTTTGGTTCAAAAAGTCGATCCTCGAAAATACCAAAATCGAAGGAAAACATCAATAAGGAAGAGCCGAGAAGTGCGAGCGCCTCCTCGTTCGCGGCCTGTTCTTCCTCGTCCGCAGCTGAGAATTCGTCCGTCGTGCGGGCGAAAGCCAAGCTGCGGCCTTTTCCAACAAGAGCGACGAGATCTGGCGCGGTCGTGGGTCCCCCGCCTGCCGCCGCCGCGTCTGGGTTGCGGCCGTTGCCGAAAGACGCCCTCGCTCGCAGCAGCCTGAACCGGGCCGCGGCCGGGACCAAGACGAGACCCAAGTTAAAGCCTTGGAAGGGGAACGAGCGATTACCCGTACAGTGTGAGATGAACCGAAAGGAGGTCGCCAAAGTACGAGGCGCTATACCTGCGGCCAACAGTTGTACCGTCGTGGAGCCACAGGTTTCGGTCGATAACGAGGACGCAATCAGCACAAACGTTCGGTCGTCTGGCGGCACGAAGGATGACAGCGACGTCGAACAGGACCTGGAGGACGCCAGAGGAGCAGGTACAGAGCAAGGGGAGGACCCACAAAGCAGTAAGAATGAGGGCACTGATGGTGCTTCCAAGAAGCGTCGAAAGATTTCTTCGGAACCGATCCAGCGACCCAATCTGCAGAAGCTAGACTCGACCTGCTTCTCGACCACGTCTAGGGAGGAGAAGAGGGTGGAACAAAGGGATAAGACAGAAACTACTAGACATAATCGCAATTACAACAACCGCAGGCGGGAACAAAGCAGACCGCGCGCGCCTCCGAAACAAGTTATCGGCCGGAGTCGGTACGACGAGGAGATCAGGGCGGAAGAGAGGCAGTTACGAAACAGTCGAGAGGGAGCAAAAGACGGGGACCCCAGCCCGCATGCACCACAGAGTGTGGACATTCCCATTTCTGAACTCGGATCAGGAGACCATGACAACACGAAGCTGGACCCGCACTCTCGCTACTGCTCGAGTGGCCGAGCGCCTCGGCGAGGAGAGCCAGGCAAGACACTGCAAAAGCGCGTTTCCAGTCGCGAACGCAGGAACAACAACATCAACAAGGTTGTCGTCGCCCCGCGAAACGGCCGCAGTGCGTCGCGAAGCGCGGCGAGGGGGCCCAACGTCAACCGGTCGCGCTCTCGGTCACGGAGAAACACGACCCACGGTCGCAGTAAGGGTCGGCGAGTCAGCTCGCGGTCCCGTGGGCGGCGTGGTGAGCGTCGGGGGCAACGTAACCGACACAGTAGCAGAGACAGAAATCGGTCGTCGTCTTCGTCGGCCACGGGAAGTAGCGGCACCGGTGCGGGGAAGGCGTACGAACTCTCCGCCGACGAGTCGCTGTCCGACAGTCGCAAAAACCGCAACCGCCGGCGACGCCGGAACAATGATATTCGCACCAACCGGTCCGCAGACAGCGGGCGAGAGCGACGGGAGGACACAATGAAACAGGGCACGAAGACAGAGCCCGAAAGTACTAAGGCAACCGACACGAAGGAAGAGCCAGTCCACCCCATTCCAACGGCGTTTGCAATGTATTGTGACCTTTTGTTTTACTTGCTCGCGGCGCGTGAAGAATTTTGGAACTATTAAACAAGCGTTTTGGAGCGCAGTTTATGATACTAGAAGATTTTCTTGTGTTATTGTTCGTCAAATTATTCAATCATCAAGTACTCTGTCGCTGTCCGAGAAGAACGATGACTGCGCTGCAATACATAGCTACGTGCAGAAGTTTTCTCGTACTAATTTCTTGACTCTCCTGACCTCGTTTATGTTCGAATGGAATGCCACCCCCCGAAACGATCATGATGTTTAACTTTTACAGCTCTTCAATCGTCTCTCCCACCTCGTCTGCATCGGCGCAGCTGACAGATGCGCACCGGGTGGCGGAGATCAACAAGGTGATCAAGGTGCGCATGAATCCCATGGAGAAAGCGCCGCACTGCCGGATTCTGCCCTGGCCGCTGCGAACCGCCGGCGTGCTCATCGGGAAGAAGGGCGACCAAGTGAAGCAGTTCTGCAAGAAGGTCAAGATGAATTGTTCCATCACCGTAGCAGCGGATCACACCGCCTACTCCAACGTGAAGCGGCGTTTCCTGCTCACCGAGAACCTGGTCGGCAAGACGCTCCCCGAGCTGCGGTTGCGGGGCGCGCTGGCCGAGGAGACGGGTGAAATCGGGTCGACCATCGTCGGGGGCGGTCTGGTCGTCATCCAGGGGAAAACGATGGAGGCCGTGCTGGCAACAGTGCAGGCAATCCAGGCGTTTGCCCGCGAGACGGCGATCAACCAGTCGAATCTGCTGGTACTGATTTTGCTTGCTGACAAGCTGAAAATTATTTTCCATTTTCATGACAACTGACAGACTGCGCTTAGCTCGTTGACGTGAAAGATCTACATGGTTAGTGCATGTGAGTGAGTTCTTTTGTACGTCGTCCGTAGAGTGGCACGAGGGTGTCCAAAAATAGCTCCTTTTTATTCATCATCAAGACAATGCTTGCTCTTAATCCACGACAGCGTCAAGCTATCACCGATGCCAAGGGAATTATTACGGAGCCAATAATCGAAGAGGTTCGGTATTGGACTGGCGTGCAGGCTGAGCGCACCAACTCACACGAAGTGCTCGTAAAGCACAGCGACGCCAACCGGCTGCAAGAAGCTGTGAGGGCTTTCGAAGACGTGCTGCGCATCGCACCGACGCAGCCCGGTACTTACGGATACGCCTTTTTTCGCAGTTTTTGATTGTGTAGCCAATTGCTGTTTTGCCTCCGTGCGATCATTTACTTGTAAGTATCTCACACGCACGACATCGAGTGATGCTTACTTTACATACGATACGGTAGAAGGTACTTGTGTGGAAATGATAACTCATCCTTCCACTGCAGGTGACGCGGCGAACCTGATCGAGCACACCGCCTTAGGAGCGTACCTGCTGGAACAGACCGAAATTTCCCCTACCAGCCGCAAAAGCTCGAAGCACGAAAAAGCGAAGAAGAAATCCTTCCTCGGGGGAGCGGCAGGAGATGCGGCAAACAGCAGTTCTGCGCGCGCAAATGCCAAACCGACCGCGGCAGCGACCGTGGTGTTCACACCGGTTGCAAGTGCAACCCCTGCGTCGTCAAATCGGCCGGAGAACATCAATGGAGCCAAGATGAAGTCCTCTGCCACTTCCCCTCCGTGTACTTCCAAAGCGGCACCGACCCCGACACTCTCTACGTCAACCTTTCCCGCCATGAAAAAGGCACCCCAAGTCGCAGCACCACCCGTCAGTAACTGTCCCCTGCGACCTTTGGTGCGAAATGCTGTTCCCAAAGCCGCGGTATTTTTTATTCTGGTGGCCCTTTTCGTTTTACAGCACGAGCTGTTTTACAGTTTTCAAAAAGGAATAAGTGAAATTGAGAGTTTGATTGCACATCAGTGCTCATCTAGCGAACAAAGGTCATTCTTTCATTCTGTCATCACCACATTACAGGTCGGTACAACTACGCTGCAACCCAGTCTGGCGTCCTTCGGTCGGCCAACGCCCAAACACAACCTGCGACCACTGACGCCCGGAATGTTCCAGCCGCCGGAGGCGCTGCCGGACAGCATCAAACTTACGGGTCCGTTCGACTTGGACTCATCCTCCAAGTCGAACACAAATGATGAAGCCGCAAGAGGACCGGGAGAGGGACGACAGACGTCCGCAAGTGAGGCAGCTGCGAGAACGTCAGGTTCATCATCATCCACCGACAAGAATCCTTCGGTTCCCGCATCGTCTACAGGCGGCCAAGTACAAAAACAAACTGGAACTACCGTAGACAATAAAAGCGCCCCAGTTGTTGGTTCTACCTCTGTGCCTACAGCAGGCGGTGCGAACCAGCAAGGCTTCGAGCCCAGCCCCTTCGACACCGCCGATAAAAACGCGATCAAAAAAGGGAAATTCACGACGGAACAGCTCCGCGAGGCTCTGGACTACGACGATTTGTGATTCGATCGCTACCTACATTTTGTGCTTATTGCACCGAAGGTCCGGGAGAGGACTCGGCGAAGACTTTTTGAAAGAGTTTTTAAAGCTGCTGCATGTTGAAGAACCTGCTATGGATTTGCACGTGCTTTTCATATGACAAAAAATGTACACACCAATAAAACGATGAAATATTTTGCTGATGATTTCTTTGATGAAGCAGATCGATCATGATCCTGGAACAAAAAGTGTATCAATGTCGCACGGTATCCCCGTCGAAGAAGTCTCATTTTGAAAAACGACACGCGCCTTTCACCGAGAAAGAAAAAGTATAGTTTGAAGTATTAACAGTCCTGTGTGCGAATTTATGCGGTGAAGCACCACGTAGTAAGTAAAAGTTTTATCGATTAGTCATGAGACGCCGCGGCATGACCTTCTAAGTACCACCATCTTATTTTTGGGGTGCCGAGATTGCAGAGAGCTATTGAATGCTCAAAAACTATGCGCTGAGAAGTGTATCTCTGTTCTGTATCGAAGCGCACAACAAAGTTCAAGCACAAGGCAGTTCGTATCGGTGCACAATCTAAACGTAGATGTACAAGCTTCGGTCTTTTCAATGAAACCGCGGAATTCGGTTTGTTGCAAGCTTTGATGCATCATCTATACTCGTACCGGATGTACCAGGTACTATTTTTTTGCTGTTTCGGTGTCTCGTGAAAAGCAGATATTGCGGTCGGTTGATGTGTGTCCCTTGAATAAGTGCAACATCGTCCGGTAGAAAGACCAAATCGTTCTGTGCCGCTCGTCCTCTCCCTCACCTCATCGTGCACTAACATGTTGCATCGTCCTTCAAGATGTTGTCGTCCTTCAAGTCATACTAATGTAGCTTTTCCTCCTGCTGTAATGGTGTACAACATAACACGCCGTCGCCATTGAGAAGTATAGTACTTTAAGAGCTAATGATAACAGGAACACTCTTTTTCCCCATTTTTCCTATACATTTAGACATTCGTATTCTTTATTTTCTTACCCCAAATGATATAAAGTAAAATCGCACCTCCTGCTCATGATTTTTACGCGTTAGCAGCGACTTTCAAAATTTCTCTGACCCGATCATGCACTCGGATATTTCCGGTTTTCCCGGCTGTTGCACATTTGTAGGTGGTTCCGCTCGACATATTACTACAGTTGCAGGGCGATAGTTTTCCGATCGACCAGGAGGTGTCAGCATGCCGCTTTGCTGCTGCGGCGGATCGGGACCCCGGTCTGGTGCTCTGGCGCCAGCCGAGCTGGAGCGGCGAATCGAGCTTCTGAAAGGGGTAAAATTGTTCGCGAACATGCACCGCCATGAGCTCGAGCATGTAGCGAGCGTGCTTACCGTTCGGCGCTTCCGGAAGAACGCCGCCATAATCCGAGAAGGCGCTAAAGGTGCGGACTTCTTCATAATCGACAGCGGTGAGGCACTGGAGGTTGACGTCATCGATGACGACGAAGAGGAGGAGGAAGCGGGCCCCCTCGATGCTATCAGGGCCTCCCTCTTTGGCGCTCTGAGTCAAAACAGTCCAGTGGACAAAACGAACGCTCCAAATGCAGCACAGGTTGAAAAAACAGAAACGCCTCCGCCGCAGTTACAACAAAATCAACAGACGAAGAATGGTGAAAATAATAAAGCTGCGGTGGACCTTCACATAAAGCCAGGTGGTTGTAAAGAACTACACCATGCGCACACGCATGTGGAGAAGATGCAGTTCGGTCCCGGCTCCTACTTCGGCGAGCGCGCGCTGCTTCGACCAGAGAGCAAGAGAAAAATTAGCGTTAAAGCACTGACACAGTGCAGAACGTACATGCTGCACGCGGACGACTTTCGCACGGTCATACACGAACGGAATGTGCGAGAAGAGCTGGTCCGAGGCTGTCACTTGTTCGAAACGTGCAACGAAAAGGAGGTTGCGGCCATCGCCGGGGCCTTGCAGCGGGAAAGCTATTCCGCAGGGGACTCTGTCCTGCGCCAAGGAGGGGTGGCAGACTGCATGTACATAGTGGAAAAGGTAGAGCCGTTTTTTTTTTCAGCACTTGAATTTCTTTTGTGGCATAGGTTTTCATGGTCAAGCAAGCTACAGAGCAGCATTTTTTTACTCGTTCTAATTTCAACCGTTGCCGATAAAACAAAAACACATCTTCAGGGCGAGTGTGTCGCTTCAATCCAGGCGGAGGACGGGGTCTCCAGCGACGTGGCAACCTACACGTCCGGCGGGTTGTTCGGCGAGCGCGCGCTGTTAGAGAAGGACGCGAAGCGCGCCGCTTCGATTCGCTCGAGCACGGAGTCGCTGCTTTTACGGTTGGATCGGAGTGACTTCGAGGGCAGACTAGGGTCCTTGGAAAACCTGCACGCGCAACACTACCTGACCGACCCGCGGCGGCTGCTCGCGGATTTCTACGCGTGCGGCGGGACCAAGGGGCCCAAGGGGTGCTACAAGTATGAGCCCTCTCTGCGAGGCACCGGGTTTGACCCGGTCGACAAAGCGGTGCCGGCCAGCGAACCGAAGACGGAGTGGATCGTGATCTACCGTCCCTGCAGCCGGGACTCGATCGCGAAGATGCTGGGGCGCGTGGGCGTGGGCAAGGGCCTGAACGTGAAGGGCAAGAGCGCGAAGAAAAATCGGCTGAGCGGGTTTGTGCCCTTCATCCAGATCTCTGACAACGCGCACAAAGCCCGCGTCGAGCCCGCGCCGCCGCGGAGCCGCATCCACATTTTTTACCGGTCCGCGGAGGACCGGGCTGCGGCGGAGTCCGCCATGCACGCGCTCCTTCACGAGCCCGATTTCGCCGCCAAGCTCGCCAAGGCGTTCCGGCCGGCGGGAGGAAGTTCCTCTTCTGCGGGGGGGAATAATAAAGACACGGGCGCGTCGAAGGACACGAATGCCTCGGGCAACAATGCAGGGGCGGGGTCCACCTCCCCCTCTTCTGACAAAGACAAATCAGCTACTGTCGACGTGATGGCCTTGGTTCGCCATTTGGACGACTATATCGAGTGCTCCAGCGCGTATGGACTCGACGTGCCGGAGCTGCTGTTGCGGGAGGTATACATAGAGCGACACGACATCAGCCCCATGCTGGGTTGGGAGACGGGCAGAGTATCGGAGCCGGCTTTCATGGATATGAACCTCCATGCAGTGCGCGACCCGCAAGGACTGCCGCGGTAAGATATGATAGTCTTATGTGAAAATCACGGTTTTTCCTTTGAAGTTCGAGTTTCACAATCTCTCTTTTGGGTTTCTGTGACTGTGTCGCTTTTTTTTTTATATTTCGATTCGTCGAGACTTTCCTGTCTTGCGATATTCACGATCAAACATGTTGTGTTTACATACGACGTATCTGAGTCTGATGCGTGATGAAGACGTAGATGATCAAAAAACACTCGCACAGTGCCTGCGTTTTGCAGCATGACCTGGCGGACCCGCTGAACCCCTTGGGATTGCTCGTCGCCTATGAAGAAGCGTGTGTCCACCCGGTGGTGAGCGACTTTGACACTCTCTTGATCGCTTCTCGGGGTCCCATCAGCTACGACGCTTTGCCTGCCAAGCAGGTGGAGCTGCAGAAGTGGTGTCTGCAGCAAACGCGGCAGCTACTCGAAACGCAGGCGGCGGACGACGCGGCCGGGCGCACGTGCAAGAGCTGGACCTCCAACTGGCTGCAGGTTTTGACCGCCGCTTGCGAACAGGGGAACTTCAATCCGGGGCTGCCCACCTACGGCTTCGGGGACCCGACATCCATCGACATCATCGCGAAGACGGTGGCCGCAATGGCGGAGTGCGGCGCCGTACGGCACGGCGCCGAGTGCTTTAACTTTCTGTTTCCGCAGGAGCAAGACGACCAGTATCTCGTGATCTGGGACAAAGATGGAGGAGACAACATCACGGACGGCGCGAAGACTTCTGCCGCTGGGACTACAGCTCCCGCATCGGGGATACCAACGTCACATCAAGGCGGCCCACCGAGCAGGACCAAGCTATGCATTGCAAAAGCATCGCACTAGTATAAATCGCAATACAAATCTTCTCAGAAGGAAAAATGAAGTTTGTAATGCTGATTTGGCTAACAAACAAGATTTGTCATGCATCATTGCAATTAATACGAGTGCGATATTTTTGCAGAGCATACAAGCCGACGAAAAGCAAGTCCTGGTTTTCGGTCACCGAGCCGGAGTTGCGGGCCTTTTTGGCCGACCGCGTCGCGGACGGGTTTGTGTTCCCTTTGAATCCCGCTTGGCCCGCGCGGGACCCGGTGGCCTGGGGCCCAATCTGGCGGGCGCTGCAGGGGAGCGAGGCCGCGCAACAGGCGAACCAGTCTTGGTACAGGCAGGAGATCGTCGACATTGTTGAGGAGCTGATGAAAACGTATCCCGAGGGGTTTCGCTCCGCCACGTCTGCGGCCAACGCGGAGAAAGCAACCGGTTCGGCGGCCCCAGCGGGGGTGCAAGACGCCTCCGCGGGGGCACGACCGTCCCAGACAGCCCGAGACGAGGACCGGCAAGGGGACGAGGTGGCGTCGATGGTACACCACCACATGCAGATGTCCCGGCAAAAACGGATGAAGCGCATCCGCACGCAGTTGCTCATCGCGCTGCGGCAAAAGGCGGCGGCAGATGCTGCACGGGAGAGGGCGGGAGCGGGGGCGCAGACGTGAGTACCTAGAACTCGATAGAGAGCAATCGAATCACACGAGTTGCTTGACCGGGAACGGCGCAAGAGGGGAGGCAAAAGTGCGGTGTTGCTTTTTTATTTGAAAAGTATGCATTGTGTGTGTGCGTGTTCTTCGAACACGAGATAAGCAACGTCAAATCTAGCCACGTCTCACGGTTGCTGTCGCAGCGGACGTGAGAAAAGATCGTCTGATTCAAAACCCAGAAAAATTTTCAATTTTCCGGCATGGCTGTTCCATGTTTTTCTTTTTCTCTCGTGCAGAACCAACCCCAAAGTACTGAATTCCCGTCGGTGCAAATAAGGCAAGGATTTTTTTCGGTTTGGCTGCCGAGCCCTCGTCTCCCGTGCTGACTACGAAGTGACACTTCTCGTAACTCGGTTTTCAGGCTGCCAGTGCTCTACTTCTATCGTTCAAACAATCCTCCTACGTCGTACCAGTGCCTTCGGTTGAGCCTCGAAACTAGTTCAGTTCGGTCGAGGCTGTCTTGAGCGTGAAAAACCGCCCTGTTACTCGTACTACAGGACACTTTCCTTCACTTTCGTACAACTGAACAACCTGGCTGTCGTTGTCTGGAATCGTTCAAGGTCTGTCATCTTATCCATGTCACTGACGAATTTGTTAACACGCTAACCAATCAAAAACCCACCACCAGGACTTGCCCTTGTGCGAATCCTTGATTTTACTGCATTCTGACAATAACTAATCCTTCTACTTGTACTTACACACGTTGTAGCACACTAAAATACAAAGAATTTTCGGCCACATCAACGACTCACGCACTTTTCTCGAGAACACATCAAAAGGTCGCTTTTTAACACGACGAATTCGGGATGCAAGTACTCGCATAAACATACTGTTTTACACTATTTTTTTTACGCCTACCGCTTTGAAAATTGTAATTTTACAACATTTGCAACAACACCACTATCGATTTTTCCAAGCCTATTTTCAATCATTTTCTCCAACCTTTTTCTTATTTCAATAAGACTCTTTTCCTCGCCAACTGTTTCTGATTATTTTTCCCTTGTGTCAAGTTACACCATGAAACAGACATCAAAGTCTTTCCGGCTGCGCATGCGCACGCTCGTGGCTGGTATCGTTCTTCTGCACGAGGCGCGGACGGGCGCAGCGCGCGACTTTCTGGAGAAACGAAAGCCTCAGAAGCAGCACGTTTCGCCAGATGAGGACTCGGGTCCGTCGCCGACACCGGGATCGTTCTCGTCGTGGTTGTCGAAGCGAGGCATCAGCTACGCCACTTTGATGGGCCACGGCAGCGACGGCTTCCTTGCTCGCACCAAGAAGTGGGGGGAAGAAGTCAACAAACCTCGCCTACAGGAGGCGGCAAAAACCACGGCTACCGCCGCTGGTGGCGGGGATCCGGCGCCGCTCGAAGGCGATGCAGTAGTGCAAAAATCTCTTCCACCAAAGCGTGCCGAGGATTCCGACGAAAACGAACCCGAAGCAGATCACGCGAGCGGCTGCGAAGGTGAGGCGCACCAACTCGGCCTGGCGGAGAGCGACGTCACGACGATGGGGCGCGTGGAGGCCGCGGACTCTTCTTTTTTGGAAGCAATCCAGCCCAACGAAGAGCCCGAGCCGTCCGGCCAGCAGTTACAACAAGGAAGCACGTTATTCGGCGGGGACGACAGGATGGGGCCTGGTGACCGGGCGCAACCGCTCATCCCTGCGCCCAATTTTCCCGAAAATGATAAGGCGCTGACGATCAAGCAAAGCCCGGCGATAAGCGTGCCGCAAGCGGAGTACAACTACCGCAGCGCGGCGCAGTTGGCCGGACAGGAGTCTGAGTTTTTGGAGCCCGTCGCCTGGGTACAGGACGCGAACGGAGTGCTCCACGTCACGCGCCAACCGCGAATGCTCCACGGGATGTGGAAAATGAAGATTCAGGACGGTATGCGGCTGCAGGCGCCGCACCTGCTGCCGGGATGGGAGTACCTGAACCCAGACATTATGCCCCCGCGGTACCTGGTGCAGCACGTCCCCACGCAGAGGAACGAGGGGTGCATCGGCCCCCAGCCTTCGCTCGACGTTCTGGCGGCCAAGCGCGCGGAGGTGGAGAGGGGGCTCCAAACGCACGCGCAGAAGCTCATCGAGTTCTCTCACCAGGGAGCCATGCAAATGCAAGCGATGGAGAGTCGACAAGAGGGGGAAGAGCACGGGGGGACGGTGCTTACGTTCCGCGACACAGTTACTCAGGCGGAAATGTTCCTGATTGCACACGTGGACGCGTTCGGGCGCATGGAGTGGCACCTCCAGGAGAAAGACACAAGACAACGCGGCATTTTCAAGAAAGGTGGCGGAACAACAGTAGAGGGGAAGGTGGAGTTGGCTGCGCGTCTAGTCGCACAGGACATGTATCATATGCCCCCACATTTGAACTTTCTCAGAGGACGAGAAGACGCTATGGAAGCCGACCAGAGACAATTCCAGGCGGGCGCAGCCAGTTTCCTGGAAGGCGGCTTCTACCCCGAGAGCTCGGCCCCGCGTGTGCTAGGGGGGGATGGCGTGGGGACGCCGAGGTCCCCGAGCAGAGTGGCCGCGCTTCAAACGCAGCAGCTCCCCGCGTCCTCGCACGAAGCGGCACTTTCGTTTTTGGACACGCACAAGACCCGCGCCCAGCAGCAGCAGCAGCAGGACCTGCAGCAAGAACCATGGGACGATATGAGTGATGGAATGGCAGGACCAGGAGTACCGACGGCCGAATATCCACAGCAGGACCTTGCAGCACCGCCGGTTCAGCGATTTGATGTGCAAACGCAGATCCAGCGCGTGCGCGAGAGCGAGAATTCTTTGTATGCGACAGACGGGACGTTCCCCTTGGATCCCTACATTGACGTGCTCACCGGTGAGATAGTGGACTTCCCGAACATCCCGGAACCCTACCGCGGCAAGCGGTGCCCCGGGGACCGAGAGGTCCGGAAGAACTACTTTCCGCACAACGAACTCCGCCGCGCATTGTTTCGTTCGAGACATCCCACGGAGCATTGGGCCAGGCCCTTCGTGCGCACGGTGAAAATCAACCGAGAGGTGGACACCGAAGACGCCTGCGACCAGCACTACGAAGAGCTCGAGAAAGAAAGCTGCCAAGTCCCGGTGTGCATCTTCAAAAACGAACAACAGAACAACCTGATTGCTTCGTCCGGCGACGAGCACGGCTTCATCGACGCGGAAGGGTACTGGATAAGCTTCGGCGCCGGGACTCCCGCGGGCGGCTCGTCCGATGCCGTGGCCCTGGAATTCTCGACGGAGGAACGAGCGGGGCCGCCCCACCTTTTCCACGCGGTCGGCGACACAAACCTGTTCGTGCTCGATGAGATGGGCGACCGGCTCGAGGACGTGCGCGCCGCGCTCACAAGTGCGCTGGTGGACCGCTTTCACGCGATCTTGCCTCACGGAGCGTTCAAAATCAGCCAGCCAGACTTCGAAGAGAGGTACGCAGAGACCTACGAAGACTTCAAAGCCGGATTCGCGTTCCGAACCGTCATCGTCTGGTTATGGCGTTCTCAATTTTTACATTCTCAACTGTTACATGAATTTGTGATGCAAGGATGGGAAAAGTCAAAGCGGGGCGGTTTCACCTGTGACATTACAAATTCGTCCACACAGTAGATTTAGGTGCTGTGTAGCCTTTCCAGAATTTTTTGCCACGTGAAGCAGCTTCACCTTGTGGATGTTCATGTTGATGTTCGTTTTGCATGAGAAATTCATGTACCAGTTCCGACTGTAACAGTTGCCAAACGCCATACTGGTCCGGCCTGGGGGAGCTGATGGAGAGATTTGATAACGGTGGTGGTACGGGACCGCTGGCAAAATTCAACCCAACGTACACGGAGAAAAAGCAAGAGCAGCAGCTTGGTACGTTCATCCTCTGCACGTGGGAAGACTTCCGAGCGATTGCAGCACCGAACATGCAGGAGTTTCTGGCGAAGCATATGGACGTGAGGTTCCTGGTCTTCGCGGAGTATTCCCGGTTCAACCGCCAGACGCAGCGGATGGACGAGTACGTTACGCAGGATGGCTACCGTGGTTACGCTCTCGAGAAGGACCAGCGCGACCAGGTGTTTGTGTTTTTGCTGGACCACCAGAGGCTGACCGCCAACGAGCTGACGCTGGGCGGCGAGCGGCAACCTTTCAATGCGGGCCTCTCGTTGTACGACCGCGCGATAGAGTACGTGCAGTCTCAATTGGACCAAGACCAACTTTCCACTCACAACCCCCAAGGGGCGGGCAGAGAGCAGATGGGGGGAGCGCAGCCGAGCCATCGGGCTGCTATGATGTACTTGCTCTATCGTCTCTCGCCGGCGGTATCGCGGCGCGACGTTGTGATGGTTGCTGACGAGGAACCTGGAAACATGATGGACGACCTACACATCTTCGCGGCAGTCGAGATCCTGCGGGAGAAGGATCCGGATCCGTACAACGTACAGGTTGACCCGCCGCGGTCGCACTTCATTTTTCCCGCGAGGTACGAAGAGCTGGGCTACAAGTTTCTTCCCGACAGCTTCCAGATCCATCAGCGACGCCGCGAGGAGCTGGAGGAGGTGGCAGGAAAGCGGACGGTGATGGACTTGGAAGAAATGGTGCTCCGGCACCAGGATGCACGCGTGCGGAACAGGGAGCTCGACTTCGCAGGGGACCAATCGTTTCTGCAGAGCCAGCAACCGGACGCAACCTATTTCGAGGACGGCGAGGGCGCCGGCGGGGCAGATGTTGCGCCAAACGCGGACGCACTGCTACCGCCGCTGCAAGATCCACTCATGTTCTACGCCGAGTTGGTGGACGAGCTGGTTGCCGGCGAGCGGCGGGCCGTGGAAAACTGGAACGCGGCCGTGCAAAATGGCGGGAACGAGTCGCCACCCATACCCTTTCCGCTGGCGCGATACCAGAAGCCAAATTATGGTGATGAGAACGATGCGTGGACGGGAGACGACGGATCCTACTGCACCCCAACGCAAATCATGCACGCTCTCTTTGTGGTCATCTACGTTCCGCATCACTCGCTGGCTCGCGCACTCGGCTTGGGGGACGCCGCGGGTGCGTGGGACATCATGGAGGGGATTCTCGCCACGTTTGTCTTCGGAGAGGCCAGGCAGCGCTGGAACTTCTGGGGTCGGGCGCCCCACCTCCCTGACCGAGCGTCGCAGGAACGGCTGCCAATCGCACCACCACCCGGTGGCGCCGCCGGAGGAATGGTACTGGGGGCGGGAGGTACACATTACTACGAGTACGAGATGCCTGGTTCCCGTTACTCTTGGGGGTGGTACCCGTCCGGTGCCGACATGCTCCCGCACGGCTTGCCTCTTCTGGTACGACGACGCGGTCCAGGGAGTCGGTACCACCCTTATCGCAACCGGCACGGACCCCAGCACCTCCGGAACGACCACGACCCCTACAGCCATCCGCACGACCCCTACAGCGACCGGAATCCGGTCGACTACGGGATCGGCATCCTTGTGCAGCGCGTTCCCGCCATCCCCATCGATAGGTCGAGGGGACTACCGATTGGGCGAGACGGTAAACCCATCACTTTGGGGGGCCTGAATTTGGGTGCTGGCGCCTTTGGAGCGGGCGCGCTCGGGGCGGGAGCTGCCGGCGCGGGTGCCCTTGCTGCAGGCGGCGACGAGGCCCGCGGACCGGGGGGCTGGGGCCCCGGAATGGCAGGTGGACATCCTGGGAACCACGGAGCGGGAGGCCTCATGTCCAGCCAAGGCATTGCCGGTTCCGGGGCGGGCTCGCGGGCGGTTGGCAGTCCACTGCGGGGGAACGGGCGCCCCGAGGGTGCAGCAGGGGCGGGGCAGTTCTACGAAGGTGCCGATGGACAGTACGGCGGCTATGGTCCCAACCAACTGTACGGTCCGGGTGGAGGCTACGAGTTAGCCGGGTCGCTCGAAGAGGACGCGAAGACGGCGCAAGCGGTCGGAACGGAAGATACCACCGTCGATCCTGGACGGTACGCGGTGTATTACCCTCAGAGCGGAGACTACCCAAGAAAAAACTTATTGTGAGAGTCGAGGTTCTTTTTGGTGAAAATGGAACTCGAGCATGTATTTAGACTGAATTTTCAAGATTTGTATAGCGTTTGGTACAGTATGTAAACTCCAATCATCGTTCTTTGCCTCTGACGGACATTATCATGTCCGGGTGCAATGCGGAGCACTTCGTTTGGAGGCATCGTATCGTTTTGCATGTTTTCGTGAGTAGAAGTATTAAAGTGTTGTTTTTGTCATCTGACCGAGGCTTCCGCTTCTCAGAACCAGAACAGAACTCCGACACTTGCGGTTTTTTCTTGGATAGAAAAATGGAATTCCTATCCCCTGATCAGCTCGAGTCGCGGGCAGTGTCGGGTAACGCACCACTGGATGCAATGGCGCTGCGGAACCACTTCCCGCACCAGACGTGGAGCGACCAGGGCGGCTCCGGCTACTTTCCAGCGCCGACACCCTCGGGGTGGTGGGATTTGTCGGCTCTGCTGAACGATCCTTTTTTTCAGATGCTGATGGCGGAGCAAGGCTATGTTTTGTGTCCCGACGGAAGGTCCTTTTGCCCGGGTACCGACGACGAAATATTGAACGCTTTGGACCGGAATTCCCGCGGGCTCTTGCAGGAGCCCATGAACCCCCTCGCCACTCCTCCTCTTCCGGTTGGTCCCATTCTGCCCGTCTCTGAAAGTCCGCCAGTTGTGGTCCCTCTGTCCGGCGCCGACGGATCGCACAAGAAGACTGAGGAGACATCGGCCTGCAAGAAGGTAAGTACTTATAATGACTTTTTTCCCATACGAGTACTGTTACCTGCTGCAATACTACGCATTTCTGCTTTTTCAGGCCGTGAAGACCGTGTCTTTTTTCATTCAACGCTGCACGGAATTCGTGCGAAAAAATGGAGCCCGCTTGTTCAAGCACGAAGATAAATTAGATATGTTTCCACGAAGATAAATTCAACCTTCACTCTGAAACCACAGTGGTGCATCATATTGCTGGTGGCATTGGTGATTTTGGTGATGTGCTGCATTTCGGTGCTGGCTTGCGCGGTGGGAGGCCCGGCGGAGGAGGAGGGCAACGCGGCGGCCGGCGACGCGATGATGCACTCGTTCGGCGCACTGCAGGTCGAGGAGCGGGCCGTGGCCTTCGCGGACGACGGTATGATGGACAGTTTGTTGGTGAGCGAGGAGGTCCTCGAGGAGGAGCCGTTGAGCGAGGAGGTCGGGGAAGAGCCGGCGGATGATGATCAGCCATTGGAGGAGACCCAGGAGGAGGAGCCGCCGCTGGAAGACGAGGAGGAGGAGATTCTCACGGAGGAGCCCGCCGAAGATGCCGAACCGCCCGACTTCGGCATCCCCGACGTTCCCGAGGGCCCGCAGGGCGACGCAATCTCCACGGAGAGCCCAAAAAGCAACCTGGACTCGGGCGCGCGACAGACAACCAGCAACAGTTACGACGCCATGTTCGGCAGCCGGCGCGTTCCGGGCGGCCCGCTGGTGCACTACGACCACGTGGCCACGAAGGACGCGCACGCGGGTGCGGACGACGATAGCGACCACCTGTTGGAGCACAACGCGCCCACGCTGCCCGACGAGGACATCCACGACGACCTGTCGCGCAAGGTACGGTTGGAGACGTCCCCGCACTCGCTTACCACGAAGCTGGGCGGCTCCTCGTCGGACTCCTCGAACCCCGACGGCAAGGTGTCCTTCCGCGGAGCGGGGCGTCGGTCCAGGATGGCCTCCGAGAAGTTGACCGCGCTGCGAGCGAAGGCGATGGGGCGTGTGTCCGGGAAAGCCCCCGACTCGAAAAACGTGGACTCGACCTACCTCGGCCGCGACACGACCCAACCGATCGACATGCAGCGGGGCGTCGACCCTCGTGCCTTGACCTCGGGCAGGGCCGAGACGCCGGACCGATTGTCCGGGACTCCTGGCGCGCCCCCCAGCAGCGGGAGGACGTCGTCCAAACCGGGCAGCAGCAGCGGCCCCAGCAGTGGGGAGCGGAAGTCGCGGAAAAAGTCCTCGGTGATGTCGGGAGGACTCCGGCCGGGTGGGGATCCTATCGCGGTCAATTCCAACGCTTTCGCGGGCATGGGAAGCGAGAGCGTAAAGTTCCGGGTGTTGGAAGGCAAAGCCCCATCGCAGGTGTCGCGGCGGTCGGTGGGTGGCGACAAGAAGAGGAGCACCTCCGGGGACGGGAGGGAGTCGAGCAAGCTTGCGAAGTCCAGGAGGAAGTCGAGCATGATGTCGGGGGGAGTGAAACAAAAGGGGGCGTCAATCCATTCCAGCGCCTTCCGGTTCCAGGGGGACGACGCCGTGCAGTTCAAGGTACTGGAGCGCGACGCGGTGTGGCCTTTGAACATTCAGAACGTGGACGGGGGAGCGGGACCCAAACACGCGACGCCTGAAAACCTACCGCAATGGGCGGAAAAAACCGGAACGGGCCAGATCGCGGAGCTCAGATCCTCTAGAGAAGTCAGCGGCACCCATCAGCCCAGCGGATACAACTTCCAGCCGGAAGTAACGACGAAAAATCCGGTCAGCGGACGCAGTACCATTCAGAGCGGCCGCCCGAGTGCCGCAAGGAAAAGCAGTGCGCAGATGGAATCCACCTTCTTGGCAGGCAGCGGGACGCAGCCCGTCGACATGCAGAAAGGCGTCGACCCGAGGGCGCTCACTTCCGGCAAGGCCGAGCACGCGTCGCCACTACACCGGCCGCGCACCGCCAGGACCCCGAGCCCCCGGACCTCGGGCGCGCAAGCAAGTCAGCAAGGATCGAATGCGCGATTCAGCAGCCCGAACTCTTCAACGTTCCTCGGCCGCACGACGACCGAGCCCGCCGGCGACCGCACCTCGGGGCAGGCGGAACACGCGTCGCCGTTGCACCGGCCCCGTGCGGGCGTCGCCCAGAAGAAGAAAAAGAGCGTCGTGGACCAAGATCCATCACCACCGCCACGGACTTCCAGCGGGGAGATTCCAGCGGGTGCCCAAGAGTCGACCTTCCTTGGACGGGGCACGACACAGCCTGTCGACATGAGGAAGGGGGCTGACCCCCGGGCGCTGACGTCCGGAAGAATGGAGCACGCCTCGCACTTGAGCATGCTTCGCCCCGGCGGAGTTGCCCACGGGCACCACGCACACGAGGCGGATCGCCGGAACTCGAGTCAGGGCACTCCGGATCCCCGGCTTTCGAGCCAGGAGATGTCCATCAACCCTAAAGCCATGAAACTGTCGAGAGAGGGATCATCATCCTCGAGCAGCTCCGACGAAAGCTCTCCGAATCAGTCGACATTCCTCGGTGGAGGTACGACGACGCCCGTCGACATGGACAAGGGAGTCGACCCCCGGGCGTTGACGTCCGGTGCGGTAGAGCACGCAGATAAGCTACGTGGCCCGCGGGTTGGCAAGAAGACCGCTAGGCAGGTCCACGGCAAGAAGTCTGCCGGCGATGCCGCTCAGGCCACCGGAGCGGGAGCTGCAGCAGCCACTGGAAGGTCAGGCGGAGCACCGGGCGCCGGGGCGGGGGCAGCATCTCCTGCGGGGTCCCCGATCGGGGCCGGAAATGCCGCATCCACGGGGCGGTCCGGCGGAGCACCGGGAGCCGCGTCATCGGCTGGCGCACGGACCGGTACCGGAACTGCAGCAGCCATTGGGCGGTCCGGCGGAGCGCCGGGAACTGGTCCCGGGGCAGCGTCGAACTATCTCGGCGGAGAACCATTCGGGGCGACCGGCGGAGCACCGGGGACGGGTACGGGAGCAGGGCCTGGTGGGGCACGGACCGGTACCGGAACTGCAGCATCCATTGGGCGGTCCGGCGGAGCGCCGGGCACTGGTCCCGGGACAGCGTCGAACTATCTTGGCGGAGAACCTCCATTCGGGGCGACCGGCGGAGCACCGGGGACGGGGACTGGAGCAGCCCCGGGTGGGGCGCCGACCGGGGCCGGAGCTGCAGCATTCACGGGGAGGTACGGCGGAGCTTCGGACGGTGGTCCAGGGGCACCGTCAGCACTGTACCGCTCACGGGGCGGAACCGCAACGAGCGCGGCCGGAAATGCACCATTCGCTGGTCGGTCCGGCGGAGCACCGGGCGCGGGTCCCGGCGGAGCGTCGAACTACCTAGGCGGAGACCCTCTTCGGGGAGGTGTCGGCGGAGCACCGGGAACTGGTCCGGGGGCCGCACCACCAACCGGGGCAGCGTCGACTTATCTGGGCGGCGCCGGCGTAGAATCGATGGACATGAGGCAGTTTCTGGGTGGTGCACCTCCGGGTGGTGCAGCAGCGTCGAGTTATCTTGGCGGCCGAGCACCCACCGGAGGGGCCAGCGGAGCACCGGGGACTGGTCCGGGGGCAGCAGCACCTATTGGGGCACCGACCGGGGCCGGAAATGCACCACTCGCTGGGCGGTCCGGCGGAGCCCCGAATCCCGGTGGAGCGTCGAGCTCTCTAGGCGGAGACCCTCGCGGGGGTGCCGGCGGTGGAGCACCGGGGACTGGTCCACCGGGGGCAACGCCACCAACGGGAGCATCGTCGGGATTCCGGGGCCGAGATCCCAGTGCCGTGACCGAGAATGTTCATGTCTATGCCGGACGTCCGGGTGAGGCCGCACCATCGACGACGGGGGCAGCGTCGGGCTATGCAGGCCGCGCACCCACCGGAGGGGCCGGTGGAGCACCGGGAATTGGTCCGGGGGCAGCATCACAAACCGGGGCAGCGTCGACTTATCTGGGCGGTGCCGGCGTAGAATCAATGGACATGAGGCGTTTTCTGACCTCCGGCAGCCCGGAGACCGCGGGGCTATTGCGCGGCCCGGAGGCTCATGGCAAGACACCCGCAAGTGATGATGCCCAGGCGTCGACCTACCTGGGCCGGGGCGGCGTGCAAACGGCGGACATGCGGCAGCTGCAGGCATTCGGCAGCCCGGAGACCGCGGGGCTGCTGCGCGGCGCGCAGCCGTATGGCAAGACACCCGCAAGTGATGACGCTCAGGCGTCGACCTACCTGGGCCGGGGCGGCGTACAGGAAGTGGACATGAGGTTTCGCACGGGCATACCGCCAGAGGCACTAACGTCCGGCAAGCCGGAGCACGCGGGCGTACTGCGCGGTCCAGAGGCTCACGGCAAGACAGCCGCTCACGATGATGCGCAGGCGTCGACCTACCTGGGGCGAGGCGGTATACAAGCTGTGGACATGAGGATGCGCACGGGAGTGCCGCCCGAGGCGCTGACCTCTGGCAGGCCCGAGCAAGCAGGTGTGCTGCGCGCCCCAGAGGCACATCACGGCCATCATCATCCGGCGAAGGCGTCCACGTATATTGCTCGCGGCACAGTGCCCGTGCAAGTGGTCGACGCGAGGATGCGGTCAGGAGTGCCGGCCGCAGCGCTCACCTCAGGACGACCGGAGGTGTCGGACGAGGAAAAGGGAAAGCGAACGTTCATTGACCGGCAATTCACCCCGCACGAAGCTCCTGTTCACCGGGACAGGTCGAGGTCGCCGACGCCCCCGGACCCACGAAACTCCTCGCAGCCGGTCCCGGATCCCCGGAACTCCTCTCAGTGAAGATCCCGTGACAAAATCTTGCACGAAGCATCCTCTGCGAAGAAGCGCAATGGCACGGCAGGGAGGAGCGAAGCATCTCCATGCTCGTGGCATGGTTTGATTCATTTTTGAACTTGTTTTGTCGAAACACAACTTCTACGCAGCGATAAATAGCTGCCGGACAAAGGTTTAACAAAGGCTTTTCAATAGTCTTCAAGTCCAAATTTTGTTTATTTTGCAACCTTGTAGCGTTTTTTATTGCATAACATACTTACTTTTGTTTTACTTTATCACATCATTTGTCTGTTACTTACAACTAGGGACTCAACTTTCATCTGTGTTTTCCGTAAGCTCAACAACGAAAAAATACGAATTTTGTACAGTATCGACATTTATCTGCAAGCGGTTTTTCCTGACGCATTTCCCCATATCATTCGCGATCTACTCCCTGATGCACTACATGAGTAAAATTTTTGTTTTCATGTTTGTAAAGTCGAGAGAAAACAATAACGAAACGTGGACCCGCGAGATTTGACGCCTTAATAACGAGAAAATCAGAATCACTTCTTCATCAATGCGAAGATTGAAAAAAGAAGCCAAAATTTCAATTTTCAAGATCATGGTCATCAAGACCGGAACGAATATGAAAGACACAAGATAAGAACATACGAAGTGATTGTAAGAAAAGAAAAAAATTGCAAAGAAAGAGAAAAAATCAAATTGAGCGTCTATTTTATCAGTGGGATACCGTTCAGCTCCAGTGTGGTGTTTCAAGTTCCGTGTTGTTCGACGCAGTCGCACTCATCCTTTTCCTGAAAGTAGATCACACATCATCAACATGTCGAGCGTTAGACTGCGAGTGGGAACAAGCTCAGTCTTCGTCTCCGTGCAACGCATATTTCTACGCTGGTCGTGGGAGTCCAAGTAGTTGCATGCATGTTGCAAAATTAACACAGAAAAAAAACACCTCCACCATGGTCTATGGAGAATTTTCTGCCCCCCCGGTACCTGATATGAATTTTTGATGTCATGAAGAAATTGAATAAGATTTGGATCCATCATCATCGAGATTCATTGATATCTTGAGGATTTTGGATGAGATTTTCGATTTTTGAATCATTGATTTCGAATAAGATTTGGATCCATCATCATCTTCATCAAGATTTATGATTTTGGATAAGATTTTCGAATCTTTGATTTCTTCATAGGATGAAGATTCCACGCTTTTTTCTTCCGAAAAATCATCTGAAATAAAGACTACAGAAAAATTTTCGAAAAAGTCTCGAAATAAATTAAGTAGGAGATGTCCATTTTGCGAAAAAATATTGTAATGATTTTCAAAATTTCGGTCGATATAGAATCTGTTTCTTCGATTTTCTTGGAATATCTTTTTCAAAATTGATGTCGATATAGAATTAGAATCTCTTTTTTCGATTTTCTTGGAATAACTTTTTCGAATGATGAAAGAAAATCTTTTTATCTTTGCAGAAATATTCGGAATTTCATCATGAATTATTCTCCGATATCAATCGTAATCCAGAACATAGATTCCAAAATAAAGAGAGTCGATGTCGGATAATAGAAAAATGTGTCATTAATTCATGTTCATCCATGTGTCTGGATGGATGATCGGATGGATGGTTAATTCATGATGGGTAATCGATCTCAATTTCTCAATCATTCCAATAGATTTCAAATATTTGAAAAATCGACCATAAAACCGACCAGAATTTCTCAATACATCTCAGGCAGCCGGCCCGAGGCATTTTCCGTGAGTAAAATTTTTTTAAAATGTCACTAATTCCGGGAATCGCGGGGCGGCTGGTTGGGTGCGGCACCCTTTGGGCACGCGCCACATTCGGGGAGGGGGGCGCGGCATAGTGTGGCGCCCCCGCTTTTTGTTTTCCCGGGTCGGTGCCGTAAGGGCCGTCTCCCCTGGTTGTGTGCTCTCCCCCGTCCTCTTGGGGATGGGGGCCGCTTATCGTTGGGCCTTTTCGCGCGCGCGGCGCCTTTGCTTCTGGTGGTGGCCTGCCCTCGGGCACTCTTTTCCCTTACCTCAGGGAATGCCTCGGGTCGGGCCCTTGCCCGGGCCTTCGGTTTTTCTTTGTCCGGTATCTTTGCAAGGGAGGGGGGTCCTGTGGTGTGGTTTGGCACACAGGGGCTGCTCCTCGTGGCCATGGCTCAAATCCACCGGGGCCCGGCGCCTTTGCATTTATGGGGGGCAACGCGCAGCGGGCCCGGCTCTGGAAATCAGGCAGGCGCGATGAAGAGGGTAATCCCGGGGTTAATGAAGAGGGTAATCCCGGCGGTAATTTCCGGGGTTAATCTGACCACAACGAAATCGGGAAGGTTTCGTTGGTTTTGAAATTAGACCAAAAATTAAACTACAGATTAGACTATAAATTAGACCACAAATTACCCCAAAAACCCAAGGAAATAACCTCCGCCCGGGGGGCAGTCACTCCGCCAGAGCATTGGGTTTTCAGTTGGCGCCATTTGCCACCACTTGCCCTGCTTTTTCTCGGCAGGCCGCCCGCCCGCAGTTCCCGCCCACCCGTGGCCTTTGCGTCTTTGAATGGATTCCCCCCGACCGGTGTCTTTCCCAATTTGCCCCGAAGATTGAAAGGGTGGCGCTCTGGAAACCCACGAACAACAGGCCCGCCGGGGTCGCGTTCCGGCCTCCGTTGTGATTTGGTGGAGGCCCCCCGCGCGCAGGCTTCACAGGCTCCTGGGCCTTTCTTCGGTGCCGGGGCACCCTGTGGCGCCTTTCCCGGCGCGCGCCCACCTCCCCTTTAGGGGGGCGCGGGGGGGTTGCCTGGAGGGCGGCGCCCGCGATGGCTATGCGCCCCCGGAAATATGGTGGCACCCCCGGCGCGTTTTCTAGTCGGGCCCCTCTTGCGCCTGCCCTCCTTCGCTTTGGGGATTAGCCAAACTTCAGCCAGGAATTAACGAAATAGCTTGCCACGGGCCGGCTGCCTGATACATCTGAAAAATAGTTACCATGAATGAGAAATATTTTTGGATCGATTGAGAATTCAAATTAAAACCATTTCAAACCATGAATTATTTTTATTTTTAACAAAGAATAAGAAACCTCCATCGATCCGACCGAAGGAGAACACACACAGACACGAATTAATGACACATTTATTACCTCACTCATATCAGATTTCAATCAATCTATCCTTCATATCCATGTCCATCATAATTAATCATAAAAAAATCGAGATTTTTTTTTTTTTGCGATATAAATCCAGATCTTGGAATCCAAGATTCTTGAATCAATGAAATTTTTTTTTTCCCGAAAATTGAAATCGAAATTTCTTTTTGAGAAAAAAATTATCCAAGAATTATTCTTTCTTTCTTGTCATGTCTGGATATGACCGAAAGAGAATCCATGTTATCCAAGAAGACAATTATTTCGAAAGAGAAGAGAATCATCAACATCCTATCCTCATATCACAACTTCATCCAATATTGATGAATTTATTGAATGTCGTAATATTGCGAAGAGAATTCTGATTCGATGTAGGAATGAAATTCAGGTATCATATTTTGTGGAAAGTCACTCATTCTGTGCCAGATTTTGTTTTCGCATTTTCTTGATTCGACATAGTTGAGAGTTGTGTTCAAAAGTCGGAAAAAATGTGTGCAGAAACATTGTTGTTTTCTCACCGAATCCATTTTCCGGTAAGGATGTAGTCGTTGTCGTTGTCGGAAGTTGTCATCATCTTATGTGTCGCAGGCGTTGCTGGATGATTTTCCAGGTGTGAATGAGCGAAGAAATCCCTGTGCAAGAGATTGTGGAAGGCTTGCTTTTTCCGGTGCAGCAGCTTGTTGGTCTTCTGATCGGGTTCCTGCACATGCTGCAGGTCCTGGTCGGAGAAGCCTTTCGTGTTTCCCGCCCCGTGGAGGAAGCGTTGGAACGTGGTTTTTGTGTGTTCTTTGCGTCCGGCGTTCATCAGTGTGAAATCTTGCTGGAGTTTTTCCAAGATCAGTTTCTCCAGGACCTCTCTCGGCTGCAACGCGATGTACGCCTGCAGTTCTGTCGCGAAACGCTCGTCGGAAGAACCTTGCTTATCACTGGTCGTACTAGTACTCATCATCTGAGGCTTATTCCCACTGTGTTCGACATTCTCGCTGCTCATTTTGCCACCGCTGCTCCCTTTCCTCTCGAGGAACAGATCGAGAAACTTGCTTTGTTGCTTCTCGACGTTGCCTTCCGCGGCGGCCAAGTCTGCCTCCAGCTCGTGCTTTTGTTGCAGTAGTGCGTCATGCTCCAGTTGCAGACGGTTGTGTTTTACGAAGAGGCTTTGATACTTGTCTTCGACCTTCGCGCACTGCGCCTGCGCTTTCGCGGTCTTCGCCAACTTGGTTTCCTCCCGGACGAGGGCTTGGGTGGTTGCGCGCAGCCGGTCGCGCTCGGCAGAGCTGCGGGCGAGTTCCGTTCGCAACTTCGCGTTGTCCTTCACGTAGGCATATCCAATGTTGCAAATATGTCATCTAAAAAGTCGGGAGCAGAACGCAGACACTTGTCACTAACTTTCTGCATCTGCAAGAAGGTGGTCCGGAATGCACGCAGAGTATGAGAAATTCTGTGGAGGCTTCTTCAGGCCTAGTCCGGAGGAAAAATGGCCTCTCCTGGAGACAAAAATCGCACGACCTCCGTTGCTGACAATGCAACAGAAATTTTCCTTTTTGTCTGTTTCAGAATCCGCGTTAGAGGTTCGCATCCGTCCAGAACCAGACGGCGACATATTTGCAATCCATAAGTCAGTGATGCGCAAAGTTTTCAAGCGGTCCCGCAACAACTTCACTTCGCCGAGGAGCTGCTCGACCCGATACGCCATAGATCCACGCATGCGCTCCGAGGTTGCAAATTTCGTTTCGCTTGTCCGCTCGCACAATATGAAAAACGACATTTTTGCGCACTGCTCTTCAAACAAATTCCGGGTGCTCGTCGTGGAGTACGATTTCATGATCCATAAACGTAGTAGATACATCGTCCATAGTGCTTTTGGTTTTTGTTTCAAGGATGAGCTCTCTTCTTATCGCAGTCATTATAAGGGTTTGCTGCAGAAAGGCGAGGAAAAATAGTGGGCGTCGCACGAATTTTCTTGATAAGATTCAGCGTAGCGGTCAACAAGCGGCTCTTGTGCTGTATCTCCTTCTCAGCGCGCTGATTTCATTTGATGAAGACAGTGTTCTTACACAGTACATGAGCGGCCGCGTAACTACTTACGACCATCCTGTGGTGAAGATGTATTTTCTATCTACTGTGTATCAGGTGGTAGAAGCAGATACTTCAATAATTTAAGCAGATTGCCCGGCGCCAGAGAAACTGCGGCTGCCTTGGCGAGGGCAGGGGAGAGTGCGTCGCCAATCCATCGCACAAGGCGGCCGGCAGCTTGTAAGAAAGCCGGGCGCCACTAATGCAGAGTTAACTCCAACGAAGGTCGACCCCTACACTGCCGGGCGCAAAAAGTTGCCGCATGACCATGAGTTTTGATTTTCCAGAAACAACACAACGAAAAAAGGTAAGGCGAAACGTGGCGCGCCTCAAACAAAGACGCAACCCGTTGGTTGGCTTACTTTGTCGTGGCGCCGGTGTCCCATGCATGCTCATACCCTTAGCCCCTCGCGAGTCGCCACCGAGCTCAGGAGCGGAATCCCATGCAGCGGCGCCTGCACGACAGGCGCTACCCTCGGACAAAAGGCCCGTAGCAACGCACGCACCACACTACATGCGCCTTAAGGAGCGCAGCCCCACGGCGCCAGTGCGCGCGCGCTATGCCCCATAAGGAAGGAACCAGGCAACCGCGGCGCCCACCTCCTCAGGAACGAATGGCCCGTCGTTGTCGTTGCTCTTGCTCCGCACTGGGAAAACAAGAAATCCTCGCCTCCGCGCGGAGGCGTGGCCCACGACTTGTTTCCGAGGCCAGTGCTGGATGCAACAACAAAAAAAATTCTTCGGCGCGCTGCGCGCGCCGTTCCGAAAATAAGAAATCGACCCCTCCGCGCGGAGGGGTCGATTTCTTATTTTCGGTTTCTTCTTCCGCCGCTGGCGGCCCAGAAAGAAACAGGCCCCTCCGCGCGGAGGGGGCGGTTTGTTTGATAGCCGGACCGCTACCTTGTACCCAGAAAACAACGAAAGTCGGCGCTTTTGGTAAAAAAAAATGACTTCCGGGTCCTAAAGAAGCCGCCCCCTCCGGGCGGAGGGGCCGGTTTCTTTGTGGGCCGCTAGCGACGCAAGAAGAAGCCGAAATTTCCTGTCCAACGAAACACGACATTCTCAAGCAACGCTCCACACGGAGGGCCCAACTTCTTGGCTTTGAGAATTATTTTTTGCGCGACCTGCGCGCGGAACATTTGTTTTTGTTCGCTTTTAATGTTTTCGCGAAGTGGCGCCGCGGCTCGTGCAGTGGCTTCGCACGGCGGCCAGCTGTTTTTTTATTCCCGGACACCCTATGAGACGCGCAACACCCCTGCGCCGAAACCTTTAGCGCGCGCGAATAACAACGTCGCGGCGGGCTGCTTTGCTTCCGAGCGGCCGCGTGTGCCTCTACGAATGTGCCGTAAAGACTGAAAATGCGACGCCACATCGTAAAACAAGGGCAAGGCAACGCAGGCGCACGAGGTGAGGCTGCTCAGCGCAAAAATGAAGATGGAGCACGATCATGCTGAGGCTAAAAAATGCGCCTGCTCCAAGAAAAATACTAGAAGCAGGAAAGAGGGCAACTGGGGCAGCAATACCGGGCGCACAGAAATTTTGTTGGCTGCAGGGGCCGACCGCCATTCTCATTCGCCCTCTCTATCCCTATCGGCACAAGCGAGTGCGTAACCCCCGCGCAAGCGGATTCAGCGGTAAGCTTCTCCAGCATGCAGCCAGATGGCCGTCATGAGTGCCACCTGGACCTGCTACCTTGACGGCCAAGGCTTGACCTTCGTCCTCGCAATGCCACTAAAATAAAAAGCGGCAACTTTTGGATCTGCTTAAATTCGCGAAGTATCTGCTACAATTTCCTTCTGGTGAGTATCATGATGGATATCTACAAGCAAGTACTTTTTTGTTCGCCTCTAGCGTCCGCATTCTCGCCTCTGCGTGCTGGCGTTCTTCTTCCTGGGCCGCTTGGAATTCGGAATGCTGCTTCTGCAACACGCCGGCGAGCAAGTCCAGGTTGCGCTCCGTTTCTGACAAGTAGGCTGCAGCTTCTTGGTTGCCGTGGTGCTCGCTCTGGAAGCTGCGCAGTCCCTCCGACATGGCCATGATAGCGTCCAAGGCGGGATCTTCGCCCTCTTCGCGACCCACCGCGTTGCGATTCGTTTTTCCAAACACCGCATCATTTGATGCGCCGAGCAGCCCAAAGAGCGTGACGGCGAAGGCTTGCCGCAGCTGGCGCCGCATTGCGGGCCGCTCAGCTGGGAGAAGCGTTGCGATTAGGAGGCGTTTGTTTCCTACATACGAAACGATGAGAGGTCGTGAAAGAATCCAGAGAAGACACGACAAGGATCTTCGACAAAGGAATTAGCATGCAATGAAACCGGGTGTAGTCACAGGGTCAATAGCTCGTCCGCGAAATGACCACAATCCGGGCAAAATAAGAAAAGCCACGTTGATCTGCTGTTGCGATATCTTAAAGCGGCCTGGGAACACAACAGATCTAGTGAGAAAATGCGTGACATCTGCGGGTTTGCAGGTGGCGCGTTTCGATGAATGAAGTGCGATCTCGTGCAGTAATTAATATTGCGTTGCCACCCGAGCTCCTCTACCTAGTACTACCAAAATAATGTTCAAAATCTCGCAGAAGCGCGGTTGTTGCATCTGTATTTCGAGTCTTGTCTGTATCAACATCTTATTTGTTCGCGTCATCGTCTAGAATGCGTAAATAGAGTGCTGGTGCGGCCAAGTAAGTAAAGATGAGACCACCAAATAAAGTGCGTCGTACGCTCCTGTTGCCATTTCCTCTAGCACTACCGTGTGACGGAGGACGGTTTCAAAGGGAATAATCGCCATCTTCGTGTTTTTTTTGCATGAGCCATCGCCGCGCATCAAATGCAGACACGGGAGATTCTCCTGCTGCGTGTGCATGATCAAAAGAAGTACCGACGTCCAAAATAGGAAGGCAGGGTCTCTCACGAAACAGTAGAAAAAGAAAAGCGGATCCACTTTATCGAAATATCGCCACATCGCGCCAGATAAGCACTCACTTGTTTTTGTATGTCAGAGGCGCAGGACAGGATCGAATAAAAAGGGCTGGCTAGCGCTTCAAGAGCGATATTCACTTATCAAATAATTCCGTTTCGGTATCATCACATTCAATCATGATCACGTCGGAGGGTTCAGGGTTGTTTGACATCCCAAGCACACACGCACTTTATGCTGGTAGCGGAGTCCTCCGAGCCTGTCACCGCTGGCACAGTTTGGTTTTTGATGATGTCTGCCGAAAACCCAAATACAGTAGGGCCAACATTATAAAGGCATCACTTCACAATCACACCCGCGTAGGCGCTCATCGGTGCTCACAGCAGATTCTGGATGTTCATATAATGGGCGGGGCTCAAGGCGAAACCTGGTCAGTGTATGAATTATAAGTAACTGTAGGAGCGCATACTGTACTAATTCAGAGGATTTCTTTGTAAGACATCCTCGTCCCAAAATTGACGAAGACATGACACGTGCTGATATTCACATTCACTGCAATCACAAAAGAAACAATCCGAAGCGCAAATAAGAGAAGGCGACCAAGTGAAGAGTAAGAAGCAGGGGCAGCGTCATTCATTCAAGTACCTGCAGGTGCGTTTGGTGGCAGTTGTTGAACTGGCGAAGCTGAACCATTTTCAGGGCAGCAGAACGCCATCGGCGACACAGGCACGACGCCCAATACGGCCGCCGTCGGGCTCGGGGCAGATTGAGCGGGGGAACCGCATCCAATTACCATGCAGGTTGGCTGTGTTGTACCGGCGCAACTGGCTCCAAGCGCCATGCCAGGGGGTGTCAGGGCGATTCCCGGGGGAGCACACGCTCCTGCAGGCTGCCCGGGGACCATCGATGGAAGGGTAGCCGCGACCCACGCGGAACCAGTGCCACCATCGACGAACTGCGGTTGCAAGTATTGTGCGCTTTGTCCTCCGTGTGTGCTAGATCCTGTGTCCGGAGTGACAGGACCGTAGTGGCTGGCGTCGGCCTGAAGACTAACAGCGGCGTGGCTCGTTACCATAGCACAACCGTTGTTCCCTGGTGGTGCCAAATGAAAACATTGCCCCATGTCCGGCACGAAATGCGCAGCCGCGTTGCACCACGGCGGCAGTTCAGACGGGTGCTGCTGCTGGGCTAGAAACGTGCTGTTCGCCTCGAACTGCTGGCTACCCGTTGCCACGGAGGACGACGCTGCATCGAATTCTCCCCCTGTTACCGGCGGATCACTTTGCCGGCGCGATGCTGCAACATGCACGCTCATGCCCGCGGTGGCACAGTCCGCGTGTGCGCTCTCGCTGCCTTCGAGGCCAGGAGCCAGCGCCAGCAAGGAAATTGGACGCGGAGATGGTTTGGCAATCTGGGAGCCCACGGGGTCGCTACGCGTGCTGGGGTCCACGTACTGTCCGGTGGACGTTCGGCGCTGCAACTGGTAGCCTTGCTCTTGCAGCCGCCGTTGGGTGACCGCCGCATCACCGAAGTACACCTCTCCGCTGGCATCTGCAAAGCTCGGAACCCCCCCGTCTTCTCCTGCGGCTTGTCCTGAAAGTGTTCCGGAAGCCGCCGCACACGACTCGGCGGTTCCGTACGGAAGCTGCCAGCAACTAGCGTCGTCATGCTCACCAGGCGGCCACCCAGCAACGTCGCCCCCGGCGGGAAGTCTGGCTGCCATGGGAAAAATGGCGCTCACGTTTGCGTACCGCTGAGGCTGATCACCTCCGTACTGTTCTTGATAAGACGCGTGGCGCTGGTCCGCCTGTTGCAGCCCTTCTTGTTTTCCCGCAGGAACGAAGGCTGGCGCGCTCGCGTTCATCCACCAAGATTTAGGGTCTTGTGCCGGAGCTGCGTTTTGTCCTTGAGGAAAAAACTCCTGTGCGCCCACACGAAGTTGACGGGAGTCAGTTTTAGGAAAGAACTTAAACTTACCACCAGTAACTTCTGGCTTCTCCTTGTGTTGCACCGTTGTGACCGGAGGCTCTGGTGCAGGTGCAGGCACTACGGGATGGGAAGCTTCACCTTCGGCGGGCTTATTTCCTCCTGGAAGGAGATCTAGTGCCTTCTTCACTGCGAGAGTAGCAGGAGCGTCCACCTATAAATTTTCAAAGGAATGACATCAATCGCGAAATACTTAAATGCAGAGAAAGATGAAGACTAATGATGAACAGTACATCATACTTACTTACAGCGGATGGTTGAGGGCAAACATGATTGCCGTGGAGGCTGGACTACGAAAAATCCATCGGCTCATGATATCATGCTACATAAATCATAGACAAACTTTACCTTCTGAAGTTGCTCGGCGGCGATGATGAACGGCTTGCCCTCAGCAGTCGTGACACGGAACCTACCTTCGGGAAGAACCTCCTGCACGTATGCAGTCAGTTGTTTGGAGGAATCGCCATTCTCCAATCGTTGGGCGATCAAGTATACGGCGTCCCCCAGGTTGATATCAGTATCACAGTGGGGTCGTCCTCCCACCTTGTGGCGCTTCTGTGGGGTAGGCCTTGCCGAAAATATTCCTTGATCGTCGTTCCCGGGTCCGTCTCTTTTTGCTGGTCGATCTCGAAGGGAACCACCACGGGGCTCGGATTTAGTGCGCAGGGTCATTCGGGGTTTGACCACGGATTTAGGCGTGTTCTTGACCATGCCGGCTTTATTTGAGTGTGAGGATGGGTCGCTGAGTCCCTCGCTAGAGCTCTGCACCAGCTGCTCAACCGCCCGCGTTTGCCGCTCAGCGTCGCTCCATTGTTCCCAGGGTTTTTCGCTTTCGGATCCGGAATTATGATCGCTGAGGAGCCTCAGCGCGGCCCCTTGGTCAGAGGGGAGGCGCGGCCCGGTGTATGGAATTGTCGCTGCCGCTTCTTCGCTTGCAGCAGCATCGTCGCTCGACAGCGGTGCCCTAGCGGCCCCAGATGGTCCGGCGAAAGCGCCGACGGACGCCGTTCGCCTTTTCTCGGAGCCAAATTTCGACGGCCCGATGGGGTCTACGGGTCCAGAAAGCTGCCGCCGGCGAGGTTGGTTCGGCGGTTTCCCATCTTCTAGTCGACGATCCGGGCTTGTTCTCCAGGTCGAAGATGGTGCGCCACGATTTGCGATCACGTCTTGGTTCCGCCAGAAATCGTGGTAGGAGTACGTTGGAGATTCGGTGCGAAGACGTGGTTCAGGAGGCGTTGTTTTCTCAGGATCTAGTTCATCGCCGACCTGATGTTTGTCTCGTCCCCGCGGCGTGGTGTAATTATCCTGATGGTGTGCAGCTGCTGCTACACTGGTTTTCCCTACTTGTTCTGGCACAAACGCGGCAGGCCTGATCGAGGAGAGGGCATCCGGAACCGAATTCGTTGAAGACGAATTGGAGGTGCTCTTGCTGATCATGCTGAAGCGATCGCGCAACCCTTGAAATTCATCGTCTGCAGCCGAGGCGCCCGACGAGGCGCTTCGGTCTACCGCCGATGGCGCGGGGTGCGAAACTGCACGCTTTTGGCTGCTCGAGGCGCCCTTCGGTGCAAGTAATCTGCTCGTCACACTCCCAGGGGCCAGGCACAATAGGGCCGCGGCGGAAGTGGAAAAGACGGCTTTCATTTTGATTTCCGAGTTCTTGTACTTTTTGTACAAAAGCAAATGCTTATTTTCAGGACGAAGTTGTAGTTTTAGTAGTAGTTCAAGTTTTTCAAAAAGTGAAAATGAAAATGCAGAAGCAAAAATCGTTCGCGCAAAACCAGAAGGGAAAATATTCGACCTTCTCTATGTTTTCATTTCACAACAAAGTTTTCACAAAGTCAATCGTCAATGTATGTGTTAGTAATGGTGAAAAATAAAGGTGTAGTTATAAAAGATGAGGAAGAAGAGACCCCCGCAGCATATTAATGTGTCTGCAAGTTTGAAAGGCGCGTGGGCTTCTCTATCTTGTCAAACTTTCGATAACAAGTCGAAGTTATCATTGGAAAGTGCGGCAAAACCCCATATGAGTTTATTTCGCCGTCACCACAAAAAGCACAACAAAAATGCGGTATACGACTAGAGAGTCCAGAGTGTCGACGTCCGTACACGACAGACACAATTCGGGTCCAAAAGTAGGTACTTAGTAAGGATCGTTTCTTTGAACTTGAAGCTATCATGACATGTAGATCGACACTGAGAAAAATAGCAAACACTTGGATCGCGTTTGACGCAACGCTCTACATACACTTTCTTGATCTTGTGCAGGCATTATTACACGTTAAGAGACCAACATCCGCCTGGAATACGCATCCAGCTGCTTCAGCAGATTTAAGTAATTTCAAAACCTTGGGCTAGCGCTACATGAAAACACAGTTTCTGATCAGCTGCATCCACGAAGGAGGTGGGATCGTTTGTACTGTGAATCTTGCTGCAAAGCCAGACCCATATGATAGGTTTGAACACCATGAAGTACCAAATGCTTTCGAGGCTCAGGCCTCAGGCTGGTGGTTGAAAAATTTTGCTGAACTTGCATGCTCGACGCCGGAGCAGCTAGATAAATAACCACCGATGCGCAGGAGGTTGTGAAGATGAAAGAAGAACTATTTGTCAGGCGTTTACAACTCAGAAGAGCAGGTTGCAGGGCGTAAGCTGCTTGCATGCAACGCAGCAGTGTTGATCGTCACCAAACGAAAAACCGAAGAACCCAAATCCGAAATCTCGTCGACCGCATCGAACTCCAACTGTGCCTGTGCTGCAAAAATAAAAATGCAGCTACGGCCTGTTTACAAGTCTTGCAGAAACCAGGGCTTGGCGCCCTGCACGAACTGGAACACGGTTTTGGCGAAGGGGTCCTCACATTTGTCCGGGTGGTACTTGAGTTGCAGGTCGCGCAGCACCTTTTTCTTCTCCTCGCTGCTTTTTCCCGCGTGCTGCTTCAGCACGGCTTCCACCTCCTTCGTGTGTTTCGCGGTCTTGGGATCATCTGGGTGGGGTGGCAGTTTTTTGGATGGACTCGGTGGTAGCTTCGGTGCTTGTTCCGCGCTGCTCTTCTTGCCGCCCGGCGGGGGGCCCGGCTTGGTGCTCGCCCGCCCGCCGCTGCTGGGCTGTTTCGGTTTCGCATCGTTGTTTTCCGCGGACGACGCGCGGCGGCGGCGGCTTTCCTCGGACGGCGGGGGATTGTTCGTGCCCGACGGAGGTATGTCGCTGGTGCTGCTGCGCCGCTTTTGCTGCGTCGACGGCCCGGCCGCACCACCGGCGCTAGGGGTATCCCCAGCTTTTGCTTTCGAGGACGAGGTCGCGCCGTCTTTGTTCGGCGCTCCTGCACCACTCGTGCCTCCCTGCCCGCCGGCGGCCGGTTGGGATCCGGCTTGCTGACCGGAGGTTGCGCGCGCCCGACTGTTTCCGGAGGGAAAGAAGCCGGCCGTTTTGGATGAACTCGTTCCGGGCGTGGTGCCCGCGACTTTTGGACCGCTGTTCGAACTGGGCGGGGCGGCGTTGCTGGAGGAACGTTGCTGTCGCGCGTTTGTGTTCGGTGTGTTCTGGTGACTGGCGGGGGACTCGGTCCGTGCCTGCGACGGATCGATGGACGGGGCGCTGGCTCGCCGGTGCGACGACCGCGGCTGCTCGGGTTCTGCTGCTCGCTGCGGCGAACTGGCTCGACGCCGAACGCGGTCCCGCGTGATGATGAAAGACCGCTCAAAGGCTTGCGCCGCACGCGCGGCCGCCCGCCAGTTCAGCTTCTGCTCTTTTTGCTCCTCCTGGTGCGGTGTGTAGTTGTCCCCAGGCTCCGGGGCGACTTTTGTGGGTAGCGTTTTCCATACCCCGTCCTTCTTCCCGGCCGCTTGCTCGGCGTCATCGTAAATATTGGATTTGCGCTGTTCCTGCGAAAGATATTTGCTGGAGGAGAAGTGGATCGTTGGGTTGCGCTGGTACTCGTTCCGCTCGAGGAATCTCCGGTAGTAACGTACAATCAAGTACAGACACAGGAAAAACACCAGACCCACACCGGAAAGGCCACTGATCAAAATCACCTGTTGGTGTTGGCGCTTTTTGTTTAGGAGCCAGCTTTGTACGTTTACCTCTGGTGCACGGCCCTACACATCACAGTCGAAACTTCAATGCTTAAGTATATCTTTTGGTGAAGCTGATGCTGAAGACGCGAAACACAAGAAATTATTCAACCTGATCCATGTCGAGTTGGCTTTCGCTGTCCCCCGAGTCCGCGTTTTCAACGTTTGCGCGTGGCTTCAGGGAGAACTCCCAGACCCGGGGCGCGCCGTAGCACAGCTGCTTTACGCACGGAATACCGCCGAATTCGTTGCCCGCCGTGTCCGTGATCAGTGCCGCGGGTACTGTCATTGCGTAGGGCGTGTCCCACAAAAGAGAACTGAGGACAGAGGTCAAGTCTACGCGCACGGAGCTGCTGCCTTCGACGGTAAAGGCGCCGGCGGGAAGCTTGATCTGGTAGTGCGGCAAGTCCGGGTGGGTGGCCTGGCGGAAGTGGGGCAGCGAGAGAATCGCTTCGGGCGCGGTCTTGACGTGCTCTGCAAACAGCAGCAGCAAACGCGGATCGCTGTACTCTAGCTGCGTGTTTTCACTGTGAATCGGACCGTGCATGCTCAAGTAGGGCGGCACCGCGTCCAGAAGCGTGATTTGGTGCGTCACACCCGGAAAGGGCAGGCCGTGGCTGTCCTGCAGTGTGTCCTTTGCGATGGACAGCGAGCAGGTGCGGGTTTCCGCGTTTGGCTCTGTGACGGCAGGGAGCAAAATCACCTGGTCAAAGTGCACGCGCTCCCTGTTGATGCGGTGCGCGGCCACGATGCTCTTGGAGGCGCCAGCGTTGGTGCACTGCATGGTCGCCCATTGCGTGGTTTGTCCGAGATTCGTCAACGAGACCGGCTCAGAGAACTGGAAGGAAAAGTCGACCTGCGTCGACTTGACCGACGCTTGGCTGGCCGGGGTGACGGACAACACAAACGGCGGCATGCACTTAGGCTGACTCGGACAGTTGTCGCAGCTGACGCCCACAGAGTTCACGATACAGCTTAGCCGGCTGACGTCCCACGCGCACTTGTCCACGGTGGCGCAGGTGCACGGCTTGGTGAACCCGGCGCACTCGGCGTTGGGGCAGCTCGCCATGGTCGGGCACTGCACGCACGAAATCGGGACGCCGCCGCTGTCCACGCACCCCGTGGCGCTGTTCCACGCGCAGTTGGCCGCCGCGCAGTCGCAGAAGGTCTTCTGGTTGGCGCACAGTTGCGCGCCGGGAGAGAGCTGGGTCGTGCCGGATCCCGAGCCTGAACTGGTCCCACTTCCCGCACCAGAACTCGTGCCCTCAAGAGGCGCGTCCGTGGTGCACGTCGTATCGGTGGACGCGCAAACGCCGATCAGGTTCGGGATCCGCTTTTGATACAACGTTTCCGCCATGGACACGTAGAAGTCGATGAAGTTGCTTTCTTTGTTCCCCATGTACGACTCGAAAGCGGTGAATTGGCTGTTGTCCGTGGCTGCAAGGCCCTGCTGCAGGTGCGAGAAGAAGCTCTGGCGGAGCTTCAAGCCGTTCGCCACGTTGCAGCAGTACGACTGCACCGCCTGCGCTGCCACTTCGGAACTGTAGGACTGCCACCCGGGCGCCTGCACCAGGGCCTGCACGATCACGCCCGCCTCGAAGTAACTCTGTCCGTTGCTTTTCGCCTGCCCCGTGTTCGCGACGAGCGTGAGCATGCGGTCCTGGGCCACGTTCTTCGTGCCGAAGATCGCCCCGGCCAGCGTTTCCTTGATCCGGTTTGTGACGGAGCTGACGATGCCAAACTCCACCTGGGTCTTGTAGCTGAACTGAAACTGGACGGCGGTGGTCAGCACGCTGTTGCTCGGGGCGGTGGACTGCTCGTCGTACTTGTGCTCGCAGGTCAGCGTCATGGTGAGCCGCATGTTGTACAGGGCCTGGTTACAGATCAGCAGTGTCCATTCGTTCGTGTATTCGGTGATGGGCGCGGAAGTGTGCTGCTTCAGCGTGACCACCTCCCATTCCGTGTGCAGGGGCGGGTTCTCCGTGTTCTCGGTCTTCAGCTGGAGCCAGGCGGTGTAGGCGGAAAAGGTCAGCCCCGCGCTGGCCGACCACGTGCGAAGCTCCGGGCCGCTGAGTAAGGTGACTGGATGCCCAATAACGCCCACGAGTAGGGTCCAATCCACAGCAGTTAACAGGTCCGTGCAAGTGTCCACAATGGCGCGCGTCGTCTCGACGTGAAAGGCGACCGCGAAGCGCCGTGTCGGCGCCTCCGTCGCCGTGCGCCTCCGACGCCCTCGGAGGTTCGTTTTTTTGGCTACAACTGTTGGCTTTTGTTCAGCTTTAGTCGGGACACCGCCAGTTGTATCGTTTTTATTTTCCAATGACCGTCTTGCTGAATCGCCAGGCAACCCCTGGCGTCGAAACTTCCAAAGAGTCGGCTTAATTGCGTTCGGAAAGGGCGTGAACAGGGTCGCAATTTCAATTTCGGAGATGGGTATTCCAAGTGCGGTGGCCAGGCGGTGCGCCCACTCAAAGATCGGGTGGAAAGGAAAAGCGACACGCTGGTGCTGGGGGGGCACAGAATCAATGTCGAGTTATACAACGCTCAGAAGTCACATTATGTGCACGTTTGCATGGGCGGTCGAGAATATCAACACGTAACAAAAATGCAGGTAGGCAATTGCAGCACAACGTGCGGCGGGAGATTTATGAGTACTGTCAAATCACTCAAAAGCCCTCCCTCGACCAGCGACAAGACTTGCTGAGACATACTTGGCGGAATGGATTTGGTCCTTCAGGCTCGGGTAGTAATCACCGTGGATGTCCAGGGTAAAGTCCAAGGTTGTGACCGCCACACGGTCCGGCGCGCGCACGCACTGCCCGTCCAACTGCACGCCGTCCGGGCAAGCCACACCCGAGCCCAGACAAACTTTGTTGTACTCTGCGGTCGCGGTTCCAGATGTCATACCGGGGGAGGACCCCAGAGTGACGTCGGCAGGGTCGACGAGGAAATCCAAGGTTCCACCGCTGGCTCGACAGTTATGGTAGATAGAGCTGGAGATAGACAAAGTACGGGCATTGTTCACCAACGAGGCGGCGCGAGTAGTCAAGCCGGCAGGGCATGTGGCGAGAGTGGGCGTTGAGAACAAAATCAAAAGAGGGGATGAGCAAAAGACTGCGAAAAAGAGGCTGAATAGAATTTTTGTGTGCGCTTTTGCTTTATTTCCTGCAGTATTGCGTGTAGTTGCCCGTACGCGAAAGGGCCCTATGTTCAGGTCGCGCCGAGAGAACTCCATCTGGAGGGCGAGTCTGCGTTCCGAGGTGATCACATTTTTCGTGAGCTAGGGACGCGGGGTCTGCCTCCCGAGTTGCAGCTCCCCACAACCACGGTGCGCCCGTTCGAGCAGACGCATCTTTGGTCCGTTCTCGTCCTTTGCTTGCAGAGATTTGGCTGAAGAGATAGCTGCTATCGTAATTCGTAGTTGTGGTACTGACTTGATAATGATATTGCATAGTTTCCTTCTTGCGTAAAGAAGTGCACGTGCGCGTTGTAGTTTGTACGTCTAGTTTAGCCTCACTGGGAGCCGCTGTTCAGGGAGAATGCACCAATACCTAACATTTTGCGGTTGTTATTTCCAGCACTCTCTCTTTCGGAAAGAAAAAAATCAGGGCGTCACTTTTGTTGTGCGAAACTTCTCGAGCCTCTTCTTCTGCGACCGCTCGTCTCGCTCCCAATCCTCAGCGACAAAAAAACGCTCGTCATGTCTACCGTACTCTCACGAAAAGCCAAAAAAAGGAAAAATGAGCCGCCAGAAAATGTGGGTGCTCAAGAACGGAACAAGATTCATCGCGTGGCACTATTATGAGGTCGCGCAATCAGAGGCCAAGTAAATAGCTCGTCGTCGTTTTCACCGGGAGGCGGTGGTGCTCTAACATCCTGCCGTTCGTTGGACAAGCGAATGAAGTTTGTTGGTTCGGTTCCGAAGCTGTTTTGCAAGAACGAGGATGACTCTTGATGCTGACCGAACACTGCGCGATTTCCCCACGCGAAATTTTTCGCCGCAGCAGAAGATGAGCCGTTGTTCTCCCTGACCTCGCGAATTTGCGCGAAAATTTGTTCTTCCACAATCTGTCGGCCGTGCCGGGATATGGTCATGTCGCCGCCAATTATGCCGGAGTAGTCCCACTGGTCGGCACGGTGGAGCATGATCCTTTCCGTGGAGGAAAGGGAGGGATTGAGCAAGAATTCCACGGTGTCGTCCACTCCCTGTCGAAAGAGCCACTCAACGGATTCCTTCGTGCACCGGATTGCGTTACTGGTTCTTCCCGGGAAAAATGTACTGTACGTGAGGAACGGATTTGGAGGGCGGTGTTCTTTATAATTTTCGCTTCTGCGTATGATGTCTGCGTCCTGAACAAATGACAGGTGCGTCGCGAGCCCGCCATCCATGTAACGCTGAGGACTACCGTACCAGTTTCGCGGGACGTTGGGGTTATCGCTATCGGAGACAAACACTCCCTTTGTCATTCCATAGGGCGTTAGCTCTCCACTCGCGACCCCGGCGTTGGCAAGCTCCTCGGCGCTGGAAAAGTCGTGAAAGACGGTGTTTGGTGCGGATATCATGTGAGAGGAAACTGCGATGAAGCGCTTTTTCAATAAAAGCGTCTTTTCTTGTTCATGTGCAACTCCTCTCCGCCTTACTTGCTCCAAGTACACCTCCCTCCACAAGTCCGTCACGCGCCACGCTTCGGACGACAGTCCCTCGGTTTCCTGATGTTTTGCGTAGGCCAAGTACGCGTTGAGCAAAAACCGCGCATCCGTGTTGGGGGCCGCCAGAATCGCACTGCACGCGCCGCCGCTGGCGCCACAGATTCGGTCTATTTTGATTAAATGTTTCAGCTCCGAGAACACTTGCCACTGTCCGCCGCACGCCACTGAGAGGTATCCCGCGCCGGGCCAGAGGAGGTCGATGGTCTTGTTGGTGAGATGGTTTTTTGCCAGGTTTTGCGCGATGGCATCGTAGTGCTTTGTGATTTCAGTTTTCGCATAGTGCAGCAGCTCGTCGACCAAGGCGCGAGATTCCGCCTCCACAGGAATGAAATACTTGCGCAGCATGTCCGCGGATGTTGAAACGCTTGCAGAAGTACTAGCGAGGGCCCGAATTACTTCTTGGCTGCAGCTCACAGCTACCACAAGGCAGGAAAGACGCATTCTGCTGCTCGCATTTCATACAGATTTTGACTTGACGTTGTTCCAACTGGTCCGAAAACATAGCAAAGTAATCCTCGATCAGCATGTTAATGAAAAGAAAAAACCATCTATGTCTATTTTTCTTGCTCTGTCCGTACTGATGACGCCAGAAGAAGAGAACATACTTCAAGTCTCAAGGTTCGGCCACTGGGACAAGCCGGTCTTTGAAACGCAGATGAACCCAAGCCTTCATCTCCCAGAGAAGATCTTGCGCTGGAGAGTAGATGAAATATTTCCACAAGTGTTCCAGCACCTTCAGAAATCATGAAAAAGAAACATCAGACGACTGCAACCACAGGCGAAGACTGATCGCCGCTCGTCATTTGTTTCAAAAGCTGTGTTCCCTGGGCTTGAAATAAACGCGATGTTTTTCTTTAATTTTTCCAAAAGAAACCTGCATGGCACGAAACGTAATCCTAATCACTAGATTTTATAGTCACACAACCTTGTTATTCAATTTCAGCATCGCGAGGAGCAGTCTCAGGTGGTCGACCCCGGCGACTCGTTCTCGCTTTCCTTTTCTTTTTCCGCGTGCGCTTCAATCAGAGCTAGATCTTCCATGGTAGCGTGGTGACTCACCGTGGTGTTCAATGCATCGAAATCCGTGTTCACCCAGTTGAACTGATTGATCTGAGCATAGTCCTGCGGACAGGCGACGTAGGAGATGTGTGCTGTTAGTTGGCAAGTCATGGAGTCGTGGCAGTACTTAGTTTTCTCATACCATTTATTGCGTTTTGTCTACTCTACTGTCTTGTTACGAGCGTGATGGTGGCTAGAAGAAGAAGATCAAGATATTGCGGCCTTTTAAATGGAATAGAAATACCGGTTTCGAGCTTGCCATCGTGTTTCGCAGAAACAGTCCTCGCCGTGGGACAGGACTCGTCCACGAAACACCAGCGGGCGGTGCACCACAGGCCCTTCCAGGTATTTGCGGTAACAAGGTAGCTCAGGTGATCCCAGCTCCACATCAAATCGCACCATTTCTTGGAATAGTAGTGACACTTGTGGTACAGGTCCCCAGGGTCGTCTTGATCTGTCATGACGTTTCAGATTTTTCGTTGTGGCGAGAAAAGCGACGATTCCATTATGCAGGCAGCTGCTAACAACGACGGACCGGAGCCGGACACGCCTAGGAACGCAGCAAGAAAGAGCAAAAATGCAGCAAAGAGTACAAAGTACTACCTTTGACAATGTCTAGTAGCAGGGACCATGCCTTCGACGGCGGCGGCGTTTGCAGACATTCGCAGTTCTGGTGCTGGCACCCGTCGGCCATGGAGCCGCCCGAAACGTAGACCAAATCATCGCGCCACACGCAACCGTCGCTAATCGAGCACTGGTCCGAGGTCTCGTGCAAGGAACACGCGAACACTTCCTTCCGTGTTGCTATCACCACCGGCGGATCCGTTTCCTCCTCTGGAGCTTCGGTAGTTGTGGTTTCCACAACCACCTCTTCCTCCTCTGCGACTGGCTCAAGGGTCGTGGTATTGGTGATGACCTGAAACATTTTCGCCGATGGGAACTAGGAAGGTAGGGTCACAAGCAGACCAAGAGTAGTAAGTGTAGTGAAAGAAAGTCTACTGAAAATTTGTTCCGTGAACCAGGAAGCGTCGAAATAGAAAAAATTGAAACCGAAGAAACTGTAAGTAGAGCGAAACAAATACTTCTTCCTCGGGTTGTTCTTGCAATTCTTCTTCCTCTGGAGCGGCCGGAGCAGGCGTTGTAGCCATCATTTGTGCGCATTCTTCAGGCGTGCCGAAGCAGAAGTCCAAGGGGCCCCGGGGTGTGTAGCCAAGATAACGGCCGCTCCGCTGGATCTGGGCGGCTTCCGAGTGCCGGAACAGGAGGTCGGAAAGAAGGTCGCAAAACACGACCCTGAGACAAAGCAACTTGAAGACGCCCGCCGCAGCGGCGGCTGGGCGCATGGTGAGTGTCGCGCCCACCTCTACCGCATCTTAGATGTTGAGGTCACATTTATGTAAAGAAGGGAGATTTTTCTTTTCCTTTTGATTTCGTTTCTAACAGTATCCCTTGCTCTCGCGTTTTCGTTTTCCAATACAGTCCTCGTGGGACCACTCTCGGAAAAACGTGCTCACTGTCATGAACGTGCTCCTGCATCAGTTTCGCTCCGTGTCTTTGCGTTCAGGCATCGTACGTGCATAATTTACTGAAGGACTAGGAGGGCCGGGCTGTGAAGACGAACATCAACATCAACATACTGTAATGATGCATAGGATAAGCAAGAAGTTTGTGATGTGAATGATGTGAGACAACTGCTGTCATGGATGATTTTGTATTTCACTGCATCGAAGCAGCTTCCTGGAAAACAATTCATCAAGACCATACCATCCGGAAAAGAAGAGCTAACACGATGAGTACTCAGACGATATCCCCGACAATGGCGTCCACAAGGGCGTCTGCGTCTTTGTCGTCACTACTGGAGGATGTGACTGCGAGCACGGCGCGCGGCGGCTTTTTCGATTGGATCTGCCCGGGGAAGGGACGAGTTTTTGTTGTAGCAGCTGCGGAAGAGGTAGAGGCGGTCTGCATTTGCTCGCTTGTTAGCGATTTCAGATTTTGCCTCATCGACGCCGCAAAAGAACTGGGGGCATGCGATGTAGTATCTCCGTCATTCGTGCGGACAGCGACTTTTTTCTGCTCCACTTTCTTCTCGGTTTCCGTCTTCCGTGCGAAGGCCTTGGCTGCGTCGGCGAACGCGTGCGAAGCGGCGAAGTGTTGACTTACAGCTTTCGTGAAGGACGGCTTGTTTTCCACTTGATGCTGTCGTGTTACGGTTGCTTTCGTTTCAGCCTGCTGGTTCTGCACCATTCGGGCGACGTTGTGTTTCATAGCATTCGCGAAGGATGAGGAGTGCGCCATTTGTCCTGCCTTTGCCTGCATTTTCTTCCGAGCTTCCATCCGATTCTGTTTCAGACCCGCGGCACCGATTTGTTTTAGAGCTTGCTTTTGGTTCTGCAGCAGACGAGCTGTGTTCTGCGCCATGGCCTTTGCGAAGGAGTTTTTCTGCTCGGTGGTCGTTTTTGAAACCGATTTCGCCATCTGCATCTTCTCCAAGTTGTTCTTCATTGCCTTAGCAAAGCTGTTGTTCTTCTTTGTGCTTGCGTTTTTCGCAGTGATCGTTCCGGCAGCCTGCGCGGTGTGCTGGTCGGCAGCGCGCAGCAAAGTGTTCACGCTGATCTCCATCGACGCTGCAAACGGGCCAGCTTTATTGTTAATCTTTCCATTTGCGGCCGTCATCTTCGTTGACGCAGCAACGGCAGCTGCCAGAGTGCGTTTGTTTGGCTCAGGTGTGGCCACTCCAGATTGTTTTGCGGACGGCGTCTGCACCGTCGAGGTTGTCCTTTTCGCGGCACACTGCTTGGTCTCCTCTTTACCGATTTGAGAGAGCAAGTTGCAGGTCACAAGCATACTCCCGGGCAACGCCTCGGGCGCTACCTCTGCGACGCGATTCAGACAGGCCGGTGTGTCCGCGTGTTCGTCGCTGGCGATCTCCTGGCACAGGATGCTCTGCACCTTGCCCGATAGCCGGGAGAACAATTGGTCATGGTGAACCAGCTGCTCCCACGCGGTCGCTTTCGCAAGTTGCGCGGCCGTACTAGGCGCTTGCTGACGATTCGAAGTTTTTTCGGCAGCTGCACTTGATTCAGGTGTTTGCTTTCTTCCGCGCTCCGTAGCAATAGGTGCGACCACAGGGGCGGTAGCAGCTGCAGCAGCGACTACCTGTTCCTCCGGGGCGGCCGAAGGAAAGATCCAACGCCCCAATGCAACAAGCGGGTTCTGCTCCAGTACTATCGCGTCGCGAGTGGCTGTGGAAAGCACTGCATGCTGCAGCAACAAGGCGCCGACGAGTTTTCTTGCGTCGGTAGGCGCCATGGTGGCAGCAAGCGGGCCACCGCCTTATTCGCAGCGGAGAAGCTGCTTTATCTCTACATAGGAGCTAAGACAACTCGACCTCCATGTTCTATACCCGTTTTTCCTCAGTCTACAAGAAAGCTTGAGAACTGCCGCTCGAAACAGGAAAGAAAGAAACGAACTGAGCATACCGGAAGAGACGAACATTGAGGGCACTCTCGTATTTTCGAAATGAAAATCCACTTGCCACCAATAATTTTTTTGGAAGAGGACGCTCATACGCATACCAATTTGGCTGTCATTGTGTAGTGCGGAAAATACTTCTTCCACATGCTCGGTATATGGTGCGCACGCAGAGGTGGTCTTGTCAGTGAAAGAATGAAGATAAACCCTGGTATACAATCAAAAGTATGCTATGCTGTGTAGCCTTCCGGTTGGCCTTAAAAAAGTTTAGACAAGAAGATGCAAAGAGTTGCAACTTTGACGTCCCTGGAATAAAAAGATGCGCCAAAGATGCCAACAAGGGACGAAGATAGGAGCGAAGCCTTATGCAAGAATCTTGTGGCGGGGGCCTTCGCGCTTTATGGCCCCCTTGTTGCCCCTCGTTGTCCAGGTTAATTTCACGAGTTTCGCGTCAAGTATGACATAGCTACTAACTGGGTGGATGACACCATTTGATGTACAAATGAAACAACTTCTACACAACAACCACTATCACATTAGCCAGAACATTTGAAGTAACTTCGAGGACACGGTCATTAGGAAGCACAAATTCACTTCAACTTTACGGCTTTCCCAATCGTTTTTTACGTAAGATGGTTCAAAAGCGACAGATGCAATTACAGGTTCATTTTGTAGTCTCCTCAAAACCGAAGGAAAGCTGGTCAAAGAAAAGGAGACGAGCGTTGGTATCACGCATGAAGATGCTGATGTTGAGTAAAAAGAAGAAAAAGCATTTTGATTTGAGAGGAAACAAAGGCAAAAACAGGTAAAAGAGGTGGAAACGCACATAATTCTCTGACGGAATAAGTACAAGGCTGGAACACGACGTCGACCCATCTGCTTCGACCGCAACTGCAGTAAAAATGATCACGCGAAGAGCACCTCGGGCTCGGAAGCCGCCTCCGTGTCGTGGTTGTAGGTGCCGACGTACTCCGCCTCGCTGATTCCATTTTTCGAGACGAACAAGTCGAATTCGGGGACGCGGACCATTTTTGCGGAACTCACGTCCCACTGCACCGGCGGTTCGTACATCGCGAGGCTGCAGGATTTTTCGTTGGGAATGACGTTGTCAACCGAGGCGAACTGCACCAGCTCGAGGAATTTCCTGCCCCGATGCTTCACGTAGAACTGCACGGAAACTTTCACGGGGATTTGCTTCGAGGATTCGTGCAGATTGATCAGGTCAAAGTTTTCGGTTCCGTGCAGGGACAAAGCCTGCTTGTTTCCCTCCTCCTTCAGCTGCTTCTGGAGCTGCGAAACCGCTTCCTGCAGCAATTCACTCGTCGGCCTGCCGGACCCGAGCTTGGCAGCGGCGGTCGTTGGCTGCACCGGGGCCTCCACGAGCTGCGTGAAAAGTTGGCTCTGCGACAGAAATCGCCCGCGGAGAAACTCGTGCTCGGGAGGCTGGAAGTGGGCGGTCGTCTTCAAGTTCGCGGTGACAAAGTTGCTCGCTTCCTCCGCCAAGACAGACACAAGAGATCGTTTTTCTACTTGTGCGGTATTTTCTACCGCGGGCTCTTGGTGCTCGACGCAAAACCGGACTAAATTCTTCTCCTTCGCCCAGAACACGTTGGTGATGTGCGCGGTTTCCAACCCGTAGGACAGACCGTGGCCGAAATGAAATTTCGGCTGGATATTTCTCGCTTGGTACCACCGGTAACCGAACTCCAAGTTTTCCGTGTAGTGCGCGTGCGTGCCGTGGACCGGCCCGACGCCCGGGTACTGCTCCTTGCTCATCTTTTGTTCGTTCTCCACGTTCGGCAGCGCAAACGGCAGCTTCCCGTTGGGGCTCATGCGACCAAACAAGACCGCAGCGAGGGCCTCCCCCGCGCGCTCGCCGGGAAAGATGTTGACGAGCACTGCGTCGGTCTTGGACAGTTCCATGGGAAGCAAAAAGGGCCCCGGAGTGGAGACGTAGAGAATTAGCTTTTTGCTCTTATCCGCGGCCACAGCTTCGATTTGCTTCTTCAACTCGTCGGTCGGGATAGAAGCCGGACCCTTCACGCCGAGCCAGGAGCGGTCGCTGTTCTCCGCGCTGTATTCACTGAAGCAGTAAACTACCGCGTCCGCGTCCTCCATGCTCTGGGCGAGCAGGTTGTTTTGCTGCAACACCTGGGCAACGGTGACCGTCATCGACGGGAGGACATGTCCGCTGCCGCCGCCCCCGGTGATCAGCTCGTGCCCACACCCGACCGGGAAAACTTTCTCCGCTTTTTTCCCCTTTTCCAAGGAGAGCGGCAGTGGCTTGCTGTTCCCGTTCCCGGTGTGTGGCCGGAACTGGTTGTGGAGCAAAATCATGGACTCCGCGACGAAGATGGTCGCCGCCATTTTGTGCAGGGGAAGCGTTACGTTGGCCATCACGTCGCCGGAATTTGGAAATTTCCCGTCCAACTGCCCCGCCTGCTTCAACGCCTTCAAAGTACGAAGCACTAGTCCGTCCACGGTCTTCATGTCCAGTTTCTTCTCCGCGAGCGCCTTCTTCATGTTCTCGGGCGACATGTGGATACCCGTCGGCATCTCCATGGCCAGGCCGGCATTGGCGGCTTTGAAACTGCTGTGCGTTGCGCCCCAGTCCGACATCACAAAGTAGTTGTCGCTAAACTTCTCCAACCGCTTCATCACGTCGGCGTTCTCGCACGCGTAGGTGCCATTTACCTACATGTGGATTTGCGACAAGTTGGAGAACTAGGGAGTAAACATGAAAGAATTATTGAGAAAGAAGGAGGTATTTTTAAGGCGCATGATCTTCTACTCGGCTACAAGAAAAGATGAAGCAGGAATGAGCCAGTACCTTGTTGTAAGCGCACATGATGCTCGAAGCGCCTGCTTCCACGCCCGCGATGAAGGGCTTCATGTAGTATTCCATCCCGACCTGCTCCGGCACCTCCGAGGACACGTACTCGCGCTCCGTTTCCTGGTTGTTGAAGATAAAGTGCTTCACGGACGTCATGGTGTTCTCCGACAACGCGCCCTGCACGTAGTAGGGTGCCATCTCCGCGCCGAGCACGGGATCCTCACCGGAGAGGTACTCGAAGTTCCGGCCGTCGTATGGCACGCGGTTCAGACACACCCCCGGCCCGAGGAGCATGTTTGCCCCCTTGCCCCGGAACTCCTTGGCGATAAACTTGGCGTAGTAGTACGCGATGCGGTGGTCGAAGGTCGCTCCGATCGCGAGATTCGACGGGAACTGGGTGCTGCTCCCGGTGGTCACCACACTATCCGGCTGGCGAAACCCCTGGGGTCCGTCCTGCATGGTGATGGCCGGGATGCCCAGTCGCGGGACACCGGGAACGAAACCGACGTAAGTATTGGCATCTCCGTGAAAAAACTGCAGCTTCTCGTCGAGGGTGAGTTGCTCGAGTAGGGCCTCCGGGTCGACGCCTTTGTTGGCGGAGAGCGCCGTCGGGGCTGCGGACAGTGCGGCGACGGCCGCAATGCCGAGCCTTGTCATGATGGAACTTGCTCGCGGGGCGCGGCTACTGGTCGCACGCTCGAAAGACATATTTCCTGCCGAAATTTACTGGTATATGTTGCGTACCTTTTATCTTTAGATTTCACTGCGCGCTGTCGGTTCAACTGTTCTTTTCCGCAAAGTTTAATGCGAAAATTTTGAAAGTGCTTCCCAGTTTATTTTCAGCCAGGCTTTACATCCCACAAGAAACGAAAAAAGTTGGACCCCAGGAAGAAACTTGAAATGTCAGAAAGCATCAGGGCAAACAATGGATGTCTGACCGATCTCGGACCTCGCAAGACAGGAGCCTTAGCAGACATTGACATTTGATTTCAAAAAAGTTACATGACTGAGACGTAGAAGACAAAACCCCCAGGAAGTACCTCTCTCTCTTAGGACGACAAAAAATAGTTGAGGAAGAACACGCGACGTTTGAAACAAGGGCGACACAGCGCATTGATTCAGTTTGTTTTGGTAGCGTGGAGGACGAGGAAAACAGAGCGCCATAATTAACTCGGAACGACATGTCAGACTGTGGTTCGACCACCATCTTCTATTTGATAGTTTTGGTTTTTATTCACATACCACACTAGACCTTCATCAATACAGTTTCGATGACCTCCTCCTCTTCCAGTGCGGCATTTGATTCTGTCTTCTTTACGTGAACGGCTGAAAACCGACATTCAATGCCTGCAAAGAGAAGTTTTGGTCTTGTTGTGCCCGTGTGGACAGCCTGGAACGCGTTGTGCGCGAGGAATTCAACACGCGGATGTAGGTGTCCTTCGTCGCGGCGTCGATCATACTCGAGCTGCGCGCTGGCTCTTCCAGATACGCGGTTGGGGTTGGTGCCAGAATGGTCGATCGCCGAGGTTGTTGAGGTTGCTGTGTGTAATTGGTTTTCGTCCTGATGCCAGCGGTCGAGTGGCGGCGCTTCGTCGTCGCTCGGTTTGCGGTAGTATAGGAGGCGGGAGACGCTGTGCTTTTCAGGTTGTCGATGCGAACAGAGAAGCTTGGTTCCACACGCGGATCATATCGCTGATTGTCTGCTTCGATTGGGGTCGTGTTGTACTCTAGTTCTTCTATGGGAGACGGCACTTGTGGTTGCTCTATTTCCGCAGGGAAAAGCTCAACGGCTTGCTGTTCTGGCGATTCTGCAGGTTTTGATGCTTTTGGCGCGGCTACTAGCTGCGAAGAACCCTCCATAGCGGAGGTGGCGGCTTGTGGATTATTTTGCTCCTTCTGCTGCTGCACCAATGGACGAGGACCACCGTCGGGTCTTTCTCGTACAACCAAAGAACCCCGATTGTTCCGTATTAGGCGAAACGCTTCGAAAGCGGTTTTCTGTCGCTTTTTTGCGGAGTCTCGTTGGAGGATGTCGGCAACGAGATTCAGTGTTGTTTCTCGCAGCTCGCGCAGTTGCCCCGTGTGGGCCTTCGTGCGTTTTTTCTTCTCTGCGTACGCTACCCAGGTCTTGAACAGCAAAAGTAGCAAGTCCCGATCTGCGACCTTCTGGTACACCGACTCGCATGTGGTCACGAACAAACTTGTTTGCTTCTTCTGGAGTTGCATCAGCTGCGTCATCTCTACTTCCGGATGGACGATGGACGCGCTCCAGTCCACGTTGATCTGGTGATGATTCTGCATCGCGGGCGGGAAGCCAATCGCCGAGATGTTCGGACTTTTCGGACCGAACTTCAGCAACTTCGAGGAAATTCTCGCAGCTCCTCTTGCGGGGGAGCTAATACCTGAGCTCGTTTCTAGTTCCTGCAGTGGGCGATTCAGAAACTTCGTCTCCGGACTTCTGTTCGCGAGCGAGGAGAGAGCCTTTTTGCTTGGTGATTCATTGCTTTGCCGTAACAGGTCCTTGTTATCAATTGCAGCGACTTTGTTCTCCTTGTCCTGCTGTTGATCTCCACAAACGGCCTGTTGAACAACAGAGTTCTTCGGCGGATCGAAGTCCAGAACCTTCCTTGCGCCCGCGACTTGCGTTTTCCATCCGTAGAACACCAGCTGCGTGTTCAAGTGAAAAATGTCGTCGTGCAGAAGGCGGAGAAACGGGCGCTGTGCTTGGAGTTTCGCCAACGAGAAAGTGCTCACCAGTCTGCGGTCTTCTGCATCCCGTGCATTGAATCGGGCTTCCTGCCTGGTAATTGCCGCCCAAAACTGGAAGAAGAATCGTTGCAGCTCCTCGATTTCGCGGGTCGTGCAAACACGCAAGTACTGCTGACGAAGGTGTCGATCCCTTTGCAGCATTCGGTCGAAGTTGGTTTGCTGCTTTTCATCCGTGTACTGCTTCCTTTCCTTCGTCGTCTCGCACTTTGCTGTTCGCCACAAGGCGAAGGCAATTTGCAAGGTTTTTTGCCTCGCGCGATCCGTTATGTACTTCGCCCGTAGAAGGTCCAGCCTGGCTTGAATCCTGTCCGCTCTCGTTTTCTGGGCCGCCGTGACCCAATTCGCAAAAATTGCTTGTGGGAGAAGCCTTGGATGGGTTCTGCAGGCCGAGAATGGCGCGGCGGTGGCGTTGCAGATGCGAGAAGACGACAATCCTTCAGCTGCGCTCTTCTGCCACGAAGCGAACAGGTCGTGGAGGAAGGCTCTTTTCTGAACTTTGCTGCCAATTTCGATGGAATTCGAGGCCACAGAGGTCCGCAAACAGTACTGGCGCCAGGAATCGAAAACGGTTCGCGTAAACCCCAACTTCCGGGAACGAAGCGGGGGAGCAGCGGTGGCTCGCCAAACAGCAAACGCTGTCGCGGCGCAATGTCGTTCTGCTCTTGGGAGGACAAACGCACGTCGAGCGTTCAGCGACATGGAGAGCGAGCTCCAAGTGCGAAGCGCTGCTTTCTTTTCCGCCTGTAATTTCTTCCGCAATAGATCGATGTAGGCTGCTTTCGCCGATTCGGCTTTCATCTCATGATTCAATCGGTTCAGCCGCTGGCTCGCCTGTTCATTCACCTCGTCTTGCCATTGCCCGAGTGCTGTGCGCAAAAGTTGTGTGTTCGCCTTCTTCGCCAAAAAAGACACCGCTCTCCTCCGGATTGCGCTCCCGGCACGAGCAGCTTTTTCTTTCTCCGCCTGCTTTCCCCAGGCAGTCAAGACGAATCGCTTCGAGACGTTTTCCAACAGTTTTCCACACACCGTAGCTCGCTGCGACCTCTGCTTTCTCTTGGACGGAACTGCAAACCATCCTTTTACCGCATTACGCAACAACGCTTGCTCCTCCAAACGCTCGCGCATGTCGTCCAAAAATTCGTGCTGCCGCGCCACCACGTCTTTCATTTCGTACGTGATGCGAGTCCAAGCGCAAAACACGTTTTTCAACTGCAGAAAATCGCGGACGTTCGCGAAGGTCATCGCAGTTTTACGGTTGTGCGACCTTACGCGGCGGTTCTGCGCCCGTGCATGTTCGGTCTGCGCAGCGAGGTCCAGCTGAAAGGCGTTGTGTCGCTTTTTCTCCCGTCCCTGCAGGACCCCCGCTTTCCAGGCTTGCAGCGCTTTCGACCGGATGTATTTGTTGTAGAAGCAGAGACAGAGCGCGTGCAACAGCGCGATGTCCGCCCGGGGGACAGTGGTGAAGTTGCTGTGCTGCGAAATCGCAAAGCGGGAAAACCTCTCGTGGTTGTACCCCCCGACGCTGCCACCCGCATCCTCCACGTCGAGCGGATACTGGGGTACGTTTTCGTACAACGTGTAGTTGTCAGCGGAAGTTGCAGTCGTGCAGGAATTCGGCGTTTTTGCAGGGTAGTTTGGAAAAGACTGCGTCCGCGGATCATAGTTGTTGTATAATCCGGATGAATCGGGCTGATAATCGTAAAAAGTGTTCTTGCCATTGTAGTTGTCTACCATGATCCCTCTCGCCCGGAAAACCTGCCAGCTGTACCGGACGGCAGCGTGGGCTAGCAGGCGGAATGAAGTGCGTGCCTTACGACCGAACGTTTTCCAATGGTAAAAGCAGCAGCGTTTCATCAGTCTGCTTCGCCATGCGGTGGCGGCGTGAAGTCTCTTCTTCGGGTGAAGATGTTCTGTCAAGTGCTGGTGCTGTTGCAGTTCGTCGAGTGCAATGTCATCGACGAAAATCGTGTCCTGCCCGTTGAAGCAGTCCGATCGATTCGGGCGCGAATTGGACCAGGTGCGACTGCGCCGCGTTCCGCTGCTACCGGATCTGCTTCTCGTCTGGTCGTTATGGTTGTAATTTCGGCTGCTGTTGCTTCTTCCTCCACCTCCTCCTCCGCCGTAGTTTACGGAAAACGAACTCGACCTGCGGGCGGGAACAAGGTTCTCTGAGAACCCACGTTCTTGCAGCAGTCCCTCGTCGAATGTAGCAGAGCCCGGGGTCCGCGCCTGCTGCAGCTCGTTCATGCAAACGCTGTTGCGCATCTCCAGCTCCTGCACCATCTCACGCGCTTCCGTCAGTTCTCCGTCGCGTTGCCGCGCAACTTCCTCCAGCCCACGGATGACGTAATGAAGGCGTTCGATTTGCGGTTCCACCTGCTCTACACGGTACCTCTCCATTTCCAACTGAACTTGCTGGGCGAACCTAGGAAGGGATTTTTTGACGCAATGAAGAAGATCTTCAAGGACGATCTATCAAGAAAGTCGCACGTTTCATCTGAATTTTCCGTTCCGAATCATTATCATGTGAGGTGCAAGATGAGATTTAAAACAACACGTCTTCTTACTGCCTATCCATCTCCTGGATCTTCTCTTCGGCCACTCGCAGCGCCTCCGCGGTTTCGGAATTAGACGCCACGAGCTGCTGTTGACTTTGCTGCCGTCCTCCATGATCGAAGGTCAGCGTCGGAGACGGAAGCGTCAGGGGGAAGAAGTTCGTGTGCGGGGAGGGGTACTCCATCTCGCGTCGCAGATGGCTTCTAATGCGTGAACGCCGACAATTTTTGCAGCGGCTGAGGCGGTGCTAGCGTACGAGAGAGCGGGTGAGCGGCGTCGTTTTGGACATCATCGTGGCAGCGCAGTCAAGTTTTGATAGTTACGCATAGCGCGATTTTGAGCTTCACCTCTTCTCTTTGACTTTAACACAGAAGTGAAATAATGTTGTAAAAAGTTCGCCAATCACCGAAAATGAAAATCTAAACAGGTGCCTACGATGACAAGACGAAAACTCAGGCCGAACAACGAGGACGGAAACGTCATTGCTGCTGCACACCGAGCGATCTTCGATTTGACAACAAGATAGTTAGAGGTTGTTCAGAAGCCGTGTGTTGTAACTCTCTCGACAAAGCGAATGCCGGAGCATAGTCGATGAACCTCTAAGGCATACGCGACATCAAAGGGGAACAACGAGGATTTTTTGGCGGAATACCACAAGGCACATACAATCAATGAATAAAGAACAAGCGTTTTTCACGCCGAGCGACGAGATCATTAGTTCTCAAAAATTGCTCTTTGGCAGCGAGTGCTCCTATCAGGCGTACACTTCCTCCGCCTTGTGCAACACAACACGAAAAGTTTGCTCCTTGTCATCTTCCGCAGTATTATTTCCCGGCGCGAACCTTGTAACTCCTCGTCCTCCCCACTGGGGGGCCAGGTAGTAGCGCTGCACGTAGTGATACAGCATGGAGCAGGGCGCAAGGTAGTGGAAGTCCAGGTCGGTGAAGAAGTCGCGCGATATCATGTACATGTCCTGCAGCGTCTTGCGGATCGCGATGTCTTTCGGCCGTACGCCTAAAATCCCGTAGTCGATCTTTTCGAACCGGTCGATGCCGACGAAATCCGCGTCGGCGACCAGGGATTCGATGTTGTGGAAGAGCAAAACATCACTGTCAATGCTTACTCCGCCGAGCTGGTACAGGACAAAGAGGACACAAAAATCGCCTCGGTGCGCGCCACGGATGAATTTCTTCCGGAAGTACTCGATAGCCCGGGGGAAGCCGTCGATCGGGTTCGCTCGCATGAAATTCTCGCAGTCCTCGTCGCCAAAGCTCCGAAATTCCCAATCAGCGGGGAGGTGTCGTCTAGTCGGGTAAGTGACTCGCATCGACTCCTTGATCGGACCAATCTGAAGCAGCCGTTTCGGTATGCGGATACTTTTTGTCACTGCCGGTGCGGTTGTTTGCATGGTCTGTGACGACGAATTTGTTCTCGATGAATGCCGTTTGTTGTATTTTGTATCCGGGGTTGTCGCTCGAGCGAGACTGTCGAAGAAGTCAGGCGCTGACACAGCGCCCTTCGCCACGTAGTGTTTCAAAGCAAGCGTCTTGTGAGATGATGGTGAATCAGAGTTCTTGATAGCGCCAGCTTTCTTGTCGCCCGTCTCGTCGACATACACTGCCAGATGTGCAGATGGCGTGTGGGTGATATCCAGAAGATGCACGTAGCGCGGAAGGAAAACGTGGAGCCGCTGCGACTCGGTTTTCGTGTTCCACACCGCCTGCTCATTCAGAAATGCGGTGGAGGATTTGACGCCCGCCGATCCTTTGACGTTGAAGTCAAAATTCTCATTGACAAACTCCACCTGGTGCATAGCTTTCGCCGCCAGGCGGTCGGAATCGACAAAGTGGTGCTGCGTCAAGTGCTCGACGAAATAGTGCAGGCCGAAAGTTGCTTGCTTGTTGCGGATCAGCTTTGCGGCCAAATTGTCGGTTTCGGTGTGCGTGTGCTCCAAATGATTTTCTGGGACTAGCAAGCAGGGTAGGTCCGAAAAGAATCCAGCGCGAACGATGTCTGCATCCCGGGCGAGGGATTCACTCACGTTCCGAGCCTGCAGTGCGTGGAGGAGGCAATTACTATTGGACGTTCGGGTCGTCGATGGTACAGCAAGCGCTCGCAGCTGCTGACTGCTCTCTGTTGCCACTATGTCCTCGATGCACGTTGCTGCACTCTCAGAGGATGTTGAAACTTCTGCAGCAAGCAAGTCGTCCAAGCAGGCATGACTGTGGGTTGCTCCCCGTTCCGTTCTAGGCCGAGGAATGTCGGCTTGGGCGTCGTGGTCTTGCACATTGGCACTTCTGCTGTGCTCACGATTATTTGCAAGAATCGCCAACAACGCAAGCGTTTTGAAGATCAAGGACAACCTTGGGAAGACAAACCCCCGACGAACTGCAAGCAGCTCGCGTGAAACATGGCCGCGAAGTGTTGTGAAAAATGCTAGAGCGTCACTTGTCGTTGCGTTCTTTTCTACTTCGCCCGCGAAGTCAAAATTGTAGATGTCCAGACTTTGCTGCTCCTTCTCGAACTCGTAAGCATCTTCAGCCTCTCGACGGGTGCGCTGCTTTTTCGGTGTGAGTTCGAACCCGTCTCGTGTTGTTGCAAAGGCTTGCGGAAACAGCTGCTTCCCTACGGACTGAACGACTTTCAGTCTCAAAACGGCTTGCCTTTCAATCTCGAGGGTTTGGCGAAGGTGATCCGACAAGACTTTTTGCAGCACCTCGTTCTGGAGTTTAAGTTTATTTCCGTCAGCCCCAGAAGAGTTGTCGAATTCAGCGACATGAAGATTCTGCACCTCATCTGGATCTACGTTATGTAGAAGCGCTTGCTCGATGTGGGGAAGCAGCAATCCGAGCACTGCACCCAGCAACGCCGGACAGGAGTGAACGAACGGAGCAGAAGGCGCAGACGCGTTCGCACTACCATCAGAACGTAGTCTTCGTTGTCCGAATCGCTCCTGCAGCTCGACCAGCTGGGCAAAGACGGCACGCACGGCCTCGGGGTCAAGTTGCGCGTCGATAATCTTCACCGAAAAACCATCTGCGCGGCCGCGCGGCGCCAAGATCTGCGTAATGAGTTCCTGGAACAGCGAGCATTGGTAGATGTCGTCTGAAGTGGCGATTGGGACTCCCGAGGCCAGCTGCTGCCTCTTCACGGCGATCGGCGCGGCAAAATCCAAAATGTTGACAAACGCTGGCGGATTCGTGATACTAGTACTGTCAACATCTTCGAGGGCAAAGGAGCCAAACGCGGTTTGCAAGTCCGCGGCGATCCGCGTGAAGAAATTGGTTTCCGCCAACTGCACATACTGCTCTCCGCGATACTTCACTTGAAACTCCCTTGGTGCAAGGTCCTGGAGAACAAGACCGTAGCTAAACGTGACGACTCGAGGAGGGTCAATTCTTTTTTCACTCCTCTGGCTCACGGCCCCCGCTGCCGCCCCGCGGTCGTCTTTCGCCCGCACATGATCTTCATGTGGTCGCGCTTCGAGGCTCGCGTCTTCGAGTAGCCAGGCGCGAAGATTTGCAAAGTTTCCTTTTTTGTATCCGTGTATTCGCTCGAAGGAGAAGGCTTCTGGTGCGGTCTTGCGGAGGACATTGGTTGAGCTTGTCGACGAGGATTTGGCAAACGTCGATACGTGTACTTTTTTATCATCGGTCTCGTCCTCCGCGTCCCGTTCCCAGAAGGACGCTGCAGGCTCTTGGCCATGGCCAGAGCCGAGAAGAAATTCATCTGCGTTCTTCCAGCACTTCTCGTGGTGTTCCAAGAGAAGTCCACAAAGCACACTGTGTGTCAACTGTGCGCGACTGCGTTTGCTGTGTCGCACTAACGCCGAAAGAGCTGCAACGATCGCAGAGAGGCTCCTAGAAGTACCCACATCCTCATCTGATCTTACACCGATCGTTGTGTGGATCGAGCTTGTCTCTTCATCTCGGCCCATCGGTAGCACATGACGATAAAACGAGCATCAGCCGTCGGTTTTGGATTTTGATCGTGAACAGGCACTCTAATCATGTGCGAGCACTCTACTTACACAGTTTCAGAATGCCACAGACGAATCACGGTCGAAAATCGAATGCAAAGAAGAAGACGTTCGCATAATATGAATCCACTATGTTGGTGGAACATCAGGGCTGCTGCATGTAACCACCATGGCAGTTGGAGGGACGAAACCCCTGCACAAAGTCATTGTTTGGGGATGCTTATGTGTGTGTTTCTAAGTAATCGCACGCTGCGTGCGCGGAGAATGTCAGAGTCAGCACTGCACGAATGTGCAGCGAAGAACATCATGGACGTTTCAGTACATCAGTTAAACGCCATCATGGAACAAGAGATGCATTTATCTCTGCCACTCGCCAATCCCTGGCCTTGCGCTCTTCCCCTGCCGTGCACTTCTGCTCATCATGATTTTTTCGTCCCGATGCGCGAGCGGGTGGTGGAATCTGGAGACCTCCCGCACCTCCGGCTGCAGCAAGGACTTGCGGTTCCGCGCAGACTGGGTTTTCCCAACGGTCGGACCCTTGGAAGTCTTTGCCACCACCACCCGGAGCCACTCGAGCGGTGTCCACCCCTTGTCGTCCGTGAAGGAAAACATTTCCGGACACTCTTCCTTGATCACCTGCAACACGTGCGTCTGCTCGTTCGCCGCCGCGGCGTGCGCGGCCGTCCACCGACCCCGGCCGAAGTGCTCGGGGTCCGCCCCCGCGTACAGCATCTGCCGGAAACATATCAAATGTAAAAATGTCTGGGTCTGGAAGATTGCGAGATTTGTCATGCATATTTCGGATCACGCAAATGGCGTCTGATGCAGGCAAAAGCTTCACAGGTGTTGAGCACGCCTCATGATGCCTGTCCCGCATGAGAAACTTCCTACTTGCGTGCCAAGAAATGGACAGCTTTTGGCGGTCATGCAACACAATTTTTTGTGTGTTCCAGAGTTTGCATCACAAGTTCCAACCCTTCCAGACCCAGACATTTTTACATTTGATAAAACACTCGCCGCTTCCACCGATGGCCGCGTAGTGCCTGTATTTGCGTGACAGAGGATGCTGAGAAGGTTTTTTGAGGGATGAACAATTTGCTCTCGGAACAACTACGTCAACTACATCATCTCGGATGAAAATATTATCGCAGCAAAAAATACAGTGGCGTGAAGCCGTCATCGTCTGTGCAGTGGAGATACTTTTTGTTTGTGATACAGTAGGCTTTGACAAGCCTGCGGTCCCCGGCTAGTGCCGCTTGTTGCAGCTCCACGAGTTTACCTGTCGTGGTTCATGATTCTCTTTTGTTCTCTTCATAAGTACTAAGTGGGCGCTTTGCTCTGTGCAAGTGCACTTGCACACGACGATTCACATGAGCCGACCCTTCTTCCAATGCAATCACCATAGAATGATTTTACCCATAACAGTTTCAGTACGTTTGTTCACAGGCATGCGCGTTTCGAATTCCGGCTCTGGGATGACGCGCTCCAGCGGTGCGCCTGGATCCAAGGCTGGTGGTGGACGTTTAGGAGGTGCGGAATAAAGCCGGCTCAGCTTCGTCCACTGAGGGCCCAGTTGCTTCGCCTGAGTATGAAATTCAGTCACTTTTTGCGTTTTATGTGCGTCGGAGTGCTCCTCCTCTTCCTCGACAGTTCTTGTTTATGCAATATCCATATCAGTAATCCAGGGAAAACTCAATACCGCTTGGTGGAACGGCGTGGGAGGCAACTTGATCTCCATCTTGGGGTTTGGCGGTGGCGGTCGTGCGCTGCTGGGTCGGATGGCAAGCACCGAGGGGTTCTGCGGGTCCCCGCCCGGGGGAGCCTTATCAAACTTGCCGACCGGCGGTTTCCGCACCTGGGGCACGTTCTGCTGCACTTCCGGCTGCGCCAAGATGTCCTGGATGCCCACCCGCTGGCTCCCTAACCCGTAGCCTGAAGACGCAGCGGCGTTGGATGGTGGCTGCGCAGCGTTGGATGCCGAGCTACTCGCGGTTTTGTCCGAAAACACAATCTGGCGCTGCTTGCTCGCCGGCTTCGGTGGTTTCGCTGCATCGGGTTTCGCCGGAGCAGCTACAGCAGTAGCCATTGCGCTCGGCGGCCGGACCATCTGGACGCCCGTTTCGTTCGGTTCCTTTACCGCTTTCGCGGCTATCCCGGCGGGCTCAAGGAACACGTTCGTTTCCGGCGGCAAATCGGAATACGCGCGGTCTGCTTGCATTCTTACTTGCAGGGAACCCGGTACTGCACCGCCGGAGCCATACGCGTCTTCTGACTGGGCGCGTGGGCGGTCCGGGTCCAGGCGGTGCGCGAAGTGGCCGTGCGGCGCGGGCTCTTCCTCCATAAACACGTCCATGCCTCCGTCTTCGTACCCGGACGCGCTGACCGGCCGGGAAACCGGCTTGGCCTCGACCACCGGCTGCGCAGAGTAGGGCCGGTAGTGCGCGATGTCGGTCAAGTGCGTTGTGTAGTTCAGCGTTCGGTCCTTCCCGTACACGGTCGAGGCTGGACCAAACTTGTAGCGGAAAGTTTTACTGGATTTCTTCGCTGCGCGACCGGGATCGGGCTCCTGCGGCTCCATCGCCGGATCGAAAAACACGTCGTCCTCCGGTTCGTCGTGATAGAAAATCAGGTTGCTCGTCGTCGGATCCGGTTCCCGGCGCGCCGGTTGCACGTGTCCGCCTGTTCTGACCGAGGGGAAGGTGTCGGGAGAGAAGAAAAACTGCTTATTCGGGCTCGAAAGATTCTGCTCCACCTGCCGGAAGTTCGGCTGCTGGTGCTGCTTGCCACGAGGACCGGCTGTATTGGACTGCGGAATCGTTTCCTTGCCTGTGGGTTCTCGACCACTTACGCTCCTTCCCTTTTCATTGCTTTGCTTTTGACTCCCTACCCCAGGCCTCGTTCTTTGCGAAGACACCGATGGTGCGAGGGGCGCTTCCGGCTCCTTCATCGACACAGCCTGAAGGTGGTCCGCGAACGAGCCGTTCACTCGCTGCGCGTGCTGCGCCGCGGCTGCGCTACCGGACCCGTAGGTACGAGAAGTTTTTCTCATCTCTTGCACTTGCTGTTGCTGGTGAGTCATCATTCCGCGGGCAGTTGAGGACGACGCGGCGGTGTTGTAGGAGAAAAGCGGTTTTGCCATGTTCGTCGGCATTGGTACTTGCTGCTGATAAGCGCCGACACCGGAACCAGCACCTGCCGCGAAATAATTTCTGTCCGGACTGGTCCTGTATCGGTTCGGGGACGAAGATGAGCCATCCAGGATCTGAGCAGAGGACGCGGAGGCCTTGTTCTCCTGCAGGTTCGGTTTCGCGGAAATGGGCCGGTCCGCGTGGTTTTGCTTTTGTGGTCCCTGCCGGCGTTGGTTGTAGGGCTGGTGCGCCGACATTGGGCGGGAGGCCACGGTCCGAGTTGGCGGCGGCGCGGTGGCCGGCTGGTACTCGACCCGATCATCGGATTCGACTTCCATAGTAAGGAAGAGAGGGTGATTCAGAGAGGAAGACTCTCCTTGTAATCAAAAATTTTTCGCCCGGATCTTCAGCTGGTGCCAACGCAAAGCATATTTTTGCAGATTATATCTCGGTTATGTTTCGTTTTGAGACGGTGCGTCTTCTATACTCTATGAGTATGGTGCCCTCCTTGTTGTGGCCTGAAGATACATGCACTTTCGGTCGCAGCATCCACCAAGTAGCAGTATTCACTTGCCGGTCGAGACTCTCTCGTGCTCGAAAGCAATAGAATCGAGACTCTCCAGAATTTTGCTCACTCGAAGGAACCGTCCAGGCCGCCTATTGCACAAAAACAAAAAAAGGGGAGTTGGCGATCTGCCACAAATGCCCAGGAGGTTGCTTCGCAAATTGTGCCCGCGAGTAGAATAGGAAAAAACACCCAACCCAGAAGACCGATTTCGCTCCGTAGCGCTCACAAAAGATACATAACGAACGCGTCCCAATCTGGATGTCTATGGCGTTCTGTGCACGCATTATTCCCAGCTGACCACTGCAGTAGTGAATCAGTGCAGATATGATCCGGTGCCCTGTAGGTCACCGACGCGGGTATTAAACTTGGATGATAACTCGTTCTGAAAATGCAAGTGATTGGAAACGCAAACGTCAAAATTGATAAGCAAAATCGCGAAACTCATTAATTTGGTGGCGCACGGCTTGATGAGGACGCGCCCCCACCTGTACTCGACGACGAGCCCCCGGTCTCACCAGTGGAGCTGCTTCCAGCTATCCCCGTCACCAGCTGCGCGATAGCCTCCACGCCTGTTTGACACTCGCCACCGAATTTCTCTGCCTCGAAGTGCTTGCGGATTGGTAAGAGTTCTGGGGCAACGACATAGCTGTCGCAGGCGTAACACCAGAACGACAAATCACTGAAGGACAGGCAGACATAGTGGCTGTCGTTCTCCAGAAAATGAAATAGCGCGTGCTCGTTTTTGTACCTGCTGCAGAAGACCCCTTTGCATTTCAGGCACAACCAATTCTCATCCGGCTCGTCGCAGGAGGGACATTTTGCAGAAGCAAGCTTGACGTCGGCGTAGTCGGTAACGTTCCGGGCGCACTCGCCGACGTGCGGGCAATCGTCTTTGGGTTCAACCGCAAAAAGCTGCATTTTCGTCCATCATTAATTTCACTAGTGAGAGTGTGTCTATGGTTGTCCCAAACAGTGGGCCGCAGGTATCAATCGTACTTATATATTTTATTCTTATTATGCCATCGGCAATAACATTACACGAAAAACGGAAGGAGAAGCGTTCACTGCCCTGTCTTTACTGCAGCAAAGGCGGCTTCGAACACTGATATCTAGGGGGAAAATGCTCCCCCGGCGCGCATGGGACATCTGACGGCGGACCAGATCGCCTTGCTGCAATTCATGTTGACTAGCCCTTCAGGGTGCTCCATCGTCTCCACAAGAGGGATCAGGTTCACATTGCTTCGGCCGCGGTTCACCTTCTTGTATTGCCTGGGCCAGTGGCCAGCCACGAAACGAGCGAAGGCAGGGGGCAACGCGCCAGAATCCCAGGCCTCCCCTCTGTGGCGCGAATCACCGACGCGGGCCTGCTTGCAGGCAGGGCGCTGCGACCGGTCGGACGGGGTGTCGCTGGTGCAAGGAAGGGCGGGCCCGCAGGCCCTGCCGGCGCCTACCCTGCTGCGCCCTGCCTGCCTGCGTGGTTGCTGACTGGCCGGCCCCTCCTTCCATCCCCACAAGCACAAACGAGGAGGCTCGGGCCGGGAAATAAATCAATCGCCAACCTGCCCGGCCCGGGCAAGCTTCCGGCTTTAATTTCCTGTTAATTATGTGTTAATTCTGAAAAACGCAAACGGCTGCCCCAGTTTTTTTTGCGGCGGCAGCTGGTTGAGGAAACCCGGCAGGCCACGCCGGGGAAGCCGACGACGGGCGGGCCGGGCCAGCACAAAGGGCGGGGGGGCCCGCCGGGGCGTTTTCGCGCGGGGCGGGCCGCGCGAGATTTATGCCCGCGGGGATAGGGCAAAAGCGCAGCGTCGGGCCCCATTGGCGCCTGGTGCAGATTGTCCCCGGGAAAAAGGAAGCGTGGCCCGTGGTTTGCCCTGGAAGCCGAACGCTTCACGGCGAACCCCCAGGCCACCCCGATGCGCCCCACCCCCCATTGTCCGGCGGCCACGGCAAGCCAAGTGACACGGCGTGGGCCGTCCCAAACCCAAGCGGGACGCGGCCGCATTCGCCTTCCAAAAACCGCGCTTCTTTTGTGGTGGGGCGCCCACATAGCAAAAATCTTTGGGACAGTGTTAATTTTCCGAGCTGGGCTTGTGTTAATTTTAGTGTTAAAATATGTGTTAATATTTGTGTTAATCTTTTGTGTTAATTTCCCTGGGGCCGATTTCCCACAGGAATCGCCTTAAAATGAAATTAACCCAAAAAATTAACCCAAAAATTAACGCACATTTTATCGCCTTCCCGGGAAAAATCGCCCCGGTGTTTTCTCCCAGAACCGGCTCCCGGGAAAACGGACCCGAAACAAAGAAACCCCAAAAGCACAGGAAACGCCGGGGGTGCCCGCCGACACTTGCCAGCCCAAGGCCAGGCCCGCTCTGCCCGGCTTGCCCAAATAAATGCCCAAACGGAAGCCCACAAGGAGACTACACAGCCTGCGCGTGGGCCCCCAAGCATTTCCCGCCGCTCGGCGCCACTGCCACGCGGACCAATATTGAAAACCACGAAGGCCCACCAGGCCATAGGACCGGAGGGGCGCCGCCTGGCGTACGGCGGAGGGGGGGGCCACCGAGAGACCGGGCGCGCAACGCCGTCGAAGACCGGCGGCGGCCTCCCAAACAGAAACGGCGCAGCAGACGGGGGCACGGAAAGCGGGGAACCTTACGGCTGGGGCCGTGGCACAACGGGCCGGAAAATCCAAGGCGCCAAAACTAGGCAGTTTGGAAATTAACAACATTTTAACAAACTTTTACCGTCCTGATTTTGCCCGGGCCGGGCCGTCTGACAATCGGCGGGGTCGATTGGCCCGCGCGACGCTGGCGCGGCCAGCTAAGCACAAACATTCACACGGCCCGCCCAGGCGGCGGCCCGGCGGCTGTCGAGCGCTTCGCGACGCCTCGCCGCTGCCGCTTTTATTTTTGTTGTTGCTTGCGGCCCATCGTGTTGCGGCGGCGGAGGCCACCACGGCCGCGCACCCCCCGGGCGCTAGCCTCGCACTTGCGAAGGCCGGGGCCATGCGTGCGCGGAACTTATATGGGCGGCGGTGGGTATATATTAGAAAGCGCCGCGCCCTGCCTTTCCAGCTCCCCGCCGCGCTGCGCGCGCGCCCGGCCCTGCGGCGCCGCCGTGGCTCTCTTTTTTTATGCTCCTCCTCGGCCGGGATTTGCGCCGTGCCCATATTTCCGCAAGCCCATTCCGCCGCTCTGGAGCTGGCGCCGCCTGCGTTCGGCGCCAACCTACGAAAGGATCAGCGCGCGACTGCTTTCCAACTAAACCACGAAGGGGGCGAGTGGGCTGCGGGACGAAGTGCAAAGGCTGCCCGCTGACTGAACGAACCGAGGCGGCGAAAATTGAACGAGCCGAGGCAGCGGAAATTGAACGAACCGAGGCGGCCCGGCGGCGAAAATTGAACGAACCGAGGCGGGTGCGCGTTCGGGCCCCACGCCGGGCCCCAATCATGTCTGCGCCACGGCCCTGGCCGCGCGACGCCGGAGGGGGGCAATGCAATGGCGATGGCGGGCGCCCCATGCGCCGCCACTTCTGATCGTGCGCATTCCCTCCATCGCGTTGCCTGGCGCACCCACGCAATGAATGCGGGCGGCCAAGCGGTCCTTCCATCGCGCTGCGGCCAGGCAACCAGCCACGCCCCGGCTGCGTCTTGGGGCGGAAACCTGTACGGGCCACGGGCAAGGATTCCGCCGCCTTGCAGTTCCGCGGCTAGCTCGCGAGAGTCACGCCATGGAGGTAGCGCCGCCCTGTTTTCGTCGTAGATCCGCCGCGCCCAAAAGCTCCTGCGCCTTAGCCAGCGAGGAGCGTGCGACGCCCGGCCGAGCGGCTTCAATTTCAGCCGGGTGATGCTCTTCACGTTTTCGTCGCCGCACTTCGTTCGAATCGCGGGAACGATTGAAGACCGGTAGTTGGCAGAAAAAGCTGCCTGTTCCAGTACAAGGTGGAACACAGTAGAATTCTCAGCGAGGGCGGCCAGTTCAAGTAATCGGTACTGCTGCAAACCATATTCGGTGCCAGCTCGGTCAGCTTCCTCCCGATGTTCCTGCCTTTTTTCGCAGTTCCACAGACATTTTGATGCGTTCTGATTGACTCGCGAAGGCGGTTTTTCTTTTACAGAGAGCCGCCATGACCTTTGAACGTCTTTGACCTTTAAAAATGTACGCTTTGCAGTACATCACGCTTAAAAACTGAAACTCTTACTCTTGTTGGAAGATCATACAGAAGCGAGAAGCACAACGCCGAAGCAAAAAACGCACTTGCTTGTCACAAATTTCAGGAGTGTATACTGCATCAACTATGATTCTGATTCAAAAACATCCATGCCTCAGATCTTCACTGATCCATCTATTTCTTCTATCACATCCTCATCAAGCGCGTTTTTTCTTCCTCGCATGAATGGACTTTTCCACCGCCAGGCGGAGCTCCGCGCGACTCATCGGCATTTCGTCGCCTTCCGTGTCCGAGTCTTCGAGTTTCGCGGTTGGTAAATCTTGCGGTTTTCGCATGGCTTTTCCAATCGCCGGCTTGTTCAGGATTCGTAATGGAGCGGAGGAGGCCATGTAGTCCCGGAAGTGTAAGAGGTTATGCTCGACGAAGTTCAGCAGCTCTTGCACCGGGTGTTCGTGCATGTTCTCAAGAATGTGCATTCCCTCTATTGGCACAATCAACGCACTGTCGTGGACCTGTAGGTGTGAGAAAGCTTCGTTTGTTGCGAGTGCGGAATGATGCGGCAACATGCATGATCACCATTGAACGAAACTTCTACGAGATCGCATTGGCATTGCAAGCGATCTACCTGCTCATGCTGTTTCGTCAGCGTTGTCAGTGCGTTGAGCCGCTGTCCGGTCGGAGTGTTGTAGTCCTCTGGGAGTTTCAAAGCTTCAAACAGCAGCCCACCCATGACCTCAACGGTCTTCTGTAATGGATCCCGTACTTTGCTGATGATATCCAAACCTGTTTTGAGAGATGAACGCATCGCAAGCGGGTAATTGTTTTGGTTCAGAGAGAATGCGAAGACAGAAACATAAAAAGGCGTACAAAGTTGTTGGATACTTCTTGTTACCTCGTTGTATATCCGCTTCCTTTTCCAACACGACAGCTTCCTCCTGGTGAATTTTGGATTCCAAACTTCTCAACAGCGCTTTTTTCCGGCCCAAGTCCGGCGAATTCTGTCGGTGCCGCGCGGAGTAGATGTGGTCCAGCGCTTGCTTGTTCGCGACCTCCAGCTGCTCAATGTCGGCGTGCAGAGTGTTGACGTAGGTGAGCAAGCTGTAGGACCGGTCCTCCATTTCCGTGAAGATCCGCACGATTTCCTCCAAATTTTGTATCCCGGTCAGGGTCCTGATCGTGTCAAATGCCTGGTCGAAGTATTACAGTGAAAAGTGCCCCCCATTGCCATTCCTGACATTGCAAATATTTGTGATGAGCAGTTTCCAAATGAAAACTTTTTGTCATGCAGGAAAGGAGTATGAATCTTTCTGATGCTGATTCTAGGGATGGATCGCATCGCTTGCATGACAAGAGCCGCTCGTGCTGGGGTCTTTTGCAATACAAATTTTTGCTATTCACGATAAGAAACTTGTGATGCTGACAGATGCAAGACGGCGAATGTTTCATTTGGAAAGGTTTGCAATACAAATGCTCCCAAGTTCGGGGGTGGGGGCATTTTTCGTTGTAATACGAAGATCTCGATGTTCTTCGTGTACTGCCTGATTCTGCGCCGTTGAATCGCGTTGAAAAAGGCGTTCCGGAAGATCCGGCGACAAAGCACCTGCGCGTCGAATTGCCTTTCCTCCTCTGGAATGCTGATGTCGAGGTTGGCCGCGTGCTTCTTCTTCCACAGAATACTTCTGGTTGACGGCGACACACCGCCTTTGTGATGTCCGGCAGGGTAGTTCCCTCGGGTAGAAGAAGAGGACCCGCCGGCTTGAAGGCTATTTGGCGGAACTGGTATTCTGTTTTGCTGGTCGACACCAGCAGCTCCATGTGCAGCTGCGGTAGTTGTACTGCGAGAATTATTGCCTGCTCCAGGCGGTCCGGGTGCTGGTAACGCAGGCTGGTTATTGCCTTTGCCTCCCCGCCCGGCGCCAGGCCCAAGGGTCACCCGGGAATCGGCTTGCAGACGGTTACTCCTTGCGGTCGCAGAGGTCGCACGTTGTTGCCGGAGCTGGAGGGCGCGCTGGATCCGTTCCTGCTTCGCGTAGTCCTCCCGCATATTCTGGACCATATCCTTGAATTCTTTCCGCTGCTCCTTCATGCGCTTTTCCACGCATCTCGTTTGGGCCAACATCTCCTCCTTTTCGCCCTGCGCTTGCTCGTACACATGGGTGGCGCGGATCAGCTGAAAAAATTTTCATTTTGGTATGCAAAAACACTCGAAAGCGCTACTTACTTGTACGCAAGAGAAAAGAGCGAGCGACGTATAGGTATAGGCAAAGTCAGTACCTCTCTCGTTTGTGTCTGGATGTCCTGTTTGAGCTGTTTGAAGATTCCATCAACCTTTTTCCGTTCCTGGCGAAGTTTCGTAATTGTCCCAACGTACTCGGAGTCTTTGTGGTGGAGGAGATTCAATTTCTGAAACAGCGTCTCCAGTAACCGCTCCTGGCCGTGCTGAAAAAAAAGTTGAGTTTTTCACTTCACACGAAAGGCGACTCCCAACCAGATGCAGATCATACGAACCACCAGAAGAGGTGCGCCGAGAGAAAACCATGTTTACCGCACGAGCAAAACACCTACCTCCGTTCCGGCTTTTCCCTCGTACTCGTGTTTGAGCTTCTGGTACCGCGTTCGTCTGGTTTCGAATTCCCGACGGCACTTCGCAACGCCCTCCTCCAGATCGCAGAGACGCCTCCGTTCCTGCTCCAATCGCCTCGTGCGAATATCGATATCCGCGCGTAACCGGTAGAGGTGGTCGTTCAGCAACCCCTCGTCCGAGCGGTGGTCGACCGTTTCCAGCAACGTGGGCCGGCTCATTGCGCCGTACTGATCGCCAATCATTTTTTGGCGGGCGAAATTGATTCGCCGCGGCAAGAAGCTACCTGACGAGGATCATCTTCAGTTGTTACGATACAAGTTTCATTACGAGAAACAGGAGGCTCATACTCACATCTTCGTCTTCCTTCTCCGCAAAATGATTTTGATTTGAGCGCATGTTGAGATTAGATTTTTACTACTCGATTTCTTGTTAAATGTCAAGATCTGTCGTTGATCTTGTAAGAGAAGAGCATGGGACATGTAAAAACAAAAAACAAGCAGAACACCACAGGTAAACGCTTTTTCGAATGATGGCGCCGTTTTCGTTTTTTCATTCTTTGTTTCCAAATCAATAGCTTTCTCCTTCTGTTGGGGTTCCTTTGTACATTGTCTCGAAAAATCGCAGCCTCAACTTTTTTCTTCATTTCATTTTCAGAGACACTGATAGAAGCAGGAAGTAAAAGCCGCAAAGCGTTAATTTCGTTACACAACAGTCTCATTTTGTACATGAATTTCTAAATCGATTTTGGTTCAGCTTCAGTACAGTACACGTCATACTGACTACGTGTTGTGAAGTAGAAGTTAGAGATTTGCGCTTCTAGGAAGGAAACAGAAAGTCGCATTATTGTACAGTGAGAAACATACAAAGTCTTCTTGTTCTTGTTCGTTTTCGATTCTCCTTCGCGAAAAAAATCAGAACGCGTTCGAGTTTGCCGGTCGCAGCCGTCCGTGTCCCCGTTTCCTTTCCACTCTGGCGTAGCGCACGTCCGAACGGGCCTGCACAGCACTGGAGACGATCCAGGAGCTACTTCCCGTGTTTTCGTCAGACGAGGTTGTCGGCGGGTCTGGGACCGTGTGGTAGTGCTTTCGGAGAACATTCGGATTGTTCAATGGCGCGCGATTTCTCGGGGGCAGATTGCGAATGTATTCCCTTTCGTCTTCGTTGAAGGTGACGGCAACCACGTTCAGGCCGCTGGCGCCGGTGCAGTTGTTTGTACTAGCCCCGGATGAAGTTCTATAAAAGTAATCCTCGTCCGTCAGAAGGGCATCGGTCTCGGCCAGAATGTCTACACTTTCCTCTCCGTCACTGCGGTAGATGTTCTCCCTGGGAACGACGAGCTCTTTACTAGTTCTGGATCCGGCGAACAGATTGAAGGTTTTGCTCTTGCGCTTGCCGCTGAACAGCAGATCACTGTCGGAGTCGGTTTCTACTTCTGACGCAAATTCTGGGTAGTAGTACCCCGGCGGACGCTTCGGAAGTGCTTGTTTTCCCTGCATCATCTTCCCTTTCATGTCGATGTCTTTACCCTTCATCATCATGTTGGCGTCCTTACCCTTCAGCATTATGTCGGCGTCTTTACCTTTCATCATCATGTTCATGTCGGCTTGTTTGCCCTTCATAGCTTGCATCATCATGTCTTGGGCAGCTTTGCCCTTCATCATCGCGTCCTCCTTCCCGCCCTTGCCCGGTGGCATCATTTTTTGACCTGCTTTCATCATCCCGGGACCTCCTGGGCCGGCGGGAGGAGCGGCTTCACCTTCGCCCTTCATGCTAGCTTTGCCTTTGCCCTTAGGATCCATCATGTGCGGCTCCTGCGGCGGCATGCCTTTCGGTCCGCCTTGGTCGCCCTTGTGCGGATCGTGCCCCGGCGGCATGCCTTTCCCTGCCGGATCGCCCTTGTGTGGATCGTGGCCTGGCGGCATGCCTTTTCCGCTCGGGTCGCCCTTGTGCGGATCGTGCTCATGCCCAGGCGGCATCCCTTTTCCGTACGGATCGCCTTTATGCGGATCGTGGCCTGGCGGCATGCCTTTCCCGGCCGGATCGCCTTTGTGCGGATCGTAGCCCGGAGGCATGCCTTTCCCGCTCGGATCGCCTTTGTGCGGATCATAGCCCGGAGGCACGCCTTTCCCGCTCGGATCACCTTTGTGCGGATCGTGGCCCGGTGGCATGCCTTTCCCGCTCGGATCGCCCTTGTGCGGATCGTGGCTTGGCGGCATGCCTTTCCCAGTCGGATCGCCCTTGTGCGGATCATGCCCCGGCGGCAAGCCTTTTCCGGCCGGATCACCTTTGTGCGGCTCGTGCCCCGGCAACACACCTTTTCCGCTCGGATCGCCTTTGTGCAACTCGCCTTTGTGATCGGGGTGCGTTGCGTCTTTACCGTGCGATAGCGGATCGCCTTTTCCCGGGCCGTGCATTTCTCCCTCGGCGCTGTGTGGCTTTCCAACCGGCTTTCCCCCTGGAGAAGGTGCAGCGGCATGCGGTGCCATCGCGTGCATTTTGGCCGACGCAGCTTTCGAAGACACCGGCATCGTCGCTTTCGCTGGCATCATCACGTCGGCGCCGCCTTTGACTTTTCCTGCAGCAGTGCCTTGCTTAGCACTCATTTCCGCACTTTTCATCGCGCTTTTGCCGGCAAACTTGGCACCCATTCCCGGTGGGGTCGCTTTCGGAGGCATTTTGCCTTTCTTCATCATCTTGCCCGTACCAGCGCTGGGTCGTTTGCCACCGAAGTTGTCAACATCCGCATCCTCTACTTCAACATGCCCTCCTTCGTAATCATCTTCATCGTAGCCGCCTGCTTCCATTTCCAGATCGTCGAACTCGCCCTCACCACCCCGCGCCGCGGCGAAGTCCGCCATCTCGGTCATGTGCTGCTTGCTGCCACGCATGCCGTGCAGGTGATGGTGCGCTTCGTCCGCCTCCTCCTGCAACTCTTGTTCCGAGCGAATCTCGCCCTGCTCGTGCTGCACCAGAATCATGTCGTGCAAAATGAACGCGGGTAACACCGTCAACAAATGAATCACCATTGGGTACCCGGAGAGTGCGAAGTGCGGCTGGCTTATCCAAGAAAAAAACGTTGTTAGTGTAAGTTTGTGATGCGCATCATGCAAGATGATTGTGTGTGTCATGCTTGGCATGCATCGTAGGATCCATTAAAGGGCGTTTTCACGTACTATCTGCGCATGACAGGTTTTTGCTGTCATGCCAGACAAATTTGTAATGCTGTTCCTCCAAAAAAGTTACACCTACAATGTTTTTTTCTTGGATATGGCTGAAGGAGTACCCCGCTGCGAGGACGCCGAGAAAAAAGCCAACCGGCACCAAGAAAAACTGACACAGCAGCACGGTCCCTTCGCGCACGTAGTCGCGTCGGCCCAAATGCCACTGGTCCTCCTGCTCTGCCGCATTCAAGTTGAGCGCGGTGTGGCTGGCGCGCCCGGGTTCCGGATCCAAGACCTCGCGGAAGAGCAGCTCGGGAATCCGTTGCAGGACGCTGGTGATGCCCACCGTGTTGATCTGCAGCGGTCCGCGGGCCGTGAAGTAGTTCTGAATGCCGAACGCGGTGGCGGAGCAGAGGAGCCCGACCGGGAAAGTTTCGTTTCCGTGTGGGTTTTCCAGAAACACGAAGGCGTAGTGGCAGGCGGAAATCGTTTCCAGCACCACGACAAACAACCCGAACAAAATCCCCACGCGGTGGTGGTCCCGCATGGCAAAGGCCGCGATGCCCGCCCCGAGCACCGTGCAGGCCACGGTGCCGAGCAGCACACCCCCAGGCTTATCGTGCATGCGGTAGGAGATCCTGTGGGCGAGCTGCGCCTCGTCAGGCTGCAACTTGTCTTCGAAGTGGTTCGGCAGAAACCGTTCGGTGATGGCAACGCCGTAGGCAATGAGATTCGGGAGCGTGATGCCGGCAAAGACCCCGTACCGCCAGAAGTAAACCACGTCGGCAAAGCCGGCCCCAAGAGGGAACAAAAAGCTCACGAGCCACAGCCGGAGCGCCATGAAAAGGTGCCATCGGTTGTTGCTGTTGGAAAACAGATCGGCTTCGAGGTTCTCGGCCTTACTGATGTGCGCGCCGTCACCCATCTCGTGGCTCTTCGTGATGCTCTTGATGACCTGCTTTTGTATATCAGTCACAGGCTGGTCTCCGACCCCGCTGTCGCGACATTGTTGATTAGATGAATTGCGCTTTTTTCACTGTGCCCATTCGAGACCGACGCCTAATCTCGGCTACGGAAGCAAAGAGTGGAAAAGAGTTGTTGTTCTGCGCGTCTCAAGTAGGAAATTACCACGACCAGCACGACATGCACGATTGCGAGCGACGAGCAGAGCTCCTCTAGGTTCTCTCATTCAAGAAATCGACACGAAGTTGCGACGAAACGACAATGTTGCTGTTGTAGGGGAAGTGCTTTACGAATACGATGGATTCGTCTCAACGAACTCTCGGTTTTTCGAAGAGATGAACAGATGGAGATGCCCCGGCCACAGAAAACTAGAATCATGTTGGCTCACTGATTCCTTTGTCAAAGGAAAATGTCGTTGTCGCTTTTCATATACGAAAACAAATTTCGAAGGAGTGGTTCCCTATACGAACATTTCATCATGGTCGCTCCTTCACTGATGCTTTGCTTTTGTGCGCCGCACGGTAGGCCGCTGAGAGTTGGCGTTCCGCGTGCTGCCGCTTTTTCGTATCCGCCATCGTGCTGCTCTCCTCTTCCGCAAGGCTCAGTGCCGTTCCGACCAAAATGCGGTTCTGGGGCGTGATGTTTTCGTTGATAAACCGCATGCGGACATCATAGCGGACTCCCGCGCTTTTCCCGCCGACCTGCATCCTACCGGCAGTGAGAAGGTCGGTGACGGTGCCAAATAGCTGGTCGTTTTTTGTTCTCCGGACTTTCTTGTCTTCACTTTTTCCACCCTCTCCCATCATTCCGCTTTGTTCACCAAGGAACGTATCCGCGAGGTGCCGCGCCGTGCTTTTCCACCGTTGACCCTGCGTGCGGTCGCGGTGGCAGCATGGCATCACGGCAACGTGGACCCCGAAACTTTGCGCGATGTCGATCGTGTCGTCTGTGAGGTGCTGGCACGCGTGACAGGCCACGACTAAGATTTCCGACGGATGAACGGCAAAATCATCTTCGGTTGTATGTTTGTTCAGAAGTGTGGCGAGCTCGTCTGGTAAACCCGTGTGGAGGTCTTCGTGCCGGTAGCGCAAAGCACAGTCAGGATGTTGGTCGTGATCGCTCCCTGCGGATTCTTTCGCACTATCTTCGGTGACTGCTTGACAAACCAGCTCTTCGCCATCGGGTGGCTGCAGTGCAGTGGGTGTAGTTGCGACTGCGTCAGGCGCCGTGGTCGAACGCGACGCTGTTTTTTCGTCTTGCTCTTCGATACTGGCAGCAACAGCAGTACGAAGGCGCTCCTTGATGTAGTTCTCGTGATCTTCCCTCCTTCTGGAAAGGTACTTGCCCCAAGCAGTCAATATGCCGCGCTTTCCTGCGGGCGCTTCGAAGGGGTCGATGACAACCGCGCGTTCCACGGACCGGTGCAGGATGAGGAAGACCGCCGCTAGCGCACCATGCCCCCCGGCAACGTCCAACACCACTTTTACCTTCGGAAACAACGGCTTCACCGCATTGCAGAAAGCCAGTGCTTCTTTCACTTCCTTCGCGCTGGGACGGACGGCAGAGGAGTCGCGCAGCGCTCGGAAAAGTTCTCGCTCCATGATATTTTTCCTACGGTCGAGGGAGGCTGAATTTAGTGTAGCAATTCAGTACCCCTAAAACGAGTCGTGATTTGTAGTGCTCGGTGAGATGCGAGGAGACGAACCAGTGCCGAGTCTGGTCTGCTACTTTTCTAAGGGTGCGCTACCATGCCTGTTCGTTGTTGCGTTGAACTTCGCGGTGGACGTGTTGTTTTGGTGCTTGGTCTTGCATCATGGGCTAGAAAATCATTTGCACTTGAAGACATGTTGATCTTTCTCTTTCTGCAGCAATGAATTCTTGGCAGCACCAGCATTTTCTTTTCATCCTCTGCTCCTGTGATCATCTAGCGGGAGCAGATCTTCAACGTTTGTCCCGTATTGCAGAATTTCGAAATCCGAGGAGAAGTGCTTCAAAAACGTGTTTCGATTTTCTTCGGTCCAGAGCTTCTTCCATTCGAGAGCACTGCAGGCACAACGCAGTTCGGTACTGCTCTCCGAACAGGCCGGCGCCTGGAACTTCCGCAGACTACTGCTCCAGCGACAACCCGCAATGTACTCCAGAGAGAAAGTTTGCATGGAGCGCTCGTACGTGTCTCGATTCTCCTTCGCGTGGCTTAGCGCCTTCTGCAAGGCCACGTCGTCTGCCGGCAGGAACTTTTCGGTTTTCTTTTTCTTCTCGTCATTCGAGGATATGCACCACTTTTGCGCTTTGTCCTCCTCACACAGTATCTTGTGCAGCCTTGTTTCGTCTTCGCTCTTATGCTCTAGGTGAACGACAAAAAGATTACTTTTCATCTTCTCCTTTAGCTCGGCTTCATCCGCCGCGACGACCGGTAGGGCTGGCTTTCTTTTTATCGTTTGTTCATCTGTCGGGAAGTACTCTTCTGCCACGCTGCGGTCGAGCGACTTGCTGGTCAGCCATGGATCACTCAAAATGTCGGACGCGGGGCGTACGTGCAAAATGTCGTGCGCTTCGTCGGTGGTGAACCGACCCAAATTCAACTTGAAGCCCTTATTCCCGTAAGCAACACGCCAAGACAGCACGATCTTCAAGAAGCGACTGAAGAAGTTTGGAATGGTGCGCAGCAAGTACTTCCGAAACGCCGAGGGACACTTCAAATCGGGATCCTGGTCGTAGTTGTGCGTTAGCCTATTTTGCGATGAAACTTGAGCGATGGCATTTTGTTTAGCTTTCGATTCCAGTTTTCCCATCCCTTTTCCAGTTCCTTCCCCAGAATCTCCCAATGGTTTCGCATCTGCTGGCGTTGCAAAAGCACCACCAGCCTCGTCCTCATCGTCGTCACACTCGTAGGCGCTTTCATCGTAGAACATGGACAGGCCCGCAGGATACCAGTAGGAGTAGCGGGGTAGTCCCGTGTCGGTTCGCAGCAGCGCTTGCCGCAGCAGGTAGAAGAAGCCGCTGACGAAACGCACATAGGGATTGCGTGCGATGATAACTTTCCGGCGCCACTTCTGGTCGCGACAGCAGAGCGGACACCGCGGGCTGCGGAAGACCAGATAGGGCTCCAGCACGCGCTATCCTGAGTAAAAACGTCCCCACACCAGAGTTGTCATGCAGATTTGCCATGACAGGAACATTTGTGATGCGCAACCCCATGACAGGTATTTTCAATCGTGTTTGGGAACTTGTAATGCTGTAAACAGGATCAGCAGATCGATTTGTGACGCGGCTTTCCTTGCTAACTTGCACTACCTTACGGACTGAAACTTGTCATGCGTGACTCCCAAAACTCCTAGGTTTGTGTTGCAAAATCCCCATCTTGACTCTGGTGTGGGGACGTTTTTCATCAGGATACGCGCAGGTCTTGGAGCGCCGGGCGATGTTCGCGGTTTATCGAATGTAAAAGTGTCTGGGTCTGGAAGAATGCAACCTGTCATGCTAAATCTGAAACATGCAAAAATCTGTGTTGCATGATTACCAAAAGTCGTCCAGTTTTGACCAAGTCGGGAGGCAGTTTCTCATGCAGGATAGGCATGAGAAAGATCGCGCAGAATCTGTCATGCTAGGTCCTGCATTCCAGACCTCATGGGTCATGGAAAAGCTGCATGACAAGTCGCGCAGTCTTCCAGACCCAGACATTTTTACATTTGATACGGTTGAACTTGGCCCGATACTTTTTGTCGACAAGTAACCCGGTGAGAGAGACGAGCTTCTTCCGCTTCAGCTTCGCCAGCTCCGCACGAGACAGGGTCGCGACCGGCGCGTTCTCCAGCTGTTCCGACCGCATATCTACGTTTCCGCTGTAGGTTGGGTTTTCCCGCATCTGCTGCCGGATCTTGCCAGTGTCCAGGAAAAGCTTCTGACTAGTAGATGAAGCGTCCTCGTCAGGGACAAGAGCATCTTTTGCAGCAGCTTTTTTTGCCTGTTCGTCTTGCAAGTCCTGCAAGCGGACGCCGTAGGCTTCCTTGTACCGGTCGTTCTCCAGAACCCGGAGGGTGTTCAGGTGAAATTCCTCTTTTACGGCCTGCTTCAGTCTGTCCGTTTCGTACCGCCAGACAAAGCGCTGTCCCGAACTCGACCCGGCTTTCGGTAGCAGTAAAATCGCGAGGGGAGCATCTCCTGGACAGAAGTACAATTGCCTGATCAGCGTATCCGAGCCGCCGCCAAAGTGGGAAAAATCCAAGGCCTCGCGGTAGGCCTGAGGGTAGAAAAACGGGTTCTCGACTAAGCGGCCTTGGTTGTCCGGTAGGAAGCGCTGCAGGGTCTTATTGCGTTGCGTCATCAAATGACTGTAGAACCGGTCCGGCTCGTGGATTCTTTGGTAGAAGCGGCTGGCGTTGTACGTGTGCAGGTGCGGGATTTCGCAGTTGTTGAAGTCTGTCGGCGTGATGAAGTTTTCCGCGGATTTCACAACGCTTTGCACATCAGCGATCGTTTTCACCTGCTGGTGACTCGGCGCGGACGTTTTGTCTTCCTCAGACGAGGCCAAAGCGGGTATTTGTTTGCTCTCTTGATGAACTACACCGCTATAGACTTCCAGCTCGTTTTGTCGCAAAAAGGAATTTTCGTAGGTGCAGTACGCCTGTCCGGCCGTATACCAGTCGCAGTCGTCTGTTCTCGTCGTGCCGTCGGGTCGTGTTGATGATGAAACATCACCGGCTACTTCTCGCCGGCCCGCAGTGGTGGCGTTTCGACACACTTTGATCCAGCTCAGGTCTCGTTCGTTGCCCTGCAAATGCGTGTACTGTAGGTGCTTGCCATACTCGTCGCGGTACATTGTAACCATGTACCGCTGGGGATTCGGAAGCTTGCGGTGCAAATTCCAAGTCTGCGTGTGCACCTCCCATTGCTGTGCTGCAAGATTCTGGGTCTCCTCGACGACGGCCGTCGTTGCAACAGACGAGGTTGCGGTTGCAACACCGAGTAAAAGCAGAGAAATCAGTGGCCCGCGGGCACAAAAAACGCTGGCGGCTGCAAAGGGATGGAGCGAACGGGCCACCATTTTTAGGAGGGTGCGGGTGCGCTATACGCACGGCTTTGTGTCTGGACATATGGGAGAAAACAAAACATATGGAGTAGTTCTTTTCCAGCTCCAGCGAACTAATTATTTTCGTCGAACACGACGAGCTGTCAAGGATAGCGTACTGGTTACGGCTTGCGCAACAGATTAGTTGCCCCAATGCAATGATTGCATTTTTTTACTATCGTTTCCATGAGCGTTCTTCTTTTTTCTTGGTCAACAACAATGTCAACGGGAGACGTTCATCGTACACATAGACATACGGTTCGGGTTGAGAGTGACACTACGCATACCGTGATGCATATCAAGCAAGGATTACTGGAGCTCGCATCTTAGCAGAAAGTGCGAAGCGAAACAGAGTTGAAACTACTACTTGATTACTAAATACACTTGAAATCATCGAGAAGGTGGTAATTACTCAACCATATCCGACGATTTGCAGCATAAGCATTCGTGCAACATATCGATGTAGGAGAGAATACTTAGTAGCTGATCAACACACACTGGTGCTACGCCTCAGCAGAAAAAAACCTTCATTCATCTGATCGAAAATGCCGACCTGGTTCTTTTACTTGTTCCTCTTCGGCTTGCACCGGTCCTGTTTTTCGAAGTAGATCATATCGATCATCATGGAGCTCATGACCAGCAGCGCCTTCTTGTCGTCTGTGTCCGCATCGGGGGGGAACTCCACTTCGAACTTGGAGGCCAGGTCTCCGCACAGGAACTCCATGCACCCACCCGCCCGCTTGTAAAACATGCCCTTGCCTTCCCGCCCCTTCGTCTGGTCCGACTCGATGGGGAACTCGATGTCGAAGCAGCAGGGCAGGTAAAACCCGAGCTGTAGGCACTTATGCAAGAAAAAAACTGCGTAAGTGTAACTTTGTAAATGCAGAACATGCAAGAGAGTTACACCTGTCATGCCAGACAGCCATGAAGTCCTCTTTCCGTGTGTGTTTTGCCTTACCAGCCACGCTTGACAGGTTTTCTCTGTCATGTAGAGAAAATTTGTGATGCTGCCGGCCAAAGAAAGTTACACTAAACACAGTTTTTTGCTTGCATAGCACTGCCCCTCCATGTAGTACAAGACCTTCCCATCAGCATCCTTGATGGTCTCGGTGACATTGCAACACATAAAAGGGTCCCGGATCGACCCGACTTTCTTGCCCGTCACTTTGTTGAACACCTGAGTTTTTATGTGTTTGAATCTTCCAGAACTTCATTCAAGAATAACTACGCTGGCGCTGCCCCAACAAGCCGAAAAAACTAGTTGAAATCAGTGTCGTACTAGTTCTAGTACTAGACAACATCAGCAATCTATCATATACGATCATTTCTGGGCGACACATGGGGAGGCAGGCGAGGGGGATGCATTTGTGGAAGGTAACGTTCTGTTTCTCGCCGGAGTACAGCTTTGGCCCGGAGTTGGAATCGTTGCTGTTGTGCAAATCAACGGTGAAGGACCGGGCCTCGCCGCAGCATTGACGCATCATGCACGGCGTGTTATCCCACGAAAAAAGTGTTACAGTTAGTACACATTTGTTGTCAATTCACCAACACAAATTTCTGCGCATGAGAGAGAAAGCTTGCAATTCAGAAATACTAAGGGAAAACACCTATGAAACGAAGCTCCTAGGCATATCCGGCATGACAGAGCTGGTCTGTCTTGCTTGGCCTGCAACACAATGTGTAACTGTAACACTTTTTTCTTGCGATACGTGTCCTCCTGGAAGTAGTAGTGGTTGCCCTCCGCAGTGTATCAACTGTAAAAATATCTGGGTCTGGAAGGAAGCAGCTTGTAATGCTACCTTTGGATTCATTCTACATAAAATCTGTATTGCATGAACAGCAAAAGAGTCCCAATTTTTGCTACGCGGAGAGGGCATTTCTCATGCGGTATGAGCATCAGAAAGCCATCGCAGAATCTCTGATGCTAGGGCATGCATCACAGACCTTATGGGTCATGCAAACTCTGCATGACAAATTCCAGCATTCTTCCAGACCCAGACATATTTGCATTTGATACAGTGGTCACGTTGTATCGGTTGTTCAAATCGCACTTCGAGACTATGCAATACAAATTTCCTGCACATGTACAAAATGCATCACAAATTTCACCAACTTGGAGCATGCCGCTTGTCATGCTGAGCAGAATTATAAGAAAGCTTTGTCATGCAGAATTCGCATTTGTACATGTACAGGAAATTTACTGTGGATAGAGACCAACTCGATGCAATTTATTGCGCTTCGTCACCTGATATGTTTGAGGTATAGATTTGCTGAAGTAGTGATAGAGATAGTGTACGTGTTTACCTTTACATATTCTTATTGTCAATTATGTATTGGACCCAGCAAGAGTGTGCGTCCGAAAAGCACGCCCGAAGCGATGTCTCTGCTCATCGTGATCGTAGTAAAATTCAAACCCAAACTCCTATCCCAGTATTCTCTACCTTTTGTCTGATTGTCACGGGTCCTTTGCCGAAGACATCCTTCGGCATCCCCATGTTTTCCTGTATGGGCGCAATCATCATATGGTTGCCTTCCACCACCACCTCCTCTAGGGGGCTGACCTTGGTCGCCCCGAGGACCTCCGTCATTTCAATTTGTTGTGGCAGCGCCATTTTGTAGGTAAAGCTTAGCAAGAGCTTTTGTGTACAACTATGGATGCTTAATACGCCGAGGCTTGCAGTTTTAGTTTAGCAAAAAGAAAAGCTGTACGCCTTCTGATGGAAAGTTGAAGCCGAAACACTTGTGGTTGTCGTGAAAAAGAGGGAGAAAGCGTCACCGTACGCGGGCGGCTTCGCCCAAGCGGTGCCGCGAGGGCTGGAAAACGTTGAAAAATATATATTGTCCTCCCACACCCACGTTTATTTTTGTTTTTGGAGCTGCTACATGCAGCAGAATGGTATTGCAAAGAACGAACCCCAGCAGCGTCTTTCGAAGACCGAGCCGAGTACTCGTCAGCGGCAATTCACCGACTTGAATAAAATGCAGAAGGTACAACCGATTTCTTGGATTGAAACGCGGAGAGAGCAGTACCGATTTCTATAGTAATCCACCAGTGAAGAGGACATCAAGTTCGACCCGAGCCTGCAGTTTGACGAATATGGGAAACAAATGACTTCATGCGAAAGTTTGGAATCTTCGCGACCGGGCCAGCAACAGCACTTGGCAGATGAGTGGCATGACGCCGACGCCCGATATGATCTTCATGTCACCAGCTACAGATACAGATACAGAAAATTCTTTGATTGTCCAAAGAGGCTTCTCAACGCCGAGGCGGAGAGCACAAAACGTCCAGTGGTAGAGCTCCTGCAGCAAAGTGAATGAAGAAAATGTGAGACCTTTGCCTGAGACTAACTGAAAGATAAAGCGGATAAACTGGCTAAAGCTGACTTCTACAAGATGTAAGACTTACTTTTTTCGCGACGATAGTTTACGACCTAAAACCATTGATTTTTATATCCGAAAAGTTACTAAAGCAGGAAGTTTTGCAGTAAAATCGATGAAAAGCAGCATGCTCACTCGAAAGGATCGATGTTTTCTCGTCGTATTGCGGTGTTGCGCACTACGAACTTTCTTTGTTACTCCTCTACGCTGTCACTTATCTCCTTGGCGGATCTCAACGCGATCTATTTTTCCCCTTTCTGTATTTACGGCGGCGCAGCGATAAAGTCGTAAAATCTTCACGTGCGATTTTTGGCGTTGTTGAAGTACAAGTTTTATTTGCATAAACAGCTTCTGCATTAAGATCGCGGTAGGAGACTAACGAAAGTGCGCTGCTCTTGTTCCAAAATAAAGCGTGGTGAGCAGTCATGCGGGTAATGAGAGGAGTCGATTGCGATAGCTTGACCTTGTTTTGTATGCAAAAGAGTCCACGAAGAAGTCCCTTTTCAAGACAAACGTCATCCTGCTCCGGAAAGATTTTTTTCTTTTGTTGCTACTACCTACCTTGACGCTGTCGTCAAGAACGCCACGTGTCACAGTAGAAGGTTACAAAATTGACAATGAAACAACCAGTGGTGCTGGTTGTTAGGAAATCAGGAACGCGGGTGAAGAGCATACGATGAAAGTGAAATTTAGAGTTACCGCATGTGAAAAAAATCGTAAAACTTGACATTCGCGACTTCCTTCAGGTGGCTAGAGAAACGAAACCTGCAGAAACTTCTACAATGTTTGAATTTCATCAGATGGCCGCCCAATCATCAGATGGCCGCCCAATAGCATACCGTCTTTATTTCTTACGCCCACATGCGTTCTTGTTTTTCAGCGTCAAGCATGCCTTTGAGCGGGCCGGCCTGATCGCCATTCAGAGCGTTAATCCAGAGCAATTTCCCATCCCCGTAGCCTCCCGTGAGGCCGCCGAACGCGGAGCCGCCGTCGGTTTCGAAGTTGAAGTCGTAGTAGCCGTATCAAATGTAAAAGTGTCTGGGTCTGGAAACTTGTGATGCTGGGTGGCGTCTCATGATGAGGCCACAAGTGCTGGCTCAGCATGACAATTTTCTGAGCTTCTAGGTGTTGCCTATTGATTCTACATGACAAACTGCGTTTGTTTCTGCATCACAGAAAAATGGGGCTCTTGGGTAACTTGCATGACAGATTAATGAGTCATGCCAGACAAGCATGACAAACATGCATTCTTCCAGACCCAGACATTTTTGCATTTGATAAGCCGACAAACTCCGCATGGCGGTCCTTCGAGAAAAACAGATTGGTCAGTCCCGCCAGTAGCACCTTGTTGTCGGAGGTGACGACGCGCAGCCCGGCGATGTGGGGCGTGTTCCGGTCGTCCACGAGCTCCTGGTCGCCGCCATTCGGAATGTACGCGCGGATTTGGGCAACCGTTTCGTTGCTGTCCAACGTGAGGACGGACATCTTCACCTCGTCCTTCATGCGCTTCAGCATGTTCACGTCGTCCCCGGCGGTCAACGGGTCCTCCTCGAACCCGGGCACGTCCAGTTTGGTCCACTCCTGCGTGCCGACGACGGGAATCCCGCTGTAGTCGGGCGTGGCGCCGAAGCTGTCCGCGGCGCGGGGCTCCAGCACGTTCCACCTCACCGTGCAGTAGACGCCGTACAGGTTCTATCGTGAGAAAAAACTGTTTCACTGTGATGATTTTGCAAGATCTGCATCACAAGTTTGCGACACATGAAACGAAAAATTTGCAATGCGCGCTTTCCAATGGGAAACACACGCAAAAATGCAATGTGTTGCAGATGTAGCAAGACAAATCATTCTGTGCTCCATTCTATGCATCACAAGTTCACAGTGAAACAGTTTTTTCTTGCGATAGGTTCTTCCCGATCTCAATCGAGTCCACGATCGTCCGCGTGACCAGGCCGTCGCCGGCGCGGCACTCGTAGTAGGGGGGATTGTTCGAAGATGACCCTTTGTCGAAGAACAGCTGCTGTTTCAGAATGTCCGCCACCTTTTTGTCCCCACTATCCCCGTCCAACAAAGTGAAACCGTCGGCGCCGCTGCCGCTCGGAAACGCGGCGGCGGCGGGGGACATGTGCGCATTGTCTTCGAGGTTTCCGTTTCCGCCCGCCAACGGGGCCTGGATTTGGTACGCGCTTCCCCGAGACGTGTCGCCGACTTTGAAGTGCAGGTCGTGCTGCACCACCACACAACCGAAATTCGAGGACTGCCAGCTTCCGGCCCAGCTGAAAATACGGGCCAGCGGGCAGCGGGGCGGGTAGGCAATTTCGGCAGCACCCTTCCAAAACGTCTGCAGTCCGAGCACGGTGGTGCTGCTGTGCCACACGACGAGCTTCTGCAGCTTCGCACTGTCATCCTTGCCCAGGTCGAAAAATTGGACGATGCTGCCGTTACCGATGCGACCAGGATCCATCGGCTTGCCGGGGCGGCTCATAAACCAACCCATACCGCTATTACAATGAAAAATGCCCCCACCCCCGAACTTGGGAGCATTTGTATATGCAAACCTTTCCAAATGAAACAGTCGCCCTCTTGCATCTATCAGCATCACAGGCGTCCAATCGTGAATAGCAAAAATTTACAGACCCCAGCAAGAGCAGCGCTTTTCATGCAAGCGATGCGATACACGCCTAGACTCTACATCAGAAAGATTCATACTCCTTTCATGCATTACAAAAAGTTTTCATTTGGAAATTTCGCATCACAAATTTTTGCAACTTTGGGGGTGGGGGCATTTTTCACTGAAATAACCGCCCGCGCGCCGCTCGTCCATTTCCTCGATGTAGCGCTTGCGGGGCTCCAGCACGAACTGGTTCCACGACGCGTCCGGCTGAAGCGGCCTGGTGCCGTAGAAGCAGCGGGCGATACGTGCCAGTATTTCCTCATCGTTCCGGGACAATCCCATATCGAATTTGTCGTGCAAGTAACGTTGTAGTTTCCTGAAGTGCTTGTGCAGCGGGTGGTTCTGATTCTCGAGAATTTCCCCGACCTCGTCCTCCGGTAGTTCGCTCTCGGTGATCCGCATTCGCTGCGACATCCGGGACCTGCGTCCCGAGGGAACCGAGGCGTACGTGTTTCCCTCTCCATCCTCTTCGTCGTCATCAACGTTGCGTTTCAAAAACAGCCCGGCAATTTCCCAATTCAGGTCGGAGAGCAGCTGGCTGTCCTCCAGAACGTCGCCGTTCTCGCCCACAAAGACGTACTCCGTCGTTAAATCGAACAAGTCGGGGTGGTAGCTCCACATGGCCTGCGGGACAGCCCCAGTCATCTTCAAGTCACGGATGGTGAACTCGTTGAACGCCATCCAGTGGGGCACCAGGTTCCGCAAGGCGTTCTCCGGCCCAAGATCTGCAACTGCACCTTTCTGGTTCTTCGGCGCAGCAGCAATTTGCTTGTCTAAAGAGGCCGAATTGAAGTAGGGCCGGCCGAGTGTGATCATCTTCGCATCGTCGACCGTGCCGCTTGGCAGCTTTCCGGAGCACGACAAGGCCGTCGTGTTGGTGCTGGACACCTCTTTTCCCGCGGACATTAAGCCAGCGCCGGGGAGCGGGGTGTCCGCGATCGTGATGCCGATGTCGTGCAGCATGATCGCGTTGTCCCAGTCTTTGGTGCCCTCGGGGCGGCCCTTGTACTCCGCAGACAACTGCTCCTGCAGCTTCGCGGTCGCATCCGCCGACAGCTTCTTCGTGCCCGCACTTGTTCCGTTTGCGGGAAGGAAGACCGGGTCGCCGTTCATCAGAAAGAGTTCCAAGACCCTGTTCCCCAACTCGGTGTCGTTGTCTGCCAGGCGGCCCTCGGCCGGGGGACGGCATTGGCGCACCGCGTCTCCTACTGCATAAACGTCCTGGAGGTCCTCCAGCATCACGAGGTACCGGATCAGGTCGCGGTGGGTGACCCCGTGAAGCAGTGGATTCGAGTCGGCCATCGGATCCATCGCGCTGCCGAGAGTCCCTTGCAGAGCACAACTCGTAATGGTAAAATTCTCGGCGAATCGCCTCTGCTCCAGCGGCAGATACTGCCAGTTGTCGATTCCGGCACCCGTGGGGATTTTTTCGCTGCTGCGCGTGGACTCGTCCGACACGGTACTGGTGCGAAACGCCCCGACCATTTGGTTGAATCTCGCGGCCATGGCCTCGTAGTCCGGCGTTCCGTCGGGTTTCTTCGCCGGGGGCAGTTGCTGACTTTTGCGCGCCTCCGTCTTGTCGACCAAATTTGCGGCGGCGTCTCCGAGTTGGAAGGCGCAGCCGTACCCCGGCGCGTGCTTGCAGTAGTTGCAATTTTTGCAGTACAAAATCCTCTCGGTGCGCTCCTCCATGGTGTTTTCGTCACACGCGCACCAGTTGTCGCACTTCTTGCAGATCCACTGCACCGTCCCGCCGTAAGGGGAGTCCTCCGGGAATTCGATCTGGTTCACCTCCAGGGTTTCGTACGCGTCCTCGCAGTGCCTGCACCGAATCATGTCGTCTTCGGAGATCTCGGCCGGAGCGGTTTTTCCGGAGGTGATGTCCCGCAGTTCCAGGCCCACGACCGGCGGACAAAAGCCGCTGCCCCACTTCAGCTGCACCCCGACACAGGCTTTGCCATCGGGGGACAGGAGCTTGTTGCCGGGCAGGTCTCCGCGGTACCGCCCCGTGTCGCACCACTTCCCAGCTGTGCAATCCCACCGGCCAAAGTGCGCGGCACGGCCAAGGTTCGTACGGAGGCACACAGCAAAAAGCGTCGTGTCCATGCCATCGCGATTGCCAATGTCCCCGAGAACGAGTTGCGAGACGAAAGTCACCATTTCACCTGGGCGAATGTATTTTTTGGATAATGTTAGGCTTATGTGTTCGAATATAGCAAGTTTTGCAGACTCGTGGCTAACAGAGTTCACTTGATTTCGCGTTCTGTCGCACGTCCGCGTCCCATTTCCTAGAATACGTCTACGCAACAAGCAAAAATTAGACACATACAACTGAGTCAACCGAGGGACAGATACACACTCACACTCATACCTAGAAACTCACGTCGCAAGAAAGACCTTGTAACTGCTAGCGCGCACGAAAATTTTCCACGTCGTTATGTGCACATGACCATCGCAAGGTTCAGAGGCAAGGCACGCAATGTCGGCGGGGCGCGTGTAGTGATTGGGCATAGCGCGGCGTTGTCTAGGCATTGCGGCGCGGTCTGGGCAGGGCGCGGCGTGTTCTGGGAAGGGCGCGGCGTGGTCTGGGCAGACGGCTTACATTGGGTGATAAACCAGCACGCGGCAAAAAGTCGTCAAAGAACCAGGAAACAATGGCCAATCGCCCCTTGCGTCGCCGCCGTTCGGATTCCCGGCCGTGCACAGCGTGCCGTCCGTGAGCTCGAACTCGACACAATCAATGTAGGCACCGGAGCGCCCGCGAATCGTGGCCACCTGCAAGCAGCGCGGCGAGTTTTTCAGCTGCTTCGCGAGAGCGGTCGAACCCGCGTAGGTGGTCACTGCAGCCGCAACGTCTGCGCATTGCAGCTCCTTGATCGGCGCGCAGTTGGTTTCGGCGTTGTCGGGATTGGTGAAGTCGTCGTTCTCCATGTCCTGGGTGATATCGGCCGCTTTTTCGAGCTGCAGTCCGGTCAACGCGTGGCCGAGCGGCAGGTTCCAGAACCGGACTTGCTCCGCCTGCCCGCCGCGGTTTTCGTGGCCGAAGGACACGAGAGTTCCCACGTTGGTGCGGAAGGCCACCCACTCCAGCACGGGCGAATTCCGAAACCCGGACTCGTCGTCTGCGGGCTTGCGCAAGCGCCAGCGCACAGAGTGCGTCTTCTGGAAGACCGACACAATGTATTCCCCATCCTCCGGCTTCAGCGTCACTACCTCGGACATCTGGGCACCCGGGTTGGCAATACCGTACGGTTCGTCCTCGTCGTCGGTCAGCTCACTTCGGGCGCTCTGCGCGCTGTCGCGAGCAATGCCGCTGGAAACTACGCTACCCCGCCGAGAGGCCCGGTTGGTCGCGGCTTTCTCGCCGGGGTCGTTCCCGAACACTTTCTTAGAGCCATCGAGAAAGGTGAAGATGATGCAATCCACGCCGTGGTCCCCTACACGGGCCTGCACCGTTTTGACCTTGGCGCTGTCCGGGACAAAATCGAGAAACGACTTCAAAGGGCTGCCGCCTCCTCCCTCCATGGAGCTGGCACAACAACCACCCATCTTGATGCACAATAGTTAGTCACACAAGAAAAAGATTGACCGTTGGGGTTCGTGTGATCAAAAAGGAAGTTCTTAATTTTTGGGATCTTCGAATTGGAATAGGTATAGGAGTCAATGCATAATAATTACAGTGTTGTCCACTACCACTTCGACGATAGCGAATAAGACAACAAGGGAATAAACTGGAGCATGTTGTGGTGAGAACTTCTATCGAGAAGATTGCCCATCTTGTGGCAGTGATGCTCAAGTAACAGAATTCTAAAAAAACCGACAATGGTGTTGCAGAGAAGGCCACCACAAATTCCACTGCCACCGATCACACGGGGTAGGTAGGTAGGTAGGTAGCTAGGTAGACCACACCCACAGGACATACGCATCATTTGTTTGAACCGAATGAGCGACCACTACTGTGAATGCTGCCAGGTGACTTCTTCGCATCGCCGATCTTTGCATCACCGATTCGTATTTTATTTCGTTGGGAAAACCGACCGACGACACGGCAAACACCGACAAACATACAGGTAAAACCGATTGATAGAGTACCGATATTCATGTGACAGCATATGAACGGGTCGCGAACAAAGTTTGCGAGCTTCCGCGCTGTGCGTGAAAGTTGATGTTCTAGCTGCAATCCTTGCAATCGCTTCGGTCGCTACTAGCTTGTTCACACGGCACTATCTCCTGCCGGATTTGACGGCGGTACCAGCACAACCTTGATGCTTTCACTGCTTGCATCTACGAGGCGGAACCCTTCTTGAAATTGCGTGAAGGGCAGAACGTGCGTGACGATATCTGCCAGTGGCATTTCTTGCAGAAGTCTTATCGCTGGGGCAAAGGTGTTCGGCGACAAGTGTCCCCCACGAATCTCGATCTCTTTCGCATCAGATATCACTGTCCAATCCGCGGTGACTTGGGTGCCAAAGACGGCATACTCGACGAAAACGCCTTTTCTCGCAATCATTTGGAGCCCTTGCACGACGCTGCCCGGATGGCCCGCTGCTTCGATGTACTTATCGCAGCCGTAGCCCTCTGTGAGGGACTTCACAATGGCAATCGCGTCTGATAGAAGTGGGATAGAGAACATCTTCCAGCAAGAAAGGGTGGATCTTTCACCTCGAGTCGATATTTATCAGCAACGTCATCTAGCTTTCAAGCTACGTGGCGCGGGAGACAGATGTGAGGGCAGGCGCGGCGCGGCGCGCGGTGTGGCAGCGAGACGGCGCGCGGTCGAAAGAAGCATTCAGGGCACGTGCTGCAATCTTTTGCAGCAAAAGCTGTGCTGCTTCTGCGGTTTAGTTGCTTCTCTTTGACTGTCCTAGCAGCACCGGCGCAAAAGACAGAAGTCAAGATATCATCTCTACCTTCTTCCGCAACGTTTATGACAACGTCTGCGCCGCACTTTTTGGCGACCTCAAGCTTTCGTGGAAATCGATCCAACGCGATCAGCGTCTTTGGGTTTTTCCTCCTGCAAGCTGCAAGCGCTCCCAAGCCGATCGGCCCGCAGCCGCTCACCACAACGACGTCATCGAAGCCTACGTCTGCCCGATTTGCAGCGTGTACGGCACAGGCAAGGGGTTCGCAGAAAGCCAAGTGCTGCGGTAGCGTCTGTTTGGACAAAGGTCCGTGGATGAGAGCGTTTTTCGGTATCTTCACGAATTCCGCCATCGCACCGAAAGCCTTCTGCCGAAACCCGAAGATGTCGTGCGGCATGCACATATTGTAGTGCCCACGCTTGCAATACCGACAGCTCGTGCACGGAACGAGCTGCTCAACCGTAACCCAGTCACCAATGGTCCAGGGTTTATTGTTCAGAGAGGTTTTGTCCGTTTCCTGTGTAGTTCCACGATCGCCTTCTTGAATTTCCACAACCTCGCCGACAAATTCGTGACCAGGGATCACCGGCGGCTGACAGTAGCTCTCTCCGTACTCGCCCGGCTTCCAAAAATGATCCGCGCCAGCATAGCACTTGCTGTCTCCGGCACAGATGCCGACGGCGAGAACCCGAAGCAGTACCTCGCCGGGGTCTTGCAGCGTCGGCTTCGGCACAATTTCCAATCGGTAATCCCTGGGGCCATAGCAAACGACTGCGGTCATGCTCTCGCCGCAAACTAGGTCAATTTCTGCGGCCATCCTGTTGATGCTCGATAGGGGGTTCTATTTTCGAGGGAAAAGTTGTAGGCAGGGGAGCTTTTGTCTTCGTGAAAGTTTCTTTGATGTTCTATTTCATTTTCTAGTGTTGACCGAGATGCAGGTCGGTATTCGACTTTTCTTTTCGAACGATTTCTGCTTTTGATGCTACCACAACAAGAAAGTCGGGTCTTCGAATGAGTACAGAGAGAGACACTGGGCGAATGAAAGACGGGTACCGCATCTGTGTATGGACATGGTATGCGCAGAGCAAGAAGCAGCAAGCATTCGTTGACATTCATTTGACGAGGTTTAAGAAAATTTCCTTGAATGCACATGAAACCTTGTGCTCAAGGAAAACCAAAATCTGGCTCATGACTGTTTCTTGCATGTTAAGTCCTGATTTCAGACGTAGCTGTTGTTGACGTCAGTTATTCTGTAGGTGTTCGTAGAAGTTCGACTTTTCACTTTTATCACTAATTTTCTTGAACCTGCTATCAGGCTGTAACTGTATTTATTAAGTTTCTTGTATCAATTTTGGCCGGTACTAGTAAAAAGACTGCGTCGCATGAAGATGACCTCCTGAAGCCCCTTGTTTTCTGAAACAAATTCCCTACTTTTCATGGCCTTCCCCATTGCCCCCCAACGCCCCCGCGCATTTGTCCGGACCCAGCCTGCGTCGCCGGTCGGCGCGCGACTCGCCTGGTCGCAGCTCGAGCTCTTTCGGTTCCACAACGGGCACCTGTGCTTTCGAACTAGCCCGGAGAGCCGAGTTCTTAGCAAGGAGTACGGACCCACGGGGCACTTTAGAGCTTCTGCGTTCTTTCGATCCGCCGGTGTCGAGAGATCCACGGCGGGCGCCGTCGTCCTGTTTTCGTATTATTCATTCACGTTGACGAAAACTCATTCATACTGTGAGTCAAAACGTCAGAGTGAATGTGAAATAAGCAAGTCGGATGAAGACAGCAAAAAAGTTTTTGACGAATACTTACCGCTGATATTCTCCTCTTGCTTCCGAAGGCACCTCCGCGGCCTTTGCTGGCTCTTGCGTGAGTACTGGAGAAAACTGGGAACTCCCTTTCGTACATACCGAGGTCCAACATGTCGATCTGAAACATTGGGAATAGTCATACGATTATTCTTGTACAGAGCGAGGCCGCACATGTGGGCATTGCTGTTATTCTTTTCAATCCCAAATTCGTCAGGAAAAATCGTAAATTTAAGTATACCAGCCCGAGCTCAAACACGTTCTCGTGTTCCAATAATCTCTTGCAGTTGGCGTTCTTTCGCAGCTCAAACAGGATGGGAATCCAGGTCTTGATGTGTTTCGAATACTGCACTTGGTCTTCCTCTTCGATGACGCACTGCCCCATGAAACCGCGCTTCTCCGCCCACGTCAAGCCTCCCCCCGGAAAACCCCGTTCCCAATCGGACAACAGCTGCTTCAAGATCAGCGGCGCCGGGAGAAAACCGGTTTTGTCTTCGTCCAGCGTCTGCATGATAGCGACAAGATTTTTCTCCAGCTCTTCGCGGTTGTCACGGAGGGCCAGGTCGATGTACTCTTCTTCCTCCTGTTTACGAACGTATGTAAAGACTTTGACTCCATCACGAATAACGTAAACAAACGACCGAAGGAACCTACAACCGAGTAGTGCTGCTAGAGCTAGTGCATTCTAAAATCATAAAAAATTCTGCTACCCCGCCCTCGTTCGCTTTCGATTTGCGGACCCCGCTCATTTCCTGCAGTTCCTCCAACTCCCGCCGCTTCTTTTCCGCTTCGACCTGCTCTAAAATCATGTGGGCCCGCGCGTGGTACTGTTCGGGGTCGAAAAACCAGTCGATCAGGGTGACGGAAATCCGCACCGCAGATACCACATCCACCTGTCCGTGCTCGTCCATGGGCAAAACGCACAGAATGATGTGAATTTCTTTCATGCTCAGCGCCAAGCTCTTCAATTCCAGCAGCAACTCGCGCCAGACCCAGGCGCCGCAGGTCTCCCCGAGTTCTCGGATGCGGACGGATTGCACGATCTCCGAGTACACCTTCTTGTGGTCCGTTTCGGACAGCGGGGACAAAACCTTCTCCGTGCGGAGGTGGGTCATCGTGTCGCGAAACACTTCGTACTGGCAGCGAACCTGGATTTGGTTGTTTTGCGTTTGCTTTGGCTTTGTACCAAGCTGATGTTAGAAAAAAATGTCGTGAACTAACGGTATTTCCTTGTGGTCAAAAGAAGTACATTTCTCCTGCTCACAGAGTGCAAGAAGAAGAACACACGAAACCCCTAAGAGAGGACAAAGTATACCTTTCCCGTCGAGGGTCCTCCGACTCTTTTGTCCGAGGACTCGACAACGACTTCGGGCACGAGCTGCATCAATAGCAGGCGTTCCTGGTTCGTTATCCTTTCTGGTTTTTCTGTGAGCGCGGTGAGCAGCGTCGGGCGGTCGACGTACCCGGTGTTTTTCCGATCACTGGCGGAGCACATCTCCATGACCACACGAGCGGTTTCGCTGATTTCATCACCTGTTTAGAAACAAAGAACAGCGGGCTGTGACGATGAAGACACATGATCAAAGAAATGGTTCGTCGTCGTTCGTTGCAAAATAGCACTCATTCGCAGCAAGAGAAAACTTGCGTTGTAAGTGAATACCCTCGAGCATCTCGACGGCCTCGAGAATTTTCGAGAACCGGAGGTAGTCCGGGATGTCTGCGACATCGTCGTCTGAAGGAACGTTTCGGTCGGGAAATCGGGAGTAGTAGGCTTCTCTTCTTTTTGTGCAGTTTTTCACTGCGGCCGGAATGCCGTCACAATCGCGGATGTAGTCGATCAGACCTGATCATGTGATGACGTGCGTCGTTTATGTGCCTTTGCGGAATAAAACAGACGAGAAATAACGAGGTGGAAATGTGAAGATCCAGCTTTCAAAATGCAAAGGTAAAGCCCACACCTGAGCCGTCATCCGGTATGGTTGCCATGATGGTCTTGATATCCCAGGGCCGGAGCGTGCTCGTCGGACCGCACAAGGTGGCCTCGAGCAAGTTCAAAAGATCGCCATGTCGCAAGATACCCTCGCTCTCCTCGTCCGCTGCGTCGAATATTTCGCCGAGATTTATCAGTTTGGCGGCCTGAAATGGACATTGATGCAATTCATTATTTCAAGTCCTGAAGATTATTTCACTTCGCCACGATGCCACAACAACCACAGCGGAGCGTGATTATGATGCAGCAGGAGAGCAGCTGGTGGAGACTCTATCAAGCCCATATTTTCAATAAGTACCTCCGTCTGCGCGGCGAGATCCGGAGGGCCCATATCTTCGTCTGGCATCGACGGCGCCCTTTCCGGTGTCGCCACGAGCTTTTCCACAACGGCGGGCGGCGGAACTAGCCTTTCCTGCTCGTAGGAAGTCAGAATACTGTATCCAGGAAAAAACACCCGTCCCCATCCATTTTTCGCATGACAAACGCTGCACTTTATGCATGTTTTGCATGACAAATTGGATGGGGATGGGTGTTTTTTCCTGGATATACTGTCAATTCCGTACTCCGACCGCCACTGATTCCTCGCGGACGCCTTGTCTGCGATAGTTTGTTTGACGTGAAACAGGATCAATTTCCTTATTCTCTTCGCGGTGTGCAAGGCCCGCAAATGTGAGGAGTTCTCCGCGATCTTCGCGTTGCTGGGACTTGCCGGGCTCTGGTCGGCATCGAGGTCGAACTGCTGCTTCCAATTGTCTACCCGTATGTCGTGGTCGTATCCGGGCACGTGGATGATACAGCTATCGTCCTTCAGAAACTCAAACACAACGAACACGGCGTCGGACGGAACAGGTCCGTCTTGCACCGGTTGGGAAAAAGAGACCTAAAGAAAAATTGTGCAGCTGCAGGTGAAAAAGAAGAAAGATCTAGTCGAGTCTTGCCATGTGAAACCGATTCGATATTTTCATCATACAGTCTTTCACAGCAAGTACACGTGAATCATACCTACCTCGAAAATCCCGCTGAGCAAGCTGATTTTGCTTCTCGCTGTGCGTGTGACCGCCCGACTGCGGTCGAGTTCGACACCCACATCGTCGTTCGGGGGAGGGGACGACGAGCTGCTGGATTTCTTCGTGGGTGACTGGTTCCAATGATGGTCGGAAACGAAGCGCGCGTGCAGAACGCAGGTGGAATAATGCGGGTTTGCGACGAGCTTCTCAATCGCCCGCGGCCGTGGATCGTCCGAGCCACTGCCGTCCAGCACCGTGGACCCGGCCACCACCCCGGCGATGTTGCCCAATAAGGGGTCTTCACTCATGGTGACTTTTACGCTTAGTTCGACATAACACACCTACAGCACATTCTACTCGAGCCTGTGGTGAAAGCTGCCCTGCTGCGCCCTCCCCACTAGTGGAAATGTTGAGTCCAAAGTTGGGTCGGGAGTCGACAGGACAAATGGAAAGCGACGCATGTGGTTGTAGTCAAAAAACGATGGCGTGATGACAATCCAACGAATGCGAACGATCATCACTCGTTGAGACCCTCGACGATCGCATTTCACTCTGCCGGTAGCTGTTGACGGGCACGATAGGGCTACGCAAATATCATACTACTTGCTGAAACAAACATACGCGAACAGGTTTCGTCGCTGCAAACTCGTTGCGTGCCAACGACCATGTTCACTCGCGCGGGGATTCTATACCATTTTTTTTTCTGCGTCTGCGTCTGCGCCTTGCAGCGTAAACTTCTCGGAAAAAGGGTTTACCAGGAACTCTTGTTTGATGTCAAGTGTCTCTGGTGGAAAAGAAAACATGCGTAGATTCTTGAGAGCACTGCTTTCCTCAAAGGAATGGCAAGACTATCATCATCATCATGAGCGTAAGAAGAAGTTGACACCTACATTCGCGGCGTCTCCCCCTCGAGCGCGTCTGCGTTTGCAGCCGCAAGCCCGGCAGCGCGAAGTTCGCGTTTCTCTTTCAGCAACGTCCGAAGTTGGTATGCGTGGAGCGCCTTGCGCAGCTCGCCAGTTTCAATCAGCAGCTCATAGATAAAGGTCGGCAGTACGCCTTCGTGTCCAAAGAGCTGATTGTCGGTAGAAAACTGGTCCAGCGCGCCGTCTATCTTGGTGTTTACCATGCGCACGAGCTGATGCAGATGTCCGCTTTCAAAGCCCGCTTCGTCCACTTCATCGAACATGGTCGTCAACCTAGAAGGATGCGTGTTACAAATTGATGGTGCCGTTTGAATTTTTCCAATCAAGAAATCGAATGAAGGAGAAGTCTGCTTCTCCTTCGTTGTTCGTGGTTGTATCGATGAGTGAGAAATAAAGCCACCAAAGTATACGAGAAGCTTTTCAAGTCTGTCCAGACTTGGCGCAGCTGCGCTATTGCGTTCCCCTGCAGTTCTCCCGCTGGAACCACACGGCTCGTCATTTGTAGCTCCATGTCCAGATTTGCTATTCTGAGTTCACAATTTTCAATCAGCGCGTTCTGGAGAGACAGTAGCGCCGTGTCGTGTCTACTGGCGGCTTGACGTATTTGCCTGGAGTTGTCCCTCAGTTGCGAAATGCACTGCTGGTACCGCTCTTTGTTGTTTTTTTCCGTCTGCGCGAAAGCAGCCAGGTTCTCGACATGCTGTTTTCTCGTCAACATATCCCTCGCGAGAATCGTGCGCTGCACTTTTTCCCGCCGAAGCAAGCACAGTTCCATGAAGAGCGCGCCCACTAACCTGTGAATGTGAAATGGATTATGTTCACATGTTGGAGGTTCTTACCTTAAAATTCGACAGAACGTCGATGTCCAGGCATTTATTTTTTGGCACCTAACCTAAGTGGAGCTGGAGCAGGAGCTTCGCCCGGCCACCGGCGAGAAAAATAGAGGCGGGAAAATCAGAAATCAAGCTTAACAAGTATACTTCGCGCTTTTGGACTCGATTTTCTTCAATTCCCTGTTCTGCAGCTCTTGGCACTTGATCAGTTTGTCAAAAACAGTCAACGCGGAATAAAGCACTTCCACTGCCGAGTTCGCGTCCATGTCGTAGGTCGTGACTTCCGTTGCGCGTATCTTCTTGAGTTCCTCTTCCGTGTTTGCGATTGGATTGCTTTTTATCATATCAAATGCAAAAGTGTCTGGGTCTGAAAGAGTCATGCTGTTTTTGCATGACACAGAAGGTCTGGCATGGAAGCTCTAGCATTACAGGTTTCGAGAAGCTTCCGCAATGCCGAATCCGCATGACAAATCCCCCACTTTGGTGACAGAAAGTGGGCAGCTTTTGCTACCCATGCATGAGAGATTTTTCTGTGTTCCGAAATGCGCATCACAAGTTTGTATTCTTCCAGACCCAGGCATTTTTGCATTTGATATATCAAGAAGTTATCGTCCGCGTCCAGTTCGTAGGGTGCTCCGTGTATCGCCAGAAAAAACTGCTTCACTGTAAACTTGTAATGCAGAAAATGTATCTCACAAGTGTTTGTCTTGATACTACACATGCAAGACAGTGGATTTTTAGCTGTGTTTTCCCTTAGGAACCTTGCATGGCAAATTTTCCTTGTCATGTAGAACAAACTTGTGATGCAAAACTTACAGTGAAGCACTTTTTTCGTACGATACCGTGACGAAGCTTTGTAATCTCTTCGTACCAAACTTTTGTCGTGTCCAGGCACTCCCGCAGCATGTGAATCCCCTGGAAGAGAAAGCTGTCTTTATCCTCCACGGGGGGTCCGTCGCCCGCACCGCCGAGCGCTGCTTCCTCGGCCTCCATGTGGTCTTCCGCCGGTTCTGTGAACAGCCCCTCTTCGTGGTCGTCCGCCTCGTAGTAGTCGATGTACGCCATCTATCCCACGAAAAAAGTGTTAGAGATACACATTTGTAGTCAATTCAGCAACACAAATTTCTCTGCATGAAAGTAATGCAGATGAAATCCTACGGGAAAACACCTATGAAGCGAGGCTCCTATGCATATCCGGCATGACAGAGCTTGCCTGTCTTGCTTGGCCTGCAACACAATGTGTCACTGTAACACTTTTTTCTCAGGATACCATCATGGTCTTTTGTCCCTCGTCCCCGTGCACGATGTCGATGTGGCGGATCGCGTAGGGGTGCAGGCCTAGAAGCGGCGTCGCGGTCATCAAATTGTCCTCCTCGGAATCGATCGGGATCAGGCCACACAAGCTGTCCCCCCAGGCGAAGACATCGCCCTTTTCCGTCAACGCGAAACTGCAGTTATCAACCGCCAGTATTTGCTTCACCGAGTCGGACAACCCAGTCACCTCCTTTGGCGTGTACTTCCCACTCAAATCTCCGACGCCGAGCTGGCCAAATTCGTTGTGCCCCCAGCTGTACACCTTGCCTGCCTGTGTCAAGGCGAGGACGTGCTTCCCGCCCTGGGCGATATCCACGACGCGATCGGGTATGCGCACCGTTTTTGGGTCGATGGAAGTAGTCGTTTCTTGTCCGACTCCGAGGCAGCCTGAGTAGTTTGCTTGTTGTTCGCATGGCCAGTCAAGATTCTTGTGCGGCAGTCATTTCGCAATCCGATAGAACAACATTGATTATTCCGAAAGCATTTCTCAGCAAGATTCGACATTATCTTTACCCTGCTTGCTCTCGCCCCAGGAGACGCAGACTCCATCTGTCCTGAGCACGACGCAGTATGTTTTGCCGATCAGCGTCTTTTTCACCGCCCCGCGTACTTTCTCCGTCAACAAGGGCTTTTCAATGGTGTGCCCGTGCCAACTGCCCCAAACAAGAAAGTTTTTTGCATCTTCGGTCGCCCTATCAAATGCAAAAGAGTCTGGGTCCGGAAGAGTCATGCTGTTTTTGCATGACACAGAAGGGCTGGCATGGAAGCTCTAGCATCACAGGTTTCGAGAAGCTTCCGCCATGCCGAATCCGCATGACAAATCCCGCATTTTGGTGACAGAAAGTGGGCAGCTTTTGCTACCTATGCATGAGAGATTTTTCTGTGTTCTGAAATGCGCATCACAAGTTTGTATTCTTCCAGACCCAGAGCCAGACATTTTTACATTTGATACGCCCGCGCGGCCACAGTGGAGGCCGACTTTGCAGCGGTGCTCCGGCTATGCATTGCAAATATGTCTAGGTCTGGAAGAGTCGGGGCTTGTCATGCACATTTTGCGTGACCCGTGAGGTCTGTGATGCTGGTGCTAGCATGACAGATTTTATGAGAGCTTCTTGATGCTAATTACGCATGAGAAATGCCCTCTCCGCGTGCCAAGAACTGGACTACTCTTGCTGCTCATGCAACACAGATATTTTTAGAATCCGCAGACAGCATCACAAGTTTCACTCTTCCAGACCCAGACGTATTTGCAGTTGATACTGGCCGGTCTCGTCCTCCAAATCCATCGTGCGACTTTACTTAGCTCCCCAAACGAACAAACTCACGCAGTACGAAGTTCTGGTAAGGACGACGACGAAGGTCCTCGGGCAACACGAAAACAAGAACCTCCGGAAGAGAGAGACGCTCACAACTCTACGGTGAACGAGGAGTGCTCGGAAACTACAGCCTGGCACGGCAACGATACGATGCGCTCTCGAGGATATGATCTCTCGTAAAATGTTGGAAACTGCACCCTATATCCCCGTTTCGTCCCTGCTTCTTGTTTTTACCAGCCGCACCGCAGGTCCGCCAACGACGCTAATGAAGCTGCCTGTCGTAGTAGGTGCAGCTGAGTTTTGTTTCGGTCTTTTTTTGCTGCTGAAGTAAGCTTCCGTTTCGCACGAGCGTTGGTCACAAAGAAGTCAGATTTTGATTTTTCGGAGCACCAAAGAACCGAGGTAAGATTATGCTTGTCTCTTCAAAAAGATGTGTGTTCAAATTTGATTGGAAAAGTATAAAGTTTCAGTGTCTTTTCTTTCGCGGTTTGATGGTCTTTAGCCGTACGCGTGACTTTTATTTCGCTAGACGAAAGTGAAAGTGGAAATACGAATAGACGATTCTCATGCAGATTAAACCTGCTTGTGCTTTAGCTTATGCGAAAAAAAAGTAACTTCGCGAAAAAAAAAAATGCATGAGAACTAGAAAAGAAAAGAAAGAGCCGCAGACGTTGTATTCTCATCGATACTACTCGCACTGGCACAGTAAAACCGCCACTGCGGGAAAACTGCGTGTCGGAAAGTGTTTCAAACAGTCTCAGCTTTGGTGCGGATTCGACTGTCGTAGGGCGTTGATTGGTCCGAGGTGCTCCAAGACGTGGCTAAAAAGCACCAGCGCGTCCTCCTCTGTTTCGCATGGTAGCAAGTGGGTTCCGCGCTTGCTGCGTCGTTTCTTCGTGTCCACGCCTTCAAAGAGCACAATGCTGGGGTCTTTTTGCAAGAGCGCCACGCGATGCACGCGGAATGTGTCCGCCAGTCGCCATACGATCTGCGTGCCGTGCTGCTGCTGGAGGTGGGCGCGCCGTCTCAGCTTTCTGCGGTTGGCACCGCTGCTGCAGCAACTACTCTTGCAGCTGCAGCACTTTCTTTTTTCCACACCCGCGGCGCTCCCGGCTTCTGAGAGATTGTCCTCCCCTCTCGTGGCGGGGCTCTTGGGAGAAATGGGAGACGCGAGCCCGCCACCGAGCACCGGCTTTTTTCCCTCTTGCCGGTTGAGAAACCTTCGCAGTTCGGACGACGATTTATTTGCAACATTCGCACCCGGCGGCTGTGCGCTCTGCTCCGAGCGATCGAGGATGTAATTGTGCGACCCGTCCAGTATGCGCCTGCCCTTGGTGCGTCCATGCCGTCGGCAGTAGTACATCGCCCCGGTCTCTAAAATGACGAAAGTGGCCTTGCTCAGTGGACAAACCGTCCAGAACCGACGGTCCACGTCCCGGCACTCTTTTCGGACCACCTCGAGGGCTCCGCAGGCTAGCGAATCGTAATTCTGCAACTGTCCGCCCTTGAAGCAGTGCAGCCGCCGCAGCTGCTCCGGCGGGTCCTTGATCAAGCGGCTCATCAGGGGCGAAAACGCGGTGACCAGGTAGCCGAGGACGATTTCGTTGATGATCCCCATCTTCGCAATGGTCAGCACCGCCCCCGCGAACACCGACACAAACATGCGGGGGCCGAGACTGAAGAACTGGGCGACAAAGTACAACCAGTTCGCCGTATCAAATGTAAAAGTGTCTGGGTCTGGAAGAATGCGCGATTTGTCATGCAGCTTTTCCATGACCCATGAAGCCTGGAATGCAGGACCTAGCATCACAGATTCTGTGTTATCTCTCTCATGCCTATCCTGCGTGAGAAACTCCCTCCCGACTTGGTCAAAACTGGACGACTTTTGGTAATTATGCAACACAGATTTTTGTATGCTTCAGATTTACCATGGCAAGTTGCATTCTTCCAGACCCAGACATTTTTACATTTGATACGCCGTGCTGCCCTTGTACCAGGCTCGCTCCAGCGAGTCGTACCAAGCATAAATGTATCAAATGCAAAAATGTCTGGGTCTGGAAGAGTGCGCGATTTGTGATGCCGGTTTTCCAAGACCCATGAGGTCTGGAATGGGAGCCCCAGCATGACAGATTCTTTGAGGTCTCTATCATGCCTTTCCTGCATGAGAGACCCCCTATCAACTTGGTCAAAAGCGGACAGCTTCTGGCACTCACGCAACACAGATTTTTGCATCATTCAGATTTAGTATGACAAGTTCTAATCTTCCAGACCCAGACTTTTTTGCAATCCATAAAATGGTCCGGGCCACGTACCACAGCGCCGAGTACTTCACTGCGTGGTACACATTGAGCGAGATGGTCCCGACCCCGCTGGACTGATTGATATTGGTCACCGCACTGGGGAGCCGAACTCGCGCGCCGAGACAGATCCGGCTCAACCCCTTTTGGATAGACAGCCCAATCCCAGTAGCGGAGTTGTTCCCGGAGCGAATCACTAAGAAAAACGCTGCTATCGCGCGTCGCAAAACCTGCGCAATCTGATACAGAATCAGTTTGAATTTCGACAAAATCGGAAGCTGTGGGTGTCGAACGACGGTGGCAATGTGCCCGATACTCACCAGCACGATCCCAAAACCGTTCACGAACGCTCGCCCTATCTGTGGAATGTTGCCGAAGGCGCTCGGCGTTCCCAAGATCATGATGCTCTGGAAGAGAATGGAAGCAAAAATGCTGCTCCCGATCTTAGCCTGCAGGTCCTCGCTGCCTTTCGTCAAAAACTTGTCCGCCATTTCGATGGCGGCAACACCAGAACCCGACAGCGCACCAAGCGCAAAGGGAGTGTCCTGCATGATGTTGGAAGTCACAGTTGTAATATTTTTCCGTACCTCGTCGAGGTGAGCTACGCGATTGAATCTGCTCTTGGCGACCATAGTGAGAGAAACGAAAGAGAGATTTAAGTAGAAAGATACAGTCATGCCGGAGGCATAAACACAACGGGTAACTACAAGGAGAAAGAACAAAGATACCTGTATGTCGACCAAAAACAGCGCTTTTGCGACGGATTCGTAGGCCTTCATGATTTCGCTATCGTTGTAGGAGGCCATGCCGCGTACCTCCTCTGCACCGGAAAACCGTACGCTGATGACCAGTTTGATTTTCGACATGTAGAACTTCGTGATGAACAGCGGCGTCGGAAAGCTTGTGAGGCTGCCGTCCGTCGTCGCGACACTCGGCTCGCTCAAATCCGGATCCAAGCCGCCCCCGCGGAGCTTCAGCGCGCTGCTGCTCTGCAACGCCATGAAATCGGAGGACAAACTCTGGCCCAGTGCGGTGCCGAACCGGAGAATGTTGTAGATCGAGCCGGAATCAATGTTGAGAATCAGGCGGTTGGTGTGCACGTGGAAGGACTCGAGACAAACGATACTGCCCTGGTACCGCATGGCTGCAGCAACGGTCAACAGAGAACCGCTGCGCTCCGCCAGACGTCGCATCCAAAGGTCCTGTTCCTGCGTTTTGTTTTTCGTGGGAAAGGGATTCAGATTGCGCTGAATAAAATCGGGAAGGACAACGCGGGCGACTTTCCCCGGAGCCGAAACCACTTGCGATAAAATCTCCCCGCCGAGCGTGTGCTGCTTGTCCACCTCCCCGAGCCGCTCCTGCTCCGACGAGCGCTCTTTGTGGACCGTCTGTTGGTTGGCAATGTACACGTTGTTTGCGCTGGCGCGCGGGGCTGCAGGGATGGAACTCCCCGGCGACTGGCTTTGACTTTGTAAACTCAATCGCCCGGCGGTGAGTGGAGACGAACGGCCTACTGCCGATCCCGGAGAAGCCATGTTGTTGTGCGCCACCGTCAGCCGAGGATCTATCTGAGGAGCAGATGTTGCTCCCGGAGGTGAAAGAGGCACCTCATCTGGTGCGCCTGCTTGCAGCGTTTTTCTCTTCGCGCCGGTGGCTGCGTTTTTTCTTGCAAGCCTCGTAAGTTTTTTGCGCCGCTTCTCCTCGTCCCTCGCGCGGCGTCGGTTCAGTGCGTTTTGCATCCACAAACGGGACGCAGCCCCGGCTTGCTCCAGGATCGGGCTGCGAACGCATATCACGTTGCGCTTGGTGGCGCCGTGGTACGTATCGAATTGGAGTGCGCCCACGGTTAAAGCCCAGTTCTGGCTGCCCAGCGGATAGGTCTTCTGCGGATCGTGAGCCAAAACCTCGCCGGTGAACCGGTCTATGTCCGACGATAGAGCAACTGCACCGCCGGCCCTTTCACTACTCGAAGGAGCTCCGGTCGCTGTGCTGGCTGCAGCGCCGTCCTGCTTGTTGCCCTTCGAGCTGCCGATTGGAGATGCTGTGTCCACGTGCTGATGCTGCTGGATGGCAGCGTCGTGGGGATCCTGTTCCGAAAGCCTCGACATCCGCTCGTGGTGTTCGATCTGGCGCTGTAGTTGATGAGTCAACCGCCGGTCCCGGAGATGCGCGATGTCGTAGCTGCGGTTTTCCACTTGGATGCGCTCGATGAAAAGGTAGCCGATCTCCCGGGGCGCGGCGTCGTTCATCGAAAAGCCGACGCCGGCCAAGTACACAATCTGCTTCAGGTAGGACTCGTCCAGGCGTGCGATGAACTGCCGATAGGTTTGGTCATTTCGTGCGCGCGCGATTGCGTCACCCAACGCATGCACATGCAGGAGTCTTTGTCTTCTGTCCTGGAGCTTTGTCACGAAGGCCTGCAGCATCTGGGTCGGATCCATCGATGTTCGCATTTGCTGCGTTTTGCGCACTATGTTCTTGAACGCACCAGTTCCGACTTTAGCCGATTGCCCTGCCGACCTAGCTATTTTTGTTGTCATTTGGCGATGAAAGGCAGGCTGCCCGCCGCCTTTAAGCGAATTGGTTTTACCCCGCTGTATCTGGAAAACGTGGGACGCAAAGCGATTCAGCATTTTCTGTGCGCCGGAGCCTCGCCTCGTGCCTGTTGTCGCGTTTGGTCCGGCTTGCGCACCGCCGTTGCCGCCAGTTCCGTCCTGCATTTGTGCGCCGTTCGTCCCTCCAGTTGCAGTGCTCACCAGGCGCGCCCCCTTATTTTGCCGTTCCGGGGAAGTTGCGTAAGCTTCGAGGTCGTCGGTCTGTGCGCCAATCACCGACTGATTGGTCTTCGCGAGACTCGCGGCCCGTCGCGCAATCGACTGGAACAAGGTTTTCGCATGCATTTTTACTGGCAGCCGGGCGGTGATCTTTGGAAGCATCACAGAGGTCTTTGCCTGCATTGCTATGTCGGCGAAGGTGGACGCCTTGTTCGCAATGTTCGCGCTGCGACGGACCTGTTTGTGCTTAACAAACTTGAAGATAATCGTGCGGTTGAAGAGCACAGGATACCCGTAAGATTCAGACGCTTTAGTACTTTTTCCACCCGAGGGTCTACTTGCTCCTCGCGCTGGTTTGTTCGAACTGTCTGGTGGGGCTGGTGGGTGACTCCTCACCGACGGGTTTACTTTCGCAGTTCCATCTGATATGCCCCCGCGCGCGTTTCCAACATGCGATAACGGGGAGTACGGGTCAACGAAAGACGAGGCACTGTAGCCATTGCTGCCAGCACTGGCAGCCGCCCCTTGGTTTGCCATGCGCGCTGCCACCTGCGCGTGAATACGGGACCGGTCCGGAGGTGTTTTCAGTACGGAGTAGGTTAAGGTCCCGCCTGTATCCTTGTAGAGCTCCTTGTCCCGAACATAGGGCAAAACTGGAATATCTATGCTGATCCACCCATTGGTTTCGCTGTCGCGAAACGTGACAACCGCTTTCCCCGAGGTGTGAGCGGCGCTGGTTTGCACGCGACCGCTCGTGTTGTTCTCCACCTGCCCGTTGGTCCGTTGCACGTGCGCCTCATAGCTGCGCGGATCCTTGATTTGGTGCGGCTGGTGGAACGCAAAAGGCACGGGTTCGCCGACACCATGGAGCCTACGTGGGAGCTCGGTCCCAAGCGGCGCGTCGTTTAGCGTACGTCGTCGAAAGTGCGGATTGCTCTTGTCCATTTGCTTTGCCTGTTGCATCGCTCGGGCTCGGCCCCAGAGTCCACCGGCGGCGTTGTCCGCCAATTCCGCGCTCTGCACGGGTGGTCCACCAGCAGCCGTGGATGCGACGGAAATCCGTCCCTGGGGATTGAAGGCGGCACTGCGCTTGTTCAAGGTCGCGTTAGCTTCGTTGTTCATCCATATGCCTGTCCGCCCTCCCCTGCTTAAGCTCTCCTTTATTGCCTGTTGCGGCAAATTCGCACCTCCCCCTCCGCGACTGTTCCCGCCACTTTCAGGTGCACCTCCCCCGCCCATGGCGCTTGCGCCGATGCCTATCAGGTTCGTTGCGGCTTTCGTGAAGTCGTTGAGTCCGCTCTGAAGCTGCCCGAGGCTGCCATCGGGCATGTCCTCCTCGTCCGGCTCGTCGGTGTCCTCTTTCAACAAGAGCTCTTTGACGTACAAGGGCCGGTCGGTGTGGTTTTCCAGCCAAAACGGGGCTTCTATCACTGCGTCGACGGCGTCCACAACCCAACACTCAAGCCGCTGGTCGTAGGAGAGACACATCTTGGTGACGTCCCACTCGGACGCGGTGCGATAGGTGGCGTCCGGCCGTAGGGGGCAGTTGGGATGTCGAAAAATGTAGCTCTTTTGCAGGTACAGGTTGTGTCTGTGCGTGTGGAAAAAATTTTTGATGATGCTGGTGACCGCGTAGATTTTCATAGAACGTTCAAGTCTCGTCTAAAACACCATGGGTGTGCAGACAAGGAAATCAAAGGCAAACATTCAAACAAAAAACATTTTCGTACTTGTGCGAGTGAGCGTGGTTGTGTTTGTGATGGTGGTGCCTGCGCGAGGTCGTATCTCCTGCTTCCGTTGGTCCACCAGTTGATGTCCCAGCACCTCCGGCAGTCGGCCTTTTTGGCGCTTGAAGCGACAAGGGCCACCGGTTTATGTGGTACTTCTTCAGCAGTCCCAGATAAGGGTCTTCCATGACGTTGGCGGAAACTTTGCGGAAAAAGCTTCGCTCGGGCCTGTGCGGTATCACCATTGGGTAACTCCAGTTGCTCTGATCCTGCCGGTAGATATCCCCCGTCATCGCTAATGACAGTGCGAGACCGACGTTCCCAGCTGGCTTCTTCTGCGTCGAAAACGCCGCGGACCCGCCCGCCGGCACCCAGTCCGCCCCTAGCACGTGGCCGCGCCGGTGTTCGTGCTGATGCGCTTGAGCAGCCGCGGTCGGACTTGTTGTGCCCGAAATAGCAAGCGGAGCGGAAGTGGATGGTGGTCTTTGAGACTTCTTTTTTGATGGAACTCTATTGCTTTTGTTTTTTTTGTTCTTACCCCCGCTTGCCTTGAGATTCATAGCCGACGGGTCCATCCGCGCCGTGAGCCGCCTCATGGCCTGTTGGTTGTTTTTTGCGTCGGTTTTGGCAACATTGGTCCCCCCCAAGGAAAACGGCGAACCCCCCGAGATAGCACCGGGCGTCTTCGGGGGACTCATGAACAGGCTGCCGCGACTCTTACTGTCGGGCGACCCCGGTGGGGAGCCCCCAACCGCCAGTGCGTGGGCATCCTCATCCTCCGATACCTCTATCGCGCCGCTGCTTTCGCTACTTGTTGACTCCTCCGTGTCTCCATCCTCGGAAGTAGACAGGACGTGCTGCATGACCGTCGTCCTTGTTCCAAGATTACGCTCCTCCGCGTGGTCTAGCAATGGCGACCTTGCCGAAGAGCGGCGCCGGTGGAGATGATGCCTCCGCCATCGGTGGAGACCAGGGGCAACAAACAAATCGTCGTTCTTGAAGTTTCGGAACAGAATCCAGGGGTACACCACCACCTCGCGGGTTCCGCCATTCACCACCGTGCTTACCGAAAATTCTTCGCGCCGGAGGTTGTACGTGACGCGACCAGTGTCGCGAATAAGTGCCCGCTCCCGGATCCGGTGACGATGCTGCGACGGGAGCGTTTCCAGAATTGGTGCAGTGGGTACGCTTTGCTCGCTTCCGGCGATCGTGGGCTTATTCCGCCGAGGTACAACCGCCGTCGCATCGGGAATCTGCAATCGTTGCATGCGAGAAGTGGAATCCGGTACAGAACTCGCAACAGATTCTCCCTCTGCAGCTGCGTCTAAGATCGCGTGCTCGCCTTCTCGTCCCGCTATTGTAGTGCGTCTCGGATCGTCCTCGTCGTCGTCGGGTCCTTCATTTTCCATTGTCCCCTCTACTGTTGCTCGTCCCTCCTCTACTTCTAGAATGACTTCACGCGTCTCGATGGCACGCTTGCTGTCGGCTTGTTCGCTGTTCTGCTCCGCCGTAGAAGAAACGTCTTCCTTGATCGCCTCGCCATCCCCCGTTTGTAGGCGGTTGAATTTCGCGCCCAGTTTGTTCACTCTGGTCGCCGCCACGTCCATTCCTTGCCTGGTCTTGTTGTACATGAATCCCGGGTATCAAATGTAAAAATGTCTGGGTCTGGAAGAATGCAAGATTTGTGACGCAGGTTTTCCATGACCCATGAGGTCTGGAATGCGAGACCCAGCATCACAGATTTTTTGAGGTCTCTATCATGCCTTTCCTACATGAGAAACTCCCTCTCAACTTGGTCAAAAGCGGACAGCTTTTGGCACTCACGCAACACAGATCATCATCATCATGTAGTGGACACCCTCTCCCAGCGCCACAGGTCAAGGATCCCCTCCCCAGGGGGTGGGCGAGGAAGCGCTTTCGGCAACCGCAACCTCATCATACAAAAGCCGAGCGCTACCACGGCAAGTCGCCCCAAGAAAAGTGCCAACCAGTCGGGAGCTACCCACCACACCTGATCAGTACAGCCCGGCCAGCTAGCCGAGCGCGACAGCCCAACATACAGATTTTTCATTTTTGCATCATTCAGATTTAGCATGACAAGTTCTAACCTTCCAGACCCAGACATTTTTGCATTTCATACCGGGGCCTTCGTGATCGTCTCCGTTGCCTTGGTTGCTTTTGCGACCACCGCCGACGGCTGCAACGTGCTCATTGCCCCCTTCGCGTGCTTGTTGATGCCGGCCACGAACTTGTTTGCCTGCCTTTCCAAAAAACCGGTGCTGTACAAATCCGCGCCTTCCAGGTCGGAAAACTGGGGCAGCCGTCGCGGAGCCAAGAGCTTCTCCGGGTGGGTCTGCACCCGCCCGATGTTGAAAACCGCCGCGGCGTTCCAGCGATCCACCTCTTCCTGCACCGAAAAGTTTTCGTCCGAGTCGTTGTCCAAATCGCCGTGAACCAGCACCTCCAGTTTCAGGCACTGCTCGTCTTCCTGGCTCTGCTGCGGCGCGCTCCAGGCGAAGTTGATCTTCTCCATCTGCTCGAGGACGAGGGGCTGCGAGAGTTCGTCCGCCTTGTCGTACATGCCAATGCGCGCTTTCCGCAGGAGCATGTGCAGTCCTTGTTTCGTCACCTCGGTGATTTTCGTCAGCGCTGCCAGCTCCGCTGTGACGGATTTCCGGTGCACCTGCGAGAGTGCGAGCGCGTGCGGGGTGAAGTTATGGGAGTGTCAGGTTTGAAATCGACAAAGTTGAAAGAACTTGTAATGCATCAAATCGATACCAGTTGGAAGCCCAATTTTCAAGCGGTGCATGACAAATTTCGGCGCCGTCTAAATACAGTTTGTCATGCTGTTTAGGTACAGACGGCGTCTTTTGTCATGCTACTTTAGCAGCTCTACCGCAGACCCCAAAAAGGCTGACAGTCGGCCCCATTTGCTGTTCCTGCAAGAGAGGCGCTTCATGTCTTGCAATTTATACATGAGAAATTATTTCAACTTTGACGATTTCAATCCTGACGCTTCCATAGAAGTTTGCGATCCGGTAGTGCGGCACCTGGGGCTCGGTGAACCGCACCACGATGGAGGCGGACTGGTTCACCGATTGCAATACTTCTACCAAAGAGATGCAGAGATGCACACGCGGCTTCGGGGGTTGTAATTGTCCGCTTACAAATTGCAAGTCTTGCTCCTGGTCAGCACCCCTGCTTTTGTTCTCAGCAAGAACTACACCGGCAGATGTTGATGAATCCTGTGCGGTCACTCCGACAGACGTTGAAGCTGCGGTGTCTACTCTGTTTATGTTGAGGCCGAACCTCGACCGTCCGTTGGAGTTGCGGCGCCGCAACTGTTTGCTCCGTTCTCGCCGCTGCAGCTCCCCTCGTCGAGTTATGATACGCATGCTCGCAAGAGGCAGGTCCTCTTCCGAAATAGCGGTGGAGAGCTGGAAGCACTCGTGCTCCAGAATCGAGAAGCTGCTACTGTAGTGTTTGTCCGTGTCCCCGGTGATGCGTAGCTGGACGTGTTCCAAAATTTTCTTTTCGTCCATGGGCTTCCCGCGACTCCGTGCGTACTGGATCTCCTTCATCAGTGCGTCACTCTGCGGGTCCCACTGCGCCTGCTGGTGCGGGTCGACCTTCTGGTACCCGGCCTCGCCCTTAGAGCGCACCCAGATGGGGTGCCGCTTGTGGTTCACCAGCGTGACGGCCCGAACCATCTCGATCACGAGCGTGCGGTAAAAGGGGAACGGAGCGGTATTCACGGAGTATCCAAAAACGCGTTGGATCGGGTTATACATCGTCTTCGGAACCACCACCATGCCCCCCGTCGTCACCTGCTTCACCGGGAACGGGTGCGACATCATGTAGAGCGGCGCCTTCTCCGTCGACGCGGCACCCGATATGGCTCGTGCGGTGACTTGACGCTTTAGCTGCGCCTTGTTTGACGTTGCGGAGGCATTTGACAATAGCGAGTGTCTTCCCGGGTTTTGCGCACTCGGGATGTAGCTTTTGCCCCCGCCGGCTGGGCCGAGGTCCAGGCCACGCATGAACTGGTTTGTTACGCCCACCTGGATTTCCCGCACCTCGGACAACAGGCCCTTGCGCTGAATGTGGTCCTCGGACAGAATCATGCGCGTGTTCGCGCGCACCTGGTACGCCGGCCGGTTACTGTCCAGCTGCGGCGTGCCGTGCGCGACGAAGAAGTCGAGGTCGCTGCGCCGGTTCACGACCCAGTACGAAGCGTAGACGGAAACCTGCATGATCGGACTCGGCCAGAAGAAAACATCCGACGCGATCTGGTTTGGGAGCTGTCGCTCCGGTGCGTTGTCACACGTGTACAGCACGGAAATCGATGTACTGTCGTCTCTGCTGGATGCGGCAAACGGATCGTCCTCGTTGTCCAGCGTTCTAGGACCAGTCCTCCGGCTACAACATGCTGCCCAAGATTTCTTCCCGGCCGCTCTTTCTGAGTCCGTCCTTCTCAGCTCCGCAACGTCGCCCGGGGCCAAAACATCCGGCTCGCGGTTGCGGAAGTGCAGGCGGTGCGGCTTCTCCGCCGAGCGCATGTGGTAGTCGAGAACCAAAGGGTACTGCGTTTTGAACGTCTCCGTACCCTGGTTGAAGGCGAAGGTGAGCAGGAAGGGTGAGTGCTTCAACTCCGCATTAGCTCCGGGTGGCAGCGTGTGCTGCCGCTGCAAAACTTCACCGCTGGCGCGGCTTGCCGTGGCCATTTTTCGCAATGTCGTGTGCATGCCGGGGGAGCCAGGTCGCCTAGCGTCGTACGCCGTCGCGTCGTCTGCAGGGGTCTGCTCGTTAAAGCTGCGGTCGTCGGGCGAGCTCGCTGCTTCTGCGATTAGGAGACTTCGGTTGCGCATCTGAGAACTGCGGTGCTGCTTCTCCAGTTGAGTGTGGTCCTCGGAGAACCGGGCGCCCTGAGCACTGACGACCAACGGGGCGCACAGCCTGTTGCAAATCTGGATGGTCGAATCCAGCAGAATGTCAAAGCTGAGGGCATCCGTGTTCGAACTCAGGTTCACCGAGGTGGCGGCAACTGAGACGGCGACGTCGATCGGATGACGATCGGTCAGCTCTCCAGATTTGTTCGCCTCCGGTACGCGCGGCATGGAGGGGAGGGAGCTTCCGGCGAAATGGATCGTGTGGCCGTCCATTTTGTGGTATGTTTCCGCGTTCGAGTTTGCATACGTGTAGATCTGCCGCCAGACCCGCTCGGGCACGAAGCGTTTCAACCGGCCCGACCGGCGCACCACGTTCACACAGTCCTTGTCCCGCAACTTCGCTGCGATTTCCGTCCGGTTCAAAGGGTCTTTTGCGCGCCACTTCTTCGCTTCTTCCGACATTTCGAAGGCCTCAAGATCCTCCTCGAGCCGATGCCGCAAGCCGACGAGCAGGGGTGCAGGCCACCTCCGTTTCGCGATGGCCATCTGGCGCTGGCTCATCGCGGGTTTGGAGGTACCGCAGCAGATCCATCCCCCGCATTTGCTGCACCGAGACCTCCTCCGGGAATTCAAATCGGCTTCGAACTCGGCATCGCTGTCACGATGACCAACGGTGGTCGGGGAATCTGTCATCTGCGACCCATGCAGGGGGGAGCTGCGGTCACTGCCTGGCGTTGCGCCTAGTATGGTCTTGTGGCGCAAGTCCAGATCATCTTGTCGCCATGTCGGCGACACCATGCCATCTTCGTCCCGCGAAATGCTGTGCACCTTCCCCACGTGCTGTTCCGAGCTTCTCGCGCGACTCTCCCCGCAGCAGCATTCGTGACACCGGTTCTTTTTGCTTTTCGAGCCGGACCGCATGTCAGTCTCGTCCACTTCGTCCTGCGCTGTCACGATGTCCCAGGGCAGGTTAGCAAGAATCTTTGCCACGTTCTCGGCCTGCCGGAGACCCTCTTGTGGAAAGACGGTTGCCGCGGCGGTGCTGAAGGGTGCGAAGGCACCCGGCGTCGGCGCTACAGTGGCCCGCGACTGTGCGTTCGGTACACTCTTGCGAAAGGTGTCCAAATCTAGGCCAAATTCTTGTGTTTGGTCGTCCTGCTTTGCAAGCGCTTGCAGCCCCTTGTTGGTCGCCAGAGACATGTTCGCCGCGCTCAAGCCGGTGACGAAGTAAAACTCCTCAGGGAAAAGCCAGGGGAGCGGCACCCACTCCTGGCCCTTGGCGGGAATTACTAGAACCTGCGTGAGCATCTGGAGACTGCTGCGCACCACAATGGGGACGCTCAGGTTGTTTGTGATGCGGACGGTGGAAGAGAGGTTCATGTCAAACCGGTTTGACTTCGAACTCAAGACCGTACGCTTCAGAATCCGAACCGGAAACGCGCGCTTGGTGCCCCGCCCGAACGAGTGGCTTTGCGCCTGCAACACCTCGTAGCTGGGCCGGTCCTGCAGTTGCGGGGATAAAGGAGCTGCGACTGGGGTGCTTTCCGCACTGGCAGCGGTGGCAGCACTCGCGGCGCTTCCTGCTTGGGTCGGTGGATGAATCTGCACAGGGTCGGACAATTTATCTGATATCATTCCGAAAGACCGACGACTGTCCATCGTAGACGCAAGACTGCGCATAGACTGGCCGCGGTTCTCTGCCAGCTCTTTCTCACGTTGCTTCTGCTTCTCCACGCGCTCCTTTGCAGAGTCCACTTGAATGGGTACCGATTTCTCATCGATGTGCAGACTTTGCGTCCCGAAGTGAAACTTCCGTAGGGTGACGATGGCCCCGCCAATCACCAAGTCGACTGTTAGTCCGCGCACCACGTTAGTCGACTTCCCGTCGTCCTCCTCGCTCCTACACGAGAAAGTGTGGCCTTTCTGCACGATATGGTGTCGGATGCCAGATTCATTCTCATTTGGTGTTTCTTCTTCTTCGCCGCCTGCTGCGCCGGCGGTCTTCTCTTTGTCCCTACTTGCAGCAGGCAAGCCGTCGTACGACTTAGACCGGTAGAGACGCGGTCGCATATTATTAGCTCCCGCCTGTGACGAGGCGGTGGATTTTTTTATACTGTTACTGCTTCCACCACCCGCCCCTGCTGGTGCCTCTTTCGATTTGTTCTTGCGTCCCAACTGTGTGGCACCCACGAGCGACTTCACTAATTGGGACGCGGGCCCGTAGCCGCGCATCGCTTTTCTACCTGGAGATTCGGCGCCGGATGGGGAGCCGTGGCGGTTTGCACTCGACTTCACCCACAGAGATCTTCTGGCGCGGTCAGCTTTCGTCAGCTCCTGTCTGCAGCGAATTCGCAGCCCGAGCTCATTCCGCACCATGACCACGTTGCTCGCGGAGTCCTCGAGCACAGATTTCGGCGTCTTGCCTTTCATGCCGTCCCCGACACGTGACGCAGCTGCCTCGTCGCGCTCGTCCACCGTCGAGAGGAGGGATCCTTTGCGCGTTACCGGGACTCCCGCAATCGATATGACACTGTCAAGGTCGCGATCTGCAACTGCAGATGCCACGGAGGGCAGACCGCGCGCGCTCTGGCTATCGTGTAGTTGGCCTTGGCGCATGCCGTCATCAAGCAGACCTGGAGAGGATTCCCGAGTGGCAACGCTACCGATCTCGGCGTCCTCTAAGTTTGGGTCAAGCCGTCTTCGCTCGCGGTCCGCTTCACTCGAAAGCGTGCTGCTCAGCTGCAGCCCCAAGCGCCGTTGAATGCGTCTTTCTTGGACGGGGTCGAGAAAGTTGGTCAAGTAGTTGCGAAAAATCGACGGATAGTGGCGGGTCCAGTACCGCGAGGCTGCCTGCGTGGCACTGAAGGGGCGGTCCTGGTAGGCTGTGCACAGCTCGTGCGAATGCAGTGTGTAGGTGTTTGCTGGATCTTTCGCAGTTCCGAGCGTGAGCATTCGAGCGTCCGAAACTGCTTCTGCAGTTGTAGCACCGTCGGATGCAGCCCAGTCGCCAGGAGACGAGGCGGTGTCGGCCGCCAAATCTTGGAAGTTGTTCGGCTTTATCACTAAGACCTCGACTAGTGGGAATTTTCTTTCCGTCTTCGTAGTTCTACTGCTCCCAAAGGGGTTATTAGGTGGACTTGTTCTTCCGATGGTTCTAGACTTCGATGGATTCTTTCCAAACGCAGATCGCGAATTCGACGAGTTGAGAAGTTCCTCCGCCGTGACCAACTTCCCCTTCTCGAAAGTCAATGCGTCCGTTGCCGAAATCGCGAGATGCAGTGCGCGCGGTTGAGTCTTCGCCAGCGCATCCTTGACCGCAGCTGCAGACGTCAAACTCGGCGACACCAGCTCTAAGGGTTGGCCGCGCTGCAGCGCCGAAACCTGTTCCCAAGTCCGCAAGGCCTGCTCCTTGCGGAGCTTTTGCATTTGGAGGTACCGCGCGTGCAGCTCGATCGCACTGGAAACCAACAGTTGCCGGAAGGTTTTCGTCGTGTCCAGAGAGAGATTCATCGAGATCCAAGACACCCGCGCGTAGTAGCCGAGCAGGGCGTCATTATCCAAGGCCATGCAACTCTTGATGCGGAACGTGTCGACTAACGGGAAGGATTTTGCGTTCAGCGGGGAGAACGCATCCACGAAGCACATGGTTTCCGCAGTGAGTAATCCGCGGTTCCCCGCGTGGACCAACGTCGAGCCGAAGGTTATGTTTGGATGCAGCATGGACACCAACCCGGTGAAGGGAGACTTCGCCGCGTTGAAGTACTCGAGCGAAACCAGCGGGTCGCGCGTCAGCTGCGGAACCGCTGATGGATCTTCTGCTTGTCTCTCAGCTGTATCTTCCGGAGTTGTACCTGCATTCGCACTTTGCCGCGTGGGCTGCACACTGTTTCTGTTCACCGAGGTGACTGAACCGAACGCTCTACTGCCACTGTCCATGAGTTGTGGGTGGTGCGCCGCGGGTTCGCTAAGGAGCTGCCTAAGGAGGTCGGGTAATAGAACAGGCCGGACTTGGTGAAACTGAGCAACGGTTTGCTCTAGTGCGACATCCAGCAGAGAGATCGACCGCTGGGTGTCCACAAGCTGCAGCCGGATGTTCTCGATCCGCAGGAGAAAAATGTGCGGTAGTCCAAACAAATAGAAAAACCCACCGGTCAAGGTCATCGTGCCAGCCGCCGGACCGCTGATAGCGCCTCTTTGGTCCATCGGAAGGACTCCATCTGGGCCCGCTGCAGCAGTGGATTCGTCTACACCTCCGGAGCCACCTCCCAACCCAACGCTCCCGCCAGGGCGCTGCGCCAAAGCTCGAACCATCTCCGCCGATCCTGTCAGTTGCGCCGTCTGGGCGGCGGCTAACTCGAGCTGGTCGACGCCCTCCACGCTTTCCATCGAAAGGCGCCTCGCGGGCATTTTTCGTTCCTGCAAGCTGGTCAGCCACGGTTCATCGCCTTCGGACTCCGACCCCTCGCGCTCGGAGGAGGACGTGGTCGCTCCAAACGAGGACGACCCCGTTGCACCGTCGTCGTCGGGGTCCTTATCCTCATAGTTTGCGGTATCCCTTACCCGCCCGTCATTGGAAGTCGTGGAACTGGATGAGCTACTGGACGAGCCACCCTCGTGGTCCATCTTGCCATCGAGAGGTGTCAGGTTGATGCGATCTCGCTTATCAACATCATGCACGTCGTCCTCACCTCGCTGCTCGTGCGCAGCGAATTCGTCTTCCTGACTGATGTCATCCAGCGGCGTGGTGGATGCGCCGGTCGTGGTGTCTTCTTTCGCGAACAAGTCCGCCATGCGCTCCTGCATTTCGGTGTAAACACCTAGTACGGAGATCAGGCGTGGGAGCAACCCAGTCTGAAAAGACAACACGATCGGGCCAACGTTTGCGCCGACGCGGTGGTCGAGGACGACGACGGGCACCCCCTCCGAGAATTCCTCCAGTTTATCGTAAATGTCCACATGCTGCTGGCCCATCAGCTCCTCCTGTACCTGCGTATTCACAATCGGCCCGTCGCGTTCCATGGACAAAAACCCCGGGTCGTCCGGATGTCCTGCAATGGTCGTTGAAGAGGCCTCGGAGGGGCGCGCGTTCATGGTTGTACCACCGGGCTGCTGCAGGTTGAAATTGTCTCCCGCGAGCGGAAATCTCGTCCGTGATGCCGAAGCGGACGACCCGCTTTCGTTCCGCTGCATCACCGAGGGCGTTGAGTGTGCGCCCTGTTTGAATAACTGCAAGCCGGACTGCGACGGGCCGCCGAGCAGCGAGGGCGGCGGAAGGTTGTGCTGCTCCCGCGCGGAATCTTCTGCGTAACTGATACCTTGTCGGGAAATCGGCGTGAACTCTTGGTCCTGGCCAAAAGAATTTTCCACCACGCTGGTTGGGCTCGCTTTCGAATCATGCGCCGGTGAAAAGGAGGACTCTGCGATCACCGGAAGCTGTGGCTTGTTTGAGGCTGCGACTGCCTGAACCAAAGCTGGACGTTGAGAGGCAGGCGTGTACAGCAACTCCGTATCGGCTTGACTCTTGAAACGGACGTGGGTCATTTCTCCGACGTCCTGGGATTCGATGGACGCGCGCGGTGCAAGATGCGGAAAACCCGCTCCAGACGGTGTACCGCTCCGCCCACTTTGGCCGACCCCGAGCAACTGTGCATCTGTTGCTGCGCTGCCACGCCGCGTAGCGGAGGCGTGCGCGTGGCTCTCCAGCACGTTCTCGAAGAGCGTCACCTTCTCCAAGAGGAGATCAGTTGTTACCCGCACTGGGTGGAGGACGTAGATACTGTAGTCGTCGATCACCTGCTTTGACAAGGGGAAGCTGCTCAGCAGCCGCCCCAGTTTGTTTTGCCTTTCCCGCGCTTCGAAACGTGCCTTCTGTTCCTCCTTCTCTTTGTTCGCAAGTGACTCCCGCTTCTTATCCTCGAAGGAAATTGATGTCGCTGCAGTTGTCATACTGGTTCGGGCGCTGGCGCCGGCCATGGTGGAAGTAGCGGAAGATCGGCGGCGACCGGAGGCACTGAGCCGCACGTTGCGACGCGCGTAAGCTCCGCCTGTCGCTCGAGAACTCGTCCTACCGCCCGCCAAGGGGGCCGTCTTGAGTGGAAACGATGCGTCTGGAATCTGCATTCGGTGGGCTTTGTCGGAGGGGTCAGGGAGCGCCGCCACGGTTTGCCGCCTCATCATCGACGGTCGTCTCTGGCTACCTGTGCTCTTTACGGGCTGCGGTTCGCCCTCCTCTCCGAAGATCGTTCGCTGGCTGGTGGTAGCTAACACAGAAGCAGAATTCACTGGCGACGCTCGCGGCAGCTCCGGATCCAGAACGTCGTTTTCAGCTCCCTCGTCTGCCTCGAGCACCCCGCTGAATTCGGCCCCAAGAATCGACTTTCGCTTGATGGCGCTGATAGAAGTGTCCTCCTCGGGCTTCTCGTATCCACCGGCACCAATCGTCGTGCGCGGTCCCGACATGCCTCCGACCTCAGCGTCAGACAATAAGCAGATGCTGAGGCCTGAAATGAAGCCGCTCAAGTGAATTTGGTCCAAGTACGCCGGTAGGTATTTGTGGAGAACATTTGGATTTCGCTGCACCACAGCCATCCACGTCTCCTTCTCGTAGCTCGTAAGCGCCTCGCGCGTGGGACGCAGCACGTTGTGCCGAAGGATCCGCCGCTTTCTCGACGTCGGCAGGTCATGCTCGAAGTTTGCGACACTGGATGCAAGATCCATATTGAGCGCCCCGGACAAGTCTGCGCCGATCTGGAGCGAGAGACTCACCAGCAAACCCTCGACGCTGTCGGTAGGCACGAAAAGCTTGACAGCTGCGCAGTGCAGCGAAAAGTGACGGGTGCAGTCGACCGTAACGAACGTCCCACTGTTGGTGGCGAGTTGATCCACCATGGCCGCCGTTTCATCAAATACTGTCATTTCCGCCCTGTGGTTCTGACTTCCCATCGCGGAAACGTCGTCGGGCGGCGGGAAGAGCTGCTGCACTAGTGCGGCATGCCCAAGGCTGTGCTGCCGCTCTCGAGCAACCGGCTGTAGGGGGGTGTCGGTGGGGCTGCTCAGGATTTGGTCTCCTACGGCCGAGCTGCTGCTTATCGCCGAGCCGTACTCGCTGTGGTTGCTGGTCAGGGATCCGCGACGGAACCCTGTGGCGTCGTTGTCTTCGGCGAGCTCCTCGTCCGACGGGAGGTCGGTGGCAAGATCGCCCTCGAACCTGATCGCAAGGAGCTCACTCTTGATTTCCGCTGCCTCCCCGTCGCTCGCCTCAGCTTGTGGGAGAGACACGACCAGATCAGGGGTTTTCGGCACCACCTCGTGGGCGGGCTTTGTATCCTTCGACCTACCACCCGGCGCCCCGGCTGTTCCTTTCCTTATTCCAAGCTTCCTCGTCGCGACGCCGGCTTCTCCCGCGTGGTCTACTCCGGGCTGCGATGGGAAAAAAGATCCAGGAGTCAACATCTGCCCAGCCGGGGAAAGTTTTGTTGGCCCCAGTCTCCTGGTGCGCAATTCTTCCTCGACAGAAACGCAAGTGAAGTTGTAGATTTCTGCCAGCAGAATCACCGGATCCCACCATGTCGCGATCCAGATTTCGCCAAAATGGGCGTTTGCATTTTCGTTCCGAACCTTGTGCCAGATCTTTGTGGACCAGCCCCAAATGTCAAACAGTTCCTGCTCCCCGGCCCGGCCTTGTTGCATCAGCGGAATCTTGGACTTCGCTATTTGCTTCTTGGCCACGTCGTGCTTGCGCTCCGGGTCGAGGTGGGTGATGGAGTTACTGTACCGCAGCAGCACGGCGTGGCTCTGGTCGGCGCGGATCAGGTCGTCGAGTTCTGCTTGAGAAACGTGCTTCGCGTCGCCGGCGAGCTTGGGCTGGTGTGAAGACTCTTCTGCCGCGCTGTTGCGGCGCGACGAGGCACCTGGCGCGTGGTCGTGCGCCATGTGGTGCTGGTCCGACTGCGAATCAATCGATTTAGTCGCTGCAACGAGTGGCCACAGTGCGCGCAGCGGCGAGACAATGTGATACGCGAACTTTTGGATAGACAAGTCTAAGGGGAGGCGGTGCGCATTGCTGTAGTCCACAGCCTCGTCATGATTCTGGTCCGCTGTTGACGAGGTCCGTGTTTCCGCAGCGAAAGCAGCAGCGGTAATTGGCTTGTGTTTTGCGCCGTCGGAGAGGAAGAGTGAGGGCCGCAAATGCAAAAAGACGTCGTGTGGCGTTAGCGGTTTCTGCGAGTCGGCGTGGTCTAAACTGAGGAACAAATCCGGGACCGCACCGCAATGGAACAGCAGACGCGTGTACAAAGCGCTGCTCAAGTCAATCTTATCGAGGTCGAACTTGCCCTTCTGACCCTTTTCAGCTCCTTGCCACACTTCGTCTGCGAGCAGAAACGCGTTTCCCGAGGCGGTGACAGGCAGCTGCGCAACGAACATGCTTGTTACGCGCGTGATGCCGCTGCTTGCTTGGTCAAACAGGTTGAGGTCATGCGGCATCTGCGCCCTCATGACTTCTTCTTGTGACATGCCGCCAGCACCGGGCGTCATATTTTCGTTAGAGACCACGAAGGTGTACAGATCCTCAACGCCGGCTATCAGATAGCAGCCGGAAGTTTCGTACGTGCTCTCGACGTAGACGTGGAGCGAAAGCTGCTTAGCATCAAGTTCCACGTAGTACGACACTTCTTCCGGCCGACCCCCCGCGGTTGCTGGTACGGGTTCGGTACCGGGTTGAAGTGCGTCGTCGCCCATCGACTCCCCCCCAATGGAAGGTCGTCGACCAGTAGTTGCACCATCGCCAGGCCGTGCGCTCCCGAGTTCTTCCGGTTGCGGGCTGTCGCTGCTGGGCGAGCCAGCGCCACTGACTGCTGCCTGCTCCGTGTCGCTATGCGTGTCGTGACTAAGTGTGCGTTCCACCGCAGGAGGGGGTGGCGGGGCGTTCTTCGAACCTGGACGTGATTGTTCTTCGGGAACCGACCCCGCACCGGAAGAACCCACCGACGAGCGGCGCGACGGACTCAAGCCCGCGGAGGGGGTGATACTGGCACCACGTGCGCGCTGAATGTTCTCGGTGATATCTTTCGCACTGTCCAGACCCACCTGAATTGCAACGACGATGCGCGTCAGACTCAGCAACTTTGGCGTGTCAATGTCAATCCGCAGTGGCGCCAGGATCACAGAGACGACGTGGCTCGGAAGGTCGATCCGCTTCAGACTCTGGCAACGGCCATTGCGCCAGACGATGCGAAAACCGGACGGATGGATCAAATCCAAAGGGGATTCGTGGAGGCCCGGCTCACCGTCGTGTTCGCGACGCCGTTTCATCTTCTCTGCCTCTTCCTCGTCCACGTCGAACGAGACACCGCTGGCGCCCGCGCTGCGGCTCCCCGCACCGCTTCCAAGTCGGTTCATGTTCCGAAAGCTCTGATGGCTGGATATCAGCGTGTTGATTTTGCTCTTGTGCACGTCTTTGCGTGCCTTCTCTCGCTCCTGGGCGTCCAACCGTGCCAACACTTTTGCGTTGGCGGGCGCACGCACGCTCCACTTCGGGGAAAAGTAGTTGAAGGCCGTGGGATCGTCGTGCTCGGCGCTCGCATCGTGGTCATCTACGTGGGCGATGTTCCAGAAGCCCCGTAGGCTCGCGAAGGTGTCGTCCGCCGTGGTGACGTTGCCGAGCTGGCTGTGCATCAAATATCCGATAGGATCGGCCACCCGCATGTCTGGAAAAGCAGTGGCATTCAGCAAATCTCTTTCCTCTTCCGCCACACTCTGCAACACTTTCGCTGCGGCCGTGCCGGTTGGTGAGCCCGCACCAGCGCCCATCAGGCGATTGAAGAAGCCCTGTGGCGCTTCGGGGGCAAATTCCTTTAGATCGTGTGCCCGGAGCCACTCGGAGGAGCGTCTTTGCAAAACTTCGTGCTTCTCGAAAAATTGCCTAGCTAGCGTATTCGGGTTGTACAGAAAGTTAGATTTTGCATCAGACTGGACGAAGGTCGACTGAAACACCAGCTCCGCGACCAGATTGTCATACAGGTGAAAGTCCGCTTCCGCCGCTTTCCGCAATTCTTCCAGCAATGGCGGCACGCGTTCGAGAAAACTTTCCGTTCCAGTCGAAAAATGAGAGGTAGTCGCGAGCGAGGCTAGGGAGTCGTGGCTTTTCGCCTCTGTGAAAACGGTTTTCATTTGAGAGTTGTACATTGTACTATCGGACGATCGGTAGAAGAAGCTCGAAGGTCTTGGTGCAGTTCCTCGTTGTGCTACTTGTCGGTGATTTTCCAGCGTTGGAGCGAAAAGCGGCGACTGTAGCAGCTCGAGCGCGCCCTCGAGCGGGTGTCGCGTGTTCTCGAGAATAAAGAGGTCGCGCGTGGTTGGGTCAGTTTGGTAAACGAACCGCGGCTCGTTTGAGCTCCACACCGCGATGCGGCTTATGTTCAGAGTGACGCCTAGTTCACTGGAAAAAGCGGGATCGCTCTTGTGCAGTGATCGGAGTCGCGACAACGAACCGTGCTTCTGGTACTCGCCCGGCATGTGCACATCTGTCGTGTCCTGTTTTCTGAGTGTGCTTTCCTTCCGTCCGAATGCCGCGTCCTTCGCAAATTGCGTGGTGCCGCGCCGACTTTTCTGCTTGTTCATTGGTGACGTTCCCACGGACGCTACTCCCAGCCCATCGGTGGAATCTGCGGAAGCTACACTATGGCGTTTGCGCTTTCCCTTCTTGTTTTCTCCACCCATCAAGGACGTGGCCAACAGCGCAGCACCGGCGGCCGCACCAAATTTGCTGGCTCTTCGCGACTTCCGGGAGCTTCCCATTTGCGGGTCTTGGAACGGGTCCTGTTCACTCTCCGGAACGGTAATTTCGATGCCGTTGTCCGCTTCGATGTAGTAGTCCGCGGGCGGCTGCAGCCGTAAGGCCGTCCACGTCCGTTGCCGCGCACCCATGGCCTGGTAGAGCTTTCGCGTATCCAAAAACTCAAACATGACTTCATAGGGGTCCGGGAGTTCTGGTCCGGACGAGTTCTTGTCTTCTACTTGCGGCAATATTCCGGCATTGCGCAGGAGGTCCTGCGGTCCGTCAGGAGGTCTCTGTGCGCCATGATCCGCAAGTTGTCCTTGCATGGACTGCGCACCGGCGGCTATGGAAGCGTTTAACTCATCCATGCCGGTGTTGAACGTCGTGTTTTCCTCGTCGAACGCTTTCGACAGGACCAAGGAGTTGCTCACTTTGATTACCTCCGGCTCGGCTTCCCCGTGAATCGTGGACAAGTTCTATTACAATGAAAAATGCCCCCACCACCGAACTTGGGAGCATTTGTATTGCAAACCTTTCCAAATGAAACATTCGCCCTCTTGCATCTATTAGCATCACAGGTTTCCAATCGTGAATACGCAAAAATTTGTATTGCAAAGAACCCCAGCAGGAGCGGTGCTTGTCATGCAAGCGATGCGATACACGCCTAGACTCTGCATCAGAAAGATTCATACTCCTTTCATGCATGACAAAAAGTTTTCATTTGGAAACTTCGCATCACATGTTTTTGCAACTTTGGGGGTGGGGGCATTTTTCACTGTAATAAGTTCCAACTTGTATCCGGCTCCACCACGCTGGACGAATGCATCGGGGGCGGTTGCGGAATATTGCCACTTGCGGCCGCTGCCGGAACGAGTTGTAGTTTCGGCGAGTTTGATGCATTGTCTTTACTCATCTGTGGCGGGGGGTCAGACGCGGGTTTGCTGTTAAAGAGTGTGCCATGCGAAGTGTCCTGTTCGAAGTGGTCTCGAATCGTAGTAGCTGATTTGACGTTAGTACTGTGCGGGCTCGACGACGATTGTGCGAGTGTCACTCTGTCGTTAATACCCGAGGACGACGGCGGAGGTCGAGGTAGTGTAGCGCGCGACGCCTTCTGCCCTCTTTTGGAGTAAAAGTCGTGCAAGTGGTTGTACAAAATGTAGCTTTCCCGGTCCCGGTGCAACGCCAAGATCGCCAGCCGAGTGCGCAGGTCTTCGGTGGTAGCGGTTGCGAGGTCGGAAAAATCTTCTTCCGCAGAAGAAGTGTCGGACGAGAAGGAAGCGGAAGCGGAATCTGAGTACACGCCATTCGCTTTCCGAATGACCGCTTTCTGCACTTCGTGCAGCAGCGCCGGCACGCCGCCCGGGGTTTTCCCGCGTCGCCCGACGACCGCGAGCGCGGGATGTGCTTCCATATCCGTCTCCATGATGAACTCCGCGAGCTGAAAACATTCATACAAATTTTTGGCAGCCACGGCCGCGTGCCGCTCCGCGTCCGCGGTCTGGTCGCCCAGGTTCAGGGCCTCCTGGATCAGCGAAACGGTTTTTAGCAGCAAAGCTAGGGGAGTGAAGAGCCGGAGGCAGTTCACGCCGCAATTTCGTCGCAAATACGCCGCGAGCAATAGACGCTCGTTGTCCAGGGTGCCACCTGTAGCACTCGATGCGATCCAATCAAAAGCCGTGTCGGAACTCGCAGATTTTCGGAGGAGCTTTTTCGCAGTAGAGGTGGCATAGTTTTCACCTGCGAAAGGAAGATTTTGTTCTTTATCTGGGTACAGCGTCTGCGGCAAAGTCGTGGAAGTAGTTGCAACATTCTTTGCGTCTTTTTCTGCCAACAGCGCTACGTGCTGGTCGTAGTTCAGATACTTCCAATAATCGTCGACCTGGCTCTGCGGGGTGTAGATCAAACAGTTTCTCGTCACCGTATCGGACAAAATGTGGACGTGCGTCCGGCCCGAGGGCTCGGTCAAATCTAAAACCTCGAGCTCAGGCACCCCGATTTCCATTCGCAAGTACACAATGCCGTCGCCGTCCACTTTTGATTTCCTCTTGGTAAGATCAAAGGGAAGTTTCGCTGCTCCGCTTTGCAGCACCTCCGCGTACTCGACGGCCTCGTCGTCTATGTGCAAGTTGCCGTAGGGGAAGTAGAGGAATTGATTGTTCTTCGACGTGTGTACCCGATACTCGCTCAACTGCTTGCTCAGCTTGCTTTCCAAAGAAGGCGCGTTGCTCGCTGCGAGTTTGTTTTCTTTGCTGCTTCGTCTCCTTTTGAACGCTTTCGGATCCTCCGGTGGCACGATGTTTCTGTGTGCCAGGATGCAGATCGGGCGGTGCAGTTCCTGTCGTAAAATTTTGTAGTTGCTGGGATTCACCAGCAACGCCGTGTGCTGCACGGACGCAATGGCGTTTTGCAAAATGACTTCCATCTGGACCGGCAGCTGTCCGGTTTGCGCACCGGCGATTTCCAGTGTGTACTGCACGGCAGACACGTTCAGGCCGAACTCCACACCCGCTTTTTCGTCCGTGGAAGACGGTGCGGCTGCGGTACTGCCATCGGTTTCCTCTCGATCGTTCTTGATCACGACGGTTGCGTTTAGGATACGGAGATCCAGCAGCAAGCTCGTGTCGTAGTAAGTCTCTGCATGTAGCAGGTCGCCATCAAGCAGCTTGTCCAGGTCCCAATTTGATGCGTCGTAATCTGCAGTGGTTTGCCCCTTTCCACTGTCCAGGGACGATCGCGGAATTCTCGCTGGGTGGGAGGCGTGTCCTTCGCGCTTCTTGTGCTTTGACTTCGACCGGGGGCGCCCGCGTCGCTCTGCTGCTGCGGGTGAGGCACTGCCGCCCCGCACGCGCCGCGCGCAAGATTTGATCGCGCCGGGATTGCTCTCGTCTGAGCTGAACTCACCCGGAACGCTAGGACTGGTGCCCGCTCCGTCCAATAGCGACCGAGAAGAAGAATTGCGACGCCCACTTTCCGCGAGACTCGGGTTCTTCGCGGGATGGCACAAGCCAGCCCACATGCCGGGCGAGATGTCGTCGGTCGCTCTAGATTGCGCACCGCTGCTGCCAGGCCCACCCGGTCCGGCGCCACCGGCGGTTGACAGAAACGGGCTGCTATCGACTTGCGCCACGCTGAAGAGCATCTTCCCCCGCTGATCGACCTCCACACCGCGGTTCAAACAGTGCTGCCGCACTGCGAGACGGCGCTGCCGAGCCACTTCGTTGTAGAGACAGCGATGTTCGAAGATCCACAGTTTGTGCTTCACGTAGAGGAGAAACTGGATTTTTGGCGGCAGCTTTTTCTGGTCGTCTGTGAGTTCGAAAGGAACATTTCTGTGCAGTGGGTCGAAATTGACCTGCTCGTACTCAGTGGCTTTGATTGCGTCGATGGGGACCGGCGGATCGTCCAGGTTGCTCTTGTCCAGTAGAGGCGGCGTCGCGAAGCTTTGATCGCGATCTGCTTTGTGGCTGGAGGGCGGGGCAATCGCGACCGTCGCGGGGCTTGCTGGCATCGACGAGCTAAGGTGGGAAGTCGCGCCGGATTTGTGTTTGCCATCCAGGCCTAACTGTACGAGGTCGCGCACCTGGGCGGGCCTGGCCGGCGAGGAGAGGTTTGACGACTTCAGTGGCGTGCTGGCCAATCGTGGCTTATCTGGCGAGGGCGTTTGCGCGTTCGAGCTGTTATTTTGCGCGGCTGCAGCAGCCGCGGTCGTCCCTGTTGTCTGTTCGACGTTCGTGTACGCCACGGCACCAGGATCGTCGTAATCACACAAGTAGGCCAAATCTTCTGGCTTCAAATCGAAATCCTCAGCCGTAAAGCCAAAAGGGAGCTGTCCGTTTTCCTCCGGTGGCACTAGGTGCAAGAAAACCGCTGCGAGAGACGGCGGAGGGATTTTCGCTGCATCTTCCGGATCGACATCTTCGTTCGCGTCGCCCTTTGCCGCTGTCACCTTTCGTGGAGATGCACCGGCGAAAACAGGAGACGTTTGGGCAAGCATTTTCTGTTTTTGCAGCTTCGCCTCCTTGCGATTCGGGGACAGCGTGAAATTCCCTCGGAGCGCGAGCGCATCGTTGCTCAGATCCTTGTCTTTCTCTTTGCGTGCTGGTGAGGCGGACGCCTGTCTTCTCAGAGAGGTCAGGTTCGTGAGCTTGTGGAGCATTTTGTGTACCGTGCTTTGCTTCTTGGCTGCCAAGTACTCCATCTTCCGCAGCCACCAGGTTCGGTAGAAAAACTTGTCTGCTTGCGATGGCTTGCAGGGATACGCGGCGCGCTCGATTCCCCCGACAAACGCGCCCCACACGCCCCAGCTGCAGCCGTACTGGATCAAGTACCGCATTTGCGCCGCCGTCATCTCCACCGTGGGGTGCCCGTCGACTCCGGTGATGCGAAACGCCAGCATCACCTTGGGCATCTGCGAACGACAACACAGGTTTTGCTCCGCGGCCAGAAGCTGTGGGTTCACTGGCTTTGTGTTGTCGAAACACCTGCGGAGCTTTTCCGACAAGACGAGTTCCCGGAGCTCGGTGAGCTTTTCCAGGGAAAGGGGGCAGTACTTCGACATAAAGCCCCTCGCATGGTCGATGAAGCGCTTTCTCTGCGTCGGGTCTGCTCGGATTCCTCGGGGCATGGTCTCGTCCAATCGGTCCCAAAAGTTCTTCGTTGCGTTGCTCCCTTTATTCGGAGATCTTGCGCCACCTTTGGGACTACTTCCGGACGAACCACCCTCAGGAGCTGTTGTTGTACCACCTCCACCAACAGCTCCTGCACCCGATACCGATTTCACTTCCTCCAAGATTCGCGTTCCATCCAACAAGCTTGTCTCTAGCCGCCAGGGCCGGTGCGTCCGCAAGTCGTGGCGCAGCTGCGTGTTGGGTTCCTTAGAGATCTGAATACACAGGTCGAATTGCTTCAAATCCGGACCGATAACGCAGGACCGCTCCTTGGCTTCCTGATGCTGCTGTCTCACTTCTCGACGGAGCTCGCCGTGTAAATGGGGGAAATTGACCTTGTCAATGGTGGTTTGCAGCTCAAACACGTCGGGACCCAGGTTCCAAAACTTCTTTACAGGTATGTGCGTTTTGCTGAGCGTACAGCGACGGGGAAGTGCAACTTTTTTGGTTGCCGGGGGGCTGCGAGGAACGGCGGGTGTGGCATCTGATATTTGTCATCTTCCTTCAGAATCAGGAGCAGAATGAATGTTTCGCTAGCCGCAAAGGCAATGGAATAATCAAAAATCTACTACAACTGAGCAAGAGCAGCGGCCAAAGAATTCTGAAAAAAAAATCGATACCCAGCATAATTCGTACCTCCAGCAGGCACCTTGTTTGTTCCCTGCTTCGCCTCTGTTGCAGCAACGGCCTTCTGTTTTTCTGCGTCATTTTGTTCATCCGACCGCTGTTTTTCTTTTTCCCAGTAAACTTCTGAAAACGTCCCTTCTGGTGTTACCCAGGTCGGATCGGTTATTTCCTGCTCGAACCACGATTCCACGAGCGTGTCGTGCAAACTCCGAATTCTTTCCCCACTGACCGCGTCGAACCACTGCACCCGCGCTTTTTTGTCCCCGTTCTTCACCTCGTGTTTGATCACGCCGCGCTTGTTCTTGGCCCAATCTCGGGGCAACTTCTCCTCCAAATGCGGCCCGGGGTACACGTAAAGCTTGTTTTTGTAATGTGTGCTGGCGATGCGGTGGTCGACGGTCTGCATGTTCTGCATCGGTTCCACGGCCATGGTCAGCCCACGGAAGAAAAACTCCAACGAGAAAACCTTCGCGTTGCTGTCCAAAAGTGTCTTCAGAAAGTTCCGGGTCGTGCCTGCTTCCTTTACGAAACACGGGTCGCCAAGGAGAAATTTGTCGATGTGCATGGAGGTCACCCAAGCGTCCTCCGGGCCATTGGTGCTGACGTCCTCAAGACGGACCAGGGTGTCGAGCAAACAAATTTCGATGTCGGGCAGAAGCCAGGAGGGAATGGGGAACGTGCCCGGAAAGCCATTGAGAAGCAAACCTGATGATTGATAAGGATCGGCATGGATTTTGACAGAGCGATGAATCGCGCGGTTATCTTATTCAACTGAAACCATTGTTGAGAGCACCATATTCAAATGCAAGCGAATTTCTACCACTACCTAGTACAACTTTTTAGCCAGTAGGCACAGTGATTTATTGCTGTACCTTCCTCAAACAAGTACAAGTAGGCGTGCGGATTCAGCTTGAGTTGTTCGCGAATCAGATGGAACTCCTTGCTCCACTCGTGCTGCCGTCGGTTTTCGAGGATGAACGTGTTGCCGCTGAGAACAAGTCGGACCTTTTTCGAGATCACCGAGTACTCCAACTTCAGCGACTCCACGTGCATGTGCCGAAAGCGGAGAGGGAGGATGACGCCGATTCCATCCTCCAAGAGTCGGTTTTTCAGCCGCACGTGCTTCAACTCCAGGTTCCCCTTGAGGATCGCCCATGACACGTCCTGCGGCGAAATATCCTCGACAAAGGACCCCAAGTACTTGTTCAGGACCTCCCCGATCTTGCGGCTCGCGCTCCACCCGATGCCCATCTTGTTCAGGGACCGTCGTGGGAAGGTGGAGGTGCAGTCGTGGCGCAGCTGTTCTTAGGATTTTTCCTACGAATCTTCCGAGCCGACGGCCGACGATCCTACCTAAACAAGTCCTGCTGGCGGCACGGGAGTGGTGGAGGTGACCGACACGCGGCCGTCGAACTCCGTCTGCGCAGCTCCGTCCTCTACCACCTTTCCCTCATTTTTGGAGACGTTTCATGCGCGGTCGCATGAAAAGAGCGGCGCCTGCTGGTGCCGTTTTCGCGCCGCTTTCGGTGCACCGTGCAGCGCCGTTGTCGACTAACCGACGCATTTTCTGTGCAGTCACTACTCCGCCTCGTGGTCATACTGGTCATGATGTATTCGTTTTTACATGTTTTATCTATTCTATCTACGCCGCCCCTTGCTTCTGCTACCACTAGTATTAGAGATGCAGCTACACAATTGAGAGATACGAACCACACAAAACGCCTACGCTTTTCCAGCAAAACGATTGAGATTGTTGAACTTGAAACGACACAGAAGATTCAATAGCACGACTTGGACATGGACTTGTGCAGATGTGCTAAAAACTATACCACGATGCAGGAGCAAATAACCACGGATAACCAGCAGAGAGGGAGGCGCTCGGTTGTTCTGAGCAACACTGAGACTCCTGACTACCGCCAGCCAAATGAAGAATCCGGTGGGTAGTGCTGGAGCACGCACCGCGATTCAAATGTGTGGGAAAAGTAATTACTGGCACAAATTTCGGTGACAACGAAAATGAAACCTGAAACGTCTCTAGCTTCATCTTCCATGAAATTGATTCTGCACATCACATCTTCGCAACGAGTTTTCGTTTTGGATAAGTAAACATGTTTGTTTTGTTGTCCGGGCGGAAGGGCAAGAGCGATCAAAAAAGATTGGTCACTGGGTCTTGGCGCGCCGGCAATTGGTTCGCCAGAATATTTCACAAGGTTTCTCAGTCTCGGTTTGGCGTCGGCAATGGCGGTAGTTTCCGTGCACTCTGACTGGATCGCGGAGCGGTGCCGAGTCTGATTCAATTTTCAGATGGGATCAACATACCAAAAAGAAGAAAAACACTAGATCTTTGACGAAGTAAGCGGACGATTGCAAATCACAATCAGAGTTGTAATTCACGTTTTTCTCGGGTTCATACCTCGAAGCCGACGACGGCGCCCTGGCGTTCGGAAACGAGTGCCGGACGAGATTTATCTCCCTCGCGTCATAGTAGGGCTGCAACCTCTTGAACTGCTGACCAGACACTTCCCCCGTCTTCTCCTGGTCTAGGATCGAAAAAAGCGCGTCCATTTCCTGCAACGGTCGCATGTACCGCATCCGTACTAACCCGTCTGAGAACTCACAGCGAGTTACCCCTCCGCTCCCATTGACGTCCAGCATCTGGAAGCACTCGTCCACCGAACGCTTCGTCGCGAGGAGAAAGTCGAGAAAACTGTGGACCAGCTGTAGAAATGGGGTGTTTCAATATCGAACGCACTGGCAGCACTTAACGTCTATCAAAAATTTCACACGACTGTATCTGTTCATACAAGGTATGATCCAAAAACGGCGTTCCTAGAAAGAAGTAGAGGTGCATACTGCGATGTTTCCCGCTTCGTCCTCAAGACCCGGCGAATACGCGCCGTCCTCGTCCGAACCCTGGTCCGTATTGAAGCCGCTACCACTTCGCCTTATCTTTTTGTGAAACCCGCCCTTCCGCGTGCTGTTTACGTTTCGCATGTGCGGATTGTGCAACAGCCGGAGGGTGTACGTCTCCTGTATACCATCATCCGCAAATTGCCTGGGATTTGATTTTTTCTTTGATATCAAGAAGGTCCTCGTTGTCGTTGCAATCCAGGAACAACTGCAGGAAAACAAACAACGAATTCCACTTCGAGCTAGACACCACGAAAAATAGGCTAGACTGAGGGCAGAAGTTGTACAAAAGCGATTCAGTACGCTCTTTGCTGCAGCCTGACTTTTCTGGATTCCTGCCTGATGTTTTTCAGTCCCTCGTCAACGTTAGCCTGATCCAATTTTGCTTTGGAGCTGCTCGCCCGCACAAAGGCAGTGAACATGTCGACACCGTACTTCTGCTCATGCTCCTTGCGGTACAAGTCGGCATTCAATCGTGCGACGTCTTGCTGGAGTTTCTTCTTTTCTAATTTCCTCTTTTCCACCTCCAAGTGTAAGTTCAAAGGGTCGAGCCGCTGCCGCTCGCGCGCGATTCTTTCTGCTTGTAGTTTCCTTTTTGTTGGATAGGGTTTGAATGTCCAGTCAATGTTCAACGTCAAAACGACAACCAAAACTTTAACTTGATGATGCTGAAGAGAAACACACACTTTACTGAACGAAACCGCAATAGTACGCTTCTTTCTTCTTCGATAATTTCTTCGCCGGGGCTGCAAAATTCTGATCGAACGCGGCTGCGAGTCGATCTTGCAACGGATTTAGCTTCGGTATCGCAAGCGACGGCATCTTTACGTGCTCTTTTCGATTGTGTGAAAGGAAGATTCTTACCGCTGTTATTTTCCTAGAGAAGTCTAGCAGACGCTTTTTGTCTCATGCGGATACTTGATTTTCGACGTCCGAACTAAGCTCGTATCACGATGCATAATTCAGTTTGCAGTGCTTGCTAAATAAACCACGAATCGTGCAACCGATATCAAGGGAAGCATTTGAGGCAGTTTGTTGTGACAGGCTCTCACAGTTTGCATTTGCGGAAAAAGTTTTGAGATCGCTTCGATGCAGACGCAAATAGGGATGAAGACCAGGCAAAGAAGACAGCACCACCATGATAGATAACCATCGCGGACCGAGTAGCAAGATGACACAAACCCGACAACATTGATGACCGATGATTTGCTGAATCGAAATGAGAAAACATCGAATTTTGCTCGACGTTTTTCCTCCATAAATGACCGGCGTGGCGATCATCATTTCGTACTGATTACCGTCTCTGGTACAGATAATTTATTATTACCCCCTTCCCGGCTTCAACGCCATGGATCACTTTCGTTGTCACTGTGATTTGCGTGTCCTGAGTCGAGGATATCCTCCTCAGAAAGTTCGTCTTCCGCAAAGTCAGAGTTTTTGTTTGCGTTTTTCCGCTCCGCGTTCCTTCCTCGATCGGAGGAGGAACTAGATACGGGCGGTTCCTTGCTCACCTCGTGCTGTATTGCCGGTGGCACTGCGGACGACGCTGGCTCTGGCTCAGCAGCTTTTCCCTTGTTGATGGCAGCTGCGCTTTGTTCGAGTGCGCGTTCTGTGCCTGGTATATCAACAGCTTCTTGCTCCGTCGGCGGATCTACGGCGTTGCTCTCGTTGTTCGTAGTTTCCTTCGTCGTGCGCTGCGTCGCGGCATCGAGCGAAGTGTCGTCCGCGACGAGCGGAATGGCCTCAGCGATATTACTATTTGTAGCCGCCACTGTAGTTTCAGGTGGGGGCTCTTGAGCAGGCGTTGGTACAGCTCCTGCAGGTAATATTTCTGTGCCTTGTCGCAAATCCAGCGTCGCTGAGTGCTGGCTGGAGTCGATTTCCGTGTGGATATCTGGATGTTCATCTTCCTGCACATTTTCGTGCTGCTCTTCCTCCGAGGACAGAATTGAAAATGGGTCGTGCTTCTTGTTCTCCTCTGCCTCGGGGTCGTGGTGGAACCCGTGGTGCTCGTCGCTCGAGGAAGACAAAAACCCTGGCTCTGCCTCCCGTGGCGTCGGTTGAAGGTTTTGATGTTGTGCTTCTTCAATCGTGGCAATCTCCTTCGAGGAGGAGGCCGACGCGTCGATGTTTTGGAAAGCAGTGTGGCTATTCATTTCGTCCTCGTTTTCATCAGTATGCAGTTCTTCTGCTGCTGGAACGGCAGAAGTTTTCTTCTCCCCGAACCCGACAAGCAGAGAATCCAGCGCGTCGCCCTCGCCGACGACAGAAGAAACGGCACTGGAAGACGGAACTTCGTTGAAAATGTACGACTCTGGCGGGTCAATGTCGCTGTTCCGTCTGCTCGCATCCGCTACTGGTGGTTGTAGTCCGAGGAGTTGTTGTCCTCTATTTGCGCCGTCGGAAGAGGACGAAACAGAAGAGGACAAAGCATTATTCCCACCTGGTTGTCGCTCGTCTGTCCTGCTGCTCTCCATCAGCGCCAGCGGCTCCGTCTTCGCCGCCGCACCACGCGGGGAGCCGAGTGTGCCGGAGATCGCTTCTAACAACCTAGAATGCTCCTCATCTTCGTCATCTGGCCCGCTTTTCGGGTCCGCGCCCTCGGAGGAAACTTCGCTGCCGGAAACGATTACTTCCGCGTTGTAGCGGTGACGTTTATTTCCTCCTTCGCTGTCCTTGTCCGCGATGGAGGAGGTTGCGCTCGCGATCCCAACGTTGACTTCGGTTCCACCCGCCGCCCGTTGGTCGTGCGTGCTCGGGAAATGGAGCGGCTTTAAATCTTGTTCCAGCAAGCCGAAGAGACCCGCGCCGGTCTCCTCCCTGACGTGCCCGGTGATACTGTTGGACAGCAGTGCGTTTGTCAACTCCTCGGCCGCGGATGCGGATTCGCTTTGCTTCGCGTCGAAGTCCAAATTGTTCTCGCCTATTGGTGCAAACGAACTTCTTTTGTCCGGCGAGCGGGTCAGAGCGAGCAGACCCGCTTGCTCTCCTGTCATTTCGAAGTTGCTGCTGTAGAAGTCGGACTCCGTCGCGCTTTTCCCTTCCCACACGTGCTGACCGTCTTTCGGTATTTCGTCTTCATCAACCACTTCCTCGGCGGAACAGGCACTGCTCGCGACCTGCTGCACTTTCTGCTCGACAGTCACCGCCATGATGTCCCGAGAGATATCGCCCGACATCCGGTTCTCGATGCTGTCCACCGAGTGGACGCTTTCGTCCGCCGTTTCTATCGGGGGCACAACGTCGGCCAAAATGTCCTGCGCTACTTCGTCAAACGCGTACGCGGTGCGGGGCGTCGGTTTCGAAGGGTCGACATCATGACCGGTGAGCGCTTTGTCCACAAACAAATCACCATCGATTGCTTGCTTGGTCGGCGGCCCCGGTTCCTGCGACCAGCCGAGTGGCTCCTTTCCTTCTTCCGTTTGCAGCTCCCCTGCTGATCCTTGCATAGATTTCCTGGAAGAGATTGTGGTATTGAACGTCATGCTCTTCCGCATGCTCGCCCGAACCTCGTAGTACTGATCCACCAAATCGCCGATCTGCTTCAGTTCCTGCGGGGTTATGATCCCGCTTTTGTCTCGATCGATCATGATGAACAGCTGGGTGATCTGTTCCTCCGCCAACCACGTGACGCCGCTGTCGTGGAGGGTGAGAATGAACAAATCCAAATCCATCTCGTCCGGAATCGGGTTCTTTTTCTTGTTGCCGTTTTTGTAGTTTTCCAAATACCGCTGCACTTCGTGCGCCGCCTCGATGATGTCGAACTGGAAGCGCGCCGCCCACTCGGGAAAGGAGATCAGCTTGCTGTTGTCTTCATCCACAAACTCGAACATCCACTGCAGCTGCTGCCGGGTGAGCCAAGTAATCCCCCCCTTGAACAAGCCGGACGCGAACTCGGCAAAGGTGACCATCCGGGACTTCTTTTTTTTCAGGGTCATTTCGAGGAAATACGACGCGTCGCGGATGTGGTGCCGGTTCACGCCCTTGATGAGTTTGGAAAACTTATCATCAAAAATCAGTTTGTCCGCGACGCCCAGGTTCCATTCGTCCAAGTCCACCGACCCGCTGTCGTCGCGGTCCAGCCCGTCGAAGAGGTCGCGGAGCTCTTTCTTCTCCAGCCAGAGAATGCCTGCATTTTGCATTACAGTGCGGAACTTTTTGAAGGTGAGTTTGAAACTATCCCCCTCCTTTTCCGCGATGTCCTCCATCAGTTCCGTGGCTTTGTGCAGCATCTTCTGCTTCACGTAGTTCATGCCGAGCCGCTGCGCGACCTGCCGGTCCGACAGGTTTGGCGGCTCTGCCAACGGGGACACGAACCCGAGTTTGCAGGGGAATTTTTCGAGTTTCTCCAGCGCTTCAAACACGTCCATGTGTTTCACACGTTTCCCATCCACGAACACGAGTTGGTAGCCCTCGGTCACACCCGCTGCAAAAGCAGGACCGTCAGGGTTGACTTCGACCTTGGTGACAGACTTCAATATTTTGTGAGGTAAGTAGAGTTTTACTTGTTAGGCTTGTTGCGCTTACAACTTAGTGCCGTGCGTGGCCACATCAAAGGGGGCACGCTTAAGGGCAAAGTCTAATTCAAGTGATCAAGATCATGCACAAGAAAAGTATACCAGAACGCATTGGTCCAGCTTCAGCTGAAAGTCGCTGGTCATCTCGTCCTTCTTTTTGTACTCTACACAAGTCAACTCCTGATCCGAAGGCCGCTGGTCCGTTGCTAAAAGCCGATCCCGCCCCAAGTGGTGTGGTCTGGTGGACAGCGCAAAGAGCACGCTTTTGTTGAAGTACTCTCCCTTCGCCAAGTGCCGGCACGGCCAGTTGACAAAGCCGAGATTCCCAGTAGGCCCTTTTGCGGCGGCTTTGTGGTTGTCCGCAAGGTGGGACAAGTGGTCCATTGTGGTCGCGCCGCCGCGTTTGCTGCTTCGGGTGGAAAACGACGCGGCGGAGCCCGCCGAGGAGTTGCTGCGGCTGCCGCCCGCCATGCGCTGCGATGCTGGCTTTTGCAAGGACATTTTTTTCTAGCAGAGTGGAGACAGAGTTGCAGTTGGCTTTTCTTTTTGACCTTCATCGCTCCCTAATGTGCTCTTATCTTTTTTTTTCGCTCACTCGTGGCGTTTGGTTGCCAGCGCCCTTTGTGCAAGCAAAAGCGAAATCTCTCTGCGTTCCTCTCGCGATCGCCGTTACTCACGAGAACGCCCTCCCGAGCCGGCTTAGGGACAGGAGGCAGTCTCATCGAATGGATCGATATCAAACTCTTGAAATCATCTCGTTAGGACCAAGAGCGACGCGTGAATGGGAGCGAATGACGCGGCGAGGGGACGCACAGAAAGAACCAGCTCCTTCCGCGACGGAACGAGGGCGGCTTTTCGCTTCCGTTATCATGACACATCATTTTACCTTTTTGATCTTTTCCCAAAATGACACCAAACCATTTAAAACTTATTTTCGTTTGTCTTTTTGTACACCTACAACAGGCTCGATGAAACGGAGCGCACTACATCTACGGGAATATGCTGGAGTTCACTATTCATGCTTTGTAAATCCGATTTCTATGCAAGGCTACAAATTTAAAATTTCTTCCACAGCACCCCAGCAGGTGATGTTTTCCATCCTCTGCGATTTTCGACTTACTCTACTGCTGTCAGATAGGCTACATTCTTCACTGATTTCAATTTATGTGAAACGAATTTTGCACGCAATACATAGTACAAGCAACGAAATTGAGTTTACAAGTTGAAGTTTAGAATCTGAATCAAACTGTTATACCAAAAACATGACACCTTCGTTAATGAATCACCTAACAAGTCAAACTTTTTTTACTGTGACGACCCGCTCTTTCAAGCAACGCATAGAAATCCAACAGGAAGAAATAAGAGCAAAACTGCAAGGTGGAATACCAGAGCATTGTCATTCGACATATCGGCGGAGCGAATTCTTTCCGAAACGGGCTGAAGTAGAGGAGAATAGCGACCGACTACATAGTTAGTACGCGAATTTACTTCATATGGCGGTTCATCTGCATGAAGCAGACCGTAATATCGTCACAGTACTCGCCTTCTTCCTGTTTCCATCGCCGCCGGGCCTCTTTGGACAGCTTCTGCATGATTCGCTCGGCCGGCTCCTGGGACAGCTTTTTCACAATCGCCTTCACGCACCAAGCGCTCTCGATGAACTCCCACACACCATCGGAAGCGATCACCAGGAACGGATTGCGGGAGAGGTCGAGCTGTTTTTTGTTTCGACAGTAGACGTTTTATTGTAATAAATCGACAACTTTCGTAATCGTGGGATGATAAGATTACGACACGAGCAAATGATGAGTCGGAAAGCCTATGTATTAAGTACCACCATCACCGCTACCCTAAAGATACCTTGGTTGGTCCGGTGACTTCCGGTTCGGAGGTGACACCGCAGCCCTTGACGCACTCATCCCCGAAGGACCGGGACATGCAGAGACCGGGGTAGTCGTATCGAATGCAAAAATGTCTGGGTCTGGAAGAGTGGAACTTGTAATGCTGTCTGCGGATTCTAAAAATGTCTGTGTTGCATAAGCAGCAAGAGGAGTCAGTTCTTGGCACGCGGGGAGGGCAGCTCTCATGCGTAATCACCATCAAGAAGCTCTCAAAAAATCTGTGATGCTTGCACCAGCATCACAGACCTCACGGGTCATGCAAAATGTGCATGACAAGCCCCGACGCTTCCAGACCCAGACATTTTTGCAGTTGATAAGTCGCAGCCCTTGACGAAGATACGGTCCACCGTGAAGTCGTCGTAGCGCAGCGTTCTGATCTCACCGCCATTCGCTTCGATGCGTTTCTTTTCTTCCGGCGAGTTCGGCTTGTGGTCCGCGGTTTCGAAGACGACTTCCTTCTCCCCCTCGTATCCAATCACCGCCCGGGAATCCCCGACGTTCGCCGTGTAGTACTGCTCGCCGTTGTGCATGTACATGACGCAGGTGGATCCGGAGGCTTGCACGTCAATATCGTTTTCAATGGCGTACGCGAGCACGTCTTCGGAAGCCTTGGCGAACGCGTCCTTCATAGCGCCCTTCATGTCTGTGGAGTTTCGGAAGAGCATTTTTGTGTTATGTTGTGTGTCGGTGTCGGGGGCGCTTGTTTGCGTCGCACTCGCATTAATTTTGAAGATTTGCAGTACACGTACAAAACAGCAGGATAATCTGCTGATGATGTGGATTTAGTCATAGATGAAAAGCTTGCTGCAATACCTTTTCCCCACTTCAAGTTCGTGCACAGGTAGAAGGCGATGGTCTGCACGCAGCGCGCGGAGACGCGGTGCCCGCAGGGACCGTGACCGTCCATGATGATGATGATGTCCCAGCCCTGGAAGACGGTGTAGGAGAAGTTGTCTTGGTTCGGGGTTGTGTCGTTGTAGCCCTTGGCACCCTTCACGCAGGAGTAGATAAACTTGTACTTCTCCTGCAGCAGCTTCGGCTCCTGTTGGATGATGAAGGTGAAGAACATTTGCATATTTCAGCATTAGGAACGGTCACGGTGGCTAAAGGAATCTGAAACAAGAAGCTCGATTTCTACCTTCAGCTTGTACAACACAGCCTCCCGCTCAGCGCCAGGGACGTTGTCAGATTGGATTGCTGAGAGCTTGCCGTGCAAGTGCAGGTCAATGTCCTTGCATTCTTCCCAGTAGTGTGCCATGTCCTTCTCATCGACCTTCGTCAAGTTGATAGACCCACGTCGCTGACGACCTGATTTAGTTTTTGATTTTCGATGCATATGCACTCTTGAATTTGAGCGCGACGAGCGTAGCACAAATCATTTTCGACGCGGAATGTGATGAAGAAGAAGGAGAAGTGTCACGCAAGACAAGATGCACTGACATGAGGCTAAATCGGAGTTATTACCCTTCAACGCTGCCTGGCGCTGCTCGAGGTCCTTCAAGTCGGCTTCCTTGATTTCCAAATCACCACGACGGAAACTGGTCGGCAAAGTGTTGGAACGCTCGCCCTTGCGGAGCACCGACTCATCCTGTTCCAGCGGGTTGAACTGTCGCCCGGCGACAGCCACCGTCTGATTCCTCATGTTGCTGCGCTCCATCTTGTTTGGTTTTTGATCGGTCTTACTTTCGGGGAGAAAAAAGAAGTAGTTTACAAAATTCTGCGTGAGGAAAGGCGGATAGTGATGATAGCTGTCCTTTTTCACAATCACAAAACTCTAAACTTGCAGAATCAACAAGACAAGAGCGAGGAGACTTTCGGTGGACAAACATTGTTTGTTTCCAACAGTAAGTTGAGACAAAGTGTGAAAAGAAGCGGAAAAAAAGCGAAAGAGACCGCTCGGAAAAAAAAATAAGTACTTGCTTTTCAAATCCGCATCGAAAAAAAAAAACACTCAGGCACTAACTCACGCAGTTCCTCTCGAGCTCAAGTGACACACAGAAAAAAAGATGACCTTGACCGATAAGTGCAACGCAAAAAAACACGTAGGACGGTCACAATGTTGGAACTTGTCGCCAGACACCAGATTGGTCTCCTCTAATCGAATCCGGACGTTGCATTGGTTCATGGCGCTCATATTGTCGTACAAAGGCTAGATACATATTCTTCATATTCTTCTCAATCATGTTGAAGTTCAGCCATAAATCCATTGCTTTACATTCGTTTCTTCGTTTCTTGGAAGATACAGGAAGCCGATGAACTGCACGTTCGCATTTTACAGGTGATGCACAGGTGGAGAAGAAACTGAAACACTGCGAGGTCCTCCGATCCTGTACAAAAACAATTTGTCACTGCTAGCTAAGTTGTAGGTGTAAGTTCATTCAACGCACACAAGGCGAAGCTTGAAATGATTTAGTAGATTGGGATTACGAAAGAGAAATCGAAATGTGTTAAAGAATTTGGAAGTAAGTTGAAGAAGTTCATCTGAGAGAGCAAGCTTTTGTTCTTCAATTTCCGAAGCCGTCGTAGGACCAAGATCCATCTGCATCTTCAGTGCTCGTCTCCCACCGACGCGTAGTACAAGCCGGCGTAGATTCCGTTCTGTTGCAGTAGCATGTCATGATTCCCCTGCTCAACCAGTGCTCCCTGCTTGATCACTAAAATTTTGCTGTAGTTGCGAATTGTCGAGAGCCGATGGGCAATCGTGATTACCGTCATGCGTTTTCCCATCGTTTGCAGCAAAGCGTCCAGTGCCGCCTGTACCTCCCTCTGCGAGTTGTTGTCCAGTGCCGCCGTAGCTTCGTCTAACAGGAGAATCTGCGGCTTCCGCAACAACGCCCGTGCGATGGACAATCTCTGCCGCTGCCCACCCGAGAGAAGCGACGCCCGGGTGCCGAGTAGCGTGTGCCACCCGATCTCGGCTGGCTTCTTGCCCTCCGCACTTTGCGGCTGCTGACTGTACGAGGAGGGCATGAACGGGGTGGTTGCGCCGGTCGCCGGAGACGTAGGTGTTTGCTTGCTGCCCTCAGACGTTATGTTGTCCATCATAATGTCCCCAGAAGGGTAGAACCCCACCTGCGCCGCACTTTTCCGCGGTGTAGCTGTAGTTGCTGCTCCACTGTCAACAGAGACCGCTGTCCCCGCCGTCTTCACTTCTCCGAGGGAGGAAGGGCTACTCGCTCCAGTAGCGGCGCTTTCGAACCCCGGCAACCCGCCGGACGGGGTGGGAGAAGTTGTAACTGCGCTAGAAGTATCAAATGTAAAAATGTCTGGGTCTGGAAGATTCCGGGATTTGTGATGCATATTTTAGATGATCCATGACTCATGTAATGCATGATCTAGCATCACAGATATTTAGAGGGCTTCCTGATGCCTATTCCGCATGACAAATGCCCTCTCCGCGTAACACAAACTGGACCCCTGTTGCTGGTCACGCAATACATATTTTTTTGGGATCCAAAGACAGCATGACAAGTTGCAATTTTCCAGACCCAGACATTTTTACAATCCATAAGAAGCCGGTGGCGGTGCTACCTCGCCGAGGAAGTCCACCATGGCCTGCTTTGCGACATCTTTCATATGTAAAAACGTCCCCACACCAAGGTCAAGATGGGAACTTAGCAACACAAATCCAGAAGTTTTGGGAGCCACGCATGACAGGTTGCAGTCCGTAGCGTAGTGCATGTTAGAAACGACAACCGCATCACAAATCCATGCGCTTATCCTGTTTGCAGCATGACAAATTGCAAAACACGATTGGAAACGCCTCTCAAGGAGATGCGCATTACAAATCTTCCTGTAATCGCAAATCTGCATGACAACTCTGGGGTGGGCACATTTTTACTTCGGATAACCTCTTTCACTTGGTCTACCGTCACTTTGGCCTGTTCTTCGGCTTCCAGGGAGTACACAATGTTGTCCCAGGCCGACATGTCGAACAACACCGGTTCCTGTCCCACGTATCCGATGATCGACCGCCAGGACTTTAAATCCACGGCGGTGCGCAGGTCCAGCTCGTCTTTGTTCAAAACCACTCTGCCCGCGAACGAGCCGTGGAGGAGGTATTTCTGCACGTTTCGGTCCTTCCTGTACAAACCGGACACGAATTGGTTTGGGTCGTAGAACCGGAGGAGTAACTGCATCACCGTGCTCTTGCCACCACCGGAGGGGCCGCACAAAGCGACCGTGTCGCCGCGATTGATTTCCAGGGTCAGACCGCGCAGAATCGGGTTCTTTGGCCGGGATGGGTAGGAAAAGTGGACGTTTTGGAACCGGATCTGCTCGAAGTCCTTGATTTTCTTCTGATTTCGCGCGAGTTTGCGAAACCGCTGCGGCTCCGGGACCATGTTGACTGGATCCGCGTAGGTGTACTGGATCATCGGCTTGCGGTCCAGCGTGAAAAACAGTTCCGCGGCGCCGCGTTTCCCCTCCGCGATGAGGCCGAAGGTTGTAGCGAGGTTCGCGCCGCTGCTGGCAATCAGGATGAAGACGAACAGGACCGTGAAAATCGCGACCCCGGTGCTGACGCCCTTGGCGATCAAAATCGTGCCGAAACCGGACACCGTAAGAAAAAGCAAGGCCTGACTAGTCTCGGTCAACCCTCTTGCGATCGCCTGCCGTCTTGACGTGATCAACTGGGCCTCCTGTTCTTGTGCCACCATGTGCTTGAAGCGCAAGTAGAATTCCTCAGTTCCGTTTAAGCCACGAAGCACACGCACGGCAAAAATGGACTCGCTCACGTACTTTTGCGTCGTCAATTCTGCGACGGAAGGCGGGCCGGGATCCCCAAAGGTCGCGGTTAGCCAGAACAGCATAACGGTGATTCCAATGATCGCGAAGAAAAGTACAAGACTCATCTCCCAAGCGAGGCCGAACGAAACACCGAGAGACCCCAATACGGTCACCAGGTCTTGTGTCAGATTCCCCACGCAGGGGATTAGCTCCACAAACGCATTGCAACTACGCTGCAGTAAGTTGCACAACCTGTTTTTTTGTTTTTTCGGAATCGGATTAGGTCATAGGTCGTACAAAATCAATAAACTCTCCGCAGAATATTTTTAGATTATGCGCATCATGTGAACAGGAGCACCCTCTGTTGTCACACCAACCGAAATAACATACGGAACTCAAGAGGAAACTAGATGCAGAATTGCTTACCTGTCCGGTGCGTTTTCCGGCAAATCGTGCCAGAGGAGTTCTTGCGTGACTATGCTTCGAAACACGCGGGCGCGGACCCGGGCGAGCACTTGCGTGATGAGTTTCGTGTAGTAAATCCATTGCTGCATGAACAGGAGAAAAATCAGGGTGAGGCCGATTCCGCCCAGACCAATGCAGCCAAGGTCCATCCACCTTCGTCCAGTGGTGTAAATCCCCAGGTTGCGCTCCACTTCCACCCCCTGCTCGACGCGCTCTATTGCCACGGGGACGCCTTTGTTGGAAAGGAGCGTTTTGCACAGAATCCACGCCGCAATGGGGCGGCAGATGCCAATTCCCGTGCTCAGAAGAATCGCCGGCACCAAGAACGCGCGTACCTCGTGCGGCGTGGTGAACGGCGCGCGTAGCAGTCGCTTCAATGAGCCACTGAAAGTGGTTTGTGCCAGCCGCTTCTCCGCCGCGGTCATTTTTGGTTGCTTTTTCTTACGCCGCGCGGACCGAGGGGCAGCGTCATCTTCCATGGCCGACTCCTGTATCGTCCCGGAACTCAGTCGTGAGTGCCGCTCGTCGTCTACGCTTGCCGAGGACGAGCTGTCATACGCAGGATCCTCCTCCTCGCTATCACTGCTACTCTCTGCCGCAACTGCTTCCGCCGCACTGGCGCGCGCATCGAAGTCGATCGCGCGGTAGGAAGTGGCGCTTGTCCTGAGTAGAGCGTCTGGACCACGACCCAGAGTAGGAGCTTTGCTGGTCAACAGAAGTGCGTTAGTCTCATCAGCTTCGTCATCTGAGAATTCATCGCCTTGGTAAACGTATCCGTTGTAGAAACCGGCTTCCCCCTCACCAGTTCGCTGGAACCACGGAAACCCCACACCGTGCTGGGTCCGCCCTGAAGACCGTCGCTGCTCTGGTGCGTCCTGCAAATCATCGGCCGGGAGCAATTGCTGCTGCTGCTGCTGCTGGATTTCCTGACGGGTGTGAAGTCCCCCCGAAATGGACGCAATTGATCTCTTTCCTTCTCGCTTTGGCGATTTGTCAGCTGCTGTGGTGCTCGGAGGAGCCAAGTCGCCAAACACGTCATCCACGTTCTCCTTCGGCGCCTCGCCGAACCCGAGCATCGTCGAAAGCAATCCTTGTTGGGCCGCATTTGATGTGTCGAGCGGCGTTTGTCCACTGAGTCTCGACTGCTGGGCGTGTGACTCTTCGGCCCCCGTGGACTTTGTATCTGAATTACGCGTCTTGCTATCCTTCTTCTTCAGTTTCGGTGAAGTAGTCGGTTTTCCGTCCTTGCTCTTACTCTTTGGCGAGGGCACCGCAATCTTATCTTCCACTGGCTCGACGTTGGTCGTCCTTCTCGTTCGGGTTTGCCGAAGATTCGCACTGTCCCGGTCTTCCACTTGACTGTCTAGCGGCGCGGTGTCGCGGCGTTCCTTGCCAAACAAGCCGTACATCATGCGAGACCGCGCCATACTGGTGAGCATGCCATCCGTCTCAAAGCCGCGATTCACGTTCACTGCGTATCCGTCCTGCAGTCCCGTGCCCATGATGGCCCGCCCCATATCCGGGGTGACGAAAAAAGATGGTTCCAGTTGCGCGGACTCCTTGCGGAAGAGTTGCCTCGTCGCTGGGGGCTGCAGTGCGGACGAGGGTCCTTTCAACAGATGATTTTTATGCGCCGTTTCTCGACGGGTTTGTTTGGGGTCCTCTGTAGTGGCGCCCTGCTGCACCATGGAAGCGTAGAGCCCGTGAGGATCGAGAAGGAGCTCCTGGTGGGTGCCGCACTGACTCACGCGCCCGTTCTTCAGCACCACAATCTTGTCGCAATTCTCCACCTGAGCAGCCGAGTATGTAGGAATAGGATTATAGAAGATGACAAAAACCACCTCTGCAGAATCAATTAGGTGCTGGAAAAAGTACTTTGTTTTGGGCCAAATTCTCAAATCCAAAAACAAATAGAATCGAAATACCGTCGACAACCGGTGCGCAACGACGATCATGGTGACCTTGTAACGTCGCTGCATGGCCGCTTGCAGAGTTGGCAGACCCGCGTGAAACGGCTCGAGTAAAGCAGACGGCTGGCCGAGACTGTCGACGCAGGCCATGACCTGTTTTTCGGAGTCCATGTCCAGTGCGGAGGTGGCTTCGTCGAGAATCAAAATTGCCGGATTGCGGAGCATGGCGCGTCCGATCGACAGCCGTTGCTTCTGCCCGCCGGACAGGAAGACGCCGGAGGATTCCAGGCCCTGCGGCAACGCCTGCACCCAGTCGCGCAGCTTGAGCACGTCGAGGATGGAAAGGATCGCGTCGTCCGAAATTTTTTGCCGACTCCCGTCGTCGATGCCGAGAAGAAGGTTTTCCCGAATGGTCAACGACCCGAACAACGTCGGGTCCTGCGACACCACGCCAACCAGGCTTCGAAATGTTTGTGTGAAAATCTCTTTGAGCGGATATCCGTTCATCTGAATATTGCCGCCATCTGGGAAGTAGCACCGCTGCAGCAGCTGCAGCACCGTGCTCTTGCCGCTCCCAGACCCACCGACGAAAGCCACCTTTTCTCCCGCGTTGATCAGGAACGACATGCCGCGAAGTACGGTCTTCTCCGGGCGGGTCGGGTACGCAAACAAAACGTTGGAGCCCGTGAGCGTCACACCCGTAGAGTCCAGGAAAGAGAGCCGCACCGTGCGCGAGCGGTTCTCCACGAGCAAGTCACGCAGCACGTGTGGGTCCGCACGAATCAGGCCGGTAAGCTGGTCACGCGGAAGATGATCTGCGTCCGCGTAAAAATCTCCTTTCGGGGCCGAGACGGTGGCGAGGGGGCGGTTTTTGCGCGACGATTTGTTGTAGTTGCTCGTCACCAGAGCCACGTCCTTGTTGTCCCACTGAATCAGGCGACAGCCCGCCGAAATTCCAGCTCTGTCCGCCGGCGAGTCCGGTCGCACCTGTTCGACGAAAAGGGTGAGAGAAGGCAGATCCGTCGTGGTGCGAACTTTGATCTTCTCCATCTTCAACCCCAGCACCTGCCAAAGGAAGTCGTCGAAGGTGCGCCGACTTTCGCCCGAGCCGCTGCCCGATACCGTGGAGCTGCTGGTAGGGGGAGAGAAAGAGGTACTAGCCTCGTCGTCGATTGGCGGAATCAAGGCCTCAACTGTGTCACTTGGTGTCGATTCCCGTAGCCAAGGCGCCCACTTCTTGCGAACTTGCTTCTCCAGAGAAAAATCAAACTCCAGCAGGTAGGCACGGCGGAGGTCTTCGTCTGCGGCTTCGAAAGCTTTGTTGGAGCTCGTGCTGGAATGCTTCGTCGAAGGTCCCAAAAGAGGCGAGGAGGCAGTACTAGTTTTCTTGGATGTTTTCGAGGACGTAGCGGAGGACATGTTGTTCATCACACCAGACTGCACCTCCAGGACAGTTGTTAGCCGTCGAAGTTCCGTGACAAGCGCCCTCGTCGTGTTGTCCGCCTGCTTTTTCTTGTTCTTTCCCGCTTCGGACCCGCGCTCGATCATAGCGTAGTGCACTCCTTCCCCCCCACCCCCACTGGCAAGAGAAGTTGACGAGACCGGAGAAGCTGCCAGCGGGCTCTTCGACATTTTTATCTTCGACGACGAAGGATTACTTGTGGGGCTAGCGTCGTTCTTTTGCAGCCGTTGCTGTTCCAAATGTCTTTTAACCGCGTAGGTGGCGACCTGCTTGTGCGGCACTGCTTCCAGCTCCTCCGGTGATAATTCCAGCGTTTCGTCGCCAAAAACCATTTTGGAACGCAGACTGCTGCGGACGAGCGACAATACGTTTGCGAAACTGATTTTGAAATCCGCAAACACGACGAAGTAAGCCGCTGCCTGCTGGAGATAGATCAGTCCGTTGAAGACGAGAAAAATGACCGCCAACACCCCCGCACTGGTCTGGCCAGTTTTCCACGTGAAGATTTGCAACCGCCCGAAGAACAGCGCAATGGCAATGAAAATGTACACCGCGGAGGCCTGGAATCCGAGCGCCAGTCCCATTTTCACCGCGGTCGTCTTGTAGGCATCCTTCGAACGGTCGACCGCCGCGGCGTAGCCCTGGACTTCCCGTTTCTCAGACGTGAAGGAATACAGCGTCCGGACACTCCGAAAGCACTCCTCCGCGATGGTAGCGGCCTCCAAATAGCTGGTATCGGACTTCGTGGTCCGTTCCTGCTTCACGTTCAGCATCCACACAGCGGAAAAGTAGACCGCCGCAACGCCGGGGAGAACTAGCAAGGTCAACATCCAGTTTTTGATCAACGAGATGCCCAGTGCCCCGATCGCGAGCCCGAGCGCCTGCAGGGCGATGCACAACCGCGACCCAAACGCCAATCGAATACGCTCGATATCGAGCTGAATCTGTTGCGGAAGTTCCAGCTCGTTCGTCGCATCGAACCAGGCGAAGTCTTGGGTCAAAACCGCTTTCAGGTACAAGCGCCGAATACGGGCAATTTGCAAAACGGCCGCGGATTCGAACAGGTAAAAACTGGTGTACACCATCAGTATCGTCCAGATTCCGAGGAAAACTAGCCCGAGAAGCGGTGGCCACGCCAAGGCCCAGATACTCTGGTTCAACTGCAGATCCTTGTTCAGATTCGCTGCCGCCCGGGACACGGCCATCGTGTTTGCATTCCCGATGTCCTGGCGCGCGAACGTTTCATCTACGTTATCGAGCTGGATCTGCACGATGACGAAGGACAGCCCGGATGGTGCGAGCGCGACAAGCGCGATCATCGCGCCGCCAATGTAGCGCCACCGCTCCTTGGCACCGGACACGAAGAAAAACATCTTTCCCATGCCCACCTTGCTGGGAGGGAAAAGGAAATCGGTATCTTCTGCCAATTCCGCCAGTGACAGTTCTTGTCCCGTTTCAGCTAGGATTTCTTCCCGCTTCGCGGCCTCGGCGTCCTTGAACATGCTGTGCATACGGTCTCCGACGTTCAGATCCACAGACCACCGGTCCATGTAGTACTCCTGCGGCATTTTGAAACTGGTATCTTCATCTTGTTCGGTGCCGCCGAGAAGTGCGTCTTCCTCCCCCGCTCCGGCGGGGTCTTTCGACACCACGGCCTGCAGTTCTTTTTCCCTCTGCTCGCCACTTGCCAAGCGGTCCTGCAGCGGCTCCACGTGCTGCAGAAAAATATTGGCCTCGCTGGGCAGGGAAGAGCCATGATCGCCTGGTGGCAGAGAGGAACCACTGTAATTCTGCCCCGACGGTACGATGCGGAGCCCGGGTGTCGCGGGAAACGAAGGGGCTTGGGAACTTTTCTCCGAGCTTGATGGGTTGTCTTTGTTGCGACTCTGACTGCTCCGGTAGGACAACGGGTCCTGCTTGCCAGAGTTTGGCTTACTCATGATGGAGGAAAACTGTACTTAATATTCACACTAAATCAAAGAAGCTCATGCTCGATTTCTTCACGTTCTTGATCTTGGAATCCTGAGTGTTTCATCTCTGTACAGATTAGCACCTCCAAGGTGCAGAAAACTGAGATGATGCACCGCTTCGCCAAAGAAACACGAATAAGATATGCGATTTCAACGATCCTCTTCCCCTGTCAAAATAAACCAAACTGTTGATATTGACTCTCGGAAACGATAACGACTACTACGACGATGACGATGTGCGATTTCGATATAGCGATGCAGGAAGACGACGACTTGAAGCGATCGCGACAGCACTTAGTTAGGACGATAGTAGTTTTCTTTGAAGTGCAGCGAACCACGATAATCACGATTCCATTCGAATAAAAGGCGAAAACGCGTCAAAGTGGGAACTCCAGGGACGCATTTCTTGCGTGCGGTTGTCCTCCGCCGTGGTGAACCCACCAAAGCTTGGAAGGTAGAAAAGGTCGTTGCAAATCAATGTTCATTAACAGCACCTGTGATGTTGAAATTGAAAAGGGTAGCAAGTTTTAGGTATTCCGGGATTGCGGTTCTTGCACTGCCGGACAAGCTCAGTTCAGAAAGATTTCTCAAACAAAACACTGATTCTCTGCAGCTGTAGTCGACGGCTCATAAAAATCTTCTTCAAATCTTGATACTCGAAGACGCGGGTAGGCTATACTTTGCTGCTCTGATTCATATAACAAGAAACGTCTGGTACTGCAAGAAATCTTACAATGCTGAACTTCTACTGTAGCTGTTGTTTGTTTCTGGTAGTATCCAGTGCGTACGACAACTATTTCATTTCCGTCCACTGGCCCATGGCGTCAAGACTCCATCACCGTGCTATCTGTAGTTCACCGAAAAGATACTGTGGAAATACAAGTCAGTGCTGCTCTGAAAGGCAAGTCTAGTAGTGAGAGTCTGCGCGTGTCGTGATCATTTTTTTATTCGAGTAAAAAGGAGGTAGGTGATGACTCGTTTTGTTCGCGTGCAGTCGTTGCTTTTACTTGTCCTCGACGGCGTAGAAAGCGCCGGAGGGACGGTAGAAGCCCGCCGTGGCATCGGGTTTCCCGTAGTACTCGGACTGACGCAAAGCTGGTGGTGCTTGCTTCATCTGCATCTCACCCACACGACCGGTTCTGATATGGTTTTAGTTTGGTTTTGTTATGTTAAGACAACTCTAATTTCAAACAGAAATGAATTTTTGGATGGAGTGCTTCAGCTCGTTCAGTAGCGGCGAAGGGTACGAAGATTTGTGCAAGAAGCTGAAGCACATCTTTCCGATAGCATACTGGTGGTAAGTCTCAATCTTCATGAATAGTACGTCACCAGATGAACAAATCGCGCTATACCGGAAGCACTGTGCCAGTGGGCGCGGGTCGTCACGGGCCATTACGTAGGGCAACTCGCTGTTGCACATGCCGAAAGATTTCTTGGCCCGTTCGAAGTTCTCCTTTTTGATTTGCGGCTTGAAGCCCTTGGTTTCCTGGACAAGGTGCTTCTTGAACGGTTCTGCAGCGATGCTGGAGGACTTGTACTGCACCTCGGTCGGGATCTCTTTGGCGTCGGACAAATCCATATCCTGCATCCATTTGAAGCTCATGCGCTTCTCGGTCTCCAGACCCTCCCGAAATAGTGCGCTTGCGTTGTTATCCATTTTCTCGGAGGGTTCTTGTTTTCAACAGCAAGATGAATACTTTTGTAGTATACGACGACGAAAGTTCTTACCCAAAGGGTTGAAAAAAAATCACCTACTGAAACCCCGTCGTGAGATTGAAGTCGTTTGTGTTAGTAGCCGAAGATGAAGTTTCTTGGTCATGGGGATGGGGAGATTTCGACAAGTGAACAACAAAGAGGCTGCGTACAATGCAAAACGCCCACACGATCAACGGGTCAGGGTACAACATCTTCGGTTTTGATATGATTTACTTTTACCCTACTCGCAAAACGATGAAGAAGCGCGAAGACAAATATTAGTGCTTGAAAGTGCCGAGCATGCGATGCGCTAAACACCTACGTACAACATCCCTGGTAGACCCAGTCTTGCGTTTTTTACTGCACAGAAGACAGATTCTTAGTGGAAGACAGATTTGGAAATAGCGTTTTTCTGTTTAGCGACCGAGACCGACAACACAGACACGGATCGACATTTATTTCCAGAGAATAAGAGCAGACATAATTACGAGGAGAAAACTACTACAGTCAGGGGGTAATAGAGGACGGCGCGATATTGAATGGGATCGATTCTTGTGTTGGTTCCTGTTGAAGACGATAAAACCATTTTCAGCATGATTTTCCCCACCGATTGCAGTTGGCAAACTCCTTCTAGACGATCCAGATTTTCGGATTGCGTTCAAAAATGATCGCTCACAAGTAGTTTCTTGTTTGTGCTCGCTATGGAGAAAGTCTCTCTTCGCTCTCGATACTCACCATACATACACACGTCCATTTTCATATGCACGATGGATGACTACTAGGAGGGCTTTAGTCTCTGGTAAAGGCGAACACCTAGACGCGAGCAACGGGGGTAGACGAGTCGTTCAGAGGACCTGCAGAAAGAACTTTGTTTTACCCGACGTTGTCACAATCTTAAATCTTTCTCGTGTTTGTTGTGCTACTTCTGAGCTCTAATGTTGACGGTTCATCTACGTCTCCGACCAGAGAACAAATAAGCGATGCACCAAAAGAGTCACATCATTCAGGTCTTCTGTCGCTTTGCTTTCTTCTCCCCCTTGTCGTCGGTTTTGTGTCTTTTTTTCTTATCTTTTTTGTCGCCGTCCTTCTTCTTTTTCGTTTTGTCCTCGTCTGCGTTTTCTCGGTGGAAGTTCTTCCCGGTGTAAATACAGCCGTCAGTTCCGTTGACCTTCTTCAACAAATCCTTCCCGTCCCCACCCCGCTGCGCGTCAAAGCCTTTCCGCATGTCGTCTCGCCATTGCCCGCCGGTCTCCCCTCTGCCGTATTGTCGCCCGTCGGTCACACCTACAGCGTCCAAGTCGACGGTCAGTGACCTGCCGTCGAGTTTTGCGTTCTTCAACACGTGAACGGCTCGGACGGCCTCTTCATGTGTCCTGTACTGGACGAAGCAGAACCCACACGGCTGTTTCTTAAACTTATTCAGGCCCATGGTGAGGGCGACGAGATTGCCACATTTGGAAAAGAGTTCCCAAATCTGCTCTTCCTGCGTCCAAAAGGAAAGGTTCCCGACATAAATCGTCGTGGAGACTTCCAGTTGTTTCTTCCACTGATCGAGGGAAAGCCCGGATTTTCGGTCCCAGTAGACGGCCTTCGCCGGCATAATTTCCTTGTAAAGGGAGGCCATGGCTTTTTAATAATTCAAATACGGGTCGTAGTGTGAAGATGAAATGTAGGAGAGTTAGTAGGCTGCGTGCGATTCTGATTCTCCTCCTTGGGACATAATTCCTCGAGGACTACTGGGTGATACTGAAAAGATGGGTAGGTACTTATGTGGTTCTTATTTTTCATTCAACACTAACACTAAGACTAAACGGAAGAAATTGGTTGTTGGGTTGCCTGCATTGGTGGGATTGCTTTAGCTTTTGGCTTGCGATGGAAAGACATAAGATCAACAAACATTCTGGATTTTACTATGGTTCTGATCCACGGCCATCTACATCTGATCGGCACTGCTTCCTAGAACACCCTGGTGGAGTAAAGTTCAAATTCTTAGTCTAGGAACGAGACCCGTCTCTTGATTGTCATGATGACATGGTTCAATTTGCGAGCGCATGGTTTCCCTGCTTTCCACATGTCGAAAAAGCTCTTCATGTAACACATCCAAATCGTCTTTCATCTTACTTCGTATTTCCATCGCGATCAATAGATTCAGGATGCTGATTATAGGGTAAAGCAACCGCTGTGACGTAAGTACTGTAGAAAGATCATTCACATTCTGTCAGTCATGTTGGCGAAAAATGCGTATGATCTTCACAAGAAGAATACTAGTTCCAAGTACTTCGAGCCCGGCGAACAACTACGGAAGAAATCTCAATTTCAAAACCTGGAAAAATGATTTTTACACGGCTCCGGTACTACACTTGACGTGAAGTAGCTTCCCTATCACTTGGCTCACAACCGATAATCTTTGTCGGCCCCGCAAGCAACTCATGCATTATGTTGACCCAGGCACAGCAAAAAACCACTTCAAAAAGACATACTTCTACGCAGCTTTCTCAACAGGCTCTTGTACAGCTTTACTTGCCGTCACTGGAACAATCGGATTTGATGCGCCCGAGCTACTACTGCTTCCCCGCTGCGGCGGATTGAAAATTCCGACTTTTGGTGCTTGGATAAAGGTAGGCGAGGCTTTCAGCGTACTGGCGCTTTTTACCAGTGACGGACTGCCAGTAGCGTAGAACGGGGAGGTCGCTCCTTTCGACGTTGTCAAAGTCATCGGAACTGGTCGCGCGGTCGCGGTGACCGAAACCGGCGTTTTGCCGGAACCGGTGCTGCTTTGGCTGTCCGCCTGCACAAATTGCTCAGCGCGGCAGCTCGCCGCAGAGGTCGTCAAACCTGATTGCGTCCCGACGACTGGCGACTTTGACATCTTTGGCGACAAAAAAGAGGCTGCTCCAGGTCCTGCAACGACGTTCACACGCGGAGACGATAATGGGGCGACGGGCGAAATCAGTGGCGTAGTGCGATTGAACATCGGTGATTTAGATCCAGAAAATCCTGGAACTGTGGGCAGCTGCGGTTGCTGCAACAGCACCGGGCTGCTGGTAGGAATCACTGTCACTTGTTCTGGTTTTTTCTCACTCCGCGCAGATGACTCCTCCGCGGTGGTTGTCGAAATCTTCGACGTGCTGAAGCTCTGGACGAGCATGGTTTTACTGCTGCCGAGTTGCGGAGGCACGATTCCGCTGAGGCCAGGAGTGACCAAGTTAACCGGCATGCGGCGAGTGCCGGCCGACGGGCCGCCACCAGAAGCGACCGCCCTGGTCGCTTTGATCGTTGTGGTGTTCGCGGAGGTCGCTTCTGCGACCGACGCCAGGGAGGTACGGTTCGAATTCGAGCCCGAATTCCGCTTTTTCATTTCCGTGGCGGCCCTGTGCATCACCAGCGAAACGCTGTGCCGACGCAGCTCTTGCAAATTTCCGACGGATTTCTGTGTCAGCTGGCTCAGACACTCCATATTGCGTTGCTGCAGTAAAGCCTGGATGTTCGCGTTCTGCGGTGCTGCTGGGGGAACGACGGCGGCTTTTGGTTTTTTGATTTTTGAGGTCACGTTCGTTTCATCCGCCTCGCTGGATTTGATATCTTCAGAGTGCGAAGTGGCGCTCGCGTCTTCGTCGACGTTCTGGTTGACGAGGAAGACCGGTGAGCCCTGCGGCGGGATTTTCAGTTTCGGGATTTGGGTCGCGTTCGGGGACTTCATTTTGTTCGGTAACTTCTTTGCAGGAGCTGGCAGCGTCTCTCCGTTGTTCGGATCCGCGGGCTCTATTTCCTGGACTGAGACTGATGGTGTATCCGCGCTGTGCAGAACAGCGATCCGCTCTTTCTGCCACGACGACGTGGCAGTGGCATCCACGTTTTTGTTTTCTTTTTCAGCAGCGTTAGCATCTTTCGGCGTCGTACTTTTCTTTTCATCTTTCCCTTCCCCAGGACCACAAGTTGCACCTTCTTGCTCAGTCGCCGGCTCAACATTCATCAAGTCCTGTACCAGGTCCGAATGCTTGTGCACCTTCTGCCCGTTCTCGTCGACGACCGGAACGGTACCAGCATCCGAGGACGCTTTACTGCTATTTCGCACGACCGGGTCCAATGGCAATGCTCCACTGACTTTCGGCTGAATCTTCACACCGCCAAGTAGAGGAGCCTTGATGGTCTTTTTCTCAGGCCCTGCAGCCGTTTTGAGCAAAGCCGCAGGGTTCATTAAGCGCAGCTCGGAGAGGTTGATGCCCGGCTTGGTCCCGGAGACCCGCTTTGGATTCGTGCCCTTCGGCGGACTGTGACGTAGCGTGAGCACGCCGGTCTTCTGGTACGAAGTGCGCGGAGCGTAGTTCAACTGCAGTGCGTGTGTGTCCACGTGCAGCAGCTTCTGGCTCATGGTGACATTGAGCGGAATTTTGAACAGTGAGGCGACGTTCGGATTCTTCAGAACCGCTCCTGTTGCAGCTCCCCGTGCCGAGGACGTGGCAGAAGCGGCTTTATTTGGAAGCTTTTTCCGCCCGCCTGCATTTGGAGGTTTTTGATCCGAAGCGCCGTCCTCATCCCCGGCCGCGGACGAGGAGCTGGAGGACACATCGTGGAAGGAAGGGGACGCTCGCATGAACTGCCGCTTTCCGTCCGGACTGGTACAACTACTACCGGATTCTGCTCCTTGGATCATCATGCCGTTCGTACTGTCCACCGCGTCCACCACTAACGAGTCAACAGCGCCGCCCTGCTTCACGAGCACGGTCGGCGGCTCGGACAACTCTTCGGCCTTGTTCTTCAACGGACTCATCGGGGAAGTCTTCTCCGACGCCTGGTCGTCGCCCTCGTCGATGGCCGACATCGGTTGCTGCTGCAGGCGAGGGTTGCTCATCATCGATGCCGGTCCTCGGGAGAGGATCAACGTGCCCGCGCCGGCGCCACAGACGCTCGCGCGCCGGCCCTGGAGCAAGGCGGCGCGCTCCGCGGCCAGCTTCTTGGATTTTTCGTTGAACTCGGAGCTGTTGAAGGTCAGCTTGGCCTTGCCGCTGTTCGCCAGTTCGAGGAGGGGCCTCGCATCCACCTCCTTCGGCTCGATCTTGGCGACTTTTGTCTTCGTCCGGAAATCCTCAAGGTTCTTCGGAACGAGGTTGGGAAGAAGTTCCGTACCTGGTGATGATGGGAGGAGGATACAGTGCGGACAGCACACATGATATGCGAGTCGAGAGGACATACTACATGTTCTGATAGATTCTGAAGTCAACAAAGAATAAGAACGACCACAAGCCAGACATATAAAAGTACTGAGCATTAAGTGCTTCGTCCAATCGACTTTCCGTGTCACCCGTCTCGAGGATCTAGCGGTCGTTTGCTTCACCGGCGGCGGGGCGTCTTCTTTAGAAGAAAGCGTGTGAATGACAGACTCGTTGCTGCTCAAGCTCACCATGTTGGCCAGTTTCGCTGCCGTGCTGCTGCTACTAGCAGCTTGCTTCGGCTGGTCGTCTGCAAGGAGATTTTCTCCTTGCTCTACTTCCTTTTCCTGCTGTAATTCCCTCAGCGGAGATCCCTCCTCCACCTCGACAATTTTCTCCAAGCCGAGGGCATTGTTCCCTGTGTTTCGAAATCCCGCCGCGGGCGTGGCCTCGGAAATCAGTTCTTCGAAGTCGTCTAGGGGGTCGCGGTGGCTTTGCGCGTAGGCGGACGCGGAGGAGAACATCAGTTTTTCCATGTTCACGCGCAACAAATACGCCCGCATGCTTTCCCGGTCCTTCGGCCGGCTGCTGTGCATGGCTACCCGGGACTCCGTGAAACTCCACTCGGACGCCAACTCGGAAATCGGGCGGCCAATCGGGTCTTCGAAGGTCTGTCGCAGGTATTCCGCAGTCAAACTAGCGCGGCGCTCCGGGGACGAGTCTTTCCTCTCACCAGTAGGGGCTGAAAAGAGGTGAGCAGGATGATGTGATTTTAGAAACTCAGGCTTTGTGCTGGTAAAATTTTTAAATGTGAGCTGCAACAAACTGTGACGCATGCAGCTGCGGAAGATTCAAACGAGTTTATACACCAAATGACTAGAAAAACAATATGGCGCAAGCTTCTTCGGTACTGACTAGAAAAACAAAAATGCACCTGATGTTTCACCAACAGCATCGACCACACCCGAAGCTGCAGGCTCTTGCGACGTAAACACTTCGTCAGAGTTCCCAACTGACACTAGTTTCATGACCTTTTTGTCGTCCGAAGCTGGAAGATCTACTTCCACAAACAACTTACTTGCAAGTGCCTCTGCTTTATTCCCAGCGTCGCCATCCTGTTTCGTCGCCGAACCTACTTCTTTCGCATCTTCATCTGACGTTGCGGGGGAAGCTGCTTCCAACCCGCTTGGGGACACCGCTGCCGCAGTCGCCGTTGTGAAGTACACATCGGTCTCATAGACCCGCATTTTCTCCTCCAATAAGTTGTTTCCGGAGACAAATACGTCCCCGGCAGCTTCGTCGCCGTAGAACTCGTCTGCTTGCTCCACTGGAGAACTCAAATTTGACGCTATAACAGCCCCTTCCGCCTCTAGGAAGTCCAGGTCCTTTTCTTCGTCTTTGACAATTTTTTCATCCTCGTTCTCTCCAGCCTGTGCTGATACTTCTTGTTCTACTCCAGTGGCAGCTCCACCTGCACTTCTTGCAGCGACAGCTTCTGCCTTTTGCTCCGCTTTGCTTCTCAATTCTAACCGTCTTTGCTTCTCTTTCCACTTCGTATCGAGCTTGGTCAGCACGGACGACCAGCACTCCCGGATCGTGCGCACACCGAAGACGAATCCGTCCTCGGAATTCCCGTCCCGCCACATTTGCTTGTGCGTCAGCTTCAAATCCGGGTGATAGTTCACGATCGCACAGGACTATCCAGGAAAAAAAGATTGTAGGTGTAACTTTGTTGGAGGATTAGCATGACAAATATCTCCCGCATGACAGCAAAAACCTGTCATGCGCAGATAGTACGGGAAAACGCCGCTGAATGGACCCTTAGATGCATGCCAAGCATGACAGGCTCAAGCAATTTGCATGTTGTGCATCACAAATTTACACTAACAACCTTTTTTTCTTGCATAAGGACGGCGGAGGTGGGGAAACTGCTGGCTTTTGTTCCACTTCCTCTTTGGAGGAAGAAGTTTTCTCCGCGGCTGTGGTGGTCCCGCCGTCCTCCACCTCTGGAGGTGAAGTTGCTGTTGAAAGAACTACTTGTTCTTCGGGCGGCGGAAGCAAAACCCATTTCACCGACACCTCCGGCTCGTTTTCGGGAGCGGAAGCTTCGAGGACGGTTGCTTTTTCATCTTTAAACGGGCTGCTGCAGGGGTCCTTCACTGTTATAACAACACTGGAGTTCAAAATTTCCAGCGTGCTCAAAGCCTCGGCGGATGCGGTTAGTGCAGTGTAGAAGTCGTTCAATTTTTCCACGATTTTTCTCACGACACACAACCGCTTTTCCTCGTCGTGCTGGATGCAGGGGCGGAGAAAAACAGTGAAAAAGGCGTCGACTGCGTGGGACTTCTTCAGAATCATCAGCGGCCAGTACTTCTCGCGAAAACTGCCGCGCGGCGCCTCCAGACCACTCACACGAAAGCCGTGCTGGACCTTTGCAGGTAGGTTAATAAGTACTTATGAATGTACTTATCTATGTACTTATCATGATGTTTGTCTCTTTGCACAAAGTAGAAATTGAAATGGAAAAATAAAATGCATGGCGCGGAAACGAAAATAATTTTCATGCCTTGTTCCGCTTACGCTTACCGTCGTGGACACCGAGTCCTTAAGCAGCAGGTATCGGATTTTTTGCAGAAGCTTCGACTCCTTCTCCTGCTCCGTAAGAATGGTGTCGTCGCTAACCCCGAGCGCGTCCAGGGACAGCACAGTCGTCTCGTCCTCCAGTATCGATTCTTCAAACGTCCGCGTCCCGACAATGCAAGACAGCCACCAGCAGGAACTCGGTTCCGGAAAGGTCTCGCAGACGTACTCCGTGAGTTTCTCTGCGCCATTGGCCAGCAAATGTGACCGCAAAACGGCAGCAGGATTCGGCGTCACCACTACGTCGTGGTCGTCCCCTTTTGCATTTGCTACCACATCAGGCGCGGATTCATGTTTATCCACTGCTGGTGCTGGGCTCTCCTCTTCCATCATGGGGTCTGCAGGTGGCTCAGCCATTTTTGAAAAATAACACAGGGGCGACTCTTTGCTTGTTGTCAAGATCAAGTACCAAGAGTGACGATTCTTGTCAACTTCGCAACTGCAACAAATATCGACGATCTATGACCATGAAGAGAGGATACCACCAGACGGTCAATGAGACAGCAAACAAAAGCACGGCGACAAGAAGACACCAACACAAACTCGTCAAACTGCCAGTGAAAGGTATTTTCACTGCAAGACGACAACTATTCGTTGTTATCTGAAAATCGCTCCACCTTCGTCTCGGTTATTCGCATTTCTATCTTGTCGGCATTGAAGAAAAATGAAAATCGAACGCAATGTCTGCAACTGTCCGGCAGGTACAAGGCAGAGCTTGCACTACGGAGACTGCGCGTCGATGTTTATTGTCGTGTCAAACGGGCCCAGAATGCGCATACTTCGTCTACTTACTTTCGTCCTGGTACTTTCCTAGAAACTCTGAGTGTTCATCTGAACATTTTTTCATTGAAGATCACTTCAGTCGTTCATTCGAAGCTTTCGGTTTAAGAGGTCGCTACTAGATTGACGATATAGCCAAACTCATTGTCCTTGAAAGATGAGTTAATGTCTTGCAAAGAGTCGACATTCTGAGACTGCTCTGCGTTTTTGAAACAGAGTTCGTCGCCGTGGCAGAGCGCGATCCGCTTTTTTTCCGGCGCGCGCTTCCCGTTGAGATAAGTTCCGTTAGTTGAGGAATCGATCAAGTAAACGCCTCCCTTTTTGAAGTCAAACTCGATCGCGCAGTGGTTTCGGGACACTGACGTCACGTCGTCCGGAATGCACACATCGATACCAGATTCACTGTCGTGGGAAGAACTGGAGGTTTTCGCGTTGCTGTGCTTTCCGATGGAAATTTTGGGCTTCGCTATCGACAAAGTTCCGCTGTAAAACGGCAATTTTCCCGTCATGGGAGATAAACGCAAGACGTACCCATCTTTCGTCACCAGCTCAGACGCTGGCACGAGCAACTGCTGCAGCCGGAGCTCCGAGCTGCCCCACTGTGCCTGAATCGCAACGCGCTTCAGGGTTGCTTGTGCGGCTTCTCGCTGGTCGTCAGAGCCCACGATGCAGACGTCGTCCTTCTTAGGGTCGCAATGAAGTGTCACTCTGCATTGGTCTTCGACAATTTTGGCATTTTCCGGCGTTCGCAAAAAGCTTACCATTTGTTCCGACAACCGGATGCGATCTTGCAAAGTTCCGCTCCCGCTGTGTACCTGTCCGAGGTCGAGGCTGCGTCTTCTCACTTTTTGAAAATCCGGTGGATGGCCAATCACCAACCCCTGTTGCTCTTTCACGTCAAGCAACAGAATGTCTGCCACCTTCTTTTGCCACTTTTCCAGGTCCGCATTCGCTGTGCGGGCTTCAATCACGACGGACGTACCTGTTGCGTCTAAAAAGCACCTGCAGTGGGTCTGCTTCTCGAATGCGCGGCGCCAGGAGCACACGTGGGAAGAGAGAAGGTCCATGGCGAAAGCTCTTGCCCCCAGCGGGATGCGCACGTCGATAAAAGGAATGCCACAGGGAACGTGGATCAGGTCGTCGTGGCCTTGGTTGTTCACAAGACCGACGCTGTTGTGAGCGACTTCGGCATGATCAATCGAAGGAGCAACGTGGGGCCTGTGAAGTCGTTCGATACATCTTCAGCTTTTTCATCATTGGATGTTTTGACTTCTATAAGGGTGTGAAAAAAATTGGAAGTGGACATCAACTCTTCGCCTTGACCTGACGTAGGCCTGCAGCTAAAATGATCGACAAATCCTGAGCTGCTTTTCCGTTTACCTGCTACTGGGTACTAAACTTTCCAGGCCGCCAGCGACTTCGAACAGACCTGATTTCTTCAAAACTGGCCGGTCCCCCAACGAGTGCAAACTGTTTTTCTGCTGCTGCATGTGGGAAGCTTGCTCTCGCAACATGAGCTGCTTCTGACTCCGGTTGAGGGAGTTTGCACTGGTGATACCGTCTAAAAGATGAAGATCCGCTTCACTTTTCAGTGCGGCAGACGTAGACACAGAGGACTTTGATGCGATAGGCCGATTAGACTTGATCTCGACCACCACTGGCGGCCGTTGCTCGCTGGCATTTTTGTCGTCCCCAGCGACGCTACTCGCCCCGACACGAATGGTGCGTTGCTGCAGGTGGCAATCCCGCGCGCCGGGCCCCCGCATCACGGGCGGCACATCACCTTGCGAGGACGAGCTCTTACTTCGCTTCCGTCGGTCAGATTTGCTCTGGTCGTGGTGACTGTCGTCAGACGAGTTCCGCGAAGCAGAAGAACGCTGGTTGGAACGGCGCGGCCCGCCGGTATTTTTATCTCCACGACCTCGAACTCGATCGTGGTTCTGGTTCTGCTTCTCCACAAAGCCGCCTTGATGCGACGGCTGCTGCGACGAATCCGCCGCGTTGTGATTTTTGGCCTGCTGCTTCTGCAGCAGAGAGTGGGCATCGATAGACTTCACTCGAAAAATCGGATTGGAAGTAAACAATGCGTTCTTTGGCCCTTTCTTGACCTCTGCATCTTCGTAGCGCTCCGGGTCTGGTCTGGGAGTGGGAACGCGAAGGCGAGCAGGGGCCGGCGACTGCGATCCATGTTGTGCCTCATCCGGCTTCTGATCCCACTTTCCCCTTGTAGTTCTGGTGTTTTGGGTCGGCCTTTCAGTGTTATCATGTGTCGTTCGGTGACCCCTATCGTCCTCCGTTTCTCCTTGCTTCTTGTCGGTACTGCGCCTCGTACTACGGGCATGATCCCGCTTCACATCGCGCCCGCGACTATGGCGCTGCTGCGCCTGACGCCTCGTAGCAGCAGTACGACTCTCATTTCTGGTTTTGTGCGGATCATTGCGGTCGCCGCCTGCCACGCTTCGTCTTTGTTGTCGGGGTCGTTCGACGTCCGCTTTTTTGCACCCGTGTCCTCGGCTTCTACTGCGATTTCTGGACCTCCTTCTGTTGCCATGATTCCGAGTAAGAGCCTTACTGCTACGGCTGCAGCTTCGACCTTGTCCGGTTTTGCCAGCGGCATCGACAGCTCTGGCAGAGTCACACTTCCCAAAACCCGATTTCTTGTCAGACACAGCTGCTTGCCTTCTCCCGTATTTCTCTCCAGCTGCCTTGTTACTGCGAGCGGCTTCTTGATGTTTTCGTTCCTGTGCCTGATGCGAACCTTCTTTGTTTAGTGCTGTCGCAGAAGAGCGGCGTTTTTTGTTGTGCTTCCGATTTTCGTCTTCAGAGATAACGTCGCTATCGCTTCCTTTACCTTTTTCCTCCTCGGGCCTGCTTTCTTGATTTCTCGCGGTGGAGGACGAGCGATTGGCGGACTTTTTCGGGCCTTTGCGCGCGGACGCGACCGAAGGACCTCCGTCTTTTTCATGACGTTCAGCCTTATCTTCGTCTCTGATCTTGCGACGCTTGGAGTCTTCTCCGCTCTTGATCGGATTGGCAGCTTGCTTCAGATTTTTCCTAGTAGTGTGCGACACTGACGGGGTGGGCACTCTTCTACTAGGATTCCTTTCCTCATCAGCGGTTGCTTGGTTCGACCCCTCTTGCGACTTTCTTTTTGCCACCTGCTTCACTACTTTCCGTGCCTCCGCCTGCCGGTCCTTCTCCTCTAGGTGCGATCTTCGCTTTCTGTTTTCTTTCTGCTTGCGTGGTTCCGAAGCAACAGACGAAGATCCGCTGGAGGAAGATGAATTAGATTTAGAACTGTCAGAGGAACTGCTAGAGCTCTCGTCCCCTGCCTGCGAAGATTTGCTTCGCGCACGTTTTCTGCCTTGTCGTGTACCAGTCTTCCCCTGTTCCTTCCCCCGTTCAGCAGCGGCGTTTTCGCGACTCTTTGTCGCGCAAGGTATCACTCTTTCATCTGACGTGGCTTGATGTTCAGCGCTTCTGAATTTCATGTCGCGCTTCTCCTCGAAGGTTCCGCTCTCCTCTGTAGTTACCATCTCGATGGACCTCTGTGCTCGCAACTGTGCATCTTTTTCTGGCTCTTGTTGGCCGCCCGCCGCGGCTGTGCCGGCGTCGGCGATTTCTACCTGCTCCCTCGAAGCGGGGGTATCAGGACCCGGCGCTGCAGCTTTGGCACGATTCATACGCGAGGCCAGAAGGCGCTCGCGAAGCGTGTTGAAATAGGTGTTGTCTCGCTTCGGGGCAGCAGCTCTAGTAGAAGTTGATGGCATGACCTCGGCCGGAGGCACAGCTGCTTCAGCAGCGGCAACTGTTGCTTGCGCATTCGCCTCGCCTGGTACGTCTGCACCAGAAGCAGCGACCTCTGATGGCGGCGGCGGGTTTCCTTCAGCAGCACGATGTTGATCAGGTTGCGCTTTTGCTTCCGCACATCTAGCCTTGCTTTCTTCCTCCGGACCAGCGTTGCCCTCGGAAACCTCGCGGGTTTTGGAAATAGAAGCAGGATCGGATGTCCCTTGCTCGTACTCCTTCTTAACATCGGTGCCCGGGTGTTCCAGATTATCGTTTGCAGTCATTTTCCCAGCCGTGGTCGGCGCACTTGCCAGCCGATGAGCTTGCGCTTTCCTTGCCTCACTCATTTCTTTGCTTGCTTCGTCACGATCCGAACTAGGTGCGGTAGCGGTCTGATGCGCGTCATTCTCCTCTGTGCCAAGGGCGCTCGCCGTCTTACGTTTCTTTGCTCTTTTTTCGCCTGAGGTTTCCTGGCCGTCCGCGTGTTGTACGTCATCATCGTCTACCTCTTCGGATTGCTTTCTCGATTGCTTTGAAATCTCCCCACTTTGTACTGCGGTTTTCATTGCCCTTGCCGCCTGCTGCGAGGAAGGTTTTGCGCTTTTCTTATGTGGAGCGGCGCTCCTCGAGGAAGACTTTGAATCAGCACGACTGTCATCTCGGTTTAGAAGCCTGCGCTTTTTGTCGAAATTTTGCGCTTTCGCCGACACCCCAGCCTTCTTGTCATTTGCAGACTTACGGCGCACTTCGGGGGACTGCTGCTTCGCGCCAACACTGCTGTCACTTCTGCGGCGGACTGCCCGCCGTCGCGTCAGGACCTCCGGGTCATCTCTGCGTTTCGTTGGAGCATTCTTTCCAACATCCCTTTCCAGCTTTTTAGCTTTGTTCCTTTCCCCAACAGATTCCGAAGCGGAAGACCGGTTTTCGGGATCAGAAGATGAGCTTGCAGGACGCTTTCGGCTTCTTCCTTTCTGATGTTTTGTTGGCTTTAGCACATGCACATCCTTTTTGTTTTGCTGCTTAGCCTGTGCCTGTCTTTCTTTTTGCTTGTGAACAACTGCTTGCGGCCTTCGCTCTTCCTTCTCCGAGGACGATGATGTTTGTTGCCGCGGCTTCCTTCGTTGTTGCTTGGGATCTGGTCGCCTGCCCTGCGAGGCCCTAGAGTTTCTTCTTGTATTCCTGTCTACTGCGGACGAGACCTTCTCTGCTGCCCGTCGTGTGGTCGTTTCCTTCAATGTTCTGCTTCTGCTACGCTCGCGCCCCATGCAAGACCGGCGCCCGCGAACTTTTTTCTCTGGAGCAGCCTTCGGAGACCTAGACCGTTTCGTTCTGCCGCCGGCGCGGCCTTCGACGGCGTCTCTTTTTTTGTGAGCGTTGCGGTTCCGTCCAGTCTTTTCGCTTTTTTGCTCTGGTGTGCTTCCACGTCGTGCTCTAGCATGCCTTTCGTTCTCTTCGTGCTCCATAGACGACGCTCTTCTCGCTTTCATCGTCGGAAAACCTTTCGCCTTTGTTCCCATCCTCCTACTGTTCTTAGTTGCAGCCGGAGCTTCAGGATCGTCAGACTCAGCTTCCGAGGCCGAGGAAGTGTCTCTACTTTTTCTGCGATTCATCTTTCTTCGTTCGCGAACCACGTTGCGTCGTGTAGCAGGAGCCTTATTTTTCCGAGAAACAATTGATGCATCGCTACTTTCCGGTGCTGAGGACGATGTTGACGATGGCCTGCTAGCAGCCCTTGTTCGCCTCGGTGGCGCTCGGTTTCTTGTCTCTCTCGCATCTGGCGAAGACCTCTTGCGCGGAGGCGGACGGTTCTTCATCTTATGTGCATCTTTCTGCACATCGCGACGAACAGGAAGATCTACTACACCATCTGTACCTCCTGCGCTCCTTCTCCTATCCCCCTGACACGCACCACGGTTTGGCGCGGGTGGGGGCGAAATCCGCCGAGCTTTCGTTTCCTTTTCCCGAACAACATGCTCCACGACCCTGCGCGCCTCGCTTGCTTGTTCCACTCTGTGAACGCCCGGTCGGTGTCGACCACGGGAGGGGGACGAGTTTTTGTCTTCATCCGACGACGCAGACGAGCGACCCGTTTCCGATTTTGATCTCGCAAGTCTGCGCCTATCTGGCTGCTTGTTCGGAGAACCTGAATTTCTTCGCTGCTGACCACGATTAACAGGCTGTTCCCGCCGCACTTCGGGCCGAGACGAGTCAGGCTGCTCTAGTATCTGTGCCGGCTTTTTTTCTCGCTGGTCCTTGTCTTTTTTTCGGCGCGCTGGCAGTGCATTGGCCTGCGCTGCCGCACCTCTAGCGGTAGTTGATGTCACAGCCGAGGTGGCATTATAGTTGCGATCTCGAGCAGCGACCCTGTTAAGAGCCTGTTTTCCGTTCCCAGAGTGCGCGTCGTCTGACTTGCTCGGTGCCGCAGTTGGTTGACGCAAGTCGCAGTCACCGCCTTTCCGAGACCGTTTCATCATGAACGTGGTGTGTGAGGCATACGATTTATTTACGTAAACGCAGTTCCGTCAAGAGAAGCTTTAGAAAACAGGTGCTGGCACGCCGCTGCTACTTGCTTCTTGCTTTTGGCCACGACAGAAGACTAAGCTCTTTAGCTCTACTTGGATCAGGAGCTACATGTTAATATCAGTCCGAATCCGAATGCTGCACTTCTGTGCCACGAAGCCAAGAGCTTGTGCTTGGCCTGAAACTGGTGTAGTTGACTTCAATGCAATACACTTTTGGATCCGCAGCTACGTCTGGTCACGAGCGAAAAGGACATGCACATGAAATCACGGTGAGAAGTCGAAGTGCCAAGCTCGAAGATTTTATACGAGATCGGATTCAGGTGGACGCTACTTCGTTATTTTGAGGATTTTTGACTGCGCGAAGGTGATCACAGCTTTCGATGCACGACATGTCGACTGATGTAAACGTGGCCTCAAGTAGAACAACACAGATTTTTTTGGCACCAGACAAAAAGAAAGTCGGACGGAATTGAGATCAATTGAGATTTTTCGTTCTTCTCTATGAATGAGCAGCTGAATCATACATGCACGAAAAGCAACAAAACGAGCTCGTCACGCTGTGCATTTTTTGCGATGAGGGAGGGGAAGAGCAAGCGTTTCTAGGGTGGAAATCGAACTTGTACTTCAGCTTCTAGTTGCAAGGACTTGTAGGAGTGACTGAGGCAAATTTCTGATTTCGGATTTTCTCCCACAACTGTGCCGCAGTCAGTTCTTTCTCAGCCGCACTCATGTTACGCCAATCGCTTGTTGGAAGAGTCAGCAAGTTATACCCTCGCTCCCGTAGATGCACGGCCTGGAGCCGGTGTCCGCCCGCGGGGAAGGTAGTTTGCGCTTTTTCATGTATCGACGAGCTTAAGGACCTGGACATCTCGTTTGTGAAAACCACGCCGGTGCGCAAACGGGGAAAATACAGGTCGACGGTGTAGGGAGTGTCTTCGAAGTAATACTGCAGGACAACTTCCGAAGGCGCGCCGAGGAAAAAGTCTAGGTCAGGAAGAGTTTTTATTTCCTCGCCGTGGCTCATGCTCACATCGCCTCCGTTCTTGCTCGCCTCTTCGGCACTGTTTGCTTCTGGAAGTATTACAGAGCGGTCTGGATTGAAACCACCAGCTGGCAGGGACTTGCCATTTTTACTAACCGCCTCATCTGCCTGTCTTTGTTTCGCTTGTTGGACCAGCAGGCCGCACAGCTCCTGTGCCAACTCGCTGTTGTCCGTACGGTGAAGGCTCCAGGCGCGCAGCCCTTCGTTCAAACAGCGCGACGGCAGCTGCGCATCCAAGTGCGGGAACTGCAGGCACTGCGCGAGAAAAAGCGTAAACACCTTCCGCTTCTGCCTTTCCCATATGGTACCTTGTCCAATTTTCTGGAACAGAAGGCGTAAGAGGTACTTGTATCGCTGGATTTTTTCTCCCCCGGCGGATGCGAGAAAAAATGTCGCGTCGATCGCACCTTGCTCCGTGACCAGGTCAACGTGTCGCTCGACGTAGAGAAGCAAGGGCGCTATGTGACTGTCTAGGGCCGCTTTGCAAGCGGTCGACTGTATGTCAAATACAGAAGTTCCTCTAGAGTTGTCAACGTTCTTACCAGGCGCAGCAACATTGTGAGCACTTCCGCCTTGGACCGCTTCGGATGTGGTCCAAGCACCGAAATAGCCCACAGTTTCCAGCAAGCCGCAGGCCATATCTGGCCGAATCGAACGTGTCCTCCTTCGATTTTCCACTCGACACGCAAAACCGGCGACACGTAGGACACCGGAGGATAGCCGCGGCATGCAGATCCCAATTTGTCGCAGCGCGCGGACGCCCTTGCAGTACTGAGAAAGCAGCGAATAATCCTGTTTGCCCTGGTGCACGATCATTCTGCCTAGGGGCTGGCTCTCCAAAAAAGGCAGCAACACCTTCTCGCCCAGGAGCCAGCAGCCTCGTTCCACGTGCCGCGGCTGTGCGTGCTTCGTGCAAGCGACCAGCAGCCGTGAGGCCTGCTCGATGGAGATTTCGCTTTCAAACTCAGAATGCGCATGGAAACGTGATGGTAGCTCGGTCTTCCCATCATCTTCATCAGCCTCGCCTAGTATTTGAGTTATTCTGCTATTGACCAAGCGAAAGATGACCGCCTCATAGGCATCCAGATTCGCGTAGAATTCGGCTATTCTCGTTAGGTTTTCCATGGAGCACGTCACGAGCTCCCGTTGGAAAAGAGCGACACAGTTCTGGTAGAACCGGTTGCTTCCGTAATATCCGCACCACTGAAAGTTTTGCAGCAATGCGATCGCCGTCGGGGTATCGTTGTGCGGAAAGGAAGGATTATCATCAGCTATAGTAGTGTGATCAGGAAAAGATACCATGGGAGCTGTATCAAGTTCGATTTTTGCGACCTGCTTCCCAGCTTGCTCCCAAGAAGAAAAACTAAGACTCGGACTTGCCACACTCCCGCGCCCCAGCACCCCAAGCATCCGGCTCCATAATGGCAGCGGTCGGTGGTCGAGCGAGCGCAGCGCTGTTTGGATTGCGAGGATCGCGCTCGCGTGCATCTTTGGGACGTGGTCCCTGAGGTCACGCAACAAAAGTTCAAACCGGTCGTCGCGCAGAAGTCGGCTGTGGATCTCGGGCGAGTACTCGTTGATTTTCCTGTCGTGTAGCGTTTTGGTAACTTGTGCGTTGCTCAAGAAATCCACGTCATACTCAGATCGCACTCTCTCCGCGCCAGTCATCTTTCCGAGATTCGACAGCTGCGTTAACGCCGTTACAAGATTGTGCACAAACAGCACGCCGCGATGGGAAACGAGGAGAGAGAGAATGTCGTCTAGCGTTGCGGCCCTTAGAAGCAGCGCGTCCATCTGCCGACAAATCGGATTGGCATACAGAGTGACAACTGCTGGAGAGGAGTTTTGCACGTCCACAGTCCCTTGCTGGTTTGAGTCCATACCCCCGTGTTGCCACGTCAGCGGTGCTTGCACTAGCTCATTCTTCCGCAGAACGTCGGCTGTGTCGACGTCACCATGCACTCGCTGCTCCTCCATCCTCAGCGCTTGCGTCTGGTGAAGACCAACTCCTGCATTTTTTTGCGGGGACAGCAGGACGTGAGAGGGAGCGGCAGGGGGCACGTCGGCTCTTCCTCTTCCGCTTGCGGACGCGTTGCGCAAAAAAAGTCGCTGTGCCTGTCGCCGCAGGGACGAAGAAGAGGCGACTGCGCAAACAAAGATACAGCTCCCGCTTTTCTGATCAGGCTGATGACGAATTCGCGCACACCCACGTTGCGAAACACTCCCTATGATGTTGCTGCCGGCAGCCGCAGTCGGCCGCCGCGCTCCCACGCCAAAGCTCCCCATAGCTGTTGGCTCTATCAGCACAGTGGCCATTTTGCAAACGGGAAGTTTTTGAGGTTTTCCATTGTTCGATACATGTTGTCGATCAACATCTGATTCGTGCAGAGGACCTGCTGGCTTCACTTGACCTACAATAGCGCCTTGCGTCTTCTGGGTTTGCACATCTCAAACGAGATCATACTCAAAGTCCGAGTTATTGGGAACGAAGGAATGAAACAAAGAAAGGCTACGCGCCTGCATTTGCGCAACCGCTGGTATGCCGAACCAATACCAGAGTCGTAACACCAATACCAAAACAGACAAGCTATGCGAATGGACATGTCACGGTTGCTAGTACATAGAACACAGCCGTAAGATAGAGGAGCGCGGACGAAGGCCACCGGGTCGGCTGGCTAGCTTTTCTCCTTGCGTAAATAGTAATGCGCAGCCGTCTGCTGGTGCTGGCTGATCCGAAAACAGCGAAGAGGCCCACATGCCATTTGAACATGCCATGGCCTGCGAGATAGCCAGCCTGCCAACATTCCGGCGGGGCGGGGCGACGGGCAAAGAGGGCGGCGCGCGCACGCAAGAAAACCAAAACCAACTGGGGCTGCCAATGAGTCTGCCGCGCCCGCGCCTTCTGCCCCCGGCGCGAACGCCGAAAAAAAAACGCAAGCGCCGGGGGGAGACGCAAAAACGGCGGGCCAGCATAGATATGGCCGCGGGTAAATAGGCCGGGTGGGCGTGGACTGGAGAACCAACAAAAGGCGCGGCCGGCCCACCTCCTCCCAACCCTGCTTGATTGCTCCTTCCTTACAACCATAACGGGGGGTCTGTGCTAAACTTTGCAGAACTTTTCAAAAACTTTTCGAAGACTTTGAATTTCCCGCCGGCCTGCTCGTCAAAGAAGCTGCCGCGCAACTTCGTGGCCAATGACTGCACGGCCAACACGAGATCGAGCCCCAGCATGCCATCGCGGTTCCAGTGTGACCGATGGGGTCCCGCGCTTTTCGTGGGTGCCCAGTTTGCGCACTCCGCCGCAGTGAAAAACGCCCGAACCTGAGAAGGTTGAGGCAGCGCCGAGCTTGGTGGCTCAGCCTGCAACACCGGCGGGCTTCCTGGTCAAGGCAAAAGACCGAAAAGATTTGCTTTCTGTTCGTAGATAGTATCAAAGAGGGAGGCCAAACATCAAAAACCCCAACAGCTTGACTCAGCGAACCCCCTCCATCGCAAAAGTGCCGGCATTGGCGAAACATAACAAAAAACACCACCAACATAATTAACAGCGGCGCCGGAACAGTGCTGATTTTGGCACGGCGGTATGGTGGAGGCCAAAAAATGCAAGCTCTTACAGTGCTACCTCGGTGAGCCCGAAACGAACCCGAAAAAACTTTTTATCTGGCCGCCCTTCCCGAAGCTCCCCGCTGCTGCTTCTGCTTGAATCCGGCACCGTTTTGGTGCCCCATGTGCAAGCTTTTGGAAAGTTTTCCAGCAGTTTTTTTTTCCAGAATCAGCTCGGGAGTTTTTTTTTGAAGGTCAGGAAAGTGGCGCCATGCTGTCGGTTTCTTCTGATTTTCCAGATATAGCGAAAAAGCGCAAAGCAAACTTTTTGAAATGGGCGCAAAGGTCGCGCCTTGCCTCAGAATTTGAGCAAAAGTCGAGAGCTCGCGCGTTTTACCCTACGCCGCGCCGCCGTGCATAGATAATGCTACCGCCAGCGGTATTCTTCGCATGTAAAAAAGTATACAGTTGCCCACCCCGGCTCCGGGTCCAAACCTATGATCACGAAATCAAGCCGAGAAATAAGTGTAGCGATGCCCCGTGATCCAGTATCATACTCCGACTCCAGCTCTTCCAGAGTCTAGCACTAAACTCAACTTCTAGCTTTTCCGTCATCGCCCAAGCTATTTGCACTACCAAAAAACCCAAAAGCTTGACTCAGACGCAAAAGCGCCGGCATTGGCAAAACATAACAAAAAAACACCACCAGCATACCATCGGCGCTGGAGCAATGCTGACTTTGGCACGGTGGTACGGCGGAGGCCAAAAAGTGCGACTTTTTTGCTGTGCTATTTCGGTGAGCCCGAAACGAGCCCGAAAAAACCCCGAAAAAACTTTTTTTCTGGCCTCCCTTCTTGAAGCTCCCCGCGGCGGATTCTGCTTGAAACCGGCACGATTTTGGTGCCCCAAAAGAAAGTTTTTAAAAAGTTTTTTAAAAGTTTTTTTTTTCGGGAATTAGCTCGGGATTCGTTTTTTCGAGGACCAGAAAAGCGGCATCATGCCATCGGTTTTGGTTTTTCACATATAGCCCAAAAGTGCAAAAAAAAAACTTTTCAAAATGGGCGCTCAGGTCGTGTTTTGCCTCAGAATTCGAGCAAAAGTTGAAAAAGCGCGCTTTTTTGCCTACGCGGTGCCGCCGTGGATAACGTTACCGCCCACGTTATTCGTCGCATGTAAAGTATACAACTTTTCGCCCCGGCTCCGGGGTCCAAACCTATCACGAAACAGGACGGCACGCCGTTCAAACGCGTAATAAATTAAAAATCTGCTGAGGGGATTCCGCCCGCGATTCACGTGTGACCGACGGCAGCGCGCGCGCCTTTTATCGGTCAGCGTATATGACCACGAAACGCGACGGCACGGCGCCAAAAAGACTACAAAACCTGAGCCGTGAGCTTTGCCTATTTCGCAGGCAGTGCCACCCTGCTTCGTGTCTGGGTAGCGCTTCTTTTGTACTTTTTGAAGACTCAGCATTCTCGCTCCTTTCTGGCGGCGTGCCGCCGTGCCTGGGGTCAGCACAGGCGCCAAAAAGGTAACAGAAGTCAGAGCTTGCTTCTTCGGCTGCGCCGCTTTTTCTTGTGGAGTTTACAAACGTACGCAACGCGGCGCAGGGGCGCACCCCCTGGACCTCTCCAGACACGCCTCTCAAGGCCGGCGCGCTGCGCCTGAGAACCGAGGCCCTAGGCCCTAAGCCCCAAACCCTAAACCAAAACCCAAGCCCTGCGAAAAGGAGGAGGGCCAAGCCCTAAACCCTAGACCCTGCCAGGCGAAAAGGAGGAGGGCTGGCCCCGGGTGGGGGGGTGGCCACCCAAGTGCGTTTGTCCCGCGGTCAAATAAACAGCACGGCCAACCGAGTGCGTTTGTCCCTAGGCGAAACGCGAAGGGGTGGATCAAAGCCTTGTCATGCGTGACTACATATATCAAGGACGCGGCCCTGTTTGGGCGGCGCGCGACGCTGTTCAAGCGCGCAAGAGATTACAAGTCTGCGGAGAGTATTCCGCCCGTGGCTCACGTGTGACCGACGGCAGCGCGCGCGCCTTTTATCGGTCAGCATATATGACCACGAAACACGACGGCACGCCGCCAAAAAAGGGCGTCGGACCTTGGTGGTTTCGCGTCATCGCTTTTCTCTGTTTTCAAAAGTTTTCGAAAAGTTTTCAAAAAGTTCTGAAGCCGATGAGTAGACCCCCCGTTATGGTTGTAACTTCCGCCATGCCGGCGAGCCAGATCCCGGGACCCTCCCATCCCCGGTGGCCGGCGGGCAAGAGATAAGGGGGGCGGGCCACCCGGCGAAGCTAGCGCCGACCGGCGGGCGCCATCATGGGCCCGGCGACCCTGCCCGATTGCCTTGCGTGCGTGGCGCGGGCCCGCGCCAAACTCGCGGCGCGCGCCCGCGCTTTCATCCCTTCGCCCGCTCGCCCCGATGCCGTTCCTCGGAGACATTGACATGCGAAGGAGGGCCCTCGGCCGGAACAAATACCGCCCGCCCCCCTGGCCCCCCGTTCGTACCTACGCCCCCGGCCGGCGGCGCGCGCAGCGCGGGGGCGGCCAAGGGGACGGCTCCGCGCCCCCCGCCCCCCCGCTCCCGCTGCGGCTACAATAGCCCGGGGGGGCGGCCCCTCCGCTCGGGGCCTCGCCCGCCGCGGCGGACCGGCGGCCCAAAGGGCCCGGCCGGGGGAAATACCGTGGGCGCCGCGTAGGGGCACCGGGGCCCCCGCCGCCCCCCGGCCCGGTTGCTAGCGCCGGGCCGCGGGGGCGGGCCAGGCAGCCGCGCGGCACAGAGGCCACAGCTAGAAGATATAGATAGCGCGACGGGGCGGCGCGGGGTCCTTCAACATGGCCAGCCGCCGCCGCGTTTCTGATCCGGATGGGGAATGCAGCGAGCCTGTCTGGAAGCGTGGCGCCGGCGGCTCCGGCGTGCCTTCGTGTTGCGCCAGGATGCTCATCGGCCGGGGCCAACTGCCCCGGCACAGAAACAAAAGACGCCCCCCTTGGCAAGCAGGAAGGCGGGCGGGCGCGGGCGAGATGCGCCCGAAGCGCTACCCGCGCGGGGCGCGTGGGCGCGCGAAATTTATCCGGTTCCCGCACCCGCCAGATGCGGAAAACACAATGGCCAACACCCGCGCCGCTACGTTCTCCGGGACTTGATGGGCCGCGCGTCACAGCTGAAACGAACCTGCCCGCCTGCGTATCTGCGTGAAGATGCTGTCACGCTGCTCGGTAGATGTCTCGCCCGACTCTCCCTAGAATGGCTTGAACACAAAGAAAAGTTGAACAAGATTTGACTCTTTAGTTCCTTCATACTTTTGGAGATTGATGAAGCTTGCCCTTGTCAGTGGCTGAGAAAGTGCCTGCGTCTGCGTCTTCTAGGAAGATTTTGAATCCAAACCAACGTCGCTCGCTTGGGATTCAATGCAGGTCGACGTTGAGCGAGAGACTCCAATTACAACTTCGGTAATGTGTCAGTATGCTCGCTTGAGTTCATTATCAAAAGTTCCTCGAGGTAGTCTGCCTTTCTATCCGTTAACGTTACCACGGCGAAACCGTTGCACAAAAAGTGGCTAATACTATTGACCAATACGGTACAAGTTGTTCTAAAAATAAAGTCTGTCCGTCTCCTGGTGTAAAAAAAGGCGGAAACGCACACGGCCCGCTCGTTTTTGTGATACCAATGCTCACGGCTGCATGCGTAGCCTGACAAGAAATCCCTAGCCATAGTCGGACTAGCCGGACAAAAAAATCGTGCGTGCAAAGTAACTTCTTGTGGTCTCGCATGGGAAAATTGTAACATCGACTTGTAAAAAAAAAGAAATCGAGAGGTCAACAAGCCCCGACCATGTAACTATGACTCTCTGGCGCAAGAGCTTGAGATTGACACCAGAAAACATATCTATTTCGGGTGCTGTCTATTTTCGCAGAGTACAACCAACCAATATCGTATATAACACAGTGAATGACATATCGTAAAAGTAAAGGCGTTTGAAGCTTGAAGAAGAAAAAATCAGTACTACATCTTTTTGGTCGAAAAATAGATGAATCAATGCTATCGTAGTGTGACAGTGACTATTACAACTTCACAAAAAAGCGATCTAGATGCTCTTTTAGGTAATCATGACGTCGTGCTGGAAATGAACAAGGGGTCATGACTGTGATCTTTGGCGTGATGAAAAAACGGCGTATGTTAGTTCTTACTTTTAGGATCACGACAAGCTCTATGAGCGCCGGGGGGCTTCCGTTCGATTATAAGTGACGTTCACGCTCTTGTAAGTCAAAAACGGGGTGGGGGCTCAGGTTCAGGAAGATCAACATGTGTGTACGAGTACTTTTTCTTCCTTATGGCATCTGAAGTTTATTTTTCTTTTACCAATTTCATCGTACACCATCCGCCACGTAGATTCCTTCTAACTGGAGGGGCGTTCCCCCGCAATGGTATCGTACATCACGCAGACCGCGGTGATGTTGTCACAGCTGCCGTGCAGGGCGGCGTTGACCAGGGCCTCGGACGGGTTTTTTCCCTCCAGCCAGGCCTTCATGGAAACCCGGGCGGCCACGTCCGCCGTCATCACGTCCCAGAGCCCGTCACTGGCCAGCACGAATCCTGCAAATTGCCGCTCCCGCTTGGTGCAGTTCACGGTGGGGTCGCCGATCAGACCGAAGGGTTTCAAATCCTTGCCCCCGAAAGCGCGGGAGTACTGCAGCTGCATGGGAGACTCGCCTAACATTTTTCTCTGCTGAAAATCACCACCGCGTATGAAGGGCTTGTTCTGTTTTATTTTTTGTCGCGGGAGACTGAAACAAGTAACTTCTCCCCCTGCAACTACAGCAGTGGCAACGATCTAAGCAATGCAAGTGTCTCTATCTTGTTGGTCTTCATGATGGAGACACAATGACCATCTTCACCTGTGACAGCTTACCACTATGATCATGGGAACATCATCATGGTCATGAATGGAATAAAAGAGAAAGCTCAACATGAGTCGTACCTGGTGGTTATGCAAATATTCTACGCTGCCTCCGGCAGCTTCGATTCTGGCCCTCTCCTCTGCCTGGTCCGGCTTATGGTCCTGGGTGACAAAGTTGCCTTCCACTAACTCATCGACTTTGCTTGCCGGGATGCTATCCGTTCTTATTGACCCGCTCGCAGCAAATCGCGCGTCCACCACGTAACCTACACCCTCCTTGCTACCTGCGATTTATTCGGTGCAACAAGTGTAAAAAGAATCGACGTCTACTTAATAGTTCCACATCGCCTTCGCAGCATCTACGAGAAACCTTTCGAAACACAGCTCCATTTGGTTTTTGAACCATGCCATCATGAACCTTAACCTTTGTGCGACCTCCACTTCTCAGTTGACGAAAATGGAAACTGGATTCTTCAAAGCTTACGGAGAAACAAGAACGATTCATAAAAAAGACCTACCTGTTTTGGCTACCCCGGTCTTTTCGTCGCCTGACTGTTGCACTGGATTGCTGTTTTCCGACTGCGCATCGGTGTCCGACGAGGGTACGGCAGGCACGCCCTTGATTTGTTTCAGGTTCTCGTCCGTCACGTAGATTAAGCAGATGCGGGAGTCCCCCAGGTGACCGACGCAGATGTGGTCCTGCCACAGCAGTAGGGTCACAGACGTGCTGGCAGCGTAGTGTTTTTCATTTTCCCCACACCGCCGCAGCAACTCCTCGTCACTTCGGTGATACATTTTTCGCATACTCCGCTTCAACAGGTCCACTGCTTCCTCGTGATTCACAACGTCCGTTGCGTTCTCCAACTGCGTTTCATCATGTTTGGCTTTGGGATCAGTGTCGTCATGCAAATGAAGATGCATCAAGCAGAACAAGCATGTCCGGGAACACTTTGTGCATGCGTATGCATTCGTATGATTCATCTCATTGTACCATTACTATTTTACATTTTTGCATGTGCACAAAGCATGATCGCGACATACAAACAACCAGGAAAAATTCTCAAACCTGCTTGTATTCTGGAGTGGACCGCAGCATTGGCACCACGATGTCTTTTACGTTATTGCTCGCGAAGTCACCCACTGTGCCGTCAAAAACACCGAAAAAAGCCGCATTCTCCAAATGTGGCGCCACTTTGGGACACACCACAAATCGGTCTTCCTGTGAGATTGATATTCGTGCGAAAATGAAAAAGTTAAAGGAAATCATGCTGAATATTAAGTTGAATGCATAAATGAAAATGTTTCGGAGAACAAGTTAAGGTTTCCGCTTGCTGTCGGCCACGGCGATTCTTCATGCTGTTCTAGGACGATCCGTACCTGGCTTTTCCTTCCCCCGATCACCGTATGGAGTGTAACTGTTGCGGGAACGCCGGGAAAGCGCTTCACCCATGTGGGCCCGCTTGTTATACATTCTGGTCCAGCTGCTGCCATGGTCGACGTCTAAGAAACAACCTCGTCCACCCGCGTGTAAAAAGCAATCAAATGCAACTTTAATTTTCTCCGCGCCAAGCAAAAACTACTATCGGTTGATTTGTGTGGTACGTTGCACCAAGTTCGTATATTTCCAAGAACGATCAAAATGAACCTCTTCCACTACCACTTCCGCGTGGTGCCAGAGGAAACATAGGAAGATTCCTTTCGTTTTTGATATAATTGGCTAGTACTCGTACTCAAACTCGTTAAGCTAACTTGTTAATTGACCAGCTGTACAAGGAAATATTGTTCTGAAAGAACTCTACTAGACGTTGTCATACTCACGACATTGAAAGAGAAAGAGCGGTGCACATGCGTCAGTTGCACCAATCCTCCAAAAATCCAGAATTATGACGCTTTGGTAGAAAGTGAAAGAAAGTTTGCCTTTTACTGTTTCAGCATCCTACTTATTGTCAAGAATCACAAAAGAACTCCCTGGTCGGTAATTGGTTTCTGTTGTGTCTTATCCGTACGAGAGTGGTGCTACCTACACGACAAATAGGCTGAAATTTCTTCATCCCGACAAAGGGTGTAAAGAGAAGCACTGGCTACTTTTTTAGACGCTTGAAGTTGAACTCTACCTAACCATACTACTGGAGGACCGAAGTGCAATGGAGAGCGCACACCGCCGGGAAAGTCGCTGCAGGTAATTTGAGTGCTTGAATTTTTCTTGTTTCGGAATCTCTCGTTAAAGGTGTGTGCGCAATTTGCAGTTTGACAAGAGTGGGCAACTTTGAATTGGCATGCTTGCTCGTCTCTAGCAAGACCCAAGACTACCAAGCAGGGAATAGCTAGCGAAGAACAAGCTTTGCCAAAAAGCACACCCGATTACAGGGCACCTGGCAAAATCAAACGGCGTCCATCGACAAACTCTCCGAGGCGTCAGTGATTCAACATATCATTCGCGATCTCAACAACATCTTCTGGCCTCCCCACACACAATCGGAAATGGAAATGCCGTACTTCTTTTTTTACATCTTTGCGTGAATGTCAATAAGCTGGCGACCATAGCTGCAATACATTGTGGTAAGCAGAAGGAACTAGAGTTAGAGGTGGAGCTGCTTTTGTCAATCAATTTTTCAATTATTACATTCGTAAGTCTCCGCCGCGTGCCAGGTAAGTGTTGTACATGTTTGCCAAAACAATTGGTATCGATCGTTAGGTGTCCGACAGAGTAGAGAAATAAGTTGATACTAGAAGTGCTTCGCAAACGATTTGCAGACGGACTGTGTAGGGCAATGCAAAGCTTTAGAAGTAGTAGATCCGCGTAGGTCGCGCTCGCTGATTAATTTCAGTTTATTTGGCGTACAGGTACAGCAACGAGTTTCTTGTACAAGTATTTTGAACAATTTTTCGAGCCTCAAAGATACAAATGATAGAGTTGCTAACATCACGTATACGTTTTTCGAAGATGACGCAGCACAACGATGCGAGTTGACTGGGACTTAAGTGGAATTACGCTTTTACTCAAATTAATTTTGGTATCCAATTGTTTCAAATTCAACATATTTTCCTGTACATAGGTAGGTGAGTCGTAAGTTACATAGTTACAGCATATCGATTCAAATTTCTAATTATTTCTCGAGAAAATGCAAGCTATACCTTTTCTAAGTTAAGTAAAAAATCTTAATTCTTCCTCGTGAAAACTTTGAGCTTTTGGTTTTCCTTTTCGCCCCTGCCCGACGAAACATCCTGCTGTCATTCTCGTCACCGTGGAAATGAGTTGCACTCGATGTCCACTGTTGGCGCCGGTTCGGGGCGCAACTGGGGGTGGGGACAGAGAAGTGTGCTGGTAATGACGAGCTCCACCCGGTGCGCCGGGAGTGGGCACTTTCGCATTTTTCTGGTCTTGGAAAACGCAGTTTTTGGAGATGAAGCCGATGTTGTGCCGGAAGATGAATTTTCATCTTCTTCGCCCGTGCCGCTAGACTCCTGTCTTTCTTCCTCTGTGAAGTCCAACGCGGCGTCGAGTTCTTTTAATCGTCTCTCGTACTCATCCTCCAGAAGCTCGTCCTCGGTTTTGTTGCTCGTTGTATTAGTATTTGACGTTTTTACTTCTGCAGTGGAGTTCTTTGCGTCAATATTTTCAATTTCTGTTCCATTTTTGCTCATCATCGCCATTCCATTACCATTGCTCTCCTCGTCACCCGACATCACTGCTGCAGACGTGGCGTCTTCTTCGGAAACAAGAAGACTTGCGTCATTGTCGTAGGAGGCGATTGTAGAAGGAGAGCCAGCAGGAACATCTTGATGAAGGTTTAATCCGGCTATGTCGGTGATTTTAAAAAATGGATGCTCCTCGGATGTGTTCTTGTCCTCCTCCTCATCCTCGACCCAATCCGGGGCGAAGATCACTTGCCCGGGGAAATCGCCCAGAAATTCCTCGGACAGCTCAAATCCGTCCGTGATGAACGCAATGTGCGTGTGCGATCCGGTTTCTTCCGTAACTCTCTCGGGAAACAACGGGCAGACGAAGTAGATTGCGGACCCGGGGCAATCGGTGATTTCGTACCGCAAGGCCGGGTGTCGGTTGATCGTGTGTCGACTCCTGCCTAAGTTAGCTGCCACCATGTTCACACCGCCAAAGACCTCCCCGTAGGAATGCTTTCCACCGCCCGCGGAGCCGCCACCACCAGACGGCGGGTTTCCGATGCGGGAGGAGGAGCGGCGGAGTAACAAATGCCTGGGAAGAGACTCGATGATGGTCCCGGACTCCTTGTTGTAAGGCACCACGTACAAGCGGTTGTCGAAAACCAGTTTCAGGCGCGTGAAAAAACTTGCCGCGATGATTTTCCGCTCGAACGCGTCCGCCGCATTCTCCACCGTGGCTTTGATGGGCGTGTCGATCCCGGAGAGTAACTGCCCCGCGTGGATGTGCTTGCAGCAGACCGGGTGGGTCAGCTTTGCCACGACCCGGTAGCGGTGCTGCTCTCGCTTCAAGCTGCCAATGTCGTCCTCGTCCGCAATGTCGGCGATAGCTTCGATTTCCGTGATGTTCAGACCGCTGGTACTACTTTGTGCATTGGTCGTGGATGATGTACTTTCATCATTTTTCGTTTCATCGACGACCACAGAAGCGGTTGTATCAGTCGTCTTCGCAAGGACCTGATCCTGATCCGCAATGAGGTCCAAGTAGTAGAATTGGGCGCTTCCCGAGCCGCAGAAGCACTGCACCTCCGCGCCGACGCGGTCTGGTTCGGATCGCGGGTGCGCATTTTTTCGATGCGTGTAGAACAGCTGCGAATAGTAGTATTCCCCGGGATTTTCGTAGGTAAGCCCTTGCGGACTATTCGGCGCTTCTTGTTCCGCGGTACTGTCATTCGCGCTGTTCTCAGTCCCCGAACTGCTGCTGCTTTCCTTCTTGCTCTTTTCCTTGTTTTCTACGACGAGTTTCAAACGTTGGTACGAACTGATCATACCTGATGCGCCGCGCTGTGACGCAGATTTTGATTTCACTGGCAGTTCGGCATCGAGGTCGTCGCGAAACGCACCGAAATGGATGCTCTCCTGCGAACGCATGTCTGTCGCGGTGAAGCCCTCGCCAAAGCACACACGGTAGTGGATGTCCGCATTTGGTGCCAACTGCAGATTCTGACAAAAGTGGTTCAGCGAAAGCCACCGCTGGCGGAGCAATCTTTCGGGTTTCGGCAGCGTGGAGAACTTCGGTAGCTCAAATTTCGGGCGACACATGTAGCGATCGGGGACCGTCAGGGAAGCCTGCAGATCGGACGAAGTGTCGCTGGACGACGATGTTCTTGATGACGATGAAGCCGTGCCTGTTTTTTTGTTTATGATTATGAAATTCAACTCCATATTAGAATATGTCTCAGTGTCTCTTTCTCACTTCAACTGTTTGGAACTGATACCATTCTTGACAGACACTTATAGCCCCTTGACCAGCAGCAGCAGGCATCACGAAGCAAGTAGATCTGATACTTGGATGCATGCCGCCAGGAATGTACGGCCGACCATTCCGTTGTTTGCGAATTTCATCGATGGCCTTCTGCGCTTCAATCTCCTCCTGCTCTAGATCCTCATCGAGATCTTCGAGAGCAGGCACTTGCTCCGGCGTTACTACTTTTGCTCCAGTTTCCGTTTCTGTTGCGTCACCAACAGCATCTACAAAGACAACCGTGGGAATCGGCTCCTGCTCTACTTGGTTCATTTCCGCGTCCACTACCGGCACTTTTGCTTTGGTACTTGCAACATCTTCCGCATTCCCCACTAGCACGTCTGCGTCCACTTCTGGCATTATGGTAGCCTTGATGTTTTCAGCCAGCTCGGGAGCCAGCGTTGTCGTACTGGTTACATTCAAAATTGTGTCCACAAGAGCGGCGGTTGACAACGCACCAAGCTTTGCGGGCGTCCTATCGCGATAGTTGTTGTAGTTCGAACTTCTTGCCGACACGGTTTCGGTTGTTGAGGATCCTGAAGTAGATGCTCCAATTCCTTCATCATCGAGACCAAATGGCGCCGCCGTCGCGCCACTAGGAGGTGCGGTGGAGGACGTTTTTTTAGCTGCTGACGCCGTTGTTCCGAAAGCGTTGGACGAGGAAGAAGCGCTGGACTCGACCGGAAGGATGTTCAAGCTACCATGCTGCTCTAGCTCGTCTGTTGTCATGTCGTCATTGCCATCAGCCCCTGTCCCCGAAGTGGTTGTTGTCCTTGCTGGTGGTTGCGGTTCTTGTTTCTCATTCTCCTCCTGCTCGTGGTCGGAAGCTCCGCCGGAGGAGGAATCCGAATCAGCTGGCACCGCATCCACAGTTACGGATCTTCCTCCGGTTAGCTCGTCGGTCGTGGTCGTTACAGTGACGGTGAAGGACTGCGGCTGGGGGTGCTGTTGATCAGGAAGAACTACTTCCGCAGTTGTTTTATTCTCTCCACCCTCCCCCACTGAACCAAATTTGCTTTCTGCGCTAGCTGCGGCGGCAGCTAAGGTCAGCGCGGACGTAGTCGTAGAATTTGTCGTTGTAGTGACCACAGGATCCACCTTTCCTGCCGGCTGCTCACTCGCCGCTCTTGCAGCTGCTTTTTCCTCCCGCCGTTTTCTTCTTTTCTCTTTTTTTTGCAGGAAGTGCTCTTCGGATTCTTTTTGCAAGGAGTGCAGCATCGAAATTTCCTCTTCATCCGGCACTCCAGCGAGATCACGGTTTGATGTGCTAAGAAACGAAGAACGACCGCCAAACATCATCACAGGCACGGCCCAGGACTGCGTTGCCGTCGTGGATGAAGACCCATCGGCATCCATTTCATGATGCTGCTGGTGCCACTGACGTGTTTCCTCGGGAGGATTCCTGTCCACCTCATCGTATAGTTTTACCACGTGGCGTCTCGCTGACGAGAGGATCGTAGGCCCAGAAGATGCAGGTAACAACAAAACCCAGTTCCTCATTTTCACGGTTGATTTTTACCCGGTCGGGTAGAAGTTGCACAATGTGAATCGTCGACGTGTTCCAAGTCGTTCTCTGCGGTTCGTTGCAAACTTCTTTTAACCAACACCAAAAAAACCAACGAATTTCAACTTGATATCGAGGTCTATCGTATGGTGACAAGACGCTAAATGTAAATTCACGATTCAGATAAACAGCAACATTCGGAAAACCAAGCTGCACTCGCTCATCCAAGCGCTAGCAAATCGTCGATCGATATTCGCTTCGTGTTCATTCGAGCAAGCACACGATGCGATAGAAGACGAAGAACGACTGATATTTCAGACGAATAAATTAGCGCCCCAATAGAAATAGTACGGTACTAGATCTTTCATTTTCTATGCGTCCGAGAGCCAAAATTCGAGCTGATCTTCGCATGATCACGACGAACACGAAATTTTATTTTCCTGCGAGACCATATGGAAACCGGAGTAGTGCCTTCCCCTTCCCTCCTGTGTTTGGTTTTCATATTCACTTCACCTCTTTGTCTTCTTACCGACGGACAGACTACTTCGTACAAGATTGTAGCTTTTCCTCATCCTCTTCGAGATGCGAGATGTTCTTCGACAGCATTTGTACAGACTCGGACTCGGGGGCGATTCATTCAGTTCGCTTGTACTAGGAGCATTGGCTGTCGTGATACTTCGTTTCCTATTCTGTCGCTTTTCGACTAAAGTGTGAAGAGTTTAAAACGAGCTTCTGGAAGGTAGAAGAAAAAAATCAAATACAGAACGTAGCTGGCGCTACGCTTTACCAAAGGGCTGTAGGTCGTGGTGTCAATCTTAGGGTATAATTAGCGTACTATCAATCGTCCTTCATGCCTCTTCTACTCCGATGTCGTAAATATTGAAATCGTTTGAAGCCTGCAGCGTTCACGGAAAATACTCGACAGTCAGACTGCATCTACGAGAACAGATTCTCTTGGTGCAAGCACTTGTAGCACTGGAGAGAGAAGTACACTGCAGGCGGTCAATGATCAACTAAAAATGACTTGTACACTGCACACCTGCTTGAAGGGATTGTGGTACATCTGTGAGCGTAGGGTGGCCGCGCGCGCGCGCGGGTGAAACCAAGCGAAAATCAAATACTTATCAAAAGGAGGATTCACAAGAAGCCCAACAAAGAGGTGATGATATGATATACAGCCTTTCACATTCATCTATCACCTGGATAAAAGAATGCAGAAACTGTGAATATTATCTCATACTGTCAAGCGTGTATTGAAACTACAAGAGGTGACGCTGACTCAACAAAACCTCGGTAGAACTACCTTCGTCGAGATCAGATCAACACCTGCTACTAGCGAGTGAGTATAGGAGCGCATCATAAAACTTGTTTTCGTGTGTTGCCAACATCCTCGATGCTAGCGATGAAAAAATGGAAAAAGTGAGCGCGAGCGCGTGCGCTATAGATGATGAAAATAGTGTGCGATACAGATAGAAGTTTGATTCTTGCGTAGCAGACCGCAAGTACAATAAGCTCAGATAGCTAGTCCTAGTGGATACAATATGTACCGGTTAGTGTCTGTGATAGCATTGGGAGGGGAAACAGGTTGTACTTAAGTCGCGCCATTGTCCTCGTTTAAACGCAAGACAAAAAACTCTCAAACTAACGCCCGCTGCATGAAGTGCTTGCGGGGGTGAGAAGTGTTCTTGAGGAGGCAGGAACGTGACTACTCGAACCCTTCAAATATTACTGCGTCGCGGATGGGGAAAAAATTGGTATTTTGATGGTTGTCATTGTCGGCTGCGTGGAGATGACAAGAAACTTCAGAATAGATGAAGTAGTCCACGGTGTAGGGGTAGAAAGAGAAACGTCGGTGGTACTACAGAAAATTCACGTCGTCGTCGTGGAAGAAAAAAAGCAACATGAGAATGACTCGCCCCCATGTTTGCTTCGTCAACGTCGTGTACTCCTCAGAGACACGAACGCCAATAGCCCCGCCAAAGCAATGTTAGATACGACGGAAATACCGATGCCAACCATCAGCATGTTCTGTATTTTCTGTTCGTCTGCACGACGATCTGCATCCCGATGCTTGTTGCGCTTTCGTCCTTTATGCCGCCCTTTTTCTTCCTCAGAATCGGACGAAGACGACGAGTCTGAATCTGAAGCGTCAGGGTCTTTATTCCGGTCATTGTGCTTCTTCTTGTGTCTTTTTCTCTTCTTTGGCCTGGACTTTTCGAGATCTTCGTTCACTTCTTCTTTCTCAGCGAGAGTCGTAGGGGATACGACCGGGTTCAACTGAATCTGTACTGCCTTCACCGGTCGCACTTTGGAGGAGAGTAGACTGGTACTGTCGTCAGCTTGAGACGTGGTCTGCTCGACAAGCGGCGGCAACACTGCCGTCAAGGAACTTGCAGACTCCGCGGAGCGAGCGCGGTCGGTGATCGCCAATGCCCGCGGCGAGCCTTGCGGAGTGGTCTGCTTACTCTCGTTCCCTTCCTTGTCGAGGCCGTTTGCAGGATCGTCCTGCAGCAGAAAACCGCGCTCGAACCCGTCCGAGATCTGGGGCTTCTTCATCTTTTTCTTTTTCCGGTAGATCTGCTCGTTCGACTCTAACACGTCGGACCTCGTGTAAAGCGCCGGGTTCTGCGCGAGCGGAATGCACCGGGGTAAGGCAGACAGCCCGCGATTGAACAGAGCCGCGTCCCCGTACTTCAGGCCGGAATAGTCTCCCCTTAAACAATCCTTCGCGAGCAAGTACTCATCGATCCGGTTGGCCACGTCGCGCCCTTCCGCGATGGCGGTGACGACCAAACTCGCGCCGCGGCGGCAATCGCCCGCGAAAAAAACGTTGGAACCGAGGTAGTAGTGGTCTTGCTGCTCGGTCTCCACCGGCTCCTCCTTGCGATTGGGATTGTTGGTGCTTAGTTGTGCCAGCGTCGTAACACCGGAAGTTGAAATCTGGTGCCCGTTGGCTGACCGCGTCTGCGGGGTCGAAACCGCAGGAAGTGAACTTGCGGAACTATTCAAACTTTCTTCCTGCTCGAATAGTTGATTCGGTCGCAACTGCGAAACCGCAGATTGGGCCGGGCACTTGATCTTCTCACTGCCAACGAAGCCCATCGCGAGAAAGACGTAGTCCGCATCGTACTCCACCAACCGCTCCTCTCCAGTTTTGTTCCCGTCGGCGTCCAGCACATCCTGCAACGCGACGACCTTCTTCACTACTTTTCCGGTTCTGTCCGGGACGAACTCTCGAGTTTTGATCGCGTACGTCCTCGGATCCGACCCTGTGGCCGCGATGTACTCCTCATGCGCATAATCGGTCCGATACACATCGGCCCAGCTTGGCCAGGGGGTGTGAACCGGTCGGTCTTCGCTGGCTTTCGGCCGCCGGGAAAATTGCGTGATCGATTTTGCGCCCTGTCTTATCGCCGTGCCAATCACGTCCACCGCTGTGTCGCCACCGCCAATCACGATGATGTCCTTGTCTGCGCAATCGAATTTCTTTGACGGACCGGAAGCTTGCTGTTTGCCCGGTCTGTTCGCTCCTGTAGCGGATGAATTCGTGCTGATGGAAAGAACCGCAGCGGGTAAACTATGCGGATCCGTGTTGACGCCTGCCAGCTGGCTTTCATACCTCTGTGAGTCCGTCAAGAAATCCATGGCCTGGACAATGTTGCCCAAATCATTCCCGGGCAAAGACCGCTCCAGCTTCCGTGCCGCGTTCGCGCCGGTGGAGAACAGCACCGCGTCGTACTCCGAACAGAGTGTCTGCAAATCGTAGTTGACAGTCGTGCCCACCTCGACGTTCGCGTGGAAGGTAATCCCCTCTTGGCGCATCAAGTCGATTCGCCTGACCACCTTCCTCTTCTCCAACTTCATGTTTGGAATGCCGTAGAACAGCAACCCGCCGAACTGGTCCTCTCGCTCCAGCACCGTGACCTGGTGACCCGCTCGGTTCAGTTGCTGCGCCGCGGCCAACCCGCACGGCCCGCTGCCAACGACCACGACTTTCTTCTTGGTCCGGAACACCGGGGGCTTGGGGCTGACCCACCCCATCTGGAAGCCCTTCTCGATAATCGCGTTCTCGATCGATTTGATCGTCACCGGGCCTTCGTTGATTCCAAGCACGCACGCCTCCTCGCACGGGGCGGGGCAGGTTGTCCCCGTGAATTCCGGGAAGTTGTTTGTATCGAGCAACCGCTCCAGCGCCCGTTTCCAATCCTCCTCGTGAACCAAACTGTTCCACACCGGGATCCGATTGGCCAGCGGGCACCCGCCGCCCCCCTGGTTCGGGAACTGGCACGTGGGTGTTCCGCAGTTCATGCAGCGCGACGCCTGCGTCCGGACAAGGTTCCGTGCTCTCGTCGACGCGGTCACTTTCCCACCAGCGTAGATCTCCTCGCTGTCGAGGAGCCGGTCTTTGGGATCGCGGTACCCGGCGGTCTTCCGTCCGTAGAGGTGGAACCCCTTGCGCTTTGTCGGAACGGAAACCGCTACCGCTCGTAGATGCGAGCCGCGCATGATATCCTCGACATCCGAAATGATTTGCAAATACTTCTTTTTCGTGGGTTTTTCTTTCTTCTGCAGAAATTCCAAACTGTCGGTGCTATCCCGGTGGTGGTCTAGTTTGTCCACTTTGTTGATCCCAGCCGCACTACTGCTCTTCGCAACCAGCGCGAGATTCACGGAGGACGTGCTGGCTCTTCTAGTACCTCCGCCGGCAGACGAGTCCGCGATGCCTGGGACCGAGTTGGAGCCCTGCGGCAGCAACGTGATGTTGTCCAGCTGGAGGGAGTCATTCATGTCGTCCTTTATTGGTTCGTTCTCATTCTGACTTCCGTCATTAGAGTCACAGCTGGCAGCCGTCGACGGGGTTTCCTCGCCGCGCAGCTTCCTTTCAATCCGGCGCCACTTCGGGCCGTTGAGCAGGTTCTCCCGTTCCTCTTTCGGTAAGTGCACTTTCCCCCCGCCGGGTTTGCTGTCCTTCCCGCCCGGCGCCGGGCTTTTGCGCCAGAGGGAATACCCCAGTCGGAAGCGCGCAGCAGGATCGTCGGCGGAGACCAGACTGTCGTACTCCCCGGAAATGACTGCGCGGTTTTCCGTGACGGTTCCAAGCCCCAGTGCGCTCAGTGAGGACTTTACCACTCCGACGCCACCGACCTCCCGAAGCGGACCGCCGATCGGGAGGCCAATGCTACCCGCGACGCTGCGGCGGATTCCTGCCTGGCCGTAGGCGGTGGAGGGCTTGAGGTGTTGCAGGTACGCGGAGGAAAACAAGTCTGTCCTTTTATGCGGCAGCGGGTTGCGCATCTTGTCGAATTCATCGAGGATCTTCGCCGCGAGCTTCGACCCGACCTTCGTGTGTTCGACGATCGCTTCTTTCAGCACCTTCTTGTACTCCTTCGGAAAAATGCGGGAGAACCGAGGGGCAAGCTGCTTGGGCGGTAGCGCTAGCAGCTCCGCTCCGATCTGCGAGTTGGTGAGTTCCGTGTGCTCTTCCAGTAAGTTTCTGATCGTGTGCTGGTCCTCTTCCGTGATGCTTTCCACGAAGACGGTCTGGGAATTCACGTTCTGGGGATTCAAATCCAGCACAAAAGCAATCCCACCGCTCATCCCGGCGGCGAAGTTCGTTCCGGTTTTCCCGAGGATCAGCACCAGCCCGCGCGTCATGTATTCGCACCCGTGATCGCCGACGCCCTCAACGACCGCGACGGCGCCGGAATTACGGATGCAGAACCGCTCGGATGCGACACCGGAAAAGAAGGCCTGACCGCCGGTCGCGCCGTACAGTGCGGCGTTTCCGATCAAGATATTCTCGTGCGGCACCAAGCTGCACATCTGCGGCGGGTAGACTATCACGCGACCGCCGCTGAGTCCCTTGGCGCAGCCGTCGTTTGCGTCGCCCTCAAGTTCGAAGGTAATTCCGGTGATGAGGAAGGCTGCGAACGATTGCCCAGCGTGGCCCTGGAACTGGACCCGAATGGTATCGGCAGCGAGTGCCTTGTTCTCGTTGAAAGTCTCCTGAAATCGACACACCATGTAAGACAGCATGGCACCGACGGTGCGGTGCTCATTGGTGATGCGAACGAGACTGATCGTCAGCGGACGGATACGACGCTCGGCTTGGTGGATATCTGAGTTTTTTAGTTTGCAAGGTTGTTTTCAGTCAAGGTTTGCTCTACTAGCGCAAAGAAGCAGAAGGCAACATTATATATAATTTCACCTTCTCTGCGCAATTCACCCATAGAGTGAACGCGCGCGCAACCAACGGAAGCGAATGACGTGCAGAAGCGCGTCGCAGTGATAGTCGCAAGACCTCGAGCGACAGTCACAATGGCAGCCAAGAGAGAACCCGGCCGGCACAACGAGCTACGGGTAGCAGGCCATGCAAGCCAGGCTCTCGACCCCCACAGAGCCATGCCCCGGACATAGAGGTGGCCCAAGCCGCGAGGCGCGACTGGGACCGCCGAATATCTTCCCCAAATGCGACTAAACAAAGGGGGCAGCCCGCACTGTCGGGGACAGAGAGCAGGGCGCACGGGGCGGCGTAGCAAAGTAGCGAGGCTTGTGGAATCGTGCCGGGACATATCCCCGCGACACAACCCGGGAACCGGGTGAGGATAGTGGGGGCGTGCTCCCAAATGTGACTAAATAAGTAAGGCCCGGGAGGGTTCCGCGGTCTCCTCTCGTGGCGGAAGCAGCACAAAGCACTGCGCGACCGACCACGCGTCTCGGTAAGTAGACGCTATCTGTCGTAGCTGTGTTTCGTTTAAATTTCGCAAAGGCCACAAAAGCGTCCCCAGGCCCGTTGGATGAGTCAGGATCTCCTGGGAGACCCCGAAGCAGGAGAAGAACGAACCTGTTCACAGAAGCAAAAGAGCATCTATGCAGCGCTCCCTCTCGCCCCCACACCAACCGCTGAACCCCTCGACTGCGTCGACTGCATTCAAGCAATCAACACCGGCGGACCGACGCCGAGGAGCGAAGGACGGAGTCGCGAAGCCGATAGGCCACGCTCCTCAGCTCTCCTTCCGTGTCAGCACACCTGATACTTCCACACGAAGTGCTACCTACAACATGCCCTGCAAGATGTAAGCAAGCATCCATGTGGAAGCTGCAACGAAGGCGTCACGAGCTCCGAAGAGCAGCAACAACGACGTCGCGGACGCCCAACCCCACCCCAGCACCCGCAGGCGACGTCATCGAAGTCACACGCGCAGGCGAAGGCACACACCAGCAATAACCTGCGCCCCAGGCATGCGACCCACTGCTACAAACCGCCGCGCCTGCGGGGCTGTGGGGTTGCGCGTCCAGGGTGCTGGGCGGTGTGGTGTGAGGGCTGGCCCTGGTACTTAATATATCTGCGTGCCCATCGGGCACGCAGACCATTGCGTTTCGTTTCGGTGACTCTATTTGTAGTCAGATCGTAGTGTGTATGTGATGCGGCCCATCGGGCGGCCCCTGCCATTGGCAGGGGCTAAATACATGGCGCGGGGGTGCCTTGTTTTTTGCCTCGTGTTCCTGTGTGTCTGTCTGTACTTAGCCCCGGCTTATGACCGTCGGCGCGATCTTTTGCCGGCTGCGGTAGGTTGCCGCTACACTGGCCCCGGACCCCTGTGACAGGGACCTTGCGGGCATCGCCCTAGTAGGATACCAGTGGCTATTTCACAGCCTTCAGTGAGGCCTTCCCATCGTAATGGACCGCGGCGCCCCCGCTCGCGCGAATCCATTTACGACAGACGAGCGCCTTGCTACTGCATGTCTGCCGCATCGCGGCGTGCATCGACAAGCAGAATCGCGAAGCGCCCGCGACACACAGAGCGGCAGGCCGCAGACGAAGCTGCGCTGTTTTCCGATGTGTCTTGCCGATAGCGGGCCTGGCCAATAGGCCAAGATAACGCCGGGCCTGTGCCCCTAACGGCGTGAAGAACCTCTGCTACACCCACATCGTGGGCAGTCGGGTTCTCCACTCCCCGGCCAGTGGTGCTCGCGAGAACCGAGAGCGCGTCATCGACGTGTGTGTACCACTGAACGGAGATAGCCTGGAGGGTAGTCGAAGAACGCGAACTCTCTCTCCGCACTCTGAGAGCTGCGCAACAACTTCCTTCCCACCGGGACATCATCCCCTGTCAGGATAATGCCCTGGCACTCGGTAGGGCCGAGCTACGTGCACACGGCAAGGCGCACGCCGTCTGTTCTGACCTGCCCATGGCTTGGGCAGCTCAATGGCAACGGGACCACCGGAGCTCTTTGCTTGCCGCGCACTGCATTGATCCACGCTAAGGATCGGCAGCGCCGGAAACGACAAGGCGGAACTGCGAAGCAGAACCAGAGCGAAGGCCTGAGGCGCACAAGTGCGCCTCGCTTTCTCATCGAGACACTCCTCCGTCAAATATCCACTCTCCGAGAACCGAAGAGACGAAAAAACGCAAAATCTAGGCGAGCCAAGACAATGCGGTATTTCTGGACAAAGGACAGAGACCCAGCCGAAGCTGGTCGACACCGGGCAGCCAGCCTGGTGTCGGAGTGTGCAACCCTCTTGCTTGATCATGTGAACTGATATAATCGCTACGCGTCGCATATTACCATTACAATACACAGCTCTCAAAAGATGAACAGCACGAGACAAAATTTGAGTCACATCTAGTACGTGTCTGGCCGAACGACTGCGCCGGCTGGAATTCCTTCAGGGGTTTGCAGTTTGACACCAAGAAGTGATCCAACGCGTCCGCCGTCGCGGACCCACCGCAGCAAATGTAGTTCCCAGGAGCACGACGCGTCCCGCGCCGGACCGCCGCGGCCGGACTGCCTCGGCGGTCGATCGTCTCCTGGTGTAGTTGCGGTGCCTGGTCTTGCATGACCAAGCTGTTCATGGTCCAAGCCGGAGTGAGCAGCGCTTCGAAATCCAACTGCGCGGTTTTCCGGTTCTGAAACGTGGCCGGCCTCGGTCGCAGCAAATCCGCACGCCCGATCAGCTCTTTGACCGAGGTTACCCGCAACTGCGCCATGTAGCGGCGCACCTCGTTCGCGAGAAGAAACAAGTAGTTAATCAGGTGTTCTGGATGCCCGTCAAATTTCGCACGTAGCTCCGGATCTTGCGTCGCAACGCCGACTGGACAGGTGTTCAAATGGCACTTCCGCATCATGATGCACCCCAAAGTGATCAGCGGTGCGGTGGTCATTGCAACCTCGTCGGCGCCGAGCAGGAACGCAACGAGGATGTCCCGGGCCGTTCTGATCTGCCCGTCGGTTTGCAAACACACATTTTGCCGAATGCCATTCAGATTCAGAGTCTGATGGGTCTCCGCAAGCCCGATTTCCCACGGCAACCCCGTGCGCTTAATTGAGGTCCACTTCGCGGCACCGGTACCTCCATTTCCGCCCGAAATCGTGACGTGTTGCGCTTTCCCCTTCACAATGCCACTGGCGATGATTCCGACGCCAACGCGGGAAACGAGTTTCACCGAAATTCGCGCCTCCGGGTTCACGTGCTTCAAATCCGAGATCAGCTGGGCGACATCCTCGATCGAGTACATGTCGTGGTGCGGCGGGGGCGATATTAGTCCCACTCCCGGGGTGCTCTGCCGCACCTCTGCGATTTTCCCGATCACTTTGTACCCGGGTAGTTCCCCTCCTTCGCCCGGCTTCGCGCCCTGGGAGAGCTTGATCTGCAGCTCGTCTGCGTTCACTAAATACTGCGTCGTAACGCCAAACCGCCCGCTGGCGACCTGTTTGATCTTCGACCGGAAACTGTCGTTTTTCTCCACCTCCCAGTCCACGGCGCCGGCCTTGATCAAGCCGGAGTGTTTCAAAGCGGTGAACCGTTCCGACTCCTCACCACCCTCCCCGGTGTTGGATCTGGACCCGGCCCGGTTCATGGACAGCGCGAGCGCCTTGTGCGCTTCTTCGGAAATGCTGCCCAAACTGACCGCGCCCGTGACGAACCGCTTCACGATTTCGCTCGCCGGCTCGATTTCGGCCAAGTCCAAGGGTCCGTCTTCGTGATACGCGAATTCCAGTTGCCCGCGGACCTCGCCCTGCTCCGAAATCTTGTCCTGGTACTCCTCGTAAGTGCGGAAGGCTTTCGTGCTGTTCGTCTTCGCCGCCTGCTGGAGTTTCGCGATCACGTCCGGGGTATCAAATGCAAAAGTGTCTGGGTCTGGAAACTTGTGATGCTGGGTGTCGTCTCATGATGAGGCCACAAATGCTGGCTCAGCATGACAAGTTTCTGAGCTTCTAGGTGTTGCCTATTCTGCATGACAAACTGCGTTTCTGCATCGCAGAAAAATGGAGCTCTTGGGTAACGCGCATGACAGATTTGAGAGTCATGCCAGACAAGCATGACAAACATGCACTCTTCCAGACCCAGACATTTTTACATTTGATACGGGGAGTTCATGTGGAACTCGTTCTGCTCCCCGACGGAGCGGAAGTTATCCTGAGAAAAAAGTGTTACAGTTACACACTGTGTTGCAGGCCAAGCAAGACAGACAAGCTCTGTCATGCCGGATATGCATGATAGGGGCCTCCTTTCATAGGTGTTTTCCCGTAGGATTTCTGCATTGCAAGTTTTCTCTCTCATGCCGAGAAATTTGTGTTGCTAAATTGACAACAAATGTGTAACTGTAACACTTTTTTCGTGCGATAGAAGTGGTACTCGCCCCAGTCTGGCAGCTCCCGGGACTCTTCGTCCACCAGGGGGGGCAACCGCATCTGCTGAAACGCGATGGTGTGCAGTCGGACCGCATCCAAGTGGAAGATGTCAAACCCGACCCCCTGGAGGGCGACGTCCGTACCGGTGAAACACTTGTTTACCACTTTGTTACTGATCCCGATCGCCTGGAACAACTGCGCTCCCTTGTAGCTCTGGAGGCACGAGATGCCGCACTTGCTCATCACCTTCAGCAGGCCTTGATGCACGGCGCGGCGGTAATTTTCAATCTTGGTCGCCAGACTGAAGTCCTGGGTGTACTTCGGTCGCCGGCAGCGCTGCAGCGCGAGGTAAGCCATGTAGGGAAAGACGGCGTCTGCGCCGTAACCGAGGAGTAGGGCGAAGTGATGGATTTCAAAGCAGTCGCCTCCCTCCACGACGATAGCGACCTGTTTGTTGATGTATGTTGTGGTGATTTTTGTGTGACTCAGAGAAAGAGAATGCAAGCGGAAGAAAAATGAAAATGCAGTCGTGCTGATAGATACAACTTACCTCACTGCGCAATTTCCGCTCTACCAGAAACTGGTTCAGAATTCCGACCGCAAGCAAGGAAGCGATCGGTATGGTTTCCGGGCTGGTCAGGCGGTGACTAAGCACCAACATCGACACACCGTCGATCTTGATCGCGGCTTCAGCTTCGTTACAGAGTTGCGCCAGCCGTAATTCCAATACCGTATCGTTTTCAAACGCTTTTTGGTTCCACTGCTGCCTGCCAACGTCATGTGTGCTGGTGCTGGAGTAGGTCAAGTCCAACACCGCGTAGCTTTCCAGGCACGGCATCTTTTGCAGCACCCGGAAGCGTTCCGGATCGAGGACCGGCTCGTCGAGAAAGCACCGGTGTCGGACCGACTGGGGGCTCACCTGAAGCAAGTTCCCCTCCGGCCCAATCGGGCACTCCAAGCTCATCACGTTAGCCTCGCGCAGAGGGTCGATGGCCGGGTTTGTCGCTTGTGCGAATAGCTGGTAGAAGTAGTCGAAGGGGGACCGAGGAAGTCTGGATAAACAAGCAAGCGGGGCATCATTTCCCATAGACCCCAGGGCCTCCGCGCCTGACAGCGCCATCGGGCCTAGGATCATTTCCACCTTCTCGTGCGTGTAGCCGAACAACGTTAGGTACGGGATTTCCATACTCGACCACTGCTTTTCCGCAGCGGCCTCCGACGCGAAACTGCTGTGCGAATCCACGGTACGCAGCTGTTGATTTTTGTCCAGACTGGACGCGGTCGCACCGTGCTGGCCGGTGGGCGTCGGACCGAGATCGGAATCTTCGGAAGAGGTGAGCAATTCCTCGACAATGCGGGCGTCGGAGATGAGAGTCAAGTTGTTCGACTTCTCCGTGGATTTCTCCAAGTGCTTGCTCACGTGCGGCACGTTTCGGAGCCAGTCAACGTAGTCGTACTTGTTGGCGTACTTCTCCTTCAGCTCGGTATCCGGAAGCACCCTCTGCTCGTCAAAATCCACTAGGAGAATCTTTCCGGGCTGCAGCCGGCCCTTGCTGACAATCAGCTGCGGGTCCACATCCACGACGCCGACCTCGGAAGCCAGGATTAACCGGTCATCTTGGGTAATGTAGTACCTGTGATAAACGGGCACGTAGTCTTTTCTACGAAGCTAGCAAAACTGAGAACGGGAAAAATTCCGTTCATCAAGACGGGGACATCAAAATACCTCGTTCATCATCCACAAAAAACCACAAACTCCAAAAAACTACCTCCCCGGTCGCAGCCCGTTCCTATCCAGTGTCGCTCCCAGCTGGTGTCCATCGGTGAAAATCACCAGTGCCGGCCCGTCCCACGGTTCCATCGCACAGGCCTGGTACTCGTAGAAGGCTCTCCTTTCCGGGGTCAAGGTCGGATCGTTTTGCCACGCTTCTGGGATGAGCATCAGCATCACCTCCGCGATGTCGCGGCCGGAACAGGCGGTCAGTAGTTCCACGACATTGTCCAGAAAACTGCTATCCGACCCGACGTCCTCGTTCATCGGGAACAAATGCCGCGAGCTGAACCCCGTCTTCGCCAGAATGTCCGACCCATAGGCTTCCATGGCCGCCTCCCGAGCACGGATCCAGTTGACGTTCCCCTGAAACGTGTTGATCTCGCCGTTGTGCGCTAACACCCGGTGCGGGTGCGCGCGCGACCAGGACGGGAAGGAGTTCGTGGAAAACCGGGAGTGCACCACGATTAAATGGCAGGTGAAGCGCGGATCCTCGAGGTCTTCGAAAAACCGGAAGAGCTGCTCGGGGACGAGCTGCCCCTTGTACACGATGATGTTGTTGGATAGCGAGCAGAAGTACAGTTCCTTCCCGCGGAGCGACACCAGTCGGCGGAGGAGAAACAGCTTCAGTTCCAGCAATCTGCACTTCTCCGCGTGGTCCGCTCTCGTGTTCGAACTGGCCGCGGACAAGGTGCGCAGACGGTTGTTCTGCCCACGCATCGACCGGAAACTGTTCGCACGGTCCATATCTTTGTTTTATTGAATTTTTTTGGATGTCGTGGTAGATGCGTAAACTCGTATTTTTCACCTTGATATAGAAACGAACATCAAATTCAAAAAACTACACACTAGCACAGCATGAACCAAACAAACCTGCCGCCATCGGTCCTCTGGGGCTGGGCGCGGATGTGATTTCATCGTCGTCTTTGACACTGTGGGAGCCCCCGTCTTCGAAGATAGCGTCGATCCCGGGCCGTCTTGTCGCGGAGATCTGCCTTGCGTGCGTGTGCCCGACCGAGTAGACGCTCGCAGTGTCAAGCGTCATTTGGTTCCTCTCGAAGTAATCCTCGTCCAAGGCGACGAAAATCTGGCTCATGTGCGGTTCCGTGAATGCAGCGTATTGTCCCAGGTGTGTGCTGTCCGTCGGCACCTGCCGGTAGCCGAGAACGCTCAACCCGAGCTTCTTCGCGACTTTTTTGATCAACACCCTGCAATCGTGCCGTTTCTCCTCGGTCCTCGGCATAAAGATGATGCCCACTCCGTACTCACCGGCGGGGGGCAAAACAAAGTCACGGTAGGTCATTTCGCGAAAAAACCGGTCGGGAATGGAGCACAGTATGCCTGCACCATCTCCGTCCATCGGCCTGGTGGTCGCCCCGCGGTGCGTCATCCGGATCAGCATCTCCTTCCCGGCCTCCACGATCTCCCTGCTGGCTTTCGACTTGAAGTTGCAGATCGCGCCGACGCCACAAGCTTCGCCCTCGTACTTGTTGGAATAGAGGGCTTGGTCAGCCGGAATGCCGTCCCAGTAAGGGCGCTGTTGCGAATGCATTGGATCTCCACTCTTTCCGTAGCGATTTTCATCTACAATCTTGATGTCTTTGGTATTTCCCTCGCCGGAGAGGTCGACGCCGAGATTGTTGGCATCCAGGTCGTGGAAGAATTCCGCCCAGGTCTTGTTATTCTCATCATCATCATTTTGAACGTCCGACGGGCCAGCGGAAGAAGGAGAAGTTGGCACATCAGTGGAGTCCCCGTTTGGGTTTTCCATTTCTGTCGCGGTCGTGAGCTGTGCCCGCTCTCCTGTGCTCCTTTCCATTCCTGGCTCCATGTCGACGTCGTGAAAGAAAGGCAAAAAGAGTCGCTGGTGGTGCAGAGGTCTTTAGTACTGCGGACGCTGCAAAAAAGGTCGTCGCTTAGTTCGCGTCCTATGCCAGCGTCCGGCGTAAAGGCGGCTAGACTTCAGTAATGCGACATTTTTGCTTTTTTTTCTAAATTACCATGTCGCTTTTGAAACAAGAATGCAAATGATGATAAGGGTCGTGGATTTCGAGTAGGGGAACAGCAAGAAGTGATAGCTTTTACTTCTGATTTTGGACTTTTACAGTCTTCAGCTTTTCTTGTTACAGCTATGGAATTCGTTGATGATAGATGTTTTCTTTTTCTCAATGTGAAATGTCAGCTAAAGCTAGTCGCCCTGGTGGTCACTGAACGTCTTCTTTTGCTGCATCAAAACACTATTGACAGAACATGTTCTTGACGTGAATCCTGAAAGCCGCGTGCGAACAATGTAGAGTGAAAGCTACGCTTTAGAAACTTGAACCGGAGTAAGATCGGTTTGAAAGATGTGAAGACAAGACCTTTCTTACTGCTCGCGCTGCCCGACTCGTGCGAAAATCACTAGTGGGCGTCGGCGTTGCGTCTCTTCCCGCGCTTCATACGAAGCTCTAGAAATTACGCCTCGAACTGCACAAAAAAACCGATTCAAGTTCGGAATGGCGCGAAAGATATTCGAGATAGAAAGTTCATTAGACGAAGATGTAAGCCGTCTATCAGGGCTGCAATTTTGCTCGTTCGCTGCTAGAATTGGGGCTAATCAAATTGGAGCGGGCAGAAACTGCGAAGACTGGTGTGATGAAGAACAAGTTTTTTGTTTGAGGTTACTGGATGAAACAGAGAACAAATTACTTACTTCTTCGCTTGCTCTTGTGCTTTCACAGCTCCTGTGCGAAAAATTTCTTTCTTTATCACCGAACGTCGATTTGGATTTCTCGTTGTCGCTACAACATGTGAAAACTTAAAAAAACCGAGCGTATCCTTTTGATGATGCTTGGCGGGACCAGAGCAGCTATGGATAGATAGACAAGCGCTTTTGCAGCTAATGTCTAGTAACAGATGATATCTTCATACATTTGCGTTGTTGCGTTTCTTTTATTTTCAGGCCTGATCGAATGCCTCGTGCGTCATTTTTTCACGAAATCACCGATGGTTAAGTGATGACTCTTTCGCACTTGCCGCTACGGCCACAAGAGACCGACGACAACACACAGACACGGGGAAAAAAAACCGACAAAAACTAAAAAAGGTCTCCTAATCAACATCTACTTCATGAGTAGAGCCCAAATCTGCTTGAACTCTCAATTTCTCAGGAATTCACGATTGCCGCTTTTGGAAGTGGAAAAAGGCATGACAGAAGGAGTCATCCGCGGGAGGCACAATTTCTGCCTCGGAAAATCACGCGGTCGCTTTGTGTGTAGTAGCCCCATTCCCATCCTCCGTATGAGTATCGGGCATTTGCGAAAAGTACAAGAGAGACACTATGTCAGCATGGAAGCTGAAAAAAGAACTTCACGCTCACGTACAACTAAAAATGCGTCATTTGATAAACGAAGCGTAAATCAATATGGAAGAAACTGAAAATCATGAGAAAGAAAATCATAAATCAATAAGTGTAAAAGTGAAATACTAGGTGGATACTGGCATGACACTAGTGAAGCGGCCTACGCAGAGGCCAAACAGTGAATGATGAAAATGAATAGTGAAGAATGAATGCAAAACAAGCGTAAATAGAAAACACAAAAAACAGAACGCAAAAAGATTGTTCCGTACATTTTCCCGAAAGCAGCTCACGCCTTCAAACTGACGTCCCAGAGCATTTCCTGCTTGGATTTGATGTACAAATCGAACATTTTCCGCATGTTTTCGTTCATGTCCGTTTTCACGGAATCCCCGAACCCCAATTGCACGTTGCCGCAATTTTTCTCCAACAGCTTTTCCGACAACAGCATCAGCTCCTTCGTCACACCCGCTTCTCGCTCCAACTTGGTTTTGAAATACGTCTCCGCGAACGTTTTCTGTGTTTCTTTCAGCTCCTGCTGGTGCTTTTTCACCTTGTCGTCAAACAGGAACCGCATCAACTGCTGCAGTTCCTGCCAATCGGATTCCACATGGAACTTGACCACGATGTTTTTCTTCTGCGGCTTGGGTGTTTCGAACAGGATCTTCCGGCTCCCCGGCGGGTGCGGGAGCATGTCGCACCCGAACCGCTTGATCTGCTTGTTCCAGGGGTAGTAGGTGAGCTGCTGGAGGAGGAGTTTTTGCACCGGTCTGCCGCGTATCAAATGCAAAAATGTCTGGGTCTGGAAGATTCTGAGATTTGTCATGCATATTTCGGATCACGCAAGTGGCGTCTGATGCAGGCAATGGCATCACAGGTTTTGAGCACGCCTCCTGATGCCTGTCCCGCATGAGAAACTTCCTACTTGCGTGCCAAGAAATGGACAGCTTTTGGCGCTCATGCAACGCAAATTTTTGTGTGTTCCAGAGTTTGCATCACAAGTTCCAACCCTTCCAGACCCAGACATTTTTGCATTTGATACCGCGCTGGGGGATGAACGCGTACAAATCGAAGTGCGCAATGTCGTTGGGCGACACCATGTATCAAATGTAAAAACGTCTGGGTCTGGAAGAGGAGAAGTTTGTCATGCACATTTTCCATGATCCATGATGTCTCTGATGTATGCAATAGCATCACAGATTTTTTGAGCGCCTAAGCCTATCGATGCGCGTCCTGCATGACAAATGCCCTCTCCGCGTAGCCAAATTTGAACATGCAATACCGGTTTTTTCAGCATCCAAATGCAGCATCACAAGTTTGGCTCTTCCAGACCCAGTCCCAGACATTTTTGCCTTTGATACCATGTAGAAGAGTTTGATCGTCGGTGTGTATGCACTGCAAAAGTATCGTACTAAAATGGCATTTATGCATTACAAATCTTCTTGTTAAGGCAAATCCGCATTACAAATTCAATTTGTAATGCTACGCCAATTTGTAATGCCATTTATACTAGTACGATACTTCTGCATTGCATAGGGTGTACACACCGCCAATGTGGTCGACCGTGATGTGGTCCTTATCCTGCCCGTCGTCCTGCTTGTTCGCGTTATTCATCGCGCCGGCGGTGTTTGGTGGTGTGTCGTCGTCCTCGACGAAGGTAATGTCCGCGTCTTCGTCTATGATGTCTTCGGCCTTCGCGGAGTACATGCCAATGGTGGTCCTCCCGGCGGAGGACTCGTAGGGGAATAACTCTTTCAATTTCTCGACGTACGCCTGCACATTCCGGGTCAGTTTTTGCCGCAGGACCCGGAGAATGTCGCCCACGGTCCGCAGCTCGCCTTCCCGCGCGGACACCCGGCCCTGGAAGAGCGGGCCGGCGTCGTAGCCGTTCATGCGGAAGTAGAGCCGGATCTCGGGCCGGAACATCATCGTCAGTTTCACGAGGGATTTCAAAGTGAGTTTCTTCTTTTTCTCCTTGGGCTTCTTCTCTTCCTTCACCTTCTCGGGGAGCAAGGATTTTGACCGTGGGTAAACGTTGAATCCGGAGGACGAGCAAATGGGGAGTCGGTGCAGCAAGCACGTCGGGTGGAGGACGATTTGTTGGAAGACACTTGCGCCGCTGGTCACCGCCGCGTTTACCCTGGGCGTCAGCATCGTCATGGCGCCGGAAACGCTCCGCGGCGTCTGCACCATGGCCGCGCCCCCACCTCCGCGGGGGGTGGTCATCGGAGTACTCCCGGCATGGTAAGTCGCGGATGCGTACCGCGGAGTGCCCATGGGCGTCCCTATGCCGATGTTGAAGCCCATTTGGTATAATTGTTCTCCCGCCGCCGGGCAGCGGGTCGAACGAGGACTGGACTTTGATGTTGAGGGAGCAGCTACTTTTCCTTTGCAAGTAGCGACATGAAATTATACTGAAGATGTTGTGGAAGTGGATACATCATGCTCCTTGTTTGTCGTGCTGGTTTGCAGCCATTCGTTAAGTGAAGGGAAATAATAATGAGGCAATCAGTCAGTAGGGCACCAGGCTCGTAAACACAAATGTAGTCTTCTGAGGCTTTACCTTTATGGCAGTGTAGTCAATGTTTTTTTTTCGTTGTGATAATGCTTGACGAGTCGCGAACTTGTAATGACGAAGCAGGCGAACAACAATGTTTCTCATATTACTTCTTACCGACAAACGCAACCGCAAGCTGTGCAACAAGACAGACATGGATCCAATGTGCTTGGCTTTTCAAACTTGTCTTCAGACCGATCACGATTGAACATAGGCAATTACCGATTGAGATTTTTGTTTTTTATTTTTGTAAAATGACAATGAGAACAAGGAGAACCGAACTTCAGCTAGTCGTGACGGACACCGAGCGATGAAAGAACATGCACGTGGACATAAAAAAACACATTGCGTCTGTCCTTTGGACGGACCCACATAGTGGCTACGTACAATGTTCATTTTTGTTCGTGCAAAAAAAAGGTAGGGACAAAGTAAAAGCTCGTAGCAGGCAGTTCTCACAACGCGTGCTTGTAGAGGTCCTTTGCCTTTATTAGTGCGTACTGTTGCGCCGCCTTTACAACAAGAATCAGGTAGGAATAGAGTATCTTTCTAAGTAGTGAAAGCTGAGCTTCCAAGACCACTCGTTCATTTTGGTTTTTCACGAGGGCACCGGCTAGAAGTCATAAGATTGTTGAAGAGCGATAAATGACCTAGACAGGGGCGCGATTGCCGAAAATTGTATTGTATTGTATTGTATTGTATTTGATCCGCTCTTGTTTCAAACAGACACGGCGCCCGCTCTTTAGCCCTGCGATACTTGCAGCAACCCGCCGGACAGCGAGGCTGTGGAGGCCCGGCGAAACGTAACCCTCCTACGCAGTCGCAACATCAAGTGGCGAGAGCTGGAGGAGAACAGCGTGCTGGAGGTTTGTGGCCTTGGCAGACCGGCTCTTGCACTCGTTCCGTATAGTAGCACCAATCAGAGGGCGCACACCAGGTGGGCAACACAGATTGATTATACTACGGCGAAAGGATCCCGATTCGCGCTA